ATACAGGCTGCAGTTCCAACAGTTGGGTTCTCGATAATGAAAGGGAGACACAGCTGAAACCAGGGATTAAAAATGCCCAAACAGAGCCTTGGCTCTACATGGCAAGCATTGCAGCAGGCAGCTCATTGCTAAAATCACTAGATAGTTCAAGTGAACTGGGAAAAATCCTTACACCCGGCCCTCAACTGTGCTCTTGACTCTACAGATACCTGCGCACACTCGCCCACTGCCCACTCTTGAAGCAAACATGCAATTTGCGCAACAGCTGGCCATTCAAGCAGACGGTGGGGACGTATATATCCCACCAGTCGGGCAGGAAGTGCTGGCAATGTTGCAGAGAAAAGGGTCAACCCAGAGTCTACAGATGCTTGCGCAGGCTTGCCCACTGTCCACATTTTGACCAAACATGCACTAGCTGGCCATTTGGGCAGTAAGCAGGCATAAAAAAAACCCCACCGGTCGGGCAGGTGGAGCAGGACTTGACAATGACGGCCGATGCGCCAATCATCTGGCCGGGGATGGCCGGCAGGCCCCAACCACACCAGCCGTCGCCATTCATGCACTGCAGCGCCGCTTGCATCAGCGACCCCCCACCCTGCACAGTGTCCCAGGGGATTTATGAGGAGACTGAGGCAAGATGTATGAAGCACCAAAGATAGAAGAGACGCCGTGATAAGTCCACAGTAGAATCTGTGAATCGCTGCTGCGTTCACACTGGGCAATAGATGGGCAATGGCAGCAGCTGAAGTTCTTCCCTGCAGTTTTGGAGAAACCTTTTGACATTATCAGTAACCAGCCCAAGAACTGACAGGGTATCACCTTGCATTGTAGGCTTTGAGATTCAGTAATTACCCCTACATCGGAAGTACATAGATGATGACATGAAACATATTAAGAAAAATCAAAATCCGGACCTGCTGGTCTGGGGTGAGGGTCCACAGCAGACGGATGCCGTCCATGAGGTCTTTGCACTGCGCAAAATCCTGCGACTTGCCATTCAACTGCAGTGTGCAGCCGCCAGTACTTGCCGCCTGCAGCAGAAATGAAACATATGGCTTGAATCCCCACACAGCACTCCACCTCCCGAGATTGAGGTTTTCAGAGGGAAGAACTCAGGAAACAAGCTTAAGAGACGCAGAAATTCTAAAAAGTCTTGAACAACGATGGAGCCAAAAAATTGCAATGGAACCCATACAGAGTGCACACACAGAGCACACGAGGTTGTTGGGAACCCCCATAGAAGTTTTACAAGATGCTACACAAACAGCACCAGAAATTGGTGGTGCATGGCTAACAGATCAGCAGGCATCAGGCGCTGGCCTCGACTGATCATGTATCTTGACATATCAGCGGGGCAGAGAGACGCTTCAAAATTCAACATTCAACTTTCAAAAGTCTTCCTCACCGGGGCGGCGCTTGCGGCGGAGGCAGGCATCAGCTTGAGATGCTGGCCTCCACCACTCAGGCGTTCAGATCTCCTACCAGCTACTCATCAGCAAGGCATGAGAGCGTTTTGAAATTTAAGTTCAGAATTCCTCACCGGGGCGGCGCTCGCGGCGGAGGCAGGCGCGGATGCTGTCTCGCTGGTCTGCGCCGCGGACGGCTGCACGGCGGCGATCTTCGGCGAGCCGGCAGCGGCTGCCGGCGCGGCCGCTTTGGGAGCGGTTGCCGGGGCGGCTGCCGCATTCGGCAGGCCCGCGCCGAGATTCAAGGTTCCCTCAACTCCCTGCAAATGAAGCGATATGCGCCTGTTAGCAGGATGAAATAAATCGGCAGGCCCGCACTGATACTCAGTGTTTCTTCCACTCCCTGCAAACGAAGCCTGTTAGCAAGGAGAAATAAACCTGCAGGCCCGATTGAGATTCAGTGTTGAATCAACTCCGTGCAAACGAAGCCATGTGCGCATGTTAGCAAAGACAATAATGTGCGCACATTGCGAAATGAACGTCTGCTTGTGCAGCCCTCTGTGCAGAGACTGCCCACATAACTAGCTGAAGGTGGGAATATTTCCGGTGTTTCTCAGTCCCACACTGTTTCACCAATCGTGCGCCATTTTGCATTGCAGAGCAGTTGATACACAAGTGAGAGTTGCAGTCACTTCCTTCAGCCACCAGGCTCCAAACATGCTCTTTTGGGGTCTTTAATCTTCGATCACCTAGTAATGCACTTGGTACTCCACATTCTTTCCAGAACGCCATTCCAGGGATCACAAGATACCAGATACCGGAAGCTGGATAGCAGAAACTGAAAGAACGCACCTGCGCGTCGGCGTGCTGCCGAAGGGCGCCACCGGGACCAAGCTGGCCGAGCGCCATGAGAGTGGCTGTGGGCGTGGCTGACAGGGCGTTCCCTGCGCTCAATGTCTTACCCCCATTAGACATGCTTTACTAAGGGGGTTGTGTTTATCTGCAGCATTCGAAAATCCTCTGCACTCCTCTGGTCAGTAGTGACCAGGATGGGGCACGCTGACACAGCATGTATGGCAGGGATGAGTAAAAGACAGGCCCGGCCCAGGCAAAGGGTCACTGCGGATATTTGAGCATTTAGAGACCACTCTGCGGGATAAGCGGACAACTGTGCCCAAAGACAACTGGCCGTCTAGCACTCCTAAGCTGACCATGTCACAAGACATCAAGAGCTTTTACACACTCTGAAGCTGACCACTTCACCGGAAATTGACAATTTTTGCCTTTGCAGTACAGCTGCATTGAGATTTGCATACAAGTGGCTGACCTGTTCCGGGCACCCTGATTTTGAACAGAGCTTGCAGCCGGTCGCCAGACTTGGCCGCGCTGGCAGAGATCAGGTCCAGCTTCCCCGGCGGCTTCACCTGCGCCGGAGTGTATCCGCCCAGGTAATAGTTGTCCACGGACGCGCCTGCGACAAAAATAGTCATCGGTCAGACTTGCATTACACTCACGTGCTTTCTACTCAGCGATTCTGGGCCCCGGACTGCATGACCAAATGGATGCCCATTGCTAATTAAAAGAACCACGCTGCACGCTTGCATGCATGCATGCCTTCTCAAGAACAACATCCCTTCAGGTCATCCATTGTTTCAAATAACAAGCGTTGCAGGGACATGGCAGGATCTCACACAGGAGATCAGCCTCGCAATGGCTCTTGCTCTGGTCGTTCAAGATGTGAGAAGATCACAGTATTGTGATGTAGTGGTAGGCTTGCGCCAGTAGAGCCTGACCTGAGGGCGCAGAAGAATTCGTCTTGACAACAACGGCTGAGCCGCCAAGCATGCCACTGCCAGGAGCCGCTGGGAGGCCGAAGGCTGCCCAACCAGTTGACTGGACGTCCAGTGCGCCAGACATGACTGAGCTGCCATTGCCCTCGTCAGTAAGAGACCAGAGCAGGTTGTAGGGCGCGCCCATGTCAGCGCTCATGTCCTGACAAGCCTTGAAAGTCTGCGGCTGGCCGTTGAATTGCAGTGCGCAGTTTGCCTGCAGTGAAGACAACCAGGAATGGTCACCTTTGATGGGTCAAGAGGCTGTCTGTTTTAGAACGTCACAACATGCTATGATCGGAACACATGCATTGGTACTTCTGTGAATCGTGCGAGCTTCTGTACAGTGACAATATCAGCTCGCTGGCTCCACAGCTGGGGTGGAAAGCCGAGATGCCCGCCATTTATGAAACGTGATCTGCTATTCCTACAGGGCCCTGCTCTACAATAAGGGCTGATTCCAAAGGATATCGTAGTCAAAACTTTCTCATATGGTAACTACCTGCAAGAGGAGACGATGATGCGAGACTCCATGTGTACTGCAAAGACACCGGAAAAATTTAATGGATGGAGCAGTGTGAGAACTCGCAGGCAGCTTTCTGCAAGAGGAGAGCGGTAGTAATAACATAACAGTGTTGTCAATTGTCTACAATCAGCACGCCAAAATTTTAAGCAACTTTGTAATATGAAGAAACTCTCTAGCTAGTGTGAATAACCTAGCAAATGCAGAGTTTTCTGATTGTATTGGCACTTGCTGTTTCGTACCTAGGTACCAATTTGAATGGACAGCTTGCTTCTGATGTCGCTGCGAACAGCACCACCGCTAGGGCAAGTAACGGCACTAATGAGTGCCGCCCCATGCTGTGGTCTCTGAGAACTCGTAACAAGCGGCGGAGGCGCGACTACATCACATACTTAAGTTGGATAGGTAAACAATGTTCCCGAGACGTCATACACGCAATTCGAAGTTGACATCCCGTCATAATCAGATCCGCAATGTGGAAGGCTCCTGTGCCTCGATGAACGTCATGGTTCCCCAGAAAAGCTTGGGGGTCCCGAAGCCGGGTAAGCCACCAAGAAGACACAATGCGCAAAACCATGCATGCTTAGTCAGGGAACCTGATGTCCAACAAAGCTTGGATTTGTCATGACTGCTAGAGGATCCGGAGAACTCCGACATAGAACATGTACTTGTGTACATATCTCGCCGCGATTACAATCATGTGATGTATATCCCCTCTACGGTGAAACTAATAGGAATATTAATTTACTCTAATAGTGCTTCACCCAAGAACCACACGGACAGGCGCATATTCCCTGCTGCCACTGTCTTCGGCTGCCCTGCGCACCTTAAGAATTTTCATGCGCAACTGCTGCGGCTGCTTGTGCAACCGGTTATACGACATAAACTGCGCTACATCGATAGATATCTCTGCCTGGACTCCGAATCACTGGCCTCAAAAGAATTCGTCATTAAATAGTCATCTCTCACACTCCAAGTCTTCTCTGCATATCAACTCTCGCTCCGCACACTAATCAATGAATGATTCATCAATGCCCGGGTGCACTTCTCTACTTGGCCTTAATTATCTTCGCTCTCGCACTGCCGTGTGTGTCACCACAATCTCCCTGATTCAACTATAGATATTCTGGCACAGGCCGCTTAGTCAACTATAGCTATTATGACACAGGCCACTCTAGGGCATCATTTCTTTACTGTGGCAGAGTGTCTGCCACTGCAGCAGACGAATTCAAATTCAAATTCTCATTTGAATTCTTCCGGGCAGGTTTCTGGGGTGAAGAACTCTTTGCGAAGTTCCTCCCTGGACACAAATCTCACGAGGGCGGCGTACTTCTTGAGCCAGGGTTTGACCACTTCCCAGCCGGGGGCAAAACCCCAAGGGGCGTCGAGCATCAGGACCTGCCCCAGCCGCTTGGGATAGTACAGGAAGAAGACATCCACCTGCGCATGACACCAGCATATCCTCAGAGCAAGCCATACTTCCTTTCATTTACTAAGAAAATCACCTAGCACAGTACCAGTCGCCACGAGAACTAGGCAATGCACTCAGTACCCTCCTGCTCATGTAATTATATCACTATTGCAGAGGTAAGTCTTGAGAGGTGTTAATTTTCTCTCCTAAAAAGTATGTAATCCCTTACTATCCGACCTAGACACACCATTAAGGCGTTGCTAACCATGCAAAATCTTATGCATGCGCCTTGAGACTGTTCTTTGTCAGCAGATCACTCATAGATGGCAGATATTGCATTGGAGGACGAAAATCACGAGCACCAGGAGAGGGACAAAGCCAAAATGCATTGTACAGAATCCATGGACTACTTGACATGCACCTGGAAACGACACTAAGCATGTACCTGAATGCACTCTGTCAGCCTTTGATCAGTACTATATCACCTCGTCACCTCTCTTCTGTAGAGGGAAGATGAGGCATACCAGAAAGCGGACGAAGCCGAAGTCGGCGTTCCGGTGGCCGAAGCCGCGCAGGTCAAAGATGCCCAGCAGGGTTTCGGTCCCCTCTGGCATCGACGCAATCCCCTTCTCCAGCAGGTACGCGCACAGCCTCTTGCTCTCATCCAGCGGCCGCGCACCTGCAACAGCATTAAACCACTTCAAAATTCTTCAATCACACTCATCAGACGCAGAGATGTGTTTACAGCTAGTGGTCGGTCTTAGCCCTGCACAAAGCTGTTGTTTTAGAGCTTGCAGGTGACGACCATGCTATCTTGTCTGCATGCGGTGTGCCTCATTGAATAGAAGGAAGTTCCATTCAGTGACTTCATCTCCACCGTTGTACACTACCTAGCCACGGGAGCTGTGACTTGAGCACAAGCTGCAACATCAGCCTGTGGTAATGCAAGCAAAGCTCCAATTTTATGAGACCGATTCCGGCATGTCTCGACATCCCTGCTTTGAATGGCAGATAACAGATTGCCCCACCTAGAAGTCAGATGGGGCACTAGACTCCGGTGGCTACCTATGACCTACATCACGCAGCCCACCCATGCAAAGGTACCCCTTTTAAAGCAGAAGGTCAATTTTTCTCACGAGAGCAAAACACAGCCAAGCGCACCGGTGATGTGGCGGGCCGCGCGCACAACAATGACCGGGCGTCCATTGACGTCGGTGTGGCTGTGCAGGAATGCTTTGCCTGTGGCAGCTTCCTCCGCCACGTCAGCATCTGTCAGGGGAGCCGGCATGAAGTCGCGCCGCCACTCCATCATGCGCGTCAGCTTCTCCTCAGCTTCCTCCACGTCCAGCTTCCTGCCACACGGAAGCTGCCCCTTCAGCCGGCGGATTTCTTATGCAAAATCCTCACATACCAGCGCACTTTGGGCCAAGCACCGCTGGCATGAATGGAAGGTCAACAAGAAGGCAGATTTCCACAAGGGCTGCTTCAAAGAGGCACCGAGAAGCTGATAGCATAAAAGAAATAAGTGAAAGCACTGCCCTATTTCAATGGTCTTACCTAAGTATTCATCGTGAGCCACGAGCATAGATCCTGCACTGCGTGTTCAGCCTATACCCAGCATTCATTGTGTGCCAAGGAATGGAATCTGCACCTGTCTCGCAAGAACCATTGCTGTGTTGCAACATCAGGCTCCCCAGCTTTGCAGTCTGCCATACGTGCACGCAGCTCTTGCAGCGCCTGCAAGTTCAACATTTACAGCTTGGCACCTCAAATCAATCAACGATGCATAGGTGCAACCTGTGTGCGTATTAAGTATCTCAGGTGCAGCAATCCAGTTCAGGACATCTTGGAATCCACATGAATCAAAGTATCCACTGTACCTTCAAGATCTTCATGACAGGAGAACGGATGTGTGACTGAAAGGGTAATTGATGGGCTGCAAGACTATTTACCAAGGTGAACAAGTAGGAGTGCCTGAGGCGCCGTAAAGAGCTCTTGCCTGCTCTTCTTCGGGCGTGCCGTTCCATGGTACTGTTTGAAGTCCTGGGGGCGTCCGCACTGCCGTCTGCTGCGCCCTTGCTGAAATAGCCCTGCTTTTGTGCGTTGTTCTTCGGAGGTGGGTTCGAGCTGAATGCGCTAACCTCTGACGCAGATGGCTGTGACAAAGAAGACTCGAAGTGACTCCCGCATGATTGAGAAGCATTGCCATCCTGGTAAAGGACCAGTGGTCAACTTCCAAACTAGATCATGGCCAGATCAAGCAGGGCTACGGCGAGCTGCTCGTGTTGCCAAGAGTATGGAAAGCCGTGCAGCAGACGCTCTCCAAAGACTTCGTATCCAGCCTAGAAGAAGGACTTCAGGGATCGCCTCCCAAGTCTGATTGTGAAGGACGAATCTCAGCCTTCAAAGTCCTCGCTGACGTCAACATGCACCGTCAGATAGAAGCGAAGGCCTTAAATGAATCTGGAATCTCATTTGTCATATCTACTAAAGACACAGTGTATGATGCGGCTTGCAATCGATTAGGAGCAGTCATCTGATTATACCACGGTCTTCTGAGCTACGGTTGCTTGGTTGCTTCCATCAACAGTTCTGCCTGTCTCCTGAGAGTAGTTAAGGAATTGAAGCTCGATGCAATCCTTTTTTGAATCAAAACTATTCTAACTGAATATCTCACAAGGGCTGATGCCTAAATTGCATTCTTGAGATGGAACCTGAAGAAGCTTTTACTGAGAATGATCGGCACTTCATGTTACTAGCGTTCGAGGAGGTGTGAACTTGTAGATTTTTAAGATGGAAATTTAAGACAAGTCTTCGAATTATTGACAGAATGTCAGCCTTCCTGCTGAGGCCTCTCTTGCATATTTCAGGCCAGAGGAGCATTGGCTCGCGGCGAAGTCCCAATAGGGTACAATTGATCACTGCTGCAATCTGCCTTCCTACATCGAATCTCCTGCAAGTGGTTGGATATTGCCAAGGCATCAGCTAGTGCTCCTGATGTAGACATGAGCATGCATGCTCCAGGTGCATCATCGTCCAGGATGATGAGGTCATAGCAGCAGGGAGCAATCTCACAAATGAATCAAGGAATGTGAGGCCCCATCTTCTTTAGATTGTAGACCACTGTGCAGAGAGCTGAGTCAGTTGTTTCCAAAGTGTTGGGGGGTGCCAATGTCTTCTCCTGCTCGGGCTGATCTGGCATTGCATGCGCAGGCCACAAGGCATGCAGAGATGGATGCTGTTGACAAAATTTTTGCAAACATTGCCGGCCCTGATCGCAATCATGCATTTGAAAGGTGACTGACCTGTCCTTCCCACATGTTGTCACATGTCCTGCCGTTTCAACCAGCTACACAGCTTTGTGTGGTCCTTGCCAGTAAGATGTCACTTCATTGACGGCTGGCGTTTGGTATGCTTTCAGGTGCCGGCTGTTTGTCACTTGCGAGCCTTGCATCATGTGTGCTGGCGCGCTGAGCCTGCTGCGCTTTGCTCAGGTGCAAATCTGGGCAAGCCTTCTCCATACGTCTTGTCAAATATAGTATGCACTGAGCCTGCTGCGCTTTGCTCAGGTGCACCACTGGGCAAGCCTTCTCCATGGGTCTTGTTAAATATAGTATGCACTAAGATATGGTCACTTGCCTGATTGGTGGCAATTATGACGTGGATTGTGGGTTGCATGCAAGTAAGTAATTTCCTTTTACTGCTGCAGGTTGTGTATGGGTGCAGAAATGACAGATTCGGTGGCTGCGGCTCAATCTTGTCCATCCACGAGAATGGATGTGGGGGCTGTGGAGGGTGCGGCCCTGTTGACCGGTCTTGCCAGTCCAATGAATGCCACATAGTAGATCTCTCAGCCTCACTTCACTTATGGTAGTGCCTATAGCGCGAGCAGAACAGATAGTAGGATTTCAATTGTCATGGATCCTGCGACTCCTGCAAATGGCAGCTACTTTATCCTAGATCCCAACTTATTTATTGTACGTCTAGCGCATGATTTGAAGTGCTCAAAGTCTGAGTACATGATTGTAGATGTGCATTGTGCAGGGATACCACGGTGCCTGGTTTCAAGCTGCGGTGTAGGGGAGGACTCATGGCTGAGGAGGCGGTCACCCTGCTCAAAGAGTTCTATGCCACAGGCAACCCAAAGGGTGCTTCGCCTGTCTATCTCATTCTGTTGCAATGCTGCGTTCATTCAGCTTTGCTGGTTTCAAAGTCCTCTTTTTCAAAGAAAATTGGAAATAGTAAATGTTATCCTGCTGGGTCTGCTAGAACCGTATCCTCAGGTATTGGATTGTGTGCGTGGATTTGGATACATGCAGCTTTGGTCTGAATGGCTGTGTCTCTGTGGTGCAGCCCCAAAACCGCATCGCCCTCTAGCACCCGTCAGCAAGGGCACTCCAGATGCCGGCACAGTGACAGCCGGCCGAGCTTGAGCGTGCGCGTCGAGGCCAGCCCTGAAGCATGCTGGACAGTAGTTTTCAGTTGACGCTGCAAGGTCCAGATCCAATTGGGACCCCAATCGCGCCACAAGAATGTCCAGAGAGCTGCCAAAGAACTCCTTACGTTGACGCATCAGGAACTTTCTAATAGATGGGACCGGTTTCGGCCAAAAGATCCTACTATGTTGAATTGGAGAAGCAGCGAGCCACCAGCTTGTGCCAGCAGTGTAATAACAGATGCTTGCGCTAATGCTGCTCTCCAGCAGCAGCACATCTGAGCTCTAGATGTCTCGACCTGAAACATGTGCTGTGCGATGATCGCATTGTGATCTTGTCTGCATGCAGCAACTTTTCTGCTCTTCAAGCAGTATAGCGCTCTAATGGAAGGCACAGACTTCTGTAAAGCATCCCCATAAGAATAATTTGCATCACCAATTGCAGCTGCCTCCAAATACTTGGAAGCTGCCCGGGTGACTAACCCCACAAAGCTCCAAACTGCCCAGCGCAGAATGTTCAGCCCAGTCTGCTCCTCAGACTCCTTTGCGTTCATCGTCAGAATAAAATATATATCTGAAAGTAATCCTCAAAGCATCCTATTGGGCTGTCCTATTGAGACCCGAGCAACATCTCCTGCGGAGGGTGAACAAACATGGATCGAGCTGAGCTCCTGAGCAACTTGCAGGAGTACAGGGCACAATTACAGCAGGTTTGCCTCTTGCGCACATCAAAAATATCTGGGGTTTTATTCTGGAGAAATGGGCTCATCGAGAGATCTTTTAAACGAAACATCTTGTGGTCTCAACTTTGGTTGACAATAAATCCAAGAAAAGGAGTGTCCCCTTTTGAAATAGCATATCCAATTTATTAATTCTCCTTGCAGGTGGAACAGCTGCTGATCGAGGACTCGGAGAACCAGGAGTATGCTGAGATCCACAACAATCTTTCAGAGGTGATCTTGTTGCTCCCTCAGTTTTGTCCCATTCACTACTGCCATCAATCTTTTGAGACCACAGCACAACAGTCTTATGCTCGTTTTGGAGGCTGAAGTGTGCCATTTCACCATTTTCTGTGCAGGCCATCAGCCTCACAGAGGAATTGCTGCAAGGTGAGGATGATGGAGACGAAGGGGCAGGGCCCTCCACGTCTGCAGCAGCAGCACCAAGGCCAGCAAGGCACGCACCGAACGTGGTCCTGACAGAGGCGCCAGCCATCCAGCTGTCTTCAGTCCTCCCTGCCACGGTGCGCCCTTTCAGATGGCCTTGACACCTGGTGCATCTCATTGGTGGTGCATCAACATTGTATGTTTCGGCGCGAGTGCCTTACAGAGGGGCCGCTCAACAGAGCACCACCATATTCTCTATCGGCACAACTCCATCTCTGGTATTTGCCAGAGCTACCAGCACTCTCGTGTTATGACACATGACCGGGTGATGACCACCATGATGTACTTACTTGATACACCATTCCAATGCAATACAATCCTGAAGGTGCAAGCCTTTTTTGAAGGTTGTCAAGGGTGGGCTTTGGGCCGGCTCTCCCAGCAGAGACTCCATGTAAAAGACTCTTGAAGTCAGTTCAGGGGTACCTGTCGCTGCTTGACAGGATCCATGGCTGCACACTAGTAACAGCGCCATCGTTAGCAGGTCTAGCTGGACAGTGCCAGTCCATCAACCAGCCCTTGTCATCCTTCAGACTGCCCTTGATGACTACTAGCCCCTCCCTTTCCAACGAGAGCAGTTTGCCACAGCTGTGGGCAAACCCCAGGGTGCTCTGACAGACGCCTTCGTGTTCATGAGGTCTTGGGCCTCTATATGACCTCCTAGCTCTCAGCATTTGTGAAAACTTTCGCCACCTGTGTTCCAGGCCTCAAATACGGACATAGCAATCACTTGGGTGCGCGCGCATGCATGTACCACAGCAAATAGGGCGGTGCAGCAGTGGATCAGGCCACAACTGCTCCAGAGTAGCACAGACCGTGAGCATGACTATGACACTTCTGCGGCTGTGCACGCGCAGGTGGCACAGCAGATCAGGGCGGCGCAGCAGAAGGCAGCGCTAGCGGGGCAGGCGCCTCCGGCATGGGCCATCGGCGCGGTGTGTCACGCGCTGAGCCCGCTGGATGGCAACTGGGCCGAGGCGAAAGTGAAGGGCATCAGCGCGGGCGGCAACTTTGTCGTCGCCTTCAGCGGCCGGGAGGACGAGCTGGAAGAGGTAATGTTTCTGTCTTGGGTGTTTTCTGTAGTCTTGCAGCTCGTCTCCAGGACGTGCTTTGCCTTTGGCAGGCAAAGCGCGTCATAATAATAGTAATAGCAAAAATATTATAGTAGTGGGGCAGCTGCGTGACCTCTTTTTGCGTTTCACTTACTTCATGGACGTACACCGCTGTTTCGGGCGATCTCGTGAGCAGAGAGAGCATGGCGATGAGGGTGTGCATGCTCTCATGCACTCCCTCCTTTGTGCCTCTTTGCTCCCAGTATCAAACAGCGCTGGTGTCGCTCCATTGTGCAACCGGCTGCAATGCAGAGGCTGGCCTGCGCATCTAGACCACTTGAATAGGACAGGACCCTTCAACTGTGTTTACATGTTTTTAGGGCGCTCAAGGGCTTCTCTCAAGAGATTGATAGACTGAAAACAAAACTCAATTCGCCATAGACGAAGCCAGGACCGTCTACAAGCATCCCTGCTTTGCAGGTCTTTTCTTGATGCGCCTGAGTTACGAGGGCACCTAAGGCTCCAAAGCCCAGAGAAGCGCCAGACTCAGAAGGATATATAAGGAGATTGGAGGGGGTTGCCAATAGCCTGAAATCCTTTGCACAAACGAGTGAGCGTAACTCACGCATGTGCACCAAAGCAGGATCAGTAGAAATCTCCCGCCAGTGCCAGAGCAACCTGTGAAGTAGACATGCACGCAACGACGCAGACGACAAAAGGAAACACAAGGCTCAATTTTTTTTGTGGCTGCTAACTTCACACATACACATTGTTATAATTTTGCAAGGGCCACATCAGCTACCAGCAGAGTGTAGTTATAACAAAGGCGGACCCATTCCCACTGCTGTCCATCTTGACAGGTCCTTGGCTGTGGCATAGAAAATGTCATAGGAATTCAGCAGTGATCCGCCAATTCACAGGTTGATCGCGGGAGTGTGAAGCCGCCGCCGGCAGTGGAGGAGACGTACAGAGGAGTGGCCGCGCCCTCACGCCCCAAAGTCAACGCCGCGCCGGAGGCCATCGAGATGCCCCGGGTGAGGCGCCCTGTATAGTGTCTTCAGGGAGTACGTCGGTTTAGGGTTTGAAACTTTTTCATTTAGGATTTATTTTATTTTAGTTAGGGTTTAGGGTTTTTCTGTTCAAAGGCAGCTAATTTGATATTTGTTGTTGCGATCGGACGTAGCTTCTTCTCCTTTTCATATATCAGGTGTTGAATGTGACTGCTGCACCAAAGTAGGCAGGCTTCTCGTTGCTTTCTCCCTGGCCAGGTCTGCATGCCATGTAAGAACATCCATAGCAGAGCTGCAATGTTCATGTGCATGCGTTTTCGCGGCTCATTGGACCGTGCTTGCTTTTGATTTCTTCCTGCCCAATGTCTGTCCTGCCTGCCGCTAATCAATATAATGCCATTGTTCAGCAAACCGTTTTGGGATTCTTGCCCCGCTTGCAGGGGTTCCATGGCGCCCATAAATATAATAAATAAAAAATAAATATAAATAAATAAATGAATGCAGTGCTTGATGTTTATCTCTAGCTGGTTGTCCTTTGCCTGACTGGGGCTGCTGTGGGACGCTGCAGTGGCTTGAGATCAAGCCGACGGACGACGACAAGACCAAGGCGAAGAAGAAGAAGCTGCAGAAGAGCTACAAGAGCAAGAAGAGGTTCCAGGAAATGGACATGGTGACCAAGAAGAAGCAGCAGTCCTGGCTTGACTTCAAGTCCGGCAAGGGCGCCAAGAAAAAGGTGCGCTCACTGCCCTGCACCTTTTGCATCTACTACAGACTTATTTTCCTTTTGTTCAGGCAATCCTGAAGCAAAGCCGAGCAAAGCTGAAGCCGCAATGCAGGGGAGGTATTAATGCATTTGCTTTGTTGCATCTCAGATATTGGCAGAATTGTGTGCGATGTTGAGCGGTTGTTGCTCAAATCCACATGTGCAGTGCTCATATGGCTGAACACTGGCATTGCATGCAGTGCAGTCTCAAGCATGCAATGGTGTTGCTCGAGAATGCACTGTAGGTATCCCATTGAGCAGGACACATGAGAGCCCGCTCCAATGCTGGTGTGCAATTGCGGCTATTTAGAGCTGACCATTTAGAGATCCCGATAAAGAATGTGGTGATCTCTGACATGCCAGAGTTGGCAGCAGGAGGGCATCATTGCCCTCTGCAGTGCAGTCTATATCTGAGTGTTTGCTTTTGAGTGCTGTGCAGACGGGCTTCCTGTCGACCACAAAGAAGGGCAGCATCTTTTCAGTTCCGGATGGGCCTGGGGGCAAGGTGGGAGTGGTGGGCTCTGGCAAGGGGATGACTGATAACCCCACCTTTGTCAAGCATGACTACAGCGCTGTCGGCCAATGATACGTGCTGAAGGCTGCAGAAGAGTCTTCTACCCTGTTGGCTGCAACAGAATTCACCTCGTGGCAGCTACATATGTACAAGAGCCATTGTTTGGGTGATCGATTGTTGAAAGAATAATGACTTTTTTGCAAAGGTGTTTCACCGGGAAGCAATGACCTCTTTTGGTAAGCACCATGAGCGTTACATCCTACCTCTTATATGCGCTTCCAATGCCAGCCATACCAGACCACCGACTGGCTGTAAAATTGTATCTGCAGACTATAGAGTTAGGAAGCAAGCTCAAAATTCACAGTGTTGCCTCGTGTCTGTATCTACAGATGCCTTCAGATAATCAAGGGCCATCTAACTTCTATTGGCCATTGGTTTACTAACCAATATTATTAGCACAGGAGCTCTCTGTGTTGCTTATGACATGTTCAAAACATAAGCAGCCTGTCCGGAAAAGTCTCACGAGCTACCGATCTGCTTCATGACCAGCTTGGGCCGCAGCGTGACACAGTCAGCGTTGACAAGCCCGAGTGCGCAGATGGCACGCCCCCCCACGGGCATCACATCCACATTCACCACCCACTCGGGGTTCTTCAGATCCACCGCGGCCATTGCGCCACCCTGCGCTGTTCCCTCCGCAAACCCTGCCGCAGCCACCGCAATCCCCCTTTCCCTACTCAAAAACCCTTCGTTCCCTTTTTCTGCCCCAATCTCCTTCTGCTCTTCACTGCCATTTTCACTGCCAGCTAACAGCCTTTCATCTTCGTCTTCTCTGTCCCTCTTGCCGCTAGTCAAGGCTGCACCATTGGACTCAGGAACACCGCTGCTGTGGCCGTTCTGCCGCTCTAAACTGGCATTGCCAGATGGCACCGCTGTGGATATCTCAGCAGCAGCAGAGGTCGGCTTCTGCCACATATGGTCGGCTGCGGCACCGTCCGACGGCGTTCCTGCTGCTGTGCTGTTTGATGGCGTTCCTGCTGTAGCCGCGTTCGACAGCGTCCCTCCGGCAGCGGCCGGCTCGGTCGTGCGCGATCGGTACGCGATGGCAAAGCGCAGCGTGGGCGCCGCTGACTCATCCTTATCTCTTCCTGTGCTATTCTGCCTTGCCTCGCTGCCAGCCTCTACTTTCTCCTCGTGCCCTATGACACTCCCATGTACCTGCGCCGTGGCCTCCCCCGACTGCAGCTGTGGCTGAGCTGCGGTGGTTGCACTGGATGTGAGCATGGCTGCCGTATGCTGTGCAGCCATGATCAGCACTGCAGCGCGGATGTGGGCCTCTGTTGCGCCGCAGGTGGTGTGGATTGGAGAGATCCTCTGCACATGCCTGCACACACCCACACACACCAGGATGTCAAATTCTGGATGCAGGCAAGGCATGCTTCTACCACCATAGCCCCTCTGAAAAAGATTCATACCCTACCACCTGGACACTTGGGCGGATGCAGGTCAGGCCTTGACAAGCCAGCCACCAGCATTCAATCCGAATACTCCCTTTTAGACTGCGCTGCAAGCAGCCCTCCCTCAAATATTCTAATGATGCAAGAGGTGATTGTGTTATGTGATTGTGTTAGGCCTGTAAATGCCACTCAGGGGAAAGCAAATTGTTCCTCACTTCAGGCGTGCGCGGTCGCCGCTGCTAATCTGCCGAATGAGGTGCGCCACAACATCGGCCGGCGACGGCAACCCCGGCCGCTCGCCGCCGCAGCCGTCACTGGCGTTGTGGCCTGCTGCCTGCCACTGCAGCAGCAACACTCCCCGGCAAGGGAGCTTGACGATGGAGAATGCCACATTTGGCGCGCTAGGCGCCACCTCCCTCAAAGAGACCTGCAGCGCTTCCATCGCCTCCCTTGTTGCACTCTTCTCCCTGCAATTATTCGCAGTACGCACCCATTTCTCACATGAAAAGTAACTCGCGATGCCTACCAGTGACTATATGACGTTTTCTGGACGTTTATACGCCGCAAGAAAGTACATTGGTCATTGAGATGGGTTGCAGTCACCTCCTGAACTGGCATGTGACGATGAAGCCCTGGGATCCCTCGGCAATGGCGTCAGCAGCTCGGTAGTCAAATCGACCCAGTTCCTTGAATGAGTAGCCTGGAGTGTCATCCAGCCTCCGCTGCTTGTTGCGATGGAGCTCTGGTGCAGGTCGCCGCATCTCCTGCACAATTCCCTAACTTGTGAATTGTCCCCTGCTGTACTCATGAATTTAGTACCATGTAACAATGATGCATCGGATATGACACTTGCAGTGCACATTGCCCAGAAATTTCGTCGTTGGCCAGGCCAGATCGGCTGGACATCCGAAAAGGGGCTGGCAAAGAAACTGCTTGTTTGTGCAGAGGTGCAAGTGCAGGTATTGTACCCTTTCTGCTGCCCTGATGAGATCCTCATCCATCGTGCTCCAATGCTGAATGCGGAAGTATACGATGGCCACTGCCGATGCAAGAGGTCTACAAGGACACTGCCTTGGCGCAATCAGGGAACATGCCTTTCTTACAACAAGAAGCCAGGTCTGCTGACACTTTGAGATCAGGCGGAGGTTTGAGTGTGCGATCAAAACCGATTGTCATCTATGAGCTCAATATCTCAGGAGATACCGAATGATAAGACCAAGAAATTGCGGTTATGGCATCCATGGAGCTTCCATAGCTCAGTGGTAGAGCGTTGGTCTTGTAAACCAAAGGCCGAGGGATCGATACCCTCTGGGAGCATTATCATCTTTTCCTAAATTTTTGCGTTCCTCACTTGCCTTGAGCATCTTGCCGTGCTCAACATCACGCACATCACAAAAGGCTAGAAGCCTCCTGCAAACCAAAGAAAAATTGCTTTGGCGGTGCCGCACGGCATGCGGCATTGCGGCCGTGTGCGGCATGTCATGCATGGTGCTTTAGAATCACCATCATGGTTGTGACGAACAGGTGCAGCTTATCGTAAGAAGATGTTCGCCTTGTGAGAGAACCAACTATCTCTTGGACAACCTCAGGAATCACGTTTGCAAGGAGACAAATATGAGTGCAGTGGGGAAGAAGCTGGTCTTTTGTTGGCTGGTGCCTTTATCTGGACCCGCATTGGGACTCGTGCCACTTGAATTTTCAGCTGTTCCGCACAATACCAAGCGATTCAGGGGAAGAGTAGCAAGTGAGTGAAATTCCTTGGGGCCATCATTTCTAGTTCTCCGGCAACACGATGGGTTGCCGCGGCGGCTGCGACGCATGCGCGCCAGCCTCACCGCTGCCGGCAAGATAGGCCTCTGCACCTGAGTGTGCTTGCACCGTACATAGAAATGACCGTAAGGTGCACAATATATCTCCTAGCTGTTATAAAAAATAAAGAGAATACTTCATATGAGGGCAGGTACTGCCGCCGGGAATCGGTGATAAAGGATAGCGGGGCATCGGAGGGAAGGATGTTGCCATGCCCATTCCAACCCAGAACACTAGGCGCATGCTTGGCAGAGTGGAGCAATAGTACCACTCCCAAGATATTTACACAAGATGACTGCATGCATGCTTTGCCATGATCATATATGATCATGGACACATGGGATATGAGATAGGGGATATATATATGACAATGATGAGACATGGCTGTCCCACGAAGACAGGCGGCAAAAACAGCTTCTGTTTGGAACTAAAGAAGGGCCAGGCAGAAGAAGCAGGCCCGTCAAATCCTGATATGATTGTATTAGGGATGACCTGGACTCCATTGAATTGACATACCATTGGTGGAGAAAGTGCCAAGACAGAAAAGGCTGGAGGGGAAGTATTGAGAGCAAGTTGCTGCAACGCACCTAGCCCTGAGGGCTGGAACAAGCATGCAATAATAATAAGAATAATCTAAGCTGACAGCACTAATCAGCGTGCCTCTACGATTCCTGGGATGATCTGAACTTTTCATCCAGGCCTCCTAGGAATACAAAAGGTACCTTGTTCAGGTGTGATACATATGTAAAAATGATGTTGCTCAGCAGTGAAGTCCCCACTCAAGATACACTGTTCACACCATCCCTTTGCCCTTCTGCACCATTCTATTTAACATATAATTTCAGATCTACAAAGCTGCTACAAAAAGCTCTCATACCAGCTGCAAATTGTTGTCAAACTTGTGCTATATACACCCGCGTGCATTCTCTTCTTTCCCCATACGTTCATGATGTGTTCCTTACGTTCAGCTCAATTCTTGGGACAGGATCAAAATCCTGACAGCTGGGCCAAAAATATTTGCAAAGACATGGCCTCAAGCGCTGCAGCTTTCATACATTGTCCCCTAGCCAGCTGGCTGCAGCCCACGCCGATAAGACTCGCACAACAGTGTGCGGGGATTGCTCCAATTAACTAAATGGATCTATGCCAGGCACTTGGGCTTCAGTTGAGGGCAGGCGTGCCCAGGGTGTCGCAGGCAATAGCCCATCTACACAAAGCCTTCAATTCCTGCGGCGGATGTCCAGAGCTGGATTTCCAACGCATTTCACTGCCGCTGGATCTGCCTATTCTGGCCTATGACCATTCGCAGGGACGCCTCCAGGCTGCCGTCTATCCAGCCCACCGCCTGACCATGCACACCCGAAACTCAACCGAACAGCCTTTCATATCTGCAGGGATGTGAGATGCTTTTGCATTGTCAAGAGCCCAGCAAAGCCAGTCCGCAGCAAAGCCAGCATTCTGCCCCCGGCCTTGCCCGACATGGCCGCCACATCACAAAGACTTCCCTTCAGGGGTCGGCACAGGAGAACGCAGCACAGAAATCAGACGAAGGGGGGACACTGCAAGGGACAACGCCACAAGTCTCTTCATGGAAGGGATGCTTCAAGGGACCAGGGGACTCTAAATTAATCGACTTCATCAATTTTTAAACAAGCAAGTACGTTACCTTGATCTGAAGTCCCTTGTGGGCACCAACGCAAGGGGCTTTCATCATGCCAATTATGACTGCAACGGTCACAGAATGCTGACTGGGCATCACCTTTACCAATTACTAAGCAGGAGGAGTACCCAACCACATCAAGATCATGGTGTGGTAACCAGATTCAACAAGATTAGTAAGAGGCACGGTGCGAGGGGCGTACCTCCACGAGCTTGGCCTCCGGTTGGCGCTGGGCGGCTGCCGCGAAAGCAGCGCGCAGGGCGGCGGGCAGGTCGATTGTGAGAACGGGGGATGCCTCCGCCAGCACGGCTCGGCGCAGCAGCAGAGCGTCTCGCTCCGAGCGCGAGGCCTGCATCTCTGCTATGCTGCGCCGGATATCTTCTCGGTCCTCCTGCATTGGGGAAAAGTAGAATCAAGCACAGCTGGAACAGATGTTCTCAGTATAGGTTGTTCCTGTCGTTTGAAGTAGCATGTGTCTTGAAGTTGTGGGATAGAGGCTTAGAGTGAAAGAAGCATGGTCAGGCAGCACGCTGAGAAAAAGCTCAATCCCAGAAGCAGCAGCAAGCTGGCAAGCCTGAAAATCTGCCCTTTGTCTTGACACCTTGGGCTTTCGATTGCAACTGTCGCCAAGGTGCACTTCTTAAAGTCATGCCTGAAAAATACACATTCCGTGCTGCTCAATCAGTCACCCACAACACGCCTGCCCCAGCCGGGTGAGACTCTACCAAACGTCCCTGGCACAAGAGGATGCAGAAATCACCTGAAACAGGTTTTCCTCCTCTATGGAGCGCAGCGACAGCGCGAAAACGCGCGCGAGCCGGCCCGGGTCATCAGACAGAGCGGGGCTGACGCCGGCGCACACGAATGCGCAGAATGCAGCGGCCGCGGATCGCCGTCGGAGACGGCCCATGGCCGCCATCGCAGGCACGCCCAAGATCTCCTCCAGGTACCTGTGTGGTCACAAGAGCTTGCATTCCTCATTAGGTGCAACCATAGAGGAGGCAGCTTGTGTCTTTCAGCCATGCATTTGCAGGCAGGAGGGCTGTCTTTATTTCTGATCGGACTCTTGCAAAGGCGACAGAAGCATTGCATACGAAAACTCGGCTGATACTATGTTGCCTGTCATTCTAGCTGCATAGCAGGAACGCTTGGAATGCGACTGGCCTGCTTAAAACCATCTGGCAGACCCTCTGATCCTACAACTTCAGAGGGCATCACAAGCGCATCTCGCTTGCGCAGTTTCGGTGAGTATCAAGCAAGGAATCTGCATGTTTCACTGTTGTTAGCGTTGCGGAGAGCCAGGCGTCCACCACGCTCCCAGTGGCATCGGGCTTATTGGCCGGGACAGAGTGTAAATCGCGGTTGATCGAATCACACCAAAGCCTGGATATATCTTCGTCTCTACCCGAACCTATATCTGACAAGTCAAATTCTTAGGTGCACAATCACCCGGTGAGCGCGGCAGAGGGCCCAGCGTCGAAGACCCGCCCAGCCGCATCGGGGTCGGCACAGAGCGGCCAGCGTATTTAGCTCAACTAGATACATCTCTACCACCACCTTGTCCTGTGTCTCACATGCCGTGGAATGCTGCACACTCACCTGGTGAGCGCAGCAGAGAGCCAGGCGTCGAAGAATCTTCCAGCGGCTTCAGGGTCGTTGCCCGGCAGCAGCGGCGGCAGCGCGGCCGGCCGCGGCAGCAGGACTCGGCCCAGCACTTCTAGCAGCCCCTCTGCAATCGTCACCAGCGGCTGTGGCACGTCCTCCGCCGCCATTATCGGCGCGCACACCGCGGCAGCCATCGCCCTGCGCAGCATTTCATGCCTTTATGAGTTTCTGCGCACTTCATGCAAGAGTAGCCCCTGGCACCCCTTGAACGGTCAATGAATTGGGAGGATGTACCATGCTGTTGCGGTCACAGAACTTGCTCGATAGGTTCTCCTGTTCCTCTTATCTGAACTCTGCAGCCATCTTCTCCCTACAGTGCGCAACTGGCAGCTGGTGGGCAACTGGCAACTGTCAACTGGTGCGCCTTCTGGCCAGAACAACAGGTAGGTTGGAGTTGCATGCCTCTCAGGCAGTCTTGACAACTGGAGAATATATTTAAATTAAGCCTTTTTCTTCAATGCACAAGCCACCATAGCAGAAAGGCAGCAAAGGCTACGCCCACTTGGCATCATTGGCACAGCCCACATGATAGCAGACAGGAGCCCTCAGCCATCATCAGGAAAGCGGCAATCGATGCCAAGAGCACAGTGCATGTCACCAACAGTGGAATCCGGAGTAATGCTGCCCGCACGATTCTAGATCATGTGTCTTGCTATTGCCGTGGCATCAATGTCTCTTTACATCATCATTGACACAGGTGACGGGTCAAATTGACTCACAATGTGACCCCAACTCTTCCCACGTGCAAGGGGACCTGAGGAGAAGAGCCGCATAAAATGGAAAAAATGCCACACCTGAGGCTGGGCTCGAGGGGCTGCAGGGCGGCGTCCCCCAGCAGCTGCACTAGCACTGTGATGAGGCTGCTGCCGGCCAGCGCCTCGCCCATTGCCTCCCGCGACAAAAGCCCGCCCCGCTGCCCTGTTTTGACAACACGCACACGCGATCAGTCGCCCCTCTTCCAGCACAATGGAGATGGCAAAAAGATTCCGCACAAGACTCTGCAGGTGTTCAGGCCGGGTTTGATCTATGTGAATGGAGAGGTGCTGCAGCTTTGTCTTCTTTCTGCAAAAGCGAATCCCCTGCCGCGTGTCCGCCACCCGACTGTGCAGAGTATGGCAGAAGTGGTAGGCGGGAATGTCTTCAGAATTTCAATTTGAATGCGCACCGGGCTTTGGCGGCTGCGGCGGCTCGGAGGCGGCGGCCAGCTCGGCCTCAAGGGCGGCCATGGAGCGGTGCAGGCACGCAAACAGCGTCCGCTCATACGGGAGGAAGAGTTGCGCGCCGCCAAGAAGGGCAAAGGACTCGAGCGCTGAGTAGACGGCCGCGTTGTCCCGGCCCCGCTGCAGCACCGCAAACAGCGCTGGCAGCAGCGCCTGCAAGAGGAGGATTGCACGACTGTCAGTGTATGGGAAATCCTTTTCCTACCATTGCATATGTTCCAGGACACTTCAGAGGTAATGGCGACAAATTGCAGACAATGGAAAGTTTCCAGTGGAAATTGCACATGAAGACTGGACGTACAGGGCACAACCAAACCAAAAAGCATTCTTGGATTCAGTCTTATTTCTTGGTGCACCCTTGCAGCTTTTTTGAGTGGCTGCATCATCAGCTAAAGGGGGCTAAAGTTTTGATTAGGTGCATGGCCCCACCAGCAGCGGCGGGGGTAACTCAGCCACGCTGCCGAGTGTGGCAGTGAGTAATCGCAGCCCCTCCTCCACCAGAGTCTCGCTCTCCGCGCTGCCCACGTCCAGCGCCGTGCCCAGCAGCGGCCACAGAACGCCCCCGAACTGCGCACCAACCACACACCTAATGGGTTTAAGGTAGGGTTTTATTTTTATTTTTTTTATACCCTATAACCCTACACCCTAAACCCTAAGAAAATATAGACCAGACCTTCAGGCCCCGCAGGTGTGGCTGCAGACACTCTGTGTGTATGCCCTATTGGCTTCGGGCCTTAGGTTTGCCGACACTGTAATAATAATAACACACACATAATGCTCAAGCATCCCATTGCCATGCTGGCAGGTGTCACAGCACCCTCCAAAGCTGCCTGCACACCCCATGTGTGTCAGGTGGATCTTTGTTTTAATTTGCAGAGCTCAAGTACCAATGCGCAATCATCTGGGGTCTTTGCCAATGTGGCAGCGGCAGCAGCACAACCCCATGCTGCATGGCAAAGATAAATGGGGATCAGACATCTGCTGATGTCACATGCGCACGCACGAATAGCATGAAATAGAAGCATGTGAACCCCAGAACTCCGATGAGCTGTTGACTAAACGCTGACTGCAGGTCTCCAAGCTGCACTGCACACAATTGGCCAGACCCTACAGAGACGCACAAGCAGTGCCAAACTCTTGTTATCGATTAAGAACAGAGAGTAGAGCAGTTCTCTTCAGTATTCCGTTACCCTGTTCTGAATCTGAAGTGCAGAATCCATATGGCATAGGCACAGGCTGTTGTGACAGCACCTTCGAGACCAATTGCCCAATTTTCAGGCTGTGGAAATGTATCTGTAATGTGCAGCGACTGACAAGAATTGAGAACATTCCCATAACCTTGGGTCAGCATAAAGAAGTCATAAAGGGATGCGTTGTCCTGGAATGATTATGTCAAGACAGGACCTGGCTTCTCTTGGTTTATCTCTGACATGGTGGAGGAAAGCCCAAGATAGAGAAGGTTGGAAGACTGTCATAGAAACGCTGCTGCGACGCACCTGATCCTCATGGATTGGAAAGGCGTGTAATAATGATAATAACAGTAAAAAGGGATGCATTCACCCAACTTGTGTCAGGGAGGCCTGCACAACATGGCCCCATCATGCATTTCTTCTAGAAGAACTTTTCTCATTGGCAGGCAGAGTGTTAGGAAGGGTTTAGGGTTTAGGGTGTTTAGGGTTTAGAAATTTCTTAGGAAGGGTTCCCTAGGAAGGGTCACCGACCTGAGGGTCTCTCAACGCGCGGCTGCCGAGGCGAGTGACGACGTGTGTCACCACTGCTATGAGCGCGCTGTGCAGCCGTGACAGCGCGCCCGTCTCAGACTGCGTTGCCTCCTGCGTGGCGCTCCACACCTGCAGCAGCAACAGATCACGCAAATTCTGACACTGACATTACCACACCATCACAAAGAAGTGAATCGAGCCTGAATACATGTGCATCATGAATCTTGCGGCTGCCATGAGGCCAATGCGGCAATATTGAGAGCCTTGAAAATGCTCCCAGGCAGAAGCACACTGGTCTGGCACAGGGAGCCACAAAGTGGTACACTCTATCTAGAAGTTGCAGCCAGCAGTGAAGACTAGCAAGCGTGCGGGCATCGACAGACCACAGTCTGCGCATGGCCAGCAAGTCTTCAAGGTGACAGATGCACTGGCAACAATTGCCACCTGTCAAGACGCGCTGGCAATATGGACACAGCCTATTGAGAGCCCGAGGGTACCACAGACAGAAACCAAGATCTCCACATGCTCAATGCACCATAACAGAATCAATCGCTACTGTACAATTTTGCTTCCTTTCACGGCACACTGGTGACATGGAGACGGCCTGCCAAAGCCCAGGAGCACCACAGACACAGATAAGGATGACTTTCACCGGCATGCATGTAAAGGCAATTCTCCGATTTATTTTCACGCCTTCCTGAGACTGTTTCCTAAGTCATACACCCTCCAACTGTTCGGACAGATTTTATACCGACATTGTCTGCAGAAGCTCGTCGCCTCTGGCAGGATGGCTGAGCGTGTAATAGGATGAAAACGAATTGCCCGCAGTGCGATGGCACATGGGCATGTGCAGGCATGTGCGCGCACCTGCGGGAGCGCTGACGCAACCGCTCCGAGGTGCGGCTGCGCTGAGTCGCCCAGGACCTCGACTGCCACGGAGACCAGCTGCAGAACTCGCACCTTGCTCTCCGCCTCCTCCAACCTGTTGCATGCCATCAGCACAATGTGTGACTGGAATAAGACTCACTCAGCAATGCGAGTGAGGTAGTGTAATCCACCGGACCCTGAAGCGCCTGCTTGACCTGCTGAATATGAACACCTGGTAGGAAGGGCGGGATGCAGTGACAGGCCTGGCTCGGTCTTGTTCTCCCCACACAATCAGCAGAGCACTTGATCAAGTTATATAGTCACCATGTCAAAGAAAGCTAGGAACCTCTTTCCCCTCACGAGCTGTAAACTTGATCCTCCTATTTTGCTGCGTAGGAAGCCGGCGCAGGAAGAATACGCGGCTTTCTAATCACTGCTGGTTCACTGCAGTGCTTCGGTCCGAGCAAGCCGATGTATGCTTCCTTGGGAAGGGAGTAGGACAAGTCTTTCCGATTGAGGCCTTGCAGTAAAGCAGGATTCTAGACCCACTGAAGCATTTACTGGCCACACAGGGGTACCCAACAAACTAGCCTTTATGCGCAGCATTGCCTATTGTTAGGGTTTAGGGTTTATATTTAGGGTTTAGGGTTTTCTTTTAAAGGCCTTGCCACGCAACAACTGCAATTAGGAATTGTGGGCTGACCAGCTGGAAACCAGGCCATTTAGTGGATGTCGCCGGTTCTCAAGTCGCTGATGCCTTTGACTGTTCCAGTCCTTCGGCTTGAGCGACGGGAACAAATACAAGTGACTGGCTGTCCCTTTGCAAGGCCAAGAAAAACAATGAGAACCCTCTGCATCTCAATATTCAGGCAGAAGAGGACTCCCAATTCCTAGCCTTGCAATTAGGCAGGCTCATTTCAGCCTGGACCTACCCCCTTGCCAAAACATGCAGCGCCCTGAGCATGCTGCAAAGCACTGGCTGCAACTTTGGGGCTTCTGTTTTCCGCAACCCTGGCAGAACGCAGGAAATCTCACATGTCAAACGCGCCTGCAAAGTGCTGCAGCAGAGGCAGAGCAAAATGCAAGCTTACCTGTTGAGCAGCCCGAACAGCGCAGAGAAGAGGGCAGTCGCTCCTGAAGTCAGTGCGGCAGTGCGAGCCTCGTGGTCCTGCAATCAAAACCAACACATGCGCCTCAGATCTGACATCCCATAAATCCTCAGCACAAAGTCTTCAGACAGCGATTGCATGACATATTGAGCTGACAGAGGTTCTGGCTGTGTCCATAATAGATTGAGGAGCGGCTGGCGCGGTGGGAGGTATTTCATCCCGTGCACATGATCAGCCGCACAGTCAAGAGTCACTCGCTGAATGCCGATCCGGATTCCAGTCACAGAAACGGATGTCTGAGGGCCATCATACAGTCAGCAATGCAAGGGGCCTGCAACAGGGAAATTATGTTGGTGCAATTTCTGACACCTACAAGGCAGCCTTGCTTCCTTTTGTGGGCGCTCGCTCTGTCTTCATGTCTGCATTCAGTCGTGGCGAAGTACGTGAAATGCTGCATGCAGATTGATAAGAGAGCCAGCTGCTGCATATGAATGCCGAGGGCCATGAGGGCGTCTGGAGCCTGTCAGCTGGGCGTTGGCAACCAACAAGGCGTTGGCAACCAACAAGCCCCATAGTGGCAGACCCGATGGCCCGGACACACCGAACATTCGCCAAAAAGGGCGCCTCGCCTGAAATGTAGAAAACACACCGAACAGAAATCACTGCAGCAGTGTCACAAGGAAGAGAGCTGCATCATTTGCCTGCTACCAATGTGGCAATAGGCAATGGGCGGATCTCCAGAACCGCTTCAATGGGTCCCGACCGCCAAAGAAGCCCAGTCCAGCAGTTCTGCACAATCGCACATTGCCCACTTTGCACACATGGGCACGTGGCAGCCTTTTTAAGACAAAGACGTACCTGCACGGCTGAAGGGTCTTCTGCGGCGGCGTTGCGCTTGGAAAGGAAGATCAAGCCCAACCGCGCGTCGTTGGTGTTCTTTTTCCTCTCCTGAGCCTGCCGGATTGCCTGCGCAGTCACATTCTGAAGATTACTCATCAGACGCGTCAATAGCCAAATTTCCCAAACAAACGAGGCGTATTGAGCTGTCTGCAGGCAAAGCAACAATGTTGGAGACAACCTGCCACACTCATCACACCTACAAAAGTGGTAGTCCTCCTCGTCAATTGCCGCTGTGTCCGCTGACAACCTATTTGGGGGCCTTTCTGTTCTTCTAAGGGTGGGTGCTCCAAAAATCCTTCACGTGGATCTTGCCCACATGTTCTTGGACAAGCTAAGTCACAAATACCCCAAAGCCGGAGACAAACAGATTATACGTCTAGAAAGCACGGAGGTGGACAGCTGTCATAGGGATGGTAACCCAGGTCGGACCCCTTTGCAACCTCTAACAGCCAGAAGAACATCAAAACTCAGGCAGGCATGCAGACTTTTCTTGGCCTCTGATGTCCCTCTAATTCTCAACATTGCTTGGCTGTCAGGAAATCACAGGTAATACAACCCAAGAAATCATGCCCATGACTGTTAGTGGTGCACCACCTTGGTCAAGGCAGAAGACGCATGAGTCCAGCATGTATTCGGACATAAAAAAACCTTGAGGTGCCGTATATTGGCATGAAATCTGCGTAAAATGTCAATTGAGACAACACAAGGAAGAAGGAGTGCGCACATGCTGCTGTTCGAGGAGGGCGGTGCAGAGGGACATGGCGGCTGAGGTGGCGGTGAGGCCGAGCACGACGTCAGCGTCGGCGATGTGTGACGTCAGCGATGACAGAGCCGATGACCACAGCGCCGGCGGAAGCTCGCCCCCGCAGACGCCCACCAGCCACGCCGCGCGCGCCACCAGCACGCTCCGCTGCAGCCGCCCGGCACCTGCCGCCTGCCCGCTGCCGTTCTGCGCGCATGCAGACAAAAAATTACTGGTCACATATTGCACAAAAGCAGGCCATATGGTCATGTGTAGGTCTTATTTTTGGAACAGAGAAGGGCAGGCGGTCCCGCCGTTATATGTGCGTGGAGATGGATTGGCTAGTAGTCACAGGCAATCCAGAAATTGTCAGGCTTAGATGCACTTGCCCACGCACTTAAGATGCCGTGTCAGAAAGAACATGGACAGCTTTCGACTGCCCTCTACGTGTCTTTTGACAACTGAGCCAACAACTTTGGTTCTTTTCACAGGGAGGACAACATAAGAAAGCAGTCAAGCTGGGCTATCTCAGCATGGCCATCAGCATTTACACATCTGACTGTGACTGCCAGCAGGCAGGCAACCATCACTGCTCCGAGAATCATTCAGAGGTCTGCACATACTTGGGCCCAAAGCACCACCCATCACCCCGCAGAAGGAATGCAAGTGGAGATACGCTGTTCGTTTCAGAGACAGTCTTGCATCCCTTATTGGCTCCTCCACTGACAAAGAGGAGGGTCCCTAGGTGGGTTCACAGCGCACCTGCAGAAGGTCTGCTAGCTCGGAGGAGTACCAGGCGGGGAAGTTGACCTGCGCGGCCACGGCCGGCCGGAAGAAGCCCTCGCCAATCGCCCGGTACACCGCCTCTCGCGCCAGCACCGTCTCAGCCGACAGCGGGCCCGCCTGATCAGGCGCACGTGATGAGTCATATGTCAAGTAGGGATTATGTGAGATTACTCATGTTGCAAATGGTGAGCCTGCAATGACGCACACCATGTCAAGCAGCGCTCCCGCTGGGTCGGGCGCATGCAATGACACATTCTATGGTCAGCGCTGAGTTATCAACGCACATCAAAGCATTACCCCTCGCCAAAGCTTGTAAGAAAGACGGCTGCTCGTGCGGACACATTTGCCGCCCAGAAGCACCCTGCCAAATGCCTTTCAGATTACCTGATCATCCTCCGAAGCACACAGCATGCCATCCAGCCATAAGGGCATTCTTTGCAATGTGCAGGAGAGAGTGACGCAGATCTCTGATAGGCATGTGGCCGGGTGGACAGCAGCAGCCTCCCACAGCAGATCAAATCAATTCATAAAGCGGTTTTGCTGTGGAACCTCAAGTCTTGCTGTGCCTCCAGTAAGCTCATCCTGGCATTAGTACGAGTAACATGTAGTAATGAACAAGCTGGACCTGCAGCATGACGGCCAGGGCGACAAGCGCGGCGGCCTTCAAGGAACCTCTTCACAACTTGACAGGAATATCAGAGGGAGGGAACAGCATCGGCCAACTGCACTCTTGAAACAATCTTTTTGAGCCCAACCGTCAAAGCTAGGCCTGATCCCTTATCTTCACAGCAGAAAGAGAGAGAGTGAAAAACAAACCTGCAGCTCGGCGGCCAGAGGGGTGTGGGGCTAGCCTCTTGCAAGAGAGCTGGCAGGATGTCCGACAAGCTCAATCTGTCTAGCTTACCCATTGTGGCAGCGTGGAAGATTGACATTTATAAGTCAGCACCGAGCCACCAACGCACCAAATAGGGTTTTAGGATTTAGGGTTCAGGGTTTAGGATTTAGGGTTTACCGAAAGAAGCAAAGAAGATATGAAAAGGCGCGCACCTGCAGCTTGGCAGCGAGGGAGACGAGCGCGGCGGCTACGGTGTCGGGTCCGCGCTTGAGCATGCAGATGAGCAGTGCCAGTCCGCACGGCCGCGGCGTGTCCGCGTCAGGGCTGCTCTCCACGTCCGTCGAGCGCACATAGCCCTCCGGGTTGTCCTGCAATCGCAGCAGAGCGCACCTCAAAGTGTCACGAATTAGATCCACAAATCATGATTTCTTGAAGTTTGAAGGTAGACGCATGGTGGCTGGGGGTCTCTCAGGAAGTCACACAGACATCAGGACACACTTGTCACTCATGGACCTAAGTTTGCTTTCGTACAACCGTCCCGAGTGACAAAGCATTTCTGTTCTTTGTGCACTGCCCGGGCATCTACAAGGTGGAAGAAGAGTCTCCCGCAAGCCCACTGTAGGTGATTGGGAGGACTGCAGAAGACCATCAGAGGTAAGACAAGAAGAACTTCCACAATCGGAGGGTCTGTCCTCTCCAGCCACCACGAGAAAAGCAAATGCATGCGTAGTCATCCCTCGACTGAAGGCTGACTCACCTGCCACTCCTGCAGCTCTTCCGGAGTCAGCGCCACGTACTTTGTTACCACGGCCTCCACCAGGGCAGCGCACTGCTCCGCGCTCAGCATCTTGTCCACAGCCGCGACCGCCTTTTCCAGAGACTCCTTCGTCTCGCGCCCCTTTTCCGGATCCTCCTGCTCCGCCTCTGCACCGGGCCATTGCATGCATGCGCCAGTCAGTGCATGGCGGCAAGTCATGGCAAGCATGGTAGACATTATCCAACCACAGGCATTATATAGATACTGATCAAGTGCTCTGCAGAAAGGCAGTACGCAGCTGGGTCCTCTATTAGCTAACTTCTGTTGGATACGCCAAACAAGATCTTCTAATTCTGGAAAAGCCAGATGGGGCAGGGCACTAGGCAGCTTGTGGGTGTTCTCCACCAATTGCTGCCCAGACAGGTCCTGGGCAGAGCTGATGTAAAACGCCCACATGCTGACAGTAGTCCTCCCAAAATATTTGCTGGGGAAGTCTTCCAGCAACGTGGCATGCAGGCAAACATGCACAGAGAGGCTCCCAAATCAGCCAACAGCATCTCACAGAACAAAGCTCCACCTCTCGCAGTGCGGCCCTCCAGCCACGAGCTTGTGTAGTAGGGGCAGAGCAGCACGCGCGCCAGGAACCTCGTCAGCAGCACTCGCGTCTTGGGCCGCACGTGCTGCAGCGCCGCCGCGTCCAGAGCCACCAGAGCCGCGTGCCCGTAGAATGCCAGGAAGGCAGGCAAGAATCGCGCGAAGCCGACCGGCTGCTTGTCAAGCGCGGCGAGCACGCACTGCAGTGCGCGCTCAAATGACTTGGCGGCCGTGCCCACGCGTTCCCTCTCGGCCGCCGCCGCCGCGCCGGCCCCGTTGCCTGCGCGCATAATTTACTAGTGTTGGCTTTTATTTGTTTTTATTTGAGGTTCCCGAGGAATGGTGCCGGCGTCAGATTATGCAAACTTAGAAATTCATGAGACTGCCAGCTTGGGGCCACTTACAAGGGAAGCGCCTAGAAGCTTTGCATGTCAGACCGGCAGTCTGTTCCTTGCACAGTTCGTGGCCTACGCTGTACCTTGAGTGTTGCGTTACCATCAGCCATTCAGGATGCACAAGCACCCTCCATGGGGTAGCTGCAATACAGTGCGAGATGGTCCCCTTGACTAAATACATTCCGTCAGTGGCAGGGACTGCAGCGGGGTCTGACAGGTGATGGACACGCCACTCTAAGGCACCATAGCACAGAAACAGCACGAGAATCAAGGCACATGTCATGCACATGTTGTGCAATAATAGCAGGCAGAAAGTGAAGCGATTAGGACGCGACGAGGAATATTTGGCAAAATTGCATTTTGAGATAGAAGTACGTCCTGGTAGCCAGCCCGATCCTACCATCGGAAACCGTCACAAACCCCAGTGGTGTATTGCAGATCAAATTCTGCCATGACCATGGCTGGATACTTATCAATTACCCCTGGCAACTCAACATGTGTTGCCATTCCCGGCATTGGGTGCATACAGGAGTCTGAGGCTCCAGTGGGCAGGAGAAACGTAGGAAAGAAACATGAGGGGTTCTTCCTTCTGCCTACTACTTTCAAAACAACTGACAAGCTGCCACATAGGCAGGGCCAGTAGTGCCTTCATGCATATTCCTGCTTTGCATGTCACGTGAGAGAGTGCCCTACTTCAGAGGTCATCTGGGGCCTAGAGGTCCGGGGGAATGTACAAGTGTGTGTCGAGGGGGGTAGCATTGGAGCCTGACAGCCCACCTGGAACGAGCATGGTGACAGTGGCAGAGGAGCCTTGGTGCAGGGCTTCCAGAAACTGCCCAATGTCGGGCAGCAGAGGGTCCCAGTCAGGCAGCAGCAGCAAGAGCTCGCGCAGCACGTGCAGTCCCCTGTTAGCCAGCCGCCCTCGCTCGGCCCAGCCGTTTGCTCCCTGCAATGTAAACAATCAACATTTCATGCGTTGCATGATGTCGGGCTCCCCTGAAGTGCAATTTTGGCTGATGTGATGCACATAGGGTCCCCAAGCAGAACTAAAATATTAAAGAGCTTTGGCACCTCCCCCGCTCTCATCTGACAAAAAAAATGGAGACCTGGGCCTGGGCAACCTTAATCCCCTCTGGGTGACCTTCACTGGTTTGGATACCCATCCAAATGACCCATATGAAGTTTTCAAGTTCCCTCAGGTACTCAGAAGCGCCCACGGATGCATCCCAAAAAGGTCCACCCAGGTGTTCAATGCCAGGAGGGGGGCACTGCTCAAGAAACTCACCTGCGCGGCTGCGGCAAAGTGGGCGCGCCATTCTGCGGCAACTGGAGGGAACGTTGCTCGCGCGCGCTCGTTCATGGCCGCCCGCTCCGCCGCGATGCGGTCCGCCAGCGGCTTCAAATCTGCGCTCGCATGGTGAGTCAGCGCTCAGTAGCCAATGACCAGTAAGAAACCCCTGAGCCTGCCCCTGGGGTAAAGATCACCCTGAAGCATGCAGCAGCGAGCCATCCCCGCCTTCATTAGAGGTGTGAATAAGTGCTTAGTCACCATTTGGTCATGAAAACCCAGCAGATCTCGCCGCAGCCTGCTCATCATAATCAGCCACCGCACGTCTGAGCCTGTTGCTGGGCTGATGAGCACCCAAAAGCATGCAGGAGCTGCCGAGGACCCCCTCTCGATAGAGGTATGCACGTACTGACTTCAGGCATTCTCAGACTCTGAAACGAGGCGGAGGACACAACTCACTGCTGCATGCTCACTGCACTGGCAATAAAGCCCTGAATGCATCCCTGAATGCATCTGTCTGTCAGTATTGTGGAATTTGTCGAGGTTGTACCTTGCAGTCCTTCTAAGCAAATTTGGTTTTGACTAACTACTAATCACACTGTCTTGGCAGCAGTGCAGCTGTACTGCTGCAACACGTAGAAGGATGTGTCAGGCAGCGGCGTGCCCTCACGCCCTGTTTGCAGGATTAATAAGAGGTGTGGTGAATGCACGTGAATTGTAATGTGCAATATATACAGGAATGTGGTGATCTGCAAGGTGACAAAATGACGGGATGCTGTGCAGTAATAGGGGAAATACTCCTGCAAGGCAGAGAAGTGAACGCGTTCTGGCAGGTTACTCACCCTGGGGGGACATGCTGCCGTTGCTCCGGGGGGCCTCCACAACGATTCGCTTACCCCTCAGCGCGCGAATCACATTCTTCAGGGTGAATAAAGCGCGCTCCTTTCCGCGGAAGGTAGTTGCACCGGTCTCCCATGCAGCCGCCTGTGTGAGGTCTGCCAGCAGCGTGCCCCACTCGCTCGGAAAGTCAAACCTGCATGCATGCAATCACACGTGCAAGTTACTTTTGCGCTCTTGCAAATTTCTGCACGGCTTGCATTGTGCACAGCTACGAGATAATTGAGGCATGGTGTGTCTGGCAATTCCAAGCAAAGCAAGCAGCCTGCCGTACTACCGGCTCAAGACAGATTTGGATGTCATGCAAAACCTTTTGGGCCCCCGACCCCTGTCAACTGAATATGTGAATCTAGCACCTTTTAGAATCTGAAAGAGGCGATATGACGAGGAGATTAAAGGAAATGTTTTTGCATTTATGGACCGCAAGTATAGGAGGTGCATCTGGTGCGGGGAGAATGGGAGCACCTGGCAATGTTTGTGATGAGCAGGCCCAGCTGCGTGGCCACACGGTCGGAGGTCTCTGAGAAAAGCAAGTGCAGGGCTGAAGTGCGCACACCCGCCTTCTCATCTGATGGCACCCTGGACCATTCCCTGGTCCCCAGTGTCTTGCGCCAGGAGCTGCCCACCGAATTCTTGGCAACCACAGCAGCAAGCAATCGTATTGACTGCAGCACAGAGCGGAAATTTTGACACCCAGGAAATTTTAGCAGATACCGTTCCAACTTTCGATGCTGCCATGGAGGATCCCATATGTGGTCGCCGCACACCAACTCACAAGCATCATCACTAATCATGGAACAATGTGACAGTGTATTATCTTTTATGGCACGATAAACATCCCCCTTCACATGAACCATACATGAAGGAGGCACAGATCTTGCCTCGTCTTTGCAGTGCTCTAGTATGTTAAGCAGAGCTGCCAGGAAACCTGGCACCGCATCCGCCTCCCATTCCTTCAGACTAGCCTCTGAAGCATTTCTAACAGGCGCATCGAGGCTGAAAGCGCCCGTGATCGCTGCGAAAACGTTCCCAAGTTCCACAGGATGCTGCTGTACTTCTGCCTCCATCCTGTTGCTTGCACCTATTGGAGCATATGCATCTGCTGAAGATGAATGGAAACAATATCAATGAACAATGTCATTGAACATTGAGAAGGAGCCCAACCTCCAGGATCTCTCTTCCGAAATCGGAGGATGCATCTCGAAGCAGCTGCCTGAATTGGCAGCGTTCCAAGCAACGTTCTTCAGCATTCCAACTCATAGTTGCGAAGAGATTTGTCTGCCTATATTTGTCCACTGCTACAACATGCAGCACTGAGCCTGAAAGCGCAGATATATGGAGACATCATGTGTGAGAACCGCTCTCACTATGGCGCGGAACCCCCCAAGAAACCCCGGGACTGGGGAGAGTGTCACACGGTGGGAAGGCTGCTGGGGATGGCGGGAGCAAGAGAGGGATGGGTGGACTGCCTGGCCGACATTGCTCACACAGCAAGCGGGGCAGGTGCAGAGGCTGAGTTTGACAGTGACAGTCTTTGGAGAGCTTTCTTTGGCAGAGAGCCTGCAGCACTCGTGCTCAATGTGAGGGAAGACATCGGCAGAAAGGATGCCGGTGCTTGGAGGATATGCACATGCTGAGGACGCTGTGCATCTCACGCAAAGGTGCAGTTACTTAAAGGAGGAGGGGATAGAAATTTTACAAGGGCACACCTTCTTCTGCCAGTCCACTGCAGACCCCAGGCTGGACTTGCGTGGCTGCAAATCCCTCACTGCTGTGCAATATAACATTGGTCCTGCCAACTAACATCAAGGTGCCAGAAGCCTGCGTTGTCAGAGCGCAGTGGACTCCCACGTATTCTGGCAAGACTGTCCTGTGAGATACTCTTAGAGCTTGCTGTGTGGCGTTGCGTGTCAGCGCTGGCATCTAGTGGAGAATGACTTCTTAAAAGTGTACTACCACCATGCAGAGGATCATGAGTGCTGTTTTCCTTAAATTGAAGATGCCATCGACAGGTGAAGCAAATTGGCCTTGAGAATTGCTGCAGCTGCGGCGCCTGTTGGTGCTGCCTTGCCACTGTTGGCAAGATGCACTCTCCTTTCCAACGCGACCTTGTGCATATCAGCTATCTGTGCAGTTAGTGAATGATGTGAAAAGCTAGAGCTGGCGAAGGTTTTAAGCAAGTGTCGGTCCTGAAACTAGCTGCCTGACTTTTCTTGTGATGAGTAGTGCCCGGAATTGTCCGAGAGGTAAGCCATTCATCAGCGACTTGGGATCATCCACTCAAAAACACACAGAACGGCGCATGCTTGCACAGCCGCTGCGGCTGCCATGACAACATCATACAATAGAACACAAGGCCAGCATTGTGAACCGCGTGTGAAGTTGTTGGACTCCGCCCTTGTCTGCGCCTTCTGCCGTGAATGCGCCCGGCATGGTCCACCACGTCACTGACACAGTCACTCTGACCCGTAGCGCTCGTGCGTGTAGCGCCGCATGGCGGTGACCGGCGTCGGCGCCCAGGTGTCGGCCGGCGCCGGGCGGGGAGACCTCGCTGATCATCCGTAATCGCCACCTGTGCCTGCATACGGCACAGAAGGACCCCAAAACATTGAAAAGGCAAAAAAACTAAAAAAGGGAAGCTCGGCGACCGGGAATTGAACCCGGATCACCCGCGTGACAGGCGGGTATACTAACCATTATACTATCGCCGAATGGCCAATGTACTGGCCGATAGTCTGGATTTGCCCTCAATCGCTTCGATGCAACCTCGACCAAATTTTGTGCCTATGTACCTTGGTTGGTCGTCATTAACTCACACGCCAATTAATTGCTCCACCATCGCCATTGAGTGTAGGTGCCCGCTGTGCGTCGCAGCTTGCAGTCAGGGAACGTGTAAGAGCATGGGCGGCCTTTTGGAGGACTTGCAAACTTGACCAACATGCCACTGGCAAACCATACAAAGAAAGCCCACTTCCATTCTGCATGGGCGCGAGCATATATGGCGAGACGTTCCACCCGAGGGTGGTTTCGAAGGCGCGATCAGAATGGCGTTAAGTGTCTGAAGTGCCATGGTCCCACCCCCTCATAGACACCTGTGGCCTTGACATGCATGACATGGCCGGGACATCGGCGCATGCATATGCACCTTGCAATGGTGCTTGAACTTAATGCCCAGATCCCATGGAAGCACATGGATAGCAGATCAGACCTTCCGGGGGACCATGCGGCCGATGCAGCCCAGGGCTTCTTCTGCCGTGGCATCCTTCATCATCGTGGCCTCCTGTGCAGCCCTCGGAAGCGGGCCCGGGGCTGAAGAGCCTTTTAAGGTTTGCGCTCGAGCTCTGCCAGCCTGCGCATGCAGCGGTGCGCTGTGCTGCAGTCCGCGGCTGCGGCTGCATTCGGCGTTGCGGCTGCGGCGGCGTCTGTGGCAAATTGCCGCCTCAGATTGCTAGATTTTTAATAATTTGCCCTTGTATGGTTTTCACGCCTTGAGTACTCACACTAGTGCCCGGGGCAGGATGAGCACCGATTGGCATCAGACTAGGCTACCATACTACGCCAGCCCAGTGGCATCATGCCAGATGATCTTTAAACCGCAGACGTGAGAGGTATGTATTTGCCTTCAAATCTTAAAGGTAAAGTGAGAGGGCATCATAAAACTTCCAAAGTCTGTACGTTGAAAACCCTGAACCCTAAAGTTTGCTTATCGACCTTGAAAATTGCCTCGCAATACTTGTTCACCGCATTCAATGACAAAAATAATGTGGTTGTGGTGTACACATGCGTGGAATGATTGATGGCTTCTGCGGCCTTGGACTTAGTAAGCTTGTTGATGGCAACATCAAACTTGAAGTAGCGGTACTGCCGTATTGCTCACCAGCCAGCTGGGGCCTTAAAGTTGATAAAACAATCGGGGCGAGCTCGAGATGCATCTTCTCGAGATCATCTCGAGATGCATCCCGCGTTTTTACTTCTTTTCGAACGTATCGAATGAGTTCTTAAGCTTTCATCGCTCGCATATGCATGTGATCACCGGTCATGACATCGCAATTCGCACAGTGCGATTCCGAGGTTTTGTAGGACGGCCTGAACCTAGTTGTTTTAGTCGTCATCTTTAATTTGGTAGGTCTGAATTTATGCAAGTGGAGTGTTGTAAATCCGGGCTATTCTTTCAAAAGCTGATAATTTCATGTTTATGAATTCATAAAGGCCCTTCATTAAAATCAATGTTGGATGAAAATGAGACCGTGCGACGGACCTGGGTCACTTGTGCAACAACTAGCTAGCTATAGCTTGCAATCAATTGAAGCTGTCAAATTCAGCGGATGATAGAAACTTGTGCCCCAGTGGGGGCGGGTACACATACGCGCATCATAGATATGTGTGTCATGATGACGTGCAAAGATGGTACTTCGATTGATCATTGAAAGCTTTTATGTGGTCACCACATATACTCCAGTGTGGCACACTCGTGCACATGTACGGTACATATGCACGAGTGTACACATGTGCTAATAATACACGACAAAACAAGGATACCCCAAGGCATCTTTTGATTATGAAAACTGTATAAGGTGCTGAGCACTGCAAGCGAGATGGGTACCAATGGGATGCTTGGCTCACGCAACAGGTATGGCAGGTGCTGAGACTTCAAGTTGAGGATGACAATCACAATGTCCGATTGACTTCCGTTGTTGTCATGACAATCACACTACAACATCATGCAACATCAGATGATTTCATGCTCAATGTGAGGAGAGCATAGGGAGCGAGGATGCATATATTTTATATAGCTGGACATGCGGATCTCTAGAGGACACAATGCATCTCACGTGCACTTAAGTGTGAGATATTGCCGAGGAAATTGCCGACTTTTAGTATATTAATATATTGAGAGTCGGAGTTCCATAAGGTTCCGACGTCAGCGTCGCATGGCATGCAGTGCGATTCCCACCCAGCATGATGCCTTTTTACAGAATCTTGAGAACCTCGAACGAGCTCGTAAAGGTATACGTACAGGCAGTGCCGCAACTACCAACGCTTCCCAGGGACTTCGTTCAGTGTCATGCAAACCCACCGGTTTACATAGATTAACACCTTATAAGATCCCGGGGATAATCGCAATGTTCCTCTTATCAACAATTTCATCGGGGTGGCTACGGCAAGTCCGACACTTACGTTCGAGAGGACCTTGATCAATCACTGGGGAGGATCCTTCAGTTCTAGCAGCACTCAAGGTGCTCTTATCAGTTTCATTCATCAGCAAATCAATTTACATTAAGGCTGTCAAAGCATTGAGCCCACATATTATTAACATCTCCGGGGTATCATACCCTGGACCTTACTTGTGATGATCACAAGTAAGGTCCCCCCTGGGCCACCATGTGTCGGACACTCCTGTCATTGATCAAGGGGCCTCATGGTCACCAATGGTTGATACATAATATATTTTGAGTACCATTGAAATTGCCCTGTGGGACAGTTCCCAGCTGGGGCTGTGGCACTGTCGATTGTACGATCTCGCGAGCTCACCAGTAGTGTAGTATGCTGCATACTGTATGCATAGTATGTGCGTCTGACATGATGCCGGCCGGCGGCTTACAAGTGTTGCTGGCTCGCGGTGGCCCTCTTAGCTGCAGGCTGGCACCACCGATGCGCGCACTATACTCGTATCTGTCCATCAGTTTGTCTATCTCTTGATTTAGTGCCATACCCCTGGGGCTGGTGAGTCCTGCTGGCTGCCATATGCTGGTGATGGTTCCTCAAAACTGCGCGCATGCTCTAAAGATCGCACGTTCCTTGCCTGCAAGCTGCGACGCGCAGCGGGGCCCCAACACTCAATGGCGATGGTGGGAGCAATTGATAGGGTGTGAGATAATGACAGCCGAGGTACATAGGCACAAAGTTTGTTCAAGATTGCATCGAAGCGATTGAGGGCAAATCCAGACTATCGGCCAGAACATTGGCCATTCGGCGATAGTATAATGGTTAGTATACCCGCCTGTCACGCGGGTGATCCGGGTTCAATTCCCGGTCGCCGAGCTTCCCCTTTTCTGTTTTTTTGCCTTTTTCATGTTTTGGGGTCCTTCTGTGCCATATATTGCAGGCGCAGGTGGCGATTACGGAAGATCAGCGAGGTCTCCCCGCCCGGCGCCGGCCGACACCTCGGCGTCGACGCCGGTGCGGCACCACGCGCGCGGTGACCGCCATGCGGCGCAGAGCGCTACGGGTCAGAGTGACTGTGTCAGTGACGTGGTGGACCGTGCCGGGCGCATTCACGGCAGAAGGCGCAGACAAGGGCGGAGTCCAACAACTGCACACGCGGTTCACAGTGCTGCCATGCACATGCTGCAAAAGCAACTTGCCCTTGAATGCAAATTTTACTAGCACTGTAGGCAAAGTGCATGCATGGCGCCTTCATATGAAGGCGCCTTCTTACTTTCTTTGCGAATAATATACTTTCTAAGCATCCTTGATTTGCATAAAAGCATGGAAGCTTTTTAAGGTACAAATGAAGCTGATGTACTCCCTTTCCATTGTGTAAAAGTTAATTGCTGCAGCAAAGGCATGCGCCGTCCTAGGTGGGTAGATCTTCAACTACCGCATGATGAAAAACACCCATACATGTCAAGGGCTGGCCCACAAACACTCATCCCGTCTCGCCCTTAATACGCACAGCAGTCTCGTACAAAGAACTTCGCGGCACACCCAGCTGCTTGGCTGCCAGCTTGGCTGCGTGGGAGGCAGGCACGCCATCAGATATCAGCTCCCGCAGCTGCGCCTCTATCTGCGCATCTGACGGCGCCAGTGCCTCACTACCCGATGATCCCTCCACCACAACAGTCACCTCTCCCTGCACATGCAGGGAATGCAGTCTTTACAGGAGCATCATAGACATCTGGGCCTCTGTTGAGAGTCTCCTAGAGCTTCTAAGCAATGTCAATGGCCCTGGGCATGAAATAGGCACCGAGGCAAATTGAGTACTGCATGTGGCACAATCAGCACCACAGCACCTGCACCGCCGTCTGCACAGTCAAGGGAGACCTTGCATCAAGTGCATACCTTGCAGCCTCGCAAGCGCATCTCGCTAGCCACACCCTCCAGCGAGCCCCTGGAAAACTCCTCATGCAACTGCAAGCAGACAGATGAAGGCATCAGGTATTTTTATTGGCCATGCGGTTCCTGTCCATTCTTGAGGGTTCCAACCACAGCATATCCTCCCTGCGTGACAATAGGTGGTTAAAAATGCCTGTCAGCATATAGCCAGCATTGGCACCCGCTCTTTGCAGATCAAGGAAGCACAAAGGCGTACCTTCGTCATTTCCCTGGCTACAACGCATCTGCGCGAGCCCCCCAGGGTTGCAGCCATGTCATCGAGGATGGCCGCCAGTGAGTGCGGGGGCGCATAGAATATTAGAGTAGCTTCCACGCCTGCGATTACAAGATAATCCAACATATTATTGCTCACCGCTTTCTCTGAGCCAAGCACGGGCTGCTTAAGCTGAGAATTGAAGAGCTTCTCACAGAGTCTCTCTTTGCAAATGAGAAAGGCTCCACTTTGCCTGTATAGTCGAGCAGCAACTCTGCAGAGGAAAAGGGGCTCAAGAGATTACATGAAGGCAAGAGGAGTGCTCACCTGCAAGCTGCGACAGCCTCTTCTGCCGCTGTGAGGCCTTCGGTGGAAGGAAGCCCACGAATTGGAAGGATTCTGTAGGCAGCCCAGAGGCCACCAGCGAGGCCAGCACTGCCGATGGACCTGCCCAGACTTCAGAGGTCAACAGACTACAACTGCTCTGGCACCGTCTCTGGCAGCAGATCAAGAAATCACATGCTCCTTACATAGTGATTCGTGACAATATATTCACATCTATAGGCTGTCTTCCCCTGCAACGACCATTCTATACTCTCCTGGCAACAAGCCTTCAAGCTTGCAGCAAGGTAACATACAATCGCAGCTCTGCAGTATGGCTCAAACCGAGAGAACTCATCACGCAAATGAGTTGCTATCAAAGATACCCTCTGCTGCTGTATGGGTGCACTGCACTATGACAGCAGCGAGGCACACCTGGAACAGGGATGACTGAGTGGCGCGCATGCACTGCAGCGGCTATGAGTTTCGCCCCCGGGTCACTGACAGCTGGCATGCCTGCGTCGCTGATCAGCGCTATTGACGCCCCTTGCGCCAACCGCTCTAGTACCTGAACCATGCAAGTTTAATACTTCTTCTGAAGATTCAAAATTATAACTTATTCGCGTTCCTGGGGCGGGGAGGTGTTTGCAATGGTGACGCACATGGCTACACTTCTGGGACAACATTGGCGCTTGCTTTGTCTTCTCATATGCCTGACTTCCATTAGGCTCCAGATAACAAGCAATCACTTGTCGCGGTGACTTTTTAGCTGCCGGTGCTCTTAAGGCAGGGGACAACTTCATTGGAGTGCAAAAGTGGAGAGGCATTCGTGGGTTGAAAGGGAATCAGTCACCTGGGCCTCCTTGACGTGCTCGTTGTGCTCGTGGAAGCTGTAGAGCTGGGTGGAGATGCTGAAGTAGGACAGCAGCTTGCGGCTGTGCCGCGTGTCTTCCGCCAGAATGCAGTCTGCACCAGAAAACAATCTTTTGTCAGAACAGGAGAAGACAGCTTGCATCTAGTGACAGCGGTGCTCACTTACACAGCTCCAACAGAGGGCACTGGCACTGTGTGCATTTGCACTACACTCACACACACTCTCAAGACAGCCACGCTGTCCCACCTGCATCTCGCAGCACTCTCAGCGCACGCAGCGTGACATCTTCCAGGTTCCCGATCGGGGTCGCCACGATGTAGAGCCCCGGGTCCAAAGCTGCAGGCTGCCGGATCGCTGCCAGCACATCCCTGCCCTGCCGTGGCCCTCTGATGTCCTCTGACTGCTCTGGAGGCGCCTCATCTGCAATGTTCTCCGGCACCTCAGAAGCATCATTGCAGTGCTTTGTGGGCAGGGAGTCTGTTGGCAGGCCACCTGCGGGTGCTGCGGATGCTAGGCTGCTGCTGCATCTGATCTTTGATGCGCAGCAGCACAAATGTGTTCTGAGTGAAGCTGCTTTGTGTGGCTGATGCACGCCCTGCGCTGCAACACAGCGCTGCCTGGTGTTGTGAATGGAGAACGTTCTGGTGCTGAAGAGTTTTGTGAACGCTGCCCTGCTGCAGAGACGAGGAACGAAGCCGCGTGCCGGGCTCATGTCCTGTGGCACACCATTTTGTGCCACTGTGAGCAGGACATGCACCCGGTCCGGGCTTGAGAGTGTGCAGATAAGCTATATCAAGTTGTGCACTTTAAATATTCACCATGTCGAGTGATTTATTGGTTCCGAAACATATCAGATCACCAGACATGTGGCTCTGGGATCGTGACTGCAGATTTCTTGATCCACAAAGGTCGCAATAATGATCAAACGTAACGTTGCCTGGACAATGTGGTGTCCTCTTCTGCATTCTCTCTTTGACTTCGCTAAGTTGAAAGATAGCATAACGTGATGGGTGAGTAATCTCCGTTGAGGCAACATCGTGAGGTTGCGAGGGCGAAGAGCTTGCATTGAGAGATAACAATATCATTTCAAGCTTGCAAAGCTTACTTTACATCTGCACGGCATCGATTGCTCAATTTGCGAAGGCGGAGATAGCTCGAGCTCCTATCTTGTCCTTTCTGGTAACTGAACAGAAAGAAGACGTCTTTACGTTATGTCGTCTGCGCAGCTGAGCCACAGCATGCAACGCTGCTGTCCAGCAAGCACATCCGGGCGCCAGCGATCCAGCACGGCACACTGCCATGCACAGCACACTACTGGCCCTGGGCTTGGCAGACAACTCAGATCAAGCAGCGTTCTGGCTTGTGGCCAAAGTCGGTCTCTAAACAGCGAACAGTCGAATGTCTCACAGCATGTAAGGACGAGACGAAGAAGAGGTGCGATGCTCAGCAGTCCCGGCTGCCTTAATAAGTGTTGTTGCAATTTGGGCAGCTTCAAGGTGTAACTGGAGCGCCCCACGAAAGGGCTTTCTCAGAGTCTTTGCCACTGGCTGGATGTTGTTACAACAGCTCTGCGCATTGACAGGCTTACAAGAAGCTCCGCAGGATAATGGTTCTAGTAAAGTAGCGAGGAAAGCTGTGCTGTTGTCTTGGTATTTAGAAGACAAATTCCTGAATATGTGGCGAGAACTAATATGGTAGGTAGAGACTAATCGGCATTCACACTGACCAACAAGGATCAGGGGGTCTGCTGTAGTGTCCTGAATTGTTCACCTCATAAAGATTTTTTTGCAGGTGCGTCAGTGGTGCGCAGCGCAGCTATGACAGATGTAGGGCAGAGCCTGGAGCTCACGGATGAGAACGTGGAGCTTGTGCTGGACGAGATCAGGCCGTACCTGATGGCAGGTAAGACCCTTCCCCCATATCTAAAGGCCTCTAAGGGCATGTTGGTCGGTGTGATCCAGCAAGCATTCTAGCTCCTGTGAGTAGCCTGCATGATTCCTTCCTATCTCTGGGTTCTTGCCGACAATGTCCACATGATGGCTACAAACCTATAACCAGATGCAACACTGCAGCAACAGGTTGCCTGGAGCAATCGCTGCCCTTTCTGTATAGCGAATGTGAGCTGAAACATGCATGCAATTGTATACATGCAGCTGCGCAATGGACCAGAACTGCAATAAAATGCATGCTGTTTAGATCAGCCGTCCTCTGACTACTGCATTTGCCGTGCAGATGGAGGGAATGTTCAGCTGGTGGAGATTGACGGCCCGGTGGTCTACCTGAAGCTGCAGGGTGCATGCGGCTCCTGCCCCTCCTCCCTGACCACCATGACCATGGGCATCAAGCGGCGGCTGCAGGAAAAAATCCCGGTGCGTGCCAGACCACTGCCCTCTTACTGCCACAGCGTGTTCCTGCCAGGACATGACCAGTCAGCAATGAGATCCATCGCTGCGATTGCCAATAGTACTGTATTGCGATGTGCAGTGGTTGGGGCTTGAAAGGGCACAGTAATCTCTCAAAATCCTTAGTGGGAGTCTCTCTTAAGGACGCAGAAACCAGTCTCAGTGCTGGCCTGCCACCCATGGAACGCGTTGTAAACAAGGAATAGAGGAGTTCTGGTGGGGCAATGTCTGAGCGTACCTTTGAACATGCGCCAGGAGATTTTGGAGATTGAGCAGATCATGGACGAGGACACAGGCCTGGAGCTGACAGAGGACAACATCGAAACGGTGCTTGATGAGATCAGGCCCTACCTCGTAGGTAAGGCTTCGCAACCGTCCTTGAACCCGCAGCGTGACAGACCTCTCAAGAGACAGTGGCCTGCTGTAAACCGTCCAGTGCAGCTTCACCACGGGTATATTAGTGCCCTACCTCCTCTACCTTTGCTCTCACATGTACAGTGGCCACACCAGCTGCTAATCCAGCTGCATACCCTACCGCTGCATACACCCCACTTCAGCTTTGGTCGCCCCCTTTTCTGACTATCATTTATGAAGCCAAGATGGTCGGTAGCCGCAGTGCTGTTCGGACCGGAAAGCCTCACCACGGGTATTTTAGTGCCCTTGATATGTGCATCGACAGATTGTCAGGGACGACCTTACCTGCTGAGAACTCACCAGCTGATCAGGATGCTTTGGCGCACTGATTACATGTCCTGTGGAGACAGTCAGGTGTTCACAAATAGTACTGCACACACCCTCAGACCATGCCGTAGGGAATTGCATTCCTCTTCTCCAAGTTGACATTTTCGTGTGGTTTTTCAGGGACGGGTGGCGGGGGACTAGAGTTGGTGGAGATAAGTGGCCCGATCGTGAAAGTGCGCATTACGGGGCCGGCCGCCAGCGTGATGACTGTGCGAGTGGCAGTCACGCAGAAGCTGCGCGAGAAGTTTCCGGCCATCGCTGCCGTGCAGCTTGTCAACTGAGAGATGAGGGATTAAGGAGTCAGCCGTGACAGAAGGTTATGGCTGCATTGTTCAGCGGATCTTGCATCTGTGTGGCAAGCAAATATGCTGGTTGGTGTACTCTAGAAGAAGTGGAATCCTGTCGAGGAGCTTGGTGGGTTGATGGTCTTGCCGTTGGAAGTCCCACTAAGATCAGGGTAAGCACGTTGAGGGCCGTTGAGATCTTGCGATGGGGGCTTTGATGCTGCAGAATATTTGTGTGATTCAGCCCTGTCATTGCGATTGCATAATCTGGGATTGAAGCAAGAGACAATTTGCAGGCCGTGAGATGCTCTGCATGTGAGAAATTTGGTTGTCCAGCTGTTGACATCATGTGCCATTGCTGCTTTTGGTCATCAATCATCGGACGTTGGTTTGTACTGCTGTTGACATCATGATCGCATTCTCCATTGCATGCTGCTTGTCAATTCTTTGCCTTCTCAGTGATCATCAGTATTATGGATCTGTAATGCCTTTGATAGGGGCTTGGTGAAATTGCTCAATTTTCTCCATGTACGTACTCCTGAGAATTAGAGGAGTGTTGATTTGAACCTAGCGCCGGCTGTTCACGCTGTTCACTTTCGGCGTCACCACAATAGTCAATGGTTGTTCAGCATCTCATTGTCCTGGCCAATCATGCGCCAGAGGGGTTTCAACATCACAATGACTGTTCCCTGATCAATCTGCCTCTGCAAATTGACGCCTGTATGCTGCCTCGTCCAAGATGGGCTGCGGGAAGATCCAGCTGCCAGAACCTGCATGACAGCATCAGAGACAATCAATTGAAAACTAAAGATCACCCCAGGTTTTGGCACCAGGTTTTGGCCTCCAAGGGGGATCCCCTCTGGGATTGGGCTCAAGCTTTTGGGTTCTTGGATGGGGTTCTGGTGCGCCCTGAACTCTCTGCATATCGACAGATAAATCCACTATGCAGAGATGGAATCCCTAGGATTGCCCTGTGACATTGGAAGCTGCTGTTTGGGCAGCCCTATACATCTGTGGAGGCACTCTCAAAGCCTGGATCAGACTGGCCCCTCCTCAATCATAGACACTTCTAAGACCTCGGCAGCGATTGAGGAGCATTATTATTATTATTATTATTATTATTATTATTATTTCATGGTTCCAGTTCTCAAGGACAAGGTACGTCAAGCAACACCTGGATTATTGCTCTCCAGTCTAGGAGCATTATTATAATTATTATTGTTATTACACGCTTTTCCTGCCAAGAGGCAAGGTGCGTCCTGCAGACAAGCTGCAGTTGAAGGCTGCCATAATCCTACTCCTTGTTGGACTCGCCAGATCCAAGCAAGACCCAATCAACCGTGGGCACAGTGCTCAGTATTTATATAACCCCGCGCCAGCCGGGGACTAGGAGCATTGAGGAATAGAAACAGGACATTACAGCACAAGTCGGGATTTCAGCACCTGGCGCCTCCGAGGCTTCTGCATGCCGCCGTCGGAAGTGCTGCCGCGTCTGATCTGGCAGCTGTGCCAGTAGCGCGGCGTGCCTGGCCTCCAGCTCAGCGATGCGGTCAACCAACGGCAGCTGCGCGCGGCTGCCGTGCACATGCACATAGCCTGCGCGCACATGCCGGCCGTCAGCTAGCGCAGCTTCATGCAAACCTGCCAAGCTCATGGTTCCAGCAGACGTGTATTGTGTGTTGCACTAGTCAATCCCCCCAATCAACACGCAAACCAGAGCGCAAAAGACATCAAGATACTGCCTTGAAAACATGTGCGCAAATGCCAGCGGCCACCTATTGCCCCAGTATGGTTAAGGGAATTAGTATTGAGCATTCTCAGGCACCTGGGAGAATCAGCACACCTCTGTATATGTTGAATGAATTCCCCATGACATCGTCCTGCAGGCAGCGCAGAAATTGTCCGTTTCAACAGCTTCATCATGTCACTTACCACCCAGTGTTCAACCCAGCAATCTCCTCGCAAAAGTACATGGACGTTGGAATTCCGATATCTGCGTGGAGCGGCCTACACGGTATGTGCTTGCCTCATAGTCCACGAGGTCATCACCGATGTCGACCAGGTGCTCATCGACTGCCAGGAACTCCATCAGCTGCTCGTCCACTGGACGTCCAGTCAGCCCATACAGTAGCAGGTTCAGCACCTGCGCGCACGTCATTGGATCGATTCGCAAAATCAGCTGCCACGCAAGCATCTTGCCGCAGTCGACAGAGGATTCCCGAAATGCTGACTTGTCTGCCTTCTTGCTTCGGACAGCTCCTGTAATGTCAGTGGCAAAAGATAGCCACATTAGCTAGACCGTGCAGAAAATGATGCTGACATGTGCCATGCTTAAATGGGTCAAATCGCACACCCGGTCCTGTCATTTCGCATGCTTGTATAGGTAGTGATTGTTGATACAGTCCTGTTTACACAGCGCGGCAGCCCTTGCTCCCTACTTTGGTGCTCGCACTGACATTCATGTCTGCATTCTCTCCTGGGTTAAGTTAAACCTTGCTGCTCAAGATTGGCACGGGCATTTTCACCGCAGCTGCGGCCTCGTAAGGTACGGGGTGTGCACGCACCCGGTAGTCGAAGCTCTTTGCCTGGCTGGCAGCATGGATCTGCTCGATGCTGAGGTGGCGCGCTGACTCAGGCGATGAGTCAGCCGCGCATGCCGGGTGACCCAGCATGACTGCACAGATCGCCCTTTCCTGCCGCCAGTATTCCTCCCCCTTTGCTGCGCCAAACGCCACATCAGTGTAATTATACCGTGACATGAGCCTTCAGTAATTGCTCCCAGCGTTGAGGCTGAGCCTTGTCTTGCAGGACAGAGTGAGCTGCCAGAATCCCTCACAAAGAAGAGATCCCACTGTGTTACTAGCGCCAAGGGCTGCCTAATGCTCATTACAGCTGCTTAACCATTTCTGACAAGGATGGTTTGCTGCACATCTGTAGAGAACATAGACGGATAATCTTGTATACCAAATTCAGTATTCTACAAGGCAATGTCTCTGGCTGTCTTTACAAAGGGCACATGTCCTGCACTTGCAGTGCATCCCTTGGTGACAGAGCAATCACAGATGGAAGGGGCTCCACCTTTGCGATCTCATCTGCTAAACGCTGGTTCCACAGCCCTCTCCCTTCCAGCACAGTCTGCAGCGTCTTCCTCACTGCCCACATGACATCCAGACATGCTCAGACGTCTGGCATGAATGGACTGGACTGCACAGCTGAACCCTCCACTTTGATTTATCCTCCCGGCGTGGCAGCTGAGTGAGCAGTAACGCGCATGGGCTGAGTCCTCTCAAATAGGAGATACCACAGATTTTTCGCAACTGCACAGGACATGTGATTTGTGTCCAGGGGTTCAAAGGAAGGAACAACTCACAGTCTGAGTGCGCCTGAGGCAGCAGCAGGCCTTGTCTTGCGTAAAACTCATTGGTCTCATCGGCCTGGTAGATGGTGGCCTCCACAAACACGAGGATGTCCAGATAGTCAAAGAATGCCTACAAGAAAAAAGGAGCTTGGCGACAGAAATCCCCATCCTTTTGAAGCTGGATAACAAACATGGCGTGGAGATTCAGTCATACTTTATTGGAGTTCTCTTCACGTCAAAATGAGATTCTTCAAACCTTTGGAACTTCAAGGTGGTGGTATGGGAAGTACGTCTGCACGAAGTCCTCGATGGTAGTCCGTGATCTTCTTCTGTCAGTGAGCAGCGATTTTTTCAGAGATTAACATTTACACCAGCATCCGAAAAGGGCTTCCAGAACCTCGAGTCAAGACTTCAGATCACATTTACAGCAAGCAGGGGGCGACGTCAGCTCACAAGGCGTTGTAAGAAATTGTTGCCGTCCTCTCAATCAATTCTTGTTCACGACACATGATACAACGCAACTCTATAACACATTCTGCCAACCAATGCTTCAGAGCATGCTCTTATTATTTGTGCCTGCCTACGAGGATACAAGTGGTCTATTAAGAGATACCTGACCAGTCAAACAACGCACAAGCTCAGTATTGATTGGCTGGATGTTGGGATGCGATAAATCCGGTCAGGTCAGTTCATCAAATTCATGCGTCTGTCAGGAACGCCGTCGACCTCCGTGGGCCCAGTTTCGCACAACTTCTTTTCTCACTGCCTTCCAGATTTCCAAGAAATAAGGAAGTATGCCGACTTTTTTATACCATGAACGTGTCGCCATTCAGGCATTACATTGGCAGTCGGGGCATCATCAAAACCTCTTGTTGGCTGCGGTTTGGTGCATTTATGTTCGACTGATCATGGCAGAGCACCCAGCACCACTGGCTGCTGCCTGTGATGAAGAGCATGCAATATATCTTTTGCAGAGGCTGAATGATCTGACCATGAATGAAGGCGAGCCCTGCTGCGACAACGTCAGGTGCGACACCTACCATGTGCCAATCTGTGGCTCGTTCGTAATTGCACTTATTGTGGCGAAATATTAATAGGAGTGTTGCAGCAACAGCACACCAAATTTTGGGTTAGGAGGGTGTCAATACATCGTTTTGCCGCCATTCAGATTTCAGCACTGAGAGACTTATCGAGCTGCTGCTTACAGAATCTGCTGTGCTATCGCTATGGTGCCGGTATGCAGGCCGAGCTGCGACCCTCAACTTGCTGAGCATGAAGGCCAGCACAGCCAGGGTCGAATGACGAGGACGCCTGCCAGTACACCGCCGCGGTGTTCAAGTGGTATGAGTTTGGCGGAGGATTCTTTCCTGGACTGCAGGGCAGACACACCAACATAGTCGCCTTAAAATACTCACCGGAGAGGGCATTGACATCACTTGAGGTCAGTCCAATATCAAGGCAGCATCACATACTTCGATGAGCATAGGGGTCTCTGCACCAATATGCGGCACCAATATATTACGGGCTTGCTCTATCCCATGCCATCGGATGGTGCAATGCAAGTGGAAAGTAAGCTTCTGAAAAGCTTGGGGTGCGCCTTCATATATACCTCTGTAAGGGCAGAAGGGGCAGTGGCAGATTTCTGCATGTTTGCAGAGCCCCCTAAAAAGGCTGGTCCAGAAGGAGATCCACTGCCAGAGGCCAGTATCAAAACATTAGAGGACTGGGACACCGTCGAAGACGAGCCGCTCACACCAGAAGACATTAGTAATGTCAGCCTGCACACCTTCACCTACTCCATGCATGGACCTCTGCAAGAACAGGTTTGCTTTTGCAGATGCCTTTCCTGACCACTGGCTCCTGTGCACCAAGTTTGAGTCCACTACCGTTGAGTATGCCAGGGATGGCACCCTACACAGCGATGCTTGCATGTGTGCTCTGGCGGCTTGAAATGACATAATTGACTTGAGTGATTTTGAGGGTGACTTGGAGGTCAGAACAGAGGCTGTGCATGTGAGGGCTGGCCTCTTGTATGCTGCTGGCACCGGCGGTTTGAATGATTGCCACCTTGAGCTCGAGTGGGTGCCTGCATTGTTTGACTGGGAGATTGGCACGACTGACGTCACTAAGTATAAGAGGTCACAATGCTTGCGTGAGGGGGTCTCCTGGGGCCTCGTGAATGTAGAACCCTTGTGGTGAATCCAGGCCTCCGGAAGGCGCTGAAGAAAATGCACTAAAAGAAAGCTATGCAACTTCTCAAAAGAAGAGGCACTTGTGGGTGTCACACTTGCTCTATGATTGATCAGGATTATATAGAGCAGCCATGGAAGCCTATTGCTTAGAGTGCTCCTATGTTTGCTAAGCAACTCAGAGACATTCCCTGCACAACGCAGCGTGCCTGCCTTGACAGAGAAGAATGTATTGCCAAATTGTGAGGATTCTGTATGTTTGATATTGATCGATCTGAGCAATCTGCCCTCTTCCGCACATGCAATCCATGTGACGTGTGAAAGGTCATTTGCAGTGTTGACGCACAGAGTGGAATTTTTTCAATATAAGAATAGATCCAGTAACGCGGCGTGCCAGCCTCCAGCTCAGCGTTTGGGCCTATGAGGCCGCCCACATGCCCATAGCCTGCGCGGCGCATAGAAGTATACATGCTATGCAACTGCTGTATAATAATTGCCCCTAGCGGCGCACAGCGCGCACATGCCGACTGCAGCGCTCCTTGCTTTCATCAGGGGGAGTAATCCATTGTTCTCCTAGGTTACCTACCCTGCTTTCATAGAATATTCTCTGGCCACAAGCAGGATCCTGTGCTCGGTCAGATTGCTACGTTTCCGACTGAATGCAACCTGAGGGAAATTAGCAGAAGCTGAGCAAACTTTCGCCGGAGATAACGGAGGTAGGTACGAGTAGGTACTAACCCTAGGGTTAGTCCCCCTGATACAAAGAAGCACGTGTGGAGCAGCCGCCAACGAACGAGTGCCGCTTGCCCCTCCCAGAAGACTTTCCTGGTCGTCCGCTGTCACACCAAGTGTACGTTCGATAGAAAGCGGAAGTCGATACCGGTGTCAGAGCGACCTTTGACAGCGCATGAGCAGCAGAGATTGCGTTGCCTCGCTGCATATAATAACATTGTTACTTTGACGTCTCAGATATTTCGCCATACAAGCTTTCAAGGGCTCTGGGCGGCTATGTCAGCCAACACATTCAACGAGGGAGCTGATGTGCGGCAGCTTCGAAACATTGCTCTCAGAGCACATTTCAAGTCCCTGCTCGAGGTGAGCTTCTCAATGGTACCTGTAGCTACTAACACCCGCCATACATGAATGCAAGGACGATAATCATAAGAGGTTAATTGTGTCTCGCTTGGATCTGCCAACAAGGGGTAGGACTGTAGCAGCCTTAGATTGCAGCTCGTCTGCAGGACGTACCTTGCCTTTTGGCAGAAAAAGCGTATAGGAATCATAATAAGAGCTCACACAAAGGGATTACACTGGTAAAACTCTACAACACTGAACCAGAAGTGTCATGTTTCATGCAGGCTGGCATTTGTCCCAAGGATGCGGAAGATGAATGGCACAGGGCGAAACTGGAGGTGTCAGAGGAACTCCCAAAGATTCCAGTCATCTACAAGCTCAATCGTGAAGACTTCAAGCTGTCGGATGATTTTGAGGCCCTTGCAAAAGCCCGGGCACCACTCATTGGCGAGCATGCTGGTCTCACCTTCACAGAGAAATACAGAGACAGTTTGCAGCAGCGCTCAGAGCTCTATCCACTGATTCTTGCTTACGGGGAGCACATATGCACCAAGTATCCCCAAGTGTACCAAGTTCTCAGCATTCTTATGGGAAAAGGCCTGGAGCCTCTTGTGACAGAGCTGAAGCCCCTGCTAACAATTGAGCGCAGCTGGCAGATGGCACAAGACCTCTTGAAGGCCATGAAGGCACAGCTCAAGACCGGCTGCTTTGGCAGCGAAATTGGATGGCCATACAAGTGGGATCTGCCAGGATCACCGGAGTGGGAAGCAACAGAATCATGGGAGCGGGGCGATGCATTTGATGCTGCCAGGGAAGACGAGGGCCGGCTTCATGCGAGTCCAGTCGGGTTAAGAGATACTTGTGAAAGCCGTCAGGTTTCTTGAGAGACAGCTCCAGGATGCACCCGCCAGCCTGCAGAAGAACGCAGAGAACTACCAGGTGCTCTGTGGAAAGTATGGGAACAAGAGGGTGGAGGCATGCGCTGAGTATCTGAGGTCGGAGGATGGGACTTGGCTGCGCCGAGTGCGTGACCAGAGATACTCTCGCACCTGTGCCACCCGCACAAACTTTCTTGAGTCAACACAAGATCTTTGGCATGCCTTAGAGGACCGCGATATTGACAATATCTGCACGGATGATCTTGCCTTTGCAGATGCCTTCCCGGACCATTGGTTCCTGTGCGACAAGTTCCACTGCATCTTTATCGCGTATGCCCGACCCGGCAGCCTTGACAGCGATGCCTGCATGTGTGCCCTTGCTGCTATCAATGGCGCCATTGATCTGGGAAAATTTGACAGCGATCTGGAGGTGTCACCTCAGGCTGTGCATGAGAGGGCCGGTCTTCTGTTTGCACCGGGCGAGGGTCGCCTCGGGTATTGTCGGCTGGAGGTTGAGTGGGTGCCGGCGCTTTTCGAATTCATAATCGAGGAAAGTTTTGTGGCAGATGTTCACAAGGGCCCATACAATGTGGAGAGAGTTTCCTGGGGACGGGTAAATGCAGATCCTGTGTGGTACATCAACGCGTCTAAAATTGCATGAGGTTTCCTAGGAGTCGAATCTGTCTGCCACAAGCCTGGGTGGCAGGCATGGGCAGTGCCATTGTGTAATATGCACCAGTCAATTGTGATGTGTTTAAAATCACCAATTTGACGAATATTAATATAGCAGCTGTGTAGAGCAGCTGCCACGCCGCCTGCGCTTCTGACATCACCCTATAACCTACTTCAATAAAAGTAAGCAATGCGTCCTTTTTGCAGCGCCGCCACAGCTTGTGCATGCATTAATTGCAGTCAATTGAGTGGCAGTGAGATTTTTGAGGACCAAAGATTGCAGAATCAACGAGTGGTGCCATTTGAGAGGATTCCTGGAATGCACCACCTCGGGATTTTTTGCCAAAGGGAGTAAAAGAATAGGGAACTCTTGGTTCTGCGATGGCAAAGCCCTTCTTTGCAGCCCTTCTCTGCTAGCTTCGTGGAGTTGTTTGCATGCACCTTCAATGTCTACTGCTGAAGTGGGCCATGTGAGGCTCCTTGTGAATGATATCACAGCAGATCTTTTTGCACTCAATGCGGCACAAAAGAAAGACAGTACACACTTAGCATTCTGCGGAGCCAAGCAGCGCTGAAGGAATTGGATTACACAATAGCTGCAACAGGACACAAAGTGACTCGGCAAGTTTATGTAACTGGAAACAATGCACAGGCAGTGACAACCCTTCTACAAGGGTTCAACATACGAAAGCCTAAAAGTAGAGTACACTAAGGAAGCACCTGATAGCAGGATGTATAAAATCAACGAGTGAGTTACTTGAATTCACGTGAACGGCAATGTATTACTTTCGGTGTGAACACTTCAAGATCTTTTTCAATACCTAGTAGTTGGCTCTGCACTGCAGCAGCGAATATATAAATGTTGCCCAGGACAAAGCCTCCATATTCACCCGGGATTCTCCCTACAATGGGTGATCCCACAAAGTACACCTAATGAGTCGCGGATGACTAAATATCAGCAAACATGCAGCTTCACACAGCTTCCTGGAGTGCCGTCCTGATTAGGCCAGCTCTGCCAGACAGCAAAGTGCACTGCAGCGCCCGTGAACCAAATGCTGACTGCTCTTATTGAACTTCTCAAGTCATTTTAAGTAATGCGTAGTGCCAATTGCCCCCTGCAGATGGCACCTTGCTTTGTTGCAGCTTTGCAAAGAATGCAAAATTTGTAGCCATTGTTTTGCTTCTGTCCCAAAGAAAATTTGGATCCAAATAAATTTGGCGTTGCTGCCTGTTCCTTGCTTCCCGCCCACAGGGAAGCTTCAGCTCAGCGGCCGCTTCCAAAATAATCCCATACGTCTAGGCACAAATGCCAGGCAACCCTCACCCAGAATATGTACTTGGCAATTTTACATCCCTCCCGGCTTTTTCAAGCCAATGCATACAGCCTAACGAAGGCTCCTGCCCCGAGTCCTTGAGGGATTAATGTATCCCCATCTGGCCATCCACCAAATTTCACATAAAAGAGAGATTCAAGCCCGCAAAAAGTTTGTCATCCCTCACCCAATAAATCAAACCATGCTTCACAGCACCGGGCCCCAAGAAGAATTAGCAGCTACTGCACCAGTTGTGCAGGCCTGCTGATTTAGCCTTTTGAGACTCATCTGCAGCTCGGATGCAAATGCCCTCATTTTGGATCATGTCAAACAGATCAGGAATGCCCCTGCCCTGCTGCTTTTTGGATCTCTAGATCCGCAAAAAATCAGCATGCAAGGGTACGGGTGGCAGCAGATGTTGAGCCTAATGTGGCTCTCTGCTGACCACTCATGCACATGCACTCTGCCGCTAATCATGGTCCCAAATTCGAATTCGAATTTGAATTTGAATCCGTGAATTTTTAAACCCGGGCGGCGGCTGCGGAGTCGTTTCTGAAGTCCATTGACTGGCCTTCAGGGATTGAGCCAGTGGTCGAGTGGTAGGAGCCATTGGCCTTGTCATTCATGTCCGCCTGTTTTGCAGAAGCACAAGCAAATGTCAGGCATCTCCAGCTTTGAAGTCTTTCTTAATTGCTCCAAATGCAACAGTAGCAGCAGCCACGATGCACGGCCTGGCTTTCTTTGCCTCTGATCGGCCTGGAATTTAAATTGAATATCCGTGCAGATTGCTATTTGCAGGCACAGCTCAAATGTGGTCGCCAGCACAGAACATTTAAGTGAAGCACGGTAGCATTCCAGCCAAGTTTGATTTCTGTTGCTTGTGCGGCAGCATATACACACACGTTTTGAGCTCACAGCCAAAAAGCGCCCGGCATGTAGTGCGGGAGAAAATCTCACAGCGATTTCACCATGGGAGGGCAGGCTACAAATTCAAAAGGCCTTTTAGCCAGCCGTTGTGAATCCCGGTGTAACTGTTTGGGATAAGAGCGCTCCCTAGACCACTCAGGCAGCTGCTTTGTCTTTGCACCAGCCCTTTCGCAGATACTTCTGCCTTTTTGTGTTCCATTTTGTGATTGTTTTTGAATTATAAATCTAACTCAATTCAAGGCTTTTACACTTGCAAAGCAGCAGCTCACCTCCTTGGACCCTTTGAAGCCGGGCAGGTGAGCCATCTGGCCAGCTCCCCAGATCATGGCAGAGAGCCGGTTCGCCAGCGTCCCATACATGAACGCATATGACATTGCCACAAAGAACATGGCTGCAGAACAAATACACGCCACAGCTCAGCGCAAGCATCGAAAGTACAGTTGTTCCAGTGCATGCTGAATGTTGGAACAAGCTTAACATTGGTGCCTTGAATTTTGCATGCAGCAGATGTAAAGAAGATGCAGGTTCACTGGCGCAGGACAGGAAAATACATGGCAGCGCCTGTTTCCGCCAAAAATATGTCTAATACACCAGGCACAAAGCAAGTAGTTCTGATGCACTGCTCTCTTGCGCGGCAGCCTTTTCTCCTTGATCTCTCGCTCGCACTATCTCTCATGCATGCGCTTTCTCCTGGTAAGAGAGAGTAGGACAAGCAAGGGGTCGCACAAAAGAGAACGTGAGAGCAGCTGGAAACAGGGACTTTGCGCACCAGCAATGGTGTTGCCAATGAAGACGGGGATCATGGAGTGCACGATGTAGGTGCTCACACTGACCGGAGCTCCAATCTTCATGCCAAAGGGAATCTGCATGCATGCGCGCAGCCAGCCGTCAGGTGCTGAGATATCAAAACAGCACGTTTCTGTGCTTCAATCTCTGACTGTGAATATGGCACGCTTTCTGCCAGAGGCAAGATGCGTACGCAGACAAAGCTGCATGTGAAGGCTGCCAACAGCATGTCTAGTCCTTAATGGACTAGACAGAACCAAGCTTGCATATTAGGCTGCAACTGTCAAGGCATGTGGAGAAAACTGAGCTCGGTGTGAGCCATTCAAGGGTTCAAGGGTACTGAATATTTGGGCAGTACAGGTGGGGCTATTTTGTCCAGGCTGCATTTTAGGGCGTACCAGGAACATGTTGGCAATCACGTGATCTGCGCGCAGGCAGGCACAGCATTGTTAGTGTCTCTTTGATTGCTTCCAAAAAGGCACAGAGTCACAGAAAGATTAGATCATACTCACCAAAGATGATCAGGTTTAGCTGCAATTAGTCATGAACACAGCAAGCCATCGGTTGATGCTGCTATTCATCCCACTTCAATGGTCAAAATTGCAGGTTGCAAAATGTATCACAGACATTCAAAGGTTTGTCTGAGTATACAATGCCACCAAAGCTGAGCGCTGATGCGGGGGGTAACGCTGCAGGAGACAGGGCCGCACCAAATCCGACGGCAACGAACGCCAGCACCGGGAAGTAGACACCAAAGATTTTCCCGATAATGTCCTGCGCAGCAGTCGCCTGCCAGATGCCCAGAGTCACCTGATCCAACCACACCACCAACTCTTCATATTTATTCACGTTTTTACGCAAGTTCTCATTTGGCCCCTCCACCAAGCTGACGAAATGTCAATGCAATGCGTCACCCAGCAAATTACAGTGTCCAACACACATAGTGAGCAATCAACAAGAGCGTGTCATGTTTCCTGTGCATACTCGAAAAGCGAAGAGGATGAAGGAGGCTGGTTCTGTTGGGGGAGACAGACTTCAGATCAAGTGTGGTGTTCCTTTCAGCCACAGAAATATATTTCACAGGAGAGCTGACCTTCTCAGCACACCTCCTGCTGTGCACTTGAAAAACGAGCGACACTGTGGCGCAAAGAAAGAAAAGCATGAAGAAAAAATCGCAAAGAGTGAGACGGCAGCGCACCAGCCAGTTACAGAGCAGGCCGCGGACGACAGTGGTGCCAAAAGAGGCGCTGGTCTTGGACTTTGCAACCATGATCGCATTGGCCACACCTGCGCATGCATGCAGCTGTCAGAGCACAAACCTTCAGGACCCGCCTTTCGGCTGTCTTTGTCAGAAGACAATCATTCGGTACTGCTTTTTGCAACGGTGACAATCCAATCAGATTGGCAGAGCAAGGGGCCAAGGTTGTCAAATTGCATGCGGGTCTGAATCATTGCGGATTATAAATTCACAGATTGACCCCTTGAGAACGAGCAACATGGTACTTGGAAACGAGAAAAGATTCAAGAGGCAAATCAGTCTTTCAAGCATCCGCTGGGCTGTCACTGCCTGTCTGAAGCCACTAGAGACAAATGTAATTGATTGAATTTCAAAACATAATTTTAGTGTCTGACCTGCGGGCATGCCGCTCTGGAAGAGCAGTGTCTCGTCGACAATCCACACGATGAAGAGAGAGCCGGCCAGGTTTCCAAAGAAGGAGAAGAACCTGCCAAAAACAGGCAAGACAAACATCAGTGCTGCAGTTGTCACTTGACAGCACGCAGCCATGAAGAGCTGTCAACTGCAGTGCATGTGCGGTGACTAGAGCAGAAGCAGAGGCAAAGAGAGCAAGGATAGAAGTCTGTGTCGCTGATGAAAATGTGAACCAGGTTGCATGCACTGTAAGGAACCATGCAGGATCTTGAAAGAGGAGGGAAAGGGAAGGGACTGGCTGGGGGTGAAGACTCACCAGTTCTTGAGCAGCTGCAGCCACGTGGCCCGGCCCTGCGCAACACAACCGGAATCTTCAAGTCAGGGAAAACTCTATCAGGACCCATGCATGCCATGACAGCAATGGGAAATTTTTTGGTGAGGGTGTGCCGCTTCAACCAACCAGAACAGCGTATGCCGCATTGCATATTACCCGTGAATTAAAGACACCTCCAGACAGCGTGAATCGGTACCTCAGCACTGTGAGACACAACAGCGGTGGAAAGAGATGACTCACCTCAAAGACAGCGGCAGGCAGCATGGCTGCGTTGCCAGTGTAGAGCTCTCCACCGCAAATGATGATAAGGGCGAGCCCAAAGGGCAGGCCAAAGGCACCATAGACCAGCTTCTGCAGACCTGGGTCCGACTCCTTGACCTGCGCACATGCAAAGGTGGGCTTCAAAACACCCAGGCCGTTGTGGGCCCCAGAGCGTGAATTCACTGATGCAGAACGTGCTGTAATGAATGTCTGACGTGAGAGGAGTCGCGGGCGGGATCTGGTGTCGAGACATGGCGATTGATTGTTCTTGACCAGACTACAAAAGGCGAAGAAACACACCCCGGGCATCTGCCCACCGATGGTGTAGGCTAAGCAGCCGCCGAAGCTCAGGTAAAAGCCGGCCAGGACGCCAAGGTAAAAGGTCTTCCACCTGTGCGTTCAAGTTGCGTCAGTGCATGCCTCTAGCCAGAGTTGATAATGCCCAGCATGGTCTAAAGTAATGGCAGTGAATTCTTATTTTATGAGAAAAGAAGAAAGTTGATGCAAACGTATACGGTGAGCGCCGTCAGATTTGGCATTTAAGGCCCCTGAGCCAAGAGCCTAGTCGAGATGCTCGACTCAAATTTCTTGCTGGGACGGAGCGGACAACACCACCATAACTAAAAACTCTGCATAGCAGTCTCGGAAGCTTGGCGAACTCTTCTGTGGCCACTGTGGCCTGGAAAGAGAAGCCGCCCACCTTGGAGCATCAGCTGCAGCAGAGCGCAAGAAACTCTACGTCTCGTGACGGCATTGAAAAGTCATATGAAATTTATGGATAACGGAATCAAATTGTTTAAAATTACAGACAGTGCCTCCGTCCTAGCACCGACAGCCAGGTTGATGCCATGCACTCACCATGGCATGTTTGCCTTCTCCTCTCCCATCCGCACAGCCGCGTCGTAGATGGCAGGCGGCGGCAGCAGCTGGATTGTGGGCGTCCTTAGAGTGGGCTGACGCACCGCCACGGCCTTGCTGGTGTCGCGGCGACCGCGAGTCGATTCCTCGCGCTCATATGTGTGAGGGAGCGCCATCCTTGCAAACAAGCTCGCTGCTCGTTGTGAGGAGCTCTCCCGCAAGATAAACCGCAACGAGTGAAGCTCAAGGAAGCCCAAACCGAGAGGAGAGAATGAACAGAGCGTCAGATGTCGTAGGGCCACGGGGGTCCTCAATGACCTCAATTTCTTACTAACATCTGTCAAAGGTCATTTTTTCTTCGAAGGGGCCGCTTCCTCGTAAGTGGCAGCTTCGCTCCAGATACTGATATCACAAATAGCTGCACGCAGCCTCTGTCATTGGCACAAAAAAACCCGCGAACTCATGTGCATTTGCAGTGAAGACAACTATCCCACATTCTCCATAGCTCGCTGGCACCGGCCCCGGCTTTGCACTCGAGCTTCAAGCTCAAAGCTGAAGTTCAGAGCTGAATCCAGCCTGACCATGTACTATAGTAGTACAGTGCCAAAATTAGTCAACTACTGTAATGATGAGGTGATCAGGGAGACAACTTGAAGTTGAAAGCATGCACATTTACCGATCATTCTAGACTCAACAGAACATCACTTACAGAAGTACAGTCTCAAAGGCCCAGCTGCAGACATTCTGCAAGTGAATTCAATTTGGCTGTGCATGATTATCAGGTGATCATGCGTATACAATGTCCGCATTCGCTGAGTGTCTTTGACACCAGCAGCATTCTGTCATCAGTGGCTCCCCTTTTCATTCTGCAAGCAGTGTCACCATTGCACATTGTATTTCTCAAGTCTCGCTGCTATTCTCAGCTCCCTGGGGTGCACAGCGCTGCAAAGAAATGCAGTCCAGCAGCAGTTGCCAGCTGCACTGGTTTCATGGCTGGCGGGCATTCCGGCTGGCTCTAGCTAGCAGTATTCAGCGGAGATCTCAATGTTTATAATTGTGATGGCCAAAGCAGCTTTGCCACAATGCCATCAGCCAAACAGCTTGAAGGAGAGCTTTGTGCGCGCCCCATTCCTTCCAAGCACCTGCAAAGCACCCCTAAGATTGGAGAATTACACCTGGCCCCCTATTCCTAAAGCCATGAGTGCCAGAAAGGCAATACACAAAGCCAACGCCCCCTTCAAGAACAGCAACAGCGCATCTTGCTCCACACTGGAATATCACTGGGCTCAGGGGATGCGACTCTGCATCCACCTCAGAAGCCATACCAAGCACAAACGAGACAATTGATGCCATCCCTCACATTGTGCTTTAAATTAGCAAACCTTGTCTTTGCACTGAGCAGCTGTCTTAGCTTCAGCATCTAAAGCCACAGGTGCCTTCTGCTCACAACACCCAGGGGGCACCCCTTGGGCAGCTGACTCTCAGACAGGTTTAGTAATTCTTAACGACTTCAGTCAGCATGAGTCAGCGGTTAGTCACACCTGCGCCTGCTCCTTCTTCTTCTTTGCTTCTTCCTCCTTGGCGGCCGCGGCAGCTTCCGACGCCTTCCGCTGCAGCTCCAGGAATCGCTGCTCTGCGAGTGACGCCTCCGCATCAAGCTCCTTCCTCCGCGCTTCCTCCTCCTGCAGAAGTGCAGCCACAATTCGATCTTAGCAAGCTTGGTCACATGCCTCGAGAAGATGGATGGATTCATGCCAGCGTTCAAATCTTGGATCATCAATGCCTTTGGGTGAGCTGTTTCATGGAACAAAGACAAATTCTGCTTGATCTCACTAGAACATATGTTTCTCTTCCACCAACGTGTGCCCCACTTTTGCAAGGACTCTGTGCCCCAGAACTAGCAGCAAACTGCCATTGCCTTGTCGGACTGGTCCAGACCTCTGCATGTTGCGTCTTTCCACTGCCAGGATGGGTGCCTTGGATACTCGCTGCATAAAGAGGCATGCGTCTGCAGAGGCAGAACAGCGCACCTGCTGCTTGCGAGCAGCTTTTGTTACAAAAATTTTTCCCAGAAAATACAACAACATGCCACTGTACTATCAAAAATGGCAGAACCTTGCCGCATGAAGGTTGCTAACTCTGCAGTGCAAAGCAGAACGCACCTCGGCCTTGCGCGCGGCTTCAATCTGGGCCAGCTCGGCCTGTTTGGCCTTGATGGCCTCCTGTGCCCTGCGAGCATCATCCTCTGCAATCTGCCGCTCCTCCTCAAGCTCTTTCTTCACCTGTAGCAGATCATCACCATGTTCAGCAAAGCGTCGTCCTGTTTTGAAAGAGTCCGCCTGACGAGCCTTCAGCAACTCAAGCGCACAACAGCTCAGGCGAGGCATGGGGGACTCTTCTGACCCAGAAATGTCAAATCCCTGTAACGAGCCATGCAGCACCAGCCGCAACTTCAAAGTAGCAGTGCTCAAGTCTGCATTTGACCCTCGTCACCGATTAGAGTCAGGCTCTTTGTGCAAAGCATGCGACAAGCAGGTGTGTCAGAGCGTAGGATGCCGAGCATAGTGGTGGATAGAACCAGTGCGCTCAGCATCATCTACTGTGACAGGCATGCCTTCAAGCAACACACAACCCCTCCGCTTGCTCAGACCAGGTCGAAAAGACTCTCCCAGCCTCTGCACAATGGGTCGCAGCCTCACTGAAAGCACTTATTTATTCAATTTTTGCCAGCATGCAACTTCTTGACCCTTCTCGCCACAAAACCTGTCCCAACTCTCGACCCCTATAGCCATGCCTTCCCAGACACACTCAAAACTGAACAGAATGTTGAATTCAATCTTAATTACGAGGCACGAATCACACGATGCGACTGTCGAATTCATTGATGATAAAGAGTTCAAGAGACATCACCTGTTCCTCCAGGACCTTGCGCTCGGCCTCCAGCCGAGTCTGCAGCGATTGCTGCACCGCGTCGCTGCCCATGGCTGCTTTGACTCTCTCCTCTATTTGTTCCTTCACCCTCCGAGCAACCTCCTCCTCTATCAGCTGCTCCTCCAACAGCGCCCTCTTCCTGCGGCCATGTCAGCACCGACATGAGCAAGGTCTGGCATATGATCAGCTCATATAAAGGTCTAGTACACTACAGTATCTGACAAAATAACGAAACAGCTGCTTGCGGCTGTGCCTGACAGTAGTGTACTGGTGTCCCTGTCAGGGCAGGGCAGGGCAATCCCATGACAGATGGCTGGCAAAGAGACCCCACAGCTAAGGGGGAGAGGTTACAGAGGAACTTGCCAAAAGCACCATGAACTTGGGCTGATCATGAGAGGCACATCACCATTGCGTCAGGCAGTGGCCTGAAACAGAAGCAGCTGACACGCTGTGCCATATCCACTGTAACTTAATTCACTGTAACTGCAGACGCCCTGCGTGTATGCCCTATGGCCTCTGGCTTTGGGTTTGCCGACCTGTAGTAATAATAATTGGGCATCGCCGCAGATATGGCGTGCCTTGCGCTGCTCTGTTCCAGACCAGCCGAGGCCATCCTCTGCCACAGCACTTGAGTGAGAGGGGTGCTACACAGTTTAGCGCATTTCCCTTCTACCCCTGAATGAATCTTCAGTGGCACCCAATAACACACAACCAAGCCCTAGGCATCCACCAGATGGGAACAGTAACTGTACTTCGCGTGATTATTAGCCCAGGGAATACACCTACAAGAGGGAGGGAGTAATTTAAGAGAAGTAGGTTACTTCCCCTGCTCCTACACTTGCTGGGCGTGTCACCTGAGGCGCTCCTCCTCGTCCTCCTGCTCCACCTCCGAGTTGTGCTCCTCCTCGTCAGACGATGACGCATGGCTTCCGCTGGCTTCCGAGGAAGTTGCGCTGCAGGTGCCCGCGCGCGCGCGCGGCTTCGCTCCCTGGTGCCGCTCCCCTGCCGCAGACCCTGACCTGGAAGGGCTCCTCGTACGCCGCCACTTCCGCTCCTGTGCATTTGATTTCGTCAGGAGTTGTCTTCTTACAGCTTCAGGTCTCTTTTTTACCTGAAGCTGGTCAGATCCATCCTCCTTGGCAGGAGCTGATAAGCTGGGAAAAAGATGACTTATGCACGAGGCCCAAGATCAGCAAACATGTGCTTGTTTGCGACTGTGGCATGTTCCAATGCCACTGCATTTTAGTCAATCTACAGGTTCTCCTGCTGGCTTCAGCAGGGCAAAACTCGTTTACTATAACAAGGAGGGGAAATGTAAGAAGGAAGGGAGATATTCCAGGCGCTCACCGGTGACGCGGCCTGGCGGCGGCGGCCATCGGCCGGGGAGGCGCGCCGGTCCCGGGAGGAATGCAGCGCGCGCGTGGGGGCATCCGCGCTCTTTTCCCGGCGGCCGTCTCGCCGTGGCCGTTCCCGGGAGTCCTCCCGGCGCTTGAGAGTGCGCGAACTGTCCTCCCATCGTCCCCTGCAAACAGTATCATTACTATTACACGCTATTCCCGCCAAAGGCAAGGTACGTCCTGCAGACAAGGTGCATGGAAAGGCTGCCACATATCCTACCCCTTGATGGACTCGCCACATCCAAGCAAGACCCAATAAACCGTGGGCACTCAGTATTTTTACTGCTTGCTAGCCGGGGGCAAACTTACATACTGCAAAAGAGATGAATCATGCATGCCAGTTGTTTGGCCCCTGGGGGTCGCCACAGAGGCTCAAAGCAGAAGGATAAACAGTGACCGAAACAAGTAGCTCACAAGGTAATGCCCAGGCTAGGGTGCACTGTGGCTCTTTGTATCTGACCAGTCAAAGGATCTGGCTTTGTTTGCAGGGATGAAAATCAAATGCTGTGCGTCCAAGCTGCTCTGGACACAATGTGACAAGGCGACACCACTCTGTGCCTGAGAGAACAGAGTAAGAGGCCAAGGCACCTGTCACTGTCCCTGTGGCGGTCTCTGTCCTGGTTCCTCCCTCTTTCTTTCTCCCTTTCCCTTTCTCTTTCCTTCTCCCTTTCTCGCTCCCTCTCTCGGCGGTCCCTCTCCCTTTGTCTTTCTCTGTCCCTGTCCCTGTCCCTTTCGCGGTCCCTGTCACGGGCTGGCGAGCGGCGTGACCTGTCGTCAAGACGTGGCCTGTGCCGCTCCCTGGATGCTGAACGAGACCTGCGCCTGCGCGAGTCATGACAGCCACCATTAGCATTTCAGGTCCCAATCTTCGTGCACCAACCCCATAGCTGCAACCATACCTGCAGTGATGACCTGGTTCTGGTTTTTAAGGACAAGTTCTTTCGGCAAAGGAAATTTTGTGCAGCTGGAATAGTGCACCAAGTGAGGTGCACAAGATCTCCTGAGGCAATCCTTCTCATTGGTGCTGTGCAGGAGGTGTAAGACATAATAGGTCAGACCATACAACCAAATTTCATTAAGGGTATATTTTCTGCTTGTTTCTCGAGGGATCAAGCTCCACACCGAGGTCCCTTCGATGCTGATCTGCGACTCCTGCCTTTCACCCTGTCGTCATCTCTACCTCTTCGACCTCGATCGGGAGACCTTGAGTCTTTCCTCCTCGCCATTGTCCAATCTTCAGACGCTTGAAATGTATCTCGCAGCCATACGATACTTATTAAGTTGACTAGTACCTGTTCCAAATATCAAGTAGTGCTCGTTGCCGTTTGATTTGCTCCGACTAACGCACATATCTCTTCCACGCGATGACTTCACAGTCTAGCCTTCTGCTTGGTGAGCAATTCTAGCCCTCAACATAGATAATCAATATTTACTGATTACTAACGATGACTGCGCTTATGCAGAAACATGCCCGTTTAGGATCCTTGGTTCTGGTACACTAGACATGTAACACATTATTCCTGCTGGTATTCTTTTCAGCCATTTGAGCAGTAACATCATTATGCAAAACCCCATATCCAAGCTGGCAGATTCTAGAAGTGCTGAAAAGCCAGGAAGCTCCAAAACCACATTCTAAGCGGCAAACACCGCTGACAAGGGCAGGCACAAAAACTTTCACCAAATCATCCTCTCTGTTGGTATACATCTCTCCCGGCACACATGCATTGCCATGTACAGCTTGTTTCAGCTGAGGCTTCACAAGCTTGATGCCTGAAACAGCGAGCGGCCCATGTCCAGTGACAACCCCAGTTTCACGAGGCCCGGGCATCCCAAAGTCCCATCTACTTTGTCCTTCATGAGATCTGCGCACTCACCAAGAAACATCATTCATGCACCCCGAGGCATGAGCACTTCCACAAGGGTATCAACATTTGTCGACACAATACAGTGCTGGTAAAGTCAGCCCTGCAGCTGATACTTGACAAGAGGGCCATGTTACTGGACGGTGCCGCACCTGAAGCATCCGATGTCATCATATTCCCATACAAGTGTGGCAGCTCCTTTGACTGCACCACCAAGTGCCTGACTTCTTTCCCGACCTGCCTGTGCAAGTCTTTCGGATCGTACATGGCCATTTCCATCTTGACAGCCCTGCAAGAAGTCCGGGTCAAACACCATCAAAATCCCAGCCCTTGGTACAGAGGGGGCCTTGTGGCACAAACCGCTTGGGAGTGCGCAGTGAACTCAATTCCGCGCCCAGCATCAGGTAAGGACCTCCCGCAGAGCACTCCTCTTGTAAGGACTACAAATGCTATCAGCATGACTATTGCCCACCGACCATGCTGCACAGAAGGGTTGATGCTTGCCATGATGACTTCTGCGCATGCTGCAGCCACTCACCCGTGGATGTCTGTCTTGGCGCCACCGACACAGCCCTCCCCAATCTTGGGCAGCCGAAGCACTCTCACCATCTCAGGAGACAGCAGCAGCTCAACTGGAGCGGCAGAACCTGTCAGCAGCTTGGCAGTGCAGCTGCGCGGCGGGTCTGCAAGCTCATTTGTCAAGGTGACAAAGGCACACATCAGCCCGCCGCCATTCCTCACCCTCTCATGAGCGACGTGCACACCTGTTGCAAGCATGCAGATCACGATGATCCGGATACTGAATGCACTCGACCCAAGCGGCTGTGTGGCGTGGCTTTCAGGCCCAATGAAAGCAGATCAAGATGATACAAATGAACAGCGATGGATGCCACGGATCAACCAATGCCACCATCGACAAGGGCACACTGGACACTGGGTGCTAAAAGTTCAAGGAGATAAGGCAAACGTAGCCCAATGTAAAGTACACGGCACAATGACAGATTGAGTGCTCCAAATTGGAACTGAAGGTGACACACTGACAGGATCGCTATTATAACGTACCTGGCATGCTGGGCTTGGGAGTCCCTGAATCCGCACCACATAACGCAAGGGTGATAAGCAATCTCTATGTGGTGCAAAATGTTAGAAATTTGCTTGGTTTATTGGAGTGCAAACGTATTCCAGTTCAAAGTCGAGCCTAATGTTTTGCTTGAGAAGATCTTCATATAGACGTAGCTGCGGCTTGTAAAATGCACCAGTCTCATACGTCGTTTACTTCAGATAAGTTTCAAAAAAAGTTCGATGCGAATACTAACAGGTTTTATAGGTTGATTAATCAAGCAAACCGCCCTACTCTGGTTTTCGTGCACAATCAAGGCTCCCACCTTCTTGGAGAGCTGCCGCTCAGGTCTATGCGCCTCTTGTTACAGTGTGTATTGTCAATCCAAGACTGCATGAGTTCCGATTCTCTTCTGGCACACGTTGATCTAGGACGTGTGGACCTTGAACCTTGGAAGCTTCCAGAAGATGTGTCAAAATCCACTAGGATTACATGACTGTTACTACAAAATCCATCTCCCAATCTAAATTTAGCTCCGTACGTCCTGGCGCAACTGTTGCATCTTAGATACCGACATAAGTACTGTTGTAAGTTCTACTCATTGTTCACAGTGCGAGCAACCGTCGCTGCAGGTGAAAAAGACGCTTCACCCGACCGGCATCTAGGAGATGTTGACCAAGAGGCGAAATTTCGCCTCGTGCATTCTGATACTTGCTAGCAAGCTTTTTGATCACCGAGGCTCGTATTAAATATTTCGGCATAGTAAACCGCCTCCGAAAACCGCACATGCTTATTGGAGGCACGAAATAAAGATCCTTCAGAGTTCTTGCAGAGGCACGCAGAGGGATAAGCTGCCAATGTTCGAAATTTAGAAGCAGGCCTTCTGAATTTTTTCCGATGGCGGGGTTCGCCTGGTTCCTGATCGTGGTGACGGTCGTGATCGCCGCTCTGGCGGTACTCACGGCGCTGTACCTGCTGGTGCACTACATGCATCCGGAGGACAAGAATCAAGCCTGGTTCCCAAAGATAGTCGTCATCGTGGGCATCACGCTCGCCATCTGGACAGTGCTCCTCTTCCCGCTGGACGCCGGTGAGCCCACCAGCCACTATTGAAATCAACAGCTTGAAAGACAGTCCTCCTCTGCAGCGGTTCAAGGTCAGATCTTGCATGCTTGCCAGGCATCTGGTCCTCTACCTGAGACTGTGCAGACTGTGGAGCATGTCTGCTGCACTGTGATACCACTGACAAGCTGCATTTGCCAGCGGATTGTCAGCTAGAGGCCTGCAATCCCCGCCAGCCTTGAATGACCGTCACCTATTGACTTGGCAAGCAGTGCTATTTCCTGTTCAGCGGAGTCCATGGCATTTCCCTTGTTCATTTGCACCGTATTCCACATGCTCTTGGGCTGTGCCAGACACGCATGCACCTCGCCTACAAGTCTGCCTCATGCCAAATGACCTCGCAGCCAGAATTCGATTCCTTCTTTGCACCGAGGCAGCCCTGTCTGCGTCTTCCGCAGCACTTCCTCTTCCTTCGTGTCTACATCTGTGTGTTTCTTTGAGTGTCTTGATTTTGAATCTGATTTCTATTGCGTGCAGCAAACCGCAAGGCGTGCAGCCCGGACGTGCCAGTGTCCTATTGCACGCTGACAATTCCAACGCGGCAGCTATGGCTGGCATGCTTCATCGCGAATGCTGTGCTCACTTTCATCGTCATCCCCTTCGCCATGTTCTACTATGAAGCCGACAGCGAATCGTGCGTCCAACCTAATCCTGCAAGCTTTTTTACCATTGTTGGCATTGACTCTGTGCTGCTGTGGCGTGCGCTGTTGCTCCAAAGTTTGCTCAAGAATTGGATCTGTTGTCAACTGAGGAGGACTGATGGTGGCTGTGATTTGCAGTGCCTTTCTCTTGCTTCTGTAGTCAATCAACACGCATGCACCTTGTGTGCTTTATGCAATCGCCAAAGCATGCTGAGGCAAGCACTCATGACTGTTTCCGGGTCTGCAGCAACCCACCTATGGGCTCATGCCTCTCGGCTTTCTGTTGGCATGCAGCTCCCACATGTGACGCGGCGCCGATACCTGAAGACAAAGATAGGTGCATTAATAGTTTGAGCTTAGTTTGAGTTTTGAGCGCTGCCAATTCTTCTGTATAGGACGGCTGGGCAGCGTTGGATGCATGCGCTGCTGTGGGAGGCAGCCACGGTTGTCACCTTTGGCCTCATCCTCGGCATCTGCTACGGTGCGCTCCAATTTTAATTTCAGCGTATCAATATCTGCATCCCCGCCCCCATGCACCCGTGCTGCAGCTAGGATTTTAGCATTTGCTGTGTTGGTGACTACTGTGGTGATTCATGGCATGCAAATCAGTGCAGACATTTTTCCGCTGCGGCTCTAGTGTAGAGAGCACAGCTTGGCAGGGCTGCAGACTCAGAGGTGAAGGCAAGATTGGTACCTGCTGCACACACTAAGCACCTCCCACATATAACCCAAAGCTTGGCTTCTTGACAGGAACCGCCTGTTCCTTCCAGAGTTCAGTGGTTAACTTGTTTTTATTGGTAGTAGTGTTCCTATTATCGCATGCTTTTTCAGCCCTCAGGGCTTGGTGCGTCGCAGCAACCTCTCAATGATTCCTCTCCAACCTTCCCTGTCTTGGCAGGTTTTTTAGCAAAGCAATGAACCACATGGTTCATTTATAATAATATACATGATATACAAAACTGTATACATGATATACAATGATGCATACTGAGCGTGAGAGAAGGTTGGAAGGCTGTCATAGAAACGCTGCTGCGACGCATATGGATTAAAAAGGCGTACAATAATAATAATAATAATAATAATAATAATAATAATAATAATAATAATAATAATAATAATAATAATAATAATAATAATAATAATAATAATAATAATAATAATAATAATAATAATAATAATAATAATAATAATACTGAGCGTGGAGACTTCTGCCCTGCAGCGCTGGTGGGCTTTGTGGAGTATCCAGTCGCGCCGCTCATCAGCGGCCTATCACCGGTGCAAGCACTGCATGCCAACTCCACGCTGGTCGACACCTGCGCGGTCCCGGGCACCGGGCCCGGGAATGCCCTCTACTCTGGCCGCCTGGTGAGTCACCAACATGTAACAGCATGTCATGCTTAGTCATACCCTGTTGTTGCTGCGCTCCAGCTCTTTGATTCAACAGCAGCTGGCTGTTCGCCAGTGGATAAAAACAGATTATGACGGAGAATGGCGCAAAGTTCTTTTGGACAGCTCAGAGGACAGCCCCTTGCTCTGTGTGTTTCTGGAGCAACTCAGTGTGCATCCTTGCTGAGTCCCAATTTTAAATGTAAATTTGAGGGCAGTGTGTGTAAACCGACGCAGTGTGATGCAATCAACGGCAATGCGGGGACGCAGATTTGGAAGCTGCGCTGCAGCTTCCCCATCTACATCATCGCCATGTCAGCGACGGCAGGTGCGGTGACATCACCACCCCTCTCATTGGATGACAGCATGAGTTGGCAGGATGCGTATACGTGGGATGATGCTGCGCGCTTCCTGCAATCTTCTTCCTTGTTCTTGAACACCCATCCTCAGGCCTACTGGGGTGATCAAGCACTGGGAAGGACATTGCTGTGAGCCCGCATCTCTGCCCCCCGTAAATTCATCTCTTGGCTGCGCAACATCACAATGCAGATGCCCCCCTATATAGCACTATTGTCTGCATTCAGGCATCACATTCTTCAAATCCCCTGGCATGATTATCTCTTTTCTTGGGTCAACCCAGGCTTTCATTTGGGTTTCAATCAGTCCCATTACCATTACAGGCAACCCATGCTGGGCAGAAGTACAAGCTTTTGCTGCACAAAGCATGGGAATCGACTTTGCTGGATCACCTTACAAGGGCAATGCCGCACGAGTGGCAAATCCTTTTTTCCAGAGTGGCCTGATCACTCTCTATCCAAGACAGTGTTGTCAGGCTGCTCAGCAAGGGGATGCGCCAATGCAGCATAGTCCCTGTGAAGCGGTCTGGGAGTTGCAAAACAATTTCTCAATCGCACATCCAAAGTAGCAAGTGTTCCTATTTTGGAAAACCTTTCCGGTGGGGTTTACGATTAAGTGATAGACAGACGGTGTTTTGCCCTTTCTGACCGGCCAATCACAGCACAGCAAGAAAGGGCATTCGCGAGGTCCGTCTACTGGTCTATCTGTGGGACAATCTCCCGGCTCTGCATGCTCGAGAGACCTTCTCTCACATTCCCTTGCTGTATTTATCTTTCTAGCTGCATGCAGGTCTATTTCATGAAGACCCGCACAAGACTCACTGTGTACCCTTGCATTCACTCCCCGCTATTATCGATTACTACTGTATCCACTGTATATCAAACGTTGAGGAGCGAGGAAGTCTCTTTGCAAGAAATTTTCACATGCCTATGAGACAAATGCCACATCCTAGGTGAATGCGGGTCACAGAAATTGCAGCTCAGTAAATTTGGTGTCTGTGTACGCAGGCTGGCTGCTTTTCATGGTGTTTGCTGGCGTGGGATTCGTGGCTCTGCCCCTGGATTTGATAAGGGACTTCATCGGTCGCCCCAAGGCAACCATCACCCACTCCGAGTACATCAAACGCGCTAAGGCGCTCGGAGTCAGAGCAAAGGCTGTCAAGGTAGATACAGTACCCCCCCTTACTTGCAGAAGAGGCTGGGATCGGCATGCTGCTGCTAATCAGCTGCTGGGTTGCTGGCCACAAATGAGCCATGGTAGGCCTGGGGCGTCAGCCAAATTGGCCAGAGTTATGCTTTTGAGTGCACCAAAATACCCGGGTTTCGCATGCGAGTTTTGCCCGTGCACTGTTCTGAGACCCTGAGATCAACGAACTCTTCCGAAGGAACATGTTGGTCGGCCACAGCAGTGGAGTGCAGTCGAATTTGCACAGAGCATGATTCATCTTGCATGCATTAGCAGCACTGTGTCACAGCACTTCAGCTGCGCGCAGCAGTTGGTTTGCAAGGAGTGCCGCACTGCTTGGTGTCACTCGGTGGGATTACGTTGCTTCCAGCCAACTTGGGGCCGATCTAAAAAGTGAAATGCAGTCCTTGACAGCACTGTCACAGCGCTATCTCATCCTTCAGGAAATTGTGGATACCTTGAAGAAGGAGGAGAGGGCGGACGGTCGTGGCCGAAAATGGCGCGGTGCCTTCCGGCGCATCCAGCAGCAGCTGATCGACTTGGAGGCAGACTCCAAAGCCCTTGAGCTGGTCTTTCCCCAGGTGTGCACCACCTTTCATTACACGCTTCCTGCCAGAAGCAAGGTGCGTCTGCAGACAAGCTGCAGTACAGGCTGCCAAAATCCTACCCCTTGTTGGACTCGCCAGATCCAAGCAAGACCCAATCAACCGTGGGCACGGTGCTCAGTACTTATACCACCCCCCGCCAGCCGGCACCACCTTTAGGTCGGGAATAATAATGCCGCTAGGCAGGCTGGAAGATCACCTTCAGACTTTCATCGTGGAGGAGACTCGAGAGCATGTCTCTGAATCAATGGGTGGGAAAGGATCTTGTCCCGAATTACTGGGGTCAGGCCAGCAGTACAATGGATATTTAGAGCTATGGGGTGGTTGTGGTTGCGAATATTGGATGGTGTCTGTTCACCCGGAAGAGATGATGAATAGGTGGTTGTAGTCTCTGGTACCTTGACAGGACGTTTCTGCTGAGGCCTGATACTGGGCACACAGGAGATTGTCTCTGTGGCTAGGTTTGCTTAAAGCAAGCCCAGCCAGTCAAGGCAATCCTCAGTGTCTCTCGGGGCGGGCCTCAATGCAAACCTATGCTGGGTTCCCGTCAGCCAGATTTGTTGTAAAGAATATTGCCACACAATTCCACAGCCATTGCTTTTTCTTTCCGAGGGGGCTTTCAACTTGATCATTTGATAGAGCCAAATCATTTACAGGTCACCAGTCTTACTCCCATGCCTCTGCAGGCTGAGGACCCTGGCAATGTATGAGAACGATGTGACATGGTTATCCAATCTAGGTAGTGGGTGCATACTCAAATCCAATAAGAGCTTGTTGAGGCCTGCCGATGGGAACACACAGGACAACAGCATGGCGTCCCTAGGTTTGGACCATGCAAACCTCAGTGTCATCTTGTTCTGCACTTTGCTGATATTCTGCCAAAATAGAGGGCTAGCAGCCCTTCAATACCCCCGCTTATTGCCCCTAAAGGCCGAAGCATCCTGCAAAGTGTAGATCAATTGACAAAATATTGCAGAAGAGGCCAACAGCCCTTTGATCCCCTTGTTTATTTCCCCATGCAGGCCGACGACCCTGGCTACGCATGGGCGGTCACAGTGATGGGCTTTTATCTGCAAGCTTTTGGGGGATTAATCGGGGCGGTGCTATCAGTTGCATGGCTGGTGCATGTGGTGCTCTATATGTTCGTGTACCCTCCAATATCCCCCTTCCTGAATTCTTTCTTCATCACCCTGGACGGCGCGTTTCCCCTGTTCGGCACCGTCGCCTTCGCGCTCTTCTGCTTCTACCTCATAGGTGGGCGCTTTGTGACACATGATTAGTCATTATACTGTTCCAATAATTGATTTATGGTAGAAATGAATAATTGTCTTCAGCCATCTGGAGGAAAAGATGGCACACTTAGTGATCGTGACTAATATGTAACATCTCCTGCGCAGCCATCATCATAGGGGGCTGTGATTGACCCTGCCTACGGTGCCCCTGAATTCAAAAATATCACCCCTTCCTCATCTCAGACACAACTGTCGGTCACTGGTCATCCTTACTAATACGATGACTGATAAATTATGTGATGTTCTCTGCGCAGCGATCACCATAAAGGGCTGCACAAAAGTAGGACTTCTCCTCCTGGTCTTCACAGTTCGGCCCATGAGAGCGGGAGCCACTCTCATGAACGACATGCTATTCAATGTGGCGCTGGTTCTGCTGGCAACAAATGCGGCGATCCAATTCTGCGCGCAAGCTTTTGCGCTGTACGCGAACCAAATGGCCATCCATGAGATCTGGGGCGACCAGGTGAGTCACCTTCGTCATTGTTGTGTGACTTTAGTAATCCTGGTAGGGGAGTTCATATGTCAGCACCCGTGGTGAAGAGCATCGTAACAAGAGCATGCAGAGGTGGTGTTTGGCGTGGAGATTTGGTGTGGTGGTTGTGGAAATGTTGCCATGTGGATGTGTGTGATCCTGCTCTTTGATTGTGGCGCTTATTAAGGCTCAAATCAGCAAGAGCAGGCATTTGCAGCCCGGGGAAATAAGCAGGCTGGCTTAAGCCCTATTGTGCAATCTAGCACACAATGTTATCTGGCAATCTTCTTGCCTGGGCACATCTGCACAGGCAATGGCGACTGCTAGGAACATTGCTAGGTGGAATGGGCATTGATGTCCTAACATTTGGACCCTGTTTTCCAGACGTTACTGCACAAGCCACAGTTTCAAAAACGCAAAATTTTGAGGAATCTCGTCAAAAATATAGGGGTAGGGGTAAGCTGGGAGCTCCTAGTTTTCCAGCAGTCTAGCAGTCCAAGGCACCCACTTTTGCTGCTGCTGGCGTTCTGTCACATGGTTGTGTTTGCCTGTGGCCTGCTTGCAGTCTGGCCGAGACCATGTTTGATACACGGTGACGGTACAACAGGGCCCCTTTCATGCACGGCAAGGTGTTGGCAGCACAAGTTCACATTGTTGCCATGAAATGCGTGCATGCTTTCGGCGCAGATCCTGCACCTGATGGGCATCAAGTACCTGTACCAGCTGAACGTCTTCGTCTACTGTATGTTCTTCTTCATCGCAGCCACCATACTTGTGCTGATGATCCGGGGGCCTGCCAAATGGAAACGCGTCAGCCAGGAAGAGCGCTACGCAGCAGCCTACGCCGGCTGATGTCACTCTTTCTGCATCGGCTAGTGTGAACATCGGTATTTAGGAAGATGAAAAGTACCAAGATTACATACCCTTTGTAGACTGATTTTACGCTGGCATATCGAAGCAGTCATGAAGGTTCCTGTGCAAACATGGTACCGTATAAATTATTGCATGCATTATCTGAACACACAGCTGTGCAATAGAGAGGAGGTGCACAAAGTAATGCACTAGTTATTGCTGCTGCCCGAGAAGGCAAGAATTTCTGTTTAGTTCTGAGCAAGCCAGAAAAGTATCAATACCATAGGCTATCTGCAGTAGCAACTGTAGAGCGTTGTAGTTAGTGCACCTAGATCTGCGCCAATGGAGCAATTGAGTGGGAGGTTTGCTCCCTGACATCCGCTGTGCTTCTAGACAATGGCATCTGCATGTGACTGACACTCTCATTTGTGGGTCGAGCATGTGCTCCTGCTGCGTCTACTGCTGCGTCTACACTTCACAAATGGTTTAACTTAGCATGACTAATAAGATAAATGCTCCTGTTGCTCCTACACTTCGTGAAAGGTTGGCCCTGGCATGACCAGTAAAGCAAATGCTTCTGCTGCTTCTACACATTACCAATGGTTGGCCTCGGCATAACCAACAAAGTAAATGCTCCTGCTGCTTCTAAACATCACGACATGGTTGGCATTGGCATGATCAATGAAGTAACTCCTGCTGTTAGGGCATCAGTATGCAGCGGGTGGGCGCTCCGTCCGAGTCCACCAGTTTGAGTGGCAGGCAGTGCAGCGTGTACAGACCCGCCTCCACCTCCTCTAGAACCAACCCCTCCAATGGAATGATCTCCTGCAACACAATATATATCTGCCCCGTTACGATCTGCACTCCTCCTTCATGAAGGATTGTCACAGACCCACTGTGACTTCACCCCAGATCCGCACCTGCTCTTTGTCTCCTGCTCTCGGCCGTAGGATTGCATGCCAACAGGGGAGATAGCAGATAGAGAGCAGCTACAGAGTGGTGCAGCACAGGGTCCTCTACACTTGGTGTAAACCCCCTGTACAGCAGGAGCAAAGGGTGCATAAAGTGTTCATGCACAAGAATGCATGTGGCGACATCAACAAGCAAAGGAGCTGGCATTTATTATTTGCACAGGTAGGCAGTCACTGGTACGCAAGCAGAAAAAAAAACCTGAAGCAAAAAGGGCTGCAATTCTGCCAGGCTGCAGGGTTCTATCTGCCCAGCAGATGTAGTTGCAGGTGCCCTGAGACTTGTACTTTCGAAGTTGCAGTTAACACAAGTAATAGATGGAGAGGAGGGGCGCACCTCTGACAATAATACAATGTGCGGCCCGATCAGATCCGCGTAGTGCGCGATCGACAAGTAGTCGATGCCCACCAGCCTGATGTGCGGGTGGGCCACAATCCACTCAGCCCCATCCTTAGTCACCGCCGTGTAGGTTGGGTCAAACTTCGTCTGCGTCATGAGCTTCCTGATTCCATGCAAATCAGTCATCAGCGCATAATGATTTTTGCATACACACCTGTGTTGTCAAGGAAATTTCCACACTTCTTTGAGAAGCAGCATCAAGTATCAGCGTATGGTGATCATTTCCAAATGTGTCTTTTTAAGTCAAGAAATTGCCACAGCCATGAGAAATTGAAGCTCTGCACAGCAGGGATGCAGCCATTGTAGCAGTACATAGAAGAGCTGCAGCAGCATCGATTGCTGGGCATAAGGATGGTGGGAGCCGGAATCTAATTTTATGGTCTTCCAATAAAAGAAAGGGATGCATGGCCTGTCCAATTCAGCAAAGCAAAACCGATGGTGCTGTTCCATGGTAGGAATCAAAAGTGATGAAACGGCACGGAAAGAGGGTGCGCACTTTTTGGTGTTGAGCGTTTTGAAGATCAATCGCACTGCGCCGGGCGGGATTGCCAGTGCCTCCAGTGCCGCCGCTGCACCGAGTGAAATTATTTTTAATGCCAATAGAAAACATGCCCCTTTATCTGTTTCTTATCTGGAGGAAGAGTCTGACTGCCATTTTGGGTACGTCTTCAATTGCTTGGCAAAAAATGGGAGAACAATGGTCTGTGCTTACTAGACAGATCTCAAACATATCTTCCATGCTGCAGGGACACCTTACTAGTCGCTTGCTGTCACCGCATGCATGATGGCATTCCCTAAAATCATATATTTTCAATTGAGTCATGCTCACCTGTTATGTTCGTGTTGTCTGGCACCTCTATCACCACTGCTGGCCCTGTTCACGACCAAAGCACTGGACAGTTAATTAACTGACGGGACAGAGTGAGGCACAGCAAATCTGCAAGCCGCCCATAACCTTCTCCAGCCTCGCACTGGAGGGAGGGAAGAAAGGAAGGACACTTGATCAGAGCTGATTGGTGTTGTGATAAGCAAGAATGAGGGCTGCTTGCGTGGAGGGCTGTGCTCACCATTGAGGATGTCTAGATCCAACTGATGCACGCCCTTCTTGGCGTAATAAGCTTCCTGCACAAAAAAACATTGCCCTTCACTCTTTGCTACTAGAGTTTTCTGCCAATTGGAGGAAGAAGGACCAAGTGATGCAGAGGGAGGCGACTTCAGATTGGCCTCACGTTGATGAAGTGGCCTGGTGAGTCCACGTGAGTGCCAGCATGGGCCGACAGATCCTTCAGACCAGATCCGTTGAAGAAGTCGCCCTCGTCGATTGCGTTCTGGAGGTACCTGAATTCTCCCAGGCCCGTGTCTGAGTCCATGGACACTGTCGCACTAGATAGTCCAACGCTGATGTCGATGATGCCCTGATCAGGAAGCAGGAATCATTCAGGCATTTTGGTTTCCCATTTGCAAATTACATTGAAGTGACTAAAATCGACACATTCGGTGGCAGACCTTTTTGGACCTTGGTGCTAGAGGCGATGTACACGACTCCATATCCGCACCGACCACACTCCACAGCACAAAAGCTGTCCATACCACAAGATTGATTTCTAGCCAGCGTATTGGCCCCTTCATACTGTGGTCTCAGTGCTCTGAAGCTTGAGATCACTCTGATCAAAGTGGGGTGTTAATTGTAATGTAAGGATTTGCACTGCTGCCGCGGAGGGCCCGCTGCCATAACAACGCATCTGTAGATGCAATTGGTGTCAAATTTGAATCGTCCAGCTCCGGTGGTTCTTCTGTGGTTGTGTCCAAAGTGGCACGTGCGTTTGCAGTTTTAGCACGTGCGGACATCACGGATTCCTGCCCCTCGTCGACGAAGGAGTTGGCACCCGCGCACATTTGTAAATGCACACCGGTGCAAAGATGCCGGGATTCAAAGACATATTACGTGCTCTGGTTACGTCAAAGTCTCCTAGCAAAGCGAAATCTGGTGTCGAGACCTCGCAAGCATCTGCACAAGTCGAGCATAGTAAAGTTGGCAATGAGACGACTAATGGCGGCACTGACCACACAGAAGACTTATATCATGATCCATCGGAAGATCGAAGGCTTCTACGGCGATCCAGAACGCAGCTGTGGGTCTGGCGCTGTTTAGCATACCTCCTGTTGGCTGCCTTGATCGGTGAGGGCCTCCTTGCTTGATCCTGGTAATTTTAGATGTTGTCGATTATTCATAGTTTTCAGACGCTTGCAGGGTCGCAGATGTATGCTTGGCCAGAGATTTCTCTTTCGAATCTTTATCTGGGTTCCAAGACGCCCTACCTTACAAAGGAACAACATACCTGCATCGATTCCTTTGCACATCCAAGAGCAAGTGGCTAATTTAAGTCTGGTGAGAGAACGTGCGTTCGTCAGCATTGACACTGCCAGAACATCCCCAGGCCCATAGAAGATTGGTCCAAGAAGCCCTACTATAGTGGATCAAGCAGGCCTTGCACTGCCCGCTATCATGGCTCCAAATGGCAAATCACATCCCAATGGGCATAATTTACGTGCAGCATCCAGGACACCACCCGTCACGCCTCTCCTCCCATCCCTTCCCAAGGAAAGATTCTTGAACCTGAGTGTCCTGGCACTGTTTGGCTCGCAGGGCTGGCCATATCAATGGCGCTGGTGATCTCGGACCGCAAGTCCCTACGGCGGGAGGTTGGCGACTTCCGTAACACAACGCTCTACGCAGAGCGCAATACCTGTCCCGGCTTCCTGGACAAGGGGCAAGCGGTGCTGGAGTCTGACCGTGTTCCCTCCTCGGCCCAGCCAAATCTGTTTGAGGAGCTGACTGTTCCAGAGATGGCTGCGGTGAATCACTCTACACATGCAGCTTTACAAAATTCACCCGGGGTACCTGCTCTGTGTTTGGTAGGCCATTGCATGCCAGCTGTGCATGGTATATGTGCAACAGGCGCTGATGACTGTAGTGGCTTGGAAGCTGCAAGGAGAGTGGCCCTACCATCATCAATCAGCCATATACCCGGCCAGTGTATGCGCCTGCTCTGACAATATCAGACCTGCGAACAGTCGGCTAACGGCTCCTCAAGTCCTTGTTGCTGCTTTCTGAGCATCACCCAAAGCTCTCACAACACCGGCGCATCACTGTCAGCAGTGGATTTGAAACACACATGCGCTCCTTATATCGATGCATTGAAATTGACAGCTTAAGCTTGTGCGCAGGTGCGGAATTATCTCTTCGCGCAGGCAGACCTCAATCTCACGCGCTCGGACGAGGCCACCCCAGCCTCCAACGTCATCTATCTCATGGAGCTTCAGCCGCCGCCCAAAGTCCCGGCGCTGGCATTCCTTGACTCTGGCGGCGCAGTGCCCGCACCGCCCAGACAGGCATGCTCACCAAAGTTTCATTCCCTGTGTACATTAGAATACAAGTAATACTCTCTTGAATTGAGGAGGTTCCTGGTTTTTTGCTGGCTTTTAACTAGAGTTTGAGGTGCACGCATGGGCTATGGGCAGGCTCTCATTTAATACTCATGAACGGTGTCTCTATCTGATAGTATGAATGTGCCCAATGGTAGTTTAGATGTGCCCAATACCGCACGCTTCTTTGAATGCAAATTTTGCACATGATGTCATTTGCACAGGTGGGGAAGATTTGAAAATGAGAAATGCTGAAAGCCATGATAGCCAAATCGTATAGCCATACCAGCACCAGACAAGGTGGCACTGCGAGTGTTTCCAAGCTTGCACTTCCTATGTTTTGCCCCGGGCCTGGTTTAGCGATACCCTCGGGACTGACCAAGGGGAGAATGAAGAGGAACCTTCACTTCCTCCTCTTGACAATTGACTTGACAATCCCCTGTGTGTGCCTGTTCAGGCGCGGGTGGTGGTGTATTTGGGATACCTGGAGCAGCCAAAAGTGGTGGAGATGACAGTGGGGCCGCTGCCGGCTCCAACCAATTACACCATTCTGCGCGAAGTGCCTTGGAACACTCGGCCGCCCAACTCAGCCGAATACTCAGCGTGCGTTGCCCTCTCTTGCCTTTCTGCTTATCTCACCTTTCAAGTTCTTTGTTTAAGGAAGGAATTTGGATGGTGCTTGCTGCTTGGACTGGCCAAACTTATTAGGATTTGCTCAAGCGATGCGAAGAAGGCATCTATTGTGCTGAGGTCAGCATATGATCATGTCTGCCTTGTGCTGTTGGCTCTCTTAGAAGTGGAATGGCCACTTTTGCTGGGGGGGGTCTGCCTTCTGAGCAGCTTCTCTGTAGTTTGAACAGACAATCTGGCATGCACAGCTACTCATTGCCAATCCTTGTCCTTACCTGACAGCTCAACAACGCGGTGTGCTGTGCATCTGCATGCAAATCTGATGCGCGCATGGTTGGGGGGTGTAAAATATGGTGTAGGGTATATTACCTATAGCTCTTAATCATGAAACCAAAAGCAAAAAGATATGTTATTGGTCTCTGCAGGATGGATGCAGTGATTCAGGCGGCTTCTGCGCAGCTGGAGCAGTTCATGACTCAGAGCTTTGCCGGTTTCAAGTACTACAACTGCGAGTTTCCCCGCTGCCTGTTGTGGGGGGACACCACCCCCCGGGGGGTGACTAATGATCAGCGCCAAACCTGGATCTGGTTCATGCGCTTCACTGACGGCTACTACCTGAAACCGGTGAGTTTCTCCCGTGCTCTACTGCCAACCTCCCGACTTCTCATGTCTTTACCCTTGTCACCAGATGTGTATCTCTCCATTCTCCAGTAAGCAGAGGACTAGAGGACCTTGCTAGGCACCACAATGCAGTCTGCAAAGCAGAAGTAGGTGAATGAAAGGATTCGATGGGCTGGAGGGGCTCTACAGACGGACATGTCAGTGTGTATTGTGAGACAAGGGAATCCTGTAGGGACAGCGGGTGTGATCTGTACCGAGGGCATGCTTCTCGTCTGTGCTACGGTGGCAAGAAGACTGTTTGATGGATGCCGTTTGTCTTTCTCATTTGCTGTTTGCGCCACCCCTTGCCTGGCCACCCTTGTGGCTCAGGCACTGCTCCATTTCTGCTGCATGCAGACAGGACCCACTCTTCCTCTGCGGCACCTGAATACCAAATATATCTCAACAGAACATGCTAGACAGAAGTCCCATGTGCGCTGTGCAGATTGGGCTGGAGTTCCTGGTGGACCACAGGGGCAACGACCCCTCCAAGTGGGCGGTCACCCAGATCTTCTACAACGGGCAGGTCTTTGGCAACACCACCGAACTCAACACCGCCTTTGCGGATACCACCTCCGGGCTCAATCGCCAACAGGTGAAAAGCATGCTTTTTCTGGACGCATCACTTGTGGCATAGTTGGCATGCTTGCCTGTCGTTGGATAACCCATAAAGTGATCAACAGCTGATCCACTTCAGACTGATTTGGGCGCATTTTGGGCATGTCGAAAGATTACTGTCATAAGCGTTGCCAGCTAGGCGTTGCTTTGTCAGAATGCAGGAAGCTGTAATACTCGATGCAGGCAGCGCAGAGGATGTATTCTGTATGAGTTGGAGACAAATTTCATGGTGCATGGGATCTGTCAGAAGCTGAAGGGTTGTTCTACGCGTGCTTGTACAGTTGAGGCAGCCGCTGCCGGGGGAGATAAACTATGCGAGCCTCAAGCGGCAGCCGGGGCCGGGGCGGCCGGAGCCGAGAGGCAACGCCGCGCCACAGGTGTGAATATGAATTTGGTTCTTACTCTAGGTGGATATGGAATGTTCGAATGATGTCAAAAAGTACTGTAAGTTGAGACGTGTGATCTCGTTCAGTGCGAGAGTGAGAGCTCCGATCTTCAGGTATGCAGGTGTATTGCGGTGGACTTAGGGCACCAACAATTTACTTCTGAAATGTTGCATGCAAGATGGTGTGTGGGCAGAAGATGCATGCCGATTCAAGCGTGTCTGCCCTGCACAGTACCAAGTCTCCGGGGTTTCCCATGATATCAGTCATAGGTTATGTAATCGCAGGCGGGGTCGCGGCAGTACGAGCCGTCGGGGAAGCGTTACAGCATCGACAGGAACGCCGTCTCATACATGGGCTGGACATTCCAGGTCAGCATTGAAGACCACCTTTATATTTTGGGAGAGAAAAATGCAGCACACACATTCCGATGCAGCCCTACGGCCTCTGGCTTTGGGTTTGCCGACCATGTAATAATTATAATTATAATAATTCCGATGCAGCAAGCTCATCCCCAGATAAATCTCAGCACCAGGACGCCAAGGCAGCCTGGATATAGTGCCCCCCACTAATTTTCAACTGACTTGAGCCAAGTCTCCGTCACACTTGACGGCCAAGTCATGTGTCCTGCATACTGATGAGTGCTGTCCACGGTTCATGCCTCTGGCATTTGCAGCTGAGCATGCAGAGGGAAGAGCCTAACCACAAATGATCTGATGGGCTTCTGGACATCGCGTGGCCAGGTGAGCATTCGGCCGAGCGGGGGGATCAGGATATGGGACGTGCGATTTGGCGGTGAGAGGATTGCGTATGAGATAGCGCTGCAGGAAGCCATGATCTCATACGGAGGAGCCACGCCGTCGCAGGTGCCACCCATCTGTCATGCTGACTCATCATGCCTGACGTGCATGACACACACCTGCCGCTACGCTGCTGAGAAACAACATTGCCGATTTATTGCCTGCCTCTTATACCTCCTGTCAATTTGGAATATCCTCGTTTGATCCTGGCACTGCCCAGTGCTTCCAAGTTTTGGCATTTGCTTCACGTGTGCTCGTACAAGCCTTCTAATGACTCAGCCTCAAGCAGCACTGATCACCTGCTATTCGCAGCCCTACCACATGTTCAAAAGGACCCCTTTTGAGATGCAGACCCCTCACGCCTTTGAAAGTCTGGAAGAGGAGAGGATTCTAGGAGAGTCCTATGACACGGCCAACAGCCTGGGTTGCTCATTTGACGCAATTTCCTCATCTTTACAGCACACCCGTTTTGGCCAATCATGTAAATCCCTTCATGTCCAGGAAGATGTGTGACTTGAGAGATTGAGTCATTGCTGCGCAGTCGGTCACGCAGTCCTATGACACGGCCAACGGCCTGGGCAGCGGTTTCCACGAGTTGGTGCATGGGGTGGACTGCCCATTCCATGCATCCTACCTGGACTCGGCGGCGTTTGTGGACCGGGATTCTCCGTTGCTGCACCCGCAGAGCATCTGCGTTTGGGAGCAGGACAGCGGCAGGCCACTCTGGCGCCATTACACCCAGGCGAGCCACTGCATGTTCCATTCATAGATGCACCTTTCGGTCAGAACACTTTTTTGGGGACCGTAAATACGGCCGAATATACGGTCATACGGTATTAAAATATATGGAATACGGTCAAAAACGGCCTCTTTTGGCCCAAACACCGAATATACGACCGAATATTCACCGTATGCCGAATGGCCGAATTCCTATGGTGCTACTATGTGTTCCATAGATCTCTACACGAACCGTCAGGTATCAGGTCGTGAATATTGTTGGGTGCCTTGCCTGATCTAAAGAAATTTTCTCTACATGTCATGCTGGGGAATGGCTGCATGCAAACTTTGTTTTGCTTGGCTGGTTTGGCCATCCACCGGGATTCTGGTGCATGTCTGATCCCACTTTGTGTGCTGCTTTGATGTGTGCCTAATCCTTTTTGTCCTGGAGCATGCCTCTCTAGCCCTGTGGCAGGTGTATTGAGTCACACGCTCAGGAGGCCTCATCTGCCTCAGTTGCCACCCCACCGGCAGCTGCAAGTGCCCAGAGCTGCTAATTGAAGCCATCACTGCCCTGAAGTTGGCCCCTACTGGCGGGGGGCGGTACAAATACTGAGCACCGTGCCCACGGTTGATTGGGTCTTGCTTGGATCTGGCGAGTCCAGCAAGGGGTAGAAAGCTGGCAGCCTTTACATGCAGCTTGTCTGCAGACGCACCTTGCCTTAGGCAGGAAAAGCGCGTAATAACAACAATGATAATAACTGCCGAGAAAATCTGCAGCGCGGTGTTTTCAGATTTGTGTCATGCACGCAGGAGTTTGCAGCCAAGGGGAGCTTCATCCAGTACGGGGGAGTGGCGGACCACGCATTAGTCGTGCGGGGCATTACTACGGTCTACAACACCGACTACATGACTGATTTCGTGTTCCACCTGGACGGCTCCATCAAGGCGCGTTCCTCCTCTCTCCGCGATGATTACTAAGTACACATTGATATTAATACTGTACCTCCTGCTGCCCTGATTCCAGGAATACCGGCCCTCGAATTTTTGCAGCCGGCCTCTCAATTTCTAATCCCTTCTAAAGCCTTAACAAAATAATCACAAGGCCAAAAGAATGATCTGTACGGTCGAAATCGTCGTGGTGTGCTACTAATGTTCATATGTTTGACGTAAGCCTGCAACCTGCACACCAAGCCAGAAGCCATGTGTCTGTCCATCGTGCAGGTCAGAATCAATCTGCAGAAGTGTCATCAGGAGTGTTTTTCTCAGATCTGTCTATGCTTTCCCGGGCGGTGAGAGGTTGTGGTGAGAGGCTGCAGGGGCCACAACATGGGGTACTGTGGCGGCAGCTGTGCTGTGTGCTGAGGCTATCTATCTATGCTGGGGTGCACATCTCACATGGTGCCGAGCTCTCTTGGTGTCTTTTGCTGACCATGTTCCAGTCATCAGATTGCTGCTTCTGGGTCTCTTCTTGGACACGTGCATCTTTGCAATGACGCTTAATGCTCGAGTTGCACGGTACAAACTAAACCAGTGTTTTGATTAAGAAAGTGGCGAATTATGCCTTGGTGGCTGTTTTGACAGCCCCGCAGGGGCAAAAAAGGCCATTTTATGACTAGCTTTGCTTACTGATTGCCAATTTTGCCATTCATCATTACCTCCCCTACGGAAACGTGGCTGTTGCGCCACCCAAAATGTATATACCGACAGCCATTGTGCCTGCGGCAGCCCAATAATCAAAATGGCCACAAAAAGGCCATCAATTAATCAAAAAAGGCCAAAATGGCCGAAAACAGCCACTACTCGAACACTGAACTAAACCACATTCATGTTGTGCAGGTGTCGGTGGGGCTTTCAGGCTATGTGCTGGCAGCGCCCTGGAGTGGGGCGACTGGCAACTACTCCTACCCGCTCTATGCTGACATGGGCGCCAGCGTTCAGGACCACTTCCTCAACTGGAAGGTGCTGCAGAAGAGGCTTTATTGGCCAAGACCACCTGGACTCTTTGACTCAACATGAGGACTCTGACAAATCCAAGTTGAAGGCTCACTTTTCAATATGATAATTTGCTATTGAGGTCTCTGAGTCCAACTAGACGCATGAAGAGCTGTGCCACGTGCATGAGCGATGTTTCAATTTGCTGTTGTCGTACCCTTCCCTAGCATCGGGCAGTGCGTTTGCCGTGGTACCTCTGTCGATAGCGACTTCCCCACAATTCTTCCTATTTATTCTAGGGTCCTTGGCGTGAAAGTATCGAGATTCAGAATTTGTTCCAGTTACATGCTACTGGTATGGCAATGTGGCGGCACGCATTATACGACTCACATTGATCATGTCATCAATTAGTCACTGCGTATGTAATGCTGACAGGTGGACCTGGACATAAAGGGGACGGAGAACAGCATGCGCCAGGACTTCATCGAGATCGAGGAGCGGCCGCTGCCGTGGTCCGTAGCCGGGGCCAACGGGCCCGTAAACGGCACTGCGGCGCCCGTAACAGTCCAGAAGCGGCTGCGGCGCGTGCTGCCGGAGACGGAGGAGGACGCAAGTTTGAGTTTGAGTTCAAGCCGGCAGGTGATGTCAGCGGTGATCAGCGAGCGCAGCGTCAACAAGTGGGGCACGCCGCAGGGTTACCAGATTCAGGTGTGTGGTCGCCCGTTCATATTTGATCCATCCTGTTCTGACTCATACCGAGCATACCTTCTACTAGAGTATGAATGCTATAATTAATCTTGCCATCCTCCTTGCAATCTTGGCTGCGTTTATCTTGGAAGAGCTTGTCTTATGCAAGGAGAAATCCATTCTGGCGAGGACTCAAAAATTTTGAGTCAAAATCCATACAGCGGGTAGTGGTACAATATGGCCTGTGCCACAGCTTCTCATCACCTTTTATTCAAGAGCAGCAACTTCTCAACAAGCCCCTTGCGCACGTGCAGGTGGACAGCTCGATTAGTCAGCTGTATCCCGACAGCTGGCAGGCGGCGCAGGCCGGCTCATGGTCCCGCTACCAGATCGCCACGACCGTGCGCCGTGACAACGAGAGCTCTTCATCTTCCATCTACGCAGCCGCGCACCCGGGTGACTCACTCCTTCTGGCTTATATCTCTCCACAGTATTTGTTTCCTGGTTCATTGTTTTCTCGTAGAATAGGGCGCAGATTGGATGACAGCGAGGATTGCTGCTTAGGACACTTGGCAAGCTGGGAGCACCACTCACTGCAGGTGTTCTCAGTCAATCAGTCAAACAGTATAGCCTCCGCTCCAGATCAGCTAGGCAGTTTACTGCCGGCCAATCCCAGGCGCATTCAAATCTGAGGAAGATCTGATCTGACTCCACGGGCATACCATAGGGCCTGTCTGTTTCATGGCCTTGTGGCCCAGGGCTTTCACAAGGGAGTGTCTGCACAAGGTGCCAATTAAACGACCACCAGAAAGCACTCCGTGAGCAAGCAATAATCCTGACATGCATGTTCTTTGCCAAATTTAGGAGTGCCGCCGCAGCCGGTGAACTTCTCGTCCTACATCAACGGCGAGTCTGTGCGCAATACAGACATCGTCAACTGGGTGACGGTGGGCGCTTATGACGTGCCCACGAGTGAGTCAGCGCCAGTCACCGCCGTTACGGGCAGAGAGCTGTCCTTCTGGCTGCGTCCCTACAACTACTTTGACCGGGTGAGAGGCAACGCCGCCTTATTGCTGCAATCATTGCTTTGCCTGACTGCCATGACACGGCCTTGCATTGCGCGCTGCTGCTTTTGCATTTTTGCGCAGGTGTTGATAACGTGCAACGAACTTCTTGCCTCTTGTGTGTCTATCAGGGCCAAAGAATATGCATGCCTCCAGCCCTGCCTGTTGCAATCAGACTCATGTGTCCTTGCATTACCTGTCGGTATAAACCTGCCCTGGGCGAGTGACACAGGGTAGCAAAAGTTGGTCACTGAAGTCATTCTCTTGTCCCTGGCTGAATCTGCAGTGCTTGGCTTCACAGGGAGCTGCGACAGATCTGTACGGCATAGTGGTCATGTCTCCGACCAACTACACGCGGCGCGCGCAGCCAAAGTACGAGACATATGGGGTGGCCACAGACTTCAGCTGCGTTCCCTCCAAGAATGCTGCCCCCTTCAACCGCACTGAATTCTCCGCCTACGTCTAAGCGTGTCTTGTCGGGGCGTTGCCTGCTCTTAGCATGCGCCTGATTTGGCTTGGGCAAGGGGATAATAAGGCTTCCACATTATTGCCTAGGGGCGGAGGCTCTTCCTGGTGAGGAGCATTGCCTATTCTGGCAAGTACCACTGCTGCCAGTTTTTGCTGACACCAAAAGGAGAGTATGATCAGGAACTCTTCAAAAGTTCCTCTTTATACTCCACTTGGACGCACTGAATGGCACTAGGTTCCTTGCCGCCATGCCTGTCAACAACTCACGTTAAAAACAAGAAAATTGATACAGCTACGCGGGGTTGAAACATGAAGAGTCGAATGAGTCTAGAAGCCACGGCTACGCTTGCCGTTTTTGCTGGTCAATTTGCTCCAATGCAGCTGTTTCTGCATGCCGGTCTTGAACAGTTTTAGCAAATGCCCTTGTCTGGATCAAGCAGGCATAATTTTGCCCGCGTTTGTCGGCTATTGAAGTATTTCAAAATGTGAGATTTAGGATAGAACGCATTGACATTCTCATCGATGATGTCTTGCTTGCTGCTTTTTAGATAGTAAATAGATTAGTAATTACATGTCTATTAGATATAGCCGGTGGCAGCGCTGAGGTTGGAGGTGCTTTTGAGGCAACCACGTATGAGGTTAAAGTTCACAGAGAGTCCTCTTCTGAAGAATGTTTTTTTTTTTGCTAAAATTGCAAATAGCAGGGCAAGTCACTTGTGCCCAGACAGTGAAGTTCCAGAGTAGGACAAGATGCTTTTGTAAGAAAGAAGCTTACAATCCAATAATCTGTACATACTTTTGGGGCTTACTTGCCTTTGATACCTGCATTTTCCTATCTCTAGCCAGTATGACATAGAATCCGGCAGGACTTGGCCTGACAAGTAATCTAAAAATGAGCAGTCATTGCAGATAAACTGAAACAAGTAAATCAGGCGTGCTAGAAAAGGAGCCCCCATCACAGTTCTACAGCATGCGTTATCAATGCCTGCCTTAGCTCTAGAAGCTGGCTTGATGTAGCTATCAGGTCAAACAAGGATCAGTGCTGCAATCTACTTAATGATACAGAACAGATGCTGGTACAATGTGCATTTTTAGAAATCCCAAGGTGCACTTCTTGGGATCTTCTTGTCACGTGAACCTAACAGCTGCAGGCCAGCTGGTGCTTCAGGTCCTGAAATGCAACACCCCTTCACAGCGTTCCTGGACTTCAGATTGCCTTTGACTGCAATCACAGAAGAGTCTGCCGAGTGCTCAGAAGAGGGCTGAGCCCTTGAGTGCCTCGATTCCAATGAGGGCGGCAAAGCCGATCCTGCACAGCACCAGAAAATTCTGGATCAGACTCTGTCTCCGGACATACCAGAACTGCCTATTGAGCCATGATGATATGAATTGTGCAGGTCCAAAGCAAGACCCCATCTTTTGCTGGTGATGCAAGATCAAGCTCCAGCCTGAGACAAAATCATGTGACAGGAAGAACAACAGCGTGCTGGTTTCTGCTTCATTCTTTGCTGCTGGGAATTTTCTGATTCATTCACTCTGCTTTGGTGGGGCCCATGTGCTACAATCAATATCAGAAATCCTTATCTTCACAGACTCTTGTGCAGGGATTGCATGCGTGTATATGATGAGTGAGTGATAGGCTGCAGACTAATGAAGGCCCCGCAGATGTGGCTGCAGACGCCCTGCGTGTATGCCCTATGGCCTCTGGCTTTGGGTTTGCCGACCTGTAATAATAATAACTAAAAACCAATAAATCTTGTGTCACAAGTATCCTCGGCACCAAGGGGGCTCACATGGCTGCGCGGCCGTTGATGATCTCTGCTGAAGGAGTGAAGGGCCCGAGCGACTGCCCCTTGTCAGCATTCTTGAACAGCGGCGCGAGCGAGCCGGCAGCAAACAGCACGAATGTGACTGTGATCAGTGTAGGCTCCTGGGCCCACTGAGAGAGCACTCCCTTGCCTGCAGCAAATGCCAAATGCTCAGCACTGATGTTTGCCGCAAATGCTCTCAAGTAAGAGTCTTGCAATCTTGAGAAGCAGTCAGTGAATCCAGTCGAATTGGGAGTCATATTAGCCCATTGCAGGGCAATTGTGCTATTGGGGCACTGCATACCTCCAACCTCTGTGCCTTGCAAAAGATTTGATGCAATTGCACTTGAGCCATGCAGCCAGAGGAATGTTTGTTGGGTTGGAGTTGAGCTAGCACACCATGACTCCTGAAAGACGGAGCCAGGGCCTTGGGACTTGGGAGATTGCTACATAAGGGGCCTCTCCAGGGAGTGCATTTTGATGTGCACAAACATGCATGTTGACTGTGTTGTAGCCAAGCTTATCGGGAGTATATGGTCTCACCTGAGACAAGCTCTGCAGCGACTGCTGCCACAAAGCCCAGCATGGCGAGCCTGCCATTGGTCCTCTCCGGGGCTGGGCCAGAGAACGCCATGATATCTGTGAAAATTATATAAGCACATCAGTCAGGAGCAAGCCAGGTCAAGAAGTCTTGATGTTATGGGGGGCAGCAGGGAGGATCAGTGCCTTGTCGCAGATAGGATGTGTTGGGGAAAACATACCCCCTATGTTGGGAACTGAGCCTGCATCGCTGGTAGAAGGCGTCGGTTGTGTGTCAGCGACGCGTCCACTCCTCACTGCCGCGGCCCACTGCAGGCATTGCCTCCAAGAGTTAGCTTTTTTTGGAATCAGACGCATCGTGAGAGGCGTGCTCACTTCAACAGGCAAGTTCTTCTTTGGGAAAGCAGGATAAATTTTCAAATAAATTGTGATCAAGGGAAAAGTGGTATCCACGTAGGGGGTGCTGTGCGGTGTAGCAGAAACGAGGCATCACCTCTGATTCTGTGTAGCTGTTGCCGCCGTAGAATACGGTCGGCTGAATCGGCGCCTCTGACTTCACAACCTCATTGTCGCTGGTCGCACGAATTGCAGTCATCCTCCTCGGAACGGGGCGCGCTACTCTGCACGCAGGGGATGCTGCAGCTATCGGAACGACAGATCGCGCTAATGAAGCCATAGCGGAAGCAGAAGCTAACAGGCAGAGGAACCAGCAGTCGAATAGAGGTATTAAATGTATGTTTTTGACGTCCTATCTGAATTTATCGGCGACTTGCTCCTCTCAGAGTCCTCTCGACAGATGTTCTTCCATTTCGAAAGCGAGGTCTGCTGTCGTGGTCGCATGTGATACACACGTTGCTTGCAGCGCCACGTCGACCGCAATTTCCAGTGTAACGCTTCCAGTGGAATGTCCAGCGTGCTGTGTCATGCATACATGAATGCTTAGCATAGGGGGAGCTTTGACAACAAATGCTGCAGTAGAGCCTCACCAGGGACAGCAGGGTATGTATGTGTCCTTGAATTTACAAGCTTAAGCTTAGAAAGCGCTTGAACTTGGAATCTAAAAGCAAATTTGATCTTTAAGTCTCACTGAGGCACAAGAGTGGCGATGCGGTGTCAAGATGTGGATGACCGATCATCAATCAACCATATCTGCAGATCAAACATGTGCTTCCCTAGTCAAACATGCAATTGCAACTTAGGTGTGCAAGCTTGCAACTTGAGTGTGCAGTTGCAAATCCGGCTGATAGCATATATGTCCACAAAAACCCAGCATGTGCATTCACCTAGATAGCCCAATCACCCATCACATCATGACCTGTGATTGACTGACTGACATCATTTAAAGTGGACAAGCCAGCTGGCAATGCATCCTGGTCAAACACACCAGCACAGCTTTGGTGACACAACCATGGCACATATTCAAGTTCACAACGAAAAAGGAAGTTATTTTTCTTTGCATCAAAGCAGAACCCCAAGTACCCACTGTCACGCAACCATCCCCGGATATTGCAAGTTCCAAACTTGCAACACCCAGCTCGCTACATGTACAGTCCAGTAGAGAGACATTTAGGCATTACATAGTGAAAACGACATCACAATCTGTCACCAGCCATCACATGGCCTGGGCATGCATGCCTAGCATCCTGACCTGCGTCACTGCAGACGTGGCCCTCCCTGAACACTCGAGTTTTCCAAGATCAATTGTTCAAAAAGGAGTCTATGGTGCAGTCGCCACAGCCCCGAAACCATGATACACAAACTGAGACCACGTAGCATCAAAGACACCATGCCTCACATGGGGCCTCAGCACAGCGTGGGCAAACAAGCAAGCATGCAAAGTTTCTTCCCGAGCCTGCTCGCCTGGCAAATTCACACCCACTTCAACACAGTTTGCCTGTGATGAAAATCCCTTTGCCCATGCACCCTCCTTTATTCAGCTCCCCTTTCTTCAGCTGATGAGATCCAACCCAGGACTTGGCTGCACTCCGCTTGCTGCGCTGTTGGCTCGATTGGACGAGGCACCTCGTCCTGTTTATGGTCATCTGCTTGTGCTACCTGTGACTGTACAACAGGCGGCCATGAATCTTTCTTCGTGCAGCTGTCTCCTACAGTTCTTCCTCCTCTATCAGACCGTAGGAGGCTCCTTCCAGGCGCAGTCTCTGCAGACCCCGGAGAAAGGGTTTTGTACCATGTTTTATCCCCCAGGGGGAGGGGGTTTGATTTGATGGCGCGCCCGTCTCAGCTAGCGTTGCCCTCCTCGCTCCTGGCCCGCTCCAGCTTCTGCGCAACAGCAACCGACTGTAAGCCATAAGAAAGTATTCCTTACGGGAGTGTCACAAACCCCGCCTCAACACCCTTGTAGAGCACTGCACTCAAACATCCTGCTGAAAATCCTTCCTCGGCCAGTGTGCACAGGTTATCCTTGACAGATAATGCGTGACGGCAAGCAAGTGTAAGCCATAAGAGAATATTCCTTATGGGAGCGTCAGCAACTTGCCCACAAAGCCCACCTCAACACCCACTGAACTGAGAACATGCGGCTCTAAAATCTTCCTCATCCCTTGACAGGTAAATTGGGATGAGGGGATTTCTCACCGCACGCCTGCGCTCGGTGGCAGCTGCCAGCTTGGCCGCCACATCAGGGTCCCTGCACAGCAACTCTAACTTCTAAGGTATTGGCGAATCTCAAGGCCAGAGTTGCTTTGACATGTGACAAGACCTTTCACTAGACTTTGCCAAAAAGGCAAGGTTCAAAACTGTTCTGAACCTCCACTGCGCACACTTGAAGGCTGCAGCTTGAGACATTGAAAGCTTCAGGTTGAGGTTCAAAAGCTTTGGCAAACCCATGATCGATTCAGCTGACCAACTGCATGCTGTAAACCTCTGGAAATTTCAATAAAAGTGAAACCTCTATATAGTCACAAGGTTGGAGACCAGGACTTGGGACTATATCTACATGTTCTCATACAGATTCGCCAAACTAGGAAATCCTGCGGCCCTTCCTTTCTATGTAAACCCAAAGGGTTGATGTGGGGATGGAGGGAGGGAACGCGCTTGGACTGGGGTGCACCGCTCGGCTCCACCTGCAGAGCGTTCAGAGTGTAGCGGCGGGGGAATTGCGACGCGTGGTGCAGGCGCGGATAGGGGATATGGTAATGCAACGCATACTCCAACCGCTGCTCACCCTCCTGCACCTGTACTGGAGAAAACGCAACTGTAACAATGACAGAGTCCATATAATGCTGGCTTGCAAGGTTGAAGAAAAGCTCATATGCAACAGCAGACAAGAGCTGATTGCATGGCATATTTGGCGAACAATGCTCTGTGTGCTGCCATACATGTTGCCAGGCAAAAGCCAGAGAAAAGAGTGGTCTGCAAAGCCGGCAGATTGGATGGATAATTGCATTGGCGTTATCTGCTTCAGAGAATGAGGTCTCTAGTCAAAGCCGGCACGGCACGGCACTGCTTTGCTACCACAGCCTGATCATGGAGCAGCATGATGCTACTTGAAAACCCCAATGGGAGATGCAGAAGCCTACGAATGTGGCAAAGGGAAGTCAGATTCAGCTACGGCTGCAAAGTGGCAGGAGCTGACCAGTTTATCCACTTCGGTGGGATCGCGCACTGCTGCACTGCGCCTGAACTGCGCCCTTGCCTCCCGCTCTATGTACTCCCTCTCCTGAGACAACAAAACAATCACATTTGATTTATCGCTTGCCAGCCTTGGAAGGGAAGAGAATGCACGAATGCGGCTCGATATACTTTTGGGTCATTGGGCATGAATCACAGGCTGACAGCAGGCAGCAGATTGCTTGGATCGGCCTAAGATTGCCAAAAGGCTTGATATTTTCTGGGCAGAACAGAAATATCCCTTAGGCAGTACATCCTCTGTCCCTGCAGCTGTATGGCGAGGATATTGTGAGATACTGCTGCTGCAATGATCTGAGCTGATGAGTAAGAGATTACCTCTTGGCCTCCCTTCCAGCTGCGCCCCGTGCGCAGGATCCTTCGGTACAAGCCAAGCACTGTGCTCCTGGTGTCTGGGGGAGCTTTCATGCACCTGCCGCATCGTGCATAGAATCTCTGACGGTTCCGAATGTCATATGAGCCGGAACGGAGATGATGATGGCATGTATGGCAAGGACAGCTTGCTAGTTATGGGACGAGCTCCCATCCATGTCCAGAAACTGTAAACATGATGGGTTTGCCCTGTGCAAAGACGTCGACTAAGAACAATCAGTTCGTCAAATTGCAATCAGAACCCAAGAATTATCCTTCGCTTCGTGCAGTGCATGGATATCCTAAAAGCCAGGCCAGACTCTGGGGATCACCTTTCAAGCTACGATGCTATTAGGTTGTTGAGGCAGCTGCGGCTATTGGGTCCCGGGGGCCTCGCTTGTCCAATTACTTCTTCAAAGGTGAGCACCAGATGTTGCCCCACGTCGACGCAAGCAATTAAAAAGTTGGACCAAACAAAATCGAGGATGAAGGCAGGAAGAGAGCTGGGCTTGTTGAAGTACGCCGCAAAAGCGATCTCCTCTATACCACGGTAGCGGAGCCTGCGTGCCGGCATGCTCCAGATTCACATCGTGGGCACCGACTCAACCGATTGCTGACACTGATACGATCATGCCCTCTGAAAGCGGCCCATCGCGTGCCAACTTCGCTGGCATTGTCTAGTGAGTGTCCTCAGACACGGTAATACAAGGAACCCTTCGCATCGTGCACCTCCAAGGAGGCAAGATTGGACCCAACAGGAGGTCACAGGCTCAGCTGCGAGAAAGCTGTCGCCGGGACTCGAAACAAGGGTTTTGAGGCGAGCCTGAACAGGCTCCTCTTTCGGAACCTTGCTCACCGATTTAGACTCCCCTCCGCAGACTGCCATCCTTAAACTCAATCGCAAGGACGATCTTGATCCCAATACAAATGCTTAGCACAAATTAGGTACATTTGTCGGGATCGGCTTGTGACTGCCTCGTAAGCAGAAGAGATCAGGGAAGATCGGGACCAGAATCTAGCGAACAGATCGAGTGGCATGTTCAAGAACCGACACCAGCACATCACCACAGCAGCCTGATTGTGGAGTCTTCTGACAGTAGGTATTCTACCACTTTCTCCGGGTATGTGTCAGGTCACCTCTACGGTGTCTAGGACACCGCCTCCGATCGCGTGATAAAGCGTCTTGACCTGTTCTTTGAATTCTCTGCAAGTTCAAGCCCACATCCCATAGAACTCCATCGATGAATCAAACTTGTATATAAATAATAGATCCAACTTGATTTTGTGGTGATCGTCAATCGCAGGACACAGGCATCGCTGGGACACGATCAAGATCTAGCGAGCGCAGATGCAGGGCGACGCTTACCACGCCCGGTCGATGAATGCCGCAAACTTGAAATCGGCTTTCACAGCCCCAGCCGACTTCAGGTTGGAAAGCTGCAGCCCGGAGTCCGGGCTCAGTGAACTGGATGGAGCACTCGAGTTGGACGGCCTTGAGCTGGGCCCAGAGCTCCAGTTCCTCTTGGAGTCGCATCTGTCCCAATCGCCCACCCACAGCGACAGCCACTTACTCGATTCACTGGACAAGGTGCGTTTCTACCATCGCCATCGGTGTATGTCGGGAAGTCGCCAGCAGATGTCACCCCAGGGGGGCTGGATCCCAGCAGCCCGAACACACAACTCTCTGCCCTGCGATGTTGTCAGACTGACGCAATCACAACGAACCTCCAAATTCCTCTCCGACTTCGTGAGTTGCATAGTCGCCAAGAGAAGATCCCTGTTCGCTCTGGCTGGCCACTTCTGCCTTGTCAGACGCAGTGACTATGTTGAAGCACTGCTGTGCTTTCAATGCACAGGGGATGTCACCATGCACGCCAGATGGCATGCGCATGGGCAGCAGAGGCGCTCAGAGCCACCCCCACGGCCCCAGGAATGTCATCAACATCACAGCATCAAGCGCGGTATGTGCACCCGACAGCCAGGACCCTGCAACCTCTGCTGGCTGGTCCTTGTCAGGCCATCGCCATGCCTTACTGCCCATCATGCATCATGGCTTTTGTTCTGGCTTGCACCAGCACACAGCTGCCAGCGCTGCAGAGGCGGTCAAAGGCAGTCCGGCAGGTCAACACTGTGAGAGCCATGTCTGCGTGTTGACATGCCTGCATTCCTCAGCCTCTGAAAATAGATCAGGGTGGCCCAAAGAACCCAAAACAGTCCTGTATGATCTCAAAGTGATGCAACTTTGAACTCATGTTGATTGTGTGCGCGCAGGGAGCACATCAGCCGACGATCAGCCTGAGCGCGTGCAGCACAGACAGCCGCACAGAGCTGGTGTCCACCACCGACAGCCACCACCCGCAACCGCGGGGGGGCCGCCCCCCGCGCCGGGCCGCCGCAGCCGCCGCGCTGGAGGCGCACCACATCGTGGGGGGATCCCCCGGCGCCGCCAGCGGTGGCCACCACCGCGCCGCCAGCACACCCCTCCCGCAGGTGTGACGCTGTGATCTCCTTTTTCTTTGGGGGGATTCGGCAGTGTTGTAGGTCAGAAGACAGCACCTTGAAACGCCGATGAAGGGACACGCTGACGATGAGGCGCTTGTTGCGTAGACCTAGTGGGATGATCAGCTCTGCAGATCTGCTCTTGCAGAGCACTGCACCCTCAGCTCTTGTGGTACATGCAGTCGCCAAAATTAACAGTAAGTGGCATCAACAGCCGGACATACCCAAGCTTGTTAACCCTGAGGATCACAGCAGCGCAGGCCTCCTCACTCCATAGCTCATCCCGCAAATCTGTGCAGGGATCACGGCAATTCTAATGCAACATGTCTTTCTGGCTTTGCAGGCGCGGCTGGATGACATGGACCTGGATGTGAACCTGGACGATCTGCTGGACAGCGACTGCGACAAGCGCAGCGGCCAGAAGAGGCCGCGGCGGCGAGTCATCGTCGAGACCAAGGACGCATCTGGACGGCCCTACACCGCCGCAGAGATCCGCCGCATGAAACGGTGCGCCAGCCTTTCCTAAATCCAAATACATTTGAATTCAAACAATTCTTACAAAAATCCGTCGCATTGAGCGGTGTGCCGCCCTTTCTCAATTTCAATATTGATATCAAGGACACTCTCACAGAGATCAGCCACATTAGGCGCTGTGCCGCCCGTCTGCCATTCTACAATTCTGAATCCGAGCCCTCTTTTGGGGAGGTCTCAATGTGACATGGGAAGTGCGCAGCACCTGCAGCAGGAGGAAACACTGCATGGCATGCATTACTTCCTATTGTTACGTGATGTGTAGTTTATTCGCGGGAGACTGATGGGAGCATTTTTGGTTGCGCAGACGGATTACCAACAGGGAGTCTGCCCGCCGCATGCGGCTGAAGAGGCAGGAGGAGTGGGGCATCATCAAGCGCCAGGTGCGCCCACACAAATAACTTGTCCCAAAACTTCTAAACCTTCCCCACCCCGCCTGTGGCTCTGGCTGTTTGCAAGCAGGACCGATCCTGCAGCTTCGGTTGACTTGCCAGCAACTTGCTTGCACTGTATTGCCTGAACGAACAGTCCTCCTTGACAAGGAAACACCCATGATTACCACAGCTCATATAGCAACCAAAAAGAAAGTGAAACAAAAAGTAAAAAAGAAAAAAGGTGCTGACCCCGGGGTTCGAACGCAGGCGCGGCTGATGCGCGAGGACGTCCAGAAGATGGGCAGCAAGGTGGCTGCGCTCCAAGCACACTGCAGCACTCTGGAAGGCGAAGCGGACCGCTGGCAGCAGCTGTGGAGGCAGGCTGCAGCTTCAAATGCACAGCTGACTCAGCGCCTGAAAGCACAGCATGGAGAGCACGGCCGGCCCAGCGATGTGAGTGGCCTGCCCTAAGGCCTTACTCATGCTTACCTGATGTTTGTTAGATATACTGCCGGGCAGGATGAGTGGGCTGGTAAGGTCTGTGGGTCACCTCAGACTGCTGCAAGGACTCTCTTACCGGACGGCACAGCAATGTAGCAGGCTTTGCTTTCCAGCCCAAAGTTTTGCAAGACTCCTGTATTTGCTTGTCAAAAAATATCACGGCTTTTTGGAAATTTGACTCTCGCCGTGAGGGCTCAAGAGCTCAGCTGGTGGCAGCAGATGTTGTGACATGCAAGCAAAGTGGCACGGGCGATCTGCTGTCCCGGTGTATGTCTCGCCCAACGGATCTTGGGGAAGGAGTCATGCATGCTCAGATGGCAAGTTCTGTGTCTCAATCACGGCCATGCAGAGGCATCAAGGAACAACACACTCTTGGCTGATGCCTTGTTTGTGTGTGCGCAGGGTTATGAGTCAACGCTGACGAGCCCAGAGCCGCCGATGTCACACGAGGATCTCCTCGCAGCCGGAACAGGCGCCGCTTCAAAGACCCTCCCAGGTGAGATATATTCCTATACTCACCAGCACTGCTTATGCTCATCTGCAATCAATGCAATATAAACCCACCCCCTCTCTGAAAATATCCTTCTCCCCAGTCCCAAGAGATGAAATTCAATTCAACCGCCAGCATTGCAGTGCCTGCAACATATCTCGGTTGACAATTTCTAATTGGCAGACCTCTCAGCTGACATATCTGCATCTCAGGAGAACCGGTGTTTCATATTCCGGCGGCCTTCTTTCGACTGTCTAAGTCTTGAATGCCAGGAGCTGACAATGACATTCAAGTGTGCAGGTATGGGACGCGCACAGTCAGCGGCTGGGCCGTCACCGTTCGGCGGCGATGTCACCGATCCGTTCGGTTCTGCCCGCCGGGCAACATCTGTGCCCGAGCCGGGCAGCGGACCCCTCCGCACTTCGTCTCTTCCCACTGTCGCAGGTGGGCTTCACACCCTGTCATAAAATCTTACGATGTTGTTGTCCGCTTGGCTCTTTTGGGCTATGAAGATCATGCAGCTGCTTGCATTCTGCTGCACAGCGCATGCATCGAGAGACCAGATTCGTTGGTTGCCAGGAGTTAGCCAAAACAGGCTTCCCAGCTGATTAGCCAAGCATGATGAGCAGCATTCCTGCACGGTGTTTGACTTTTTGTGCAGTGGTAGTGTGTATCAAGTAATTCAAGGGGAGAGAGCCAATGCTGAGGGCATTATACTGCTGCACAGGGGCTTTGGCGGCATTGGAAGAGGAGGCGCGCCGTTTTGAGGACCGTTTCGAGGACGACGCCGCGTTCGCCACCCTCTTTGACGGCTTCTGAGGGGTGTTTAAAACCGTAAAACCCTCCAAATATCACAACATCAGAAATTCACAGAAAGGTGGCAGCTGAGCTTTGTCGAATTTGGCCTTCAAGAGGGGGTGGGCAAGACAATCTTGGCTAATATATTATATAATGCCTTGGGCGGTTGACTGGGCAAGATTCAAGCGTGTGCAACACCAAAGAATTACCTGGGATCTAGGTTGGGAGTTCACATTGACAGCACTGTGATGTGGGCTTCATTGCTGGTGGCGTCAAGCAGGAAATTTCAAACAGCTTCAAGAGCATCAAGTTCAAAGAGCCTCAACCCTACAGCAGAAGCGGAAGTACCTCCAAAATAAGGGTGCAATATTGCATGCAGAGATTTCCTTTGATCACATCAAGGAAGGTACCGGTAGGCAAGAACAGTTACATCGTTTTCTGTAGTTCCAAGCTATCTGCAGAGTAGCTGGGGAACCGATAATGAAATACATTGCAAGAACTATGACTGTGTATTACCGTACTGAGAGAACTTATAGCCATGCTGAGTATAAAGGACCATTCATTGGAACAGTGGCAACAGGAACTAAATACATCACGATAAGTGTGTCTTGCGTTTGTATACGTCTGTAGTTTACGGTCTTATAGACTCCCGGCAAAGTACATATTCAGGCAGGGTGTCTTGATGTCACTGTTTATATTTGTTATGTTTCATTAGATGCAGCACTTGTCGGAAGGGTGTTGCAGCCGTATTTGAAGATCCATGGAGACGTTCAGTGGATGTTGCAATGAGGATTATGCCTGCCAAAGGCACACAAGAGGCCTGGCCTACTCAGCGCTGTACACGGGACAGTCAGCGAAAGCACATACTGCCATTAGTAACTGCCATTTGTAAACATGCAACTTATGTTTGGAGTCTGATGCCGGCATAGGCGCCTATCATGGACACATGGTCACATGGTGCCTAGTCCGCACTCAATTTGTAACGGAGACTATATCACACTTTGGCGACCCGGATCACATTGTTCACTACTTCCTCAAGTGGATCCATGAAAGTGCCGATATTGACCTCATGAGGACAGGCCGCCTTCAAGGCAGCACACAATGCATCCATTGTTGTCGACATGAACCATTCTAGATACAGCGTTTTTGGGCGTGCACAGAATGCCGCCAGGTCAACAAACTCCAGCTCAAGATTTGCAGGACTCCTCCGTCAGCTCTGTGAGTGCAAATGCTTCATTCCCTATCCATTCATCCTCATAAATCCTCAATGTTGCTTGCTCTGTTATCCTACATTTATTTCCATGAACATCGAGCTATGTAAGTATCCCCAATTGATTGGCATACGTTCCTACTAGGCTGACAGCACAGGCGCTCTCGCGCAGCTGCTCTCACGCTGCTGCCTGGCTTCTGGTGAGGCGCTTCCCAGGGCCGGCCGCGTTCTCTGCTGCACCCTTCCTCTGCCGCTTCATGGGCTTTGCCTTCGCCGCAGCATTGTCACAGTTGCCTGCATCCTCTGCCGGCTCGGCTGCAGCCGTCTGCGCTGCCCCTGCGGCGCCGTTCTCCGGCTTGGCAGTCAGCACAGCAGCAGCCCTCTTCCTGCCCGGCTTGGCCTTTGCTGCCGCTGCATCCTGAGAGGCTTTTTCAGCAGGTGTCACCTTTGCCTTCTGCGCTCCTGCCTTTGCCGGGGCTACATCCGCCGCACCAATCTGCCCTGCGCTGACCGATGCAGCTTCCTTGGTCGCCATTGCCGCAGGCTTGGTTGCTGCGAGTGATTCGGCTGCCCCTGCCTTTGCCGCAGCCTTCTTGCCTGCGCCGGCTTTGCCGGCGGCTGCTTTGCCGGTGCCTGCTGTGTCAACGGTGCCAGTTGTGGCAGCGGCAACGTTTTTGCCGTTGCCTATTTTGGCGGCGGCGGCCGGAGGCGCGCCAGATTTGACACCGCCGGCGGCGGGGCCAGATTTGGTGGCACCGAGATCGTAGCCTGCCTCCAGCGCGCGCAGCAGGCCGGCTTCGCGGCGGCCGCGGCCGTCGAGGGATTTGGCGAGGGTTGCCGCGTCGGAAATCACCGACCACTCGTCACTGTCCGCGGCGCGGAACTCGCTCGCCATCAGCACCGCAGCATCAGCGCTTCCTGCTGCCGCCAAAAAACACAGCATTAATCTCTCTGCCATGCTTGCCCTCCTGAAGTGCTCAGCCACGATTGCCACTTGAGAGATCAGACATGCCATTTTATGTTGAACAGAGGCCCTCTTTTGCAGCAATCTGCAAAACTCTGCGTCGGGCTCTCATGTAAATTTGCCTGATGGTTGGCCTTGCAGAAATTCACAAGCAAATCTCGGGGACTCTATGAGACAGAAACCCTCTCAGATCTTAGAGCCTCTGATCATGGTAAAATGAAGATGCATTTGTAACGCGGCAAATGTAGGTGATACATGGCAAACATACCGGCAAGGACGGGGCAGCAGGCGAGTTTCCAGAACAGCGCGCCGGAGCGGTCCCTGCCGAGCGGCAAGATGCGCACAGCTGCCGGGAACGCCATCGCAGCCCCGGAGCCAGGCAGCTGCGGGGCAGCCGTCGCAGCCGCTTCGGCGTCCACCTTCGCCCAGCTTCTGTCCATCAGCGAGCGCTGCTCCTCTATCGTCAGCCCAGAGCCGCTGCCGCTGCACATAGAACATGCATCCATTCCTTACTGGCATTGGCATGAACATAGCTAAACTTGCCTAGGGGTTTCCAGGGGTTTTCTGTCTTGGATCAAGCATGCAACGCGCCAGCAACACAGCAATGTGCCAGAGATTGTCTACTATGTCCTCTACTCAATTTTGGAGTGGTGGCAGGCAGACATGTGGCTGACCTGGCCAGCAGGAGAGCAATCTGTTTGTCACGCTGCTTTTGCCAGGCCTCTCTTGCCTCCCTGCAGCAGCACAAGCAGACAATTGATTGAAAGCGATACACAAGACCTAACGCAGGGTTTGGATGGTGGTAAAACATCCAAAGAATGCAGTGGTATTGCTGGAAGACTCCAAGGCTCAGCTAGGCATTTTATTCTCCGCTGCCCTGCTGTAGCAAAGGTTCATGCAGGTAAACAAGGAATTACAATGAATGAATGGGCAGATGAATACAGGGGTGTCTCAGCGCAAAGGGGCTCATAAATGTCGGACACACAGGCATGCATCCAAATACCTCTAATGACACCTATTGGCACGAATGTCTTACACCTAAGCGCTCCCCCGCAGCATAGGCAGCTGCAGGGGCTGGGTCAATCACCATGGCATTTGTCTTGCACATAATATACAACCCCCGAGCACCCTCATCACACCCCTAAGCAGAAGTGATAAATGTGCGCACCTCTTGGCGGCAGCCAGCTCTTCTCTGCGTCCCTTGTCTTCCTCAGCCGCAGCGCCCATCGCATCCTCCATGCACTGCCTGATCGCACAGGAGCAAGTTGATGCTCAATCATCGCCTCTGCAAGCCAATTGTACATCCAATTCTTTCTATATATATTTTTTGCCAGTTTTGCCTTTTTTTTCTTTTTTTTCTGCCATTTCTGCAGTGCATACTCTTTATAGAAAAGCTGTCACCGAAACACAAGGCTTGGAATTGCTGAGCGGATGTCCGGGAAAGGAGACAGTGTTGGAGCGCTGTAGGGGGCGCAAGCTGTCTACTGCTGTCTTGGCCGTCACGGCTCGCAAATGGTCAACACAGTTGATTGTCGTGGGACAGCCTCTGGCGTTCAAAGAAAGAGTATATGGTATATACCGTCATGGGTGTTGTGTATCAGATAAAGTGTCTGCTGTCCACAACTGTCGGTGCGGTAGGTTTAGAGGATGACTATGACAACTGCAAAGGGAGATTTTGCAGTCTGTCAAGCGCGGGGAGGTCTGGATAGGATACCTGATGGCGCGCGTTTCGAGGGCGTCGAAGCAGAGTGAGCGCAGCATGCGCAGCCGTGTGCCCGGCTGCAGCGCCCAGTAGCCGCCGGCAGGAAACATTAACAGCGAGTCCTCCCCCTCTGACTCTTGGTCGCCCCCCACCGCAGCTGCCACCGCCCCCGGCGATGCCACCGCTGCATCCACTTCTGCGCCACATAATATTGATGAGCCCACAAGCCTTCGTTCTTTTTCTTGTATATCAGACTCCAATTCACTATGAATTCCAAGAAATTCCAAATTTGATTATAAATTAGAAGGAGAGTAAGTAACAATACAAAGAAGGAGCTCAGGCTTTGCCTTGCTTCTGACTCCTGGAATAGCAAACTCACGCTGCCTGCTGCCATCAGAACTTACTTTCTCCAGTACAAACCAACACCGCCCCTGCATGCATTCCAACCAATTGAAATTACTCATCTTTAGCAAAGGTGACTCACCGTGATCATTGGGCAGCTGCGCGGCGGCTGCCGCAGCGCAGCCGGCGGATGAGGCGCCGGAGAGGCGGTCGAGGGCGGCCAGGCCGTGGAGGCGATCCTGCCTCAGGTACTGAGCCATGACCGGCTGCCAGCCGTGGATGCCCACCGAGTCGCGAATGCCCCAGTCCGACCGCACCTGCGCACATCGATAACTTCGACTTGAGAATGAAGGTTCAGCTTCCCTTGCAAAGATTGAGCAGTCCTGCAAGGTCACTTTTCCCACGCCTGCACTGCCGGAAATTTAAGCAAGCACGCCCTCCAAATAATTCCTGGTGTTTTTAAATTCACTGGAACAGAACTTGAAATTGGGGAGTAAGTTCTAGAGGTGCCATTCGATTATTGTAGTCTTACAGCAACATGGCCCAGGACACAGCAATTGCAGCTGCTAGTATCTGTGTTGTTGCATCTGCACATCCTTTCAAAGGGTGGCGTTTAGACAGAAATGATGACAAGGCGTTCCCTCTCACCAGGTCCAACAGGCGCATGTGAACGTGGCCTGCCACCGAGCGCTCCTCGCGCGTGTAGGCGCTGTGGCCGGCTTCTGTCGCCGGCTGCAGCAGCTCCACCGCGGCGAATGACAGCGAGATGCCGGCTGTGCCCGTCTGCTCCCCAAACACCTGCTCGTGCAAAGATCCCGCTGACAAGGGTATATTGAAATAAGTCATACCTAGGCACCAGCTTGGCCACTTGCATTCAAAGGAAAGCAGGAGGAACAGGGATGCCATGCGAGGTTAACGGACGCCAGTTTGATCATGCTGCAGCAGAACATGGTCAGCATTGCCTGGGATATTGTTCTGGATTGATCAGTTGACAGGAACCCTGTGTATCAAAGTGAGGAAAGAACTCCGCTAGTGCTATGAGGTCCTGAGCAGGAGCTCCTCTTGAATTCCAGATTGATCATCTTTGTGCATGCAAAGAGCGCTATGAAGAACAGGGTTGCACTGGTCCGGATGATGTAATGGCAGAAGCTTCACAGGACTAGCTTCCTGGCTGGTCATTTTGGTGCATGCAGAGCGCATATGCATATACAGGAGCTGTTGATTTATCTTTGTTATACCACTTACCTTGAGGAACTCCAGGACTTCTGCCAGGTCGCCAGCGCTGCAGTCGGGGGGCAGGTCGACTGTGTGCGCCAGATCAGGCGGCCACCTCATATCCGACACCTCATCGCTCACCCTGTGCATGCGCACCGCCTCCCTCTCCTGCGATGCAAACACCCTTGTGGCTTTACTCTTACAGTAAGCAGCTCCTGCTGTGTCTCAGTCTGCTCACAAAACACCCCGCCCGAACCTTTGCTCGGAACTTCTAGTGCTAGCCACTATCACTGGGTCGTCCTGTCAAGGTGATCTGCTACTTGTAAATCTCTCGCCCTCATCAACCGTATGACCTCTAGATGGGATTACCTAGCGGAGCATGCAAAGCAGGTATGTGGAAAAGGTGAGCCTGGCTCGGGCAAAGGGGCACCATAGCCATTTGAGTACTGAAAGGAGGACAACTTAATATCGTAGAGGATTTCATAGCAGGCCATCTCCAGTAAAATTTCCCTGCTCCACCAATTCGACCATACTGAAATGTATAATGTATCTGGCATTTTTTATTGGTAAGAGTGAGAAATATGTGAGCGCACAGGCATGGAATGCGGCCGAGCGCCCAGCAGCTCGTCATCGATCAGGTCCGGGGCAGCCTCGGGCTTTGGCTCTTTCTTCTTCTGGGCCTTGGGCTTCGCCTCTCCTGCGGCCTGTTTTGGCGCCTGCAACAAACGCTACAGACATTCTTCGCGGCGTCCAAGAATGGCACAGGTTGGTGTCTCAAGGGGTCCTCCTTTCTACCATGCAAGAGGATCTCTTTTGCACGTTAGACTGTGCTGTACTCATCAGGCTCATTACGGCTTGTGTGATTATGATCAAACTGTCACATGCAATGTGATGTGGCCATGCATAACAGATCTGGATGGCACAAAATGAGGGGCTCCCATTGTAAGGCATATATAAACCATGGGGATTTGTGTCACCTTGGCTCCTGGGGCCTGCAGGGATGCAGAGGGAGGCCGCTTGGCGTTGGGGTTCTTCTGGAGGAGGTCAGAGACGGATGTAAAGCCAGCAGCCTTGGACATGTTGGCCAGAATCCCAGTGGCCTCCAGTCCCCGCTTCTGTAGGTGGCAGCCGAAAACTTTGTACACGGGATAGAAACTTCAGAGTCATGAATGCATCTCAGATCAGACATCAAATGTGCCTGAAATGCAAGAACAATGCAAGTAAATGCCTGAACATGTGGGGTCCTGATGCTGAGATTGTAGATGAGGGGTCGCCATATACCAACAAATTGTTTGGCTCAGAATGCGCTGTAAGCTTCATTGACTCTATTGAAGCTCAGTGCTGGAGGGAGATCCAGAATGTGCACCTTGCGGCAGTTGCTGCAGTTGCAGATGTCCCTGCACTTGGGGCACTTCCACTGCGCCAGCTGGTTCACCTGCAACCCCCAAGCTCACTTGGTACATGCAGATCTGGGCTCTTGTCCTTTTATGCTGTATCTGGCTAAGAATTCGAAATCATCGAGGGCAGAGGCAAGCCTCCACAAGACAAGAATGCTGCCAGGACACAAGGAAGAAACGGTTGTTGATGTTGCAGTGATTGCGTGTGCTTGGTTCGGACCTTTTCCACTTCCTCGCCATAGCGGTTGAGCAGGCAGCGGGGGCAGAAGAACATTGTGCATGTGCCGCATTTTGCCTTCACCTCCACTGTCTTCTGGCGACACTGCAAAACAGAAAAATGCAAACCATTTGGCATGGTCCTAATTGAGCAGTGCAGAATCACACCCTCAGAAGGATGTCCTTGCAGAGCTTCGCACACATCACAGTCTGTGCTTGAAATACCAAGTATTGGAACCTGCGAGAACTGAAAATGGGCTGCACCTGATGGCAGGTGGTCCCAGTCTTGCTATCATAGATCCTTCCTCCCTGCAATCTCAAAATATCAGTCAAGTCTTCAAAGATCTCAGGTGTCCAAGAGAACGATGCAAGCCCGTTGTAGCAGCAGATGACGATCAAATTGATTTACCTGTACACGCACACCGGGGTCCGTGGTCCGTTTTTTCACAGGTTTTGACGCAGCAGCGGAACCTGTCGCAGCAATAGAGGTTTGATTACTTGCTGCACGCTTCTCAAAGTTACCAGCATTGTGCTACCTTGCTCTAAGTACGGCCCTTGTAAGGGGATTGAAACTTTTTTGAGCTGGCAGATTGCTATTTAAAAAACCAATATCCAATTGGTGCAAATGGTTTTATCTTGACCGTTGATTTAACATCTTGGCGCCGAGATGTTCGCTACATTCAAACGTTCCCCAATACTCAACAGAATGATGTGAGAAATACTAATATAATGCAAGATCACCATCGGGGTTCTCTTTTGCCCCTTTGCCTGCGTTTTTGCCCTCCTCTGGAGCTGATGCTCCATCTTTCGATGGCATCACGACTCCCGAACAATTTCACTTAATCGGCTTGTGGTTTCGCTACCCGTTCAGTGGTGTTGCTTTTTGTGCATCCAATCCACAGAGTGGCGCATCCCTTGCAGTTCTACGTCACAACCTTCAGAGAGGAAATTTGAAAGCAAGACGGGCAGATGCAGGCACGTGCGAAAAGTGACGCAGGACTGACTGATCGCGCCAACATCTCGAGCCCAAAACTCCACATCACAGCCGATCGGGGCATTTCGGCGCTGGAAGCACAGCATATGGGATGCCTGCGCTTCACATCTATGGCAGGAGGTGGCACACGTGCACCGACATGGTGCCCGTGCCCTCCATCCTTGGTCTCTTGTTTCACGGAGCATGGATTGTGGTGTTCGTCTCGCTCGTTGAGGTTACTCATGTGTGGGAGACATGTCGTGGGCCTGGAGTACACTACATAGTAACTACTGCTGGCCTTCTGGCGGTGTTTGTCGTTTCATTTGTGGCGGAGGTGCTCTTGACAACGATAGGTTGCAGAGGTGCGCAGGCCTTGCAAATTGTACAATACCATATGACTTTTGTTTTGGAGGTGTATTTCGGAGATTGCAGCCTATCTTGCAAGTGATCTGTCAATCTAAGTTGCCTGCATATGCGAGGCGCCGATGTATCGCATGTCTCCGTCGATTTGAGAGGAAATTCACAAGAATAGTATAATTGTCTCTTCGTATACAATACAAGTGCCGACTGAATTGTTACCAGTCAGCAGTCCCTGCCGATGTGCATTTTTCCCAAAAGCACTTTTATGGATGTTTTGTGTGTCGTGCATCTGCTCTGCAGGAACACCATTGGAGATTTCTAAGCGGCATGCGGTGGTTCCGATTTTATACGTTCAATCTGTCGTGTGGATTCTGCAGGCAGCCTTTATGTGTACGTCTCAATCGTGGTCTCGATCTGTCCAGCTGGCACCATCTTCTCAGAACCCCTTGCTCCAAGCTGGCGTTGTGCGTGAGAAAGTGGCTGTACAAAGTCCATACATACAATACAGGCATTAGAGATGGTGCATTTACGCTAGGTTAAGATGCTCAATACTAGGCAAGGCTGTTGAGAAGGTCACATCTTCCCCAATCCACTGCAGGGCCCTTGAAGGGGGGCAATTTTATGTGCTCTGGGCACAGTAACAATATGCCGGAAGCTCACCAAATGCAATGCGCTGATCATTCCCTGTCTGCGCAGTGTACGGTACTGTGATGGTGGCACACGTTGAGCCATCCTGCTGGACGGGCCTGCAGCGAAAACATGTGCTCATGACTGCACAGGCCATGGTCTACAGCACTTGGATCTTCTCTGCCGTCCTCTGGTGAGCCCCCACTGTTTGCCCTGCCCGTCTTGAGGAGGGCGGGTGTATGTTCTGAGCAGCATGCCCACGGCTGATCGGGTCTTGCCGACATCTGAGCCCATCACGGGGTAGGACATGCAACAGCGATTATCTGCAGCTTGTCTGCAGACGCACCGTGCCTCGAACAGGAAGGAGACTGTGACCAAAACAATAACATCACCTTGGTTGCCGGTCATGCATGTACGCACCGGCGGACCTGGAAGGAGAATTGCAAAAGGGAGAGAGCATGTCACAGGCTGCCCGCATTGGGCTTCTTCAGGATTCACTCAGAGGCAGCCATGCTTGCCCAGATGATTGTCCATGAGAACAAGGCAAGGCTGAGCGCTGATGCAAGTCCCTAATGTATGACAGGCTGACGGTGTACATGGTCTACAATGCGTACCCTTCCCGGGCCAAGGTGCGCACATGGGAGCAGCGCGTGGTGTGCGTCAGCTGGATGCTCGGCTGCTACAAGACCATGATGCAGCAGGTGGACGGCAGGTGGGCCTGATTGAAACCCCTCAGCTGTGATCCTGCTGTCATCGATGAAGCTTTGGCCTAAGTGGTAGCCGGGCAGCTTTGCAGAATAGCCTCAGACTGACGAGGAACTGGTCCATGGCAGAGTAGCGTGTCATTGCCTGCTTGATAGCAGTCAGCTACAATCCAAAGGTTCCAGCTCACTGTGCTGCAATTGAGGGCTCCTGACCAAATCAGCAGCAGCAGAAGTGCGCACTGCAGCAAGGAATTCACCACAATCGAAAGTCATGGGTTTGGAGGTAGTAGTGCAAGCGGTTGATGCATTGAGGCACGCCAGACTTGTGTCAAACGCTCTCAGAAGTCTGTAGTGGTGATGGAGTAGGTGAGTGTACATAGCTTGACATTATATGATGCTGAAGTGTTACTGTGCAGGTCGGCTCCCCTCACAAGCGTGGCACAAGTGCTCTCAGGGCTGTTTGGCAATGCAGACCTGACGCCGTCAGACCTGATAGCGGCGCTTGTGCTCTGTACAGCCGCACAGGTAGGCCAGCGGCTCTCCTGACTGCTTCTCTGTGCTCCCAAAGAGATTTTTCGTCTCACCTTTGCGCAAACTCACACACGTGCTCGTGCCTACTGATATTGGCTGGGAGAAAGGACCACGAGGGGTGGAGGCTGGAATGATGTCTGCGCATGACTGCCGACATAGTACGGAGGGATGCATGTGGCAAGTAGACTTTGGCATGTGGGCTGATGGAGTATTGAAAAGCCAGAAAGTTGATGAAGATAAGCATGTCCTCGCTTGAGAGAGCCAGCATTGCCAAATACAGGGTGACAAATTTTTTACGACATATCTGGTTGCTCATGGGTTGCAGCACCAGCGCCGGCGGCTGCACATCAAACACGCGCTAGAACCAGTGGAGGACGCACTGAGCGCCATCACTCTCAGCGAGAGCAACGACAGCCTCGGCCAAGGTGAGATCTGATTGCTGCCTCTTCCGGAACTGCTCTTCGATCCACTGACGTGGTTTCCATGTGGGGTTGTGGAGTTCTGCCATCCATCCAATTCGGTCACATTAGTGCTCAGACCCTGTATGTTGTAGCGCTCGACTTCCACTGTTTCAAGGATCAGCAGTGCTGCCCCTGCATTTGCAGCCTGCAGATCTGTCGGAGATTGGCAAAGCTTCACAACACAGATACCTTAAGGAACTCGGCTTTGCCAGTCAAACCTGTTCAGGTGGGCTTATGGATGGCCACCAGAATGATGTTTGATCCAGGGTGTGCTCAACTATCAAATCACCAGAATTGATCTTGACATGATTTGAAATGTTTCATGCAGGCGGCCCGAGGGACGATGGCGCGCAGATGTACACGGGGATTGACAAGCGAACGCTGGCCAAGAAGACCTCAAACTTCAGCGGGACGCCCCCCTCTGCGCCCCCCACTCCCGGCCGCGCCGGCGAGTCCCCCCGAGGCTCCTATGACAGCTCCAGTGGCCGGTGTGTCTACCTTGCTTTACATCCCAGCCTCGTAACTCATCTAATAGGGCTCTCGGGACAACTGCCGCATGTTTCAAATTCTGCATGCAGATGCTCATGCTTTGGGACGAGCTATATCGCCCTGCGCTCTGGAGCTGAGTCATGCGGTGCCTGTCATGTCAGCACAATGAATTCTTGCGTCAGGAGTTGTGTCAAGACCTCACATGCCCATTGCTGTCGGCTACAAAAGGATCAGGAGGACATGCCCAGCGGTGCACTCCATCAGAAGTAATGTGATACTTTGCATGCATGTGAAATCTGTGGGTGGCAACCTTGTGCCAACTGTCATGTGCGCACGGACGGCAGGCTGGCGGAGGTGCAGTTGAGCACGCTAAGGCACTCGCTGGAGGGCATGCGCAAGTCCAACGTGGACCATACCGGGCACCTGCAGGGCATCCTCGAGGCAGACAGCTCGCAGGAAGCCATCAGCACGCAGTCCAACGGAGGCAACGCCGCCAGGCAGCCCGAGCAGACAAACCGCATCGGCCGCAAATCTGACAGCGTTCCCGAGCGGGCGGCCGTGTCAGATCAGGCGACGGCACCCCCCGCCGAGGGATCCTCCTCCGGGGGGACCACGCCTGAACAGGCAAGAAGCAGCCATTCGGCCGCGCCTGATCAGGCCACAGCCGTGGCCGCCAGGGGGCCCGAGCCTGAACAGGCGCGGCGGCCGGAGACGGCCGGCCTTTTGGAAGCGGGGAAGTCAGCCTTCAGCCGCGTGACAGGCGCCGTCTTTGGGGGAAGATCCGCAGAGGATGCAGAGCCTCCAACGCGAGAGAGCAGGGCTCAGACAGGCGCGGAAGATGCTATGGAGAGGGGGGAGGGAACAGCGGTGGCCGGGGAGACAGCCAGCGGAGAGCTGGCAGTGAGTAATGTTGCGAGTGATGTGAGCGAGGCAGGGTCAGGGGATTGGAAGGGTGAGGAAGGCGAGGACGGGGGAATCGCCGGCAAGCTCAGAAATCTCAAGGAGCGGTTTTCGCTGAGGGACGGAGGGCGCTCAGAGGCGGATGAAGGGGAGTCTGAGCAGGAGAGGGAGAAGCTTCACCTCACACAGGAGCTAAAGCAGAAGCTGAAGGAGAAGGTGCGACGACTTCTGTCTCCTCACATACGACTCCAAGCAAGTTTTAATGCACAGCAATCCTGTAAAAGCATGGCTTGCACATTGCATACCACCCTGCATGTGCTGGACATGCATGCAGGCTGGATTGCATGCACACCGTGGTTGTGTGCTTAGCATTATAAGCCAGCTATCTTCCCTTGCAAAAGGATAAATTGAACAATTTTGAGCGAATCCAAGATGTGGGTGTTCAGCAAGCAACTGCTCTGTGGTGACCTAGGTGCATAGCGAGCTCCATTCCTTGCATGCAATCCAGCACAACTTCTCCAAAATGATCATAGGATTGCGGTGTTCAAGCGAGCACCTGCTCTGCTGTGTACAGGTGCACAGCCAGAGCAAAGCTCGGCGAGAGGCGGGTCCCACACTCAATGCAGGAGGACACAAGGTGACGGCGCCTGACAAGGACACAACAGTGGTGCCACTGCCCCACAGCCACCACCATGAGAGCTCCAGTGACATCGGCCCCATCTGGACAGAGAGGGACTCTGCTGGGCACGGCGCCAAGCAGGCAAGCCTCTCTTTCAGCCATGCAGCCACCATAGAGATTTGGTATATTACTATTGATATTATTGGTGTTCTTGCTGTTTGGACGCTATTGCTGCACACAGAAAAAAATGAGCTGCAGGTGAAGGGTGTTACATATCCTACCCCTTGATGGCCTTGCCTGGTGGTGTGTAATGAGGAATACCGAGTGGTCTTGCTTATTTGCTTTTAATCGTGTGGCAGAGGCCGATTATGATGCTAATAATAAGATGATGATTACGATAAATTGAAACGAAAATGATAGAACTGCCAGCTCCTTGAGACAGCATGGAATGCAAACAAGGAAGGAATCTGAGCAAGCTCTGATGCTTTACTGCTCAAAAAGCAGCTGCTCTCGGGTTGAAAACTGATCGTTGATGCCCTGACAGGCGGGCGGCGCTGATAGGGTGAGTGAGGAGGGGCGCAGTGAGGATGGCGCCAGCGCACAGGGGCAGCCTGGCACACTTGCAGCCATAGGCAGCTACCTTGGCAGCTGGATAGGCATGCCCTCCGTGGATGAAGGTGCGCACACCCGTTACTGCATGATGAGTCCGAACACTTGTATGATCATTTGTTGCACATGCATGAAGACCTGCCAGCGATACATGCGTGAAAGCAGGTGTTGGTGTTTATCATGCAGATTGGCCGGTACTGTCATCTTGAATGTGCAGAAACAGCCCTGCCCTTCCATTGGTGCTTCACTTCAGTGGCAAAGGCCTGACTGGTTCAGGCTGCCTTGGACTTGATGAATGAATGCACTGAACAGGTCTGGATATCTTTATTAGCACATATTTTTACTAAGCATCAGTTTCTCCTTCAAAATTATCTCAGCAATCTATTAGCAATCTGTCATGAGCATGGTGATCAGCACTGATTGGAGCGCTGCATTGTGTCTTTCCGCAGGCACAGAGCAGGATTTGGATGAGGATCTGATGGCGGTGCCCGATGTGCCTGGGGAGAGCCCAAACCACTCGCGCCATGGGACGGCCAAAGGGAATGGATCCTCGACTCCTTTCATGCACAGAAAGGGCTCTGTGACCCTGAACCTCAGCGAAGTGGACGAGGATACACTCCGGGACTTTGAAGTGAGCGACTCCTGCCTTCAATTCTGTTTTTTTTTTTTTTTTTTTTAGCAGAAGTGTTTGCCAATGCTGCTTGAAAGAATACAACATGCAAAAGTGTAACCGCAATACTACCTGGTTATCAAATGCAGAGGGCTGTCTTTTTGCAATTGCTATAAAGACAGCGCAGCACTGCTGTCTGAGGCTTCCTGCGTTATTGGAAGCATCCTGACTGAAACGCAAGACTCACCTGAGCCAGTGGCCCCTCATTAGAGACTGCATGTCTGGCCGCCATGCATTTTCGATATAACAATTCAAATGATATGAGGTTGAACTTGACAAAATTCAATTCTGTGGTGCAGAAGAGGACGAGCGCAACGGGTGAGGGCATGGAGCAGGCTATAGAGGACTTGCGCGACAGCCGCCGCTTTCCCGACTCGCGGCGCATTTCTCAGAAGTTCCCTGTCATCCTAACTCCCTCTGAGCAGGTCACAGAGCAGGTGCGCAGACAGATTGGGTTCTCAATTCTCTGTGTTATACACATCTATTGTCTGCAGGTCTGTCACAAACATTCCATGCCTGTATGAGATGGACCAGGCAGCAGTGAGTGATAAGCGCATTCCTGCATCGACGTACATGCGAATGTGCCTGCTCATGCAGTGCTTTGTATGGTGCCATCATACGTACCATTATGGCAGGCCCCATGCAGAGAGAGGTTGCTTTCAATGCAGCCACTAGATCTGAGCACGAAGCAGAAGGCCAAAATTTCATGACTGTTGCAGGTAGAGGAGCTGAACATAGACATGGAACCAGGGGAGATTGTGGACGACATCCTAGGTATGGCCTCCTGCTGAAAGCTCTGCTGCAAAGCATTGCACGCTCAATCCCCCATCTGCCATTGCAAGAAGGCTGAAGCAATATCCTGGAGAGTCAGTGCAAAAACATCACAGCCAGCAGACGTCGTTTCCATGTACCTAGTCGTAGAGCTGCAAAGTCTTTGCTTCTGTATCCTAGCAGCATTCAGGAGAGACTGAGTATCTAACAGAGGCATGGAGTACTTTCTGTTAGGGGGCCATGCCAATGGAATATGTATTGCTTCTCTGTGATCAATACTCTGCCAGGTGTGACACGTGAGACAATCTTCTGTGCCTTTCTGTCACAGGTAGGCGGAAGAACGTGGCGTTTGATACCCTGGAGGAGGCAGCAGTCTATGCAAGGTTTGCATGCGCAGCCTATGCTGTGGTGGAGTACCAGGACACCAGGTGCTGACCTCAGCACCATTTCTTACCCCGCTCTTGAGTTCCACCTCAAAACAGCATCATTACGCTTCAAATGAACTTCTCATGCAATCTTTTGCTGATTCCAGTGCCGCGCATGAAAGCAACTCTGTCTCATACTATGCAGGTTTGTGTCCTTGTAAGGAGACATCCCGCGAAGGAACAATAATTACCTGCGGCAGGATCTATGAGTAGCAAGGCTTGCAAGGCCGAGGAACACGAATGACATTCTCTTTTCATGTCATCTGATGCAGGGTTACATAGTGAAACTGCAGCACCAAAAAACGAAAGACTGTGTGTGTGATGTGCATCTCCTGGTAACTGCAGGGATGAGGAGCCCAAATTCAAGATCCCTCCCTGCTGTGGAACCTGCGGCGGCTGCTGCTGCTGTGCTCCCAAGACAGTGGAGGGCCAGGATGAAGTCAGGAGGTGAGCTCTTCCACATGAGCATGATCCCTTGGAAATGGCCTTATTGACAGCGCAAAGTGCTGAACAGATTAGAGCCCGAATCAATTAGAGCCCGAATCACACACTATATTTATTTGTAGTGCCCGAGCAGGAAGGACCTTTGTATATGTGCTGATGTTGCCGAGTAAGAACTTTTGAGATGGCCGCATTATCAATGAAGAGAGGCTTTGCCTGGGCTGCCATGCCTGACCTGGTGTGAAGAAGGATAGGGGGCTGCCAGTCCTGTCTGATGCTGTGAAGTTTGATAATTTTGTTTAATATTTGTCCCCAGGACTATCGCTGAGGTGGCGGGGGTGGACGAGAAGGACATTTTGTACTTCAGCCCCTCCAATCAAGTGCTCGCGCATCTGCCCTACTGCATCGGTCTGGACAAGTACGCGCCCGACATTCCCCCCTAACCTAGTGTAACAGATTACTATCTGTTACTAAGTGGTTGGTTGGGGGGCCTGCCCCCCCACACTCAGTAAATGCTGGGCCAATCACCACTTATGATTCGGGCACCTGTTCCTTCACACATCTTCAGACTCACATCCTGTTGTGTTGCAGTATCAATGCCAGCACTTTGTGCACGTGCATGTGCATGTTTCAGTGCTCATGCTTTTGCGAGTTTGCGGAAAAGCTGGGATCAGAAGGTTGCCACGTGCCAAGGTCTAATGCGTGCTTCAAGGCTCACATATGCATGTGCTGCTTCCAAGCGTCAGGACGACTTTTTGCATTGTCCTTGTCCTCATGTTGCAGAATGTGCCCAATGCTGGGCTCCCCCAAGGTGTCATGCAGATCTTTGTTTCTGCAGGAACCCAGCTCACATGTGCAATACGCTGTATCCGTGCGCCAAAATTTGAACTAAGCACATTGTCCTGACTTTGATAGAGTTTCCTTTGCAGGAAGCACAAAGCGGTGGTGGTGGCGATTAGGGGCACGATGAGCATGGCAGATGTGGTCACAGACGCTGTCGTGCACCCAGAAGGCATCGATGACTGGCTGCCGCCAAAGTTTGCCAAGGTGGGGTGCTGTTCTGCGGACCTTGTGCAGTGTCATAATGCCCGTCACGTGTTCTGCTGCTGAAAATTTTCACTCTCGGTCGGTAGGACCTGCAATGATCTGGCAAGCCCAGAGGGGAACGCACCTATGTCTGAGTTCTGCTGGTTGCGCCAAAGCAGAGCCTTATGTCTCAAGTGGCTCTTCACGTTCCAGGCCTCATCTGGACAGCTCTTGTTCCTTGAAAGGGGACACTGCCAGTGTTTTGTAGCCCAGCTTGATTGCTGTCCATGGCCCTGACAGCGCAAGCGTGTGTTGAGGGTTCAGGCTTCAAATTTTGGGTGTTGCATGCGGCAGGCAAACAAGCACAAGCGAGGGACAGCGTTCGGCCATGCGGGGATAGTGGCGTCAGCTTCTGCAGTGCTGGCGGATCTGGAGAAGGGGGGAATATTGAGGGTTCTGCTGGGGGGCGACGAAGAAAGAGAGAACATGGAGGACGAGGGCGGCGCCGATAGTAAGGGGGAGGCTGTGGGCGCCTTCATGCAGGAGAAAGTGGACGCCAAGGTGTGCTTAAATCATTTGGAATTCAGAATAGTCAGAAATTTAAACTTCGGGATTTTCGAAATAATTGTTTTTTTCAATGAATAAAAATGTAGAATGTGCTTGTGATTGGCGGTGATCACGAGAAGGCCCTGCTTGGCATGTAAGTTGTGGCTGGTCGGCATGACTCATGCGAAGAGAGCTTCTACCAGGCGTTTAACAGCCTCTTGAAGCAATTAAGAACCATGCATGCGTGGATCAATATGACGTAAGGATTACTCTTGCGAGCTAATTCTTGTTGTGCGCAGGGGTATCGGCTGGTGGTGACGGGCCACAGCTTGGGCGCGGGTGCAGCCGCCCTCATCTCACTCAAGCTGAGAGACCGATTTGAGGGTGCGTTCTGCGTCTGTCAGTTTGGGCACATGCTTTCTGGCCAGAGCTTGAAAATGCCCTGGCAGGTAAACAGCCTTGTTGCTTGTCATGCTACAGCACTGCGGGGAATTCTCCGTTTTAGCAGGCCTGTAGCACTGCTTGGAACAGTCTGTGCCACTCCTTCACGGCATATTTTAACAAGCTTTCAGGCGCCATAATGTGCAAAGCACATGCACATGAGCTCTGCAGACGGTCTGTTGCAGCTGTCGCATATTCTTTACACCTCCCAGGGCTCCCATGGACGGATGCCCCCCACGACGTGCTGTCACTCTACATGTAAGGGTCGCTTCAAAGCCCCCTTTTGGGAACTATGCTGTGTGAGCAAGTCACTGCCCCGCAGGCCGCGGTGTGGCTTATACAGCTGGGTAATGTATTCAGCAGAGTCAGAGACAGGAATTGCTCTGCGCAGAACACAAGTGCTGGGCGTACAGTCCGTCTGACCGGCTCAGTCAGCAAGTCACTGCCACACATGCCGCAGAATGGCCAATAAAGAAGAGTGACCAGAAAAATTTTGTGTTTGAAGGTTCTAGTGGTGCTGCGCAGACCTCAAGCACTGGGCTGCCGCACAGGATGCAGGGTGACTATCACAGTTGGGTGACTAATAATGCTATTCCTGCACAGATCTGAAGTGCTGGGCGTTCAGCCCTCCCGGCGGCCTGGTGAGCGAGTCGCTGCTGCCGGCAATGCGCGAGTGGTGTGTGTCGGTGGTGTGCGGCAAGGATGCAGTCCCGCGCATGACCGTCAACAACCTCGCCCGCCTCATGGACGAGATGATCACCGCCCTCGCGCGCTCACGGTGCGCTCCCCTTTTGAATGTGTAGGGTCTGGGGGGTTTATGGTACTTCTTTCTAGGGTTGTGGGGGTCTGGTTTTTATACCGTGAACTTCAGAACCGCCGCGCCTCATGAACGAGGTGATCACCGCCCTCGCGCGCTCACGGTGCGCTGCCCTTTTTATGTTTAGGGTCTGGGGGTTTATGCTACTTCTTTCTAGGGTCTGTGGGGGGTCTGGTTTTTATACAGTGAATTTCAGAACCGCCGCGCCTCATGAACGAGATGATCACCGCCCTCGCGCGCTCACGGTGCGGCTGCCCTTTTGAATGTTTAGGGTCTGGGGGGTTTTATGCTACTTCTTTCAAGGGTTTGTGGGGGCCTGGTTTTATACAGTGAACTTCAGAACCATCGCGCCTCATGGATAAGATAGTCACCGCCCTCGCCTTCCTGCTTGATTTAGGCTTTGAAGGTTGGGTTGGGGGTCTTAAATATTACAAAGGACCTAGATTCGCGTTCTGGAATGGAGGGGATGGCCACTGTGCTTTCAGCTCCCAGTTTCCTGCCACTTCCGGTCTTGGCATGCATTTCAAGGGTGCTCACTTGCGTATTTCCCGTTTCTAACAGTCCTTGTGCATGGCATTGTGGAATTGAGCATCACCCTGCGAGCTCCTAGGTACCGTCATTTGCCAGGCAACGCATGAAATGACAGCAGTGTATTGCTATGTGCTGTGGCGTCAGCATCCTATACTGATGACTACCGGGCAAATGTGGTAGTGCTGGAACACAATGTGGAAATCTCTTTGTGTTTGCGCGCAGGCATCACAAGCTGCGCGTGCTGATTGGCGGCTATTGGCGCAAAGAGAACCGGCCGCCGCCGCAACACCTCTTCCGCGCCTACGATGACATCCCCCGTGAGTGCCGCATCTTCCTCGAAAAGTGAGCGGCCCATTTTTCCTTTCCCCCTGCCCTCTGCAAATCAATGATGTGCGATGATGCTTGCATGGGTGCTGAAAGGAATGCTGAGGGAGGGCCAGACACTCTGCCTGCTTTCCCCAGGGCAGCTGCTTCTGCCTCAGCGCTGGTTCAACCCTGCTCTAAGCCTCTTTGTGCATCTGAAGAAGGGTCTTTTCATCAGCATCTTTGTCTGTCACATCCAGGTCCTGCAGTGCAGCTGGGCATTGCTCTGCTGCGCCCTATCTAGACACCTGAAATCATTGCTGGGACCACACAACATCGTTGCACCAAGCGCCAATGCGAATGTTTCATCACTATTTTGTGTTGAATAGCGTCCCAATCAGCGCAGTATTCAAAGTACACCAGATACTGCGCATGCAGGGTGATCACCGATTCGTCAAACTATCAAGCCTTGGGTATTGTTGTCTCAGCCGAATCCAACGGCGGTTCAGATGCAAGCGCTCTGCTCCAGTGGTGCACGGCAAGAGCGCAGCTGTGTGCCCATTTTGATGTGCCGGTCATTGGCTGAACAGTCACATTGCAACCCTGCAGGTACTACAAGAGCGTGGAGCGCCGCGGCAAGGAGATGGACATGTTTCCCCCGGGGCGCATGATCTTTGTGCGCCCGCTGAAAACACTGGTCGGCCGGCGCCACCGCGGAGGGCCGAAGCGGATGGAGAAGGGCTGGGACTGCGTTTGGGTCTCCCCAGAGGAGCTCATTGCCGAGGGAATCCTCATCTCAGGCCGGGTGCGCTGGTTTCTTCGTCCACATTACGTAAGTGACGCTTGCAGAGGGTGTCCAATAGGAAACGGTGGGCAGATTGACAGTCGGCGCCTGCGCTCATGACTTGGAAGGACCAGTTCCCCGGCACGTGAGCTCATACAGATCACCCTTGCATCCCTGACTGACATTTCATAATTCCCCGGCGCATAGCCTCTCCCAAAGAACACCGCTGCGGCACCTACTGGGCACTTGTCTCACAGCATCACACTCCATCTTCCCAGACAGACACTGTGTTATGCATCTGTAATGATTCTTTCTTGAGTGAGCTGGCGGACTCAGTTTTTGGAGACTTGCGGTGTCATACATCTGTGCAGGCAGGGCATTGCCACACGCAGTCTATGCCGTTGAAAGCAGAAGTCCCACTGATCAGAAACACCCGCATTGACCGGTGCCCCTGTGCGCGCACATGATGGACCACCACCTGATGTTGATGTTGATGCAAACCCTCTGCAATCCCCTCTATTATACCCCCGTAATATAAATTAAACGGTTATACCCCTGTTCGCGCAGATGATGGAGCACCACCTGCTGCAGTCAACGCTGATGGGCGCCCTGGACCACTGCATAGAGCGGCACCCGGCCAACCCACGCCCCAAAAAGGCTCCCAAACGGCGCCGCCTGCGCAAGAAGGCCGACGACCCCAAAGACATTGTCGAACTGGCGCAGGTGTGTGCTGCGGACCTTGTAAAATTTCACACGTGTGGCTTACACATGTCTTGCCATGCGTGCATGTGATGTCGTGACACGCCGTTCCTGCCAGAGGCAAGGTAAGGCTGCAGACAAGCTGCAGGTCAAGGCTGCCACATGCCCTGCCCGTTGATGGGCTCGCAGGTCCAAGCAAGACCCGATCAACTGTGGGCGGGTGCTCAGTATTTAGACTGCCCCCCGCCAGCCAGGGCCGGAGCCTGCTTGTGCACTGCTACATCTGAGCGCTGTGAGGCATCCGTCCTGCTCAGTTTGGGCTCATTGGGCTCTAGAGCAGATGTGACTGTCTGTAGTGCGAACCAAGAGGATCAATTAGACCGAGCACACAATGCTTTATATACAGTGAAATCTAGTCAGCCTTGTTGGCTGCACGATGTGATGTTTCTCTCTCTCTCTCTCGCTCTTGCTCAGGCAGAGCATGGGGAGTGCTGAAGCTGTCTGTGAGAAGACAGGACACGACTGCCCTTGTTTTCAAGGGCACCCTGTCACAACTTGTGATTGGGACTTTTGACATTGTAGTGATTGTATGGCACAGGTGGTTGTGGAGGGGCCTGACCAGCAGTCCCCTCTCTGAGGGCCGCCGCTGGGGGACCACAGGGCACTCGGGAGGAGCAACTATCAAGGATCAGAAGTGTTTCATCAAGTATGAAGCAACACAGAAGATCGGGGCAGTTCAAGCTGCCTTGGAGCGAAATGAATTTGCAGACGGGCTGGAAGCACAGGCACAGAGAGGGTTGTATTCCTGTTGGTTTGTAAGCGACAGCGAGTCATATAGAGCGCCCTTTTTGGCAGATTTGCCAAATGGCAGGCCTAAGAAAATTAAGAAAATCTTTTTGTAAAGATTTGGGGCCTGAGATCCTAGAGGGCAGGACGAGGATCATCATGGCATTTGATTTCCCTCGTTTGAAGATGAGGTGACGAACAGGTTGTTCAAATGCGATCAGTCTATGACAAGACGCCTTTTGAGCGAATCTGAGCAAGCATGGCATGCTTTTGGAGATGAAAGCGACACACAGCTTTCAGATATTCTTATCCAACGTTTCCATGGTGCCCCTTGGAATGGCGATTAGCCCTGGGCAGTTTTAAAGCCATTGCTTTCTGCTTTGGGCACCTGATATTGCATGCTATTCGAGGCGTGCGCAGGAGCAACTGAATTTTTTAGTATATTTCCGCTCAGAGAGATCCAACTTTCGTGGGTGAGATCTAAAAGGGAGAGTGAGCAGGGCTGAGGCTCACAGCGTTGGCACTCTAAGCAACTCCATAGATCACCCCACTGAGAGGCAGCGTTGTCTTATGCACATCTGTATATAGACGATTGAGACTGGCAATAACCAGCCGCTTCTCTGAAGACGGATCATAAGGAGAGCCCCAAGGGGTGCCAAAGAAGAATGTTTCGATTTGTCTCCAGTTACTGGACTCCTCGAGTCACTGGAGCTTGCAGTGATTTTGCTGTGTGCATGTGGAGTGAAATATGGCCGGACTAATAGAATCTCTGGGAAAGGACAGCTGCAGATAAATAGACGGCATGCCTTGCAATGCAGCCGCAAGCGAGACAATTTTCAACAGTACATATTGCAAATTCTGAGACAACAAGGACCTTGTAAGGAATAAGTGTGTCTGCTTGTCGCTGTTTGCGCCCTCGTGCATGGGTAGCTTGCCACTGTCCATATCTGCCAGCGCTGGTTCTTGTGGGCTGAAGTACTTCATTAAGAGCATGCACACTGATGTCAACACAGAACAGCCCTCCTGATTCAGGTCTGAGAAGAAAACGTTTGTGAGTTGCTTCAAGTGTCTATGTTGACAAGGCATAGGCATAATCATAATCAGCAGTTATAATCGGTGCAACTGGCCACAATATTGTTTCCCAGGCTTTCGAAGCTACTTGGCTGGTAGTAAATGTTTCGCTAGCAGAAGAGGCAGGTCACTTGCACACTACCACCGCCACTCAAAGATGCAACTGCTGCCCTGCTAGCTGCTAGAATGTAATGCCGCTCTGCTGAAAGCAGGCAAATGCTAGCTGCAAAAGCGCAGGTCAGAAAATTCCGGCACGAAATCCTGCATGCAAGTCTGCCGCATCCTGCAGTGTGCAGATGCGCTGCAAACATTGTAAGATGTCCTCCCAGGCTGGCCAGGCCGCTCAGCCACCAGGCAGCACAGAGTTGGCATGCAGCAGCAAATATAACAATGTCTGTAAGATTTAGTGCGTCATGTCTCACGTTTGGATGTGATATTCACAGCTGTCTTGACTGCATGCGAGATGATGCTGTGCTTTGGCAGGCAGCAACCATCCTCGCAGGAAGAATACAACAGCGTCAGGGTGTTGAAATAGGAGCCCCAACCGGCATCAAACATCTCAGATGGGAACCAGTTTGACCTTCTATGGACATTGCCTGGACGGTGGCACCGAGCGTCGTTCTCGTCAGTCCGCCCAATCTCGAAGAGCACCTGAGCAAATGGGGCCATAGAGATATGGCCTGCCCAAGCCCCAATCGAGCCGCAAATTGAGGGGCTGGGGAGCTCAAGATAGCAGCAAATTCACAGATAACTCAGAGTATAGAGTAATAGTGCTGTAAGCAAGCGCCTACGTGCGGACCACTCCAGTTTTGATAGCCCTCTGCAGCAGCGGCACCCGAATCTGTGACTTGGGCTGGATCACATTTTTACCACCATGCCTTTGCCCATTCGCCGCGCGCGCCGGTCCCTTTCGATCTTGTCCTTTCGCTTCTGGTACTTCTCCCGCTCCGCAGGACTCATCCGCTTCAGCTTCTCCTGCGCGCACATTAGTCACATGCCAGTCACCGCCAAGACAACTCTGCGTCAACCTCTGTAATACCATAGCACCTCCCTAGTGACAGAGAAGAGCTGTAGCATAAACTGGATGGGGATTATGGGGCTCTGGCTCGACCCTGCAGCAGCAGTTGATGTACGTGCTGGGCTGGCGAATTGTAGAAATGCCACGTATGCATCAAGTCTGCAGCTTACATGAGTGGACATGCCAGACAAGGAAGGCCCTTCTTATCCCAGCCTATCAAGTTATCCAGGCAACAAACAAACCCCCCGTCGCAAGTTTGCCAATAAGACCACCCACCATGGCATGATCATTGTTGTGCTGTGAGCAACCCAGAGGTTTGCACGAATGCCCCAACAGGTGGCAGCGGCATGCAGAGAGGACGAAGAACTGCTCAAGCACAGATTGGACAGAAACCAGACAGCAGCCTCGATTGGGGTCCTGCTGCTGAGCCCAAACTCCACCCAGCTCTGCAAGAGGGAGTCATCAGACGAAATGTGCTGAATGCATTACCTGCTCCTCCTCCTTCTTTTTCTGGCGCAGCTTCTCCTCGCGCTCGTATGTCTCCTCCTCTCCGCCCTTCTCCGCATGCGCGGCCGCCTCCTGCCGCGCCTTGTCAGCCTTCGCCTGCGCTCAATCCCATGCACGCAGACTTAGTAATGGCTTGCGAATGCTCTGATTTACGTGCTGTGAAAACGCATTATTGGTCTCTGCCTGCACCTCAATTGCATGCGTGGACACTCACAGCTGTTAATTGCAGTCTCACAACTCACTCCATGGAGGGATCTGAAACGATCACCGTGTGATGAGCTATGGTCATGAGGAAGATGTTCTGCTCCATTTAGAAGCAGACCCGGAATGAGCATGATCTGCAGCTTCGCTGAGTGAATGTTTGCCTGGTACCCTGCCATATTCCACTAATGCAGGGCTCAGTATGCACGCAACAGACAGCCCAGGGCTGCGTCGGCAGTCAAGAATCCGCTCAAGCGTAGCCATGCCCTTGCACTTTAATGTTGCTCCGTCCTCCATGATTACTGAATGGATATCCGGGGCAGGGGGTGAGAGAGCAGGCGCACCTTCTGCTCGGGCTTCATCTTGTAGTTGCCCAAGGTGTCGATGAAGACCATGGCAGCCGTCATCCAGCGCCCCAGCTTGTCCATCTGCTCGGCAGGAGGCAGCACGAAGGAGAACTGCGCTATCTGCACGCACACATGCACACGCTAGTGAATGTCTGGTAAGAGCCCATACTCTTTAGTTGTGCATGGTCCGTGGCCTTCAGAAGCACCTGCATTCTCTTGGGACACTCCTTACAGGAGGCCTAACAAAAGGCATGAAATCACTCTCATGGGAAGTCGTGCAATATGTTCAATAAATGCGCTATCTGCACCCACACATGCACAAGCTGTGAATGTCTGGTAAGATCCCATGCTATTTATTTGTGCATGGTCCCTGCCCTTCACAGGACATGCCTTGTATAATTATGCATTGTCTTGGGAAGTGCATTGTCTTGGGAACTTCCTGCCCAGGAGGCTGCATGACAGGCTCCTCACGAGATCGATTAAAATGAAAGACACGCAAGCCCAGGGAAGTTCTCACAACTATGCAAAAAGACCTGCACGGAAAAATTGCTGCTGGGGTTCCTGCATAGTTTTGGATGCTTGGGAAGTGGTGGACTGATAGAGAGCTTGCCTGCTTGTGCTTGCCCTCGGCTTCTGTTGTGATGCGGATGGCCCTGAAGTACTGGCCGATCTCCTCAAAGGCCGCCCTCCCAAACACCTGCGGCAGTGCAAACATACGTATTATGCTAGGCCATATCTGTCAGCAACCTATTGTCGCCGGCTGGGGGATCTTCTGCCGATCACCAGCAATATGCCTTGGTGGCTGAAGATATCATGTGAATTGCTGCATGTATGCAATGTGGGCTAGGATGTCAGTGCTCCTGGGCTGGGATGTCAGTTTGCTGCACGATTTCCACTTGCCAGGCAGCCGCTTTTCACTGTGGCGCTCGCTTGGCCTAGATGGCCTGCAAATCCCTTGGTCACAGATGACTGTCGCAGGCATGGCATTTAGATTCATAAGCAGGGATGAGCGTGTGGACATGAGGGTTTGCAGGACAGCACACCTGGTCGAGCATGGCCTCACTCATGAGGTCATAGAAGATGGAGGGCTGCTCTGCCAGCACTGTCAGCTTCTCATGCGGCCAATTGGGGATGCGGTCTTTAGCCACCTCCACCTTCCGCGTGTACAGCTTCAGATCTGCATGCATGCAGTTCGATACTCGGTAAAATTCCTGTCTTTTCTGTCTTTTTCTGCCTTTTCTGTGGCAGCACTTCTACCCCTGACAATAACTGTGAAACTTAACGCATCCTGACTGCGGTATCCCCACATCAATGCAGCCATATTAATGGTGAAAAATGGTTCTAAGCCATTTTTCAGCTGCACTCAAAGGCAGCTTGCTGAGGCTAATGGCACTGCACATGTCTGCCTGCCCAGATGAGCCTTTGGACACCAAATGAGATGAGGAGTTATAGCCTTTGCATTCCTCACCCTCGTAGCAGCCTTCCTTGCGCAGCATCTCCCTGGCAAGGCGGGTGGTGGCAATGCACAGCACTGTCTTGGGCATGGACGCCTCGTTCATGCGGACCTGCACATGCCACCCACTAAAACAGTGAGTATCCACAGAGGGTCTCATCGCGCGTTTGCCAGGACAATTAGTTTCACACGTTCCAGTACTTATTTCCTTGAACATAAGGGAAGTTCCACCTGACAGTGCACAATAATGTCATGGTTCACATTGCACATGGGCCCTTAAGATGCTGGGCCAGGTAAAGAGTCAAGCATACACTCGAAAGGTCCAATTTCTGGCCATGGGAGTCTGTACATCAAAACGGCGTGAGCCACATGCAAACGCCTCAATCACAAATATTGGCAAGGGGAAGGAAAGTTCACCTCCAAGTCTACGATGTCATCCTGGGGCAAGATGGCATTGAGGACATAGCCCTGGAAGAGCTCCATGCGCGGCCGCAGGTCCAAGCTGGCGACCATGCCTGTGCAGAAGCGGCGGCCGCTCGCATAGCAGTGGAACATGGCTGCTCCCTCCTTCAGTAGTGTCACCTCCGTGCCCTCCTCGTCAGCTGTGTGCCCAAAGACACATAAGGGCCTGAGCGCTCTGGAGTCTTGTTGGTCCTCTGATCACACATCTGCACCCTGAGTCTCATAAAGCATTGAAGCCGAAACACCGCTGTCTGATGAACCACCGCCCCAGACAAAGCCCTGGACCAGGCTGAGCAACAGACAGCATGCAATTAAGACTCCGTCAGATCACATCGGAGGTCATGCACGTGTTCAATGCGCACGCATGCTTAGAGCAAATTGCCCAGGGGTCATATGCACCGCATGCAAGAACATTACCAACATGGGGTGGAACATGTGTTTGGGATCCATTCACCCTATGAGACTGAAGGAGCAGGCATCATTGAGAAATGTCTTGCATATCCTTCAAAGGACTTCCAGGGGCGGAAGCGCACAGATGCCGATGTGGCTGAAGTTGCGCTCGAGGACCTTCCCCTCGGTTGTGTATTCCTGGGCCCAGGCATACGCGATGCGCTTGTTGGCCTGGCTCCCCACAATCATGTTGACCAGGTACAGCACAATGAGCGCCAGGAAGCCAAACTCCATCCACAGGTCCTTCAGCTGCACCTCCTTCAGCGCCTGCATGATCGGCTTCATCTGCAAGCATGCAGACATCTACCTCAGCGCCATTGCCCTCCAACGACGCGCTTGTAATGATGCTTCGTTTCCAGAAGATGTCTTTTTGGACAGAGGGCATTCATGCTATCGTACCTGCTTCTATGCCAAGCATCCATTGGACCTTTTCCTGACAAGCTTCCTTGTGGGAGGATAGCTCCCTAACAGAAAACTGCTTGAGAGAAGGTGCTGGTCACAGCATGCAGGGGCATCTTAGAGGCACAAGGCTGAGACATCACCTGTCTAGGGGTTGCAGCAGCCCTTTTTGCTTTGCCGGCTCCTTCCGAGGCGGAGGCCGCAGCATCACTTGCAGCGCTCTGGACTTCTTCCTTGATATGTGCTGCGCTGCTAGAGAAGGTTTCTGACCCCCATGCTTCGTCAAGATCAAGCTCTGCAGACGTCATCAAAGACAGTTGCTGAGTGTTCTCTGCAGATCTTGAGCGCGACATATGCGTAAAAAGAACCGCGATCGCAATCCCTACCATACCAGATGATCTGAGCAATACAATTTCAAGGAATGAATTAGTGTAAAGGGCAGCAGCACACCAGAAGTTGCTTTGGAACTGGCGCATGATAGATGAGGTAGGGCGAGGGCAGTGGCCACAACCACAGCAACAAGTAAGAAACGCGCAGGATGTCTGCACGCCATAATATTACTGTTTTGCTTAGAATCCCGCTGTCCGGCAGATGCAATATTCAGGCCCGTTGATGATCATCTCGCACAAGATTGTCCATCAAAAAATTGATGCACAAAAAGTAAGGTAAGCTGTCGCAAGATTGACTATTTAAAGTGTAAAACCTTCGAACTGCCAATGCAGTAAAGGGTCGGCAAACTTCAACGCGTCTTCGAAATACTCTTCTTCAGTGCCTCTGATCGCAATTGAGACTCTGCAACAGAGGCTTGATAGCTGGACCTGGAGAGAATTGAGTAAAACCCTGGCAAACCCCAATTTGCAAATCACGTAAGTAGCTGTCGCGGTTTGTCCTTCTCCTCCCTCTCGCAGACGGAGATCAGAATCGAACGGGCAATGCATCGGTGGCAACAGTATAACGGTGATCTCGACGGGGATGTACAACCCCGGCACAACAGCGGACCATTGGACATCGATGCCCTCCTGCAGCTCGCGTCGCAAAGCATCTACCCTCACGATCCAATCGATGGATCTCGTAATGCCCTGGAAAATCATCAGGTCAGCCCTTACAGCACCTCAGCGGTGCTTCATAACTAGGCTTATTTTCGGCAAGTTACCGCATGCACAACTGCACAAAATGGGCACCAAACGCGGTTGTACGTGCAAAGTGACTTTCTTTTTGCCCCAGAAAGATGTACAACCTTTGTTCTTGTCGCTCCAAATGGGTAGGCGCACTCTGGACCCAAGAGTAACAAACACGCTTCTTGCTGGGGACTCGGAAAGCAAGATCCACGAATTACTCACCTGCTCTCACGAGTACACGCTTGGGTGTCGCAGCTTCTAGACCCGGATCCCCCGCAGGCGTTGTTCCCCAGGGACGCGCCAAGCTTCCATGGGCCACCACCACATAGCTTTGCAGGGGATGTCCTTCTTCCTCCACAGCGCAGTCTGGTGAGCAATCCTCCTACGCTATTCTTAATATCTTCAGGCCTCAGATCCATTGTCCATTTTGTTTCGAGCTGACAACTCTGCCAATACCAAATACCTGCATGCAATCACCGCTTACCTCAATGCAATGCCCCTCTCTATACTGGAATCGTGAATATGCATGGATGCTGGGATTGCTGTGGGGAAATCTGAATGGGGCAGATTAACAAACAATCTACTTTTGCATTCCAGGACCCGGTGCCGGCAAGTCCCAGTGTGCAGAGCTCTGTGTTGCGGAGCCCTGTGGGCAGCGGGGAGTGGCCTGGGCAGCTGGGGAAGACTAGAAGGAGTCAGGGCAGGCCAGCGCCTCAGGCTGACCCGCAGGATGGCAGCAGCTCAGACGACAGGGAGGGCGGCATGCGCGGCAGCAAACAGAGTGATGACCCCAACGCCCTGACGGCACTGCGGGAGAAAAACAGGTGGGGCTCCCTTGCATTGCAGCTACCAGTTGCACAACTATCCCTGTAAAATTTCTGATGCATCATTGGCAAAGTGTGCTCTGAGATAAATAAACTTGATCTTGTTGGATGTGTGGAAAGCACATAGCCTCAAATCCTGGAGTGCACAATCAGTCCAGACCATTGAGTGCTCGCAGCCCTTTCGTTCGGCAGATTTGGGGCAGTGGAAACTCTAAACGAGAACAATGTCACTGTTGCCCACACCAGGAATGTCAATAATGATAGCTTCGTGCTTTCAAAAGTTATGCAAAGGATTAGAAAGAACTGGGTCAGCTACTAGAGGAACAAATCTGTGTCTGGCCCATACACTGACTGATTTGGCCAGGCAGGATATAGCTTGTGAGGTGGGCGCGGCCTGATATGGAAAATATCAAAACAAAATTTGGGCGCGGCCTGGTGTGGCGCAGGCGCGCGCAGCGCAAGTTCCGGGAGCGGCAGAAGCAGAAGCTGGCGGAGAGCGAGGGGCGCGCGCGAGACCTGCAGCTCGCACTGGAGCGCCTAAAAATGGAGAAGTCCGCCCTGGAGACGCGCAACGCTCTGCTGGAGAAGATGGCGGGCATGAAGCCGGGGGATCGGCAGCCGCCCCAGATCGAGGAGGTCACAGGCCGGGTGGGCGCACCTCTCCTCTATACATCTCACCTGCTCAGCCGCATGGCTGTGTATTCAGGGGATGCATGATGAGTGCATCACAAGGGCACTCCGCCACTCTAGACAGCCAGCTGGGCAACATATACTTGGAGCACCCTGCTGAGTCTTGCACAGAACACAGGCGCAAGTGAAGCGCGCAGAATGAAGTTCGTGGCGGGATTTGCAGGGATGTGCGGCAGATACTGCAGAAGAGGCCGTCTGTACCGGGGCCGCGGATGGGGCGGCCAACGCCTCTTTGAGGGACACTTTGCCACCCTCACAGAACACAATCCACCTCACAGTCCGGAATGGTGCGTGCATTATGACTCACGGCATGCTGTTGAAATCTCGATTACGGTATAGGAATGCACACTGTCCTATAGAATGTGCCCTGCTATGCGTAGCAGGACTGATGCTGTCCAGAGTGCACCCTGCTCGATGTCTTGTGCCTTCCTCTGCATGCATGCATTCTTAAATATCTTGACGATTCAGGGAGGCCGGGGCTGCGCAGTGGAGAGGGAACGCTGGCGTTGTCGCCAGAGCAGATCCGGAGCCTACCGCAGTGCGAGCTGGCGGCGCTGTGGAAGGATTACGTAAATGCGCTGACTGGACTGCTGCAGGTACGACCCCCTTGCAATTTGGACAAACAAGTGATAGCATGCCTAGCGGACATGTTGCAAGTTTGGATCAGCAGTGAACTTCCCGTCAGCAGCTCTGGAGTCTGACAAGCAACAAAGTTGTGCATGGATTCATTCTTGCCCCTTGAAGTCTTCTCATGGGGAAATGTATTGATCGATGTGGTATTGTGGCATCCTCCTCACGACATAACCAGTGTCCTCATGCCATGTACGTCACATGCTGAAGCTGCTTCCTGCTTGGAGAGGCATGTGCATGTAGAACCACTGCTGATTTATGCAGTCTGGATGGCTCCTGATAGTTTGACAGCTTCTCAAAGCGATCGCATTATTCAACTGTTGGATGTGCTGCAGGAGGCACGCGGGGATGATTCCTGTCCGGCTGGGCAGCGCATTGGGCAGCTGATAGTGGAAGTTCGCCTGGTGCTGTCGGGCCTCATGTCTTACAACCCCAAACGATGGTCCACACTCAGGTGAGCTCTAGTTACCACCTTGTCTGTGCCTGCTCTATATAAATCATGACCCTGTCACCCCTTGGATTGCTGGCACCAAGGCACACAGACTGATCAGCGTCAGCAAGTCGACGATCTCGCAATGAATACGGATATCGATTCAAAGGGAGTCGGCAATGATGTGGCAGGGGCTTCTCATAGCTCCACCACACTCGTCTACAATTTCTGGAAAGGCATGACTTTTTATAATGTTGATAGCAAAGTTTGGCAAGTCTTTGGCCTTGTTGAACGGCTTCATGTACCAATGAAGGTCACCATGGAGCCGTGAACGGAGCCCACCGACATATTGTGGCTTCATTAGGCTTCTTGTCTTGTCTGCAGCCGCACGTTGCCTGTGGGCCCTAAAAAGAATAGTTGTAATAATTAAATAAGACCTGTGATGTCTTGCAAGTTTATGTCAGCTGTCAGCCAATTCATTTCTCCTGTCACTAACATGCAGGGCCTTCAAGATGGATCCCAAGGGGCAGGCGCCCTTGCTGGAGGCGCCGCCTGCAGACTGGTCGCGCAACATGTTCCGAGCCATGAAGCTCACCAGCCGCCAGCGCCAGGCGGTGCGCCTCCGGCGTGTCCGGTTCTTTGCACTGGTGTTTTCATTACCTGTGACTATGGCCCTCATGCATTCTCCGAGCTCCCCAGGTCAAGCCAGTAGCATCGGTGTCGCAAGCAAAGCCTGTGGCTGAGCCAGTGGCGCTCGTCTCCACAGCCGAGCCCGGAAGCATGCCTTCACATGCATGATATTGTCACTCGCATGATAATCTCAGAGCATGGCGTCTGCATCCAGCAAATATGCGAGGTGTATGTTGAGTCTGGCGGGTACGTGTGTGTCAGGCCGTGGGGTACCGCAACCAGCTGCTGCTGCGGATGGGGGGCACGCTGCGCGCTCGTCGTGACATCTCCCTTGAGATCCTGCGCACCCTCGGGGGTCCCAGCACCGAGCGCGTTGTGGGGGTGCGAACCGATCATTTCATGGCGATCTCATGGGTGGAATGTCTGCAGCACTCATTATTGATAGATGCATGAAGCGAGAGTGCTGCGGTGTCCGCATGCTGCAGCCTCTAGCATTTGCTGCTCAACCAGCCTCCAATTTGCCAGCTGCTAAACGTTGATTGCATGGCATGCATGCATTTGTCTGAAAAGCAGAGGCGCTCTCCCCACCTGCTGCAAAGTCATCATGTCTTATAGCTCGGTTGCTTCGAGAACAGCTATTGGATTTATATGAGCAAGTACACTCGCTAAAACCAGCTGCTTGGTTGGCATGCATGCATGGGCAGTTGGGGATGCCTTGGCCCCCCTTGCTCTCACGAGACATGTTGCTTTCAGATCTCCTCTACAATGCCATGGTGAGGGGAGGAGTGTGGCTGGCAACATGTCCTCTAGCGCGCTGTGCTATGGAAAAAGAACGAGCGCTGACGTAGCTGTCCCGGGGTTGTTGCAGGACTTGCAGGGGGGCACGGCGATGGCGCAGGGGTTGCATGTGGCCTCAAATGCGGCTGAGGCGCTGCGGCGTAACATAATGGAGGAGCAGCAGCTGTACAACCAGTTCCTCAACGCCATCCGCACCATCGTGCTGCCCATCCAGAGCGCCATCGCCATCGTGCAGGTGCCGCCGCATTCAAATCTGCATTCAAATCTGCATGTCCTGTGTAGGACATAGTTTATCATACTCATGTTGACTGCTTTTACCCTCATCCTCTTCATGTCAAGCATTTCAAGTTGTGAGCATGGCTGTGTTGAGCATGGCAGCCCCATATGGCGCTTAGGTGGGACAAAATGATGATCCTGCCGCTGCTCGGTTAGCTGCTTGATGGCCATTAGTGCGCTTGTTCTTTCAATGCATAGGTAGCAGCAGGACAGTGATCCAGTGCTGTAGCATGCCCCTGCTCCAAGTAACGATTTAAGGCATAGCAGCATTGAGTTGTACTTTCGCTGCTGCTCACCATAAGTGCTTGGCAGAGGATTTGACACGGCAGTGGGCCGCTGTCACTGCATGCTTCACATGAATTATAGGATTGTCAAGAGGCACTGTTCTACCCAAATCTAGGCGGTCTCACTTTACAGCACCTTGCTCTCCTTAGCAGCAGCTGTCTGGTATGAGTAACCCTGCTGAATGAGAGAGCCTCATCTGGCGCGCAGGCCTACCCCTGGTGCCCGGACGCACTAGCCATCTTCAACTGCGCGGCGCAGGAGGAGGGGGCCCCCCCGGCGCATGAGCTTCTGGCCTGCCCGGTCCCCCCGGGGGTCCCTAATCTGCTCATGCCGGACCCCCCACAGCTCCCCAGATTGAAGACTGCCGGCGCCTGACCTGGCCGGTCCCCCCCCCCCTCCCCCCCCCTCACCTGATCAAGGGGCTTGATGAAATATCCTTGTCCTTCAGCCCCATCTCAAGGCACGGCGGGGAAGTTTTGACGCAGTAACCGTGCCAATCAAGCAAGCTGGCGCCAGTGACTGATCTGCCTATGGACTGCGCAGAAAGAATGGCAGCTTGGATGTGATGCCATATTTTGCTGGCACTTGCAAGCTGGTCCAGGAAGCGGCGTTGTCCTCCACAAATACATCTTTGATCCAGCTGCAGGCAGAGGGCATCTACTGATTTCTTGATTCTCAATATGGAGTTTTGGTTGACACAATTCTTTAGGCACATGTAGGGATATTTAGTTGCCCCCTGGCCCCCCTTTCTTTGTTTAGAAGTTCTCTGCAGGTGTTTGCTTTTGCAGTCTGCAGCTGCCAGCATTCTAGAAAGTACTTTGTTATATGCTTGGATTGCATCTATTAGCGTGCAGGCAGAAAAACGCACTTGTGCGAGGCTGTCTGATGCCACAAATTGAATGGAGCCAGTTGTTGGCTTTTGCCAACGCATATGTGCAGCCATGGTCACATGCTGCACATGTGCACTTGTTACACCTTTGTTCCCCTTTAAGACTTTCTGGTTGAAGTTCTTAGTTCAACGTGCGCTTGTTCCTTCGCAAGATGTCTCCTTACAAGGACACAAACCTGCAAGCTGTGGAGAAGCAGTCTCAATTAGTACGATGATGCAGCAGTTATAGACACAACAAGTCTTATGCATGTCTTGCCCTGATATGAGACAGAGTTGCTTTCATGCGCGGCACTGGAGTCAGCAAAAGATCGCGTGAGAAGTCCATTTGAAGCGTAATGATGCTGTTGGTCTGTTAAGGGATATGAAAATCTGTTTGCAAGTCGAGATTGCAAGACTGGGCTTCAAATTTCATGCATTAGGCACTGGGCATAGCAATGTGATTGCCCCTTGTCATTGAACACTTCTGCCTGTTGTAGAAGGTGCTGCATTTTGCAAAAGAAAATAAGGGCAAAAACCCTAAAAATTTTATTTTGCATTTTCACCAGGCCCGGGTATTGTAGGTGATGTGTCTTGTTTGCCTTGCAATTGATTATGGCCCTTGGTTGGGGTTCTGAGGCTCATCTTGCAGGCTATGATCACTAAAGATTATTGAGAGACTCAAACAGGTCATGTGTGACATAGCCATGTTCTTGCATCGCACTTGTAAGAAGTATCTGTTTAGGAGCGCAGCTTGGATGCTTCCAGCAGGGCCTGCGCAAAAGTCAGCAGCCAATGCAGCCGTCAGCTATTCTGGTCAGTGAGCTGACCTGGATCTGCAAAAGCTATGACCATATGGCAAGTGCCAGCGCGGCGTCTAGCAGGGAGCAAATGGCTATCAGCTGAGGATTAGCGGGTCGTGAGCTCATGGATTGACTACGGGAGATCTCCAAGAGTCTCAGTCTGCTGGTCGACCTGCTGGGAGGAATTCTTTTGGAGGTGTTGGTTGCCCCTTTACACCTAGTGCCCTGCTTGGAACTCTTTGCCTTAGGCCATACGTATTGTCAAGGCCATACGGGGTCATCATGGTATCATGCTCCTGCAGGTGCAAGCAATGGCTTGCAAGCTATCTGCAAAAAAATAAAAAGCAGTGTGTGCACGGTACTCATGAGTGCACGGTACTGATCAGTGAAGTTTTTCCTGGCTCATCCTGCACTTATGGTGCCAAGATCCACCTCTATTCTGTGTACATGAACGCTGATATTCACTATTCGCTTTGAGTAGTTCCTGCCACGCCAATCAAAAATCCACAAGCCACCACCATCTATTGTGCATGCAAAGCGCGTGTCTTTGATCCCGAGGCGGAACCTCTTCAATTGTTTCGGGTTCTCGGCAGCTTTCTATTTCATTTCTTTTCATGTTGCAGGGAATACATGCATATTGTTGCTTCATAGGAGGATTGTGGATTACTGGTGTGGTCTTGCAGCCGCTGCGGCCCGAGTTCCGGAGGTGGCCGATCTCCAAGACTCGGCCGGATAACACTCCAGCCCCTTCGGCATCTGCGGTGCGTGCTCTCCATCGCCTTGACCTTGTCAACATATCTTTTGTATCTTTTGAAGAGCAATGGATGCTCGCTAGGTGGCCGAAGTCCGGCTAAAGTGAACCTTTGTGCCACACATTCACGGATCGAGCCTTAGCGTGCGGCTTGGCTATCCCATCTTCAATATAAGTTTCCTAGTTATGTGAAAGCTCGTAAGCCGTAGCTTGAGATGTCAAGCACCTTGATAGGTGTTGGAGGATGTGGTTCTGGTGCGCTGACAAGGGATCCATCAAGCTGCTGCCAAAGCTGCAACAGCCAGCTCGACGAGTCCGATCGATTCTCATTGACAATATAAACTCCAAGCAAAGGCATTGAATGGCTATCTTCAATAACTAACGCAACTTATGTGGTGACTGCAGGACAAGAAGACTGCAGGAACCTGCAAGATCAACGCCCTGCAATGTCTCCTGGGCCAGGTGACCTTCCAGTAGCTCATTGCCTGGGCTTTTTATCCTGCATTGGAGGGATCCAGCAAATTTCCAGGTCTCATCAGTCATGCAAGTGCTCCCAAGCCTTTCAAGCATCTTAATGCTACCTTGGGATCTTCTGTAGAGAGAAAGGTCACCTTCCTTTAGGTTGGTCAAGGCCACCTGCATGCCCAATGCATGACTCACGCAGCATGAAAGTTCCCAGGAATTGGCAGCTAGCATATTGTCTGACATCATGACACGACATCTCTGCATGCAAGCAGGTCCTGTCAGCACAATGGAGGAAATGGCCATTCAGGTGGACTTCTCTTCAGATGCCAGCCTCTCCCATGGCAGCCATGAAGAGGAGACAGCCTCCACGCCTACCCTGACAAATTACATGAAGGAGAAGACAGCAGAGGATTACTTCCCCACTGGGGAAAGCAAGACCAACCCCTCTGAAGGCACCACGACACCCAGGCAGCAGAATGTGCCCAGCTCTCAGGCAGCCAGAAGCAGCCACATGAAGACGCCTAAGATGAGCAACATGCGCCATCTGCTGGGGAACCTGACAGATGAGCTGGCCAGCCCAGAGCATGCCAAGAAGCAGCGCGCACCTGGCAGCCAGTACACCCCTCAGAACAAGGTGCAGCAGCGCACACCTGGCGAAACAAAGACCCCCATGCCCAATCCGCCAGTCCGCGTGCCAGTCAACGACTCCTCCAGTTCCTCATCTGGCAAGGCAGACAGCAACAGCGTCAGTGGCACCACATCTCAGAGCAACGAGGGCTACACAATTGTCAAGGCTGCCTACAAGACGACCGCGACATCGCGCAACACCGCCCCTCCTGCAAAGAAGCCCCCAAGGAAGACACCCGGCACACAGCAGGCTGCTGTGGCCAACCGCCTGCTGGGCCGCCCTGAGCACAATCAGCCTGAAGCGCGACATGCCATCAATCAGCTGCGCGAGTCAGACCGGCAGGAGAGCTTCGAGTTCCCAGCCATCAGCCTCCAGCAGGCTCTTGTCAGCGGAGGCGTGATCTGGAACCTGGACACCCCTGCAGAGCTTGAGTTCCAGCAGCGGCAGAACAGCAAGACGCCACAGCCCTTTGTAGCTCACAGCAGCCCAGTCAGGCACCCTGTGATCAGCATTGGGCATCCAGCCTCCTGGGAGATCTACATGAGTGAGCCACTGCCAGCAGCGCCACCCCATGTCAATGCCCCCAGCAGTGGATTTGGAGCACCTTCTCAGCTGCAGCAGACCTTCCTGCAGCCAGACACAGCCAGTCAGTATCAGAACATTGCCATGGCCCTTCCCACCGGCTCGCGCATTGGAGACGGCAGCTTTGTGCGTGGCACAAACCGCATGCATGCCCGCCCGCAGTCAGTCAGCAGCATGCCTGCAGGCTTCTACAGTGCCCAGCAGGTGCACGTGCCAGCTGTGCAGAATGACAGTGTCTTCTACACCAACAGCGAGGGCATGCAGAGGGTGCAGCCGGCATACATGTCAGCGGGCGCGGTGAGAGTTTGCCTGCTTGACTTTCCAATGCATGTCCCCACAATACCTGCTTGCCACATCAAAGCTGACAGGAGAGCACTCTAAACAAAATTTCCTGATGCATCAAGTTTATTCTGCACCTAAAATTGTGTGGTCTAAAATTGCGTGGTATGATGAGCATTTTCTGATGTGCAGGTGGCCTCCCAGCCGCATTTCAGCCCTCCACCCCTCTACACAATCCCAGAAGTGGATGCACCTGCACCCACCATGCAGACATCTAAGCCAGCCTGGCAGTCTCCTCCCTATGCAGGTAGAGCACTGCGTGCTGCTGTTCTGGAGCCTCAAAACACAGCCTTTTATGTTGCATGCAGGCCTCACGTACTGTAGGCATGTACTGTGTCCGAGAAAGTATTGCAAAATGGCTGCATGCAGCACTGTCAGTAAGCATACAATAGCATGCAGATGGCTGACATGTGTCATTGTGCAGGAGATGCGGGTGTTCCTGTGATGAGGAACGGAAGGCCCTACATGCGCAACGGTATGCCTGTCAGGCTGCCGCTGCAGGACACAACAAATGTCCTGGAGGGCCAAGACATCCAGAGGATTGCCACCATGTGCTATGTGCAGGCTTCCCAGGTGATTCCCATGAGCATGCATGTGTTTGAATATCAGCATGATCAGCAACATGCTGCATGCCGATGCAAAGGTTTGCCACCATGTGCTCTCTGCAGGCTTCCTAGGTGATGCTTGTCAGCCTGCGTGTCTCTCGAGATCAGCAACATGCTGCACGTAACATGCATCATGCATTGATAAGTCCTGCTGATGGCATGCATGATGCAAAATTCTCCACTAGACATGCAGGCAGAGCTGTCGCTGCCATCCAAACATCTTAGGTGCCCATGTGACATTCGGCGGTGTTCTGCAGGGGAATGTGCCTTCCCATGTGGACAAGCATACTGTGAAGAAGCTGGTCCAGCAGCAGATTGAGGCAAGCCAGCCCATCCGTGCTCCCTGGTACCGTGAAGGCCCGCGCACATCCAGTGGCTACAGGACCTGGGATAGCCGTGGACCTGCCTCTCAGCACTACCCAGCCTACTCTCACAAGAAGCAGGTGACCACTTTCTGCTTTCTGCAAGACTCTGTGCATGCTCTTTCTGGACTGCAGCCAACCGGCAATCCTTGCATGTGCCAATCCAAAATATGCATTCCAGTGCACAGGGATGTGCAAATCTCATGCATACATGTGGGATGCATGTAGGCTAATCGTTGTTTTCATTCCAGCATGCACTCAGCGGCACAGGGATGTTACAACCCTATGCACAGAACGTGAAGCATGGCACTTACATCGTGTTTGAGCAAGGTGTGCCTGTAGCAGGGCAACAAAGCTGGCCTCAGCAGCAGCAGCCGGGCAGGAACGATGCGTGAGAACAGCAGAGCTCAGGGCACCGGCTGCTTCATCCCCACCGCACACCAGCTGCCCAGGGACTCTTACAGGCTGAGCACCAGGGACACTGAGAGTAGCTCTGCAGGGCCCAGCATTTACAATGCAGCAGCAAGCTCCTGGCAGGCCCCTGCTGCTGTCCAGGTTGCTGGAGGCCGCTGCATGGCTGTGGGCACTGGCTGCTTCATCCCCTCTGTGTGAATACTGATCCCAGAAAATGAGCCAGCAGATGCTGGATGCAGCATCAGAGAATCAGTAAGCACGGGAGTGCAGAACTCATCTGAGCATGAAACACCCTTTGGCAGTGCAATGGATGCTGTGAGAGGCACTGTGAGGCCCCTAGTTTAGCAAGCAATGCAAGACTTGAATCATTCCTGATTTGTGCAGAAGACATAAAGCTGAAGCAGAACTTCAGTAACCATTTGTGCCTGGTGAACACAAACCAAGATCAAGCAAACTGCCGCGCTCAGTGTTCAAGACTTAAATCTAGCCAGGAGATCACTCCTCTAGTTGTTTGCTATTGCCAGCGAAAGCCACATAAATAGGCAAGTCATAGAGGCCTCCTAGGAAGCAACTTGCTGGCATGGCGCGCAACTGCACTGGTGTTATATAAATACATAGATGACATAATAATATATTATCATTATTACACATTTCCAGTCCTTCAGCACTAGATGCGTCAAGCAACACCTGAGTTATTGCTCTCCAGTCTTCTCGGTCCTTGCACTTCCTCCATCAGTCATATGGATGCCCATTAGCATCAAGGTCATATCTCACATAGTCATTACAGCTCTTTAATGGTCTGCCTCTAGCCCCAGTGCCTGACATTGTGCTAAACATCATCTGCACTGATATCCTAGCAGGAAGCATTGTAACCACATGTCCCAACCATCGAAGGCGTCTATATCTGAGCAAGTCTGAGATCTGAGGCACCCTGCACCTTGCACGAATCTCCATATTTGAAATCGTATCCAACGGACTGATACCACAGAGGCTTCTGAAGCATCTCATCTGGAATCTCAAGATTTTTTGACATCATTATCTGGAATGGCCCATGTCTCACATGCATACACTCTGTTGAACAGAGTGAACTGGACTATGACTGTATGCAAAATCAATTTGACAGCTGTGAGATATCCTTGTCTCCCCAACAGATTGGGTAAATTTAATTATAACTGCATGTGCCCTCCCAATGTGAACGCACTCGGATGTGTCGTAAATCTGGCCAGTGTGACCAGCTGGTGACTGTAGTGATCACGATGCTCAGTGATCATGATGATCAGTGATCATGATGCCGGTCACTGTGACTTTTAACTCTAAAATTTTGCAACTTTGTGCAAAGCTGCATGACTCGGGTGATCTTATCATCGTGCGCAACTCTGAATGGCAAAGAAAACCCCGCAACCGTCACGCCATGCATGCTGCGCAGTGCCGCACCTGGCAGGTGTTTCTCTTTCATCATTTGCATGCACCGATGGGCACAGGCGCCTAGCTAGGCACAGGCCTGTTCATCACCATGATATCACTGTGCTGTGCAAAGCACCTTTGACAATTGCAGAGACGATTTTCTTTGTTTCTTCGGTCGGAATGGTGGTCCACCTGGAACATGCTGGACCATGTCAGCTCGCCACGATCTTGGAGGCTGAGTGGGATAATGCCAGATCAGGCAACCCGTCATTAATGCCTTGAGGGAATTTGAAGAGCCCTGGCGCCACTTGTGATCGGTCAACGCTCAAGTACCTCTGAATAAGTTATCGAGATATCCTACCCCCTCACAGGCTACATATTGCGCCACTTATTGCGGCAGAGCTTGCCCATTGCCTGTGTCTTCCACTGGGCAGATCTGAAAGTGTTCAAAAATAACATCCCAAAACTTTGTTGTGAGCGTGATCGGTGTAGCGCAGACGATTGTTGTTGTTTCAGTCGTCATAATTTATGTGCATGACTCCTGTGTAAGTGCTTCTTCGCACCTCGTCGGCAAAGTAAAAGATGTGCTGTCCGGAGCGTCGTTGACTCGGCTCTGCTTGTGACTCACGCCGGCCTCACGCGCTCACATGGAGATCGAAGTGCGTAAGCGGGGAAGGCACAGCGACGATGTGCAAATGGAGGTACGGCCGTTTCGAGTCCATATTTTCGTGTTGACAAAACGCATCCCAGGACAGAGTGCATCGATAACTTACCGGTAGTTCGTTGAGCTTCTGAATTTGTAAGGCCCAGATCGGCCTTTGAATTCTTTTTAATCCATTTGGAGCCCTCAAAATGGCAGGAAGCTCCAAATGCTAGCTACTTCTTTTCTGGGCATTCCCCTTGCTGTCGCCTTCAGAAGCATGTCCATTATCTGATGTCCGCCTTTACACCGCAGGCTGGCGTTGTCAAGAGGTCGGCTGCAGGCGCAATGGTGGAATATCGTTTGCTTTGTCCAGCTACTCGCATCGGCACGGTCATTGGCAAGGTACACCTTTCAGATTGCTCAGTCCAACTTGAATCATGCCAGCCAACCTCTCTGGAAAGCAGGACTACACCCAAACGCATTCACACGTAGTGCTGAGCATGCATGGTGCTCCTGCCAACCTTGTACCATCCTGTCAGTAGTTTTGCAAAAAAATTGTCTTGCCACTGAGCTTGCAGTGCTTAGACTCGTATGTCTTATCCAGTGACATTACAGAGGTACTTGCTCTGCCCCAAAAATGCTCTCTGAAGGTTGAGGCACAGCAGACTATAGCCTCCTGGTGCGCAGGGCGGCTCGGTGATCCAGCAGATGAGGGATTCAACGGGGGCGCGGATCAAAGTAGAGCCCGAGGTTGCAGGCTGCAGCGAGAGGCTGATCTCCTTAAGCTCGTCAGATGAGCCTGGCGCGGAATTGTGCAGGGCGCAGGAGGCGCTGTTTGCAGTGCAGAGTCGCCTCTCCGAGGCCGATGCAGCCCAGGAGGACACCTGCTGCGTGGTGAGCAATGCCGCATCTTGTAGGATCCATTTTTCTGCGCTTTGACTGCACCTCCTTGCAGCCTCACGCCATGAAGCTGTCCATGCAGATGAGCCTTTGCCTGGAACCATGTGCTGGGACATGGGCATGACGGGCATCTAGCTCACTAAACCCCATCGGTATTATTGTTGATGCTACATGCATCTGGTGGTTGCTCAGCTGCATCATACAGGAAATGCTTGACAAAGTGGCCAATGGCAGCAAGTTTCACGCAATGCGGGTGTGCAGAAGTGACAAGAATGCCCTCTCGGTCTTCAGTTTTCTGATATTTGTTTCAAAGATCGGATTGTTTATCATCACTGAAGATGTCTGCGGATGCTGTACAGGTACGGATGCTGGTGGAGCAAGCACAGGTGGGCTGCGTGTTGGGCAAGGGAGGCGAGGTAATCAGCGATCTGCGCAGGCGGACGGGCGCCAACATAAGGGTGTCGGACAAGCGCGACCTGCCGGCATGTGCCGGCAGCGAGGACAGCCTGGTTGCGGTGAGACTAGCTTTGCACCCTCACACAGGATCCGTCGTAGCAAGACATGGCTCATTCAAGAGGGCCAGTGAATGCCTGCCAGATTTGCGCGGACCCAATGCGTCTGCGTTGAAGCACTGGCTGCGGATTATTTATGTGCGATTGCTGTGTGGCCTGGTGCCGCAGTGGTTTATTGTGATGCGTGACCAAAGCATGATCCCGTGTCGGATGCGCAGGTGAAAGGCGAGGCGCAAGCGGTGTCTGATGCCCTGAGACAGCTGTCCGCCCTGCTCCGTACGCACAGCCAGCGAAAGCCACAGCAGGTGACCGCTCCACATCCAATTCATGCCTCTCTTAATGCAGCAGTGGAACTTCAATGCGCCGATCTGGCACATCAAAAGTCATGCTCAAAACCCCAGCATATCTCTGTGTTGGGGTGAAGGCAGATGCCAATTTAGGACATGCAAAACTGAAGCCGCTCCTGAGTTGTACATTAAATGCAGGCGAGGGCGCCGATGACCTTCAACATCACTGCGGTGGCCACAGCCGCGGTGCAGCCGGAGCAGGCGCAGCATAGGCGGCAGCCCATGCGCGAGCCGGTGCTGGCGCCCATCGCGCGGCCGCACCAGTGCCACAACTGCCTCCCCGACGCGCACGCCATGCAGCCCCGCATGACCGCTGTCCAAGAGGTGTGCACGCATGCTCACTCTGTCATGTAAATAATGGAGATGGGGCATGTAGGCCTTCCCAATGTGCCTTTCTACCCAGGATTGCCAGAACGTGTGTTGAAGCAGTCTAGAAAGTATTGCATTGCATTGCCCTGACATCAATGTGCCTTGTGGCCTATGCACAGCTGCTCTTAGGATGACAGGAGATGACGCGTGCCCGCCAGGCAGGCGCCTGTGCAGGTACCACAGGCACAAATGTGCTCATGTATGCTGCTTGACTCGTGATTGGCACGTAACTAAAGAATTCAGGCTGATGCATGACTCGTAATCGGCTGCATGACTAAAGAGCACAGGCTGAGTCATCACATGTATTTTGTGCAGGCGTCGGCGGTGGTGGAGGTGCAGCTGCGGCTGCTAGTGCCAGCGACGCACATCGGCTGCGTCATCGGCCGGCGCGGGGAAATGATCCGCACCATCCGCGACGACACCGGCGCCCACATCAAGGTCCACGAGGGCAGCCAGGGTGCGCGCGCATTCCCTCCCTCCGGTAATCTAATATATGCACAGTCCCTGCACTTTGCAAGCCAATGTGCAAGAGCAGAGTCCCACCTTCCCGTTTCCCTTGGCGGGACCCCTTCAGGATCGAGGAGACTTCCACACAGGGAGCTCTTGTCTCTTAAGGCTATCATCTACTGGGTACTGCACGAGCCTTACTCTTTTGAGGATTGCCATGTCCCGGCCTTGCTAGTAAAGGAACGCCGCTTTGCTCTTGGGCTTGTCTGCCTTGATGACGCTGTGCGATGCTGTCTCCCCAAGCATAGAGTGACGTACAGATGGAGATCCCTCTGGTGTCCCCAGTCCTGTGCTTACCAATGATCCCCCGGTGCCGGTCCGTGCAGAGAAGAAAGGGGTCGACCGAGTGATCACGGTGGCAGCGGCCGAGGCGGCAGGCGCGGCAGTGAGCCCGACAGAAGAAGCCGTGTGCCTGATGGCCCTGTGTCTGCTGGGCCCCTCTGGGCTACCGCCAGTGCCCTGCATCCGCATCCTTGTCCCCACACCCCAGGTGACCCCTTGCGGGACCTCACACCTTCCCTGTGTCCTGTCATGATATAGGGTGCCCCCTTGCATAGGTCCGAAGCCTTGTGATCCAGAGGATTGCACGTAGTCTGCCTTGTTCAAATAACCTTTTGGCAGTCTTGGTCAGGACAACTCGAAGGCTCTCTTTACTCAGCAATATTGTGCAATTGGCCCCGTGGGATCAGGAAGAGTGACACAAAAGTGTCAATCTGTGTCTTGCACCTTTCGAGTGTCGCTGTTTCCGGCGGTGTTCTTAGAATTGCTTGGCCGGCCAACATTGTAAGCTGAACATCCACAACATTTTGCACAGACTGTTTTGGCGGCAGGGGGGCACGGCTGAGGCGCTGTCATTGCTGCAGGTTGGTGGTGTGCTGGGAAAGGGTGGAGCCACGATCACACAAGTGCGCAAAGACAGCGGCGCCGGCGTACGGCTTGTGCCCCTGGAAGCCGAAGATGACAGGTCAGCCACTTTCCCTTTCTTTTGCACAGCCCAAGAGCATCCAATGGCTCAAGAGATGCGAAGCATGCGTTCGCCGTTACATCATGAGCGTGGTCCCCATTGGAGCTGATGTGGCGGCATTGGTGACCAAGCAACGTGCCTTGATACAGAATGCTGTACGTTAAAGTGAGCATCCCCAAAGGACGGGTCCGTGATTGCATGTGCAATTGCAAATGAAGCGTTCAGAAAGCAAGGTGGTGTTGTGAACCTGTCGTGTGCTTTTGTCAGGTGGCTGCCGAGGGATGTGGCGGCTGGGCAGATGCACAAGGTGGTCCAGATTGAGGGGCCTATCACAGCCACCGTCAAAGCCGTGCGCGCTGTGTGCGCCCAGCTGCGCGCCTGGCAGGTGGGGGTTCATGTCTTCTTATGTATTCTACTACACTGCAAGGTTATTTCCGGCTGATAGCAAGTACACTGGGGAACACTGGCATCTAGAGAGACACTGATTAGCTCTGCCAGAGACCCAGACTGCGTCAGTGTGCATATTGTTTTGCTATCGTGCTGCTAGAGTTGCATTTTGATGACCCTGAACATCCCTGACAAGCTTGAGCTGCACAGCATGCCTTTTCTGAATGCGAAATGGCATGTTTATCACACTATGCTCCTACTTATAAGCCCTGCTGGCATGCGCAGGCCAGGAGTCAGGGGGCGCAGCCGGCAAGGGAGCTTACGGAGGCATACGGCGGCGCGCATGCCCCTCAGCAATTCCACCCGATGCACCAGGCCATGCTGCCGCGCGAGACGGCGCCGGGATTGCGGGGTCGGGGCCTGCCGGATCTGTCCCGCGCTGAGATGGGCATGTATGACTCGCCGCTGCGCCACTGCGAGCGGCCGGTGCTGCAGCTCCGACACCCCCTCGACCTGCAGGTGCAAACACCCTCATCTCCCTTGTTTTACGCCCTAACCCTCCCATGACGCCGCCATGGTTTGTGACTGAACGCGTGCATCACGCCATGCTTCCCGCTATCAGACAGCTTCCGACTCCTGTTCTGGTGTTTGATTCAGGATAGCCAGAAGTGTGCGGGATTATTGTGCCCTCTACTCTGCATGAATAATGGTGTCTGCTGACCACTGTCGGTGACTCTGCTGCAGGTGCTGAGCCGGGGACAGATGGACAGGGCGATGAGTCAGCCGCTGATGATGCAGCAGGTGACTCAGCAGGTAGTAACGGCGCCAGATCAGACGCAGTCGTGCGAGCTGCGGCTGGTGGGCGTGCAGGTCGGCTGCGTGCTTGGCAAAGCCGGCGAAAACATTACCCAGATCCGCAAGGTGTGTCTCATCCTTTCCTCTTGGTCTCTTTGGTGTGGGGTGTTACTTCAACTCTAACTTAGAGATGCAGACATAAAGGCAGATTGAGCGCCCGAGATAAAGGGACTACAATAAATAGAGCATGGAGTGTGAAAGGACACTGCGCTGGCTTGGTTATGTGGTACTTGCCCTGCATTTACTGCATGCACATCTTGACACCAAATCACTCATGCTGCTGGGGTGCAAATCATTGTGTGATCTGGTCCTTCATGAGTGTGGTCTGCTTCCTTCAAAGGGAAATTATGCTCAAGCTCCAAGAGTCTGATGGCCTTATCTTTCTGAATGGCGGCACAGATATCTGGGGCGCGTGTGAAGCTGTCGGACGCGCCGCGCGGAGTGACGGAGCGGCTGCTGCGGCTGAGCGGCACATGCGAGCAGGTGCAGGCAGCCGTCAACCTCGTGCAGGTGCGCTGCCATGCCCTCCTTGCCGTAGAAAATTAGCCTTGCAACAGATTGCAGACCCCCACCCTTGGCATTTGAAGGAGGTGACTGCTGGTGTGCTGTGCGTACCATTTCTCGCTTGCATTTGCCAGAGGTTGTGGCTTGATGCTGTGTGGAGGCGATGTGCACAGCTGTGGGTTTTGGTGGTTGACAAGCAGCCTCTCTGCTGCAGCCATTTCCTTTATAAAATGACAGAAACACACTGATGCAGCACTGCCATAATGCGGCAATATCGGCGCCTGTGTCTTTCATGGAAGCCGCTGCACAGCTATTGCATCTTGGAATGGCTGGAGCTTGAATGTGAGGGTGGTCCTTGTGTCGCAGGGCTGATATAGGTCAGGCAAATTGCGTGCAGTGCTGATCGGTGGTGTGTCTGCTCAGGCGTTCCTGCTGGCTGGGCGAGCTGGCAGCCTCGACATGGAGCTGCCAATGGCCTTCACCTGACTTGGCCTGAACCCTGTACACATGTGGCGAACAATGAACGGGAAAGACATGAGAACATGCAGAATCGCTGGGAAGCTCTGAACATCATTGAATCGAGTGTGCGATTGAGCACTGAAATATGCACGAGGACAAAAGGAGCGGCTGGGATCTTGAAAAATTGCTGACCTCAACCCTCCCAGGAGCCGGCAGGCGCTGAGAGCCCTGCTCAGAATATTTACAAGAAATATTATGTAGAAGTATTGAACTGCGAATACTTGAGCAGCATTGGTGATGCTACATCACCCGATGTCTTGAGCAGTATTGGTGCCAGCATGATGATATCGAACTGAAGTATGACGGTGGATATGGCATGTTTAAGTTTGCGTGCCCTGTTTGCAGAAGTGTATGTACAGTACATAAGTGTAACACTTGTGGATGTAAGCTTGGAGACCGAGCAAATTCCTTTGTTTGAGATCACTTAATACTGCGTTAACCCTGAATCCGATGGAGCACAATTGAAGTCCCACTACTCGATTGCCAAGATCATGCACGATTTACAAAGCTGGCAGGGCAAAGTTGTTGAGAAGGATCCCCTTTCTTTGTTTGTACTTCACAGCGGCTGGCCAAGGAGGTGAAATGTTCTCAACACTTGCTGCGAGTCCTTTCTCAATAATTTTGCTCTGTCACTTTGAGCAATGTTCTTGAAACAGCAGAGGCAAAGATTGCCAGTTCTGCACAGAATCCAAGCATTTACAGCGTAAAGTCGCAGTTCTGCATGCAGGAACTAGCTTGTTGATGCAGGAAACGCCAGATCAGAGATAATCGTACGTTTTTAGCACAGACAAGAATATAGAGACCACCCAGCGTCACAAAAGGTAGTGACTTGATTCCCCAAAACAGATCCCCAGACTTGACAACAGCGTCTTGGCTGCATGTTACAAGAGACACGCGCCAACTAGAAAGGCCCCCTTTTAGAAAAACGCAGAGTTTCAAAGAGCTTGGAGGCGGATGGCAGACAAGCATTAATGGCGCACAGCAGCTTGTGCCCAGACTCAAACAAGCCGACACAACTGCCGGATCCCAAAATGATCTCTCAGCAGGGGACGCCCAGCTAGCAGATCATGTCACGGCCCTAGCCTAACCAATATCAGACCGCTTTGGGCAGAATCAGCGGCTGAAGATGGCGGAATGGGCGGTGAGTCCTAGCAGGTCCAGAGCACTGGCGCCCTAGGCGGTCTGTGCGCGCAGGTTCTTGGCGGCGATGACCATGTTCTCCAGGGACGGCAGCACCTGCGCGCATGTGCCGGCACATGTCAGCTATGATCCAAGGTACATGCACATTCATCTTGGGCTGTGCTTCTGGTGTGCAGCATCACCTATGAGGAGCACTAGGGAAGAGAAGCAGATGGCCTATATTTAGGTATGTCACAGGCATGGATGAAACCACGTTTCGGATGGTGTCAGTGCGCGTGCAATGACAAGGAGAAGTAGGCAGGTAGGCAGGCGGGAGGCCGGCGCACCTGGGCCCACTCGCGGGTCTTGAGGCCGCAGTCGGGGTTGACCCACAGCAGCTTGCGGTTGGAGCTCAGCAGGTTGACGTCCAGGAAGGTCTTAATCTTGCCCTCAATGAAGTCCACGCTGCACGCACCATGAACAATCCAGTCAGCCAATGCGCGCACGCTCGCCCGTGGACGGACGTGAAAGCCATGAGACTTTCCAATGCTGGTATCAAGATATCCAAGACTCATGGAACCAGTGTCGATGTGGTACTCCCATCCTGCAGCACTCTGGCTGCCACAAGGGGTGCTTGAGTTCAGAGCTGGTTACTCATTACTCAACCATAATGGACGTAATGCTGCAACTGACTGTGAAGACGGGAAGTCACATGCTGCAGGGTTTGGGGGGAAATAATGAAAAGGCAGGGGAGCGCACGGGGGCACGACGGGGGAGTGGACGTCGTAGACTCCGGCGCCGATGTCGCGGCTGTAGCCGTACTTGGCCAGAGCGCGCAGCATCTCATCGCCCGACCGTGAGTTCTCAATCGTCAGCACGTCAGCGTCCAGGCCGTCGATCGCCTGCGCTCAGAAGAACCCGCCACCTCAGAAGAGTATTAATGGTAGAGTGCAAAGTAAGGCTGGGCCAGACAGCGCTCTTGGGGCATCCTTGGCTACTACAGAAGGTCCACGATATGGTGCACCTAAGTCCTTGCGCATAAAAGTCCAGCTTCCAACACGCATGCTCATCTACAATGTCGTCGTGGCGCGCGCTGCACCAGACATGAGACCACGCAACAGCTGACGCCATCCACACAAGGGTTCAGGCACATCACAGGCAGGACCTTGCGGCATCAACAGACCGCATGCGCCACATGCTCTGCGCTACAGTGGTGGAGGAGAACAGTGGGGGGAAGAGGCGCACGGGCAGGATGTCGGCGAACTCGGAGTAGCAGAGGTGGGTGACGATCTGGGTGGCGGGGGCGGCCACGACGGTGGAGAGGCGGAAGGCGCGCACGGCCCAGCTCAGGTATGACTCCCACCTGGCACGCTTCAGCGGCAGACCCTCGCGCAGAGCGGGCTCGTCCACCTGCGCATGACATAATATCATGTCAGCATCTGTCTGCCACAAGCACTGTGTCTTCCTGGAGGACGCTCCCTCCGGTCCAGTGCACAGCCGCTTGAGTGTGGAGAGAGTTGTAGGCTTCCAAGAGGGTGGACCATGCACTGTGTGCCAGGCATGACCAGCAGCAAAGTAAGCCTGCAGAGTAGCCAGTCTTTATGTTGTCGACGACAAGAAGAGAAGGCCCGCAGGATGCAGCAAGGAGATGGCACAGTGCACATGATGAAGGGGTGGATGGGCAAGAGCAGCACCTGGATGACCTTGCAGCCGGCGGACTCGAGGTCGGCGACCTCCTCGCGCAGGGCGAGGGCCAGCTGGTAGGCCTGGGCAGAGCGGGAGATGTCCTTGCGCGGGAAGGACCAGTTCAGGATGGTAACAGGGCCTGCGAGCATGCAGCAAACACCCGTCAGCCAAGCCCGCTGCGATCACTTCAATTGGTGGCAGTGCTAATCCAGCAGGAAATAAGCGCTGCAATGCGGTCATCACAACATTCCAAGAGACATGCAAATGAGGATCCATCAGGTTCCAGGTCATAATTCTGATAACACCAGCAAAGAAGTCCATGCAGCCCGACAGGGTGGCATAAATTGCAAGCGCGCAGGTTTGAACGATGTGCAATAAGATGGGCGGAGAGAGAATGGGCGCGCACCAGTGAGCATGCCCTTGACGGGCTTCTGCGTGAGGCTCTGCGCGTACTTGAACTCCTTGACTGTGATGGGGCCCGTGCGGGACACGTCCCCGTAGATTATGGGAGGGCGCACGTAGCGAGACCCGTAGCTCTGCACCCAGCCGGCCTCAGTGAAGGCAAAGCCCTCCAGCTTCACGCCAAAGTACTCCACCCTGCACGAGCACCACAGAACTCAGCACGCGCTTGACGTTTTTCATTCTGCATGACAGCCTCAAAGGCCCCCAGCAGGGAACATGCAGGCATGTGCATGGAGGCAGCAGTGCTGCCGGCCAGACACTCCCAGGCATGGCGACAAGTCGTTGTAAGGGCAGGTATGCACTGCAACATAGAGCAGACGCCGCTGCCTCTCCCATCATCACAAGGGGTAGACAGACATTCCATGCAGGGCCGGAAAATGTGCGTAGATACGCAAGGGGAGGGGAATGATGTGGGCGCACATGTCGGTTCGCTCGGGCTCGCCGTGCACGAAGACGTCGAGTCCGATGCGCTCCTGAAAGTCGTTAGCATACTTCATGTAGTCGTTGATCACCTTCTCGTAATCCTCAGCGCTCAGCTGGCCCTTCTTGAACTGCAGACGCGCGCGACGCAGCTCTGCGCAACAACCCAGCAACGTATTTTAGGCTCACGCTGCATGCTCATAAGCATTCTTAACATGCCAGCTCCTTGCTGAGATCTGCCTATGTTATGCAGATAGTCTCCTGGAAAGAGACCGCGTCATAACCTCAGCATGCTTGTCACTCTGAAAATCTATGCTAGCAGACGGGGTATGGCAAAGCAGTCTCTTGCTGGGAGGCCTGCAAGAAAGAGTGAGGGGAAGGCACGAGGTGGAACGGGCACCTGGGGTCTGGGGGAATGAGCCGATGGTGGTGGTGGGGAAGTCAGGGGTCTGGATCTGCTTGGAGCGGCGGGCCTTGAACTCCTCACTGCGGTTGAACAGGTTCTCCGCGATGGCCTCCTTGGGGTCGTCTGCGCAGGGGGCAGCAAGACACGCGTCAGTCCCCATGCCATGCCATGTGCGCCAGCCACATGACAGCGATGCGCAAGGATCCTTCTCATCAAGCACAGAGGGTACCACGACAAACAGATACAGACATCCAAGCCATGCGTGCATGCCTGCAGCCTCCTCTCTGGACAGTTATTCAAGCATGACAATGTGTTTGACAAAGCGCCGCTGAGCGCATGTCCCAAAGCAAGGGCAGATCAATGCTGGGGATGAGGGCGGCGGGGGCACTCACTGACGGCTGGGAGGGCGGCGGTGATGGAGGCGGGGGCTGAGGCGGAGGGGGCCTTGGAGGCAGCCTCCACAATCTCAGCCACCTTCTGCTTTGCGAAGGCCAGGCGCGCAACCAGGTCGGCCGGCAGCTCGGTCTCCAGGTCCTTGTTGTAGGGCAGGTGCTGCAGCGATGTGGACGACTGCACGCTGATGTTGGTGATGCCCTGCCACAGAGACGTGCATGACATCAACGCTCATGCAATTCTTCTTCGTGGCACAAATTCTCTACCTTGTTGGACTCGGGCAGATCCAAGCAAGACTCAAATCCGCCGTGGACACAGTACTCAGTAATTGAACATCAATCCCTATGCAAGCTGGCTATACTCGGCAAATGCCTGATCTTTGTAAAAGGCATCTGCCACGGCAGGTACCTGCAGCTTAAACAGATCAGCACCCACAGCGCTGAGCAATGCTCATTGGGTCAGCAAGTACTCCCAGGCACTGCGCTGTCAGCCATGGATACATCTCATATTCCAGTGGACATCAGCCTTTCACATGTCCATGATGTGTGCCACATGCTTCCCACTCCCATCCAGACTTCTCGTGAGACAACGCAGGATTTTGGGCATGCGCGCACCTTCTTGAGCAGGGCGGCAACCAGGTTGGCGGGGGTGTCGCCGTCGGCGAAGACGGAGCGACCGTCAACAACTCCAGCGCCCAGGCGCTTGTCGGAGGGGAAGCCGTACTTCTCGACCAGCGCGGCAGTCTCGTTGCCGAGCGCGGAGCCTGGCACTCCCAGGAAGTCGAGGGAGACGGCGGCCACCGGCAGCTTCACGGCCCACTCGTAGGCCTCACCAATGTCGTCGTAGTAGGTCACCTACGCCCACATGGCAGATCCACCAGATCAGTACCAATTCTGCAGCTACTTGGAGCAGCAATGGTGGCTGCAGTACATTGTGGCTCAAGACACCGCACAGGCCCAAACTGGTCCAATGCAAGTCTAGACTCTAGCTTGACCTGAAGTCAACAGCAGCCGCTTGACCAGCATGCACAGCACCACAACAGAGCATGATGACATGGAGCATGTCAGGCACTCAGCTGAGGTTGGGAATTGCAGGCACAAAAAGAAAGGAGCCGCAAGGAGGAGTGATGGGAGGGGGTGGGCGCTCACCAGGTTGATGGGCACGCCGACCTTGGAAAGCTCGGAGTAGGTGGACTCGAACTCAGCCTTGAGCTTGGCGGCGTCGGATGTGGTCAGGATGGGCTCGTGCAGCTGCACCTCGGGCACGCCGAGCGCCTTGAGCTGGGTCAGCAGCTCGGTGTACGCGGGCAGCAGCGCCTTGATGGCCGAGTCATGGTCGAACGGCGCGGAAGCGTCAGCCGGCTTGGACAGGCCGACCAGGGTGTTGGGGCCTGCGCGCAATGTTCATTTTCAGCACACATGCAATTTACATGACATGTCCGCTGAGCCATCAGCATGCTTTGGGTGCACAATGTGGCGTGGCCACATGATTGCAGGGGAAAATGGCGTCAGAAATGTTATAACTAGGAAAACAACAGAGTAAGTTGGTATGGCACTCACCAATGATGATGGGCACGGCCTTCTCCTTGCCGATGGCATCCTGGCCGCGCTTCACCTGCAGCCACATGCTTGACACTTGAGCTTCATGTCCTCAAGCTGAACAGACGACATGACAACAGAGCGGTGAGAATACAGTTCATTATTAGCAAGAGTACTTGAAACACAGAACAGCAGCTGCCAACCTTTAATAGGGACCAGATTATGGCACGCAGGCAGAAAATATTTGCAAGTCTGCAAACTGCAGCACATGCAAGCTGGGCGCATATAGGAATCCTCCAACACGGCTGACATTCACACTGTTGTGGAATCGAGGAGGCATGACAAAGGTCACCTTGTCGAAGAGAAGGGAGAAGTCGGGCTTGGGGGTGACGGTGGTGGCCAGCTCGGGGACGAGGTAGTGGTAGTTGGTGTCGAAGAACTTGGACATGTCCAGCGCCTCGGTGCCGGGCACTCCGCGCGCCAGCGCAAAGTACAGGTCATAGCCTGACAGGTGCTGCTCGCCACGCACACAACTACTCAGCGCACGGATGGAACAAGATGGTACTCCACATGCAGACAGATGGTATGCAAAAACGTCATGATGGCTGTGCATGGGGCGGGAACCCAATGACATTGACTGCAGAGTTTCTTGGCTGGAATGAGGTCCTTATCAACAAGTAAGGCTGCCTTTGACAAGACAGTTCAGAGCGTCAAGGGGAGCAGTCAGAGTTGCCGGATGAGTTGAGGCAAAGTGTTGGTGGAGGAGAGGAGGGAACGCACCGAGAAGCGGGAAGGGGCAAGGCCCAGGTAGAAGATGAATTCGAGGACCTGGTCGTATAGGGTGCCGTCCAGACCGACAAGGGAGATGCCTGCACAGCTGGCAATCGACTCTTGAGCTGTATGGCTAGAATCACCTTCTGTCCCGCTTGTGGACCTTTACATGAATGCTGTGATGAGATTTGGAGGTTGCTAACGCAGGGGAAGGGATGATGAGGGTACCTGCGTCAGCCTGCAGGGTCCATGCCAGCCTCTGGGCCTCGTTGTTCACAGCCAGGAGCTCCTCCAGAGAGGTCTGCTTCTTCCAGTAGCTGCGAAACCATGCACAAACTTTCAGACTCACTCTTCAATCGACAGGGTATCAAGAAGCACTGCAGTTTCAAGTTGATAGGCTCAGCCACCAGCTTGGAGCTGGGAGAAGCTGACACAGGCCGAGGCGGGAAGACAAGCTTTGAGATCAAGAAGTGAAAAGCTCGTACAGGATGAGTCTCTCATGAGAGTACTTACGTCTCGAGAGCCTTCTTGACCTCACGCTTCTCGCCAATGCGAGGGAAACCTGTAGATAGAAAAGGGGCAATCAGCAATTATGAAAGACCAGGATGTAGAGAAAGACCATTGCTCCAACCGACTTTAAGCAAATGGAACCGTTGTTTTAAGCCAATGTAGAATATTACTCTGACACCAGCTAAAGAGATCGCTTAGCGCCAAAAGGTCAATGGCAGTTTCCAGGGAAGGCTTCATGAAGTGCTGGGAAGTACGTAAAGCTTCGGATGGACGCACCGATGGTGGAGGTTGTGATAGTCATCCTTGGTACTTTAGGATCAAGGAGCCTGCACCAGAGCGACCCGATCATAGTCAGTACAAGAAGGCACGGGGCGTCGTGGGCCAATGCTCAGCCCAGGACTGCGTCAACAAGAAAATAAGCTGCAAAACACTCACGCACGACATGACAAACAACCACATCTGGAATACAACGTTAACACCGGAAGTAAATAGCCATTCCTGGCAACAACTGTAAGAGCCGAAGGAAGGCGTCGGTTTGAAACATATCCAGACACATTCGAAACAGATCAGGCCTTTTGCGCTCAACGAGCGCATCACTCAAGGCAAAGCTGGCCGTCAAAAAGCTTTCTAGAGTACCATTGAATTGACGTGATCCTGATCCCGGCTATTCAACGGTCAGAGCACCCAACTCTGAAAATTTCGAGCCAAAGCCGCTTCAGCGGCGGCTTCTTAAAAAGCTTCTTTGCTCCTATACCCTGACGCTGGGCAGCCTTTTGCAGCCAGACATGATCAAAGAAACATTTTGCTCTGCCCTTCTACGCTCTTGAGCGACGGAAGATGGACTCAGCCAGGCCATCTTGCCATGGCAAATGCCCTTCTAAAGTCTCACCAGTACCCGAGCCTGGATGGCTGTGATTCGATCCACAAATGGGTGCATACCTTCTAATCGATGAGAAGTCGCTCCCACTGCTTCGGATCTACACAATAAATGATTCTAGACGGCTCCAAAGAAAGTATTCCCGCTCCTGGGAATATGAGCACGGACTGCGGACCTCGGTGCACCCAAATTTGGGATCCGTTACGGGTTGAGTGTTTCTTCTCCCGAGACTGTCGGAAACACAGCTTCCATGGATGATTGTCAGCGGAAGAATATCATCGTTCAAAATTATCTATCCCATTGCTTCATCACTCTGTGGTTGAGCACAGCTGGTTGCAAGCAGCAAGACAAGAGTGAGGAGACACAGTACAGTGTGACGTGCAGAGGTCACCAGGAAGGAAGGTGTCCTGTAGGGCTTGTCGATATTAATTGGCAAGTTGCAGAAACAAGGGTCAGTAAGGAGGATCACGTGAAACTACATCGATATTCAGTGTCTGGTAGTGAGGCCTTTTGGTCGATCTAGGTCTCCCAATAAGCCCAACACCTAAAGGAGCGAACAGTACTGGTGGCTCGATGGCTACAACAGAAGCCAAGGTCGAAGTACCCAAGGAGATCGAGGCCCAGCGCAAGACGAGGTGCCCTGACAACGTCCTCGTGGCCATCTATGGCAACGCAGAGGACAAGAAGAAGGCCTACGATGCCTCCCTCAACAGGTAATCTTCAATTACCATCCCTATTGTATCCTTCATATCCTCAACTCGACCTGCGGACACCCCTTCCTGCACCATGAGGAGTTGCGCTAAGTTGTAATCCTCTTCCCCACACAACTCCAAACAATCAGAGAACTGAACCCAGAGGGGCAGTCAAAGCATCTAGAGTGTCACAGTATGCATGGCATGCGCAAGGTCTTGGCCCAGCAAAACCCTCGGGTGACGCCAATGCTGCAACGAATTTGCTCAAGAGACACATCTGGCAGGTGGTGGGCGGAGTACTCGGACAGGAAGAACGACGAGGAGGACGAGCACGTGTCTGACAGCCTGCTGTATGACCGCAGCCACTTGCCGCGAACCGCGCCGCCGCCCGAGTGCGTGCATGAGGCGCGCGCGCTGCAGCGCCAGCTGGATATGCCGCAGCCGGCCGTCCCCGGCAAGCCCGACGTCGTCTGATGCGCTGGCTGACACCGGCTGTGCACAGTCAGAGTCTTGCAGAAGTTGACAGGGAATGATCCTATACTCTGCCCGTTGCCGTCTGATGCGCCGGCTGAAGCCGGTTGAGCAGAACCTTTCTTTGGCTGCTTAGTTTGCCGTCCTGGGAAAGTTTGGCGCCATGTGATGCGCCGGCTGACATTGGCTGCACAGCAGTCTCTGTTGTATGTAACAACAGCGAAAGCTCCTGTTTGGCAGCCCTTGAGAAAATGGACAGCTTTATATGTAAGGTTCCCTGAATAGCTGCGCGCAGCTGGCCGTCCCGGGAGAGCCAGATGCCGTCTGATGCGCCGGTTGCGCAGAGTCTCGTTGCATTTTCTGTCAAGGGGATCTGCCGTATTGGGCGACCCTAAGGCAGTCAGGTGGACAGCAGGAGCTCCAGGAGTGCCTGTTTTCTCTTTTTGCTAGCGCAGGAGAAAGAGTTGCGATTAAAATGTTAGGAAGTGCAAGTGCTCCGGTGCTTTGCAGGTTGCTCACGTCATTATGTGTAATATAAGCAGTCACTCTCAGGGTGGCTTAGGCTAATTTACCCGTTGCGCAAGTTGTCGCTGCAGTACCTGAGATTCTTTCCTGATCATGACTGCAATATTGCAATAATTTGAAGGCAGCGCTGTCACAGATCTGAAAGATCATTGCCGATCCACCCCACCACGCCCAGGCAAACCCCGGCATGCCAGCCGGTTCAGCCGCGGCCGTCATCAAAACTGCCCCAAGTACACGATGGTGCTAGCACAGCGCTCTACCCGGTACAATGCAGTGCTAGTCAGTAAGTGTGCTACGCAATTCTGTAGGATTCTTTGGAGCACGTTGCATGGATCTTGCCATGAGGGGTTTGTAAGAGGCCACTGACGTGCCGGGGCTCTTGGGATCTCTTTACGGTCCGTGTTTTGCTTGGGTTACGAGGGTCAACCTTGGATCGTGGAACCCTTTCCGCTCAGGGCCTAACTGGAACGCCTCCTCCCGGAGCCCACCTTCCGCCAAAGCGGCAGCTTCGGTCCAGGGCGCACAGCCACAAGGCGCTAAAACGCATTTCTCCACATTGGGCTCTTGTTGACTCCTTCGACTGTCAGGAGATTTCTGAGATCGAAATCTTGTTGTTGTCACCTCGCAGCTGTGCTTTGATAATTTTGAAGCAACCACACACAAAAGATGGAAGCAGCGGCATGCACATCGGCACAGCACCGTTGCCTCGCTTCCGTTGAATCTTTGCGAATCAGGTCTGTGAAATGTAGAGGGACATATCTGCCGGCAGGGATGTACACTTCCCGCAGGTGCATTGGTGCGCGGAAAGGGCCCAGGCCAGCACGGGCTCTTCTAGAAAAGGAGGGCGGATCTGGTGAATTGCCCCACAAATAACCTGTCTGCGTCGCATTACATTGTAAGCTATGACAGTCTACTTGTATCCTCGGAGCCACCTGTGTTACAAATCCCTAATTCTCTTCATATCTGAGGAGAACTGCCCCACAGGAGTCCTGGAGAAATCTGGCTTGGATCTTTCAAAGCTGCCCACGCCTGCCACAGAGTCAGGCCTAGGGGGTGGAGAGACGCAGAAGAGCAAGAAGCTCGGTGGAGGATCTTACAGGTGTATTGCAGCCGCAAATTGCAGCCAATACAACAGTGTCTGCAGAAGTGGGAGATATAAGTCTTGGCAGCAGCAGCAGGAGCGTGCACTTTGCATGTTCATCAGGGCAGAAGCGGCTTGATGACTGCAATCCAGAATTAGGCATCGATGTGATAGGCCCTTGCGTGCGGACTTTGCTTGGAAACGAGAGCAGCAGTATTGAGCAAAGCTCGAAAACTACGTCTGGCCAAATTGAAACAGTTGTTGCAACATTTGACCTGTCACATGCAAATATCGCGTGCCCTGATAGGGCCGTGCAGTCAAGGCTTTTGGAGCAAAGGACGTTGAGCAAGCATATGTCTCCTTTGCGCGTAGGGTGATGCTTTTGGAGCATGAGAGGCACACAGAGAAGATGGTGGTTCAGGCGATCACCACAGTCATCCCAGGCACATCGCCTGAGCACGCCCTCAACTGCTATCACACTGCCAAAAAGCTCGGGCAGGCCATCATCACTTCCTGCATCAAAGGTGGGACCCAGTGCTCATCCCTGTATAAATTGCAGTGGAGATCATTTGTAGGGATGTACATTGTTTAGCCTACTTGCTGGAGAGATGCCTGTGTTTGGGGCATTGGCAGTGCCCAGATATATCATGCACACTAGCTTGATGATTGACAAAATGCCATAATTGCCAGGTGCATTCAGTGGTGATCATGTCTCTCAGGTTCCGCTTGTAAAGGCATCTATATGGTAATGACTAAGTGTGTGCATGCGTGCTGCAGAGCATGCGGAGTTTTACTCAGAGCAGCTGTCGCGGCAGGGCATCAGCAACATGATTGAGCCTGACACCACCACCTTGTAATTATCAGCGAGTAGATGCTACGGGGTAGTAAGCATAAGCGTCCTGCCTGGCATTACTAATGATTAAGGGTGACGGCGTCAAATTGTTGAGTGGGTATCGAACTTAATTGAACAGATATCATGATATGAGGGGTCAAGTCGGCTTGGATTTCTGAAAGTTGCCAACATTACATTGGGACGGTAATAAATTTGCGGCACATGTACTGAAGCCCCAGTGGTTGCAGCAGGACAGACCAGTCATCAGTATCATGCAGCTGCATCAGGGACAGGGACACTTTGTAGTAACAACCCGGTCTTAAATCGTAACACATCATATTGCACTCTAATGAAACTCTCAACGATGGCTTGGTTGCTCACACAGGCATTTCAGCAAGGATCCTGCAGTGCTGCATAGCTGCTGTGGACTCTCTGTCATGTCATCTGGAACATACAATCCAATTTCAAGAATAGACACATTTTTGGACGAGTCTGCAAGCGCAGCACTCAAGTCCAATTTTCTCATCACTTGCCGTAGCTGCTGATCAGGGGGTGCTTGAGTAGTGCATGGTAGTCCGGCTCCCCAGAGAGGAAGTTGTTGTAGTCCAGGCGGGCTATGAGGTTCAGCAGGCCATCCAGCTCCTCCCTGGTCTCCCCAATAGACCCCACTGCATTCCTGTGGATCTCCTCGAGCCCTGCCACCCCAAAACAGACATCAAGACTTGAAGAAACAACACAAGAACTGGCCGCCGACAGCAAATTGCACATGGAAAGTTCACCCAGCCATCGCAGGTTCTGCCCTTGCTAGAAGCAGCATGATTCCCAACTGCTCCTATCCCTGATCCTCCCTGGACAAGACGAGACCTTGCACACCGCATTCCCCACTCTTTCACATACAACACCGTTTCTGCCGAGGTGCTTCTGCACTAGGCTGCAGCACACAGGCAATGCCTGCCCTCACAAATTCTGCTCATCCAGTTTGCGGCTCTCATGGCTTCGCGCACCTGAGGAGGTCCTGCCAAGTGCCATTGAGCACCTGAGGCGCACTGTGATGCACCGGACCCCACAGTACCAGCTTGCCATGGAGGCACAAGCCGGAAAAGGCAGGAGTGCAAAGCCAGGCCTGCCTCGGCCCTTCTCTGTGTCATTTCAAGCCCATCCTGACGCATGCATGCATGCGCGCAGTGGAGGGAACGCGCCGCACCTTCGTGGAACTCCTTGAACCTCTGCAGGAAGTCGCTCTGGAATTCCTCCACGCTGCACTTGAAGTTGTCGGTAATTACATACGCCTCCGCTGCTGCTGTCAGCTCGGCAGCGTGCAGCAGCCGCCGCTCGCGGTCAGACAGAGCCTGGCCTGCAATGTTATTGCCAGCCGCAATTATCAGCAGAATGCCAAGCACTGGGGCTAGAGAAAACCATTGAAGAGCTGGAATAATCATGTCAGGGATGACCTTAATGCTGTGTGCATGCACATGACCGGATTAAGTGATAGCCTGCTAGCTACGTGCAAATAGCTTCCAATAAGCACCCCTAATAAGATGGTTCAGCAGTGACCTAGTGTCAGCAGCACTGAAATTTGTCAAGCATACTTGCAAGCAAACAAAGCAGATGGCATATAAGTTGACCCGGCTCGGTCTCAAGACCAAGAGACTGCTGTTGCAAGGGGCGGTTTGTTCACCTGTTACAAGGTCCTCTGTTGGGGCCTGGATATTGTCCAGGAGCAGCTGCAGCTTCTTGGCATTATCCAAGAACCTGCACAAGCAGAGCACATTTGTGTCAAGGACAGCAGCAAAGTTCAAGGGCTTCGGGTAGGTGCTACGCCACCTGTACTGTTCATACATGTGTTCGATGGACACCACTACATGCATGCATCACAAGCCATGTTGTAACCCTCTTCACGTCGCCCTGAGGCTGATGACAAAGACTTACACTTTGCTCAACCTTGCAAGGCTCACCCAAAGCCTTTGAAAATGCCAGAACTCAGTACCAAATGCTAAATTTGCCAATTGATTACTGCCAGAAATGCCCCAAACAGCAAGGAGGGCAGCAGAGTGACCCCATGCAAGCACCCACTTCAATGCTGTGCCCCTGTGGGCATCAACTGCTCCTGTTGTCTGAAGCTACTTCTACACATTTCCAGGTATTCACTTCCTTTTGTTTCTTTTTTGATCGCACGATCCTCACGCGCCACATGTAAGAGATGCCATACAGGTGCACCGGGCTGTTCCACAGCGGGGCTTTACCCCGCAAACTGCGCTTGCAATAACACGAGCAAGGACCTGCAACGCAACCCTGCATGCTGGGCAAGCGCCGCAAGCCCAGCATCGGCAAGAGGGAGCAGGTCTCACAGGGGCAGGCCTCGCAGGGGCAGGGACTCCGTCCCAAGGGCGTTTCGCTGACCGGGCTCCCTCGCAAGCAACCTGTAAGAAGCTCTTTGCAAACGGGGTTTGTGAGAGATGGGCCAGCGCGCCTGTGCACGATGCCCTTGAGGTCGGAGAGCCTCTGCAGAACCTTGACCTTGCGCGACAGCAGCGTCCCCTTCATCACCCGCCTCAGGAAGTCATCGTGCGCCGCCAACGCCTGGACATGGAAATAAGTCGTGGGACAATGCAATGCAGCCATGCATGACATGTGACACTCTTGATGCACATTCCATTCCCCGTGCAGAGTTGCATAGTATGCTGCAGGTAGCAGGCTTGACAACACGGCATTACGTCTCTGGCAAACTCAGTGCCCCAATTTGCTACGCCACGATGCGAGGCCGCGTCAAACACTGATATCTGCGAGGCAAGCTTCTACAGTCTACAGCATACTACAGGGTAACATTGAGAACAAAAGGTTGAGATAAATCATCGTGCCGGAAGGGAGGATCACCTGGTCGAGTGTGTGAGCCTTGTCGAGGGCTGTCTGCATGCCAATCCAGGCAGGCTCCATGACCTCAAAGGTGACGTAGAGGCGCAGCTGGTGGAACACATGCATCATCTGCTGGCACAGCCCGTACGCCGTCATCAGCGTCTTCTCAGGCCGCCTGCAGAAACGCATGCATGCATGGCTCAGGAGCCAACGAAGCGTTTTTGAGCACTGGCAGGATTGTTTGACATGAAGGAGCAACAGGTGACCTAGTGTGACTGTGCACCTTGAAGATATCTGTTCAGCTTGCTTGCTCCCACTGTCATGCCCATGCCATAGTGCACAACCATAAATGTTGGCCACAGCGCATGGGTGCGCAGCACAGGACAATGGCATATCAACACAAGCCAGCAAAGTGATAGCCAAGTACTTGCCAGGTGCCAGACACAGGCAGGGTGGAATTGCACATGCACGTGGGACTTTGCATGCGTTCACAGAGGCTTTCCGCGTTCCGCATTGACACGAATGATCTTCGAGCGTCTCAGGAAATCATCATCTACAGGATTTTGGGTGTTATTAGGGGGGTTACAGATGGGAGATTCAGGAGGGTGGAATGGCACCTGAAGAGGGGGCGGGTGGACTGGTAGATGCGCCAGATGTTCTGCAGGGAGCGCTCGCACAGCTCCAGCTCAAACAGGTGCCGGAACTGGGCCTGGTACATCTGGACGCTCGCAGCACTCACCACCACCGCCACCGGCCACTCCACCTGCGCACATTGGGTGGCATCCATTCACTTCACCATTCTGGTCATGGCAGCACCAATTCTTACCTTGGATACCGTAAGGGAATTTTTCTATTGATCAGCTGTGATCAATTGACAGGCCGTCTCCTGTCAGGGGATTGACACAAATCCTGGCTGCACAGGCCGATCACGGTCTCCCTGGTCACAACTAAGGTTGTATTTGAGGTCTGGGCACACTTCATTTGCCAGCAATGCAGGCAAGGTTTGATCTCTGCAGCAAGACACAGAGAAGGGGGGAGCCTTCAGTGTATAGCCGAGTGCTTGTTATGGCCTGAAGTGCAGTATTGGCGGCCGCACCTTCATGGAGAGCAGGAAGCACTCGCGGCCGCCCCGCTGCTTCAGCGCATTCTTCTCTGCCAGCAGCGTGGACCGCCCAGCCACCTGACCAGTCAGCACCTCGTCAGCAAATGACATGCATCGCAGTGCAGTATACGTCAAGTCGTGCACAAAGAGTCTGCACCAATCGCTCTGATCATGCTATAGACTCATCCACGCGAGACGCGTGCGTTTGCAAAAAGCAAGTTACCAAGGCGCTCAGTACCAACCACTCGTCACACGAGCGACACACAGGCAAGTGTTTGGCAGATATTTCTGTGTACTTCGTTCCAAGAACACAATGGACTACTCCAAACCTAACATAATTTTTGAGGTACTAGTGTGCCTACTGAGTACTAGAATTAGCACGGATGTACTCTGCCCCTGACCCAGAAAACAGGGCGATGAAAAAAGCAAGCGAGCGGGGCGGTACCCGTTTGGTGGCCAGGGCGGGGCCAGTGGAGGCAGCCAGAACGTGCTGCAGGAAAGCCAGTAGCGAGCGCGGATCCAGCGACACAGTCAGCTTCTCCGCATGGGGGTCCCCTCCCGCCGATGAAGACCGCACCGCTGCGCGCAGAGTGAGCGGTATTCATTCGACAACTGCCTCATTGGCAACTGTGCACTGAACCCAATGCATTTTCATCCATCGCACAGTGATGAAAACGGCGTTGCTGGCATGCCTGGTGAGGTCGAAGATGACAGAAGCGACGCTCATGGCCATGCAATCTGGGGACTTGAGCTTGTGTTGTTTGCCTGGATATCTCGTGCATGCATTGTGCTCAAGCAGGGACGTTAGCGTTATCTTACGAAGCGTTATCTTGAAGCTCGGCCTTGGTACAGGTTCACGGTTCAAGCCCTGGTCAGAGCAAGTAAAGTTTTCTGCCTTTTTTGCCAAGGGACTTAGACCGGGCACACACCAAGCTCGAGCAGGGACTGTAGGCGCGTGAGGATGACGTCGCCGGCGTTCTTGGACAGCTCCATCTCGGCGATGTCTACAAAGACGGTGAAGAGGTCGCCGCGCGCCAGCAGGAAGTAGCTCTTCAGGGCCGCCAGCGTCTGGCGCAAGCCGGCCTGCCATGACACACCCATTAGTAAGCACCACTCCAGCGTAACATTACCTACAATTCTCCGTGAGGCCTCTGATGACCTCTCAGTGGGTGCATGACCCCTTAAGCCGGGAAGCTCGAGGATTCCTGGTCCATCAAATTTGCTTCACATAATCTACGCAGGCGGTCACCGGTTTGTACGTTGTGTACATGCATTTACAAGGACCCGCGGACCTGAGATAATATTTCAAATGGGGCATGTTATCCCACAACACTTGAAGCAGGGATGCTTGAAGACTATCCTGATTTACATGGCAGACACTTGATACTGTAGCAGCCCCATAAGGGTGGCACTTTGATAATAGCTCTGTAAAGAATAGACTGCAGTGTAAATACCTGTGTGACAGTGTCCAGCAGTGCCTTGGAGGCCGCGGAGACCGCCGTGTGAATGTGCTGCGCGTAGCCGCCATCCGCAGAGTACTCTGCAGAACGAACAGCACGAAGCCAGTTTTGAATAGAATTTGAGGACGAGAGCCTTGTGCATGCTACAAATTGCTCCAGAATGTCTCGCATAGACAGCTACTTGACTCTGTAAATGTATCTGCAGGAAGATGACACATGTTCTGGTCTGGCCCTTTTGCAGGAAAAACCTTCTTGAAGCAACAAAACGCCATCAAAAATCTCTACTGGAGTTCGATTTTATGCCAGCAGGGGAGATGAAGAGGTTATAGGGCGCTATACCTATGTGGACATCGGGTGGCAGCGGCCGGACGATGGGCCGATTGCACTCCTTGATGGCGTTCCAGTGCTTGCCTGCGCGATAGTACAGAAGTTTGAGTGGCGCCTGCAGCCTAGAAAGCTAGCTTTCCACTGCATGCTGATCTGATTGATCTAATTGGAATTGGAGTAGTATTGAATGCACTGCGTGTTTAGTTTCTGCGCAGGAGCTGAGCAGCGGCAGCAGGGCAAGAAAAGCTCTTGTGCTATCTCCCACGATTGCTGTCAAATTGACCTGAAGCGGCTCTGATGACCACATCATTTTTCCAAATCAACCAAACCTGAATGCACCTTGGTGGAGCGCAGAGGCAATCTGGAACATGCAAGCATGTGTGGGGAGCGCACCGGTTGTCAGGATGGTGTCCTTAAGGGCGTCCAGGAAGATTGGCACGTCCAGCGGTGCCGCAGTTCCCTCCCGGGGCCGGGAAGCTGCCGGGTAGCTGCCGCCGAATTCATCGGCCACCGGCGCCGCGGCCGCGCCGTCGCGCGCAGCCTGTCGCAGCGTGTAGCGGTCGTGCCAGAAAGCCGACTGCCCCTTTGCGTTGATGCTATCGCGGCCGATTTCCTGCAATGTGTTGACAAAATTTTACAAATCCTGTCCAGTGCATGTATCAGTGCACGTTCACTGGCTAGGAGGCAATAATGGATATTGGCTGGTGGCACCCGTACACTCTGCCAGGGTGTGAGGCGTCACAGCTGTGTTGAATTCGGTGAGTGGAAACAGAGCCAATGCATGGGTGCACCGGCCATTATCACCCCTTACGCTCGAAACTAGCTGTGAGAATTCACCTCGTGTGTCGCCTGCTTCAATAGCAGTGCGCTGTGAGCACACTTACAGGCAATGCGGTGTTTTTTCAAGTGCTCTATCGAGGCGCATCGCTTGCTGTGCATGCATGCATGCCAGGAACTGGGGTTTTCTGCCTGGAGCTTCTTATCTGTGGCTGGTGATCTGTCTTTTTATTGTCAGATTTGTGGACGTTACTTGTAGATCGCTGTTGAAGTACTGGAGATAGTGTGCTGATTCTGGCATGCGAGACTGCGGAAGAAAGCGCAGGGATCTCTCACCGGGTTCTCCTGGACCATGAATTCGGCGAAAGGGTCGTCGAGGACGCCCTCGCACAGCCAGCGCTCCAGCATCTTGAAGTACGGCGCGCAGCCCGCCTGCAGCAGCTTCCCCAGCAGGCCCCTCGCAGCCGTGTCACCTGGTGCAAAAGAGAAACAAGATCTTGGTCCTGGCCCAGCTGGAGATTTGCCTGAAAACGGATCCTACAACCTGTTCAGGTCGACATTGAGCTGCAGCAATATTTGCCGGAGCGTACACGCGTTGTAGCATGCTTGGCCCCAACCCGGGGGTTTGAAATCTCAGGCTCTCTGTGAAACGCACCCTATACCTTGTCCATTACCTTCAGGCAGACATCCGGTCAGCCCTAGATTGGCTGCAAGCCATTTATTGTACCAACTGAGTCACCTGGGGGCTGGCAACCCTGCCTGATGGGATTCATGTGCGCTCTAGCACTGGAATGTAGGATGGGTAGATACAATGACACATGAACTTGATCACGTCCGATGCTTACTTTGATAGCAACACTGTCCCAGACATTATCAAAGTGAGTGCACACCGGCGACGGCTGCGTAGCGGGAGTGGAGCAGGTTGAGCAGGGATGCGCCGCGCAGCTTCCTAGCAGCTGCCTCCGACGCCACGGAAGCTGCCAGGCCCAGCGACGCCAGCGGCGGCTGCACATAGTACCACATCGCCTGCGCAACAACCCCTATTACACTTGTCTTCTCCCACAATACCAGCAAAATAGATCCCAAGGAAACAACCCATCTTTCGTGTTGCAACATCTGCTTGCAAGGGAGCATGCATGGGACCCTAAAAAATCCATTGCCCAGTTTAAAGGCATGACCTTTCCTTCCTTTGAGGACGTAGTGCAAATAAACCCAATTGCACAGGATTCAGCATTGTTGAGTTTAGCTGACCGGCATCTGTGTATAAGCATCTGCTCTGTGAGCAGACATCAGCGGATGTTCCAAGACATGCACAGGCGTGCACGCATGGCAGGTGTCTGAGGGGCGGGGATGGAGTGAGCAAGTGAAGGTAACACGCCTGCAGGGTGAGGTGTCCAGTCAGCATCTGGTGCTCCAGCTGAGTCACCATGAGGTGCCAGTCCTGCAGCAGCACCCGCATCGCGCCAGCCACCGCATGGCACACCCGACCGCGCGAATACTCCATCGCCACGGTTGCCCACCGATCCATTATCACCACCGAGTCACTGCGGACATCACAGGCACAAGTCAAGTGACAGCTGGAACCATGGGCTTTTGCTCAATAAAATTGCCTGGGGCCCTCGAATAGAATTGTGAAGCAGTTTGCTGATTGCACTGAAGACCTGGCGTGACCGAACTGGCGTTGCTGTGGGAACCAGCCTGAAAACGTTCAGAACTGTAAAAATTGATCGGCTATCACACAGTTTTGCTTGCTGTGTTGCTTCAAAGAATGCTGCAAGCCTCTCACAAATTCAGATTTAAGCGAGGGTGCAGAGCTGTGACGTCTTGGGAGGGCTCTGCAGGAGGCCGAACCAGCCGGACTCATTCAGCTAGAGCGCAGGCTTGCAGCTACTGCACCATCCTCTGGGTCCCTTTGTGGCTGGTGTCTACAAGTGGTGAGTGTGCAAGATGCGCACCAGATGGGCAGCATGCGCGTGGCGAGCTCCTGCAGGGAGGGATCCGCCCGGGCCTCCAGCGCATAGCTGATATGCGCCCCATCCGCCTGATCCACCCTCCTGGCGCGGGCATATTTGCCATCCACCCCCATGAACGCATTGAGCAGGTCGTCCATCACTGCCATACCACAATTGTCCACATTAAAACAACGTACCTCTAGTTATTGATCAGTGCTTTGCCGCACGACCTAATCTAGACACCATGCCTTCAAGCATCAATCGATGCTGTGCCACACGTTATCAAGAAAAAATCAGACCCCCAAACAGCACAGAACTCTTCCAGCTTGTTTAACCAGCAATACTGCCAGCAATACTGGTACACCACAGGTTTTCCTGATACTTACCACAACAAGTGGTCCTGGCTTCCCAAGCAGTGCTACATGGATGCTTGTGGTTGACTTGCAAAACACAGCAGAGAAGTACAGGTGTGGGTGCGGGCAAGACTAAGGCTATAATTTGGGGGTGAAGTAGGGGGGAACGCACATATATGTTCCTGCACTGCGCGCGGGTATGTGCTGAGGGGCTGCGTGTCCTCAACATCCACCCGTGGCGCCTCAGCACTCTGCGTATCACACCGCCAACCCTCATCCACCCAAGTCTTATTTTTATTCTTACACGTTTTTCCTGCCGAAGGCAAGGTGCGTTTGCAGACAAGCTGCATGTAAAGGCTGCCAAATTCCTACCCCTTGTTGGACTCGCCAGATCCAAGCAAGACCCAATCAACTGTGGGCACGGTGCTCAGTATTTGTACCGCCCCCCGCCAGCCGGGGCCACCCAAGTATTCAGTCCTATTCTGCTTTTCATCCATCCTGGGTGTCTCAGAGAATGCTAGAGGCAACACTGATCAGTGATCCTGCATAGAGCCTGCATATCCCCACTGTTGCTGGATACAGTGCTGAGACTTGAGCGCATGTTTTGCTTCATGGGGCGTCAAATGGCCATCAATTCTCATGCTTTTCGAGGTTCCTCCTCAGCCCAAACGATCAGAACATATCACAGGTGTCTCCTGGTTTCGGTGGAAGAGGCATGCCTGCATGAGGAACTCCCCAGTCAGGAAGGGCCTCTCCTGCAGCCAAGCAGGCATGGGGGGCAGGGTGCTGTCTGCACTGGCAGCCTCAGATCTGGCGGCGGCCCTGGCAGCCTGGAAGTCAAACAGGTCCCCCACCGGAGGCAGGGAGGTCCTGCCCCCGGCCGCTGAGTCAGCGCCGCCGCCGTTCGGCTCCGCTGTTCCCTCCCTCCAGTAGTCCGCCCCTGACTTGTAGGGCGTGTTGATCCCCAGCTGCGCGCATATCAACCTTGGAGCTCAAAATTGTTTCCCACTGTCATAGTTGCTATACAGATTTGTGGTAAGCTCTTCAGTGCTCCGGGCTTCTATAGAGCTGGACATTGCACCCTCTTGTCGGGTTTGGCGTGGCATGCACGTGATGCATTTGCAGCCACAACTTCTTCTTTCTTGTCAGAGCGATAATGGCGAGTGTTGCAATGCAGGCCCATCACAGTTTTGTGTATGGGCACTCGGGGCCAGGAGCATAACAGAAATGATGTTAGGCAGACAAAAGTGCAGGTGCGCACGGTGCATGGGGACAGTTGAGAGTGTCTGACCTGGCCATAGATGGGGTTGCGGTGGTCGGACAGCCATCGCCGCGACCCCTGCTGCGCGCTGCCGCCGTTGCTGGCGGAGTGAGCAACCGGAGAATCGTCAAAATCGCGGCTGCCGCGCGCCGCCAGATCAGGCGACGGCCTGCCGGCCCTGGCTGCCAGATCAGGCAGCGCCGGTGACAGCGCCTCGTCACCTATTAGTAACATCGGTCGGCGGCTGCTCCCCGCGCTGCTGCGCTCTGATGCATCGCGCGTCACAGGCGTCATCGTCCCTGTCAATGAAGCAATCGATTTTGAACGTTCCATTTTATATTTCATTGGGATATAGCAGACGTGGCTGAAAATGTAATTGTAGTTGGGGATCTGAAGGGTGTAAGGCCAGAATTGCATGGCTAGGAACGCATGATGACCAAGGCTGCCGTCAAGAACGTCACATGCATCCTCATATGCAAAGAACGCTGGGCTGCCATGGAAACCCGAAAATCATTGAATGGTGTCCTCGTTGGCATTTGGAAGGCCGTGTTGCTTCTAGTGGGGCCTTCAACCGCAAATATACTTGATGAGCTGCCACAGCAGGACTGCAGGATGAGGGTCACCTGGTATACTGGGGGGTTTGCTGAGCCTGGAGGGGGCAGCGGTGACAGATGAGGCAGTAGAGGGCACAGGGGCGGCTCTCCTGGGTGCCTGAGCGGGGGCTTCGCTGCTGGACAGCGCAGCGTGCACCTCTGGGGACTTGAGAATGTTCTGCATGACGATGAGAAACTCATCCAATCTGGGCACCCTGCATTTCGCACCAGGCGCTGCATTATGTCTCTGCATTTATCTGATGCATGCATACAGTGGCAATGATAATGAACGAAACAAGACATCGGGAATCGTTGGCACTCTATCACCAGTTGGGGCAGGCGCCAAGCTTCTGGCAATGGAATCAGCACAGCAGATACTGGATGATGTGTGGGGTTCCAGTAACACCCTCAATGAGCATGGCCATATATGTCGCCTCAAAACAATTCACAGAATGCGCAGGAGAGTTTTAAATGTGTGGGGAAGAGCTCACCCAGCAGCTTTGAGTTCATCACAGCGCTGTTCAAACTCTGCCGCCTTTGGGTTGTCTTGGCTAATAAACTGCCTTGCTGCAGCTGCGTCCTGCACCAGAGTTACATGCATCACCTCCACAATGCAACCTCCCGGCCGCTGGCATTCTTGCTCCCCTTGACGTTTTGGCAGTTCAAAGGCAGGACAATTTTGCAGACCAGTACGTGCTGATCATTGCCTGCAGGGATACCCAACCAGGAGAAAAGGTGGCAGGTGCAAACCTTTTCCCACCGGCCTTGGAGCGCAGGGATCTTGCCAAATAAGACCCTCACTGCACTGGCGCGCAGATTGTCAGAGAGGTCGTGGCCCCCCCTGGCTGCAGATACGACATCCCCAAGCCTGGGTAGCACAGGAGACAGCGTCAGGGGCCGAGCGATGAAGTGACAAGCAAACAAGATCAACACACTCAGACGGACGTGAGGAGAGTAGCGAAGCTTGTCACAGCTGTGCCCCTGAGGGGCAGTGGCAAGAGATTCTAAGGCACATGTACTTCAAAAGATCTAGCCAAGGTGGCACCAAGGATTTACAAAGACGTTAAAAGCAATCAAGAAAATGTCGAGCAAAGAAGAGCAGGTGTTCATACAAGAACTCACCTTCCTACCAGATATTCTACTCTGCCCCTTTTGTCAGCCGACGACGAATCCATTGCAGGTTGTGGCATGTCTAATGCCTTGGCAGAACGAAATCAAGGATTTCACCCTGTTGACAGTTAAAAAGTAACTTTAGACTCGCATACCGTCCTGATTCACGCGTCAATCCCGTAAAATTTGTTGTTGTATGCATCCGAATGCATTCAGTATAGAGCGTCCTAGAGATAGACCTGCTTGCAAGTTCTTGGTTAAAACAAAGAAGCAAGATGATTGCGGAATCCTTGAAAGATCCACCTGCAAGCACTCGTGGACAAGCAAAGATGATCCGGTAATGTCACCTATGGTTTGTACGGCATGTTGAGTGGGTACTTCAGTGACTGCATTGTTCTGCGTCATCCAGCGTTGGTGACACTGTTCAGGATGTAGAGTAGATACCTGGTGCAAGACACACACACAAGGCAGCTTTTGCACAATTCATCAAACGCTCCCCCGATCTCTTTGATTCGAACTGTAACGCTGGATTAATCGATTTCGAGTGTCGTTGCCTTCCACAAAGGTCCCAACAAGCCCTGAACAATTCCCTCGTATTATTGTTTATTTCACAACTCCTAAGCTTAAGACGAACGGGATGTTGACTATTCTTTTCTCCTCTGTTTCGAAGAGAAACTGTGATGAAAGAATAACAAAACCTTTCCTGTTCATCCATCCATCCAGAAACTAATCTATATTGTTATTTGGATGTTTCTCGCCTGGTTCTGAGCTGCAGCTGCCAGGCCTGCATATGCATTTTATTTGTCTTCACTGTGACACTTTTCGTAGAAGTTATTGAAAAAAAAGGCGGAAGAACACCATGATCGTCAAAATCTCAAGCGCGATCCTGCAATGTGGACCCCAGCTGCTTTGCTGCATCCAGGCCAGCAGGTGAGTTCTGTGGTCTGATTCGCTGGCCAGTGGGCTGAATCGGACACTAAGCATTCACTGCAAAATGATTTCGAGTTCCTACAGCCAGATTGTAACTTCTGTCTTCCACTTATGGCAGGGCAATTCAGTGTGCATCTCATTCTTGCAGACCTAGGTGCGTCAACATTTCTGGCAGAGCCAGAAAGTGCCGCCAACGTGCACTCACCACCTTTGTGCGGGCCTCAAAGCAGCCCCCTCCTCCATGGGAATGGGAAGACCCTGATGCGCCTGAAAGCAAGGTGTGCAAGTATTGTCGGCAGCTCCAACTTGGCACTTTCTTTGCAATTTTAATCAACGCATAAATTAACTTTTGTGGCCAGTTTCCTGGGCTTGAGATCCCTCTTTAAAGAAAATTTTCCTGATACTTTGGTACCGTATGCATTGTTCCCACACCAGCAATAAACAAATGTTTTTAGCCAGCATAAGGACTCTGGGTCGGTGCTCAGAGCGCCAACATGCCCTCATGTGTTGAGCCTCCTTGGTCTTTTTCTGAGTTGTGCTATAGCATTTATAAGTGGTAACTACTTTATGATTACCCGGCTGGCGCGGAGCGATATAAACATTGAGCACTGTCCCACAGTTGATTGGGTCTTGCTTGGATCTGGCAAGTCCAACAAGCAGTAGGATTGTGGCAGCCTATAAATGCAGCTTGTCTGCAGGACATGCCTTTTACCAGGAAAAGCGTTTAATGATAGTGAATTACGTTCTGGTATGCATTCGGCAGCCGAGTTCCGGCCAGTTGCCGGCGGCGAGTTGTGTGCATGGACCTTTAATGTTCAATGATTGCCATGCATGCGCCCTGGCAAGTTTGAATCGCAAGCGACTGTTGCAAGGATCACTGATTGATCCTTGTGTTTCTGGCGACAGATGATATGCGTAGTGCCTCAAAATCCTGCCGTGCACCCGAGCAAGGTATGCACGTACCATATACCATGATGCCAGCTCTGAATTGTGTGTATAGCTTGGATGTAAGCACTGTATGGTGTCGTTTCTACCAGCTGTGTCTTTCACCAAACGCAGGAGTCTTTCGTCGCCAAATCGGTGCAGGGCTTGAGGGCAATGCTTGGATTCTTCCTAGAAAACCTTGGGAGGTTTGCTATGTTGGGTCTATTTACATTATGGGCCTGGTATATCATAACGTTGCCACCTAGGCCAAAAAGCCCTAAGGAGAAATTCATGGGGATACTTGACGGAAATGGCTGTTTGCATGCCAGCATTGATCTGAGCAGCCACACGAATGGCATAGATGGTTCCTGGAAGATCAAAGTATGTCCAGTTCTCCTGGAGATTTGAAGGCCAAAGCTAAAGTCAAATGGATTGATTCTGGAATCAGTGAGATATAGCAGCAGCGGCTGCCTTCATGGCAGCCCAGATCTTTGTAAATCGCTGTGAGTGCTGCTTGAATTCCAGGTCCCCCAGAGCTTTTTCAATGGCTGACAAGTTCTCCTCTTTAGGGGCCCTCAACTCCAGATTGTCCCATGGCACTCTGCAGACACGAGAAACATTTCGGGCATGTCCGAGAAAAATAAGGACCTGTCAGGTCTGCCATCTCTCGCCACAAGAATGAGAACATCTGCTTTGTAGGCAGACTTTGCAAAAATCTCACAACATCTGATAGATCAGACTGCGCTGCATCATCATGCATGCAATGCACCCTTGCAGCACGCACTTATCAGCAGCGTCCTTCATTGCATGCCAACATGGCCCAGCAGTATCTCAATAAGCCTGAAGAAAAGGAGATGTGCCTTTCAAGTGCCGGGCAAATGGCAGTGAACAGTGGGGAGAATGGTTCAGGACATAAGGGAAAAAGGCAGACCTGACAGGAGGCAGGTCCACATCAGCCTGGATTGTGACCAGCTTGTGGCTGAGGGATGCCTTTTGTATCCCCTCCACACTCTGCAACTCCTCGCGCTGACTCTTCCTCTTCACCTATTCATACACACAAGGATGGCATAAGCTTGTCTTTAGCCCTCTAATATGCTATGCAGTTGAGCGCCCAAAGCCTCATGCCCTGGCTTTGGCTCTTGCAAAGCAGCACACTACCGTACTGTTGATCAGACATTCGGACACTTCATGCACCTCAGTGAGATGAAAAAGATGTCTCAGATGTTCAGATCTTTAAACTCATGCTCTTTATGCGGGTGTTCAGGAAAGGGGTGCTCACCTCTGCCGCGTTCTGAAGGACGCCCTCAATGGTGCCATACTGTTGTATGAGGGTTAGCGCGCCTTTTGGACCAATCCCCTTGACTCCAGGGACATTATCCGAAGCGTCTCCCATCAGCCCCAGTACATGCGGCCACTGCATGCACAGCAGGCACTCTCAGCGCTCCATGAAGACTGCCACTAAGATGCACTAATGTATTGTACGACAGATGGTAATATCTCAAGCATGACTGGTCTTTCACATCGCTCGAATGTGCACACCAGAAGGATGAGATAGCACAGAGCACACAGGTGTTTATTGTGCTTTGTAATCTCTGTACGCTCTGCATGAAGATTAGGAGACAAGAGTGAGGTTGGAAAATTACTAGCTATGACAATAAGGAGCAATCGGCAGGGTGATGTGCATCACCTGCCATGGCTCAACGCCGAACTCTTCCCTGAAGGCGTCAGAGTTGTAGGCCACAAAGCCGGCGATTATGCCTGGCCCGTCTCGCGCATCCTTCTTGGGCGGGCGCAGCAGCTGCAGCCCCGGTCTTAGCAACTGAAAGAAGTCCTGCAGCCCACATTCCACCCCAGTAAACCCCTCTGGCTATGCATGTCAGGAATTGAAGTTACACGATCCCTCTTTGGGATGGTGCAAATGCACAGTTGAGAGGGCAACTGGAATCTGCGTATCTCTCATAAGCTGTACACCATACGGGAAGTTTACACTTTCTACTCAAGAATTGAGTGTGTAGAAGAGCATTGGGTGTAGGGTTGCTTAGATTTCCATGCAGATTGAGGTGTTCTGACATCAGCAACACGGCATCAGCACAAAGACAGCTCTGACCTTGTCTGGGGAAGCTATTGCCACGAGGAAGCCGTCCTCGATGGCACGTGTGGCAACGGTGCCGATGACATCATCAGCTTCCACGCCAGCCACTCGCAGGACAGGGATGCCCAGGATCTGCCAACCACCAGATCATGATTAATTATTCCATGCCTCGCGATTTGCTTGTTAGGCATGCAGGCGCATGTTCAGGAGTTCACACCAACAAATTGTTGGGCTTTCCGTGGGACCAGCCATTCTAGTGTAACGTGATGGTGGATTGATCATTCTGGATTGCATTTGTGCAGAGGCTTGAATAGCTATATTATTCAGTGGCAGTACTTCAATTTGCCTGGCCAGAGACTACTGTACAAAAGGACAAGGAGAACATAGTTTTCTCACCTCCAACAGAGCCTGGATCTTTGGGATGGCCAGCTTCATGGCGTCAGGCATGGGCGGCCGCTGCGCCTTGTAATCCGAGTACAGCTCATGCCTGCGTGACAGTGCATCCCAATCATGTCACCCTCATCACAGCATCTCTTTCTACACTGCCCAGTCACCGGCTCTTGTAACACCAGGCGACCAATGCTGCAACTCGACCTGTACGATCTAATTCAATTCACCCTCTCACTCTGCAAGTTGTTCTTTGGACATATTGTATGCATTCAACAGTATCATCCACAGGGAAGTGATTCAGCCACCGTCGCCTATGCTCAAGAACAAAAGATCTTGTCAGATATCTGGTGCTCGACATGAGCCTCTGATGCTGTAAGATTGACTCTCTTGTCTAACAGTGCAATATCAGATAAAGAACAATTGCCACAGAGTCCTTTCTCTGCTATGCACGTTACAGAGAGTGCTGCGCGCGCCTGAAGGTTTTCCCGTGGTGGTCCATGACCACAGCAAAGTGCGTGGGGGGTTCCTTGATCTCGAGCAGCCGCAGCACTGTGGACAGGAAGCCGTAGCTGATGGATGTGTCCTCGCCGCTCACTGTGGCCAGCCTCTGCCCGCTGAAGCCAAAGTGGGACCGGTACAGCAGCGCATGCGCATCCACCAGGATGAGCCTGCATGCACATTGTGTGTGGAGTTTCAACGTGACCTGACTGCCAACCTTTCTGTAGTGCTGCCGTTGCTTTGTGCTACTTGCTGTGAAGTTGCAGGACTCCCTAGCTTTCTGAGAATCCCTCTGTTGACACCATGCCAATCTTATATTGATCGCCGATGCCGTCTGATCAATGTGCTAGCTGCAGGACTGCCACAATAATCTTCGGTTGCTGGATTCTGCATCACAACAATGGTGCATGACAGGGGAATCTGCGTGCCAAGGAAGGCAAACAAGGCGTGCCTGCGGTTGTAATCCTTCTGCCCTGCTGGCAGCTCTGTGTCCTGAGATTGGCCAGATATACTGGTGGAATATTGGCTACTGGCGCGAGCCTGGGCAGCCAGGTCCTTCCCAAGGAGATGTTTCTTACTTTGGGCCTTTAAGAAGGATCCCACTGCAGAATAGTAGCATCGCAGCTCTGGTGCAGAGGAACTTCCCACCACCTGCAGGTGAAGGTCGTGCTGATGAAACAGCAGGTTGTCTTGAGTTCACTACACCAGATCTCGACGTCTGAAATATTGAGAATTCTGAGGAGAGATTTTGGGATACTTTTACGAAGCTTTCGCCACTCACCGTGCTCCTCGAAAAAGCTGATGTGCTGATTGATGGTCTAGTCCAGCTCGCTTTGGAACAGAGACAGGTCAGCTGCCGACACACTGACGCAGCTTTAGATGATCTGGGAATCATGCTAATGTGATTGAACTGAGTAAAGCTGCAAATCTCAAGCTTTTCACCAAAAGGATGGGTCCTTGCATTCATATTTGCAGACGAACAGGTAGCGTCTGGCAAAGCATCAGGCACGACCCATTCCTTCAGCAAGCACCATCAACAGCGTCTCAATTTGACATCTCCTCCATCTTGAGACAACGCATGACACTGAAGTAAATTGGCGTCATGATGAGGGGACTGACGTCAGCCTACTTGAGAATTTCCTTCGTCTTCTTTTGGGGAAGAGGAAAATCCAGCTACTCGCTTCTGTTACATGGTTTGCAGTGTCAGAACTACTTTTTAGGAACTGCAAAGCATACACATTCAAGCGTCCTCCAACATTGTCATGCTGAATAAGTGACCATGCAGCTGCCGCATGCACACAAGGCAGCTGTGGCGCAGTGTGCACCTATGAGCCGTGGCCATCTGATCACTGCATTACTTCACACAGACTGTATCAAGCATCGAAGCAGTAGCATCCATGAGTAGCGTCACAACAAGACAACCGCTCCAGGTGGGAATACCTTATTCATACAAATGTGTTCATACGTGTGGATACTCGGACATGGACACATCAACTGCACAGCTATAGTCATCTTGAATGCGACAAGTGCGACTCGTCTGATCCTTCCAAACAGACTTCCGATAGACTCAGGATGACAAGGCCATTGGGGTGTATGCTGGCATCATGAGATCTGCAGCTAGATCCTGGTGCATGGCATCCGAGGTGAGGTGGGCAAATGACGCCGGCAGATACAGCTGTGGGTTCCTCGCCACAAACCTACACCACAGGCGGAATTGATCTGAGTCAAGGCATGGCACGGGATTTGTGCAGAATGTCACAGGCACATGCCAGCACATGTGATGCATGCAGCAGGTGTTAAAAATGCAGCGGATGCAAATCTGCATTGGCCTGCGGATTCCAGACATCAGCACATATAGGTCCTAGGGCCACTAATGCCAGAACACAGAAAGTAGTTCGCAACCAGAACAGAAGACCAGCCAATTTATATTGAGGAACAGCCATCTCCTTGTCTGTGCTTTGGGGAATGAAAGAGATCAGGCAGGGACGCACAGCTTGCGCAGGCCGGGAAGGGAGGCGATGGATAGAGGCAGGGAGCGAAGCCGATTGTCATCCAGGTACAACTCCTGGAGCGCTGTGCAGTCTCCAATCTCCGCTGGGAGCGTCTCCAGCAGATTGCTCTCAAGCCACCTGTCAACATTGTTCAACCCCTCATTACAAGTCTACCGTGACTGGGTCCTTGAGGCTGAGAACCATCCCACCAGAAATGAAGTCCACAAGTTACAAGAATTGCTGAACACAAGTGAGTGATAGTCTGCAAAGGACAGGCACAGCAAATTGAGGTCTGCAGAAAATCTACCAAGTGTACCACTGGACTGCCTCAAGGATGTAGATGGCAAACAAACGACCTCACTGTCCTGTCCAAAAGATGCATGTGGACTTGTGAGAAATTTGAAGAGCAGCTCACATGCGTTTCAAGAGCTTGCAATGCCCAATTTCTGCTGGGATGCTGGTCAGCCTGTTCTCCTTCAGCCACAGCTCCTGAACATGGGAATAATGCTTTTCAAGTCTATGTCTTTGGGCATGAGGGGAACAAGAACATTCCTTTCCTCCAAATTCGATTATCAGATTGCAGGCGGCGCACAAGCATGAAAAAGACAGGGCATGCACACCATTCAATAGACAATAGATACCGGTCCTAGAACCATGATTCCTAAGTCCAGAAATCACTGCAAACTGTGTCAGATGACCCGGAATCATAGTGTCGGCTGAGTAAACCAGACGCACACCTGCAGATTCTGCATGCAGCCGATCTCTGCTGGCAGCACCGCGAGCTGGTTCGTCCAGAGACACAGTCTGGTGAGATCTCGCCAGCCAGCCAGCATCCGCCCAGGAATCTCCGGCAGCTCGTTGGTGAATCCAGCAAAAGACTCCAGAGCCTTCATTTGGCCCTGTGCATGCACAAATATTGCCATGCTGAGTCCTTTACAGAGCATTCCAAAATCTGAAATCGGAGTCATGAGTCATCTTACGGCATGGCCAATACAGCATGAGCTACCGCTGCCCTGGGCAAACCACAGATAAGAGATCCTCTATCTGCATGATGATCTGCAAAATTTTGCATGATGACCTGGATCATTAAGAAGCAGGAGGTCAGGTTTGAAATAGGCAATTGGAATAGGCTGTGGATTCAGGGAGGGCAATTGAGTTGCTGAACTCTGATTGCCTGAAACCGGGTCACCTGGCAGGACACAATTTACGACTTGTTGCTTGAGATTCAGCGCTGGCAGCAGTAATTTCTTACCAGCTCCTCTGGAAGGGAGACAAGGCGATTGATGTGCAGAGAGATGCGCGTCAGGTTTGTCAGGCACCCGAGCTCCTTGGGCACCGTCCTCAAGTGGTTGCAGTTCAAGGACCTGCGCCACACAGCATTACTTACGTCTTCACTGGTGCTAATGCGTTGTGTAAGGACTGGAAACGTGTAACAATAACAATAACGATAACAATAACAGTAACAATAACAATAACAATAACAATGACGCGCTGTGTGCATTGTATTGCGCATTCTGCTGGCCATGCCGCATGCACCCGTCTGTCTTGTAAATCCCAAGGCGAGCGCACGCGTTTTTGTTGTAGCGTTCTGCAGCAAAATCGCAACTGCGCCTGCCCCTTGTGACGGACACGACGCACGCAACAGCAGGAAGAACATGCAATCATGCCATCCTGTCAGTAGTCAAAGTTCGGAGCTGCATTACTTGCTATCATGGGCATTGCAAGATGTGAAGGACAGCCAGAGCTTACAGCCAGGTCAGCGCTGTCAGGCGGCCATACTTGTCCGTTTACAGCAAAAGATTCCAGTCGCTTATAGAGAATTGTACAAGAATTGCCGCTATTGGCGTAGGAAAAGTATAGGGGAAAAGCGTGAAGCGCACAGCCAGGTCAGCGCTGTGAGTCGGCCGATCTCAGGAGGCAGGTAGACGAGTTCATTGGAGTGCAGGCTCAGGCGCGTAACGAGGGTGAGCGCGCCGATCTCCGGTGGTAGATGAGAAATTTTGTTGGAGTGCAGGTCCAGCCTGCGCAGATTTGTGAGCCGGCCAATCTCTGGGGGCAGCGATGCGAGCATGCTCTCCGACAAATCCCTGCAGAAATGACGAATTTATTCAGTGGGATGTGCCATAGCTGCTTGCTTCAAAGTGCACTATGATGTGATTTGCAGCTGGTCATTCAGCTGTCCTGTTCCCATTCTTGACAATCAGGTACTGTCAGGTACTGGAACCAAAAGCGGGTTTTGCTACGGTATAGGCACAGGCTTACAAACATGTTTGGAAGGAGAGACCCAGCGTTTATGATGCATGAGGCAACTGCACAAAAGATAAGGGCTTACAGCCAGTGCAGGTTGCTCAGGTTGGCAATCCCAGCTGGCAGGCTGGTGATGGGACTCAAGGTGATGTACAGCTGCTGAAGGCTTGACAGCTGCAAAACTTGATGTGGCACCTGCATTGTAGTCAAATTTTCACCTCACAAAGGGTCCCTAGCACCTGCAAACTGTTCTCCGTTTTGTCATATGCGGCAGACACCTCGCGTTGTTTCGTTATGGAACGATGAAGATCTGAAGACGTCATATGTGACGACGAGCGCATGTGCGTGTATTTCCATGAACACAGACGAACCTGACCTCTTTGAAGAGAGTGTCGCCAAGCCACAGAGCCTGCAGGGACTGCAGCTGACCAAAGTCTGAAGGGAGCTGGCGCAGCGCATTCTGAGACAACCACAGCTTCTCCAGGGACGACAGGTGGCCAATGCCCTCCGGGAGCTGCACCAATCCCGACTCCATGAGAAACCTGAAAAGGATCGCCATGCTCGATCAGTGTCCAATAATGATGCGATCATTGAAAGAAAACGGATTGATCCGTGCAAATAGAAGATTTGCACAGGGTGTTCAGGGAGCATACAGCTCCGTGACTCTGCCACCGGCATTGCACGTAACTCCGCGCCACTGCCTGAAGTCGCTCCCTTTCCAATCCGAGGGGAGCCTGCTTGTTGAGTTGCAGTCTCGTATGCTCTGTAGTGTCAGAACGTCATCCATTCCGGAACGGCGGTCTCTGGCTGTCCCAGGTAAGTCGGGAATGTCTTTAAGATGAAAAGCGACTCTCGGTGACTTCCAAACCAAAAAGTTTTGGGAATGGACTAACGAGGCAACATTCGAAAGTCCTGCTTAATTCAGCGATGCCAACGCTGAACGATATTATGCTTGAACATCCTTCCCGATGCTTTCAGGATGGAAGTAAAAATTGGCATGGCCAGCAGGCCTAACACAGCCTAGGGTTCCAGATTCAAAGAGCGTCGTGTGTTTGTTCAGCAAGGACCAGGATTGATTGCCTTGGCCCAAAAGCGCAAATCTTCCCAGAATCTTCCGTGACGCACACTTCCGACATCATGCTTTCGAAAATTTCCACGCGATCTGACGGCGTTCTTCTGCTTGCGCGATGACTTCTGAGCATTTGGGTTTCTGCGAAGTTGGGTTGCGATCAGGTGTGTCATTCTTTCTTGTCAGTGCTGCTATCGCAGGATCTCGAGCAAGCGAAAGGATCAGGTGTAGACATTTTTTTGTCTTTTGTAGAGGCCTGCGACTCGAGCTCTAGTGCACTTCACAATCCGAAGTCGGTGCGTCTCAAGACCGCTAGTCACCGGCGGCAACGGCCATCAAAAACCGTCTTCTGGATCGAGTCAAAAGATGAACGAGTGAACAAGCAAACGAAAGCAAGGTGAGAATCCTTTCTGTTGTGGCCTCCTAATATCGTCATGCGGTGACACACCAGAGGTCCTCGAGCTTTGGGTGTACTTTGTTGGCAAAGGGCAGAAGATTTTTTTTTCAAACATACTTGGAAGTTGATTGGGCCGTTTCTGGATTCAAATACCTTGAAATGCAGTCCAATTCCCTGCAACGTTCGCTGCCAAACCTGTGCATCATTTACCGAACTTGGTCTCGATCAGTATTTTCTCAATTCGTTGTCTGCATAGATGGATCCACGGACTTTTAGTTTAACAAAGCTGCGATGTTGCTCGGAGCGATTCAGCGAGCAAGCAAGGAATGTGTTGGGCAACCGTGTTCCATGTATGGCCCAACAAAAATGAATTGCTGAGTTCAATCCGTGCCCGTTCAGGAGCTAGCATCATCTGCGTGGTCATTGGTTCCATCAGCTGAACATCGAGCAAGCACGAGGACGCCTAGTGTGGTGCCTTGCAAGCTACAGCCAACCTCACTTAGGTTAGCAACCAGGCGTGCCTGGACCGCCCTCAATCTCAGCCAGCAAGAGCATCAGGAAGCGCAGCAATCTGTGAACAGCCCAACCTTAGCAGGCAGGGCAAGCAGCGTCAGCAGCTGCATCAGTGGTATATTGGGGCGTTGTATACACCAAGTCAGGAAGAGGAGAGCAGCTGAGCTAGTGAGCGTTAGCGGTGTGACAAAGCACTGAGTCGCCATGGCAGCGCCGAGCCTGCCGCCAGCTGTGCTCCCACTCATGCCGCCTGTTCTGGCGCCAGCACAGATACCCCCAGCGCAGCCAATGGTGGCTGTGGGGCAGTCTCCACCGATGCTGTATTCACCGGCGTCTGGATACTTCAACCAACCTGAGCAGTTCCAGGCATGCCCACACATACCTCCTCTCTACCTTCCAACCGCTGTTTTGTGCAATATGTCACCATGATGGCTGGCTCTTGGAGCACTGCACCTTGTGTTCAAGTTCTCGTCTTTTTCTGGTGCCTGTCTCGTGCGAGCATCAGATGCACGGCTTTAGGCTAGCTCACCAGCTTTGGAATCCCTGGACATGCTGAGCCGTGGGACGTGCTGTTGCGGCAGCACTGCATTCCTAATTTGTGACAAAGGGGGTTGCCATGCAGGCGGCCAAGTATTTCACTTTTATTTTCTTCGGGCTGTCGTGCTTTGTCATCCTCCTCTTCGGCGGCTTTGTGGTGTGCCACTGCTATCGGCGGCTGCGGCTGCGCGGGACTGATGTGCCGGTGAGTCATTGCAATTTGACAGGCCCATACCCCTGCTGTAGCTTGATTCATTGCTGGATGACGATCCCCCTTCTCATAGGGTGTACGCGGTATCATCATCTTAAATCACGCCCTTCTGCCTGACTAACTTTCTCACGAAGTCCACCACTTGCGAGCCAGTTAGCATAATGTTGCAAGGGGTTTTGGGGCTTCTCAGTAATCATGACGTGCAGATGTGGCATAAATGGTGAGAATAGCTAATTGGGTCCTGACACAACTTGTTTGTTTCAAAGGTGGTTCAGATGTCTGAAATCCCAGGCGGCCAGGCAGGGGAGGTGCTCATCACCGTACCCATTAAGGAGGGGCGCCTAGTGTCACACCCCGATGGGTGAGCACCCTAAGCCTTGTCATGTCTTCCTTTGTGAACGCTCTGTCTGGGCCATTCTCAAGTCTCAACCAAGCTGCAACACCATCCAATGCTCTGTGAAACACCAAGTTTTCCTTCCATTGCTCCACAGCGCCACACTGTAGCGCTTTGGAGATCAAAGCATGGAAGAGTTTTGAGAAGTTTGCGACGAGCTGGCACCGTTTGCATGTATGGCTTCACGCGTCAAATGGAGTGCTTTGCACCTGATCGCATCGCATCTGCTGTGCGGAGGTCTCGGCCCTGAGTTGAGAGAGAGTTTTCTGAGGGTGTTTCCTTATATAACAGGGGAATGGAGGTGGCGTTTATCCCAGACACCCCGCGCCGGCCGGCGCCAAAACCGGCACCGTCAACGCCGTCGACTGGGGACCGGCCGCCGCCGTCATCGGCTGGAGACTCACCCTCTGACTCACCCGGGGCGAGTCAGCCGCTGCCGACATCCTCCAGCGCGCACGTCGCCCAGGGGCCGGCCGCGCCGTCAGGGGTCGCTGACTCGCGTGCAGGAGCCGCCGTGGCTCCAGACGCAGGGTGAGTGTTCTGTTACAGTCCAGCCTCGTGCGAATCCCCACAATAGAATCATTCTTCTGTTCAGGCTGGGGAGGCTGCACCAAGGTGTGTGTGACAGGTTCCCTGCTGCATGTTTTGCAGCTGACAGGACTTATCCCACGCTCGATGTCACTGCATGTTTGAGAGACTTCGAAGTGCTTTGCAAGGAAAGCTGTATGCATTGCACAAATGCTCAAATGAGTGTTTCTGTGCTCGGTATCAACAGGGTAGCTGCGGAGGGGCCGAGCAACAATGTCAGATTAGATGAATACTGGCGGCGGCGACATGCGCAAGTGTACCAATTATTCTAAGCCTTAAGAATCTAGGGAGATGTGTGGCAAGTGGTGGACTTAAGTGATTTAGGCATATGCCTCGCTCGCTGTATTATGAGTCATGATCTGGGCCAGATCATCTGGCAAGAGATACGATTTGATCCTAGGACAGGCCTGTCAACAAATGAGTTGACGCATGCCGTGTAGTGTACATGCTGGAGATGAGCAGTATCACTGATGTGGCATGCGCAAAGATTGTCACCTCAAGAGACGCCGAAAGGATGATCCTGGGGTGAATGTTTCCAACAATGTGCAGCCTGACTGAGAATGATGTTGAAATTTCTTGGATGCGAGGTCTAGACCGGGCCAGTCACTGTGTGTATAATATACACTGTATATATTAAGTACTACGTAGCTTACCCGGTAACTGGGCCACTGGCAGTGGCAACCGTGGTGCATGCAACTTGACGGGCGTTGGCAGCCTCAAAGGACCGTCAGATTCCTCTCCAGAGTTTGCTGTATCTGTATAATATGTAATTTAACCAAGAGTGCAATCATATTACAAGGCAGTGCGATCTGCATGCCTGTTTTGTCTCTGGGGTTTGACCCCTCACGTGTGCACATGCTCTGCCACAGTGACGGCAGGTGCATGATGCTTGTTGATCCAAGGGTAATTTTTGGGATCAGCACCGCCATTTGCTGCCAACTTGGTCAGAGTCAGTTTGCCAATCTAAGACAATCAATACGGATAATCACCAGGTTATTCATTATTTGACGTCTGGGTAGCTTTTCAAACGGCAGGCACCTGATCTGGTCTTTGTGAGCCCCACCAAAGCTGTCTCAGCAGCGGCAGCGCTCGATAAGAACCAGAATTAAAGTAGGGAATAATTATTGTATCACACCATGGACGTCCATCCTGGCGAGCTGCTTCAGATCATTGCTCTGAGTTCAGCTGCAGCCATTGGCACGGAACTCCTCATGTGGCTCTGGGCGTATAGAAAGGATTCTTTCAGAACGCTACGGGTGCGGCATTTGTATCCATTCCTTAGAACCCATGTGCAAATCTTACTCCATTTGTCAAGAACTTATGGTGCCCTGCTCGATGACATTCACACATACTTGCAGGTGAACCTGGACCGACAAGCGAGGAAGCTTGACGAGATCAAAGCGCAACCGCATGCGCCAGGGCCGCAGGGCAAGGCTGCCAAGCAGAAAAAGGTGGAGAAGCTGGATCGCAGCATCAAGATGATGCTCACTAAGGAGCTAGGGCCAATGAAATTCAAGCAGAGCCTGCTGGTGCGCGGTCCATGTATCGAATGATATAAAATGTATGGATATGTCTGTGGGCTTTGACTTCATGCTTGCATATTGCGCCAGCACCATAGAACTTTCAGAGCATGCAAGATGGTGAAACATATGTCAAGTGTTGCCCTGATGAAGACTTAGTGACTCACATCAAATGCTGCTTTTGTGCAGATGGGAGCAACTCTGCTGCTGCTCTTCAGATATGCCTCCGGCTGGTGCGTGGCGACCCACACCCTGCTCTGTGTCATGCATATCATCAGACTGTGAATTAATGACACAGCACTGCGATCTGGATGCATGTTTTCACGGTGAGCAGACTGCCTGCAAAGAACGCCAAGTGTGATGTCTGATGGCTGCAGGTACTCTGGGCATGTGGTGGCCAAGCTGCCATTCGAGCCCTTCTCTCTGTTGGCCAAACTGGCGCACAGAGGCATCCCCACACCGAGCGCCAACGACTGCAGCTTCGTGAGTCACATCCTTTGCGAGCATGCATTACCTAGTAATCCTCTTAATCTTCACATACATTTTCCTCTGGGCAGTGAGCTGTTAGCTACCGGCTGCATCGTTGTCACAAGCATGCCATTTTAGCATTTCGCAGGGTACAACAGAATGCATGCGGGTTTCAATATTTGGAGAGCCATAGACAATTGCTGTGGTCACTAGGTCGCTGCTGATCACTGTATGTAGCCAGAGGCAGCATTGCTGATCAGGGGTTGTCCAATAAGTCAGGGGCAGCGTTGCCTGATCAGGAGATGTTCAGAAAGTCAGCGACAGCGTTGGACTGTCTATGCAGGCATTCGTGTATGCGCTGTGCCAGGCGGGAGTGCGGCCTAACTTGACTAAGCTCCTGGACCTCGGCCTAACCAGGCGCATGATCGAAATGAGCTCCATGCAGGCTCAGGACTGGGCCAAGCCAGCAGACATGAAGTGACTGTGGAAATCTTGAATTCTTTCGAAAGGGAAGCTCTGTTAGTGCGCATGCTTGTGAGGGATGCATGAGGTGCAAGCCTTTGGCCTAGGCAAGCTGGCATGTTTTGAAGATCTTGAAGATCTCTAGAGTTCGAAGGTGTGTAATGATCATTGCAGCACAGTCCATTGGCTGCTGTGAGATCCTGAAAGTACTCTGAGTACTTAGAGTCTTTACAGACCATTCCCTCCCAAACAGGGGGAACATCCACCATCTTCATATTAGTCAAATTTCTCACGTCTGAGGGCGTGCTGGGCTGCATTCAGAATCACTTTCAAAAAATGGCAGAGACTACAGTAGCTATAGTAGCAGCTATAGTAAACCTATCAAGCAGGGCCTAAGAAACTAGCTGTTGACATGCATGTGTTGTACAAGAGTTTATTTGTCATACTTCATTCAATCTCATCCAAATTGACATCACACACCCTTCAGAGAAGCATTCTGATGCCATGAGCAGAATCATGGTGCTCATAATGCTCCCAACGTCAGTCTCTCAAGAGTGCGTTAACGGTATCTGATTCACTGATCAGAGATCAAGGAATCATGACACATGCGCACATCAAAGTCACTCCTAGCATATAGCGTCGTGGCTAGGAAGCAGCCGGTGAGACCGGCCAATTCAGGCGCCCAGAGCTGCCGCTGCAAGCCGGATGGCAGTGTGGCAGGGCCCCTCACAGTGCCTTGCTCATCTTTCAATGACTCAGCAGCCGCTGTCACCACTCACTTGAGCGCCTGAAGCCGCCGTTGCAAGCCGGGCCCACTGTGGCAGGGTCCCCTCACAGTGCCTTGCTCCTGGCAGGCCAGGGCCACAGTGAGCGCAAGCTCCAGCCACCGGCCGCCCAGACGCCAGCGCCCTGGTTTCGGCGGGGGAGCCTGCTGCCCGCAGCCGTGCGCACCTGCGCTAGCACACTTTGCTTTCCTGGCTTCCTGAAGCCAATGTAGATCGTGACAAAAAAGCCATAGAATTCCTGGCGATATGGGCATTTTAGTGAATGCATGGAGGCCACCGGTTGGCTTCCAGAGAACAACTCAGAGGTGCAGTAAGCCACGCTCTTTCCTCTTCGAGCTTTCATGCTTCCGTGGACAGAGTTTTTCATACCAAGGACTCTACCATCTGTTGTGGCTTCAGCCAGACAACCTCAGCACATAATTGAAGTCACAATGGCATCCGGCTGAACTAAGTTTTAAAAGGGCACTGACCTGCCCGCACATGCCCGGGCCCGGCCGTCAGGGGAGCTGCGCCGCGCAGCAAATATCCGGGGACGCCATCGGAGACGCGACGCCAAAGAAAATAAAGTGGCCAATCGCGAGGCCCAGCACAATGACCACAAAGTAGCCCACGTTGTAGGTCATCACCGCCAGCATGAGCAGATATGAGATGGCCACGTTGACGCCGTAGAGCACTGTCAGCACCACTCGCGACCCCGAGCCCACCCTCATGCTGCAAGCATCAGTAATTGGTTTGTCAGCCCCTGTCAAGCGCTGCAGGCACGAGTGATGTTGTGCAGGCCCCTGACAATCGCTGCGAGCACAAGCAGCTGTTCTGTCAGTCCCAGACAATCGCTTGATTACAAGCACCAGGAGAGGCTGCGGATGTCGAGCTCAGGCTTACGTTTCAAGGCTTGTATAGATTCTCCTTACAATCTTAATGGGGAGGCCTGTGCTGGTGAGGTTTTCAGCAGCTTCATGGCACCAGCAAGGGCCAGATTTTGTCTGTCTAAACTGAGCTTACAAATAGCGCTTTTCAATGAGGGGAAGGGTTAGGAGTGATGAAGTCTAATAGGATAGATTTTAAAGGCATGCTGCCTACCTCGCTGTTGTGAGAGGCACCTCTGCCTCAGCAGGCCTTTCCAGAGCGCTTGCCTTGGCCAGCCTTTTGGCATAGGTTGCTCGATAGCTCGTGATGGCTTCCTGGATCAGTGCCAGTCCTAGGAGCCCTAGCAAGGACACAATGTACCTGCACATTTGAAGTGGGAAGTCATTCACCTCTGGTATCTGGGGTTTGGTCGTAATGAGATGCGGTTCTAGCTTTGGATATGGAGAGATGCACCAAAAGACGAACCAACCTAGGGCAACGACTGCTGCATATACAGCAATAGCTAGCGAAGAAATGCATCGTTCCGTTCTTTGAGATGTACTTGGCTTCCACTAAACGGCACGCAATGTCACAAAAATAGAAAAGTAATGGACAGTGGCCTGTACCAGACGGATGTATGCGTGTGCCACTGCTTTAGCCAGAGCGTGACATGGGTGCTTGCAGTGAAGTACATCTGCATCATCATCATCATCCCTCCAGACCCTTCGTGCCCTGCGATCATCTCGCAGGTTATCCAGCGTGCAAATTGGTCTTTACTCAACTGATCTGGTACAAGCCAACGACAAGGCTAGTGGATCTCTCACCGCTGTGATCTTGAGCAGCTGCAGCAGCTGAAATTGTCATTGGTGCCATCGCTGCCGATGGAGATGGAGCGCCTGCCGTGATATTCACATCCATGCCCGAGGACATGGGATGGTGCCCTGCGTGCATATCCATTCTAGTAGCACACCTAGCAACAGCAACAGCCCTTTGAAGGTGACCTAAGCAAGATACTGAGATCTTCTGCCAATAATATTACAATTGTCGCTTGGGAATGCAAACTATCGTGACAATTCTTCCCAGTAGTAGTGCCAAGCCGCGAACTCTCACGAGAAGCCAAATTTGGACTTGATCTCACCACCGCACATCACTGCTCAGGCGGCAGATCAAAGGACCCGTTGCAACATTCAAAGCTCAAAATCGGATAGTTCTTTGGCTATCTTTCCTTGAAGGAATTGCCATCAAAGAATTTGAAGGGCAGGACCCAGCCAAGGACCGAGGTGACGTACTATCCTCATCGCCATATCCTTTCTGGAGTGTGTTACTTCTGTATGGGATTTGTTCATCTCTAATAATGTTGAAAATTGTCTTCATATATATTGCAAGCTTTAGACAATGTTTAGGCAAGAGCAGTTTCATTGTGGAGTTGTGCGCTGTCCTAGTGAGTAATAAGTGCGTCAGTGCTCTGCTGTCGAAATGCCATGGGCTTGATCACATCTTTTTATTATTTGCCAACAGCACGGTTCCTTGACAGAGCCGTACACGCGCCTACGATGCAGTCGGCTCATTATTCAGCGGTTTGGTGCAGGTTTGAGAGGCAGTGCTGATCCACACACGTTGCAAGAGGAAATATTCATCCACACAACTTGAGCTGCATCAAGCAAACCATATGATGGCGTTTGCGCCCAGCACATCGGCCCTCAGAGGCTCGAGCTGCGCTGGACAGCCAAGCATCTTGCCATCATCTGCACAGCTTCCTTTGAGGCCTCCAGTGAGAGCAGCACGGTGCTCCAGCAATGCGACCACCACAGCCAGCAGCACAGGCTTGCTGTCCAGCAAACGGTCTCCCACCATTGCAGGCACAGCAGGCCCAGCACAGAGCTTTCTAGGGCGGCAGAACAAGCGGGGCATGCAGAGAGGCTCCCAGCTTGTAGTAAGGGCAGACGTGGACTACTACAGTGTGCTTGGAGTCGACAAAAACACCGACAAGAAAGCCATCAAGCAGGCATACAGGTGCTTACCTCCAACAAATTATGGAAAAGTCTCTGCATTCAAGTCATGCACAAGCAGCTCTGTGTTTCCATGTTGTTTCATTGGCACAAGGTAGTCACGAATGATGTATTTGTCTGCCTTGGCACAGGCAGTTAGCGCGCAAGTACCATCCGGACGTCAACAAGGAGGCTGGTGCTGAGGAAAAATTCAAGCAGGTAAGCCTGCCCAGCACATAAATTATTGCTCACTTGCCCTGTGGTTCTACACCGGGGTTCTACTGGTAGACCCGGTCATGGGCCATTTGGGCTCTCATGACTCAATTGGTGGCTGCATCTTTTGCGTGGCCTTGCATGCTACTTTCCAGAGTTTCCATTTGCATGAACATGACACATCATGTAATCATGCAACCCCGGTGCTGGCACCTTGGCAATGATCCCCAGGCAACTCAGCGCATTCGTAACAGCCATCAGGAATCTCAAAAGTGCTGCGCTTAGCAATGGCTGCTGTTCAGAAGTCATCAGGTCTCAAAGTGCAGCGCTGAGCGTTGACTAATGGCTGCTCCATGCAGATCTCCAATGCCTATGAGGTGCTCTCAGACGACCAGAAGCGCAGCATCTACGACAGATATGGGGAGGCCGGGCTGAAGAATGGCATGGGGGGCATGGGAGGCGCAGACATGGGGGGTTTCAACAATCCATTCGACCTCTTCGAGCAATTCTTCGGCGCCAGCGGCGGCCGGGCCGGCGGCGCCAGCGGCTTTGGCGGGTTCGGGGGCGGATTTGGGGGTGGGGCGCGCTCTCGCGCTATGCAGGGAGAGGATGAGAAGTATGAGCTCAAGCTGGACTTCCTGGATGCAGTGTTTGGCGCCAGGTGGGTCAAACTCTTTCATCACGATTGCTGTTTGCTGCTCCTGCAAGGGCAAGGTCAGACTCTGGCCAGCCTCACTGTCTGGTAGTGTGACATGGTGCCACAAAAGAGAAAGTGCGCCAGCTGTGTTTGGGAAGCGTGAAAGTATGTGCATGCGCCGAGGATGTAAAATTTGGAGCCTGACCCCTCAAGGGGACATGGAGGCCAAATGCAGAAATTTGGACTGAGGCGTTCCTTTCCGTGCACAACATGCTTCTGTGTATATTAGCCTGATTGAGGAGGCGGCATTTTGGGCCTCTTGTGCCATGTCAGGCACCCCAGGAATTGTACAATGTAGCAGGTGAATAGGGGTATTCTGAATCTGTGAGATGTGCTGGGGTCATTTTGCAGCATGGTCTTGGGGTGTGCCGTGCAAAACCCTCAAGAGTACTGTGTTGGCGCGCATGCAGCAAGGAGATTGAGGTCAGCCGGCTGGAGGCGTGCGGCGCGTGCACAGGCTCGGGCATCAAAGCCGGCACATCAGCGGCCACCTGCAGCACCTGCGGCGGCTCTGGGCAGGTCGTGCAAGCGGTTCGCACACCCCTGGGCGTATTCCAGCAGGTGATTCACGCTCTGAACACCCCTTGTACACGCTCTGAGCACGCTCAGAACACATGCCAGAACAAAGCAATGCGCCAGGATTTCACTGTCCCATGTGCTTGCCCGGCCTGGAAACACAACTCTTTGGAAGCACAGCTTGTAGATTACCTTTAAAGAATATTCCGGGCATGACTTCAGGTGATCGAACGGCATGTCACAGGGTAATTGAATGCTAATAGGTGACTCATGGATGACTGATCTGGCGCAGGTGATAACGTGCCCGGACTGCGAGGGCGTGGGCGAGCGCTCGACGCCGTGCAACACATGCGGCGGCGACGGCCGCGTACGGAAATCCAAACGCATCGCCCTGCGCGTTCCCCCAGGTCAGCCATGATGATCCTTCTTAGTTCGCCCAGTACCATGTGATGCCGAGCAAAGAGGGGGGCGCCAGGATGTGGCCTGCCCAAGGCCCTGCAGGGGCCGGGGAGCTTGGAAAACACCAAATTCATGGACAAATGAAGAATGCGTAGAGAGTAGCGATAGTTCAAACAAGAGCCTACGTGCGGAGCATCTTTAATCGCAACCTGCTGCAAGCCACCTATACCTTGCATGCCAGCCATTCGTGTCTGCTTCAAGAGCTAAGTAGGAGCAAATCCAGCGGGAGTTTTGTTGGAAATGCCTTGAAAATGAGGAAGAGTTTTTCTTGTGTCTTATGGAACTGGTGAATTGGTGTGCCATGGGGATGAAGAGTGATTTCAGGGGTCTGGCACCTGGCACCGCAATTCTCTGTATGCTTGGCCATGTCGTCAAATTTCCCCTGCTCTTCCAGGGGTGGATGCGGGGAGTCGGCTGCGCGTGAGGGGTGAGGGAAATGTTGGGCGACGGGGGGGCGAACCAGGGGATTTGTACGTGTTCATCTCTGTGAAGCCGCACCCGGCGGGGTTGAAGCGCGAAGGCACCACCATCCACTCAGACGTCGACATCTCCTTCGTGGATGCCATCCTTGGAACCACCGTCAAGGTGTGCCTAATGTTCTCCTCATTGCTCCTCAGAAGAAGGCATGTGAAGGGTGCTAGCATTACTTTCCATTGGTTGTTCTCATGCTGTCATGCCAATCTCCATCAGCTGTGGCTGTCCAATGGTGGCATGGAAGCCGCCAGGTAGCGCACATTAAACCAGTCCCAGCTGCTTACATTCAGGCAGTCACCACGTTGCATTCTAGCGAATTTGGGAATGTTTGTTTTGCGGCAGTAGATCTGCTCGCTGTGCGGTTTGGTGAGCACATGCAGGTGTGCCGTCTGCAGTCCCTCCCCGGAGCTGTAAGCTGCATGCTCTTTGACCCTGTCAGCTTGGCAGCGGTCAGTGGTTACCCCTTGCGCTGCCGATCAGACACAGGCACATTTGCGCTCTGCATCTAGGGCTGGCTAGCATATGAGCTAACACCGCAATAATGCGTGGCAGGTGACGACAGTGGACGGTCCAGTGGATCTGCGGATACCTGCAGGCACGCAGCCGGGGACAACACTTGTCATGGGCAAACGTGGCGTTCCCCGCCTCGGCAATGAGACACTCCGGGGGGACCACCAGGTGTGTATTCCCGCAGAAGAGGGAAATAGAATTGCTCCTTTCAGCTCCGTCCGGCTGCTCGGCCTGAGTGGGTGCTAATTGGCGTTCTGAATGGGTTTTGAGGGCACGGCTCTGGATTTTGTGTTAGAGTACTAATAATAGTGTTAAATGAAACATCAATTATATTGCAGAAATGCTGGTGACAGAGGCATAGAGGCAGTCTGATCCTCTCCATCGTTATGCAGCAACCTGGGTATACTGCTGGAAAGCTTCTTCTGATTTCGCGCGCTCTGCTTATTGCTGTACAGCTGGAAATGATTTTTCTGACGGTGTGAAGCTGTCAGAATAAGTCTTGTGCTGCTGCGCAGGTGCATGTGCGCGTGACCATCCCTCAGAAGCTGAGCAAGGACGAGACAAAGCTGGTGGAGGAACTCAAGGAGCTGCAGGAAAGCAGCAGCAGCAAGCGCTCCAGGCTCTTCTTCTAGACTATGCGATGAAGCATCTTGCAAAATTGTCCAGCAACATTTGTGTTTAGCAAATTTTCCCAAGCGGCATGCCTGCTGCAATGCGTAGCGGTTGCGCCTCTTGATTTCTTATTGTTTGCCAGTTGCGTGGCATGTGTTGGTGCATCTGTTTGTTGTTCTGGGTCTTATCTTCTGCAATTGTGGTGCACGGGACTCCATCAAAGTTGTAAAGATACCTTATTTTTCCCACTGGAAGCTGGGGAATCAGAGTTTTGAAGGTGTATAGCTGATGGACTGGTTCACTGATGTCCGGCAATCCAATATTTGGTAAATTTTTCTTTCAAAATCGTTTGTTTAACAAGTTCGCTCCCCTCCATTCACACCTCAGCTCCAGAACAGATCCCATATTGGCCCATGTTTGCTTCGTCTATTATATATCAGCCGCTGATAACAGGCAGTCTTGAAGCAGTAATTGGCCACTCCTTGACAGCGCGTAACTCAACTTTTCATGTCTCGGTCTGTTAAGGACTCTGAGAATCCCGACCACGCCTGCCTGCAACTCTTGTTACCAGGGACCAGTAATATGTCGTGCTATTTGGCAACTCGAGTGAGCTCCTAGAAAAATGCATTGCCATTAACAATTCTTTGTCAGGCCTCGAACCCTTCTAGCTTGTTTGGGATTGCATCTGAGTGCTCTCCGCCACGCAAGCACCCCTCACAGCACCCTTGCTTCAACATGTTGTCCATGGGCTACTTGTGAGACCTCCTTGGCACACTCACAATTGCTTTCCTCTTCCTCACATGCCAAGCCCGAAGCCAAACACTGCGCGGATGCGATGGAAGATCTGTGCGCGCCAGCCCTGCGCAGTCGACTCGATCACATCTCCGTTGCCAAATCGGTCCTCCTTGGGGACCCCCGTCTGCACCAGGCGCAGCACCGTGGTGCCCTCCTGCGGCTCTTCCAGCTTTATCTCCACCTGCGCGCGCACAATGCAGCCCCTCTGATAAACTCCACGACGTAAGCTTCAACAAGTCTCAGCAAATTTAAGTCCCATGTTAGTACTCGTCACTACTTTCTACAGCAAAAGATTGAAAGTAAGTACCAGCAGCCAAACGGTCCCACAAAGTTCGAAAGGTCATTGCCTGCCTGGAGCGCCCAGGGGCAGTCATGAAATCTAACGCCAGATATGTTCCTCATTCAAGAGTTTTAATGGCAGCAGCCTGCAAAGTTTCTGCTCTGCATAGGTGCCATCAGTGAGCTGGCGGTGGTAACGCAGTGCAGTGAGTTGCTGTGAGTTGGGCCCACCTTGGAGACGGCGCCGTCTGGCCAGTTTCTGAAGCGCCAGTCCAAGGCTATCCGCGAGGGTGACTCCAGTGCAGAGAAGGTCGCATCCACCGAACCGCCAAACACACAGAACTTGCCCCCCACCCTCGGCTCCACCTGCGCAACCCCAAAGGGTGAATAGATGGCAGGGGAGATTGTAGGATTTTGAATTCTGCGGTTATTCTTGAATCCTGAATTGTCTCCAGCCAAGCAGAGGGCTACTTTTCCCAGCAGGCCCTTTCCCACTGACTTGGATTCCAGCACCGTTGCACTCCCAGTTTCTGTGTCAACACAACCCAACAACACGCACGCCTGCAAATTAAGTACGGATACTGATGGGGTTTTGATAAATCTCAGCCCTTAGCTCAGTGCTGTAGAATCTGAGGTTCTTGGTGGGCCGCGCACCAGGGCAGGGGCTCCTATTTTGCAACTGCAATTTTTGAAATATATTACTCTCCTCTATCCCAAACGTTGCCAAACCTACCTCTGACCCTGCAGTTCCTAAAGACCCTATCTTCCATACATCAGTAAGCATTGGTGCACCTGAGCTGCGCTCTGCGTGAAGGCCTGCACGCGGCCGGGATTGGTGAAGCACTCGAACAGGTCTCTCGGCCGCGCGTAAAACTTCTCCGTCAGCTCGACCCGGCCCGTGCTTGCACGGTCCTCTACGCGCCTTTTTGCGGCCTCCGCCGCCTTCTTCTCCTCAATCTCTCGGCGGCTCGCCTCAGCTGCACATAACGAACCACCTTATCTGAAGCTAGCTGACCAGGCACACAGTTTGCCGCAACTGCTAGGGCACATTGATGTTGCCCATCAAGCACCCCCAAAATGCTTTTCCCGGTTCATTTCACCCAGGATAGCTGTGTGCAACCTTCAAGTCATGATACCAACGGAAATGAAAGGTAAGGCAGAACTTCTCTTATGCACTGCGTGCCAGTACTCTTGAATGCGCAGTAAACACGCGCCCCCTGCTCACGGCTGAGGACACCAGCAGCAAATTGTAGCAGCAGGGGAACCCACCTTTCTTCTTCATGGCGGCGGCGTCATCTTCTAAGGGCTGCTTGCTGTCCTGTGCATCTGCCTTGGAGGAGGGCCCTCCCGCTTGCAGCTCCTTCACGAATGAGCGCATGTGCGCATGGAAAGCCTGTGCATGCCACGATTCAAAATAAAGCTCATACACAATCTCTATTTCAACACATTTACTGTCAGAATGGCAGCTGATCAACCTGTGCCAGGATAGAAGGCAAGCAGGCTGTGAAGACTGCTCGGGTCCCAGGCCTTGAAAAGACTACCTCCATGGCTGGGAATGCAAGCAGACTGATGTCTTTACAGCCAGACCGTCTCCAAGCCAATCGCAGGTTATTAAAAGAATGGTCAAAACTGGAGCGCCGGCTTCCAAGCAGACCAGGGTGGTTTCAAACAGTCAGAGCATACGAGCATAATGGGGGTATTGAAAGACCGGCCAAAATTGGCGCACCTGCTTGCCAGGGCCCAGAAATGCTTCTTTGAGGCGGCGCGCGGCTGCGCTGTCTGTGCTGGTGGACACCTTGAGCTCTGGGTCTTCGTCGGCGTTTTCATCCGCCACATAAGGCAGATGGAAGCTTCCGCTCGCTGACTCAGCCGCCTCGCCATCCCTCACCTCCCCTGCACAATGTGGAATTCTATGGCCGTTAGTAAAGTTTAGTGATTGAGCCAAACCCGAGGAAGTCATGCAACAAAGTGGATTGCATTGTCCTGCATTGTGCAGGACACTTGGCCAATCGTTCTCAGCTTGTGAAACATAACAGGCAGGCAGCATGCTCGTCAGGTCATGAGGTGCATGATTGCCATTCTTGGGACAAGACAGCCAAGTGTGGCAGGAGTGAACACCCAAACTTTTCTTACTCGAGGTCAGTACATCTTGTCGATTATGGCAGGTTCAGTGCATGAGGGGGAGGCAGTCACCTGACCAGGTGCCCTTAATCTCCAGCTCGTAGGAGGGGATGAGCTTCTTCTTCCTGTTGTTGACTATGGCATCGCCGCTCACCTCCACATTGGGCCCTGTCTTGAGCAGCAGGCCGCTGTTGTCTGCAAGAACCTGTTCTCCTGCAGAACACAACATGTGGCACGTCGGTGACAATGCATATATGCATGCACACTCAAGAAATCATTGGATGCGCAGCAGGCTTGATACACTTGCTATGTTGAGAGGGCAGGGAGGGTCGATGTCTGCACACCTAGGAGTTCTTGCAGGCGCACTTTAGCCCAGGGAAGCACATCTTTTTCTTGCCAATGCCAGTTGTTAACCTGCGAGCGTCAGCCCACACGATCACATGCGGCTAATTATGGGTATTTACCCACCAAAAGAATCGCAGAACAAGTGTTTCAATGAAGCATTGATGAGCATCATCCAAATCCCAGCAATAACGCCAAAACTCACATTTGCGCCATCCTGACGCTCCGACACGATCCATCGGGCGTCTCCTTCGCCGATTTTCGCCATAACCTTGTGCTGCCTGGAAAAGGTGGTGCTAAACAACTAGAAGTTTCTAGATCACGATCCGCCTGATATTCATATTTGGGAATTAATGAAGAAAGAATACTGAACGCTTCTTATGCGGATGCGAAGCTGGACTTCTTGACCTGACGCGCCACTGGATTTATACTAGATTGCTTTGCAGCTTCTGTCGTTTGTGCGCCCAACTGAGTTCCAACTAGATGGTTGCCTATTCTGGCATGCCCCCTCGGAATCCGATCACATGCCATCGAGGTCCCAGAAAGATGCTGTTTTTGTGATCATCTTGTAGTGTATATATTGCATAGTGTAGTGCGAATTATGGGCTCAAAATAAGGCTGGATCTGTGAGTACAGTTTGAAAAAAAGTTTTTCAGGGATAGTGTTCACAACACCATGCCACCCACAGAGCCGTCGCATCAGGATGGGCACAACGCCTTATCGGCATTGCAAGACTCTGTGTATGGCACTAGGACACACACGCAGGGCGCTAGATATCAGATTCCCAGGAAAGTTCCCCTGAGGATCGAGCCCAAGACCTACTTTGGTGAGAGCCCACAGCGCTCCTACATCATCGATGAATGACGTGCTCTGCAGATCGCAACTATCAGAAAATTTCTGATGACACCAGAAACCGTGGTTTTGATCCCGATACTGTGATAGTACTCCCTGACCGTGTGCAGCATTCCCAATCGTGCAACCCTTACAATTTGAGTGGACGTCTATGTATATGATTGTTTCTCACCACGCATTGAGGGCTCATGTCAGAGGTCTGCAGACTGAGCTCTGTTTGTTTGCCTGTCTCAGCTAATGAGAGGACGTTCCTGGGGTGGCTCAGTATGGCAGTGACCATTGGCAGCGTCTCAGCAGCTCTTGTGGGTTTCACAGCGTCAGAGGAGAAAGGTGACCCATTTTTATTACCCCCCGATCCCGTGCTGTGCATGCTGGGTCTTGACAGTCGAAAGACAGAATGGCCACGTCTCTGCCCCATTCAGCCTACCGTTTCCATCAGCTGCTACATGTCCTGCCTGTACTGCTGGTATGCTCCTTTGATACCACCATCACAAACGGGTCTTTGGGGCGTGCAGGGAGCTCAGGACCAATCACTCAGAACACAACCAACCTCATCACCGTCCTCCTGCTGCCAGTCTCCATCCTGATGGTCGGCTATGCTCTCACCACCTTCTACATGCGCAGCGTGTACCTGGGCAGGAAACAGGTACACACCTGACATCCCTTACTCCTGACACAATAGAGGCATATCCCTGCGGGCAATTCCCATGCAATGCAACTTTTGTATGTGGTGGCTTTTGTTGTAAGATTTCCAAGGGATCAGGTGTGATGTCTTGGTGGGGAATCTATATGTGGCAAGCAGGAATGTGAGAAGATGGGTCTGCCACGAGAGTGTCTGTACACGATAGATCCGTTTCTCTGGTAACGGGCCCCAGAGAATGGATCCTTTGTGTCTTGCGCTTGATAGTGCTGGATCTTCAAGGTACCAGATGGTGATTTGGTGGGGCACCTTTTCTTGCAAAGCAGGAGTTTTTGAAGGCAGGTCTGGTCTTGACTAATAGCTGTGTGTTGGCTTGTGCAGATGGGCTTCTATTTGGACTGGATAGGCCCCACTGTGCTGTGCGCGCTAGTGATGACCGTGCTGACGACCATCATGGTTGTGGCCTTCGTCCAAATATTGTCATACCAGGGATGAGTGTTGCCCGGCACGCCTGCCGGACAGTTGCAGTATTGCACCAAGCAGGATCAATGCACAAATTTGTGCACTGCTCAAGGCTTGCAGGGGATGAGCTCAGCATTGGGAGAATTAGAGTGCTGAAAATGCACGAGAGACAGTTGTAGGGGCTGGAGAGCTTATATAATGAACACTCCTTGAAAGAGCTTTTGACGCTGAGACTAACTTGAAGGTGCTATATAGTATTCTTTTGGACTAAGAACAATTGAACGATGGGTTTCCAGATTCATGACCCTGCCATGCTCTTATATTACCAGAGACAAGGTTGTGTTGCCGCACAGATTGTGTTGACCACTTTCTGGGGATCAAAAGTCAAGAGCGGCGTTGACTGAACATTTGGTAGGCATAAGTATGCAAAGTTACTGTATGGCTAGTGACGTCATCTGTTATGTTGCCTGAAAGGATTGCTGGCAGGAGAGGCCTTGCATGCATGGTGGCTGAATTGACTCTGATCAGTGAATACCGTATGTGACAGCGATGCAATTTTCTTTCTATGTCCTTGAAGCTATTTGGGCACTCACATATGTTTGTGCCCCAGTGGCCAATCGGACTACATAGTGGCTTGCCCCAATGACACCTGTGCACAGGTAGAAGCAACATTTTGCCGGTGATATAAGAGTGCAAGGACGAGTGTTTTTCCTTTACATTGTAATCTACCATTCTACTTCAAGATCGTTGTAAGGCAATATTTGAATGGCGTCGCCCTCTCTTGGCATGCCAGTAAAACCCATTCACATGTGTGCAGTCCCCCATCGAATGCATTTGTCAACTATCTAAGGCAGCTGCTGCACGGTAAGATACTGGTTTTCATAATACCAACACCAGCTCAACAGCGCTAAAGCTGAGGCAGCAGCATCACTGATTGCAATACTTCCAAGTGTCATGCACTCCATTGTCAAGTGGTGACCTCTCCTAGTCATTCCCAATCTTTGTTCACTTGCTATTGTCTGCAATGAACTTTCGATCCTACTCGATCCGATCACCAATGGCATGGTCACATGATGAGTCATCCTTGCCCCCTATGTAAGTGCAAGAGGATGCATAACGATTACCGTCTGATTCACCTCATATGCACAGCATGCTCTGGCATTCCAATAACTGTCTAGGCCAGCTCCAACATTGTCAAGAGTTTTGCTTCAGTCATAGCAACTATGATGAGCTGATGTCAGCAGGCATGCACCTGCGCATAAGAATAAATAATCGCCAAGCGGCTTGGCTTGACAGTCGGCTGATATCAGGAGTAAATTGCTTAGGACCCTTAGAGCAGCCCAACAAACTGATTCAACCAGCAACACTCCCTGTCCCCGCATTTGGGCCCATCCAACATTCAACATAATGGGAGTGCTACGTGTACAGCTGCTGGCTCTGTCTTCGTCTCACTGCACCAGCTGGCTCTGCAGATCCCTTGGCCCTCACAATATGGCAGGGGTTGTATTCCACCAGGCGGCTAAGCAGGTGCGGCGAGTTGCCACAATATGTGTCCGCTGTGCGGATGCGCCATTGAACAGCAGCCTCCACTGGTGGCGATGCATGTAATCAACCCCCGTGCACCCTATATTCCCGGGGGCACTGGCTCGGCCAAATCTGGCGGCTGAGCAGCCGCCGGCCGGCGTCACCGCGCCGTCCCCTGCCACATCAGATGGCGCTGCGCGCTTGGAGTCGCATCAAGAAACCCCCGGACGTATTATATTCTGGGGGTGGATAATGTACCCTAGCGCGGCCAAATCTGGCGGCTGGGCACCCGCCAGCCGGCGCCGTGTGGCATCCAGTGGCAATGCACGGGTGTGTTTCAGCAGATCCCCGGGTGTGTTATATCGTAAGGGAATTGAAGCTGACCCTAGCTCTAGGCGGCTGAGCAGCCGCCGGCCGGGGTCACCGTGCCGTCCCCGGCCGCATCAGATGACGCTGCGCGGATGCGCGCGCGTCGGGCGGCAGCGGTTTGAGCGTCTCATAGAGGGCGTAGATCCAAAACTGGTAGGCTGACGGGTGGCACATGTGAGTGCAGTCCCCCGGCTCCTCCCTGCCGGCACACAATTGACCAGATTGAAATCCAGAGCTTCAGAAGGCGTGTTTGCTGGTCAATGCTCTTATATAAGTGATAATTATGACTGCCGAGCTGAAGAGCAGCACGAGCTTGCAGAAGTGCTATCTTGTGAGCAAGCTGTAGCTGCATGCATGCATTTGCAAATACTGGCAAAGTTTTATTGGTGCAAAGCATGACAAGCACATGTCAGCGACATAAGCACAGCTTTCGAACTTTTTGGGGGCAGCTTGCTGCCTGTGTGGCCCTCAAAGCCAGAGTGTACCTTACTGTGGCCACCGCCGAGTCTGATGACATGGCTCTGAAGAAGATATAGGGAGAAACAGATTGAGCGAGACAAAGGAAGTGCACCTGTAGTTGGTGTGGTAGTTCCACATGCCAAGAGAGACATTCCAGGTGTGCACGATGGGCATCTGCAGGTCCACCAGCCCAGCGTATGCTAGCTTGTTGCGCCAGCCGCCCTCCACCACCGTCTGCAGCCATCACGCCAGTTTTGAGCGAGGTGACAGCCTTCAAGAAAGTCACACAAACCGCACACGTATGCTCGAGCTGCTTGTACTTGCTTGCAGTAGGACTTGCAATCTGCATATTCAAGACTCGATGGGGAAGAATGGAAGAAAGGTAGAGCTCAATAAAAGTCACGACAGATTCCTCCCGCATTGCATGCACAGGGATGAACGGGCCAGGATGATGTTAAGTTTTTCCTGCCCATCTCTGCAATATGCTGTCTGGACTTGCAGCTGGTTGCTGTAGGCTGGAGAGGATACAGCGTTGCGCATGTTTGGTGCAGCGGCGGCTGACCGCGAGGCTATCACATGCAGGCATCATGGGTCCTTTTGTACCAAGACAAGGGTCATTTGTACCAAGAGGTAGTCAGCAGCAGCTACGGCAATTATGGCCTCCCACCTGCAGAGCGGGGTCCCAGCTGTGCAGCTTGTTGTTGTCATCCAGGTAAACGTCCCGGAAGGGAACGCAGGAATTGGTGCGCGGCGGCCACACGTAGTCACCTGCAGCCAGGAAGTACCCTTACGCATCACTCGGCAGCCCTGAGCTGAAAAGACCACCGGATTTAGATGTACAGACGGCCATCGAGGGACAAATCAATGGATGACAGAATAGGCAATTGTAATAGTGTCCTACTGCCTCGCATACCGCTGCCATGGTCTCAATGCTAGCGCCTGCCACGGTACTGCATGCTTGCGGTCAAATGCTAAAAACCCAGCCATGATGGGATGTGCAACATTCGCAGCTGTTTTACGGCTGCCCAAATCACCGCATGGTGTGCAAAGCCGTGCACCTGACAGCGCGTAAGAGTAAGGGAAAGGGAGGGAAAGGGAGGAGGCACTGCACGCTTGGAGGTCATGACATGCGTAATGTGTTTGAAACAATCCAAGGCAGATTTAACACCACTGGCAATATTTAGCTGCTGGATGGTGGAATTGCTTGGCACCTGAGAGGGTGTCGAAATGCTGGACGCTGGAGTCGCGCCACATCATGAGCGGCAGCTCGCGCAGGTTGTACCAGACGTGCTCTCGGAACCGTGTCATGTTACCATGGTAGTGTGCGTCACTGCGAGTCATCATTAGTCGTTGTTAGTAAGGCGGGTCAATGCTTCTGACATGCTCATCCTCTGCCTGCACTTCATCATTGCCATGGTATGCACCACACACTTCCACCATACTTTTCATCCAATAGGCATTGTTGTTTTCGAGTTGAAAATTGCAAGGCCTTATTCACACAGATCCTATCTGATCAAGAACCTGCATCAACAGTATTGCCTTGAGCATGTTGCCTGGCTGCCACTGCAAGACCAAGAAAGCTTGCCAATGCAAAGACAATGCAAAGGCTGGGCCCCTCCAGCAGAACGGGGGGCCCCAGCTCGCGGCATTCTGATTGTCCAAGGAAAGTGTGTTCATGAGATGGGAAGGGGACAGCTTCGCACGTGTTCATCCACATGGCAAAATTGACAAGCACAACGTCCTCCAGCTTCACACCCAGCTTGGGGAAGGCCGGGAACACAATGTCCAGCATCTGGTCCGCCGTGTTGGCACGCAGCAGGCATACCCGCGCATCCTGTGCACAGGTCAGAACAATCTGTTTACCGTGACGGGTTCACAGCTTTGTTCACGTTGGAGGTATTTGCTGGCCTACTCTAAGGAGATGGGCCAGATGGCAGCTGGTGGCAAGGTATTGGGTTCTGTGCAAGATGCGTACAGGGGAGAAACGTGCACACGTTCCCTCCCCTTATATTGTGAATACTCCCTCAAGACTGTCACTGAGCATCGCTGGCTCCTGAAGGAAGCCTTGGCAGGTTTCCAGACAGGAGAAGAAATTATACAAGTTCTCTCTGTTATCAGATCTCCTCCCAGTTGGGACATCCAAGCCTTCCAGCGTTATACTCGCTTTACATGCTGCAAGTGCAAGCTCGCGCCTTCCCTGCTTGCTCAGAGATCAACTGTGTCGGCGCCTAATGTGTGCAATTGTTCTGAGTTCGAGAGCCTTGCAGAGGAGCGCATGTGGACATGTGCGGGCACATGGGGCCCCACAGGAAGTGGGACGGCACCTGGGGCAGCTGTATGCACCAGCCCTGCAGTGGCCACTCAAAGTCGATGTATGGTTCGCTGTGCGGCTGGATTGGCGGCTGCGGCTGACGGTCCACGTCCCAAAACTCCACCAGGAAACACATCATCGCCTTCATGAACTCCTGCGCACTTTCTCCACCCATTAAGGTCCGGAATTATACAACCACCAAGATTGGAAAAAAGGAGAAACGGCACAGAAGGACTAAGATGACAGACTATGATGACTCGGTGCCCCATTCAATGCCTGCTCTGTCCCTGGCAGGTATTGCATGCTTGCGCAGGGAAAAAATGAGCAGCAAAAAGGATGTGATATGCTGCTCGTGTTTTGCGCTCCCATATCTCGCATGATGCTGGGACTCACATGCGCGAGCTCTGCCTGTTGCCTGTTTTGTCCCTGTGAGTTGAGTGCAACTCACTATACTACTGAATAGGCGCTCCCATCCCTCGCATAATACTGGGACCCGCAATGCGAGAGCTGTGCTGGCACGAGTTGTTTGCAATGCACCAGCAGGAAAGGGTCATGCGGGATCACATGTTCACGCGCACCTGCATCATGGAGTCTCCCATGAGCCACAGCGTGCGGCCGCGCAGCAGGGGGAATAAGTCGCAGGGGGTCATTGTCAGCATCTCCTTGAATCCTGGCCTGCCGCGCTCCGCTGACTCAATCATCCACGTCAGCAGCTGCTCTTGTAACCACTCCGGGCACACCGGCCCGCGGAACCTGCCCACAACAGAACCACGCCATTCGTAGAGCCTGCCCATGTTGCTGAGTGAATAGACCATGCTGTATTCCATAGTCATTAGTAATTAGATGACCGCTAGATGCTGTTACAGCATGCATAGCAGGGATGCGTAAGAGACAGGCCTGGCTCGGGCAAAGGGGCACCACATACATTGGAGCATATTAAAGGGTGAAGAAAGAGCAAGTAAATAAGGTTGCCTGTCAACATTCAGCTCGGATCAAAGCTCTGTGTAATAAAATATTTATTACTTCTACTGGCGCAAAATATGCAAGCAAGCACAGAGCGCATGATGCACAGCCCAACACATGCACAAAGTTCATAAAGTCAAGAGATATCAGTTGCTGCAGCAAGGGGCTGCATTTTAGGAGAAGGTGCAGATGTTAAAAGTAACACACCCTGAGAAGTCGGAGTAGTCCCAGGATCAGAAGTCCCAACATAGACCACCGTATGCACAGACTCTGAAAGGCCAGATAAATAGGTGCTGCAGCAAGTGCCTCTATATTCCAAAAATGGGTGCGGCTTGGAAAGGCCACTTACCGTGGATATTTTGAGTAGTCCTAGGAGCAGAAGTCAGCCCGGGGCAAAAACAAAGAACAATGCATGCGCACACTTTGGACGGCCAGAAAGTAAGCTGCTGCAGCAAGCGGCATTGTTCCAGAATTGGGTGCAGATACAGTGAGAGGCACACACTGAGACCTTAGTTGTCCCAGGAGCAGAAGTTGTCAGGGCAGGATACACAGAACAACACATGGGTTTTTTTTTGAAAGGCCAGCAAATAAGGTGCTGCAGCACGCGCCTGGGTTCCAAAAATCGGTGCAGAAAGTAAAGGGCACCCACCCTGAGAATTTGGAGTAGTCCCAAGAGCAGAAGTTGGCCCAGGGGGCTTTGCTGCTGCAGGTGCGGCAGTGCGGCTGCCGGCGGCCCCCCAGCAGGTAGGGGACCTGCCCTCGGTCCCTGACATCCTCGTATGTCATCCTTTGGTAATGCAGCGGGCACGCCCCCTTATCCTCGTTGTACAACGCCCTGCCGTCCCCTATCGACTCCTTCACCCTGCGCATCCCCCGCTCACTCTCAGCTACTTCTCTTCATTCACTTTGGATCAGATATTAAGGTCCTCTCCTGGATGTATCTGCTGCTTGAGCAAGCAGCTGCGCACCGTATTCTGAAGGATCTGAGGACCCCCCGCTTGCCAGCCGAGCCACCACCGTAGTTCCCCCCTCTCCATCCGGCAGCGTACAGGTGGTGGCTCCACAGCACTGACGTCAGCGCCAGCAGGACGCAGCCGGCCACTTTGAATTTGAAACTGCGCAGCATCACCATCGCGCGCGGCCGGAGCTCTGCAGGCCTCACTTCCTGCGGCTTCGCTCCCTCCTGCAGCCCAGGGGTCAGCAATTAGTATATTCATTAGTCTCTTTCCCTTGATTCCCGTGTAAAACATTTCCCGTGTGCTTATCCTTTCTTGAGTCTCTACCCAAATATTTTCAATGTCGCTCAGTGGATGAGAAAAGTCTCATCGGCAATTCTTGCCGAGAAGTCCCCAACAAAAATACGGACCAGTCCGTCTCTTTTGTTGAAATTCGGATGACCTCTAGGTGGGGTGCCCTATTTCAGCATGCATTGGCAGGGATGAGCAAAAGACAGGGCTCACTCCCTGCGGCTCTCCCTCTTGCAGGCCAGGAGTCAGGAGTTTTGCGTTCGTCTGGTGGTTAGAAACCATATCTTCTCTTAATTTAGCAATCTATACAGCATGCATACCAGGGTATGTGAAAGACAGGCCCGGCTTGCGCACAAGGTAAATCCTTGAAACCTGAGTGTTGACAGACAGGACCTGGAGGGAGACACCACCCCTACACCTGCGCAGAAGTTTGCTCGTCCAGTTTGCCATAGGTACTATACATCATCTGATGAATCAATCATGAAATCTAACTGACAAGGTAAGAAGAGATCCTATAGGTATGAGATGTTTCTTGGGATCAGTCAGAGCTGCTCACCCCTTCAGGAGGTCCATGTGGGGCTCCGCTGGGGCCAGCAAGACCCGAGGAGCCCCTCCTCTCCATAGTCTGCTATCTGACTTTCCAGATTGACTGGTTCACTGGCCGAGCGAATCGCCTGCTCCAAGCTTGCACCACACTTTCACGCCGCTGTCAGTGGTGATACCCAGAGCCTCCTACTGCCACGTTCACTGCATCTGGCCTGTGGATCCTGGTCAGTGGTGAGACACATCAGCTTAGAAAACCTTGTAAAAGCGATGATGGGCTTGCTCAGAAGCAGACAGATTCCCTGGGCTCTACGTGAGAAGAGGTGCTGTTGCTGACATGCACTGGTACGTAACTTGAATGCACCAGTAATCCTGCAGACTGATGAAGGCTTGAGCAAGCAAAATGAGAAAATGCACATGCAGCTGTGATCATCAGTGTGTCATCACACATGTTCGAAGGCAGACTGAATGTACATTACAAGATGCACACTTACCAAATAATTTTAATGAACAGCTGCGCCCTCGTCTTCTATATGTGTTCAATATTAGTTTTTCAATAACATAATGTCTACTGGAATTGCCACAACAAGCACAAACTGGGTGCAAGCACTTTCTGTTGAAAATTCTGTAAAAAATCCAGGTCTATGAGTGTTTTGCTTTGATCGCAATGAGCAATCTTGTCGTCTGTGCAATATATCACACTGATATGTGACTTATTGGACGAGAGTACAGATTACTGTATAGCGGCAACAGCTGCTTCCCATTCAAATTTTACCGTGTGACCTCCTGCCAATTCTGGCAACGGAGCGATCTCCGAGACGTTCCGGCGCCTTCTAAGATATTGCAAGCAGTCTTGGACGGCAAATGGATGATGCTTCCAGCAATGGTGAGGGTTGCAGGTAGATTTGTGTCCCATCGCCTGGAGATTGCTGGGCAGTCCAGGTGCCTTTCTGACCATCTGCCTTGGTGCTTCTTGGGAACCTTCACCCCTTGGCAGGCGATGCAACGGTTACAATTTGATTGGTACATGTAAAAGAAAGGACTGACTTGTGATATAATCATCTAACTGGCTAGGTATAGGAATTCGACAGTTGATCTGGCGCAGTCATGCAGTTGCTCTGGTGTTTGCTCATTGTGGCAGTGTGTGATGCATGTCAACTTCCGGTAGAGTCCTTATTACCAACCTAATTGGTGATATTCTCCTGCCGATTCCCAGGTGCTTGAGGTCTGGAATCAGACACCACTTGCTCCCTCCAAGAAGAGTGCCCCTGCAGACCATAGCACCCTCATTCCGCCAGTTTCCCATAGTCGTCGCAATGAATGGACAAAAAGGCTTTTCCAGTAGCGCATCAGGTGCGACCCCTGTCCAAAGCTCTTTTTTCTTGTACCAGGTTGTCTGCACCTGCCAGCACTGTCCCTTCTCAGCAGGACTCTTGCATCCGGAATCAGATGAGCTGCGCCCATGGCACTTTTTCTGAAATATGGGAGATATTGCGGCGCTGCAGGGGGCAAGGAGCATGGCAGGAAGAGAAGCAGGAGCCCTGGTGTTGTGGCGGAACATGGGCAGTTCAGTCCAGCTGGCCAGAAGCCTTTGCAGCAGCAGGCACCGCCACAGCAGCCGCCTCCAAAAGAGCAGCAGCAGCAGCAGGGGAGGAAGAAGGCGAGAAAGATGACGCCAGAGGGGGGCCTGCGCGCAGATATCTTCAAGGCTGCCAAGGAGAATGACCCGCTTGGAGGCCTTGCAGCCTACGACCGAGCTGTTGCTGAAGGTGCTTCTCCTTGATGTGCCTGCTTCCCCTCTCCTCCAAGACAGCAATATTCCCCCCTTGCATGCATGCAAGGGCATCAAGTCCTGCTGCTTCGTTGCAGTTATCATCACCTCCCAAAAGGAGACTTATTGACCCTATATGAGGGATGCTTCCATGCTTCCACACGTGCATGAGCATGGCTGAATGAACACATGTTGAATGAGGTTTCTTCTAGGCATGCATATAGGCTCACTTACAAGATGATTTGATTGAAATTAATTCAATTGCAGCGATGAGCACGGCTGCAGGAACTTGAGGTGATTGTGCTGTTACACATGCATGCGTGCAGGCATCAGCATGGGCAACGACCTGTTTGAGACGCTGCTGTACCTGTGCTCGGGCGGCCAGGCATGGGATGCCAAGCTGCCTGCACCTGCCCAGACAGACGCCAAATCAGCCTCACAGCCAGGTACCTCTTCTGCTGGTGCCGTTTTCGCTGCTGCATCCCTACGTTTTTGTCAATGCATTGTGAATGTATCACCGCTGTGCTTACTGTGTAGATCAGAATGCTATAGTGTAGGCCAATGGCTCGCTTTGGGCAAGCTTACAGGCATGTGCAGTAGTCTGAAAACACTTTACCCACTGACTGTCTATATTCCTTACATTCCTTAGAGGGATGGCTGCATCATGGCTTTCCCTTTCTGGGTCAAAGACTTTGGACTTTCGGACTTTCTATCGAGTTTTCTGTGCCACTGGTGCAGGGGAGGATGTTGACGCCAGGAAAGCAGCCCACAAAGAGGCCAGCACATCTGGGCAGGCCACTTCAGGCAACGGTGCCACACCGGAGCAGGCTTTGCAGCGAGAAAGCATTGACAAAGCCGCGCACATGACCTCTGAGGTGCGCACTAGTCCAAACAAACTCATGAAGCTGACCTGACAGTGACGCAGCAAGGCATGTGCTGATTGCTGGATTGGCACACATTGCCTGGGTCTTACTTGTTTGTGAGGCCGCTTGTTTGGGGCAGTTTTGGGGTAAGTATTCTGACAAACAAAGACAATCTGTGATTCTTGCGTGGACTCTGATGTGAAACATCTGCGCACGAGCAGGAGTGGGTGAAAGTGGCACGGCGCGGCAAGGAGCTGTGGCAGACACTGAAGGAGCGAGGGGGCGGCAAATCAGAGGTGTGCCCTTTGATTGCATGTCCACATCTGCTCATCGAGTCTGTTTTCATTCTAGTCCGCTAATGACCCTCAATCAAGCACCCCTGAGTACTGCTGAGCTGTGGAGTAAGTCACGTTGCCCACCTTGCCTACGACGTGCCTATGACAATCAAGGCAGGTTGCGAGAAATGGCGTTACTGTTCTCTGCTGAGAAGTCTCTTGTGAAGTGCCTCCTAGTATGGCGTCACTGCAAGATATCACCGACTCACAACGCCGTTGAATGGGTGCGCCAGGTGTGTTACACGGCGCTGGCGCGCATGGCTGCGACGGAGGGGAAGCCAGATCAGGCGCTGGACGCTGCCAGGGAAGCGCTAGCGACGGGCCTCCATCTGAAACTGCGCAGCTTTGTTCCCGCCCTCAAAGCCTACTGCGCCGCCGGCAACGTGGACGCAGCCTTCAAGGTGAGCGCAGAGATGCTGGCTACTTGCCTGAAAACATTCTATTGATGTCTCATTGGCAGATCGCATGTTTTCCCAGTACAATCCATACGATATTATCCTGAATACAATTCTCATCCCCCTGGACCATTGTATGTTCATGGGGATGAGAGTTGGATGCTGGAGTGCACAAGCTGGACCTGACATGCTTTCTGAAAGCTCTCTTAAGTGCATGGCCCCAGCTTATGGCATTGGAGGAAAGCACTGCAAAATCTCTGACTACATGGTCACAGCGCGTCATGTCTTCAGCTTCTGGCCTTAAAAATTACAACAAGAATTCATTGGTCCTTCCGCAGCGACAGCTATCTGAGGCCGCCAGGGGTGCGATGCCAGGTGGACGAGCTGATAGCGGAGCAGGAGCTGGACCTGACTGAGGATGAGTACGCATTACTCATCGGGGTGTGCGCTTATGGGGCCGTGTGGGCTCGCGCGGAGGGGGTGCTGACGCGAATTGCCCGGGAGCTGACGGCGCTGCAGGAGGGAACGCTGGCCGCCGTGGAACGCTTCTTCAGGTGGGTTGCCCGATCCTGTCTGCCTCTCTAGAGCCTAGTCTGGCCTGCCTGTGAATGAGGAAGGGGCCATGAGGGCCTAGCAGCTGGCAGAGGGACCTCTGCGGCAAGATTGCGCAAACTCTGTAGTTGTTGCTACTTAGTAGCAGCCGATCTCCGCCCACTGTAGGTCTAGCTACTAGTCTGACCTGCCATTGTAGTGGCGCAGCTTCAAGGAATCTTAGATCAACAGCCTTGCAAACAACAGCTTTGCAGAGAACAGCACAGTGTCAGGCATACAAGAGTTTCAGCAGCAGAGTGTGCAGCAGAACACTCATAGGAACAGGCAGTCTCACACTTCTGAAGAATGAATGAAGGAGATTGTTAATGGGGGGACGATGGATCTTGTTCTGCTGAAAGGGCCAGGCGCTCTGAAGATGCAGCGTGCCGCTGCAGCATCCGCTCGCACAAGGAGGCCTGCAATAATGTGTGGAAGTTCCTTATGCCTTGTGGTTGTGCATGTTGCAGGTCACCGAGTGCGGCCCAGTCGCTAGGAGAGGGCCAGTCATGGGTGCTGGAGCGGTGCAGCGTCAGCGAGAGCGGGCAGCCGAGCTGCTGCGATGGGCAGCTCGAGGTGCCCATTTCCACCCGCGCCCAAATATTGCATGTACACAATATGTTCTGACACCCTACGTCTGCCCGTTGCCGGCACGCAATCTTCTCAGAATGCCCTCAACACGCCTGGCAGACAAGGACCCAGCCACGGACAGGCTGTGCGGCACTATTGGTTAGATTTAAGGCATGGCATGTTTTTTACTTGTTCTGTCGTCTGACGAAGTGTGTACCTATGAGTGTGTATGCACTAGCTACAGACAGCCCTGAGGCCTCCGCAGGGCGTGTGCCATGCCATGACACCGCCTCCATGCATCCAAATGCATTGGTAGATTAGTAATACGACCAAATTGTTAATCTTACTAATCTTTGCCGCAGGCGGTGGACCTGTCTCCGGAGGAGTACCACGCGTTTGCGGAGGGCATCGCGGCGCTGGCGAGGCAGAAGGAGAAGCGGCCGAGCGACTTTGACACGTTCCGGGCCTGGGTTGATCGTAACGGCCCTTACGGGTGCCTCATTGACGGCGCCAACGTGGCGCTGTTCGGCCAGAACTGGGAAGCCGGCGGCTTCAGCTTCGCGCAGATCTCTGCGGTGCTTGACCAACTTCGCGAGGAACGTCCGGACCTGAAGCCCCTGCTGGTGATTCACATTGCTAAACACGGCCTGAGGAAAGGTTGTCATTATTATCATTGTTGTTAGACAAGCCATTTGCAAACAAGCTACAGTCCAAGGCTGCCAAAATGAGCCGCCCTGTGGTTGTTGAAAATTGCCCGAGATGCCCCTCTATCAATTTGCCAGTTGGAGAGTTCTGGAATTGTCATACGCCTGACATCTGGCATGCGTCCTTTGCCAAGTGCTATTCGTAGCAGCCTTGCATGGAGACGGGCTGGCACCCAGTCAAGTGTACCATGCAACCAGGACTGCATCTTTAGTACACAGTGCCTGGCCCCCATCGCTCTGTGAAACAAATGACTAGTCACCGTGCAAACAACCACAAGTCTGAAAGATCGCATGCTGTGCGCAGATGCTGCACCAGTCACGGGTGAAGGCGGAGCTTGCCAGGGAACGCCGCGCGGCAGCTCTGCTGGAGCGCCTCAGAAGGGACCACCTCTTCTATACGACCCCCTTCGGCTCCAACGACGACTGGTACTGGCTCTACGCTGCCGTCAAATCAGGTGATCCCTGGCACTCCCATTCTAGCATGGTCCATTCAGAGCCTACCTTGATTGTGTACTGCAACAAGTTGACTCGATGTGACCCTGGAGTGATGTGCTAGTCATACGTCTTTGATGCATTGTGAAATATTGGGCCGCCTGCCCACTATGTGACATGGGGTGATAGTGCGGGTTTATTCATTGGTGCAGTGAAAAATGTGATACGGAAAGGCAGGCAGGGGTGATGAGCATGCGTTGATTTCTGTGCAGGCCCGGATGCGCTGATAGTGAGCTGCGATGAGATGAGGGATCACCTGTTCCAGCTGCTGGCTCCCAAGTACTTTCGAAAATGGAAACAGCGCCACCAGGTCTACTTCAAGTGAGCGCCCAGCACTCTTATGCCATATATTGTGGTCTTGGTGCCTGATATGTCTGCGCTTGAGCAAATTTGTCATGTTTGCGGCATCACAAAGAGGTGTGACAAGCTCGCCTTAATGGCATACACTGCACGATTGCAGTGTATTGGCTTTGCAGCACGCCCTGCATTGCCTGGGTGCTTTGATGGCTGCCAGGCTGCACGTGACCAAGCCAGCTAGGCTGCTGTGCCTCATGTGGTTATTGCTGATCAGTGGTGACTCATCTCCGGTGCATGCAATGCAGGTTCGCGCCAAAGGGACGCGCAGTGCTGACTCACCCTGCGCCGTACACTGTGTGCACACAGCACCTGCTTGTGTCCAACGCTTGGCTGTTCCCTTCTGCAGAGTCTGACCAGTGGCTGTGCGCCCGTCCATCTCAGTAGGAGTTATTGACTCTCAGAAGCCTAGACTTGCTGGGAGAGGCAAATTCTTGACTCTTTGATTTTGCAGGACTGTGGTTATGATAACCAGGTTATCAGGCTGTACCTTGTAAACGAGAGTTGGTTGACAATGATGGGGATCATAATTGTAAGGCAGTGCATGGATTTCTACATCATGATCAGGTCCGGTCCTCCTTGCAATTAATCGCAGTATTGCTCACTCCAAGCGCCCTGCTTTGCCGGCCAGGATCTCAGCGCCTCACGCCATGTGCATGCCGCAGATGCTTGCCTCAGAAGCATCGCGCATCTCCTCTGCCAACAGTGCTGATCACTGATCACTGAATGGCATTTATGACTGCGAACTGTGGCTGTGCACATGCGTAGAGATGAAGTGATTTAATGATTTCAAAGCAAATTCTGCGGAGACAGCTTGTTTCAGGGGAACACTGCATAAAATTCTTGGCTCTCAATGCACATGTGGTAGCCCACTGATTCTTTGCAGCAAAAAAGACTGTTGCTAGGGATAAGATTCCTTAGTAAATGCTGATAGGTGCTGACTGGGCCTGCCAAGAACAACCTTGGACTTGGGAGCTTTACGTTAACCTGGAAGTGTCAATCAGATGCGCGGGCGTCAGGGTAATTGGATCTTTTTAGCAGTGAGGAGTGTCGGAATGCCCCCAAAAGACCAAAGCTGGGACGGAATTAAGTAGAGTGGCCCAGAGTTTGCGCGAGAATGGACCACTCCCACGAAAATTCCCATGTTCCTCTTCTCAAGTGCGATGGCTCCACATATGACATGTATGGAGGAGGCACATGGAAGGGGCATTTCTGGCCTGGAGTCCTCTTTGTATTCTGGGGCTCGTGGTGGGCGGTGCGTGCTTTCACATCGCGCGTCCGAGAAGGCAGCAAGTACAGGAGCAAAGCCTGGTGGCCTGGCGTATATGCGATGGAGCCCCTCCTCAAAATCTTTGGACCTCCGATAGGCGTTCTTGTGGAGCTTCGTTTCGATCACTCCGAGTTCCTGTGAGTCTCTGCTAACTTGTCGATGCCTCAATGGTGCGGCATTGAAGGCAAAATGTAATCTTGCAGCTGGCGTCCTTCTTCATCTGTGCTGGATGCAGGACCTTGTTATGCCGAGATGGGCGCTTTTCTCTTCAAAACATGCACAACTACCAGCATGCAGCTTCATATCCAGCCTTCGTAGTCTCAGGTGAGTCCCACCTCAGGCGCAAGGGGCGCCATCAGTGGTGCACTGTGAAATCCGCTGTACCGTTGTCAGCCAAACTGGTAGACAGACATCCTGATACATCTGTCCCAAGTAACATGACCATTGCAGACGAGTATGATCACAATGTCAGGCACTGGGGCTAGAGGCAGACCATTGAAGAGCTGGATTGACTATGTGAGAGATGACCTTGATGCTATCGGGCATGCATATGACTGGTGGAGAGAGTGCAAGAATCGTAAAGACTGGAGAGCAAGACTTCAGGCGTTGCTTGACGTAGTCCTTAAGGACCGGGAAAACGTGTAATGCACATGACCATGTCTTTCCCGGTATGCAGGTCTTGTTGATCTGCTCGGCACAAAGGTCCAACTGCCACCGGGAACAGAGCAGGTGAGCAATTCTGCAATGAAATTTTGAGTCAACGACAGTTTCTCTTCTGATGTGCTAGCTTCTGCTTGCATGCCAACAAATCTCCGCCCAGGCTGGCGGGGGAAGATATAGGTACTGAGCACCGTGTTTGCTGAACCTTGCTTGGATCTGGCAAGCCATCAAGGGGTAGGCGTTTGGCAGCCTTCAACTGCAGCTTGTCTGCAGACGCACCTTGCCTGTTGGCAGGAAAGCGCGTCATACTTTTATCATGAGGATTGCCAAGTTTGACGGAATGCAGACACATGAGAATTTTGAGATATGAAGATGGGCTGTGACAGACTGCCTACAAGACTAATGACCCTCAGGTGGCTCCCAACAGGTCTTTACCATGCAACAATATAATAGTAATGATGACAAAACATATGCAGGTATTCCTCACGCTGGCATTTGGCGCCGAGGCGTTCCTGATGTCCTCCCACAAGAAGCACGAGGCTCTGGACGCAACAGTGCATGGCCTGCTGGCGCTGACAATGTGGGCATGCACGCTTTGCACGCTGGGCGAACTCTTTGCGCGGCATAGCATGCTTGCCACGGCCGGCCGCACCCTCAGCTGCCTGATGCAGGGCATGTGGCTCATCCAGGTGACAAATCCTGCACCTCTTACTAATCCTTCACTGGATATTAGTCTCCCACCTTGAATAAGGTCCCTTCTGCCAGCAAGATCGGCAGCGTCTCTGCAGTGCATATTTTGCTGAGGCAGCAGTAGTCCAGCAAGTGCACTGCTCTTTGCTGGTGCAGGGCATATGGCTCATCCAGGTGATGAAGTTCCTGTAGAGTTGCACCTAAGAAACGGGGTTCCAATTACAGTCCAGGGCCCAGAGATGTTTGTTTTGGCGATGCGCCATGTTCACATCATGAGGCAGCCTTCCTCCCACTGCCTTGTGTGTCGTGCATCCTGTCCTACGTCGTTTCTAGTCATGATGGGATCCATTGTCCCGATAAGGGTGGCATGCATGCATATGGCCTCCAGTTTCAGCTGTGCACAGCACTGCTTTCAGCATTTGTATATGCCCCTGAAGGTGGTTAATAGGCAGATTGGGACAATTTTGTGGACTTACCAGGGCTGATCTTCCGGCACAAGCTAGTATATGTGAGACATCACTTGAAACAATTCTGTGTGCGCCCTGCAGATTGGGCAGATCATGCACACCACCCCGCTGCCCTGGAGGACGGATGAGTCAGTGGCGGGGATAATGCTGGCGCCTGTTCTATTCGCCATGCTGACACTCTTGTGCGCCGTCATCCTGCTCGCACTCTACCTCATCCTGCAGGTAAAGTCATCTGGCCCATTTACCTGACTAATACATCCTATTTGCAAAAATTGCAAGGAGTGCACGAGTCATCCTTGAGGATGTGTCTCACTTGAGACTCAGGCTGAGAAAAAAACAGTCTGAAAGAGCCTTGTCAGTCAGATGCAAGTGGCATTGTTCACCAAAATGGACCCACGGGAACAATCTTTGACTGGCGCTTGTGGCAGAACAGACTGGCATGGGATTTCCCTAGAACTGGGAATATCATGCCGCATTGTGGCGCCACAAGTACCAGTCAGAGGAACTTGAATCACTAGCTAGAGTCTTGAAAATTTCTGCCCTTGACAGGGTCCCCTTGACCTAGATTGGCATGGGGTGTAGGCTTGGCACAACAGGAGTCCCAGTCAACACAGCCGCCTGCCCCTTAGTGACAGCCTGGCAGAGATCAACTTCCCAGACATGATCCACAGCGGCGGCGACTCTGCCCACGAGAACTCTGGTGAGCTTCTGTAAAACACTTGCATGCTCTGCTAAACACTTCATCATGATCCTACAGGCATGCCATGCATGATGCCATGCATGTGTTCAGAAGCTCTGCTCATGCAGAATTATAACCAGGGCCCCTAGAAAGGTCCAAGGTAGCCTCAACAGCACTTTCTTTTCTGCGCATCTGGCCACTCCCCGGAAGTAGGCAACCTATTTATTACATGTGTCCGGTGTAACACGAAAGCCAGGCAGGATGGTGATTGTCTAGGCCTGGATTTGTCTGTGTAGCCTCTAAAACTTTATGCGCGAGGGAAGTGAGGACACTTCTCCCCTTAGAAGGTATTTAAGTTATGGGCAATGTTTGGTGCAGACTCCTCAGGCAGCGAGAGCGAGGGGAGGCTGGCAGGACAGCCCAAGCCAGGCAGGAGGCAGCAACTGCGCAAGGCCTTCCAGCTTCTCAGCCCCATCCACGAGCCAAAAGACAAGGGGGGTCACCTGGTCTGACAGCAGTGAAGGCGCCTGCTTTTGCAAGCTCTGTGGGGTGTATCCACCAAAAATTGGGTGGATACACCCCACAAAAAATGAGATTATATTGGCGTGTTCAACACTTGGCACTTGTGTTTTATTCTGCTTTTGTTGCTCTTACTCTCAATGTGTCCATATGGGCAGTGAAGGGCGGTGTGATCAGGCGATAGCCAGGCATGATCAGCGCTTGATCATTGTGAATTGACGGGTCACTTAATACTTTTAACTTGAGAGACAGCCGCAAGCCTGCAGCCAGGCTGGATAGCTCTTGGACAGCTGAACATCCAGAGCTGCAGGGATAAAGAGAACAAAGGGTGCATGCGCACTTCTATGAACAAAATGTGCTCGTTAAAGGGTGAGGCAGATGAAGTGGTAGAAAGAATGGGAAAAAGGATGCCACAGCAGCACCCAGGCACCTCGATGGGACCTGGATGCTGCTGATAGAGATCGGAACAAAGTCATAGACAAAAGAGAGTCACGCAAAGTCGAACTAAAGTGAATACATTGCATCAAGCACTTGCAAGTGTCATTCAATGTCAGCCAGTCTGTCAGTCCAGAGATATATCTATCTATATGGTGTGAAATTGTTTCCTGAGGAAGCCCGATAATTGCCCGTGATTTTTTATCAAAGTGCCGTCCAGATTGAGGATAGAGAACCTGTGGTACGCGAGTTTTGATGTAGCCAACCCAAACAGATCGACCTCAAGCAAGTGCCTTGGGGATTTGACTGCAACACAGAGACTAGGTGACCACACATCATTTATGACTACATGTGCACACATGCATGCGCGCAGTTGACCAAAGCATATTTGAAATTAGCAGCTGCGCTAGTAGCACGTAGGATAAACAACACTGATTCCATAGTGTTCAACAATCACAACTTCTAACGAAAGAATCTTTGTGGCGCCATAATGCTCACATTACTCCTCACCCATCTCATCCTCATCGTCCACTTTTGGAGCCAGGTAGAAACTGCACCACACAGCTTTTCGGTCAACTGTAGAGATCTCACGCAGAGGCTATAGATGCACTGCGAGGCTGCCAGCAAAACATGCGCATGCGCACAAACATCGTTGCGTGAAACTTCACAAGGCAGAACGAGAACGCCTGCCAGATGGTTCCAGTATGCCAAGCAAAAGGTGGAAGCAATCTCTGCAGGTCATGCTCATGTGATCCGATAGTGCTTATTGGTGGACCATGCAACATACACACAGTCTCACAGATCGGCCCAGATGACTGGTTTTCAGACACAAAAGGGACATCTCATGACGAAATGTGCCAAGATTGATACATATCCTTGATGATCCGTGACAGACTGTGCCGGGGCTGCAAGACCCACCTGAGATGACCCATATCCTGTATCCGGTACTCCACCACCAAGGGCAAGTCCTTGGACAGCCGCAGAATGACCTGCACAGGCGTCTCAGCTCCTGAGCACCCCGTCTTGATTTTGTCGCAGACCTCAAAGACCTCTCTTCTACATATGAACTGAGATGCAGTATGGCAGTGTACTAGCAATCAAGAACCATTGCTCCCCTCTTCCCTTAACTCTAAAATGATATTCTTGGGAGAGGGGACCACATGGTGCCAGTACAGTGTTATATTGGGATGACACTGTACTGGCGTCTCACACCGGACAAATGCATCCATGTGGATTAGATGGAAAGAGGGGTCATGCCTGCGGGGAGAGTGGAGTGGCCTTGGCAAAGGAGTTGATGTACTTGAGCGCGAAACTGAGCGAGACCGGCTGCTGCAGGTCTATCACCGTCGCATCCTCCTGGTCCTTCACATTCGTGTTCTGCCTGTGCAGCAAAATCCAAACAAAAACATTAGCGGAAGAGATATGCAGGCATCAAAGCAGCGCGAGTGCCAGGGAGATATGAGGAAGGGCTGCCTCACAAGTGCACATTATGCATCAACGATACATTCAGCGCAGCCCATGCGGCACCCAAGCCTTGCTTGCAGGAACATCTGATGGCCGCTCACTTGGCAAAACAAGCCAGAGAAGTCTTCAAACAAGGTAGCGCATTCCCAGCCCAAAAAATTCCTGACAGGGGCAGGTGAAATAAACATAAAACTCTGAAGAGTCCTCTTCTCATGTATGCGATTGTGCTTGCCTAACAGTGATGTTGGCGCTGCCAATGTCCCCGCTGCTGGAGAACTTGATGCCGTCCTTTGTCACTGACATGAGTACCGTGTCCCCGATGGTGCCCAAGTCCCTGCCACACGAGAGTGCACCGCTCAACTTCACATGTACATCTACCAGATTCTTCTGCCATAGCCAAGCCAGGACTGTCTTCAAGCACCCCTGCTTTGCACTTCGGGTGCAAGTATGCCCTACTCAGGGCCATGAAGAGTAAATATCACGGACCCCACAAATGCCCCACTTTGAAGTGTGCGCAACAGCAAATGCATGATATTTGAGAGAGAGCATGTGTGTACTGCATATTGCAGGGTGAGATGGCGAGAAGATGTCCCACTTTGCTATCCGCTGGAACTCGCCAGAGGGCATCTTCACAGTTGCTGAGTACTCTGTGTCTGGAATGCCCAGCCTGTGCCACGCACAACAAAATTAGGCGCCACACAAGATCCCTCTGGCCTGGTCTAAGTCCTGATGTAATGTAGAGATGGCTGGCTCCTGTAATGCTGACACGGAGGGGTCATAGCAAGTGTTGGGTGGCGCACTGCTCGCTGTCAATGTCCATGAGCTTCAGCTCGAAGTCGCTGTGCCTCTCCTGGTTCACAGACTCAAAGAGGAACGTGAGGGAGTCTCCTGTGTCTTCTGCCTGTTACAAAACGGCACTTATCAAATCTCACCATCAACATGGACTCGCCAAAGCCACAGCTCAGGTTGTCAACACTTCCATTGGTATTGTACGGTTGGGACACCAACCTTCAAGGTGATGATGTCATCGTTTGCAGCACATTTGAGGCACTTGCTCATGTTATTCAGATTCATGCCTGCAGCAGAAATAACATTGCCATCATAAAAAGCGCAACCATTTGCAGGATGTCATTTGTTCTACACGCTCAAGTGGCAATGGGATCAGAATGGTTAAAAGAGACAGCTGTGCTTCTTCCTACCCATGCTGAGGTTCCGATCACAGCGGAAGTGTGCAAATCCATCAGATCGCAGCTGCATGGCCACCAAAGCCACATGGGATGTGTCCATAGCTTGCAAGCTCAGAGCAGAAGGACTGCACTCGAAATTTGCATCATTCACCAGGTCCTTCATAGCCTGCAAGAACGGCCGCGGCAGTCTACTTAGCAGTGACAATAGCACCTCAGATGAGGTACAACGCAGGATTGCAAGGGGAATACGACAACCGTTATCACAGTTTTGCAGCAAGCACACACCTCCAGAAGCTTTTTCAGCAAAACTGCTTGATCAAGGCGTGCCTCAAACATCTCGGAGTCCGCGCACTTCTCTTTCACTGATAGTTATCAACAGCAGTCAATCTAGTCTCTCTGTAATTTACAAGACAATTCACAGATTTCAATGAACAGGTAGTTCCGGAAAGAACTATGAGTTCCGAGATTTCGATCTAAAGATCAGGCAAGTTGCACAAGCCTTTGTCAGAATACGAGAGCAATTACGATCAGCCCCTAGACAGTCGCATAACAGTCTCTCTCGTCGATTAGGATGCAGGACGTCCTTTTGGCAGATCACGGTAGTGCCGTGCTGCGCCACGCATCAAAGCACACAAAGGGCAGGGGAGAATCAAAGTTTCGGAACAGGTTTCGGAACATTTGGTCCGGTCGTTTGAGCAGAAAAGTCCAAGCAAACACCTGTGGGCAATTAGCTGGATCTGTGTGTATAATTGTTCTTCGTAATACTCAGCTTGATTTGGAATTAGTAAAGCTTCCTTGCCACTGCACTATCTCTATACTCTATACTATAAAAATCGCATATCCCAGCGATCCCATGAATGTGATAGCATTCTGCTGAATAAATCGTAGTAAATTAAACAATCTTCGATGGTCTGCAGTACAAGCTACACGCAGATTGGCCAGACATTTGACAGATGTAGATTGACCGACACACATTCTGCTCAGAAGAATGTGAAGATATCGTACAGGACAAGAAGGCGCTTGCGCCATTTGCAATGTAGTCCAGGTACGAGCTAACGAAGAATTATAGCAATCTTGCAGACACGGCTGGTGTAATTTTTCATGCACGTACCTTCTCAGACACACATGCACCGCAGGCAGTGCACCTTCAGAGGCTGTGGAGGCAGGTGACGAGAGCGCCAGCAAAAGCGGAGGCAAGAAGAAATTTGGGTCCAGCTGGGATGCCAAAGAGGCAGGATCTACCGAGGGCACAGAGGAGGACTTCCTGTCCAACCTGGGGACAGCACAAAATTACAACATCAACGTCTCACATGGTACACTCCACCTGGTCCTCTTCAGCCCTTCTCTTGACAGCATCTTTTGGCAGCATTTTCGTATTCCACTATCCTTCCGATGTAATCACATGCATCTGAAAGAGCCATCATAGGCGTGTTAATGCTTACGGGCACTGACCTCTGATGTCTGATCTTGCAACAGGTCAGAGCAGCAAATTCATAGACCATCTCTTCACTGGGAATGTTCTAGGCCACGAGTCCGACATAGCCGACGGCAGCCTCCGCGGCTGGGAGTTCAGGAGCTTTGCCAATATAGTCGGCGACTACTATGTGTCCCCACGCTTCCTGGATGCTGTTGCGGTGCGCTTTGAGCTTATCCTGCTTACTTGCAAAGAGGAGGCTTGTTGCTGTTGCATGGTGCGCACTTGTGAAGCAGCCCTCCCTCCCATTTTTTAAAGCTCGCTCGGCCTTAATGTCTGCACTCTTCTTTCTCTATCTTGCCTAGATCTCTAGAGAAGGCAGGGCTTCGCAGGCCAGGCTCCTGCTAACTCTCTTGCCAAATCTGCACATGGATGGTATGCGTCATGGGAATGGCAGTAGGTCTGGCTTCTCTAGGTTCCTGTGAAAGCATTGTGCTGGCTTCATCTAAATCTGGCTGCACTGTGCAGATGCACATTGTGAAAAACTGGATGGTGGACAATGGCGCCTTTGACCCATCGCACAGAGTGCCCCTCATCCTCGGCATCTGGGGGCCCAAAGGGCAAGGTGTGCCTCGCTCTGACTGACTGCGCACTCTTTTGTCATAGTGCGCATTTCTGTATGCAATCCCATGCTATGGACAATTTTCCTCATTATGCATTTGCAAGAGCCCTCTCCACTGTCCTTGACATGTGCTACGGAACATCACGATTTGTCTCCTCAAGTGTGCTGTGCATCTCCTGCAGGGAAGACCTTTCAAACAGAGCTGACTTTTAAGAAGCTTGGGTGCGTTCCTGTCACTTGCTCATGTCCGATGATCCATAGCAAGTGCTTGCCATTCTGTACCTGCCTGCCACAGGGTAGTCTGCCAGCTGCTTTGTCGCATGCCGTGCCTGATTCTTCATCGGGTTGCGCAAGCAACCGCATGCATCCATGTTCGGTCACTTGTAGATGTGTCCTCTGTTCCAATCTGATGAGTACCACTGCATTGCCGCAGGATAGAGCCGGTGGTGATGAGCGCTGGAGAGCTGGAGTCAGAGTGGGCCGGGGCACCGGGGCGGCTGATCAGGGACAGGTACAGACTCTCATTTGCGTCATGAATCTCTAAGCTCAGTTCTTCAAAGCTACAAATGTAGTTCCCACTACAGAGGTGCTTGGTTCAGGCGCTTTGGGCTTTGCCCTGTGGTGGATTGAAATGGTGCTTCTGTTTTCCCAGTACACGGGCTGAATTTTGAAAATTTCAGCACAAGCGGTAGTTTGTCCACCAAAGAGGCGGCTTGGGGGTTTGACAGGTACAGGAGGGCTGCTGAGGTGGCAAAGGTGCGGGGGCGGCTGCCGTGCCTCATGATCAACGATTTGGACGCCGGTGTGGGTATTCAGGAGAATGTGCAGCGCACGGTGCGCTGCCAATCTTCTGACTGCGCCTGTACTGTCATTGCAATGTGCTTCCGCTTGGGCCATTGCGCGTTGCGCCCTTTGCAAGCAGCCGAGGCAATTTGCAGCCATGCTGCGATCGCACGCTGCACGCAGCCCGCGAAACATGTGGCATGTGCTCTGCTGTTGTGATTGTGTGCCCTCTGGTTGCTCTGCGCTGCAATTAATTCTAGCCACCCATCACAAGTAGGCCATTGGATGTCTCAGGAGTTCCCCAAGAGCGGTGCTCATGTAGTGAAGGACTGCTGCCACAGTACTTGGATCAAAGCAATCTGGAAGAGCAAATCATCAGGAATACTGACACTATGCATGACTGTTGTTGGCACAGGTGAATAACCAGATGGTGTCAGGGACCCTGATGAACCTGTGCGACAACCCCAACCGGGTGTCGGTCTTCCAAGTGTGGCGCGACTCAGACCTGGTGCAGCGGGTGCCCATAATTGTGACCGGCAACGACTTCTCCACCCTCTTCGCGCCCCTCGTGCGCGACGGCCGCATGGCTAAGTTTTATTGGGAGCCGGACCGCATCGATCTCCTCAACATCCTCCACCAAATGTACAAGGTGAGATTGCTCAGCTGACGCTCACGCTGCCTTGTGTGTCGTGTATTCTCTTAGTCCTCATCTTTGTTTCACGAAGATCACATAAGTTGCATGCTGATGTCCTGGGAATATTAGTGCAGCTGATCTGCAGTCTTCCAGATTTCCAGGAGGGACAGCATTGCTGGGACACTATACAGGGAATCTGTGAGGGGAACTCCGCACTACAATGCCATGCACTGAGCTGACCGTTGGGATTATCAGCTCCGCAGATTCATCCTGGCTGCGCAAGAGCACCCGGCAAGACCTTGTGTATTTGTGAAGCTCCAGGCCTGATAAACTCCGCCGAGCTGTACGGCGCAGGAGGATGGTCTGAGCGTGGAGGATACCCAAACGCTGCTGGACACCTTCCCGGGGCAGTCACTCGATTTCTTTGGGGCGCTGCGCGCAGCCACCTATGACAACCAGATCCGGCGGTGGATCAAGGAGGAAGTGGTCAAGGCTGACATCACCGACGAGGACGCCAACATGCGCGAGCTCTCTAAAAGGCTCATCGACCAGTGAGCCCCCTTTGCTTCCTCATACAGCGCTCATGTCGTTCCTGCTCCATGTCTTGGCAGAGCAGCTGGCTCTCTTTGGACCTTGTAGAGCTTCCCAGAACTTCTGAGATCTACAGGAATCTTGGGGTCAGAAGGCTATCGATCCTCAGCGCTGCAGCGTGGTAGCCTTGACATTTGATAGCATTGCAGTACCATTCTACAAGAGCAGAAGGAGATGTCATGAGCATGCATGTTGTGCGCAGGAAGGATCTGCCATCCTTTGAGCCGGTGGACCTCAAGCTGGAGGATCTGCTGAAGGAGGGGCACAGGCTAGCAGAGGAGCAGGAGAACGTGAACAGATTGAAACTTTCGGAGGAGTACATGAAGAATTCTGGCGGCGGGGGTGTGAGTCTTATTGGTCTGCAAGGTTGAGGCTGAGCGAAAGAAGTCTCGTGAGCATGACAAAAGAGGCCGGAGAGCATTTTAGACATAACAGGACATAAGTACATGACTTGGAGCGTAACCTTTAGTGTAGTGGAAGTCAAGAGCTCTTGAGAAGCAATGGAGAGAGGGGTGCCTCGTGATCGTGACCTAATCAGGGTGTTGACCTAGCTAGTGGTGATCTGAGTGTTTTGGTGGGCAGACAGGGTTGCGAGAGAGTGAGAATTGCTGTTGGACCCACAGAGTAGCAGTGAGACGAAGTGAACGATATTGACGTGCCATAGCCTGATCCGTATTTTCAAGCGGGAGCATCATTGTTTCCTTGATAAGGATGTCTTGTGCGATTGAACCTTAAGTGTGTTTACATGAAGAAACTGACCTCCACCAGCCCCACTTTGCTGTTCTTGTGGAGACTGAAGGACGTAGAGGCTCTCAATGTTCAGTCTGGTCTGACTTGTCATCATTGCGCAAGAGGTACCGGCAGCTGCAGGCCTCAGACAGTCATTGAGAGGGGGGCCGCAGCGGGGGGACCGCTTCAGGGCGCACTGCTTTCGAGGCGCTGCACGTTTCTCTTTCACACAGGTCCTACTGCTTGAGAGGTGGGTGCTTTGGCATTGTGGAAGTTCAAGAGATTCTGGTGCAGCATCTACGACAGCAGCAGGCGGAGGAGCAACGAGAAGGGGCGCCCAGCATAGTTGGCGTAAGGAAGGACGTCGTCTATTCGTCATAGGGAGGACTCTGATACGGAGGCAGCGGGAATTGGAGACAAAGGACAATCGGAACGTGGATGAGGGGAGCTTGTAGCTGATACGTGATTCAGGAAAGCTTCCGGCAGCCGCAAGCCGAGGAAAGCCGAAAAAGATATAGAATGGGGCGTTCAGATGAGTTCCACTGGGTGACAGACGCAGAGCCGCACTCCACACGGCGGCGAGCGATCCTCAGCAAATATGGAGAAAAAGTGCGGGCGTTGTATGGCTACGACCGCAGCACCGCCGTTCAGGTGAGCTTTCTGCGTGGCCTGTCGTGTGCTGGCCTTTGACCAACGGTTAGCGCAGACATATCCAGTGGCGTGGGCGGGCACCCTTGCTACATGCTTTTGCAGCCCAATATGGTTCTCCATAATGAGAGGATGTATCAACAGGGACCGTGTTTGAGTCAGGGCTCATCTGTGACTTATTTTTGTTTCTGGGCGCCAAGCTTCTTCATATTATTGAGCCATGCGGCCCTGCTCGGTATGATCTTTGGGATGCATGGCATGTTTTTGTGTTTCACTGCGACACTTTTGCATCCAAGGCTGGTTTTCATTTGCAATGTTCAGAAGAAGTTGAGCAAAGGGAAGCGTGGCTCTTTCATTGTCTGGAAGCAAACGCTGCCTCATTACAAGAAGCGTCATCTCATGACGTTCCTGCAGCATTGCATAGGAGCCCTTCCTGGGACCCACACTTTTCATATGTTTGTACGATGAAAATTTGCCAGCTGTCATCTTGTTTTGACTTGCCTACTTGTAAGCACCCGTGCTTGGAAGTGCTTGATAGGATGGTTTATGGCAGCTTTTCACTTATGCATAAGGCCTGGTGGTCTTTGTCATGGCTTCTGTCATACTGGGTCGGGGTGCTTTTCTCCCTTCCATTCTGCTGAGCAGCTGCGTAGTACGCTTTGGCAGGCAGCAAGAACCTCCAAAGGCTTTGTTGCTAAGACCCTGAAGCTCAAGCTGCTCAGCACGGCAAGTCCATTGTCTGAGTATCTCAACTGACCTCTTGCATGATGATGTGCAGGTGATGGCAGTCATGGCCCTGCAAGTAGTGATGGCCTATGCAGTGAAGGACCTGTCGTGGTGGAAGGTGGTGGTGGCGGCCTATGTGGTGGGAGGGACGGCATCGCAGAACCTGTTCTGCGCGCAGCACGAGCTGAGCCACTTTTTGGCTTTCCGCACGCCCCTTTACAACCGCATCCTCTCCCTGGCCTCCAACTGCCCCCTCGTGGTGCCCATGGCCACCGCCTTCAGGAAGTACCACCAGGAGCACCACTCTCACCTGGTGAGCCCCACCAAACTTGCTCCCCTGAACCATTCTGACCTTTGTCATTTCTTACTTTATCCAACGTCTGTGCATGCACAGAATTAGCTGGCTGCCTTGATGTCTGCATACCTCTTTCTCTGAATCAGCTGGCTGCAGAGTCAGCGTCAGCCTGTGGGGAGAGCTGTTGTTGGCATGTTGGGGCATGTGAGCTTTGGGCTTGCTAGTATTATTGAGACAGGGAGACAGCTGCTTCAAAATTTGATAAATAGGCATTAGTCAAAATTGCAGGTACTGCACCTGTTCTGGTGAGTGAAGCAATGTGTTCCTGCTCATGTTCAGGGAGTCGATGGATGGGATGTGGATCTGCCGACAGCGCTGGAGGCGAATATCATCACCAGCTTTGTGGCCAAGCTGCTCTGGGTGTTTGTCTACATTGGGGTGTACGGTCTGCGCCCAGTCATCATCCGCCCCAAACCCATTGGTGAGCACTCCGCTCTTGCAAGCACCTGCTGCAATGAGTGGGACATTGCAATGAGGCGCTGAAGTGTCCCTGTGGCAGCATGCAAATGAGGCTCCATAGGCTTGCTGCCCCTTTGTGATGCCAGCCAGACCTGTGCTACTTATCAATAGCAAAGTGCATCCATCCATTCATGTTTTTCAGGACAGAGGGGGTCTTGCTCGATGTTACCCATGCACGGCGTTGTGCCCTGTGTCCTCTGACCTCAATGCATCCTTCGTGCCACAGAGGGGTAGCTGATGATGCGTCCAACGCCCGAGTCATCTGGAACATTTGCATTACTTCAGGATGGTGATAAGCAAAGCGGATCAGCTCGAGATCATGTTACCTGCTTAGACAGGCAATGACCTCGTTTTGCAATTCATGGTGCAGGCATGGCTGACGTGGTGAACCTGGGGTTGGTGCTGGGCTTTGACGCGGCGGTGCTCTACTTCCTGGGCATCAAGGCAATGATGTACCTGCTGGTGGGGGTCATCGTGGGGGGCGGACTGCACCCCATGGCCGGCCACCTCATCGCCGAGCACTACATGTTCCTCAAGGTGGGTTACTCTCAGCTTCCACGAGCATGTACTTCTAGTCCTGCAAAATCCTGGAACCACAAGAGATTTTGTGCCGCGCAATGGTGCAATGTCAGGCATGCGATGGTATGTTGCTCTTAGGCTCAGGTGGATTCCTTCCTTGAACTAGAAGCTCGCGTTATTGCTTGTATGCTCTTCTGTGAATTGGGAGGCTGCTGGGCGCCTTGAAGGCAGGGCTGGGTGTGACTCCCCATCACAAAGTGTCTGCAGGGGTCTATACAGCGGCGGTTTGTTGCTCTCTTGTGAGCTAATGTTGTTTTCTGGCTGTCACAGAGCCAGGAGACATACAGCTACTATGGCCCCCTCAACGCGCTGACCTACAATGTTGGCTACCATAACGAGCACCATGACTTCCCCCAGATTCCCCACACCCGCCTGCACAAGGTGCGCATGCAGCTTGTACTGGTTTTCTACTAGCTCCCTTCCTGGCAAAACGCACTGGAGATGCCTGTCAAGGATCCTGTGTACTGACAGGTTCGTGCAGGGGCTCCTAGTCACATGTGTGTTGGTGGGCGTCTGCAGTGATGTTGTCCAATCACATTTGCTACTGCCGAGCTAGACCCGTTAACATGCATTGCCCCTTTTCTGTGCACCGTCTCGCCCTCTGCGATGCAGAGTTCTCTTTGATTACTGAGCATGGAAACTGTTGAGTTCATTCCTGTTGCTGGCATCTGACCTTGCAAAAATGGCCTGCTCCGCAGCTGACGGCGATAGCTCCTGAATACTACGAGACGCTGGCGTTCCACAAGTCGTGGACGTGGGTCATCTGGAAGTTCCTGTCCGACCCGGACGTCGGCCCCTGGACGCGCTGCCGCCGCGCCACCCGCGAAGCCCCCTCCGACAAAGCCGCCGCCCAGGTGCTGCCCCTCCTCTCTGGCTCAGTTTTCAATGTTCATTAGCACTGAGAGGCAGCCCTTCTGGAAGGCAGCTCTCTCCTGTAAGGCAGCGCTTTGACTCGTTTTTTCATACTTTGGCTCGAGGTTTGATGGGTATACAGCAGGGTGGCGCAGTCAATTGATAGTAACAGGACTGCAATGTTTGCTTTGATGAGACTAGGCCCTGTAGGTGTTTAGCGGAGTTGCCCACTCTGTCCACAAGTACTGCATCTGCATCATTGGCATACTAGGTTTCTCTAGCTGGAGCCACCGCGGATCCTGAGTCAGCCTGAGATTGATGCACCGTGGAGGCCAGAAGATTTGCCGCATCTTTGCGGGTCCATATTAGCACAGCTGCTTCTGAATGTCTCTTGAGCTTATGGCTAGGACCGTCAGCCATACTGTTCCTTTGATGTAAACCGCCTTGAAAGGCAGCGGCGTTCCTGCATCTTTGCTGGTCCATGTACTGAGAATGTGCGATGTTGTGCGCAGGCTGCGTTCCAGGCGCAGCAGCAGGCGGCGCTCAAGGCGGCAGAGAAGGCGGCAGACCTGCCGGGCGCATTCACAGACGTGACTAATTCGCCAGGCGTGCGCACGCGCGCACAGGCGCGCAAGAACCTGGTGGCCTGATCAGGCGTCTTGCATGCATGCGGCACAGCGCAGCGCCCTGCAGCCGCCAGCGGAGCTCTTACTATCAGTTACTGGCGGTGACTACCGGGGTGGATGAGATCAGCGGTCATCTGTGGCTGGACATGGAATTCTGGAGGCAGCGAGCCTGTTGTTTGAAGGCGCTGCTAGGAGAGGCTTGTTAGGCAGTGGCCTGCATCAGGCTTGCCTTGGAGGATGCTGGTATTTTGACCGTAGCTAAAGTGTGGGACGGTGGATATTTGGAAGACTGGTCTGTCGTCCTGAGGACTTGTGTCTTGGCGTCCGAGGCAATGCAGCGGGTTGGTACTGCTTGGTATAGCAGTGGCTGGCCTTAGCTGTATGGAGAGAAGAGTCAGACAGTGGGAGGAGGCTGGCTCATAGGGGAAGAACATGTGCCATGCGCGGTCTGCGCGTGTCACGCTGATGTGACGAATTGCTGATCTGCTTTGCTGGATGCCCAGTCTGATGAAACAATGAATATTGGGTCGAAGGAGAAAGTTTTGCATGGAGTGATGAAGCTTCACGGCAGCTCCACCTTCCTCCTTGAAGAGCGCCATATATATAGACAGGCAAGGAGTGTTAGCGTAGCCTTTTTTCTGCCGAGGGTTGCTGTTGGCCCAGGTAATCAATCGTCTGGTAGATCAGGACACATCAAGCTTTGCCGTTGCTTGTCTGCCATTGGTTTCTGTGGCTTATGGTGCTTTCTTGACGGAAGCTGGCTCCACCGCTGGGGTATAGTGGGGCCCCTGCGAATGACATGCAGGCCCCCCTGGGAAGTTCAGAACTTTCGCCGCTTGCGCCCCCTGCAAATGTTTCCCAATGATAGTTGTGCATTCTTTCTGCTGTGCCCTTGAGGAGACAAGGTTGTCCCGTGCAGTCTGCAAAAGCCCCACCCTTGGTCTATACTAGATTTGCCCGAATGCAATCTTAATTGTGTCCGACCTTAAAATACTTCACTGGATGCACTGCATTCTATTTGGCATTATGTGAGTTGTTGGTCGCTTTGTAGGAATGATGATGCTGTGTTTTTCTGTGGTGCCCATTGCCTGTTTTGCATTGGCACCATGGCATATTGCCCTTTAATGATCCATAATGGTATTATCCTGCAAGCAAGGCCCCTGCTATATCTGCTGACCAGAGACCCTTCGGGCTTATGTAACAGCTCAGTGCAAATAGGTGACATTACACGTTTTTGAGACTCTTGAGCAGTCTGTGCTTGTCATGGTGCCATGCTTTGATGGTGGCAGTTCAGAATTCATATGCATAGATGGCCACAGGTTGAACATGCACATATCCACACCGCATACACACTTCATAGGTGGCAAACACACACATGACCTTCATCTGCTTACATGGCACACCTCGAAGGGAGCCAGTACTTTCTGAGGTGAATGCGAGTTGTCCATACGGCATTGTCTTGGCCCTGATTTTCTCCACAGATGCCAGTAAGAAACGCAAAGAAGCCTACTGCCCATGTTCACTTTCTTCAGGCAGTCGACAAATGACATCCTTCCTTGCTTCTTCCAGGGACACCCTGACAGGACGCACACAGAAGTGCCGCTCTTCCCATAGTGGCGAGTGAGGTGCTTCCCAGTTCTTGATTGACTTGAACTTGGCTGCAGGAAGTTCCCTGTTATATTCTATCATGATCGACACCAAGTCCAGTAGAAGACCCTGCATGCAAGAACCACTTCAGCTGCTCAGTACTAGCTAATCCCGTACTTGATGATGTGTCAGCTCTTAAAGAAACTTTTTCGAATGTGGGAAGCAAAATTCTCCAGGGCATCGACGAAGATCCGGGATTTGGCCAAACAGTAGTGCCAAAATCCTCTGGGCATTGCCAGGGACTCCAGACCTGCCCAGTAGTGGTTAAAATCAATGTGGGAAACTTTCTGGACAGACCAGAAACCCGTCCCAGAACCCAGCAACATAAGCTCTGGTGGGAAGTGCTTGATGCAAAAATTGCACACATATCAGGGCCTGAAACTCAGACGCGCCAGGATGATTTGTGGCTCTCCCCACCTCAAGCTCTGTCTCCATTTCTTGCCAGGTTGAAGCAGCGGTCTCGTTAGCAATCGGCAAGTCTGGGAAGTGGGCACTGAGATTGCTGCCACAATCAGCTGCACTTGCAATGTACTCGACCATGTCTGACAGTTCTGAAGGCATCTTCGGCCCACTCTGAGATCATCGGCCATATTCAGGACACTGTCTGAGTATGCACAGTGGATCAGCATTCAGACGAATAAGTAAAGACACTGCACCTGATAACAACGCCCAACCAACCTCCTTAATTACCAAAAGTTTTTGACAAGCACTACTGTAGTACCTGGTCTGACCTGAGAACCTTGCACTGGCAGAACGAATAGAGTGAGCAGAGAATTCAGGAGGAACAGGACGATGACATATGCGTTTTCTCAGAAATAATTTAAACCAGAGATGTGCTTCAGACTGCACATCTCTGCCAAACAAATTGCCAACGAACGACTCGTGCTTCTGCTAGCTTCCAGGTTCCATTCGCCATTCCATAGTCATCCCAAGAACTCAATAGGATTGTCAGGCCAAACAGCGTTCATGTTCATCTTTTAGAAGGCAAATCCTTGACCTTATATCGCTTCTTTGCATCGCATTGCTTACCCTTGTGCAGAGGTGGCTAGGAATGCTAATTGTTTCAACAACACAAGAATATAAACTCATCATCAACGCTGTTCCTTGCTGCCCCTGCAGAACGGTAGTGCCAAGTTCTTGCATTACCTGCGATCATCAGCAGGGCAGAAACGAGGCCGAACATCAAATGGTTCTTGATGGAAGGAGGCACGATTCCGTCTGCAACAGATTCCACTACTGGCAGCAGTGCTGAACGACGTTGTTTTGAACTTGAAGCTTTCAATCGCAGCAGGGCTGTTGCTCTGACGAGGTGCTGTGGCAATCACAGGGGCACAGAGGAGACAGTGGCTCCTGAAGAAGTCAGAGAGGTCTATGAGTACACAGCCTAGTACACAGTACACAGATAGGCACACACCTGACATCTTTCCAGACATAGAGATCTACCATGCAGCAGATTGTCAAACTCTGGAGCAGTTGAAGGATGAGCTCAAGGTATGAACTACATTTCTTTGTGCAGCAAAGCTTGCAGCAAAGCCCGTGGTTCTCACAGATCTGATTTGCAATTTTCAAGCCCATGCAGTGTCAGAATAAATACCTGTGAGGCTGCACATGAGTGCAGGCCTTGCTGGAGGACATGATTGAGACCATGCTGGTCGATGATGACCTGGAAGGCCTTCCAGATGCAGATTTCAAGACCTGGAGCGACTGGGAAATGGTCATGGGCAGACCTTTCGAGGATGATGACCCTGGGCTGCCGGGAGACATGCAGGAGGCAGGGTGACCGGTGCTCTCTTTCAGAGAATCACTCATACCAGCAGAGGAAGCAGGCCTTGAGAGACCAGATCTACGGGCAGTTTGTATGGCTGACCCAGCAGCAGGCAGCACATGGCTGGGGAGTCAGATTATCTGGACTGGGGTGACATCTGCTGGAGTGGGTGGACAAATGTAGTCCCTTGCAGGGTGTGGCTCGCTGCAGCAGGGGCAGCCATTGATATGCAAGAGATGTTGGCATGTTGAAATAGACCGGGGAGAATGCAAGGGACATAAGGCAGTGTGAGCGCCAAGTAAGGGAAAAGGGCTGCCTCATGGTATCTCTGATACTTGCGGCCCGAGTACTAGCACACTGTCTGGCCATTCTATCTGAATGCAGTGCAAATCATCACATGAAACCATGTCAATGACAAGGTGGACTGCAACTGAAATTCTGGTCACATGGTCACTACTAGCTCATCTACGGCAGATTCCACTGTGTCAGGAAAGTCATATAGAAAAAGCAAAAACAGAGGTCAGTTTGTGTTCACGCTCATGTCCCAGGCAAATGTTAGAGCAGGTGTTTATCGCATCGCGTCAAGCAAAGCTTGTGATAGCGGAATTGAGCGTCCAAGCAATAGTGCTGTTCTCACGCCATCACTCCTCCTTGCTTCCCTTGGCAGTCGTTGGCTCCAAGTCTGCACACAACACAACAACAGCCCTCAGCACACATGCTAATTATCACAAATAAATCCCAGTGCAGTAGGCATGGGCACCCTAGGGTACCAAGCCAGCTCATTCCCAGAGCAGATAATCAGGCCTCATATGGTAAGCAGCAGCACATCAGAACACTCATCAGAACACTGTGCCACTTGTAAGCGATGCCCATCGTAAGCAAAGTACAAGCTTATGGCTCTCATGCATTCTCTCCTTGTCAGGCATCCTCGCTCCCTGTCACTCACATCACCGCTTCAATCCAAGCCATTGCATCCCAGCTGACATCTCTCAAAGCCAAAGATGCTCGGCGCAACTCCAATGCCACCATGCTGAGAGCTGCTCTGTCTGCTCTCTGGGCTATTGCCACTGGTGCTCTACCAGTGCCTGCAACTTCCATAAGTTCTCTCTCTGTTTCACTTCATCCCAGAGAGAATCCTCCCCCTCTGCTGGGCCTTTTGCTCTTGCTATGTTTTCTATTCGCCGGCCGGCGGCTCTATCGGCGGAAACCAAAGAGGCCCGACCCACCTTTCGCCAGGTCAGCGGTCGACTGAGCGGCTGACTCAGCACCTTCCTTCAGCTGCTCCTCGGCAGCCCTGACCTCTCCCTGGTTCTTGCCGTTTGCCACGAAGGCTGCCACTGCCACTGCAATTGAGCCTCCCACTCCCACCCACACAGGCAAGCCGGTGCCGGCAGCTGCTGCCTCCTCTGAGGGCTTGCGCTTTTCGGGCTTCGGGGCTAGGGCCTTCTGCGGAGCTGGGGTAGCAGCTGCTGCAACCAGTGCCGACAGCACAGCCTCAAGCCTCTATGCAAGTGCTTTGAGAGTCTAGGCCTTGTGTCTATTGGCGGCGCCTTGCAGAAGCGCTTATTGGAAGTATCATTCAGGGCCAAAAAGCCTTGCTAGCCTGATACTGTGGTCGCTAGATAGGTGCTAGGCTACTGCCTTTATACGCTGACTGCATCCATTCGGACCTTGCTGTGCCAAAGATGTTCTCGCAGAAAGAGCTCAGTCACGCATCATCCACTCTGGCCTGCCACGTTTTCGCGCCAAGGTCAAAAGAGAGATCTCGCTGTACGACAATGCCTCTTCTGAACCCTCACATGATTCCGACCCCGGCTTGCATCTAACAAAGAGCTGCTTCTCGCTCTTTTGCTCGGCACGCTCTGTTCTCTCCTCTGCAAAGCACCGACACTGCCCTATACCTGTCCCCTTCCGTCCTCTTGGGACAAAGCATCCGATGTGCCAATGCGAGGGGGTGGGGAGGGCGTCTGATTGGCTGAAAACACATGAGGTGTCTTCTTAGGAGGGAGAAAACAGGTCTCACATTGGCTGAAGATGGCGAAGGGGTCGTCGTTGGCGGCGGGGGCCTCAGCAGAAGGCGCCTTGGTAGCGGGCTTCGGAGACTCCACCTTGGCCTCTGGAGCGATGTTCTTCGACTCTGGCACTGTGATTTTGGTCCCCGGTGTCACTGCCGGCTCCTGCTGGGGCAGCTCTGGCTTGCCTGCCTCCCCCGTGGTCTCGGCTGGGGCCGGCTTCGTCTCCGTTCCGGGAGCTGCGCGCCATGAGGAGGAGAGTCACTTTGCGTAGTGCAACTTGTTCATGCAGTGCATAGTTGGGTGGTGCTGTATTGTTGTGCATGCCCGGTGGTGCCCTTCCGTGAAGTCCTATAGGTTTCAGCCTTGCCACCATACTCTCCCCAGAACCCAGAACTTTTCTGTGAAGATAGTGCGCTCATCTACAGGTGTATTCTCCATGCAGCCCACTGCCGCAGCGTAGCACTGCGGCAGCATAGCATACGAGGTTCTAGACCTGTGGAATGGACGAGATAGGCAATAGGCAGGAAACACTGCAATACAACTTTGCGGGGGTGCAATCCTAGGTTGTGTATCTTGCACTTTCTCTTTGTCTGAAATTGACTGGGGATTATGGAGGCAGGTGGCACCTGAGAAGAAGCCGCCAAAAGGCTTGGGCGGCTCTGCGACAGGGGTTGGCTCTGCCTTGGGGGCTTCCTCCACTTTGGCAGCCGGTGCTGGCGGCGGCAGCGGCAGCGTTGGGGCGCTCACCTTAGGAGCCTCCTCCGCCTTGGGGGCTGCACAGAGAAATCTTGTGTGTAAGGTTATGACTAAAATGAGGCCAGTGTAGTTGAAGGGTGCACAGGGGGTTCTCACATGTGAGTCAGTGACACAACTACTGAAATCTTAAGGAGTGGGTGAGCATGACTAAGAAGGTGGAGAGGTGCACAAGACATCCCACATCCTCTATTTTCAGCCACAGGGTTTGGAAGTGTCTGAAACAAGAGCATCGATTAAGTATCAGCACGATCAAGAGAGAGGAAATGCTGGGCTGCCCATGCCAAAAAGGAGCAGTGCACGAGTCCAACCTGCGAAGCTGAAGGGCAGCTTCGGGGCCTCCTTGGGTGCTTCACTGCGCTTTGCCGGTGGAGCTGCATGGGAGCATACATTGCTTACTTCACAGTTGCATAACAATTGCTGTTGCATGACGCATCACCGTGCATGCTGCTGTGCTCTCTACATGCATGCATGTGGCCTTTCTGAAACACATCTCATATACTTGAAGAGTGCGGCACAGGATACGTCTTGTGCATGCGTCAGAAAGTGTCTTGACAGGGGCAGGGGTGCTGAAGAGGATGTTGGAGAGAAGGCGTCTGGGATGCACGTCAGTACGTATCTGGCAAGGGCAAGGAGCAACTCACGAGATGGAAGGTCTCCAATGATCTTCACAACACCCTCCTGAGAGACGCTGCTCTTCTTGGCAGGCTCTGGCTCCGGCACGCGAGAGGACGGCGCGACTGTGGTGGTGCGAACTGGCTCTGATAGCTTCAGGGGTATATCCACAAGCTCCACCTGCTTGGGTGGAACATACACCTCCCCCTCCTCCTTAGACTCCAGCCTTGGTGCTGACGTACCCTGCGCATGCAAAAATGCACAGATCCATGAATTTAGGGTCTACATACATCAGTACCAGCATCAGTACCAGCAGGAGATTACAGTTGTCTTAGAGTGAGAACAGAGCATGGTCGAAGATGTCTGGGGAGATGAAAGAGCAGCGAGAGGAAAGGAGGTGACCACCTTGGGAATTGAGATCTCAGGAAGCTTGTCTCCACGCTCCCTGATGATCTTTGCGAAGAGGGACTCCTCTGCCTGGCTCTCCCTGTAGAGTTGGGCAATCTTGGACGCAGAAGCCGGTCCAGAAGCGCCCTGCAGCATTGGCAATACTATAAAATTTGCTCTTGTTGCGTCTTGAAATTTCGGTGCGCGCCTAAATCTGTGCAAAATATGTCTTATCGTCTGCCATCTATGCCTGATCTCACCATGAGGGCCGCCGCAACAGCAGCATTGATGGCTATTTTTCCGCTCTTAACGAGCAGGCTCTCTTCGTTTACTCTCGTTGAGCATTGTTCCACGCAGCTCCTGCGGCCAGACTTCCTGGACGTTCTGCTCTTGACCGGAGCACCGCACAGCTTCGCGCTTTGACCTATCTGGGAGGCTGCTATCATTTTGTAAGACTGTATTCTCACCAGTGTGTTTTTTTGACAATGTTTTCAGCTTTTGTCTGTGCTTTCCGCTCCTTATCCTACCCATCCATTTCCCCACGTGACTGCACGGGCAGGAAACGACACCTGGCTGACTTTTTCCGGAAGCTGCTAGTTCACTCACCTTGGTTTGATCAAGTCTCAAGTAAATTAACAGAACTATGTGGATCAGTCCTGTATCTGGTCAATACCTCTGTCGGAGCTGCACTTGGTCGGTGGAAGGACATATCTAGAATAGCAGTCTGTGACCCAGTCTTAACCTTGGAAGGTAATTACTGGCTTTTTTTGCTTCGATGAGCCCGTCATTTGCTTGCGATGTGCTATTAATACTTGCAGGATCATGGACTGGGTACTGACCGCAAATGCCAATCACGGAACGACAGTCCTTGCTGATGGCAACGGTTCTTTTGCTGACATGATCCGGTGAACGAACTGTCGTATAACGAAACAATACCATATATGTGTTATTACACGTCCTATCAGGTTGACAGCATTTACCCAACCTTTGGAGAGGAAACTACTGGAAGCTCCTGGACATCTGACAGCCGCTTGGGGGAAAGGAGCGCAGCACATGGATTGCCTTTTTTTACCTTGCATCTGTGGCACAGAGCCACATACTGTAGCACTGTCGCCTCCCATTTACAATTGCCCAGTTTGCCAGGTGAGTCGGCGCAATTTACTTCACATTCGCGGCAACAATGCATCCAGCTGCATGAGTGGCTCTCGCAGCTATGCTGAGAGTACCTGGGATCACCGTGCATTGTCTTGACATTGCTGCCGGATGTGTTTGCTGGATCCAGGCAATCAGGAAGTTGACTGAGCGCACTACATGTCTCGCTGGTGTGAACTTGCATCAGTGCATCCCTGTGCAGCGATGAACTCTTTTGGCCTGTAATAGATCCATACTGCTCGGTGGTCACCAACCGAACTCCAGTTGCTGCCGTGTTCATTTTTATAGATATCGTGAGAAATGGGTTTAAGCGTTACGTGGAGCGTGGAGCGTGCAGCCCTCAGGAGAAGATGCTTGCTGCGCAGGGAATGCAGTGTGTGCAGCTGTTGAGACAAGATGAGCAGTGCTGCTTCTTCTTCCTTCCCTTTGGGAAGTGCTCGCAGGGCACGCCACATTACCAGTGCATGCGTTGCCGCAGTGTCATGCCCGCATCAGCACCCATTGCAAGCATGCCCTACCCACCCCCGGGGTCCTACCCTCCGCGATAGATTTGCTGCACTATTCACCGTATTCCAATTGTATAGTAGATACAGACAATAGCAGTGATGGTGTCTGATTGACTGCGTTGCTGCTGCACTATGATCCCTGGTTGTGTTGGCATGCACATAGCTTGCTTTGAACTCAATAAAATGACTTAAGGGTGCCTTTCATGCACAAATAGCTCTGCTATGTTGGGAGGTTCCTCCCATCAAGGCGTTCTTGATCAAATGCTGCATTGATGTGACCTGCTGGCGTATGGAATGTTTATGCAAAGTCAATGAGGTGCCACTGCCTTCTGTGAGATATTGTATGTGACTGACATTTTATTACAACAGGCATGTAAATTGATGACCCAGGCCATGCATGCACTACATATAACATCAGGCGCTAGCTGAGGTGCTGGGCCACTGCTCCTGTGGAAGGCACAGGCTCAAAAGAGCAGGCGATTTGCGAGGTCCTGCAGACCTTGAAAAGAAAGTCCAGACTGCTTCACGGATTGTTAACACTTCCATCAACCATTAGGAGGTCTAACCTACCAGAGGCATCTTCTGGGTTTTCACACGTCATCCCAACATAATTCTTGCCAAGTGACTTGAAATTCTAGAGACATTACACCGGTCTCACTGCGATGGAAATTATACGCCTTGAATTGTTCATATGTTTGTTGACTCTTCCACCTTCATCCACTGCCACCAGTATTGCACGTCATGCGCCCATTGGTGTTGAAAACAAAAACAATATTAGTGGCCTGCACGCAAGTCGTGACGTCGATTGAGGATGAGTTTTCAACATGCTGAGGGGTGTAACACTTGCATGAGAGGATGCAATCGGAGATGCTGCAGCTGTTGCAACTGTTCTTGTAGCTGCCCGAGATCTCCGGACAGCCTGCAGGCATGTGAAACTAAATCAAGACCAGAGCCCTGATTGTGGTGCCCAACGGGCAAAAGTGTGAAACCTTGATCAAACTTGTGGTTCCATCAATTTTCGGGTAGTCTTCAGGCTTGAATTTTGTCACGCACCAAGGAGAGCGCGGGAAGCTCCCGAGCCAGGGGAAGTTAGAACGCCTGCAAAAATAAAGAGTATGAGATACCTCTCGAAAGGCTATCCAGCGCAATGTGCCTTCAAAAGACGGCGATAATAATTACAGTACCCGAGTGTGTAAGGTCGATATACCTGCGACATCCCTGGCGACCACGGTTTTGGCCGATGCAAACGCAAAGAAGATGATCGCAGAGAGGGTAGCAGTGTAATACTTCATGGTTGGCGCGTAGTCTTGCGTAGTTTTGGAACCTGGTCACCAAATGAAGCGCCTGGGGTGAAAATCTGGTATCGGAAACAATTGCGAAAATTCCGTCGACAAGCTCACCGTACTTGGACTACTGGCTAAGCCCGCACATCTACTGTGAGACACAAAACCCATCATTATACATATACTTACCTGATTTTGATCGATGCTCAGTGCTCGGGAAGCAATCTGTTCACACCTACAAGCACACACGGGTTGGATCAATAGCTGATGGCATGCAGTCCAGTTCCAGGTGAAATATCAGAACTGAGACGACACCAGTCGATCAATCCTGCTCCGAATTATACACACCTCAACGCGTCAATGAGGTCTCCCGAGGCCATGTGCTGTAAGACAATTGGATGTGATCAGCGCTTATCCAGCATTAGTAGTGGAACAGAACCTCACGTTCTCAGTTAAGTAGGTGCTACAAAGACAAGAGGCACTTGTCAGCAAGAGATGTCATGTCAATCCTGTCCCAATCCAGCTGTCGAAATCTCGACCTGTCCGTGATACGCTCGTCCAAGGTTTATGACCAGCTTCCCATGCAAATCCTGCCAAGGTGGACCACCCCACTCTAGCCAGAACGGCTTTTACTGAGGCAAGAAGTCCTGCTCCTGTCCATCTGTGTCCGCTTGAGGTGCATTGTTTCTGCTGCAATAAAGAAGGAGGCAGGCAGATCTTTCTCCTTTCTGAGTCTAGCTATAGCGTCCGAGAGGATCCTCATTTTTAATGATAATAAGAATTATCATTCCACGCTTTTCCTGCCGAAAGGCAAGGTACGTCCTGCAGATAAGCTGCAGTCAAAGGCTGCCTCAATCCAAACCTTGGATTCGCCAGATCCAAACAAGACCCAATCAACCGTGAGCGCGGTGCTCAGTATTTATACTGCCCCCCGCCAGCCGGGGCCCTAATTGTACTATACGTATGCTGAAATAAACATCAAGGTCCAGACAATAAACGGGATGCTTCTGGAAAGGCCTTATGCCCACAACTGTTAACTGTTGACTCCTTTTTTGACAATTCGCACGGTCGTCTGAGTCCTAATAACCAGAGGAAGACAACAAATGGCCTGTCCCATGTTACAAATATCATCACAAAGATTGCTGTACAGCAATTGCAGGACATGTCCTGCAATCGCTACAGTGATGTTTTGGGCATTCGTGCATGTCTGCAGACTGAAAGGGTGAAGAAAACTTCCATACTTCAGAATTTTGCCGAAGATCCATGCACGCACAGGGGTTGCTGACTAATTGCATTGGCGCAGTGCCCATAAAGTTGGCCAGTAATCCCCCACATAGGGCTTTGAAAACCCCCCAGGCCCAGGGTCGAGATTATCTGGCGGGTGCGTCCAGTAATTGAGTGCCATGTGCTCATTCCCGAATGACTGCACCTCATGAAACCACCCCGCAGGCAGGTACAGCATCTCCCCTGCAGAGCAGCGAAAGGTCTTGGCATGATGCTATAAACACGAGAAAAATCAGGCTTGCCAAACTTTTGTGCAGCAACTTGGCTAATCAATCTATCAAGAAGCTAGCAAACCATCAGCTCTGACAGCACACAGTCCCCGGGAAAATTTTCAGAGAACTCTCACATGCAACGCTGATGCTGCCATCTTGCGCTCAGCGGAAAAACTTAGCAACTTTGGATTGCAGGAACTGCAGGCTGCACGCCATCCTGCAAGATTTTTCTAGAATTAATTCATGCATGCCCAACCATTTTTACCTCTGATCCAGTCACAAGGACAGTATACAGGAGAAAGTTTACCTGCATGCACATCAAATTGGAGAGCGCTCTGCAGGCCAGGGAAGTCTGGGAACTGAGCAGACACCTCTGCCTCGCCCGCACTCAGGTCCACACGGCTGAAGCTGTCAGGCTCTGCTTTCTCACCTTTAGTCTCTAGACCAACTCCAGGCCTGAGATCTCCATCACCTGCAGATGCACATGCCTCTTACTTAAGCAGGTCGCTCATTAGTTTTGCGCGCGTGAACTATCATTATTGTTCTATTGCGCTATTGCGAGGTGGGAGTTGCTCCATCTGCCCTCACAAAGTTGTCCTTCTATCATGTGATGGCCAAACCACGTTTGAGCGCTGCCTTGCACAGTCAGTAGGTGGCCTCTCAGCATTAGAGGGAAGCCACCAACAATAAGCATGGCTTTTAGACAATCTGGCAGACCTGACGCACTTGCATGGAGCAAGAGAGTAGTCGGCACCTGTGGCGTTTGACGCCTCTGCTGCTCCACAGCTGCGGCCATTTCTGGCTGCAGCATCACCACTCTCGGCTTCTGCTTCGCTGTCCACATAGTCATCGTGGAAATCCTCCGGGAGTCTGGAATGCACAAAAGCCAATACGTATCACACAAATTTGCCAGGCATAAGAGCCACAAAGAAGGAGTCCTCTGTAATGTAAGCAGGGCGTAGTTTGGTAGGAATATATTTCACTGGCAGCAAGCACCCAGAGGTTGCTTTGTGGCAGGAAGTTGCCAGAACAGTGAGATCTCTGCTGGGCACTTTACCGAATTCCATCAACCAACGGGAATCACAGCCAGGTCGTTTGTATGCCATCTGCTTTGTTAGCTTGCATGCATGCTCAGTAAATATCGTGCTGCTGATGGTACATTCACTGCTGATCCACCCTTACAGCAAGTCGTTCGGCAGGCTAGCACTCGTGTGCACGAGGAGATCAAAAATTGGCTCACCCCTCAGCATCACTGCCACTGAAAGCGCCCTCCTCTTCAGATTCAGAATAGTCATCGTCTGCCGCCTCCTTCAGGGCAGCTTCAAGGACGGCGTCCAGCGCCTGCTCGGCAGCCGCCAGCCGCTTGGCGGCGCCGGCTTCCCCCCGCGCGGAAGCTGCCTCGGCAGCTTCTAGCTCTGCCTCGGCGCTGCGCCGCCTTTCCCACTTGTCAACCTCTGCTGCATCTGATCCGTCCGCCAAAATGTCCCCCTGGCGCCAAGGTAACTTGAGAATCAGGTAACAGAAGCAAGAATTGCAACGTTCTGTAGCATGGCACTAGATTGTGGCAAAGAGTTCGTGCAGAAAAGAGACTATTTTCCCAGATGCATTAGACGGTGTCACCGGTGTGACCTCCGGTAGACAGGTTTGCTTGTGATGGCCTGGCAAAGTTTCCAAGTGACTGACAGACCTAAAAATCTTAGGCCCAGACCACGGACTGATATGTGACTGAAGGGTGAGATGTGCGCCAACTATCCAGTGAGCTTTTGAATTCAAAGGATTCAAAATTATTTTGAACGCACCCTGCCCTCGTACACAATGCGGCCGCTGGGGTGTATGAGCCTGATCTGGCCGTGGGTGTGCATGCGTTTGGCCAACGAGGGAGGAAACAGCGTGAAACGTTTGCGCCCGCGCAGCAGCACGTACAGGTTGTCGTGGAAGTCGTGGTGCAGGCCGCTGGACGCCCCTGCAGACCGTGACACAGGCTCAAATCAGTCGCCCATGACTCATGCAGCCTCGACTAACACCCCAGAGCATGCAGCGGATGTGAGGGCGCAACTTGAAGCTCAAGTCAGAAACAAGCTATCCTTTTGCACAGTGGGATGATGTATAAAGCAGTGCACACAGCTAAGACTGCAGGTGCCCACTACGTAAGACTGCCCAAAAGCCAAAAGAGCAAGTGTTTGCTGCTTGAACAGGTGGTAAGTTTGCTAATACAGCCACTGATGACTGAGCATCGGCCAAAGTCACAAGCTCGTGCTTACTGGTTCAGCAATAAGGCTGAGGGGTCGTCAAGCAGCCTCACCAGATGGCGCAGCGCCCATCCACAGGTTGACTTGGTGGGGCACCAGGTTTCCTAGAAGGGACGGCCTAAGGGGAAAGTCAGATTCCAATTGGGTGATTGGCGGTGCAAAGAGCATGGGCTGCCCATCAGATCCAATCTCCACCTGCAACAAATTGAAGACACAATCTTGTAAATGGCAGGTTATAGAAAAGCAATTTCTGCATCCTCTCTGCAGGCGAACGCTCCAAAGCAGCCATATAACAGTGAGAACTTGTGCAGTGATACACTGCTGGGTTTACTACCTTCTAGCACAATGACAAGCGAATGTTTAAACAGTCCTAATATGGATGAAGTGGCGCTAAGTGGAGGAATTGAAGCAGGCGCACTCGCCTCCTGTGTGGTGAGGTAGAGAGTGTCATCCCCGGCTGCAAGGCGCTCCAGAAATTCCCCAAAGCGCATCTGCTTTCTGCAGCCCTCTCCAAACCGCCCCTTGCTGCCTTCTCTGTGCTCTACCTCCACCAGTGCATCCCCCTGCCACATTTACCTTGTCAACACATTGTCACAGACTGACTGACTGCAAAAACTCTCAGTTTCAAGGCATGCGGTGCAGGAGAAGTGGGTGTGACACACGGGTGCAAGGCTCCACCAGCATTGGATGATGGGGTTGCAAATTGCACATCAAGCAATCGAATCTTGCATGCATGTTTTCAGTTGCCGTACCGCTTTAGACTGCAGGTATTCACTAGTCCACAGAGCAGCCATCCAGTCACTGTCTTGGAGGTGGCCACGGATCAGCAGAGGCCTGCGCCTTGAGATGTGCTCACCCCAAAACCATTCTGCGTTTATGGCGTCTATATTGCGACTGACCAGCACATCTGCTGCTTCTGATGGCTGCAAGCATTCCCCACCAACACTGCTCTCTTCTTGTGTCGTCTTCTGGCGCTTGCTTCGGGATGTACTTGATATTGGCATGTTTTGGACCATCAGTGTTCAATGTGTACGATATCAATCACCACCGATGACGCTGTTCTGTACAACACACTGTACTAAAGATGAACTGCCGCTGCCTATGCCGCTCAGAAGCTGAGCAATGACTCCAGAAATCCAGAGGGCCCAAGTGACAGGATAGCTATCAATTTAATGACCCGATCGCAGATATCGGCTGTTCCTCTGGCAAATTGAGCTTGGATAGTCACGTGCTGATCTTGCCACGTCGGATCCACGGGCCGAGCACAAGCTTTCTCATGGCTGTGGCTTTCTCAGGAAGAAATGCTCGAACCTGCACCACGGTCTCTTCCGTTAAATCTTAAATACCCCATAGTAGGTGATTGCATCTCAATTTCTAGTGCTTGAAGCCTTGGCCACGTGCAAAAGCTCCACATAAAAAGACGGCGATTTACGTGACGTTTGACGTGCATATGGGCAGCAATTAGGAGGGTCTTCTTGATCGCGCATAATCCACCGGTATATATAGAACTATCGGATCGAAATGGTCTGCAGAAACGCTCACACGTCTACTTCAAACAGTGCGAAAGGTCAAGACTTGACTAGGTGAGTGCACCTCAAGGACCTGTGCAAACGTCATTCCTATAAATACATTGCATTGTCTTATTTGTCACGATCGATGTTCCTGTGGCAGGAATCTGTGTTCTTTGCCGTGCTCGAGACACTTGTGGCTACATTGCGCTACTATACTTTCTGAAAGTGACATCGTTTTCGTGTAATGCTTTATTGAAAAGTTTGAGGCATACGAATCTGCATTGAACCGATATCTCGTTGCACAGGCACCTGCTGAGCTCTGCACACAGCCATCCTGCACGGATGGCAGCTAGCTTGGCACATGGAGCAAGGCAGAGTTGCAGGAGAGTTGAGGAGGCCACTAGCCGATGCAGGCCACTTTCTGCGAGCACTGTGTCAGCCACAGCCGTGGTGGCTCGAAGCAAGGAGACAGCAGCACCTTCGGCGATCAGCATTCCAAGTGTTGCGCCCTCCAAGCTCATCTTAGACGAGGCAGCCGATGAAGGGGAGGACACTCTGGCTCAGGGCTTTGACAGCATAGAGAGCGCACTGGAAGCCCTGAGCCACGGGCAGATGATTGTGGTGCTCGATGATGAGAAGCGGGAGAATGAGGGAGATCTCATCATGGCTGCAGACAAGGTACCTGCTGCCTGCATCCTTTTTGCAATGTCTAACCTTTCTTCTAGTTTGCCAGAGGGCCTGCATAGGCCCTCAGACAGATGGGAACTGGCGTGAGACGAGTTGAAAGGACTGGGCACTTTAGTCAGAGAAATCTGTCCAACCATTGTATTGCGAGCAGATGTACAATTGCTAGTCATCACCCTGTATTGATGTGCTTTCATATGTTTGCTGCAGATTACGCCGGCTGATGTGGAGTTTTTGCGGAAACACACGAGTGGCTACATCTGCGTGGGAATGGAGGGGACTGTTCTGGACCGCTTGGAGCTTCCTCTCATGGTTTCATCGGCTGAGAACGATGAGGCCATGTACACTGCCTTCACTGTAAGACCCCATTCCACCTCCATGTATACAAATTTGTAGCCCTCCCGGAGTTCTTCACCTCATATGGAGTGTGAGAGTGCAGCTCTCCTGTGTCACCAGCCAGCTCCAACACAATGTTGCATGGATGGAAGGCGTGACATAGCAAATGCGCAAGGTGAGAAAGGGGCATGTTGCCGGGGGTTTGGGCACTGTGTTTTTTGGAGAGACTGAGCTCCTTTTGCATAGTCTTTCATCATCAAACAAACCTTGCTGCAAAATACTGCAACATTGACATCAAGAGCTATAATCAAGAAGATCTCGACTATCATCAGGCCTGTCTTGCCATATCAAGTATTGTTGAATGCAGGTGCTGTGCGATGCATCACAATTTTGCTGTGCGCAGGTGACGGTGGATGCGCGGGAGGGCATAAGCACGGGAATCAGCGCGGAGGACCGCGCTCGCACGCTGAGGCTGCTGGCCGATCCGGCCGCCTCTGCCGCCGACTTCCGCCGGCCGGGCCACATCAACCCGCTCAGGTGCAGCTTTGTCTGATCTATTTCACCTCATCAGAAGGCTTGAGGACAGACGAGGGGCTCTCACAAGAGCGCTATTTATTTGATGATGTCACTCTTGTTGAGTGTGCTCGACTGTCGTCATGCAATCTGAAGGTATGGGCAGGGTGAGCGTGAGTCTCAACCTTCCAGCAAATTATAGCCATCGGCATTATTTCACTGTGTTGTCATTGCATCTCCCAAACTTCAAGGACGCTCAGGTGCGGCTCAGCAGAACGCTCGCCTTGTGCGCACGAAGGCAGAATGGCCGGCTCCCACAAGAGCCGTTCTTAGTCGAGACGTTCGTTCTTGTGTGTCCAAGCACAACGCCTTCATGCTTCTTGACGGGATTGCCTGAGGTCCGATATGTGTCACACGCTGCTGAAAGGCAGTGCTGATGCATCTCTTTGCGTATCGCAAATTTTTTGAGGGCGCAAGCGGCAGGTAATCACAAGATAAAGAAGTGGGGCAGATGGGGCGGCGAGCACTGCTTAGCGAATGTAATGGAGAACGTCCATGAGTCTTGTGCAAACGGCTGCATGCATGCCGCAGGAGCCAGCCAGGCGGAGTGCTGACGAGGCCAGGGCACACCGAGGCCGCAGTGGACATGTGCCGCCTTGCCGGCTGCCAGCCTGCAGGTGCGCGGAAGTCTTCTCTTCTCCCCACCATTTTTGGCGCACATCAGCAGGAAGTCTCAGCGGTCTGCAGTGACCAGTCATGCTTAGCCACAGCTTGCTATCATCTATAAGAGCACTTTTCCACAGTCCCCCTATGCATGAGGAATTGTCCACAGTTTCTCCTGTAGGATGTCTTGTTTGAAGTGCAGGGAGCAAGGCACCCCTGTGTCAGACCAGCAGCAGCAAGAGAGCTTTGCAACTGTGCAGCGTTTTGGTGCAAATCGCATGTGCTCTTTCCATACCATGACGCAGCTGCCCTGCTGTTGCAGGCGCGCTATGCGAGATCGTGAACCCGGAGGACGGCTCGATGTCGCGCACACCGGAGCTGCTCGAGTTTGCCGCGCGCCACGGCCTCCGCTGCATCACCATCGCCGAGCTCGTCCGCTACCGCATGCAGCATGACGGCTATCAGGCAACGGCCACCAATGGCGCCGCGTCCTTGTGAGGGGCTACCTGCTGCTCGATCTGACTGCTAGCCGTCTGCAGCATGTGGAACTGCCGTGTGCGGGAGCGGACCCTGCCTTCTGCTGGCAGCAGCTAGTGGCATTGTCAATATTGCCTTACACATGAGCACTCAACCAGAAGCGCAATCTGATGGCCTGCGGCTGGAGGTGCCAGTAACTCTCCTGTATTACCCAGCCAAAAGAGCAATCTGGCAGCTTTCTTTATGTTTGTAGTAGGACTTTGAAGCGGTAGTGGCGCTAAGCACTTTTTAGCCACTTGCACTGCGCGCGCTTGATTGGACTCCTTCATGTTTATGTTGCAATGCCATAGTCACGATAGCTGCTGCGTTAGTTGTTTCAATACGAGTAGAAGTTTGCCTAGAAATTTTCAAGGACAATGGGATTACTTTACTTCAGTCTGCCCAGCACTTTTAGCACATGCCTTGGTAATGGTAATAATGTAAGGTTGGACCTTTTCTTTGAGACCAACTTTGAAACCAGGCGACCCGATGCAACAACAGTGGACTCAGTCTGGACACAGGCTGTTGATATAGAATCCCCTGGGAAACACAAGGAAAGCCTCAGTGAGGCCTCTCTTTAATATCCTCACTGGCCACTTGATTGCATTCTATTGTTTATCTTTGTCTTGGCAAATTCAATGAGTCCTAGGCCTAGGTGCAACCACAGCATGCATGAGATCTTGACGAGCTTGCTATTAGTAATCTTGTCAAGCTCATGAACCATGATTGCCATATATGATATATGCATGTGCATTTCAAACATGAATTCGTGGTGGTGACAACGAGAGAAATTCTTGAAACCACTCACTACCGATGACTCATGCAGCCCATGTCCAACAGCACACGATCAGAATTGGCGGTGGGTGAAAAAAAGGGATTGGAAAAAGAATGCTTTCGTCGAGAGTTGAACTCGAGACCTCCCGCTTACTAAACGGGTGCTCTAACCAACTGAGCTACGAAAGCCGCTCGATGACAATGCCTTCATTTCGTGGCCATATAATCCGCTTCAATGACCAGTGATTCAGACATCGTCCATTGATGATCTGGTATTTGAGGGATATTCTTGTCCAAGAGATGCATCAAAGCAGCACCTGACTGAAATTCTAAGTAGGTTGTGCGGATTTCCAGTGGTGCGAATTTTTCTGCCGGTGAAGAAGATGCTTTAGCGGTCGGCCTTGACGACGCAGTGGTCAATTTTACGCGCAGCTTTGCTCACATGTCAATTTGTCCCCGATTGATGTTGATTGATTGCCGTGATTTGATGTGATCTGCTTTCAGTCTTCGTCGACTCAATCCTGAAGTGGTCTGGGTGGAACGACACCTTGTTGTGATGCCGCACATCGGTGCAGGAGCTTTCAAGCCTGCGCTACCCTGCATCTTGAAGTGCATTTATCACAAAGTTGTGCTGTACAGATCGCCACATATTTGCTATGAGGCCCTGAAGGTTTATCGAGTCCCGGCCAACGGCTTCCCACTCTTTCCTTAATAAGTGCAAGATGGAGAGTTCTCGACTAACAGCCGATCAACGGATCGTCTTAGTGATGTCATGCATAGAGAGAACCGGTTAAATTAACAACTGGGAAATATTGAAGAGGACTGCAAAGAGAATTTTGGAATTTCCAGGCTGGAAATTCCAGCTTCTCAGCGGAAGGAAGCTTTACATAACCCCCAAAAGGACATTGCATGATTGTGCCTGGAGAGCGCGCCTCCTTCCACAAATATATCCACGCTAATTCAAGTTGGTCAGATCAACTTGTCACAGTCAAGCAAAAGGAAAGTGCCATGGCAGACAGAACGTATCAGGTGGTCATCTGGGGAGGGACTGGATTCGTAGGCAAGCTTGTTGCGGAGCACATTGCTCGTGACTATGCGGTGCGCACCTAATGTACCAACAGCAGTATTACGTGCATGCGATGCTTCAATCGTATAGTGTCCAAGGATTGATAGCGGTCCATCCTTTGGATGGCACTGCTGCTTTTTGCACTAAACAATAGAGCCAGGCATCCACTACGCAGGATGTGGCAATATCGTTTGAGAAATAGTAGGAAAGTGGGAGAGCGAGGATCTCAGGACTTTGCTGATGTTGGGTCTTGCAGGGCAAATTCAGGTGGGCCATGGCCGCGAGGAACAAGGCCAAGCTGGAGGGTGTCCGGAATGAGCTCGTCAAGGTGAATCAGGACCTCGAGGTATGAGCCTTACATGCCAATCCAACTCGTCCCATCTTGTGGTGCACCTGACTAGCTGGACCCACACTCCTGGCAACCGGCATGAATGCTGAGCAATGTGTGACACATGCAGAACATCCCGCTGCTGATCGCCGACACAAAGGACCAAGCGTCAATAGACGACGTGGTGAAGCAGGCCAAGGTGGTCATTGCGTGCGCTGGGCCCTACGCCCAACTGGGCACCCCAGTCGTGGACGCCTGTGTCCGCCTCGGCACACATTATGTGGACATCACAGGTGCAAATTGCTCTCCTTCCATTGTACACAGCAATGCACAGCATAGTGTGAGTTGAGGTATACGCTGTGAGCAACCTGTGGCCATGATACATGCGAAGAAGGTCATGTTTTGCTGCCTTTTTGGCACATGCAACCGCAGCTGTTGCTTTTCCTGCGATTGCCGGGAGTGGCCAGGCATGAATGTGTCTCGTGCACGGCAAAGCGACTGCAATTTACAATGGCTCAGCCGTATATGACGCTGTAATATGGTGGGTCGTGGCAGTCACAGAGCTGACCGCATCTGCATGGCGTGCACCTTGCACGGCATGCCAGTTACATATTGGACATCAAGCCTTTGCTTCTGCTGTGAACTTGGTAGGCCATGGGTCATTGGAACTGACCGCATCTGCGTGCTGCACCGCAGGAGAGGTGCCGTGGGTGGCGCGCACGATCAAGAAGTACCACGCACAGGCATTTGCCAACAGGGTGAAGATCGTACACATGTGCGGCTTCGACAGCATCCCCTCCGACCTGGGCGCGCACCTGGTTGCCACCACCATCGAGAAGCAGTACCACAGGTGCTGGCCAATCACTCCCTCGGCAGATTTGCATTCATTGTACTTTAGGACAATGTTGGGACAATGCAGGAGCAATGAACACCAAGTGATTATACTGCACTGACAATCCACGTGGGTGTCTTTGCTACTGTGGGGTAAGCTGCTCAGTATTCTGCTCGACTGTTCAAGCCTGCGCTGTCCATTGCTTTGAGACTGACAAGTCTGCCCATCAAATGCCTTGCCCATGAGTGCAGGTCTATAGATGATGTCTCTTGACCGTGCGGGGGCTTTAATCATTGCACATAGATTAACTCTGCTCAACCGTCTTTTGACAGTGGCGACAGGACTGAGTGCACCCAGATCAGCTCTGCCTTGAGCATGGTGTCTCTCAAAAACAACAGCGTGCTTGAAAAAGGTGCATTGCTGCTGCGCAGGAAGACAGCGAAGGTGCGGGTGCTGCAGGGCAAGGCGGCTGGTGCAGTCAGTGGTGGGACACTAGCCTCCCTCATGGGCGCCATCTTTGAGGAGACCCCTGAAGAGCTGAAGCTGTCTGCCGACCCGTACGCTCTCAACCCCCCTGAAGCCCACAGGTGAGACCCCTTCCTAGTGCTCTCATCCCCCCTGAAGCCCACGATAGGGATCGCTAGTTGTTCAGACCACCTGCATGTGCTTGTGTGGACATTGGCTTGTGAAGATACTGCCAATGCACCGTATTCCTGACTCCTACAGGATCCTACCCACCCATTTGTAGATTGAGATTCAGGCTTGAGGACTTTTGCTCCAGGAGGTGAATTTCTGACTGCAGTATCACAATCTCTCTAGGGGTTGAGGTATTGGACCAGATCTCACAGGTCATGATTAAATTTTCCGTGGGTGCACTGCAGGGGCCCAGACAAGGGCGACTTCTGGGGTCCGGCCTATGACAAGCTGGGGCGCGCGTGGACGATGCCGTTTGTGATGCAGGCCATAAACACGCGCGTCGTCCGCCGCAGCAACGCCCTCCTCGGCAACGCCTACGGTGCGCGCCCCCCGACATTCACCCTTGCCCTTTACTGCCGGGGGATCTATATCTAACCCAACAGAATCAGAAGATCTCAGATTTGGGTGCAAGTCAATGCTGCATATGCGCTAAAAGGCAATGTTCAGGCTGTTCACTTTGACCTGATTAGCATGTTGTCGCTACATCTGTTCCTGGCCATTGAAAAGAAGTTCCTCCCCTTCAGAGGGCTCTGCTTGGATCAACTGTTGGGCATGATCTGCAGTCATCAGGTGTCCTTGTCAAAAAGCTGACAAGGGCCCCGGGGCAGATATATACCTCCAGCGTTTCAAACACGGCTGTGCGTGGATGCGCAGGGGAGAACTTCTCATTCACAGAGGCGATGGAGGTGCCGAATGTCTTTGCAGCATATCTGGGCTCCTTTGCGCTGGTGATGGCGTACCTGGTCATCAGCGTTCCCTTCCTTCGCCCGTTGGTCATGCGGCTGCTGCCCAAGCCCGGCGAGGGGCCCAGCAAGAAGCAGCAGGTGGAAGGGTTCTGGTGCGTCCCCTGGTTTCTACCCTTAAAATAGAGGTCTTCCTTGCTGCAGCCCCTTCTTTGAGTGACCATCATCATCGTTGCCAATATGGCAACATGGAGGTACATACCCACAGGGCATGTTGCCATACTGGCAAAAATTGTACTGCAAGCTTCCTTTAGGGACGCAGACACATGGAGGCATGAAATGTCTTGTGCGATGCCTATTACACAGCTTATCTAAAGGAGTTTCGCTTGATGTACGCCCCTCTTGTGGTGTCTTTTCTCCAATTCCTTCCATCACGGCTCCATGAATGTTCCTCGGACACAAACACATGTCGCCATCATGGCAGGAATCGTGGAGCAGGCCAGATGAGACAGGACGCAGTCGAGCGACTTTTTGCTTTTTCTCTTGCTGTTGTCATCTTGTACGAGATGGTGATGCGGGGTGGCATACTTATAGAGCACCACTGCTCAAACCAGCACAAAGCGGCTGCCGCACGCAGGGCTTCTCTACTGTGCATTTCATGGAAATTCATTCCTCCTTCTGCCCTCTCTTTGAAGCTCTTGAATTCTGCGAGGAGCATTCTGAGGGAGGTCTCTCCTTCAGGAATGCGCGGGCGATCGGCGTTTCAGAGGCGCTGGTCGGTGAGGAGCCGGTGAAGGTGGTGGCCACGCTGGGCGGGCACAGAGATCCCGGCTACTGGGAGACTTCGCGCATGCTCCTGGAGTCAGCCCTCTGCCTGGCGCAGCAGGTATGGCGGAACATGTTACCAAATCCATATGATGGGTGCAAGTTCTGCCAATGCCCTGTCTCGCAACACTCAATGCCTGCAATGCCCATTTGCCAAGGCAGGGCTGGCCTTACATTTCTGCTGTGCATGCTGGAAGAAAGTACAGGTTCTAGAGGTCACTTAATCTAATTAAGTGACCACTCCCTTGCTTTCTGTGATTAAGTTGATTGCACAAAGCAAGGGAGTGACGTTTAAACTGTCGTCCTGTCATTGTCCTCAGAAGAAGGATACCTGTGCCAGTGCACCTGTTGTTGTTTCCCCACACATCATTCTGCAGCAGTGCTGGGTGAGAAAGCAATGCTTCAGGCAAGCAAATTGTCAGGGTCGAGGCTGGCGGCTATTCACCCGTCAGTGATGTGTGGAGTTCGTGCTTCTCCGTGCACAGCTGGATGGGTGTGAGAGGGGTGGTTGTGTGTTAACAGGAGGAGGAGTTGAAGAAGGCTGGCAAGCTGCAAGGGGGAGTGCTGACGCCAGCCTCAGCCATGGGCATGCTGCTGATAGACCGCCTGAACAAGGCAGGCATGACCTTCAAGATCGAGAGCAGCTCTGCTGCAGTCGTGAGTGAGGAATGATACCTGGCATGCAGCCGTCCGCATGCTCCAGTCAGATATTAGGATATAAGAGAACAATTCAGCATAATTTGTCTCGAGCGATTGCATCATGTCCTCATCACAGATATGATGAACATTTTGTGTGATCAGTGTGTGAGCTCGAGCTCGAGCAGCTTTAAGCTCAACTTGAAGGCGACTTAGCACCAGCAGCACGTGTCTGCAAGATATGCAGAGAGAGCACAAATGCATGTGCATGCGGCACTCAATTCTTGCTTTCCTCGTCCAACGTCCGCTTGCAAATCCTGACACAATTAATGCAGAAATCAAGGCTTCTTGAAAGTGCATGAGGATGGGCCCCCCCGCTCTTTGACAGCCTATAGGTAGCTAGCTAGTAGGTGACTCACCAGGTAGTCGGACACAGCTCTTCTCATCAGAAACATAATTACAGGTTGAACCCAGAAAAGCAAAGTAACCTCAATCGAAATTGCGAAGATGGTGCAGACAACAGGGCTGGCGCTTCAGCCTAAAATAAGCAAAGACCTTGTCTTCTCTCGCTCTGTCAGGCACGATTGGAGGCTTCTGGAGGTCGATGAGCGGATGCTTCAGGAGTTTATCGATTCTGGGTAAGATGGTGCTTCTGAGGAGCGGCAATTCTCAGGATGTGTTGCTTGGAGTTGTTTAATGAAACTTCATCTTGATATGCTCTTTATATGTATCTTACCAGTACAGCACGTTGTTGGATCAATCACAGATATTGGATGGCCTGTACACATGTTCCCTGCAAATCATCTGCTATTTGTTCATGCAGCTGGCGATATTCACAAATGCTGATGCAGGGTCACCATCAAGGGTTCACCAGACGAGGAGGCGGTGCTATGCACAAGGAAAGGCACCTATGCTGTCAAACACGTGGACACAACCAATTCACTGTTTCTTGTCCCGCCAGCAAAGGAAGGCGGCAGCGAGAAAGTGACAGTGTCTGCAACAGCAGTTGCCCACTTGGAGTTGGTCCTCACAGCCCCACGCTTCAATGCCTTGGACAGAATTCTCCAGGCATGCATCCTGCTCCTCTCCTTTTGCGACCAAGGAAGACCCAGCAGAGTATACCGTAGTGACATCTTGTGTGCCACTCTTCAACACCGGCATGTGAAGGATTCTGCTGATGCATGCATGGCTTCCTTGTGCAGAAAACACAGATCAGAGGAGAGGATGACGAGGAAGAGGAGGGCAGTGCAGCGGCAGCTTCCACCAGTGGCAGGGGTGAAGTGCAGCCACACACATTCCCCGAGCTCCTCGAGACGGTGCAGGCAAGTCAACCTGCTCTCTCATGTCGACGCATCATATGGCGCTGTGAAGGGTGTTAGGAGAGATCCCACAGCCCTCACAGCTGCACGCGTCATGCCCTTCAACTTCTCCATGATTGCACCTGTAGAGCAGGTGCTCTGCAGGTGCAAAGAAAGCTTAAGTGGGATGAGACATCAATTGATGGGATGGTGTATGTGTGCGCTCAGGCGAGCGCAGCAGAGCTGAGGGCGGCGCTGCAGCAGAGGGGGGCGCTGGAGCTGGAGGGAAGCTGGCGAGTCATCTCTCCCTGCCACCTGGCAGCCCTGCTGGAGGTTCTGCTGCTGTCCGTAGCGCAGCACGGCTGGCGCCATGACGCAATACCGGTGCAGGAGGCCTGCTCTGCGATGCAGGCTGATGGCTTCGACCCCAGGTGATGCCTGCTTCAACCATTTTCAGCTGTGCAACCTTTCCTAGACTTGGTACCAAATGCCTTTCTGGAGCTTTGGGCATTTTTGGGTATCCATCACGGAGCACGGCATGATGCATGCTCTGCTCGCCTGCTCCGGCGCTAGCGTAGCACATGTCTGGTAGTGCAGAATGGACATTTAGCTGCGATGGAGAATTGCGCCTTGGGTGAGCATACAACACTGCTGCTTCTTTGACAGAAGGCAGGCAGATACGAGAGCAGCTTTTGATCTGGAGCGAGGTTTTTGTGGTGGCGTGTCTTGGACTGTCTGGTTCTCATAATCAACGGGATGTGCAAAACACGGCACGCAGGGTTGTGGAGCACTGTATAAGGCTGCACAGCACCCTGGATGCTGCTGCCACACAGATGCCGGCCTCTGTCTCGCTTGACAGACAGAAGGTGAGTCTTGAATGCTCCCTCATACTTCTAGCCACTTCTCTCTTCTAATGTCCCTCCCATTTTCCCATGCTTGGCATGCCCATGCCATCACTCTTACACCCTACATCAATTTTCAAGCTTGGTGTTTTTGTAAGCAACCAGGATGGTGCGCACAAGGACCTTGTCTCAAGTCTGGCGAGTCATCTCTATAGCTCCATTGTTCATCAATCCGTGAGGTTGCCCTCGCTCTGAATCCCCAAAGCCAAAAGTGGTTGCTTTCTATTTTATTTTGGGCAGGCTACTGCTTTCGGGCTCTGTAGTATTCGCCCAAGTACTAAATAGTAGAGCAAGTACAGGGGCTGTAGACAGCTGTGATGTGTCCCTGTGCAGGTGTGCCTGCATTTCGCGCGCAAGCTGCTGCCACAGCAGGAGCGCTGGCCGCTGAACAGCTTCCTTGAAGACTGGCAATCCTTCGTCCCGGAGGTAACCTGGAAATGCAGACGAATTTGGCATTTCAAAACAGAGTGTTTATCTGTCACGCCAGCCATGTAAGGACACCTCAGCTTTGTTGGGAACTCCACACTCTCTGGGCCACGTCAACCTGCACACACAGGAGGCCGATGCAGGTGCTAAAGCAAGCAATCCTATTTCTCGCCTCAAGTTTGGATTCGTTGTTTTCAAGTGCAAAGTCAAACGCAGGGCATGGCGGTGGACCTGAGCATGCTGAGGGGCGAGGCATTGAGAGAGGAAATCGGCGGAGAGGATATGTTGCGCCACTTGCCGGCCGCGGCGATGCCGACCGACCCGGCCGCACGCTTCGCGGCGCTGTTTGCCGTAAAGCCGCGATGGGAGCTGCCGGACCTAGAGCCGTACCTGGCCGACCTGCAGGTGCGCGCATGCTCCCGGCACTTGGCGCTTGGATGACTAAAGCACCATCCTTGTGTACCAGCTCCTAGCCGAGGGATTGTGCTGTCCAAGACGAGGTTGGAGCACAGGGGAGGCGCATGATGCATGCCACTATGCGTGGGCCGCGTATGGGGCCACAGAGACTGCAGTGACTGCCTCATCTGGAACAGCTCAGCAACAATAGTTACACACGTTTGGATTATGTATAGCACTGAAAGGGTATGGTGAAGGAGCACAAGCAATATTTATGACGGTCATGAGCAGCTGGAAGCTGTCGCAAAGTGTATGAGTCACTATGAGGACAGTAGCAGCTTGCCAGGGGCATGGCCTGGGCACCATAATCTGGCTCATGATTTCTGCATCATGACATGTCTACCTCTGCAGGCATGTGGTCTGTGGGTACAGAGAGCGCTCACTGCGCTGCCGTTCCTTGCAGGTGCCGGGCCGCTCAGCGGAGTTCCTGCTGCTGACATATGCGCGTGCCAGCCAGGACAGCCCATCTGCGCCGCTCGTCTACAGTGCGCGCTAGCTGCATGTGCCAGATTGGACGAAGCCAAAGAAGCCAAGGGTGTCCTTGGCAAGTATCAACATTGCTACATGGATAAGTCTGTTTCTGCCGGGGAATGAGAAGAAGCAACAATGCCATCAGCTGAGAGTCATGCTCAACCAGCTGCACAGATATGGTGGGCATATGTGCAAAGCATCAATCTTTGCCCTCTATCCTTTTTTTATTATAATATGACCTCTGCATACCGTACTATTTTGGGCAAGGTTTATCTTTTGCCAGGTCCACTTGGCAGTATGCACCGCCACTTACTTATGACAACCCCTTGCCTGTCCAATTATTGCATTGCAGTGCTGATTCTCTTATTATTAGGAACAAAAAATCCCCCATTGTTGCAGGTTCATTTATTGCAGCCTCACCTTGCCACTGCCTCAGGCAGGGCCTCTGGCAGGGCCTCTGGCAGGAATAGCGCGCTAGCATGTAATCATAAGACTCTATTTAAGTTGCAAAAATGCAGGCAGATCGATCAGTTGGCCAACGTATTAGGTGTTTTACTTGCTGTCTTTATGAAAATTCTGATAAAAGCACAAAATACCATTCCTCTCGATCCTCTAGCTCTACAGGGACCCCGCTGACCCTTTCCAAGTCATCAAATGAGTTGACCTCAGCGGGCGGAAGCTCCTCCTTCTTCTGCAGCGTCTCTTTACTGCAGAACTTCAAACAGACTAGATGGATCTGTGCTGCAGTAATGCGGTCCCTGAATGACCTCATTGCCCTGTGCTCCTGGCGTTGGAGTTATCAACTGGGGCAAAATTCCCGCAGATAAAGAGTTTGTCCTCCCGGGACACATCCTCCAGGCCGCCAAAGTAGTTTACATCGCAGACAGCGCGCCCAAAGTCCATTTCCAGTACTGTACGCACATCTTGTAACCCATCCATTATAAGGGTGTTGTGCAGCACACTCGATTCTCCCACATCTAGGCAGCACAGCTCGCCCTGTCACACAAACATTTACGAAGTCTTCAGCACCTGCACAAAATTTCAGCCCTTCCTGAAAGGCTGGTAAGTTTACTTAAGGTTTTGGCAGGATGCATGCATGGCACTGTTACAAAGGCAGCCTGTGTCGAGCATACAAAGGACATCCCAGCTCATTGGGAACTGGAAAGAAAGGTGCGATGATGAAACAGAGCAGATCAGCCAGGAATGAGGGCGAATGCTCAGGTAGCGCATAGATAGAGAAGTTCCGGGGAGATTCTGACCTGGTAGTATATAAGGTTCCTGAAGTCCATTTCCCTCTCGCTATATTCCAGGGGGCTGCCACGCTGGCAGTAGCCCAGATTGTAAGGGAACGCCTCACACTCGCGTGGGTACTCCTTTGCATGGAACAGCAGCCCCACACCCCTGTCCTTGGGGGTGAAGAAGCAGTGTGCATGGAATAAATCCCATCGCGTCAGCTCTATCTGCACACCACCCTCCACATCAGCAGCAAAACAAACAGAGTCCTGTACAGTCTAGTTCATTGCGCACAATATAATATATTACTACAACACGCTTTTCCTGCCAAGAGGCAAGGTGCGCCCTGCAGACAAGCTGCAGTTTCATGCTGCCGCAACCCTACCCCTTGTTGGACTTTCCAGATCCAAGCAAGACCCAATCAACCGTGGGCACAGTGCTCAGTATTTACAGCGCACATACAGCATGCCATCTGTGCACCGCGCGACGAGACAGCCTAGACATCCACAGGGTATCTGGCACGTCTGAGCAGTAAAGGCTCTGTCTCTGCTGAATTGATGAGCTTCAGGGCTCCACAAGCAAGGAGCAAGGTGGAGGGAGGTAGTCACCGGTGGCAATGACACCGCAAGAGTTCCCTCCACAATGCCTTGGAACAGGTCCGCCATGAGGGTGTTCATTTGAGTTTCCTCCTTGAAGCGGCGCCCGACAGGGTATGATGTCAGCTGGCAGCGCTGATCTGCACGCGCAGATGTCATCCCCTCAACATCCTCAGGACAGTCACAGGCAGGAAGAAGACAGAGAGTAGTGCGGGAACTGCAGGGAGCCTGGGAGAAGCTGTAGGGAGCCTGCCTTTGGCACCAGAGACGTTCGGGACTGGGTAAACTTTGTCATCCAGAGCTCTGCGTATGGCAGCAGTGCCTGATCGTCTCACGTTCTCTGCAAGCCGGTCCCAAATCCGTGTGTCCACCTTCGGCATGGGGAGCGCGTGCATGCTGCCCCTCAACTGGTGTTCCTGTGATGTGTATTGCAGGCCTCGGTCATGAAGAGGCACGAGAAAAGCATAAAAACGCATAGGATGCATTTGAACTGCGTGGTTTGACGCAAAAAGAAGGAATCAAGAGGAGATTGAACCTCACCAGATCTTTGTCCTTCAGAGACTGGCCAGACATGATAGTCAAGATGTTACTGGCCGTCTGCTGCCTCGTTGATGATGATGGTGGTCCCTGAACTGATGCTGTCAGACATCTGATCTGCAAGGATGCCCGCTGAATTTTGGTCCTGGACAATGTCTGGATGGGCCCTCTGAGCACTGTTGCCCCATGCAGCCGAACGGTCACCGCAAGTCGGGTGTGCCACGCCATGTCCTTGATTGTGTTACGAAGCACTCTGGCGATCCGCTAAGGCACATAATCCCTAGATCAAAGATAGATCAGGTAGCACTGTGTCACACGCAGCACCTTGAGAATTGATACAGAAGTTCCAAAACAAACTCCAAGCAATGGAAAGTACAGGCGTGGTTGGCCGGCCTAATCACCAATGAAGACAACACTCCGAGTGCTTGGCTTGCTGTCTCTGATGAAGTTCAATGGGGTCCGAGTCAGTTCGATGGCGTTCCGTAAATGCACACGCAATCGCTTTGTCGATGTTGCAAGGTCTTCAACCCCATCCTCTTCGGCGCGAAATCTCCGAGTAGAGACACGCGATTTGGGTCAGTCAGGCGTTTCTGCAATAAGGTGTAGACCCTGGCCACGCACCTCTTGCGAGGCAGGCACCCTTGTGCAGGATCCCTTGTGACCGTTGCATCTGCAGCGTTCAGCGACCCGGGCAAAACCTAACAGCCCCTTCTTCGGGTGAGGACACTCCTGCATCGTCAATTCCTCATACTTTGCGTGCCAACCAGCTCGTGGAAGGACCCGGAGTGGAAGCCCTTGGCGGCGATCGTGAGACAGAAACGCGGTTTTGTTGCAGAACTTCAGCTTTACATTGCGTGTACTCCTCCGTCTGGTTCCTTCAACTGTCCTCTAGGGCACGAAGTGTGTGCAAGTCCGGGAAGAAGACCAGTCCACAAACTTACCAGGAGTAGGGTTTCTAAGATGTCGCCTCATGGCAATCTCTTGGTGGAAAGTTATCCATCTTCGCCTCCTAGAGACGATCAGCAATCTATCCTCCTCTAATTACGCCGTCAAAGATGCGCAATTGAGACGAAGCACGTCAATATTTCTGGGCAAGAACACTCGCACAGACTTGTGCAAGGTTTCTTGCGTAAGGAGTCTGGCTCAAGGGGCAAATCTGCAGCGGGAATGGGCATGTCATTGTCAGGATCTTAGAGAGGACTCATCATGCATTGTTTAAGCATGATACAATGTCATCCTGTATATCATGGCTGACTTTTGGCATCTGCAGGCTTGCTGTGGGCAAGATGTCTCTAGAGACCGGCAAGAATGTCGTGGATAGTGGAGAAGCTCGTCTCATTGCCCTTGGTGAGTCATCAGCCACGAGTGCCGTTGCTTTTCATTCCAGAATACACCACTGCACTGAGGTTGCTTGCTTGCAAGACCCTGATGGCACTCTCAGAATTGTCCTTGAAGCTGTGTGTGCTTCCTCTGTTCTAGACATTCTCTTATATTTCGTGGTTGGTGTACATGCAGGTTACAAACAAGAACTGAAGCGCGACTTTAACCTCTTCACCAACAGTGCGAGCTCTGCCAATCATGCATCAGAACTTGCTAATTGGAATTGTCGATCTCTGCAAGCCAATGCTGCATGGCTCATCACCCATCAGTGTGCTACGTTGGATCTTTGCGCATGGTCTTCCGTTCTTGTACTCACGTCATTGTGCATGTGCATGAACAGGCGCCATCAGCTTTAGCATTATTTCCATCCTCACTGGAGTCACCGGTGCGTGCCCCTTTTCATCAGCTGCTCCCAGTGTCCACTTGTGTTACCTTGTTGGCATGCAGGCAAAGCAGCTCAGCTGGACCCTTTTGACAAATCATTACGATGCCTTTGAGCCATGCACAGGGCTTGATCCCTGATCTGCATCGTTGCACATGCATTATGTTGAAGCCCACTGATGACTTAGGAAGGGTCGAAGGCAGCAGTGCTGGTCCCCTCAGACCCCCACAGGCTCGAGTTCTCTCCTCGGCCACACAATGCTGAGCCAGATGTACTGGTGTATCATGTGCAGGCTCCCTGGGGATTGCCATGAACAATGGCGGTCCTGTGGCAGCTGTCTGGGGATGGGTGTGGGTCGCTGTCATGACCATGACAGTGGTGAGTGCACCCCTGTATCTTACTGCCATTACGTAACTTGTGACCTGCATAAACTGAGCACCGTGCCCACGGTTGATTGGGTCTTGCTTGGATTTGGCGAGTCCAAGAGGGGTAGAACTGCGGCATGCCTTCACCTGCAGCTTGTCTGCAGGACCTTGCCTCTTGGCAGGAAAAGCGTGCAATAATAATAATAATGAGAACAATGGAGCGGCGCCTAATAGTAACGATTTCTGTATGAGATGCATGTCATGGGGGTTTCATGGTGCATACATTCATGTGAATGAGCTCCTTGTAACGTGCAATGACTGTGCTGCAGGGCATAGCCATGGCTGAGATTGTGTCATCCCTGCCCAGCAGCGGAGGCCCCTACTTCTGGTGAGCAACAGTCTCCACAGTTGAGCCTGATCCTCATTGCAAAACACCCATGAGCAAACTAGCTTGCAGTGCAGTCATGCAATTCTCTTTCTGGTCATGCAAGCCTTGAACTTGCATGGTACACAACTTCAGTGGCTTCTGCCAGTACGTAAGTGTACTGCTTCTCATCCGAGTCTGGCTCTGCTGACCCTCCAGCAAGGAGCGAACTTTTTGGCCTGCACAAAAGCACTGCCAGCAAGGCTTCACACAGGGACTGCTGCATTGCAGGAGTGCGCAGCTGGCTACCAAGAAGTACTCGCCCTTTGCAGCCTGGATGACAGGTCTGTTGCCCCCTGCACCCCATCCTCCTGTTACCAAACCTGGTTCAGCAAAAGGAGGCCAGAATCAGCTGTATTGGATATCATCTGTATTGGATATAATCAAGTGCTAAGCAGTTATCTCAGAGATTAAGCTCTGAGCGTGTGAGCTGTGCACTTCATTGTCTTGTTGCATGGCACCGGAACACTGCCTGCCACGACTGCCTCTTTTGCCACATGGCATCATTGAGAGAAAATTTTTCCAGCACTGAGCTGAGTGAGAACTCACGAGCATTCATGGGCCCACTTCGACCTGTTATCTCAGCACTTCTTGCGGAGAATTTTGAACGCGAATTTTGAGTACCAGTTTGCTGGCGCAGGCTGGTTTAATCTGCTGGGCCAGGCAGCAGTGACTGCCGGCATTGACTTCACGCTTGCCAATCATCTTGCGGCCATGTGGCTCCTGTCCAGTGGCAAGGTCTTCACTCAGGGGGAGCTCCTGGCCACCTATGCAGGTGCGGCGCAGGCATTGCCTAGCACAGCACGGAAGCAAAACAATGCTGCTTTTTGTAGTGCTCATTTCAAAACCCGCACCCCCTGTGGTTCAAGAAATTTCTCAAAGCAACTTTCAGGGGTCTTCCTGATTCCATTCGGTTGGGCTCGTCGAGAGCTTCCAAATCTGGTCTCAAAACTGTCAAAGGGTTTATATTTTAGAAGATAGGGTCTTATATATCCACCCTGTTTGGCCAAACCTATTTATTTGTTGCGGGTTTCAAAATGAGCATTACAGTATTGTTGGTCGAAGCATACTCTGTCACCTTTGACTTGCCTGTGCCTCGCTCAGTGAAGGCTGGTGTATGTCGGCTCACACCAACCTATGGGCAAAATAAGCATTTGCAGCTTGTCCTGCCTTCGCAAGAAGTGCTTAGTGCTAGATGACAGGTCAAATCTGGGCCCATGCATGCTCGTGAGTTCTCACTCTGCTCAGTGCTGGGGCAATGACGCTGTCTCTTGTGCCTATTGCATCAGACTCTAACTCAACTTAGACTCACAACTACATCAGTAGTAGACAACCAAATCAATTCAGAGTCCCCTGACTGTATAGATCCCCCAATAAAGCTGTCAAAACACTTACTAAGTTTTCTCTATCTGGTGTGTCTGCAGTGATTCTGGTGGTCCACGCGTTGATCAACTTTTTGCCGACGCGCGTTCTGGCAATCATGAACGGAGTCTCAGCCGTCTGGCACGTTGTGGGTACATTCACTCTTATCATCCTGCTGCTGGCAGTCGCGCCCACTCACCAGTCTGCGGAGTATGTGTTCACCACCTTCAACAGCGACACTGAAGCCACCGGCGTTCCCTCCTCTGCGTGCGCATCAACCCCCCTGCCTTCACCATTCCCCCTGCTTTTAGCAAATTGCCTTGTGCTGGTTCTGTAGGTGTGCCCTAGCCCTCATCTAGCCACACTTTATTGCATACACGCAATGAAGTGTGTGTAAATTGCGTGTATGCAATTTGGTCATTCAGAGCTCCTGGGCCGGGGGATCATCTTATTGGTTGTTGCATGATGTGCACTAGTGAGGCAGTCCTTCCTCTAATCACCCTGGCGCATGCAGTGCCTGCATGCCTGCATTCGTTATCAATTATATTCCCTTGTGCTGATTCTGTTTGTCGTGTCGCTGCCTGATAGAGGCAGACCTCACGCAAGGACATACAGTGAGACGTGGGCCCGTGGGCGGTAAATCAGAAGTTATGTCGATTGAAGATAAGGATAGCCTTCAATCAATCATTTCGGACTGAAGGTGCTCTTGTGTCTGTGCAGGTACATCTTCCTGCTGGGCATCCTCATGAGCCAATTTACACTGACTGGATTTGACGCGTGAGTTGCCGGCAGCCATCACACATTTGCCCATCCTCCATCTTTGCTACTGAGAAATAATGAGATCCTGTACAATCTTTCATATGGGGACGCCTTTGCCCATCCTTGCTGCTGAGTAATTAATTCCTCATGGACAATCTTCAATCTGAGGGATATGCTTTGTGGTGTGTTGTCTGGCCTTGGTTTATTTTTTCACAAGAGAGGAGAATCGTGAGCACGAGCTTTTTTCAGCGGTGCAAACTGGCAGGCTAGAATACAAAAGGGACAGGCGGGATTACCTGGGCAGCTGTGCGTCGCATTGGGTATCAACTTCGCGCAATTGAGATGACATGTGCATGCATGCATGCGCAGGTGCGGACACATGAGCGAGGAGACCAAGTCAGCTGACTGGTCTGCACCCTGGGGCATTATCATTGCACTCGGCACTTCTGCTTTGGTCGGCTGGGGCTACATCCTCGCTCTGCTCTTCAGCATCCAGGTGCCACCTCATCCAGTCCCCAGGCCACACAACATTTCAGGGACCATTTGAATTGCCTGCATTTTTTTTTGTATTACTGTTTTTATAGACGATGTTCCTGCCAAGAGGCAAGGTGCGTCCTCCAGACAAGCTGCACTTTCAGGCTGCCGCAATCCTACCTCTTGTTTAACTCGCCATATCCAAGCAAGACCCAATCATCCGTGGGCGCGGTGCTCAGCAATTAAACCGCGCCCAGCCAGCCGGGGCGTGCCTGTATCTATCTTCATAAGTCACACCCCTCCAAAATGCGCGAAATCATGAGACCTCTTGCTGGCTCTTGCAGGATCCTGCGAATTTGACTGCCGGTAACGCCAACGGCTACACGAGCGGCCAGATCTTCTACGACGCCTTCTATGTGAGACCCCTGATCAGCGCCATGTCTTGAAATAGTGCCACATCAGTGCATGCATGCCCGGTGTTGCAGCGCTTTAATACCGTGCCCTGACAGTAGGAGGACAAGAAACTCCATGGAGGGCACTGCAAATGAACGAGTCATCTGCTGTGTGAAGAGACTGGCTTGATTCTTGTGGTCATTCAATTCTACGCCAAACCCGAGCCTAGTTCTGACGTTTGGTCATGTGCCTGTTCAGGCGCGTTACGGTACGGGTACGGGAGCGGTGGTGGCCATGGGAATCCCTATGATCGCCATGTTCTTCTGTGGCGCTTCCTCCGTCACGTCCAACTCCAGGTGGCCATGCGCTTTGTGCAAAACTCGCTTTGCTCCGAAGCTTCCTCTGAAGCTTCCATTCTTGTGTATGCCTATGACTGGGCCATCCTTTGTTCCCACACGCTGCAGCCTTTAGGATCGTGACAGTCACAAGCGTGTCAGCGATCATTGCACTCACTGTCACTTTCTCGCCACAGCTTATCCTGATGGTATGCAGCTATGTCTGGAATCAAAGCATGTTGGGTCAGCCATGTTCAAGCCTTGTTCATAGCCCATGAGATGGCTTGATCCAGGCAGTCTTACCTCGGGCCCCGCCAGCCGCCTCGTGGGCTGGAAACAAGGGCTTGACTTCCTGGCATACCAGACCTCTCCTCTCACATCTCGTAATGAGCATGTCAGTCAGATCTGCAGGAACCCGTTTCCCCCACCAAACACGCAAGAACAGTCATGATGACTGAGGAGTGAGTCATGCATCACAGGATGCTGTGGTCCTTCTCGCGCGACGGAGCGATGCCTCTCTGGAGGGTGTGGAGCAGCGTCAACCCCTGGACCAAGACACCAATCAACGCCGTCGTTTTCATGGTCGTGCTGGCCTTCATCCTGGGTCTGCCCATGCTCAACTCCATCACCGCCTTCACCGCTGTCATCTCCATCTCAACCATCGGCCTCTACATCTCCTGTGAGTATCCGTACTTCTGATCGAGTTTGTCTATGAGACCCTGCTTGCTGTCATTTGCGGTTCCCGCTGGCTGTTTGAGAGGTTGTATTGGATGTGACATTGTACAAGGCTGCTTGTAAGGAAGCTCCTCACCCCCTCTTTCAGCCAGAAAGTGTGATCGGAATGTGCAGGACGCCTTGCTTTGCAGGCTATGACATTTCCCAGTCGCCAAATCGGCCTTCTGGGGCATCGCGCTTTGGTGATCCAGGCACACAAGCAGGAGTGGAGGCTTATTGTTTTGAGGGTGCAATGTTATGTGTAATGGAGGTTGAGAAGCTGTGGCTGGTGTGCAGACGCCATCCCCGTCTTCATCCGCCTGATCAACAATAAGGACTTTGAGCCCGGCCCGTTCTCGCTGGGCACCCTTGGAGTCATCATCTCCTGGATCTCTGTCCTCTGGGTCGGCTTCATCACGGTGCGCGCCCCTTGCCCCCAGGCCCTCAGGGGGTATAAAATAGGAATTTATGTGTAGTACTCTGAGGGCCTTCTGGTGCATGTCCCCAGACAAGTCCAGGCTGCTGTTGTCTGGAACCAAAGCTCCACGTCTCGGGTAATCTCCTAAAAATTGTAGCGCAAGGTCAGGAAGCACAAAGGTCTGGGTGGTGCCTGTCTTATGTAAGACCAGGGAGATGCTCCGATTTTGGGCGGTCCATTTTATCTGTGTGTGCGTTATCTCCCTCAACTTGTTGACATGTGTGCCCGTGAAATAGAGGACCCGACTCTCAAAAGAGTCCTGGCTGCTGTTATCTCAAAACGACCTCTTGCATGCCACTTGCCCTCCCTCAATAGCTTAGGCTGCTCTTGCCTGGAAGGAGCTTCTGCATGCCTTGTCTCTGATGGCCTCCACTTGCACTACCCACAAGCCACACCGCCCACCACCATCCATGTTGGCCGTGCAAAGTTCCATCAGAGACATGCAAAGACATGCATGATCCCTTCAGTAGCTTCCAACCCAAAAAATCCATGTTCAAGGATTGGCAGGATTGGCGAGTGCATCATTCTGTGCGCAATCATGCAAGATTCAACTAGTTGTGTTATACTGGCACTGTTTGCATGAGGCTCCCTTCTGGGTCAAGCAATATTCCCAAGGCGTGGCCGAGGCGCTTACTGAGAATCGCTGCTCGCAGGTGGTCTTCGTGCTGCCTGGAGTGTATCCGGTGACGTCCACCAACCTCAACTATGCGCCGGTGGCCGTGGGTATCGTGCTTTTCGGCGCGCTGATATTCTTTTTCTTCCCCTACATCGGCGCCTACCGCTGGTACCGCGGCGAGCGCCACACGGTCGAGGATTTCTCGGTGCGTGCACCCTTCAACTACCCTTGAAAACCCTGCCCCAGGGGGATCTGTGTCTAACCTAGACCCCCCTGCCTGCCCAAAATGGATGCATGAATGACTGACAGCACGTCAAGAGCACTCTCAGGAAATTGAGGCCTGCAGAAGACCTGGCATCACTACCTAATGTGATTTTGTCAGGAAGACATGCACGTAAGAATATATCAGTGTCTGCCTGGCATTTTGGGGGTTGTCAGGAGCACTCTGACCTAATAGAACACCACCCGGCACTGCTGAGGGTGATTCTGTCAGTAAGATATGCGCGCAAGAACATATAACGATTTGCCTGGCACTTTTGGAGGTGGTAGACTGCGTCAAAGTCACTGCGGATGACGTAGCCCAGCATTGCAATCCTGTTCTTCATAGCTGACCTTTGGTGCTGCATCCCAAGCTGAGTGATTTGCGTGCTCTGCAGATGCACAAGAGGGAGGCCGAGGCCGCCAAGGCATCCTCTGCCGAGCCCAAGGTGGCTACTTGAGGGGCAAAAATATGACCAAGATGCTTGTGCCAGCACTAGAGCACAAAACAGCACAGGGTGTAGCATCGAGACTGAGGGCCAAGTCTCTTGGGTGATAGCCAGAAAGAAAGTATTGAGCATTGAAATTTCAAATGACGACACGACAATCTGGGGTGATGGGGTGTGTACAGGAAAGGGTCTTTGCTCCCAGCATTGACTGAAAAATTTCCACTGTGTGGAATCCTACTGAGGCTGGAAAAGGTTTATTTATGAGCACAGAATCTGGTGTGCTCTGTACCTGCAGACGCCAGCACATACTGGCACTACCGCCATTTTTTCACTTTGAATCCCGAAATTTGGGAATTTTTGGTATGTTGAATGAGGTGATTCCACTCACTGAGAGCGGATTCGCAGACTCCTTTGCAAGCTTGATGTTGGATGACGGCAAGGGCGCTGAATTGCACTTTGCCCAGAAATGGGCCCAGAATTAGACCAGACAGGGTGTGACCTTCAAGGGGGAATGATGCGCATCTGCAGCAGATTTTCACTGGCCAAGGCCTCTACTGGTGTGGCACTTTTGGTGCACAAGTGCGCGGGTGGAAATTTTTGCACTATTTGGTGCAGTGACATTTCACTCACCGTTCGGAGACTGCAAAGCCTTGCATTGGAAATAATTTATGGGTGAGGACAAGATAATGGAGTGCTCTTGGTGCGGGCATAAGGCTTTTTGTGGGCATTTTTTGAAGGTCACAGTGTGGGGGGCTTATTGACATGCTACAATTGGGTGTGCCATCTCTAGGGGGGAATCATTTCGTGGCATGAGGTATGCTATGGATTATCCACTAAGTGCCGGACTTGTCACACGAGGGTGTGATTTCGGTGTTGCGCGGGGATATTGGCCGTGCAAATTTGCTGGCCGTGCATGCGCACCCTAGTGCTTACATGTGCTCCATACACCAACTGTACCTGTAATTGACATTAGATGTCGACATCAATCAGCACGCATGCAAGGTCGTGAGCAATTCGTGTGATGCGTCACCGAGCATGGCATGCAATGGTGACCATCAGGCAAGTTTGACTGGCATTTTTGCTGGCCGCAGAACTTCTTGAAGCTACTGTCGTATGCTTGCCGCAGGCATGAGGGTGCATAAAGTTTCCACCCAAACAACGTGGGTTAGTGAACGCATTAGCTTTTACACCTATCAAGCATCGATATCGAGCAAGCATGATATGATCATGTGACCGTACTGATCCTCACCCAAGTGGCGATCAGTGCCAGGCTGGCCGAAGCAAGGCCTATCATGAGGGCTCCATTATTGCAACAGCAGGCTTCGCCGCCGAGCTTCATAAATTCAAATTCGAATGTTCCTAGGAAGGCCTCGTGAGGAGGAAGGAAGTTAGGAAGAAATCATTCACGTGTTTTGCCTGGAATCAGATCTGTTTATGGTCTGCCACTCTCGCTCAGATCCCAGGCAATCCAGGGCGTGATCCAGTTGGGGCTCTTTCTTGCGGCTGTCGTCAGCGCTGTCGTCACCAGGGTAAGGGAATTATGATAACGGGAGGGAAGTAAAGCCAGAACTGGCGATTTTAGAATAACCCCTACTCAAAGAAAATCTGAAGGTGACGAAGTGAGTGATGAAGAAAGAGAAGGCCCGAAAGTCATAGGCTCGGGGCGATCGCAGGCTAAGGGCGCATCTGGTGCGCCTGCCAGACAAGATCGCGGGCGCAAAGACGTCTACAGCTGTGCATTCCAGAGGAGCAAGGACGACGCCGCAGCAAGGTGGGGCGTTAGTTCTGACCGAGTATCGCTGTTCTTGCAGCAGCCGTCGGTCCTGGGTACAAGATCCCACGAATGAAGGAGTTCGTCGTGCTGCTGGCCACCGGGATCGGGCTTTAGCATTTCTGGGGTGAAAGCTTGCGTCTTTGACTTAATGTAGGACTTTTTCAAGCAGGACAGAGCTTTCCTGAGGCATATTCTGGGGCATGGTTGCAGCCCGGTTCCACATCCATTTGCTGCAAGTGCATCTGTGGGACTCACAGATGCCGCAGAAAAAGTCTCAGCGCGTCAGGTGTTTGAAACGTGCTGAGGTGGCCTGGAAAGGGTTCTCACGCTGCCAGGAAGAGTTGCCCGCCATGAACAACGTAGATTAGCCGATCTCTGGCTTGTCCGCATCAGATGCTTATTGTCTCTGGCCTGTTGCATTGCAGATCGGCACAGCAAGCCGCGGCGATCTGACGAAGTAATCACTCCGATTGGTCCGTGTATCCGACACGATGGAGGTGCGCAGCGGGCTTACGCAATGCATGATCTTCGCTGGCGTTACTGCATCGTCCCATTGGTTACAGTATGGGGTCATCGGGATGGGGAGTTCTCAATTTTGACCTCTCTCGATCGGTTGCGTACTGGTGATGGGTTCCAGCTTTTTTCTCTGGCTGGGAGACGACGCCCCAAGAGCACTAATAAGTGTGCTCTGACGGAAAGCTTTTGAGTCTGGACGGAAAATTTTCCCGTAGACTACAGTCACGGAATGTTGCTTGCGGGCAAAGCTTGCGGGCTTTAGCGCGGCGACGTCACAAGACGTACCCAGCTGCGTTGCGTCTTGAGCCGTCCGATCTTCCTGTGTTTCAGCATGCAGCGCTATTCGTCATAACCTTGCTGTCAACGGAAGTCCTGCTGCCATCCCTTTACGGTTTATGGCGTGGGACGAGTGCTTTCTTTGCGGCCATTGAGCGGGCCTGGCGGGCTCTTTGAACCTCTGCGTCTTGCCTAGGGCTTCTCGGCAACCTCGGCATCGCCAGCATCTCTTGCGTATAGGATTCCAAAGAAAGACATTGACTGCGCTTGCCATTGTGCGCAGGAGTCCGCCAGTGGCAGGCGAAGTGTTGATCTAGAAATCTCCTCACTCAAGGAGCTTAGGTGTGCAAGGTGAGTTGCCCATGCCAGAAATGCCACGAGCTTGAGATTCCGCACATTTCAGCTCCCAGTAGTGCTTATTTGCAATTCTGTTCACTTTCATGACTCTCAGCTCCCATCAGCCAATGCTCATCTTGAAAGCATTGTCCCTGGAGAATCTATTGTGTCAACCACTTGAGGCTTAGAGGGCCGTTCTGCAAATATTAAAGATAAATTGTAATGCAGTACGAAGGTAATCTTCGCGATGTTGCACGAATAAGAGTTGCTGCTTCGTGCAGCTCTGTATCGCTGGAAATGGACTGGGAGAAGTTCACGGCCAGTGTGGATGTGCTGGAGGGGTGCAGGGCAACCACCATGCCTGCAGAGGCCCCTCGACCAGTCCTCAATTCCATCTGCACAGGCAAGTCTCCCTTTTCACCCAATGGGAGCCACCTTTGCCCAGCCATGGGCGTTCCATGGCAGGCATGCTCATGTTATGTGGCGCGGATGCTTCTCTGAAGGACTGTCAGATGAGGGGAGTTTGTCTTTTGGAGAAAGAGTCACGTTTGTGGGACGTGCTGCAGGCAACACAGCCAGGAGGCTGCCTCAGGACATCGCTGTAAGGCCTGGCAGCACAGACCGGCTTGTTGTCAACCTGGCAGAATACCGCAAGGGCTACCACTATCTGGTGAGCCCCCACAGCCTACTCACAAAATGGATTAAAATTTTATGGCTGCCAAATTATATTCATCGCCTGTATTCCCCATGCCAGACCTTGCCACCGATCCAATCCATGTAACTTCCATTGCGGTCATTGGGGTGTAGCAGCAGGAACCTGTAACGCATGCAATGGTGGGATGGGATCTGGCATCTCGCATTTTGCATCTCGGCGCAAGCGTGCTGATGCATGTTTACCAAGCGTGTCAGTTCTCTGCGCTGCGCTGTGCTGATGACATGGCGGGTGATGTGGCGGCAGGTGGAGGTCCCCCGGGCGGCGCCTGATCAGGAGAACCTGACCCCACGCCGCGTGCTGGACCAGCAAGGCTCCAACGACTTCACCGCCTACATGCAGGAGACCGCCGGATCCCCCATGTTCAGGTGTGCCCCTCAGCAGGCCATGCCTTTAAAACGGTCCCTTCATCACATTGCCGTCTCGCCGGGGCACCTCTCTTGTCAGCCATTTCTAGGGAGCATGCTGCACAACTTGTGGGCCAGAGTGGTATAGCCTCTGACTCGCAGAGGTTGATCAGGGTTTCCCTTGTGCCGTTCTTCCATTCACATCTGCATCACTTAAAGACAATACAACCATTGCACGGCGGTAGTGCTGTTGCTGCCACTTTTACTGCTTCATCCTTTAGCTGCTCTTCCAGGCGTGGCAACTCACGTGCGTTCTTGTGTGCACATGCAGCCCCGACCTGTACATGGCATCGAGTCCATTTGCTGCGCACACGCGGCAGCCCTTCGACAGCGCGAGCTGCCGGTCGCGGCTGTCGGATTACGGGTACGACACGCACTCGGAGGACGGCGATTACGGGGACTACGGGGACGAGGACGGGTGTATAAACGGTGAGGGCGCTCCAGATCAGGACGCGCAGGGCACCAAGCGGCCCGCGGAGCCAATCGAAGACTGTGGCTTCTGGGCTGAGGTTGGCGCTTCGGGTGAGTCACTTGCTGACTCGCAGCAATAGTTTCCCACCCGACTCTGCTTATTGCCGTTACGCGCCCAGCACAAGCGGGAATGACAGCTGAAGGAAGCAGCAAAAGAGCATGCTTGAGCAAGATGCTCTCGTGGACCTCCTGCAAATTCTGTAGCTCAATGGCGCATTCTCTCGTTGGGTCCTTCCAGGATGCAATGTGCACAAGTAGGTGCGTAGAGGCTCATTGTGTGCATCAGCATCCATGTGAGGAGAGAATGGATGAGTCATGAAGGAGCTGAGAAGAATCTGCCTGCTGTGTTCTCGTGCAGAGAGCCAAGAATCTCCGGCGAACAGCCAGGGCACGAGCACAGAGACGCACTTCCAGTTCGCGCCGCCAGGGCCGGTGGAGTGGGAGGTCAACGAGTGGGACAGCGCCAGCGATCGCGGCAAGCGCCAGTGCACGCCCTCTGCCGCGCGCAAGGAGCTGTTTCCTAGTCTGGCGAGCCGCCACGGCTCCGACGGCGTTCTCTGCCCCGCCGCGCCTGATCAGGCGCCCCTCGATCGGCTTCAAGCCCCCAGGCCGCCGCCAGCCGTGCTCCTGCCCTGGGACATGGAGTGAACCCCCCTGGACTTGGAAGCTGCGCGCACAGCTGCGCGGCAGCTGCCCTCTACCCCCGGACGCCGGACACAAAGCCTGTAAGTCCTTGCAGCAAGATCATCAAGGCAGGATGGGTGCGCCTGCCGACAGAATGTACGGCTGAGGCTGATGAAGGGGCAGCCTGGAATGAATGCCTGCTGAGCGCCGAAACAGGCATACCCCATTAAACAGAGACAAGCATACCACACCCTAGCTCACTTATTTGATCCCTTGGTGTTGGGTTGTTTCCGGGGCCTGTGCCTCATGTCTGTACCTCGACTACAGCAACAACGGATGGTACCTTGTTTTTGAATGCTTGGATCGCCTGCAACAGGGGGGGCGCTTTTTCTATAGGGTCGTGGGATTTATATATCACGGGTGTGTACATTATTGTATGGTTGGGCCTCTGTGCGAGACTGGGGCAGCTCTTTTGGGGGCCTGTGTTCTTGAAAGCGCTCCAAAGAGAGCCTTAGTGACCCACAAAACAGACAGAAAGGATGGCGCGTTGGTTCTCTGCCTGATCTCTGGGCCTTTCTACCCCGTGCCACGGGCTGATACTGGCTCCAGAGATTCTGGACAAAGCAGCCCCGCCAATAAACGAATGCACCCGGAAATATGGGGTGTACACGGCTGTAGAGGTGGTCTGTAATGGTGGTTGGGTTCCCCCCGGGTCCCCCCACCTCCCCGCCACAGCCAGCTGCCATTTTTGGCTGCGGTCCAGACAGTTCCCCACAAGTGCGCGCTCTGATGAGCGGCTGAAGCGAGGAATGAGCCCAGCTGCTGAGTCATCAGCAGGCTGAGGTGCAGCTCTTTGTGATCGGTTGGTTAGTCAGGGTGTGTCATGGCGGGCGGCCGTTCTGCAAGACTGCTGCAGAAGGACAGGCCACAATATCACAAATGCCAGGTGTGCATTGCTTCTGCCGACCCTGTGCAGGGCAGACTGTGCAAAAGTACATCACCGGACTTATTGGGACAGTCGTGAGATCATGAGACACAGACGGTATGGGCTAGAGGCAACAAAGATGGGGTCTCCTGGAGTGGAACAGGCTGACAGGAGTTTGGGGCAGATGTCTGCGCGCTGGTTTTAAAGCAGTGCAGCCCTTAGACTGGTGTGGGACCCGATTTCATTAGGCTGGCATCATTTCATTCGGGCTGCAGGACATGCCCGGTGCTCGGTACTTAAAGTAGGGGCGGGACGCGGGATTTTGTTTGCTGGACTCGTATCTTGAGTGGCACCCTCTTCTACAACCTCAAAAGGCTGTTACAGTCGGTTTCTGTATGTAGCCCGTGTGACCTGCTCGCTGCGAAGGCTAAGCCCTCTGCTGCACATGCATCGTTTGCTATTTGGTTTGTTGCTCCATCCTTCAAGCAAGCACTTAAAAATTCCAAGCACTCAACCTCCATGCAGGGGCTTTCCTCGGTGTGCGTCTCAAGTCTCACCTCAATTGCCACTTTGTGGCTTCAAGACATGTGGTTTTGGGTACATGTTTCTTTGCAGCCCCCGTGCTTCAAGCGTGTCACCAGTGTATTCCCTGTGATATCTGTACAGTATGAGAGTATGGATATGGTGGGTGTTTTGCCCCAGCAGTGACTGTTTGTTTGTCGGGTGGGCCAGGCATGTGTGTCTTGGGGCCGCCATTGAGTGACCGTTACCATATTCCTAGCCAGGATGACTCGCTGGCAAAAGCTTTCGATTCTTTTGATGAGGTGCTGATGTAAAGCTTTCCAAACCATGTGCAGCACTTTGTGGATCTAACTCTTTACACATTTGTGCTGTGGAGAGATGCAGGCATGCAGCAAAAAACGTGCTTTGCAAAGAATGCATGCAGATCTTTTCACCCTAATGCTCACCTCGTCACACTTGCATGCACAGATATGCGCATCTGTAGAGAGAACCACATTCCTGTAATCGCAATATTAATGCAGATTACCTCAACACCAGCACTAATCAGAGAAGGTCGGCACAAGCCCATTTCTCGCAATATAGCAATGACTAAGCAGGTGAACTGTTCGGCCCTTGTCTGACAGAGAAGCCTTCTGCAATCAGTCATCAGCAACCGCACAAATACCAACACCAAAACGGGTAACGTGCTAAGTTTCAGCCTTTCATGTATGCATCAGCCAGCAGCCTGCTTTGTGCACCACTCAGCAGTCTGCAAAACTGGGAAGCTCACATGCACTCACCACATGCAGTCAAATGCACAGCATAGCTACTCCTAATACTTGAGACCACCTGAATCGCTCTTATCTCAGAACTTGCACTTGCACTCTTTTTGCACTCATGCACACTACCCACTGTCTCCACAGAGCTGCATGTCCGAGACTCCTCACATTGCCTCGTCTGCTTCTGCTCCGCAGGGATGACTAACAGATTGCATGATTGTTTTGTGCGTTGCAGCATTACTACTGCAACTGCACAGGATGCAATGCATTGCTTGCTCACTTCATCATCTGACCTTTCCAGGTCCAAGTGTCGCACCCTTGCAACATGATGCAAAGCACTTCTTCTTTGTTCATCACATCACCAGTGGCATGGCTGCAGAATCTGCCACAGTATTGCAGCGCTTTGAAGAAGGAAGGATGTCAACCCAGGGAGGCGGCTGGAGGGGTGCCAGCAGCTGCCAAAGGGAGAGCAACAGCCACCTGAACACAGGATCCAGCATCGATTCAAACCAACTGATTCATATTCTGTAGTTGACTTACTACCCTATACTGCAGGTGCCGGCTCCGGCCGGCTCCGCGCCTGGCCCCGGCTGGCGGGGTGCGGTATAAGTACTGAGCACCGTGCCCACGGATGATTGGGTCTTGCTTGGATCTGGCGAATCCAACGAGGAGTGGGTTTGTGGCAGCCTTTTGCTGCAGCTTGTCTGCAGGACATACCTTGCCTCCTGGCAGGAAAAGGGTATAACAACTGGTGCATCAGGTCTGACAATATGTGCGTTGATGACACAGCACATGGCAGATCCAGACACATGGGGTAAGAACCGGCGCTAGAAGTCTGATCACAAACTTTTGAAGAGCACCCTTCCTGCTTCCTGTTGGTGCACTCTTCAGATCCATCAAGGATTAGGAAGAGAAGCAGCCCAGCAGGGCACTTGCTGGAAGAACATTCACTCTCTATTTTCCGTCTATCTGTGAATTTGCTGATGTATCGAGCTCCCCAGCCCCCCTGAATGCAGCTTGAGATGAATTTGGCCATGCCATGACAATGATGGCCGAAATTTTCTGCTGCTTCTCTAGATTGGGCGGACTGACAAACAGTAAACACAACTGAGTTCGAGATGGAAATTGACAACTGCGCACCTGGGTGGCATTGGAGAAGAAGGGAACTCCTGGGGGAGGGATCTCGAAGCCGCGGGTGGCAGCAGTTCCATTGTCAAGCTGTCCAGTCAGCGACTGAGTCAGGTCCAGCTCACCAGTCACATTTGTGGGCAGGAGGGGGCTTGGTGGAATGGTGCCAATCTGCTCCGTGCTCATCTGCGCGCAAAGAGACAAATATCACTTAGCAGACCACCGTGCGTTCGGATGCCCAGAGTCCCACTTTACTGCGCGCTCATCTGAGCACAAAACGAGAGCTGTCGCTCAGCAGACAGCCCGAATCTGGACACAATATCTGCCGCTTGCTTGCAAGAGCGAAGAATGTACAACCAGTACTCAGCAGAGCGCCCTTTTTAATCCTCATGTCACGTGTTGCTCAATGACTTGTGCAAAGGAAGGAAGCTAGAGAGCCAGAGCCCCAGTCTGCAATGCAGCAATTCAGCAGTGACATGCCACTTGCAGCAGCAACATCCATACCGCTGCATATCTGCAGGACACAGCACTCAGCTCTCCTCAACCAACGTTTTCATGCAGGCAGGAGTTATAGCATGTGCTGAGCCCACCTGGCTGGCGACCTTGTTGCTGGAAGTTGGCGGGAAGCTGTCGAGGGCTGGGCGGCTCTCATTGAAGCTGAAGGGCGTTACTATGGCGCCCAAAAGACCCTCTGGGAAGAATACACCCTTGCCCACTGGGCTGCCCAAGGTCACAATGTTGATCACCTACATGCATGCATGGCATTTCTTCTGTCGAGAACTTTCACAATGTTGATCACCTGCATGCATGCGTGCCACTTCTCCTTTCAAGAACTTTCACAGCTGCTCAGGGCGGTGTGTGGGCTCCTTCAGACAACAGCAGCTAATTGCAGACTGCCCCAGAAAAGCAGTGATTGTGCTTTGGCTCTTTTAGCTAAGTCCGATTTGTGTGTAAAGCGCTGGCATCCCTTCAGTGTGTCTGCCCTTCGCTTCACATGATGCTCTGCCTTGCACTCAATCAAAGCAGACTGTCTGAGGAACCCACATGTGAAGCATGCACCTCTGTTAACGCTCGATGGTATGCATGGACAGCACAAAGATGCTGTGTCCGGTGTTTCTTATAGTGGCTTTTAAAAGCCAATGTGGCTTTAAACAAATCAAGGGGGTTGTGGCCTGTAAGAGGCTATTGAATGTGGACTTGGAAGCCACAAATTATCTATCGAAAAAACTTAATTTTCTAGTGCATGAAAGCCACATGTTGCCTTTTACCAGCCAAAATGCCCCAAAAGCCACCAGTTTGAGCCAAATATGTCTTCACCGTTCCAACCTTCGCCTAATTCCGTTGCTTAGAAAGCTTCTTCTCGGAGACATCTTCAAAGCCAAAGTGGCTTCCAGGCAAAATCCTGAAAAGAAACAATGCCTGTGTCCTGCAGCCACACATGAAGAGAAATGATTTGAGAGCCCCCTGGGGAGCGTACCTGCTCAGGGGAGCGTGAGAAGGTGAGGCCCCGGATGTCGGTGGGAATGATGTTTATGTAATTTGCCGGCACAGCAATGTAGCGAGGGTCGGTGTTCTGCAGGCCCTGGTCATCGATCTGCGCGCAGGGCGAGACAAAAGTCAGCAGATGCCTGCATGCACAATTTGGAAAAAAAAATGGAAAAAGAAGAAGAGGACAAGTGAATACATCTTTTGAGCCGTGGCGCATCCCACAAGAGGACATGTTTGTACAGGACATGGCAGGGAAATTCTCTGCTGTTTGCTGAAAAAACAGCCTAGCTAGACAGCTTTTGACCATTCCCGCAGTATGTGCACTTGTATTACAGTGAGCAACTAAATTCGAGGCAGGGACCCTGTTGCTGCACGAAGTGCGTAGCCCGGAGAAGTGGATGTAAAAGTTATGAGGGAGATCGAGGCGACTACTGGCATGAGATGACATGAAAATGACAAGAGCACCATATTCCATCAGTTGCTCTCCCTCTTTGAGAGCCTTGTTGGGCTTGAACAGCTCAGAATATGGGTGATCATGATCAAGCTAATGTTACAGTTGCACAAGCTCACACAAGCATCTCATTTGAATGGCTATAGCTCACCCTGCCTTGAACCCATCAGTAAGGCGGTTTGAATATACACAGTAAGTTTGCACCACACTGTGAGCGCCACAGGATTCTATATCTGACCCCCTGTGACCCAGTCAGGGTGGATGAATCAGCAAAAAAGGGTGAAACCTGGGGGCCGTCGAGGGAGTCGCGCAGGGCAGAGATGCGCGCGAATACTTGCTGCACAGTCTCATTGAAGGGCCTCACGATGTTGTTGCGGCGCTGCCACAGCAGCACGCGCTGCGCATAACATGAGACAATGTCAGCAGCCATGTCAGCATAGTTGATCATCTGGTTACTAATGACCAGAGATACATTTAAATACACGCGCATGCAAAGATTGCCATGCTTTGCCAAACAGCAGTGTCATGCCAAGCATCGAGTCAGGCATGCAGCATGTACAGCACTGCTGCCAACGGACGGATGGAGCTTCCAGCTTCCAGGCACCGGAGTTCATCACACCATCCTCAAGAAAGAAGACATGTGCCAGCAGGAACCACACTAGCAAGCTGCAGCTCCCATACATCCCAGAGCAGGGATGCCCGCCTGGGATGAGCTCTGTGTGATGGCATACTGTAATACCCATTCTGAAACCCGCAATAAATAACTATAGTCGGCCAAAAAGGGTGGATAAATAAGACCGTTTCTCCCAAAATATAAACCCTACGATAATCTTGAGACCAGATTCGGAAACCTCTCGACAAGCCCAATCCAGTGGAGCATGACCCTGGTTATTTTTTATATCAGGAAGACCCCTAAAAGTTGCTTGCAAAGATTTGGAGACATGGGCAATCAAGGAAAATGCACCTGCACAGTGGCCTGCGCAGTGGCGCTGGTGGCGAGCCCGGCCACACCATTGGCGATGACAGGGTTACCCAGCAGTCCCACAAGTCCCTGCGCGGCAGACGTCGGCAGCATATTAACTCTCTCGCAGCCGTTAATCATGCAATATATTTATTAGTACACATTCTAACAGTTTCTAGGCATATGAAAGTTAGATACGTCCAGCAACATGTGTATTAGATGTCTCCATTCTGTGCGGTCATGGCACTTCACCAATGCAATGACAATCCCTTGGACAATGACAGTCCAATGGACTCCAAATCCTCCCTTACGTAATCATAATGCATCAGGGGCACACCATAGGTGCATGTGCTTGACCAGCGCAGGATCATATGCACCAGCAAGATCCTCATGCACTGGACGAGGTGCATTCATGCAATCACAGATGTAGCAAGCGACCATGTCAAATGACAGGATGAAGCGTCACTGAAAAGCATGTGCTGCTTGAAACCACACCTTGTTGCCGGTGGCCCCAAGCTCCTCCAGGGAGAGCACAGAGAGCAGGAAGTTCTCATCGTTGGCAAAAGGGTCTGCACGCATGCACAATCTGGAAGTCAGCCAGTGCAGCTGCATTGTGAGGAACAGGCCAGCTGCCCTCACACTTCACCATTGTCTTGCACAGCAAGATTCCAGAAGCATGCCCACATTTTTAACTCGTGACCACGTCATTTATTGAGCGGCGTGGCAGCATATCATTGGCCGCAAATCAAGCAATACTAGCAAGCGGCCTTGTGTCTTTGCATGTGCGCAGTCACGGTCACTCCAAGTGGCACGTCAACACCCCCTCCCAGCTCCACATCAACTCCCCCAGGTAGACCTCATCAACATGTCGATTACTTGTCTATTCCTTTGAGTGCCCAAATGGTGACTTGTTACCACTGTACACTAGTCTCTAATATTACCATATAGGATTCACTAGACGAAAAATTCTCTCGCGAACATTTGGAACTTTATGAGGACCTCTTCCGACCACATTGTGTGCAACTGTCCTGGGGCATTGTGTTTCTGGGATGCTCCCTTGGCTCAACCAATGCGGCTGGCAGCGGCCACAGCTGGAAATGACTAAAGGAAGGGGGTTCTGTGTAAGATCGGTATAGTGAGTGCTCAATATTACATTTTGACTCACCAAAGGGAGTGCCGAATTCGGACTCGATGGTCCGACCGCCTGTTAGATTGTAGGCTGCGCCGAAGTATTTGTTGAACCCCCCGGTGAAGTCGATAGGGGGGCACGGCAGGTCGCTGCCAGCCTGGCGAGTGAACAGCGCGTGACCCTGCAGCCGTAAACAAGACGGGGTTAGATATTTTCTGGTGCCTTGGAATTTTAGCAGCGGAATGACTTCCAGGGACCTCATGCATGCCCAATGAGGCATGCATGCTGCAAGATGCTCTTATGTAAAGTACGCTTAATTACTGTTATGTCAACCTCTGATGTGTCACCTTGCACATGTTGCTCTTGACATGTCGAAGAGACAGGTGCACCTCTGCAATCTACTTGCATGCTCCGATGCAGCTTTATGGCAGAGGTGCACCCATGCATGACTGACAAGGCAAGTTGCTGTGCAATGCTGGCCTCAGCTAGGGATCCCCTAATCTAGATAAATCAGCCAAGCAGGCTGGTGGAATTGTCAAAACCCCGCAAGGTGGCAATCTTGCAGAGCCTTGATTTCAACCAGGAAATTAAGAGCTAGCTGCGCGCCAGCGAGGGGTTCCTTAATTGGGTTCAGACTTACCTGCTCGTTGAGGGCCACTTCCTGCATGTAAAGCAGGACAGCATCGGACAGGTTGGCCTTCCTGGCACCGATGGGGGTGGGTCCCCCCAGGGTGAGGTTGTTGTTGAAGCCGTGGCCGAAGGTGCCCCACGTGTCAAATTGACCCTCCAGGCACCTGCATGGCATTGCATGCATCACTTTCCCACTGATGTGCAGTGCATGCATGCTTGAAAATGCACACTTAAGGAATGCATGACAAAACAAGTCATACTGATTGGCTGTGCATGCTCGTTTAGCGATGCTAGCTGCTTTTCTGGAGGCCCTGAGTAGTACTGCATGCACGTTGTGTGAAGGATTCTTCAGACTCAAGCGAGGAACGCACTCGACATTGGTCAGGAAGTGCACAATGTCTCGGTCAGTGAAGCTCTGCTTCGCAGCCAAGCCACCTGCAAACACCCTGCAACACTTCAGACGCTGCAGCCACATTTCTGGCCACGTTCTGCTGACATGCCCGTGCATGCATGCTAGGTGAGTGAATCTATGTTTAGAGCATGAGCTCGTCGTGCGCTGTACAATTTAGTCAGCCGACTCACGAGACGCCAAGAACGCACCTTTGATCTCGTTGACCTGTGTCGGGAGGAGTGACAAGTTGTAGGGGCCACCATTGTCAGTCGTGCGAAGATTGCCTGGGATTAGAGAGAACGATGTTCACTCCAAGAAAACGGGCACGCTCGATTTACAAGATATGTCCCGGTCTCCTGATGCTAAGCAGGAGTCGTGCAATTGGAGAGCAACGCACCCAAGGGCAGAAATCCCGTTCCAGGCAAGAAAGGCTGGGCCGAGGCAGTCCCAGCGAGAAGCGCAAGCAGTGCTCCGACGTACGTGAGAGCCATTGGACCTTTAATTTGATCTATTTCGAAGAAAATTTGATGCAATATTCACTTGCAGCGCATTTTTTGAGGAGAACAATTCTTCACATTGTTCCTTGTGCACATCATGTGTGATACGGTATCTTTATTACGAAAGTCGCTCTTGATTCCAATGATGTCAACGTTGGAAGCCTTTTGGACAGGGCTGAGTCAATTCTTTTGAGTCAGTGAACAATTGTCGCCTATTTGCAAACTGGACTGACAATTACACGGATCTTGAAGGGCGCATGAGCACTGCAAACCCATTTAGGTTGCTCTTGAATAAAGTCTTCCCAAAACTGGTGACAACACAACAAAGGGCACATGTGTTCTTGGAATGTCTTGAGACTCCACGCTGGATCATACATGGCACGCTTTAATCATATAATGAGAGACACGAAATCCCAAGGGGATATCCCCCTTCAAGGGGATATGCCCTTGCCTCAGCCATTCCACACCATTACTTAGGCATTTCCTTCACCGTCGCACGTCACAAAATAATTAGGTATAATTAATAGCTCTGAAGTGACGCTCTGAACTGACACTCTATATGCTCAACAGAGGCTCAAACAAGCTGTGCTGAGCCCTTTGCTTAGATCCAGCAATGTTGAGTGCTGCATTGATTTCTCAGCTGGCTAGAACAGAGCGGCTGCTCTGTAAGTCTCAAGGGAACCTGCACAGCTCTGTATTTTGCCTGCCACAATGCATTGACTGCTGCACTATCCCACTGTCCTTGAAAGCAGAAGGAAACTGCTTAGAAGAAGAGGCGGCGGCCGCCGGCGGCAACGGGGGTGGAAGCATCGGATGACTTCAAAGGGTAAGCCACAGCCACCTGCAACAGGAAAGATGCCTCAGAATATATCACATCTTTTTCTCCAACCATTCGAAGCAGCGATGCGCAATACGTGGTACATATCAGACCACTTCAGGGCTGCAAGACATAGCCAAAAGAAATGCTATACACCCATCAGCTACTTCAATTTCTCATCAAAAATGCTCACAGGTACAGAATATTTGAATGATGCTTTCCACCCTTTCAAATCCCATATATTTGTGCAGGGATTTTTCTTAGTGCGTATCGTTCTCGGCTGATGTTCCCACACATTGTCAATTTAAATGGCTCTCCCCAATATATCGATAAGGTCAGAGGGTGTGATAGTAGGCGGAGGTAATCAGATGCATTAGAATAGTAGTTGGCGAGTAATGCAGGACCAATTAGGCTGAAGCACACCTGGCTGGCGTTGGAGAAGTAGGGGGAGCCTGGGGATTCAGTGACATAGCCGCGGGTGGCAGCAGTCTCATTGTCCTTGCCTCCGGTCAGCGACTGAGTCAGGTCCAGCTCGCCGGTCACGTTTGCCGGCGGCTTGGGGCCTGGGATGGTGCCGATCTGCTCCGTGCTCAGCTGCACAGCCACAAGGTGAGTTGTCAGCAGTCAATTAAATCATCAAGAGATGATCACGGCCTACTCTGCCACCACCACAACCTGCCTCAGATAGACAACAGAACACCTGCATTCAAATCATCAAATGAGTCTGCCAAATTCTGCCAATGAGGTGGGCGGCAATCTTGACCAGACAAAAAGACACCTGCAGCATGCAGGCCTGTGCAAAACGGTGCAGTGCAATCATTCGACTTGTCTGCCACCTCTACAAACAAGTGGGCTGCAATCCCTCCCAACGAGCGTCTCAAGAAATGCTACGCAAGAGATCCCCCATCACAGGTCACAAATCTTCAATTCATGGAGTTCAAATTTGAATTTGGTGATGTGCACACCTGAGTGGCGACCTTGGCGCCGCTGGCTGGGAAGCTGTCAAGGCCTGAGGCGGTTTCGTTGTAGCCGGTGGGCTTGTTGATGGCGCCTCCCAGACCGTTGGGGAAGAAAACGCCCTTGCCATCCAGGCTTCCCAGGGTCACAATGTTGATGATCTGGAAAAAACACACATCATGCCTCATTCCCGTGCGCTGTAAGCAGGTAAGACTTCATTCCCATGCAGATTCAGCAGGAAGGGAAGGTTATTTTTGCTGTTGTGGATCATACTGAGTGTCTGAGTAAACCCATGATTGTTTCCCACAAAAGCATTGGCATCTGAACCATGCATGCCTGCATGCTTCATTGATGACCTGTTCAAAATCGCAATTTTCCTGAGCAGTTGGAAAAAATGCCAACCCCAATATCACCATACATCTGCTACTTCCTAGGAAGCTTTGGCCGGTGAAAGGGCAGGAGCGCTAGGCTTGTCAGGTTATTGACCCTGGGAACAAACCTGCTGGGGTGTGCGCGAGAAGGTGAGGCCGCGGACGTCGGTGGGAATCATGTTGACATAGTACTGGGGCACAGCAATGGTGCGCGAGTCAGTGTTCACAAGTCCCTGGTCGTCCACCTAGCCAACAGCACATACATCTTGAGTTTCAAATTTAGATCTTCGAATTCAGCGCACATCAACATGCTGCATGCCTACATGCAGGTGTCATTTTCAGCACGCAACCCCTGACACACAACAAAAGTAGGGTAAAATCTGGTGAGCAGGCAAGTCAATGCACTAGCCTCCCTTGCAATGAATATCTTTGAGGGGACCAGCAAAACATGAACGTATCCATGGTTGCTGCATGCCAAAACAGGGGAATTAAACTCACCGGAGGGCCGTCAAGGGAGTCGCGCAGAGCTGAGATGCGGGCAAAGACCTGCTGCACGGTCTCGTTGAAGGGGTAGACTGTGTTGTTGCGGCGCTGCCACAACAGCATACGCTGCGCACATAACAAAACAATTTCAAATCTTGAACTTGGAACCAGCGAAACCATCAGCACTGCAATTGCAACAACCTCCAGCCGAAAGCTGAATCAAGGCGCCGCATTGGCTGCTCGCTCATTGACAGGCATAAGCTTACAACCATACCGAATCCTAAACAAACACGATATTAATGAGGTTGTTGAAGTTCTGTAGATTAGAAGTACACGTGGATAACTCTGCAGGCGGGTGAGGAGCAGACCTGCACAGTGGCCTGTCCAGTGGCACTGGTGGCCAGACCGGCAACAGCGTTGGCCAGGACAGGGTTAGTCAGCAGTCCAGTCAGACCCTGCAATGCATACAACAGAGCTCAACACCCCTACCTTGGTCTCATGTTTCCTTGCTTCATAACAGCTTCATGTGCTTCACACAGCGTCAGAGTACAGTACTGTACAGAAGTGTCAAAGCCAAGCTTATTGTTATGCTCATGGCGCTTGGCTTTGACACTTCTTTAGAGTACTGAAGACACATCTGAAATAGGGCTGAGACATGTGCACACCTTGTTGCCGGTAGCTCCGAGCTCCTCCAGGGAGAGCACAGATAGCAGGTAGTTCTCATCGTTGGCAAAAGGGTCTGCACGCATGCACACACAACCTCAGCCGGAGCACAGCAGCACCCTTCCTGCTTGGATCAAGTTTGCCCATTTCAGTGCATTCAACCTTAAGTAATTCTATCCTCAAATTCTGCAATATACCAGTGGGACGAGGACAAGGACAAAGACAAAGAGGCCAGTGCAAAACACAAAAAATCGGATTTAGGGATTTTGCCTTTACAGGGGGGATTTTATGGAGGAGAGCGCACCGAAGGGCGCGCCAAACTTGGACTCGATGGTCTCGTTGCCGGTCAGGTTGTAGGCTGCGCCAAAGTACTTGTTGAATCCACCGGTAAAGTCGATGGCCGGGCAGGGCAGGTCACTGCCAGCCTGGCGGGTGAATAGCGCGTGACCCTGCAAGGCAGGCAGTAAAAACTCACGCAGGGCATCGGCAACCACATCTGCCGGGGCTGACATTGCTCTGCAGCCTTCTTTGATCAGATCAAACTGCTTTCGTGAATGTCATTTGAAAAGTCATTTTGGTGAGGAGCTGCACCTGCTCGTTCAGGGCGACCTCCTGCATGAAGGGCAGGACTTCATCTGACAGGTTGGCCTTCCTGGCTCCGATGGGGGTGGGCCCTCCCAGGGTGAGATTGTTGTTGAAGCCGTAGCCGAAGGTGCCCCATGTGTCAAACAGACCCTCCAGGCACCTGCACACAATGAATGCACTTTAGAAGGCAAGCAGCATGTGTCGAATGTGATGGGCCACAGGGCACAACAATTTTTCCCACCACAAGTGATGAGCCTTGTTCTTATCACTGTACTACATATTCAAAGTGGCAAGACAAAGAGCTTCATTGACATGGCTGGTGTCAGAAAATGGATTCACTTACTCAACGTTAGTCAGGAAGTGGATGATGTCCTTGTCAGTGAAGTTCTTCTTTGCAGCCAGAGCTCCTGTGGCAAGAGCAATACGCTGATGCTTTGTGCCTTGAACGGGTTTTGATTTCAGATGCTCAACACGTATTATAATCACAAAAGGAGGGCATGAAGCAAGTCCTGCTACCAACGAAGGCAGCAAATTTCACGAAATTCTGACGCGATGATGCGTGAAAGAATTTACCCTTGATCTCGTTGGCCTGCACTGTGAGGAGTGAGATGTTGTAGGGACCTCCGCTGTCAGTCGTCCGGAGGTTGCCTGCGCGTTACAAGCACAATCTTAAGGTCCGAAATACGCATTCCCGTGTGCACACTTCAAGAAATCATATAAGTGTGCACACTTCAAGAAATCATATAAGATGCGAAAGAATTCACGTATGATAAATACTCGTTACGCTTTCGGTAGAGGGACATTATAGCCAGCAGCGCACCCAAAGGCAGGAACCCGGTTCCTGGCAAGAAGGGCTGTGCGGTGGCAGTGACTGCCAGGAGCGCAACCAGCGCCCCAACGAACATCACCTGCACAACGCAGGTGTAGACTATCACTGGTTAGCAAACGACGCCCGTGCACTAACTTTGCAGTTCTTCCGCGCATACATTTCTTGCGAGACCACAAAGCGATCCGGCTGCCGTAGGCAATATGCGCTTAGAAACGTAAAGTGACACTATAACCCCAAAAGCCACCAGCTGTCTTATCTTTCTGCACGTCACAATGATCCACACCCATAACAGGCATTGTTCCTTGCTGAAACCGTGGCAGCGGAGTGCATCCGAAAAGCGATCCCTTCCCAACATAGCATCAAAGAAGGGGCGGCATACCTTCATGATGTCAACCTTGCAATCAGAAATCTATCCAAATTGCGACACACCTGCAAGAAACCAGATTCGGAACAATAATTTCTCGGTGGCTATCGAAGATACAACATCCGAAAGCACACAAATGTCAACTATTGTCTGTGATGGAGTGAAGCACATAGCAATAAATCAAGCGTTGATTACTGATCGAGTATCCGAAGCAACGCAATGCCAGTCACTGTGAGAATGTAAATGTCAGCGGCCGGCATGTGCCGGATGCAATTGAACTAGCACCTTTTGGAGTGCGATCCTGATCGAAGACTGATTTGTCGATGCTACACGATAATGTGCAAGCAAGACGATTGCAAATATTGATCTGCTCAAACAAAAGTCCTTCCAACAATTAAGAAGGATGTCCTATAATTGGAGTGCACCACAGGGCGGACGACGTGGGGGCCCTTCCAAGCCTAAGAGGGGAAGCTGGCAACTACTAAGAGGAAGCTGAGCTTATCCTGATCGCCTGATCATCATGATGTCATTTCCCAACTTCCTTCCACTGGGAGAGACGAGTAAACTTCCCATCTAAAGCATTCCGCATGCACCGAGCATCGCGCAATAACGCTGTATTAATGCACATCTGCAAGTTGCAGGCATAGCTGCGCAGCTGACTAGCCTCTCTGGGACAGGCACGTGCCCCACATGTGCATAGGCCTGATTACTTTATTATTATTATTATTACACGCTTTTCCTGCCGAAGGTAAGGTGCGTCTGCAGACAAGATTACTACTTATTGCTAAAAGAGCTCAAGTTCAGCTCTAGTGTCTTGTCACTCATTCTCAACAGCAAAAGTTTGGCAAGGAATACTGTGGGCTGGAGACGGTCCATCATGCTGTTGGCTGCCATGGCCAAATCAATATTAAATGTCTGTCACATGCAAGTTACTAACTCACAGCTAGTAGCTGGGCCTTAGAGAAACATTGCCGCTGGTGTCAATCAGCAATAAAATGTAGTCATGCGTCCTGGATTCTCTGCAGGATCAATGTATCCTGCTTCATGGCCTCCATTGTGAGAATAAGTACAGTAGCTCCTGCAGCGTAAATTTCACCGCAAGCCGCTGCATTGCGCTAGTAATTGTCATTCGAGACGACAAAGACTGACACGGGACTCGTGCAATTATTCACTGCACACATGGAACATTTCTGACAAGAGCAGAACTGAAGTTGGCTTTTGATGTGACAGCAGTGAGCTCCTGTGATCTCCAGCTGTGCAGCTGCAGCTATTCACCAGCTGCACTGCTGGAGAAATCTTGTTGTTCAAAAATTCTCCTGCGCTTCAGAATGCTGATAACATCATCATATCCGCTTTGTTGCGAGCAGAAGGGGGTGAAACAAACACCTCCAGCCGCAGAGGAATTTCTCGGGCAGCTCCTGCGCCCGTGCTGCTTGCTGACATCACCCCGTCGGCTCACTTCTATCCTCTTTTGCGCGCGATGAACACCTCCAGCAGCAGGGGAATTTCCGCCAGCTCATGCGACCTGTCTGCACCGGCGTGCGGCGCCACAAATCTGTCGCTGTGCCGGTGTAAGACTGCGTTTACTTGCGCCTTCACCTCTGCCTGCTTCTCTGGTTCCAGGGATGCCACATAACTCCTGGACAGAATCCGCAGCCAAGCCTGCTGCCGCGTCACCTTGACGGAGTGCCTGCACCGGTCAGTGTTGATCAGTCACATTACAAGATGTAAATTACATGGCTTCCAGCCATATTAGGACTGATCCGGTCTGTGACCCTGGTTCTCAGAGGCAGCGCCCAGCATGACATCCAAAAGCTCGGAATTGAATCCCAAGTGTGCTTCAGTAAACATTCATTTTAGCGAGACCCCACTCATGCTCTTGGGCGGCTCTGCGCTCAGAACTGCACACCGCGGCACCTTCCCTCTATTCTCTTGCCTATGAGATGTAAATCCCGAGCAAGGCTTTGGGAGACTTGTGAGACCAGCTGCAGCTGGTGTGACACAAGCTCATCAAGCACTTCAGAGATCTGCTGAAGAAGCATGTGACCAGTCCAGCAAAAGCTTGACAGGCATGCCCATGCCAATTCCTCATTTCCTGCATATTGCTACTCTCCAGGATGAGCAACAGCTTAGATGTAGATGCCAGTAGTCTTCCATGCATGTTCCTGAGCGCCAAGATAGGAACTCCACCTGAAGAACTCGCTCTTGGAGCGCGGGTCCTTATCGGGGACATCAAAGTGCTGTTTTGCGTAGTCACCCTCCCACACGCGCACCCACTCCCCTGTCCAGTACTGGGGGATCCCCCGGCTGAGCGGCTCAAACACCTGCAGCTCATTTACAAGGCTTGATGCTGCAAACGAGTCAGGCTTGTTCTTGCATTCCTACTGTTCATATCAGGTGTTTCCATTGCACCTTGAGGGCTTTGAAAATTACATGTGACAGGCCCCTCACACCTCCTAGGGCAATATGATGCAGGAGGAAATCAGTAGATGAGGGATGCGTTTGCAAGGTGACTGGCTAGGGAATAGAGACTCTTAAAACCAGCACCGCCAGCTGGCGTCATAGATGCCCGTCTTTACAGCTGCATGCTAAAGGATGCTGTGGGTGAACTTCTCACATCCTGTCAGGGGATACTTTACCTGACTCTACATCTACTATCATATCTAATAGTAGTACCCCCTAATCCTGCGGAGGAAAGGGGAATTTGGTAGCACAAAATCGCAATCCTCTGGCCTTGAGTAATCCATTGGCATCTACCGAGGGCAACCTAATACAGAAAGCATGCTCACAGCAACGCAGATTTGGGCTGTGAACCTGCAGCAGTTCTGCGGCCCAGGGAACGCCGTCATCCTCCCTGTTCCACAGCAGTGCCAGGCCGCCGCCCGGCCGCAGCACGCGGTGAATTTCTGACAGCGCTGCCTCGTGCGCAAACCAGTGGAAGCCCTGCAATCAGACCCTCTAACTTTTATTATTTCTCAGATTTACTACACGCTTTTCCTGCCAAGAGGCAAGGTGCGTCCTGCAAACAAGCTGCATTTGAAGGTTGCCACATTCGTACCCCTTGTTGGACTCGCCAGATCTATGCAAGACCCAACCAACCGTGGGCACGGTGCTCAGTACTTGTGACTCTCCCCCCCAACCGGGGCCACAACGTTGAAATAGGTTCACAAAGCTACTTTTGGAAGTTTCTGCCCTTCAGCACAGATGTTGCTCAGCCAACATAGCTGTGGATGGAATCCCCAGAAATGCCGGCATGGGTGGCCAGTAATTACAGGTCATGCTGCAATGAGACGTTGACTGGCCGTCTTGGAAGGGACTGATTGCCAACATGCGGTCAACCAGGGGGAGTGGGCGCTTGCATTTTGTGGGCGAGCAGTGGGTCATATTGTGCGGGGCGAAGGGCTATTTGTCACCTGGCCGACAAAGACAGCGTCGATGGAGCCGTCATCGAAGGGCAGCTGCTGTGCAGCGCCGTGCAGGATCTCTACATCCGGCAGGACCTTCCTGAAGCCCCCTATCATGGCCTCATTTGGCTCCACCGCCACAACATCCAGCCCAGGAACGCGTACCAGCAACCTAAGCAGCATGCTCAAGACTTGAGTCTAGCGGCAAAATCTGGCAGCACTTGACTGGCTGCACAATTTCCCACACATGTCAGGTGTCACTGTGCATGCACAGGATGCCCCGCACAAAGTGAGAAGACAGGAATGCTGCATCGATCAGACGTAGCTTTGATTTGTGTGAGTTCAGACCTGGTGAGCTTGCCAGTGCCAGCAGCAAGATCAACAGCTTTTTTTGGGAGGCCCTGGTCGAGTCCCAGCTCCTTTAGGGCGTACTTCAAGCCGTCCTGCGGATAGCTTGGCCGCCCTTGCTCATACGCATCCACCTGCCACACTGGGGTTCTTAGTCATATGTCGTTGTCCCTTATGGAGAGGAGCTTCTAGCCTGCACATCTGTTGTCCAGTTTAGTATGACATAACGATCCAGCATTGATGTTTCTCATAGCCCCATCCTCAAACTGAGACCAGGATGGGGCGCCGGGCATCGCAGGGGTTTCAAAGTGTAGCCCTCAGTGTTTACCTGCAGGCTGAACCCTTCAGATGCAATCTTATGAATATGGGTCGCTTCGATCGCTGCAATCTTCGCCATAGTCCTCTTTCCGCTGGTTTGCCGAGTTTTGTGGAGCACGTGTCGTGCAATCACCGTTGTAAGCGAGCAGTCCAATCCCGTGTGGGCTGTGCTTGCCAGGGATCGGCTCAACAATGCAAAGGGGAGCATGGGAGATTGTTGTTTTCGTTTTTGCTCCTTGAAAGCTGTGCCCTTTCTCTCGAGAAATTGCACTGCACGTGCCCGCAGGAGCACAAGCAAGTACGTGCACCACGGCGTTCCTTCTGAGGGTACCTTCCTCTGCCTCATTGTCCTTTGAAGACGAAATTGGATGAGTGAATTGCATCCGAGTTTTTACACTCTGGATCAGTGAACAATCCTCTAAGAGCAGGTGACCTTGGCAGCATGGCCTCGTACACAACATACGATCCGGCAGGAGCCCAACCACAATACGTGGCTGCCCCAGCACAGGCCTACGCTCCAGCTCCAGGAGGTAATTACACTATTGCCCGTTTGCTTTTCATAATATCGTCTGGAGTCTGAGCTGCAGGATGATTGAAGAGGTCCCTTTGATGCAACTTGCTTTCTCTCCCCAAGACACTGAGGCAAGTTATCATGAAAGTCCTTTGGATGAAGATTGTGATGTCAATGGGCATTATTGATTGATTTCGGATAAGCTATTTCCTGATCAAACTTCTCATGCTCGAGCAGTGCTTTGCTCACATTTGCACCGTCACCTCCTTGTCAGGGTGTCACCAGAGTAAAGTACCGGTCTCCTGTGTATATGGAGAGTAATCAGATTATTGGCATGGACAGGCTATGCCCCACAGCAGGCTGCATACGCCCCAGCACCGGCGTACACTGCCTATGCACCGGCATACAGCAACCCGGACGAAGTGCGCACGGTGTTTGTGACTGGCTTCCCCGCAGATGTCAAGGAGCGGGAGCTCAACAACATGCTGCGCTTTGTCCACGGGTGCGCATGCCCTTGCACCTTGCACCTATGCAGCCTCATTCTTCCTGACTTTCAATGAGCACTTTTGCAGAACAGCAGAGTGCAATCAAGCATCTGGTGTGGTGCTTGTCCTGTTAGTACTCCACTACATATAAAGAGGAGCTTGAGGTGAAATGCGCATGCCATGCAAGAGTGCGTTTAGTCAATCCATGTAATGGTTCTCTTGACAAGGAGGAGCAGGATCTGAAATGCCCATGCCATGCAGAAGTTGACAGGACTCTGGCAATTCAAATAGTAGATGATTGACTACTATCAGGTCGGGATGGGACCTGAACCTATCCAGATCGATAGGATAGATTTGTCCTATCTGATGGAGGAATGCGCTGCAGGTATGAGGCGTCCCAGATGCACTGGAAGAACGGACTGGCGCAGGGCTTTGCCCTGTTCACGCATGGGGAGGCAGCGCGCATGGCCATCAGCAGCATCCACAACCTGGTCTTCGACGACGGCGCGGTGCGAACTGCAGCCCCACACTTGTCTCGCAGATCTCACATGGTGGATGTTTCACAATGAATGACCGTGTGATTTCTGGTGCCTTTCTGGGTCATGGGATGAAGCCTGTGGACCTAATCGGGGTCGGGTTGCTTGCATCACTTCCAGAGCATTGCTCTGGAAGTGATGCAATCAATGCACGGGCCACGAAGAACGGCTGCCAAAGAAGAGAAGAAAGATTGCGGTAAAATCAAACAGTTTTATGAAACGGTTAGTCATGGCACAAGCCTGCATTGCAATCAAATTGCAAGAGTCTAGGGGAAGCCTCCTTGGGCATCATCAGAGTGATGCCAGGGCAGGGAGGCATGATGCGCTGCAGCAATGTCTCTATCCTTTGTCTCAAGAGGAGAGCCTTGCCCTCAGTTGTACACTCTGCCGTACCTGGCTGACAGAATATCGATGGCAGAATGGCTTTATTGGGCAATTGACATGCATGCATGCGCTTGGCTTTCCAGATACTTCGGTGCGAGATGGCGCGGAAGAACATGTACATCAAGGACGACGCGGCTGCTGCCAAGCGCGGTCGCATGGAATATTCCCCCTACCCGGCCGCGCCGTCCCCGGCGCCCTCTGGAGGAGCTTACTATGCGCCGGCCCCAGCGGTGCGGGCATTGTGCTAATCCATTGGGAGTTGGTGCATATTTAGAGAAAGAAGATATCAAGGCAGAGCAAGCAGCAGATTTTTGCATGGTGATGTGGTCACATTGGCATGCCATAGGCGGTCATGGAGCAATTGTGTCTGTGCGAGGGGTTGCATAGGCGACGAAGCAGTAAATGTGAATGTACCATATCTTGCCGTTGTATGTCAATATGCGTCCTCTTGCACAGACACAATGCGCATACTTCGGCTTACATATTTTGTTTTTTCACCCTACTTCAACCTTCCTCTTCTACATATATGCAGAAGAGGATTGATTGAATATTATGAGAATGAGACGATGGAGCGTGAGGCTGTACGTATCTTGCTGCGCAGTCGGCGCCGGTGCAGCCGCCGCGCAGCTACGTGCCGGTGAACAACACGAAGGACAATCCGCCGTGCAACACGCTGTTCATTGGCAATCTGAGCGAGAACACCAACGAGGACGAGCTGCGCGGCCTCTTCGTGGGGCAGCCGGGCTTCCGCCAGCTCAAGCTTGTTCGCGGCGCACGGTCGGTGACGTGCTTTGTCGAGTTCTCGGACGTCGCCTCCGCCATGGGCGTGCACCAAAGCCAGCAGGTATGGCCGGGGATTTTTTCCAGGGGTGGGTAGGGTTTTTGGTGAATAGCGAACAGCTGGTGTTCCAGGGCATGTTTTCTGGTGGTGCAAGAGCTTTGATGAAAAAAAAGCCAGCAGATTACCCCAGAAGGTGCGTGATTCAAATCAGGGGTGCTTGTTTATGTTGGAACTGCCTAATATTGGCTGCTGTAATGTCGTAAAGCATTATGGGACCCTGGAACCAGTCTCTGGAGGGGTATTGTCATTTACCCTGCCATCGTTCGCACCCAAGTGTAGGATATGCTCATTGTGATGCTGAGAGCCCGGGTGTGATGGGGACAGCGAAATTTGCCTATTTGAACAACCTGCCAGGGTCCTGAAACGCCAAAGTCTGTGCAGGGCGCAGTGTTGTCGACATCGGACCGCGGCGGCATCCGCATCCAGTACTCCAAGAACCCCTTTGGCAAGAAGCGCGACGCCAACGGCAACTGGATCAACACCCACGACAGCCCAGCCGCGTACGCGCCGCCCTACAGCCCCAGGTGTGGGGCGCACACTTAGTAACCTGCAATGTCTACAGCATTTGCGGACCCATCATATGTTGCAAGATCACACTGTGATCTACGAGTATCTGCACCTCAGGCCTCAAGTTTGCTATTCTATGCGGTCTACAGCCCCAGGTGTTGGGAATTCCATAGTACTCTTAGGAATTGTGCAATGAATGCTGTGTGTTAAGCCGCATGACTTTGAATATTCTATGTGAGCAATTGGAGGCAGGCCTCATTATAGCCATTGCGTGTACTGTTGCTTCATGTATGGACCACACAATGGATGCTTAGCCGAAGGAGTAGCAGGACCTGTATGGCGGAGCGTGCTTTACATGGGTTGGCACAGGGTTGACAGAGTGTGTATATTTTGCAGCCCCAGTGGGGCAGGTGCCGGCATGCCGCCGGCACCTGCGCAGCAGCCTCCATACGGCGGCGTTGACCCGGCAGCCGCGTCGGGCAACCCGGCGGCCGGATACGCTCCGGCCCCCGCGCAGCCGGCAGTGTACGACGCGCCGCCACCCCAGCAGGGGAATTACAATGCCCCCCCGGCCGCTAATGGCGCTCCCGGTGAGTTTGTTGAGCAGCAGTATTGTCCTCAAATTCTATCAGCCTTGTTTGCAGTTTATTTGCGTGTCAACATTATGTGCTGTAATTGTTGCTGTGTAGCCGGCATGCTCGTCAGCACAGGAGGGTTGTTGTGCATGGAATGTGGCAGCGGCTGATCATGTGCTCTGGTGTGGGGATCAGGCTATGTGCAGGACATGAATGGGGACGTGAAGCCGCCAATGGGCGCTGAGCAGCAGAGTGCCGCCGCTGCAGCAGAGGACGAAGTCAAGCGGGAGCAGCCTCAGCCCATGTGAAATGCTCTGCACTAGGTGCGCCCATTTCCTGCCTTTAGCTCATGCATCAGCTCTCAACAGAAGCTTGTTGGAAGGTCGCAAGGACAAATGATCATCTTTGCATTTGCCGCAGTTGCTGATGGGTGCATGTCTCTGACGCACGCTGCATCGATTGCAGGCACAGCATGCAAGCATGCGCATGCATCCTCACATGGCACCTGGCATGATCTCTGCTGTGTCACTGCTGTCACTCTCATGGGCATGGCATGGCATGAGCACCCTGTCAATGTGTGGGTGGGGGCATCAGAGCATCCAGTGAAGTCTGGCATACTTTCAGTGGCAGTGGTTTGCACCAAGCACAAGCATTGGACACACGCATGGGAGGGAAGCTCATGGTGGCTCTTACATAGGAAATGAGGCATGCAGCATTTGCAAGCATCGGCATCAGCATCAGCATGTTTCTCAGCATTTGCAGCAGCAGATGTGGATTTGGAGGCAGTAAGTTGTTTTGTGTGTTTGTGCGAGTATCTGTGAGCCCGTGTGTTGAGCACTTACTGATTTGTGGAAGCGTCCTTATGGAGACTGGAAGCTGCAGAGATCTGTATGTAGGCATGCAACGGCAGTGTTTGCACAGCTTCTCTTGTTTCATGTAGCAGTGTGCACTACCTTGCACAAATCGGCGTGCACTCTGAACTCTGTGTTTGGCCTTCTAAACAGAATAATTCCTGAAAATGATGGTGTGCATGACAGTGAAGTGCAAGCTTGTCCCAGTGGGAACGTCTGTTGGTGAGATGCATAAATTTTGATATGCACAGGACGTGTTAGAAAGAAGCATGCTGCGCAAAAAGCATATTACAATAGTCCCTGCAAGCCATCTAGCAGACGACAGTCATCCATACTATGGCTGAATTACATTCTCTTTCCTTGCACTTGGCCTAAATCTTTGGAGTGGTGCGGATAATTGTCCAAAAAAAGCCCTTGCAATCGCATAGTTGCGAATAAATCTTTCTAATCAAGACCACCCAATGTGACATTGTAATTGCACCATGCCGCTACAGTAGCTACACTGTTGGCAACAGGCGCCGTGTTTTTACAATTCGTAGCTGACACCAATCGTTGGTCAGTTTGCATGCATTTTGTAAGATCCTCGTGCTGCCAAATGGACTATCCCTAGGGCATCCAGGCCTTCTCAGAAGTTCTCTATTTCTCGCCATAAGCGCTCTTTGCACAAGCAGCTAGAAACAGCATGGACCATGGACTGTATAAACTAATTCACTAGCAACCAGCGCTAGCAGGTGAGCGAGGAGCGCCCAAAGTGGAGACACAATGCAGACCTCAGCGATCATGGGTCTGCTTGTCTAGCAAGTCATCGCCGCCAGGCTTAGCATTTGCAGCTGACGTAGCCTTGGCATTCTCGCGGTACAGGTCGGCTGGTTTGGCGCCCTTCAACATCTTCTCATTCTGCTGCTTGTGCTTCCCTATCAGCTCTGAATATTCTTCAGCAGCGCCCTGCCTGCAGCATCCATTGGTCGACACAACAATGAGTAAACAAGGTACCAGCGCCGCGAGTGTGAGCATGGGCTGTTGCAAATCATGCCGCAACAGGTCCTAGGATGCAAGTGTTGCTGCTCTTGTAGATGAGGACGCCTAAGCGTGCACAACAGGCCACAGATTAATCAATATTGCTCAGTTAGCGCACTTGTTCTCCATCACACCAGCAGGCTCCATGGACTCTGCTCCCTCCTTTCCTAAGGGCTTCTCCATTCCAACAGCTTCCTTGGCTTTCTGCAGGGCAGTATGAATGAGATGAATCACCTGAACACAATAAATTGACAATGCAAGAAAGGGAGAGCTGTGAGGCGTGGATCACTCAGGAGAGGTTCAACCTGATAGACAGTTCCTACTGTCGCCTTCACACCATCCTTGAAGAATCCCGCTGATTGCTCCGCTTTGTCAGCATTATATTCGGCAGAAGACTCCTGAAAGCAATAACACAAGGATTTGTCTTACGAAGGGACCCGCGGTGATCTTGAATCTCACATCCCGTCACAGCGCTGTGGTGCTTGATGCCTACCTTTGCGTCGTCTGCATTATCGATCTTGCCTGAAAATAGTCTGAGATTAGAGCAGGCCACACTTCCGAGCGGCTTGAAAGGCAAACTTGCCACGCTCTGCCGCAGAGCTAAGCATCCTTTAGACAACATCCTTCGGCACAAAGTTGAGGATTTGTTGCTGGACAGGAATTAACAAATACAGAAAGGTTGATGTAATCTGTATGCACCAGATATGTGCAATTCAGATGTCGTCTGGGATCAAAGCGAAGGTTTTGATGGAGGAGCTATTTTGGGCCATGGACGTCATGCATGCCATGACGTCATCACCTGGCTACACTTCCAGGTGAAGATCTTATTCACAAAATTCCTCAGATGATCTGCTTCACTTCCTGAAGAAGTACTGAAAAGTGCCCAATTCATTGCGCGTTGCAGTATTTCCGAATCTGCTTCAATGCTGTTCACACGATCTCAGCTTTATTCGAAACAGCAGGTGACCAGAGTTGACTTGATGGCGGTAAATCAAAATCAAGGTAGCTTCTGCAAAGGGAACCGACCCAGGGGAGCTCGGTGGTGTGCAGCAGCAGCTGTCATGAGAAGGCACATGCTGGCTGCCCCTGCCTCTGTGCTGTTAGCTGTGGCTCCACTGCTCGACGGTGAGGCTCACTTCATACAATCAGTAGATTCTTGCACTCATCATGGTGCAGAGGGGTGCAGAAAATAACCAGACCGTCCCAGTTTGTATTGCTCTGCAGGCCCCTCAAGTCGTCTAGGCCCCTCCACGCTTAGTGATGCCATAGCCGCTGCAAAGGAAGGAGATGTGATCCAAGTTCAGGCTGGCACATACCGAGAGCGCCTCATCCTGTCTCGATCTGTCACACTACAGGCTTGGCCTCCGGTAAGCTCTGAACCATCATGCATCAATGCACTAATCTCATCAAGATGTATAACCTTCAAATATGGTACTCTGAATGCAGAGATGTAGGTTGTGCAGGGAGCCACCTCTGAGCTGACCACCACACTTCATGTGTCAGATATGTGAACGGATAACGGTCGATGATTCAATCGCAGCAAAGAGGCCTGATGGATTCATGTGGTAGGGGCGCAGGGCGCTGATGTGACCATCAGCTGGGTCACAGACAGGCCATACGAATCAGTGGTGCTCAGCACGGGACCAGAAGTCTGCCTGCGAGGGGTCAAATTGCGGCACAGCTCTCCATCTGTGGCCAACAACTATGCAGTCTTCATGCAAGGCGGATCGCTCCGGCTAGAGGCACACATGTCTCCTATATGCCCACCCAGTCCTGATCTGCAAACATGCCTGACTCTGAATTCTCAAAATTGCCTGAAACATGCATGAGCAAGGCCTCCTGCAAGGAAAGGCTATTCACTCATTTGTGGACAGGCAAAATGGGACACATAGAGGGTGGCTTGCAGGAGTGTGACATCAGCAGTGCGACCGGCAGTGGCATAGGCTCGGAAGGGGGCAGGCTGTCAGTTCGCAAGTGCAGCATGCATGACTGCAAGCGGCATGGCATTGCAATGTTTGGAGACCTGGAGGGATCGGAAGGTGCGATGGAACTCCTGTGTCAACCATGCAGAATTGTGCTATAATGGTGGCAGACTTTTATGCCTGCTCAAGTGTTTAATATTTCCAGGGTGATGCGCCTAGATGCAGATCTGATGTGAAGTGTACAGCCCCAGGGAGTTTCTGTAGACACCATGCGATGAGTAAAAGACAATGGCTTAGTCAAAAGAAGCTGATGCAAGGCCCACGTGTGTTGGCAGGGGATGCAGTGGTGGAGGAGTGCAGCATCAGTGGGAATGAGCTGAATGGGTTGCTACTGGCAGACAATGCACATTTGGTGCTGAGGCAAGCTAGAATAAGCAGGAACGGAGGGTACGGAGTGTATGTGAAGGATGGGAGGGCTGACATTGATGGAAACACCTTTGCAAGGAATGGGCGGGGCCCGTGGTTTGCCAGTGACAGTGCAGATGTGGACTTGTTTGCTCTTTCCAAAAGTAATGCGCAAACAGGTTGACTTGCGGCCAGTTTTTTCTGAAGTCGATCGTGTGCGAGCTGTAGCTACCTTATTAGATTTGTAATCAGCGCTTACAGCGCCCTATCATACAAATTATTAAAAGTCGTCTCTCCTGTAATTGAGATTCATTATGTACTGACAGTACAAAAGGACAAAAACTCTAGATTCAACCAATTAGCTACTCACAATATTAAGTTACTGACACGGCACTTCTCCATATCAAACATTCAGCTTTCGAATAGGCTTTGAATTCCAGAGTATTCTGTCGTCCCCAATCTTGGGATCTGACAAATTTGTTACGTGCAACTCGTCCCTGAACCAGGCAGTGTAGTTGTCTGGGCTGCGCTGCATGTCTAGCCTTATGTCATCCAGACTTACATACCGCCACGCGTGCACCTCCGCACTGTCCGCTTCCACTCTTCCCTCCCATCCATCCAGCCTGCGAAGCATCATAAGTACTAACTTAAAAACCCAGATAATCAAAACTTGGATTCTCTATTAGAATGTGCAGGTAAGGCAGGCTCCTCAATATACGGGGGCAAAACCCTTCTTAGACTTTGGCGAGATTCCACAATTGTACATAGGGAAGCAGACAGATCGGGCGCTGATCAATATTCAATTCAATCTTCGGAGGATTTGTGCCCTTCACCTGAAGCTTGTGACAAATTCACAGTCCAGAACTCCCTTCCCTGGCACACTCAGCTGCCGCAGATGGACTGGGGTCAGGGGCCCGGCCAACTGCACAGGTTCCACTGAAATGCCCAGCTCCTCTTGCAAGCCTCTGGCTGCAGCCTGCATGAGGCTAAGAGTTGTCACATGACTGGACTTGAACAATTTTAAATTGCACTGTGGTCATTAAGCGGGGGATCTTGGTATTGTTGCTGCATGATGTGCACTCGCGAGGCGGCCCTTCCTCCTATCTTTCTGGCGCTCGCACTGCTTTGATGTCTGCATATTTTTTTTGCTTCAGCGAAATGGACTGCCGTCAATTTGGTCCTGTGTGTGAAGGTCACCTGTCTGTACTCTTCGCCGGGCTCCAGATGCTCTGCAATACTGAGGTCCCATTGCAGGGGTCCAATCTTCTTCCTGGAGGGAGGGTGCACCCAAAGTACCTCAGAACTCCTTGTGTGCATATTACCCTTCTTGACCACCCCCAGCTGGTTCTGAGATATATCTGGGTCTTTGAGACATTTAGATATCAAAAACAAATGCAAAGCCAGTCTTGAAGACCTTGGTGATCGTTGTTGAAGCAGCAGCTCCCCTCTGCTGTTGAACACAAAGCAGTAGACTGCACGGTGCTTCAGCCCCTGCGCATGGACCACGCTTCTTCGCTCCTGACCGATCACATTGTTCTGGTCGTCGACAATGTCAAAGAGCTCCTCTTCTTTATCCGCTACAACACAACTCAAGCCTGTCAACAATGCTCTGTCTCACAGACGTCTCTGCACACGCAGAAAGCCAACGCCTTCACATTGAATTTCGGTAAGGTAATGTGAACGGGATTTTTACGTACCTGTTTGGGTCGATTCCACAAGCGCTGTGGAGAGAGGCATGTCTCACCAGAGTAGGCGGTTGTCGCTGTGAAGATAATTGGGACCCTCACGTAAGATATGACGAGCGATATAAATCGAATCCATTAATTACTAATGATCGTATTCTGCTGGAGCATGCAACAATTGCCAGCGAGTGTCTAGATCATCACACCCAATGACGTTGCCCTTTTATTCCTCTGGTAATCCTGCCTTTCACGCCGATGTTCGAGGATCGAGTACATTTCATGAACACGGCGTGGTGCATGCCAACAACCAATCTCCATCGTCCTGGGTCAAATTTTAGCGATGCTGCGCGGACGAGAAGCTTCCACAAACGTGGAAGCTGCAGCTGCTCATCTTGGCAGGAGACATTCAGATGTCTCAATCTCTCCGCTTTACCTTGTGTAGTGTGGCGTTCCCCTTAAGCGAGCACTGATCGCATCAGATCGAAATGCTCACGAATGGATTGAGAGGTACTAGACTTTCAGAACGCCTAGCGACCACTGTGCATCAGCGCAGCTGCAGGAGAAGATTGACAGCAATGGCAGGAAAAGGATCCATAGCAGACAAACAGATTGTTGTTGTTGGAGCCAATAGGGGAATTGGACTTGAGGTGCGTCCCTTCGATCTTCTTTCATGTAGCTAGACATGCCATTCAGTCTCCACCAGAAAATGTCAAACTGAGCAGCTGGTTGTGCCTATGCTGCGCAGTTCGCGAGACAATTCTTAGAGAAGGGTAACAAGGTGGTTGCAACAGCCAGGGACCTGTCCAAGGCCTCCCAACTGACCAAGTTGAAAGAACAACATCCAGGCCTTGAACTGACAGAACTGGATGTGACAAGCCCTGAGTCGCGTCAGGTGAGGCTCAAAGACTTTGCGGGTTGCGTTGCCTGATCTCAAAGGGCAACCACCAAGATAACATTACTTGCCATGGCCCTGTCATCATGCTTGTCCCTTGTCCGCCACGCAGGAATGGGCCCAAAGCCTCAGAAAGAAGTTGAAGGCCGTTGACGTAAGTGCATCCTACCCATGCCAGTCCTCACTATGACCACCTCATTTCTCTGTTCTTGTGGATCACCATGTCAGACTGCGGCTTGCAGATTGCCGGTGAGACAATCAGGCTGGTATGGTGCAGTATCTGATCAACAATGCGGGAGTGGCATCCTGGGGTGGCCTGGGACAGCTTACAGAGGATGAGCTGCTGCACTGCATACGCACCAACACAGTGGGGCCCCTAATGGTGACACAGGAGGTCCTGGGCGCCGGTCTGCTAAAAAATGGGTCTGTGGTCGCAAACCTCACATCCAAGGTGCTGTTCACCTGTGTGACTTCTCCTCTGTCTCTTGTATCCAAGACCCGCCCTGGTTGCACTGATCATCCATTCAATACTAAGTGCGAAGCCCAGTGCATGGCGACACTTAGGCAAGTGAGGTTCTCCCATTCTGAAGAAAATTTTTGCTCTTGCAGATGGGCTCCATGTCAGACAACACATCAGGCGGCACATACGCATACAGAGCATCCAAGGCCGCTCTCAATGCAGGTGAAGGGTTTTTGCACTTTGTTTGCAGACTAAATTTACCAAGGATGTCAGGTTAAAGACACCATAGCAGAAGGAGGGCGCATGCTGCCCGGTTGTCATTGCTCTAATTGGCACTTGCATGGTGTGCTGAACTGTGCTTGATGATATATTTCTTGCAATGCAGTGACAAAGTCGCTCTCTATTGACCTGGAGGACAGAGGCATCACGGCGGTGCTCCTTCACCCAGGTATGGTCACACCCTGCAACTGATCAAGGCCGTGAACATGTACATGTCATCAGGCTATTATTGTACCTTTTCTGTGGCCATGTATATTCCTAAACCTGGGACTTTGGCAAGTCACTGTAGATCTACTATGCCTGATCAAAGACGCATGCATCCATTGCTAGTCTCTTTGTTGGGTGGCTGAGCACTGCACCCAATGAGCACACAGTGGCACTCTTTTTGCTGAGCCCAGAGCTGAATTATGCCCGGTACCGTGAAAATCTGAGACTTTCAAAGGGGCCTTTCAGATCCTGCACAGCGTTGCTCTGCATGCCCTTTTTCATGCCATTGGCTTGAGCACTCAAATGCTGGGAAAGATACCAAAGTCTTTCCCCTTAAGTTTTCAGCCAGCAAGTAATGCTTAAGAGTCATGAGCTGCAAGACTGGCCCCTAGACAGAGCATGGTGTGGCTGGGTGCAGGCTGGGTGAAGACAGACATGACCAGGCACTCGGGGCTCATAGATGCGCACACCAGCGTCGCTGGCCTGATCGCTGTGCTGGAGAGCAGCAAGCCCTTGGTGGGGCGTTGGTATGACTACAAGCACGAGGAGATCCCCTGGTAGCTTGCATGGCATCTTGCTTTAAAAAGCTCAAGCAGAGGAGCGAGACTGCTTCACTTTGGGAGGCAGCTGCGTATTCACATGGTCAGTCAGTCACTCTTCCAGCCGACTAGGGGCTGATCTGATGGCTGATCCTCACATTGGCAGTGCCCAGCGTCCTGCCTGACATGCAGAGGCTTGGGTGAAATTTTGTGGAACACCAGCCACTGGCAGATCATCCATACTACTAGTAGTAATGGTCATAGAAGTTGGAGCAGGAGTATGTGACCACACGGTAGCGTGTTTCATGAAAAAGGTCAGACTTGACAAGGTCTAGACAAGCAGCGTTGAATCATTTCTTGTAATGAACACTTTTATTACGATTGGCGTATATATACGTAGAAGCCCAGTGTTACGTAAGTTTCTGTGATGATTATGCATATGCGTCACTGTGATGAGTACTGCAGTTGGCGCTAGGGCTGCAGCTGCAGCAAGTACCAAGCTTGCATGCATACGCAGGACTGTGATCTGTGATGCCTGGTTCATTATGCAGTCTGATTGTGAGGCTGATCTGCAAGAGTCATCTGAGGAGACAACGCTTCCATAAGTTGGCGCTTGGGCGGTGCTGACTGTATTTGCGTTTAAGTTTCAACCCCCGGAAAAGGAATCTTTGTCACCGCCGTCGAATCTTTCGTTTTCCCAAACTCGCAGCTCGGCGTTCGCCTTCATTCGGCGCCAACAAGAGGAGAAACGTGTTCTGGTGTCTCGTGAAGAGTGCAATAAAGCGTCCTGGTTGGTTTTAGTTGGAGCCGGCCTGTGCCGGGGACGTTACTCTCATATTAATATTGGGACAGCATTGCTGGTTGACGTCGTCGGGAAGGGGAGTCTGGGCATTCCAAGGGCGAGATGAAGTACAGCCAATACTTGAAAGCTCTGGATTCCGATGCACCGCCGGAGTGGCGGGGCAAGTTCCTGGCATATAAGCAGCTGAAGAAGATGCTGCGGTGAGCCTCCTCCGTGGCCGTGAAACTGTTATCAGGGGAGCATGCCACCAGCTGATTGACGGTCCTACTGTAATAAGTCCTTCATGATCCTCTCTTACTACACGGTGGTAGTCGCAGAAGCGATTTCGCAAGGATCGTGCGGGAACGTGTCAAGTAGGCAGTACCTCCACAGTGCTACTGAGCTGAGCCCATTTTGTTCGAGACTCGCGTAGAATTATGCACGTTCGCAGAGTTTTACTACTTAGTGCTTTGATCATAAAGGAATAGATGGTTTGAGTCCTAATCAGTCACCGTGGAGTCCTTCATCAGAGGAGGTAGCAGTGGGCTGATCTTGGTGCATATGCATTGGGACCGCATTTTGAGTGCCATCAGTTCACGAAAGAAAAGCATAGGACCATTTGGCACGGCGTCAATCACATCACCAGGTTCTCGTGGTCGGCTATCACACTCCCTGACCTGATAATTAAAAGGAGTGGTGTCCGCGCAGCCGGCAGCAAAAGGACTGCACCAGGTGCAGCGGAAGCAGCGCTGAGCCGTGCAATTGCGCCCGGGACGCCGCATTCTTCCAGCAGCTTCATGGGGAGGTGCAGGCCGTGAACAGGCAAGCACCACCAGTGGCAGTCCCCTATTATTCCCTGCCGTCCCAATGCTCTGATCGTTGTAGCTCTTAAGCCCTGTAGCCTGCATCTTGATGCATTGGGCTCGCTGAGAGGCGCCCGTGTGACAGACAGATGTGGCCATATTGCCAAGCTCCTGCTTCTCAATTCTCAAAAACATGTTGTGCCCCCTTGCCGGAGCCAGGCTTGTCTTGTTCAAACCCCTGGTATGCATGCCGTCATAAGGTGCCCCGAGTTGAGGTACTGATCATAGTCACACATGTCGCCGGGGCTTGAGTCGCTCACCCCTGCATCGCTGACCCTTGCAGGGAGTTCGCGCGCGTGGCCAAGCGAGTCATCAAGCTGTCACAGCAAGATGGCCAGGAGCAGCATGCTCTGATCTGCTGCTTCGAGTTGAGCCTACTGCGGCGCAACCACAACACCCCTGTCGATGTGAGGCTTTTATCAGGGGATTTCCAGTAATTCAGACCTTGCATTTTGATGGCTCCAGGGAATACCCATCACCAGCAATGATGACCTAGCAAATGAATGGCACCATCGGATGCCCATGCCCAGCAAAGCTCTTTGGGGAAGGCCAGGTTGAGGTTGCAGAAAGAGCCCGAAGACGTTGCCAAGCAAACGGCACCAACGGATGCCTATGCTTGGCAAAGCACTTTAGTCAAAGCTGTCTGTAGACAACGAAAGGAGCTGGAGTAACTTCATGCTGCATGGAGAATCTTGTTTTTTGGCAGTGCTGATGCTGTTAGATGCCAATGCAGATGGACAATCTGGTCACAACGGCCGAGTGGTGCAGGAGGTATGCTCAGATCAACAGCGTGGGCTTGCGCAAGGTGCTTCCTCTTTTCGGGCTTCTTCTTTTGTGACCTGCATTTAGGAATTCAGCGCCGTTCCCTGAGACGCATTGTGGGGGTCTGTGATGTGTGCCCCAATGTGCATTTGCACCGGACATTGATGGTGGTGTGTCACTTTGCAGATCCTGAAGAAGCATGACAAGCTCTACAAGAACAAGGCGGGCCACTTGTACATGCAGGTAAGCTGTGCTTCCAAGTCACACACCACTGATGCTGCATTGCAAGGAGGCCGTTTCTCGTGTGTGAGCCTTGCTGGTGTGGCTGGTTTTTAATGCTCATGTCAGCATCCTGCACTCTGGGCACCTACTTTCTGAGCAGGGGAAAACGCGCTGTGAGCAGGATTGACAGCAATATTTAAGCAAGACTATTAATCCCGTGCGCTTGTCTTTGCACTTGTCTTGCACAAATTCAATGCAAGCTGTGCGCGCGCAGGACATCTGGAGCGGCGCGCGGCGCAGGTACGGCACGTTCCTGCACTCGCCGCTGCTGGACGAGCTCAAGTCGCTGGAGTCCATGCTGGCGCGCGAAGCCGCGCGCCGCGCCCGGGCCGACCCCGGCGCCGCCGCTGAGCGGCCGGAGGACCCTTCGGTGTCGGTGCGGCTGAGCGGCGACCAGTTTGGCGGCCCTGAGCGGCTGTCGCTGCCCACGCTGCCCAGCATGTTCTCCAACGTGACCATTGCACAGCACTTTGAGAACGAGGCTTCGCCTGCGGCCGGCAGCCCCAAAGGTGCGATTGACTTTCCTGAGACAGCTGCATGCCGTGCTAGGCCTTGCTCCTTAATTACCTCAGTTGCTATGGTTCCATGTTGCGGCTGCGCTTCGAGAAGGCGCCGGACCATGGCAGCCCCAAAGGTGTGCCTGCGAGGCTGAGATTGACCCTCCTGCAACAGCTGCCTCTCCTGCAATGCCTGGCTGCTGTGACGCCCTATCTGGCATGGCTTCTTTCTGGCTGCCAAAGCGCCCTTGCGTGCAGCTTCTATTGCTCTGGCTTGAAGGGATTGACCTCAGAACTTCATCAAGTAATTTTTACCGCCGTTTCCCATTTCTTTACAGCCCTTGGTGTACATCTGCGTATGTAGGCCACAGAGGGCATGCAGTGTCAGCGCGGCTTGTGCCTTGTCATGCTCACCTTCTCAGGAGGCTTGCAGTCAAGATACAAGAGAAGCAGCGCAGGATGCATGCAGGATTCACCTCTGCTGCGGAGAAAGGGTGTCACAGTAGCCTGCTTACATGCTCAGGTGGCCCGCCGCCAGTGCCGGAGCCGCTGCAGGGGGCGTCGGATGCGGTGGTGCAGGCGGTGCACGCGAATGAGGCGGCCATGCGCGAAGTGCTGCAGCTGTCGCGCGTCTCCATGGCTTCCTCCGGCACCGGCAGCAACGGCGAGCCGGACGTCGACATGGAGTACCAGTGCCCCATCTGCCTGGTGGGCATGCTCTTGGATACTCTTTAGCTGTGGCTGCAACCTCATCCTGAACTTACAGTATTGGGCCGAGGAGCCTGAAGTCAGTCCGCTGCTTGGCCTGCCCAAGACCAGGCTGCTGAGGCCCTGGCAGTGCTGCTTACCCCCGTTTCAGGGACCGCAGATCCCTTGGTGAGCAGCCTCCTTTGCTAGCGTTACTTGTACCATGTGAAGGTAAGCACGGAGGCAGGCCCTTTGGTCGCAGGCGGATTCTTTTGGGGTGCCAACAGGGTCTTTGCTTGTAGAAACGAGTGACAGCCTGCCTGAAACACGTGCAGCAGGAAGGGAATCAGTATCAAGCCCTGCCTGCAGTCCCAGTACGAGCTGGAAAGCAAAGATGCAAACACGGCTGAAAGTGACAAGAAAACGGATTTGCCGTCCCTTAACCATTGAAATCAAAATGGCACTGCAGGATGCCATGTTCCAGCCGCTGGGCCTGGAGTGCGGCCACAAGTTCTGCGCGGACTGCGCCTTCAGCGCCGTGGGAAAAGGGCACGCGCTGGGGACCGTGCGCGCCATCCTGGACCATGTGCGGTTGGATGCGGCCTGCCCCGAGTGCCGCACCGTGGGCGTCTTTGTGCATGCCATCGAGCTGAAGGCCACCGAGCGGCTCATCAAGCAGAGGTGCGCCCTTGGTCAGAGCTGCTCATCAATAAGAACCACACCCGTAAAGCAGAGCACCACATCAAGCAGAGCTAATGGTCAAGGGTGGACCAGCAAGTAAACTGTCGCATGGTTGCGTGCCCCTGCTGTGTTCAAGCCTTCAGTTGTCACAACCGGCGCCTCAATTGTCTTACTGTCCAACGAGGACACTTCTGTAACAAATTGAGTCTTTTGAACCTGAGAAGCAGACACTGTATCGGTGCAAATCCATCACATGAGTAGTGTATGAGCGGCTGCATGCCCTGACCCCATTTTTCAGGAAAGCGTATACCCTGAATCAGGCTAAAATACGCTGACATGCAGGTACCCCAAGGCGTGGGCCGAGCGCGCGGAGGAGGCGCACGCAAAGGAGAAACGTCTGCGCGAGCTGCTGGCCATCCAGCGGCAGCGCCAGCACACCCAGTCCCACCTCGGGAGAGTGCCCTTCTGAGGCCTGTGAGTAAATATTGAGCAGTCACTGCCCCAATGGTTGAGGTGTCCTCCCTTGGCAGACTGCCCTTCTGTGGAGAGGAAGCATTGGCTGCCCCAGAAAGTGATTTGCCTACGATCTCCCACCTCGGCAGGGTATCCCTCTTGAGGCGTGTGCTGACAGCACCGATGATCTAGCGATGATTGACCAGATCTGTGATGATTACCGTGTGCTTGTTTGGCCGGGTACCATCGGCGCTTGTGAGAGGGTATGGGTCCAATGTGAGATGTGCTTCTTGGGTCAAGAGCAGCGTTTTCTTCCCTTTCATTTCCGGATTTGCCGAAAACATTGCATTTTGCTGGACAATATACTGGAACCGAACAGCTCTGCAACGCTTGGGCCCTGCAGATTGGGTGCTGCATGGTTGCTCTTGGGTACACATTTTTGTGGTGCACTTTTGTGGCTCGGCTGCAGACCTGGCTCTGCCAAGAGTGAAGGCTGATACTGTGGTTTGGAGCATCATGGAACCCATGGGTGTCTTTTAGACTTTGGCTCTACAGGGCACTGACTTTGTCACTTCGTGACCAGAGCATTTTGGATGACTGTGGACTGCAATTGCTACAACCGTGTTCATTTAGTGCCGTCAGAACCAAGGTCTCTTGTGGCGTCCAAATTCAGCAAAGACATTGCCAAGGCTAATCCCCATCCGAGAAGTCGATGCTTTTGTTATGATTGTGATCGTGCGTTCTGTTTGAGTCTCTGCTATACAGCCTGCCTATTGTAGGCGCATACATTGGTGCAGCACACTTGGCAGGTCAAGGATGATAACGGGAAGAGCAGCTGAATTGCTATCTAGCAGCACTGATGCGGTACTTGTGAGACATGTGCAACAAGTTTGTTGTCCTCGGGCAACACTGACTGGGCTCTGGTCGTATCAGGCCAGGATAACGGTCCTTCGTGCGTTCGCTATTAGATTGATAATCAGGCCTGTTTGATTGGGCCAACTGCAGTGCAGGATCATGCATGTTTCTGAGCTTGAAAATGTACTCATAAGCTAAGTAGTTCGAGCGCTGTGCCCAGCTGTGCGACAGTTGTTCCTGCACCCTGACACTTGCAAGTGAGTCTGCAATTAATTGCAGACAACCTTGCCCTTCTGACAATTGCATGCATGCACACGTGTGAGAGCTCACTAAAATCTGTACTTCAATTTTGATAGCGCTAGTGCTATTCATGAGCCATCACCTAAATTGCACAACAAACTTAAACACTGTGTTCAGCACAGTGCACGTGTGCATGCAACCTAGCAGAGCAGCGCTTGCCTGCTTTTGCCTTGCAGAGCAGATATCCGCGCAGATCATCATATCTTACATTGATGGTGCTCTAGATCTACCAATTGGACTTTGGCGCCACATAATGCGCATGCAGCTGATGCATCTCATATGATATCATGATCGATCTTATGAGGTGTGCACAGGCAATGACTTCACCATGCGATTGGAACCCAAGGAAGGAAGGAAATCACACATGAACTCCTGCCGCCCAGGGCTGATTGGATTGGACCCCAAAGAGACACAAGAGCCAGCTTCGGTATCTCCTGCTGGATCTGCGGATCCTCTCCAGGGTTGGATCTAGGGCCTCATGACATAGGGTCGTGTCATCTGAGACGAAAGCGCGGGACGCGTGTCGGCAGAACACCAACGTTCCGATGACGTGACGCCCTCGTTCTCTATTCCATGACGCCCCTCAACTGCCAACACACTGCAGAGAAGACGTGTTAATAATCAAAAGTCTCCACCTTTCGGGCCTCCTATCTGCTGCGCTTCTACAAACATACACATATTCCTTCTTTGCTCGATTGAAACGCCAGTCCCACGCCGCAGACTTCGCTAGAGCTCGGGCCTGGAAATTTTTGCGCGCGGCTGACAGTGCCTTGACTCACTTCTTTCGGGCTTATACTCAGCGAGGCGCTTCATCGTCTTGCCTTGTTTGAAGTGCTTGTGTCGCTTCTGCTCGACGCGCCCAATTTCCAGACGGTGAGGCCCCAGGCCGCCTTCTTTCCCCATTGAAGGCAGCTACCCGCAGTATCTCGGCGTATCCCGGCACCTCATCTCCTCGTTTGGGGCGGGCTTTGTGCCCAGGAAGTGTGTAGGATGTTTGTGGCATTGTTTGTCCAAATGAGGGCCTCCGAAGGGGGTTGATGTGTCCCCGCGTCTCGGCAGCTCCACCGATTTTCAACTCAATGGGGGCCTTCCAGACCCTTGAAGATACTTTTGTATCCATGTGTGCATGATGAGAGAAGTCTTTCTATACTCTTTCCCTGTGCTGGAGAGCAATGCAGCTTGCACCATGCAGCCTATTTTCAGAAAGGTGTCCCTCAGGGTCATTGCGTCTTGGCGCCTCTGTGTTTGGAAGTGCTCCTGGACCCGATATGGGTTGACCAATGCGTAGGATGTGAGGGTACATTTCCACTGTGAGACTGGTCCCTGATTTTTGCTTGGCATCTGCCACGGTGCTGGCGTTTGCTGGTCTTAGGACCGTGATGCGTGCATCCTTTTAAGAGCAACGTTCTGTGTCTATTCAGGGCGCGGTGGGCAAGGTCTGTTCATTCTTCGAGCGCTTCTGACTCTCCGGATGCTGACGGTCTTGCACGCTGTTTCCAGGTACTTGGAAGAACGTTCGGGAACTTTCACGGACGCTGCAGCTTGTAGGATGACATCTACCCGCGTTTCCGGAATTTGCCTCACCATCCTGTGCGTATCGCTACTCTGTGCGGTACAGCAGACAGCTGCCCTCTCGTACGAGGTCTGCGAGTCATATGGTGCAACGTGGATTACAGACTCTCCACGCCTCACCGGAAAATATCCTTACTACAGCCTTCTCTTCTTCTGCAACGGTGAGCTCTGCGTACAATCTTCATGTGCACGAATTTTCAGATGCACGGTTGACGACCAGAAGATTTATTTGTGTGTCTGCTGGTTTGACTGGTCCTTGCTCAGGCACTGCTTTGTGTGCACGCCTGTTAACTTCTTGCCTTCTCAACCTGATAGTCAAAGTGTTTTATTGCATCATTTGATTTCCTGATTCCTTGGTGCAGGTGGCCTCAACATTGAGGGCAAGCAGGTGGATGCGTGCTTGGGCAATGGTGCAGCCTGCGGCCAGCCAGCAGCTGATGCTTTCTGCAAGTACGTTGGCTTTGACGGCGCAGCGGCTGACCTGTTCAAGACTGGCCCTGCTGACGAGCCTGCCCGCGCTGTGTCTGGTGAGCCCACTGCTCTGCTGTGCACCCCCATCTCTATCCTCAGATGGTGCAGCCTTATCATGCATTGCCGCTTGCTGCTCAGCCAGCGATTCATACGCACCGGCATTTGTATTATAGGCATCAGCAGAGACATGATGCAGTTGTGAATGCTGTGCACGATCAGCATGCATTATACACCTGACAACCTTCTTGGCTTCATCATGAAGGGAACCTGCGGACATTGACTCATGCTGTGGCTGTCTGTGCTCTCAGGTGAGTGGTGCGTGAACGAGGGCCAGTACGCAGACCTTGGGGGGCTGAACCGCACCAGCTTCGAGGCGCTCATGAGCTCAACGGCCAACTCGCCGCGCTGCAACCGCCTGACGTCCGCCACCTGCTTCCGCAGCCGCGACACTCTTGGCAAGGCTTTTGCCGCCGCGCAGGCCATCGATGCCAAGGCCATCGTGAGCAAGAGCGTGCAGGTAGGCACCCTTACTGTGTAATCGTCCATTTACTAGCGATTGACTCATGTCCCACTTCCTGATGAGCTTTTCCTTTGTGCTTGTCTCTTGCCGCAGCGATGCATGTCTTACTTCTGGAGATCATGCCTGTCTCCTGCTGCAGCAATCCCTTGGGGATTTATCATCCTGTTGGCGTCAATTTCATTTGGCATCTTCTGATGTAAGTTTGTGCATAAACTTGCAGGGCTCAGTGATCCAGTCAGCTGTGACTGCTGGTGCGCCAACTGTGGCAACCCCCGCCAATGCAAACATGGACGTGGCTGCCGTGGGCGGCCGTCGCCTCCTGAAGGGCTATGCCATGAGCAGATAAGATCCGCAGCAGCTCATGCTGCGTCGTGGACCAGCAAAATGCATATGCGCTGCATCTTGCGCGCCTGATTAGACAACGGGGAAGGGCAGGGCTCGCCTCGCCAGAACATGGCTCGGAACTCAACACTTGGTCATTTTGGGACTTGTACACGATGGGGGCTGCCGCCTCCTAGCAGCTGCAGTTACATGGGGACGTAATGGAGTCTTCTCCAAGGAAGTGGCGCTTGAAGGTCTGCTGTCAGGTCTTGCATGCAGCCAGCGCCAGCCAGGCGTGAATATGTCTGTCTCTGAGGCCAGATTCCACGTTTCAAGGATACCGGGCACATCACGGGAGGCAAATGTGCTGTGCGCTCATTTGTGCTCCTGGGTTGCTTGGGGACACACTCGGCAGGAGGCAACTGAGTTGGAACAATTTTTCTTCTTGAGTGCACTTTCGATTGCTCATAAAACGCTACATGTTCTCCACGCAGCATCTGTTGGAGTTTGTGCATGTGTGAGCCCAAGCTGTGAAGTTCTTGTTGCATCGGGCACAGACCATGGGTGTCACTGGCGCGTTGGGGATTTGCAGCAGTGTCTGCAGGTTTCTTTCTGTGTCTGTGAGCTTGCCTGGGTCGATGTCTGATGTCTCTGCCAGGCACTGGGGTGCATCTGGTGTTAGGATTTAGTACTGCGTTCAAGTGTCCGCCTACAGGAGCGGAGGAAATGCGTTTAGAAGTGCTTGGGGGGAGATTTTCAGGTGGAGGGAGAGGCAAACGCCCTCCCCAGCCTGCTGTAGAATATATGAAGCATTGCTGTGCTGTCCTGTAGATTGAGGCTTAGAACAGGGCGTGCAAGCCGGGTCCGGCATGCATCTGTCCCCTGCTTCATAGACCTTTCTTCATGGGTGCATTGTAGCAGTACTGCAGTCAAAACCTGGGGTGGGCGCTGATGCCCTGATTGAGGGTGGGAAGAGCAGCAGTAGTGTTCTCCCACAGCCTCTTGTATCATGTGTGTGGTTCCTTGCTGGAGGGACATCAAATCCACACTGTGCCAGTATTGAGAGACATCTGAGTGTGTGCAATTTTTGTGTTTGTGTCATGACTGCCTCGTCTGAGGTGCGGGATTGATTCACTTGGCATTGTGCTCACAATCGGGGGTGCTCAGTATGGCTTCATGTGGGAAACGGCTGAGATTTGTTTGGAGGTATTTGGGCTTGATATTATTTTGTAACTGGAATCTTCTACTCTGACCTTGTGCCGTGGCTTTGCCTGCAGAAATCAATCATGCATCATGCTGCACTGAATCATACTGCATCATGTCTTTTCAAACCATATCTTAGCAAAAGACTAAAAGAGCACAGCAGGCAATCCAGGATCCGAAATCGACGATCAGATGACAGAGATGTTTCTGACTTGTCCAAGGATGACAGCTCAGCATTTCATTCGGCAAAATCTCTCGCCTTAATTTCCATGAGAAAGGCGAGAAGATTAATGTAGATCGAAAGCGTTGACAGCTGCAAGTGCATGATTTGCCACCTGAAAGACACCTGTGTTTTGGTGCCTCGATGCTATGTGTTACGATGTTCTGTTGGAATGTGTAACTCATCTGACATCGTCAGAAGCATTGTTTTGCAGTGAATCAAATAGGACCATCAATTCTTCTATAGTAGCAGCAAGTGGCTGAATGAAAGCGACGTCAGCATTGACATGCCCCTGATGACCGACAGCTGTGACAAAGCGATCTTGTTGTTGACCTTTGTCAGCTTTTTCACCCTGTCCCTATCTTCCAGGGAAAGCGCTTTCATTGGGTACTCTGAGCTCAAAGGTGAAGCTTGGCTAATCTGTTGCACCTGGATTACATCCTAGTACCTCGTGTTGAGTTCGAAGCTCCACTATTCCGTCAGTGTAACGATCGTGGGATGATGACTCTAAATGTGGTTCTCCCAGGGAAAAAGGTCGTGCTGACCACCTCATTTGGACCGGTAAGCAGCCCTGGACCCTGGTGCTTCCTTGTGCAACAGATCCTGCAAGCATAACCTTATTCATAGGCTAGCAGCATTGTTGTATCCATGTACAGCCCCCTGCAGGGCTTCATGAGCGCAGCATGCGGCCGCCCCTCCATGAAGGCTTACGAAGGGAACTGACGGTGGTTGAGTGTGCCTCCTGTTTGCCCGACAGATCAACATCCACCTGAAGCCCAATTTGGCCCCGGAGACTGTGGGTGCTGTGCACAAGCTGGCAGAACAGGGCCCAAAGTGCCCCAGCTGCAGGTTCTACAGGAGCGAGCAGCCACCTCCTGTAAGCATCCCACCCTCCGCTGCATTATTGTTCCATGCTTCAAGCACTGTTTACTGTCCCTGACTCGTGCTGTTTCACTTTCGCTTGAAAGTTGGCGTTCCCTCTCTCTCTCTCTCACACTCTTTATGTTATGGCCACATTAGAAAGCTCTGCTTCCTCTCCCTCCTTACATACATCTATGTACACGTTGTTGAAGTCATGCATGAAGATATTGTTGCTCCTTCGCAGGTGGGGTCATCAGGGCCACCGTATGGGCTGCTGCAGGGCAGTCTGGGGAGCCTGGATGAGGTGCCACCACAGGAGGGGGGGACCGTTGCCAAGTGAGCCTACATCCCTTACCACCTCTCTGTGCCATGTTTTGCTCACAGGCTTGGGCTTATCTGCTTAGTAGAAAGTACTTTTGCAGGGTCCAGGAGCTCACTGAGGAACCGTGAAAATGTCTTCTGCGTGACCATCATCACTTCCTTTCACTTCACTCAGGGGACTCTAGACTACTTAGTGTAGAGTCCCCTGCTTTCACTCAGCTGAGGGGGTCTGCAAATTCACTCACCCAACGGACTGCTTCAGTGGTTGAGAAAGAGAGTATGGCTTGCCATGCAGGCGGGGGCATGTGTGCATGATACCTCGGACAAAAGAGTTCTTCATATCCTTGAAGGACCACGACGAATGGGGCATAGCCCACACGGTCTGGGGTGAGGTAAACTCCACCACGTTCCCTGAACACGCATACTACACATCACCTATTCTGCTGCATGATGGCCATGCTGCATTGTTGCATGTCTGATTCTCCTCATCTGGGCCTCGCACTTGCCGTACACACAGCCCTGGAGCCCCTACTCTCTGATGTAGCTGCCTGCTTGCCATTCCCCCGGCTATACAGGAGTGCATTTCCACATTAGGATGCCACATGTCTTTTTGCGCTGCTACCAGTATGCACAGGCACAAATGATCCCTGCATTGCAGAGTACTCCGAGCACCCAGCAGACATGTGGGTGTGCTTTAAAAGCGGTGGGAATACTTACATAGCAAAGGAACATGTTAGCGATATCACTCTGGTCCTGCTGGGCCGCAGGTGGATGATGAAGACATGAAGGGCACGGTGGAGACTTTTTTGCGCCTGCCGGTGCATGAAGTGAAGCACCCGGAGTTTGGGACGCTCATGCGCATGCTCGACACCGAGGAGCAATTCTCCATTTTGCTGGCCAAGGAGGACTTGGCGAAATTATGACGATCTTGTATTTAATTGGGCGCTTCTTTGGTGATGATGATCAGAACATGCCGGGTAGCAGAAGACTCACCTGAACCCAATGGCGCAGGAGACATGTGAAATATCAAGGTACTGGCAGTGAGCATGCATGCGATTCTGAGGTTCATACGAGATGAAAATGCTTCAGCAAAAACAGCGTGCCTGCTGCCAAAGGGACATGGGCGCGCGCATGCTTTTACTCTGGGAAGCTTCAATTTTGCCAGGGACAGGCATGTGGGCGCTGTCCGGCCAAATGAGCCTGAAGTTGCAACCAAGTTGCGGCCAATTGGCTGAAGCTGCTGAAGTACACAGCAATGTTCTTCTTACAAGAGTATGGATCCAGAAGCGAGATTCGTCAGTCTTACAGTGTGCAGTGATGTCAACAAGACTCCTGACCAGGTGTGTTCACCAGAGCTTAGGGTCTATGGCTTGTAAGTGTCAGCAATATTTTGAAGGATGTCAAGGCCAAATAAATTGCAACTATGGAGGTGCATGTGACTGGCTCTCATAACCACGTCAAAGTGGCCTACAACTCTTGCGGAATATGGAACTCGAGCTGACCGTGCGCCGCACTCCTTACAGTCAGGACCTCCTGCATGCTGTCACTCCAGGTGACATGCGCTTCGCTGTAGTCCTTGCAAAGCATGACATGGACCATCTTGACATGCCCATTATCATGTTCTGGTTGCCAGCCGTAGCCCGTTCCTGGCTGCTCCTTTGAGCAGATGTTGACTACCTGCGCGAAGTCAAGCTGTAAGGGGGCCGGGGTTGTGAGAATTCGTCGACACATCCGGGCTTGTGCTGCAGACAAAGTACTATTTATTATTTAGGCGGTCAGTCGTTCCCAGGTGATTAAGCTGTCGAGCCCAAGACAGCCTCTACTAAATCAACGTTTCAGTGCTGTTTGCACTCTGTACTGATTGTCTTGCTCAAGCTGGAACAAACTGTTGCACATCCCACGTAGAAGATATAGGCTAGCCAGACACAGGGCCCCACCTGAATGGTGCTGGGCAGTGCCGTGCCGTCATCGGATTGCTGCGAGTACAATGGCTGGTAGATGCTGGCAGCCCGCATGTAGTGCTCCCGGACGCACTCCACACTGCCGCAGATCAATGCCTCAACGCCATGAGCTGGAAGGCGTTTCTGATCGGTCATCGCCAGGTCGATGCGCTTGTTGTGATGCTGAGCACTCCCCAGCGCTCGCGCCTCTGTGATGACCCTGCGGCCAATGCACTCATTTGCGCCAGGCTTTGAGCCAAGGTGGGCAGGAGCTGAGATGCAGCACTGCTGTCAGCAGGTGCATGCAGCATCATGTGAGCAAATGTAACTGGCATAGAGGCAGTCTAAAATCATGCCGGCAAGATTAGGATAATTCCAGCTGCTTTATACGCTGGGGAGAAGGGATAGGCAATTCCCTTAAGGGACACAAGCTTGCTTCACATACTGCAAACCACTGATGTCACAAGAACAATGCGGCTGGCTTTTTGCAATGCATCAGGGTACAGCTCACCTGTAGCAGAGTGAGGGATAGGCCTTGTAGACGATGGCCTTCATCAGTGGGAAGAGCTCCCCATGCCAGATGTACTCAGAGAAGGGCTTTGACTTCGTGCGCGCCGCTGCTGCCTCAATGTTGTGGATGTCAATACGCTGGAATGCCTCGCGCAGGACCCATGCCATGTCCAGCGTTGTAAGGTCGGGCGGTGCCGGGCACGAGTCCAGGCCAAAGCGCGCTTCAGCAAGCATGACGTCCCGCAGCAACGGGCAGCGCACTCGGAGCTGCAAGCAAGGCAAAGGGAACATCAGTACTACAACATGGATTCTGCTGAGTTACAGCAGAGCTAAATTGCTCAAACATGACTGTGATTGCCAGGGTGGGGGGCTTGCAAGGTCTGGCACCGCAGCGGGGAACATGTGACTCCACCCAAAACAGCCACACAGTGAATCTACACATGCCTCTACCCTTCAAGTTCTCAGCAGGCTTGCCTGGATGCTTTCTTCCTTTGAGCTGACCACTGCTGCAATGCCGTCCGAGAGAAGCATCTCCACAATGGTGCGGCGCTCAGTGCGCTCTGCTGTGGAGCTATTGTAAAGGAGCAGGTCATGGAGCACTTCATGGAGCCGTGGCCAGCTGCCCGAGGCCAGGAGGTAGGCGACTGTGTTGCTGATCAAGCTGTAGTTTCGCTGCTGCTGCACTCGGCGGACCAGATCGGTGCCGCACCACTGGTACCAGTCACGGGGGTTGCTGATGACTTTGCTGGTTATCTCAGAGCAACAGAGCCCCACCAGGCCCGGAAAGCCGCCTGTGCGCTCTAGGATGAGCTGTGCCAGAGGCTGCACATCCAGCTGGAGGGGGAAGCCATAGAGCTGCTGATACTGCATTCTGTACTGGGTCAGGAGATCAGCAATCTGTTCCACACTGAAGCTGTCAAGCTCGAAGAGGTTGTGCTCGGAGAAGGGGGAGGTGTTCGTCCATGTATGACTGGAGTCGCTGTGGCTGCTTCTCTCCACGTCCATGGCGCTTGCGCTGCTACTGGCCTCTGGGTGCTGTTGATGGACGCCCCTGAAAAGAATGGAAGACTAAGAGGAATTTAACTTTCCCATTCGTAACCCTGCCAGCCTCAATGCACATGCATATGTGTCAGTCCTCACAACGGCACCCAAGGGGCATGCAGGACTCACAAAAGTACATGAAAGTCTTGATGACAAGAGGGATGAGAGTTCTCTCAGCAACGTAAGCCGCAGCAATGTGTGCTCCCGCTTCACATGGGATACAACAACCAGCCCATCGAGAATCGAACTTCAGGCAACACATTCACCTGTTGACATCATGCAGCAGGCGCCGCACGGAGTCCACCCCCAGCAATGTCACGCTGTGCACCATGGTGGCCACCTTGTTGTCGCGGAATTCGTCCTTGAACACGCTCAACAGGCAGCTGACGGCGTCATATGACTGCCTCTGCGCTTCCTTGCCCTTAATGTGTTGTCCAGCCTGCAGCCAGAGACCTGACGTTATGATGGAGTGGGTGCTCTCAGACAAGGCAACATTGACTGCAAAGTCACGCACATGTCCAGGATGCTTGCATGTGTCCAAGCCTGGGCTGCCATACAAGTTACACAAGCATCTTGATGCCGTGAACTAGGACAAGCTTCCGGGACATGCAGAGGAGGTTCACAGTGCCCACCAAGTAGCCAGCCTCATCTATGGTGATCGCATACGCAGGCGGTGCAGAGTCGCGCTTTTGCAAGGCTTCCAGCAAGTTGGCTCGTGTCGTGATCAATGTCTTATCCACATTGCTGGGTGGCGGAATCCAGGAACGATCCTTCTCATGCAGCCCTGCATGAAGCCAGTGCAGAAGTCCGGCTGGGTCCTGTATGCGCACACAGCAGTCAGCGAGCATGTTTTGATGCTATAAAGCACACCATGCCTGCAAGGATGGCTGTATCTTATGGTAAGCAAATGAAACATCTGTATGGGAAAGGGCACCAATTCTGCTGGACTGGCAGACAGCAGATCAGACACCTTCCCTGCAAAGAGTGCTTGGCTCATTGCATCAAGGAGTTCCCATTGTGGTCATCATGGTTAGCAGCCAATCGATAGAGGAGATGGTTGGCAGTTGACAATACCAATGGCGTCTGCTCGGTGAGGCAGACTGAAAGCATTTTCAGGGATGCGACTCCAGTGCTAGGCCCTGCCACGGGGACTAGAAAGCCTGTCACGAGATCTCGCAGATGCTGCCTGACTGACGTCTTGCCAAATTGACGGGGTGCAATGACCTGCGCAAGACGCAGCCACCAGGGAGTCAACCCTGCTGGTTGAGGCAGGCCTTGACATGCTTTGGTGCATATATGCATCTGGACGCACACCCTATTGTGCTGCATCCTGAAACAGCGCCTGTGCTGAGTTGCAGTGAATGCCTATCGACATGACAGAGTTTCGGAGCGAAGAAAATCTTACCATGGTCAGCTCTCCAGCTTTTACAGCCTTCACCAGATCGGGCATGACTTTGGGCTCCACCCAAAAGTGGCATGAAGGATGCGCAGCACCACAGGTCTGGAAATTGCGCTCTATCTGGTTTGGCCCTGCAACAGCTTGACCTGCAATCATGAATTGCAGCAATCATGACTGATGCAAATATGTCTTCACATGAGGCAAGCCTGACCTTCCTGAACCCTGCCTGTTCTGGCCTAACATTGACAAACCATGCTCCATACAGGGGCTTTTCAACAAAAGACAAATCCAGTCAACACCACCTAGTGGTAACTTGCTGGTCAATTGCAGCCAGATAGACTCTTAGTTTTTTGACATGCCGCAGGTTGTGGCCGCAGCCTAACCAAGTCCACCACACCCAAAAGGTGTGCTGAGGCCAAGAAATGATGCATGGGTCTGGCAAGGATCCGGCAGATTTGAGCCCAATTGGTAGCAGATGCTGAGTTCCAACAACCTCTGCAGCAGATGCAGCATCCATACAGTGCAAAAATGGCTCATTAGGGGCTGACTAGGGATAGGATCAGCAGCATCAAATGCACTTGCACTGACCCAACAAGTGCTAGCCCCCAAAGTTGCTCAGGTCTATCCACGAGCTGATCCCACGCGTCTAGTGAACAAAATGGTGATGTGACAGTCAGCATGAGGCCGCCCCATAATACGGGCGACGCAGATGCCATAGGCTATGAGGGCAGTGCAGTCAATTGGCTTGAGGTCCACCCTAAACACATTTGGCTCCACACTGATAAGCTCAAATGAGACCATGAGCTCCATGAGGTCATTGAACGACAAAGTGGCTGCCTGCAGCTGCAGCTGAGGCAACAACATGCTATTCAATACTAGTCAGGTCCTCACAGAACAGCTATAACACCACCAGGAACTGGGGCTGGAGTGCACTTACCCGGCTGCTCCTGCAGGTGCAGATGGTAGATGGCGCCAGGAGTCAGTTCGCGCCGCCCTGCCAAGACAGTGCTGCCATTGGCTTCTGTCAGTTTGCCCACCCAGGCTGTCTTGATGTCACGAAGAGCGTCCTTCGCTTCAGCAGCAGTGATAGGGCTCGATATATCCTCGCTGGCAACTTTAGCCTCGCCTTGGTACACTTCCACAACCACGGCCTCCATGGCCCTGCAGTCGAGCAATTGCAAGCGTGGAAGGTTCAGGCACAAGTAATGTTATAAGCAAGCAACAAACAATCAAAAGCTCCACGTCTTTAACAATGCTGTCTGTAGATAGATGGTTATACACCAATTCCTGAACCTTTGTAAAAATGCATCCTAATCCAAGGCCCTGCCGGGCCTTCCTGTTATAGGACTGGCCAAATAAATGTTGTTTTGGCAATCCCGATATTTTGAAAACATATAATATCCCGACGATCTGAGATAAATTTGAGATTGCCGAAATGCAGTTCTGCTTCGCAACCTTCAATATGAAAGGAGAGCAGATGGCTACAACAAATATTGGACCTTCACATAGACTCAGTTCTGATTATGATAATTTACAAGAGGACATGGAATCACCTAGAGTCTGGTAAGATATCTACCGTTGCCTGGGCCTCAGCTAACTCCTGTGCGATATTCACCTATCCAACAAGACTGGTGTGATCAGTCACATTGACATCATTGGCATAAATGCAATGTGCTATTAAGCATTTGTAACCCGAGCGATTTAACTGGCATTTGCTCACAAAGATTTGCTGCACTGGACTGACCTTGGCTATCAACGGCATGAACAGGAGAAGGTATGTCCTGGCAAAAGTGGCACATCCTGGCGCAGTTGTTTTAGCTGGCTAAATGTATTTTTGGGATTTTTTCCCATTGGTTTGGATCCATTTCAGTTGAGTTCAGAGTTTGGCTTGCAATTTGCGTGCAGGTGGCAGTCAGTGCGTAAGTGTGGAGATCGTGGCCAAGGCGCGCGCCATGGCGGGGCAGGGCCACTGCCGAGCAAAAGGCCGGGGACGCCAGCCTGCAGAGGAGCCGAAGGCCTCGAGGTGCACAAGCTTGTTGCGCTGGTGGCGGAGGCGCGCCATTTGGTCAAGGAGAAGTTGGCAGGAAAGCCTGAGGAAAGCCAAAAGAGGAAGTAATGAAGAAGGAGGCTGAACAGCTGTTGCCAACTAGACGGCACAGGAAGGTACACATGTGGCTCCAAGGGAGTGCATGTGAAGCGTCATGCTCGCGAGCATGTGGATGAATATGTGCCTATTCCGCGCCGTAAGTATGCTTATATTGAGGTCAGCCACTGGGATGCCCACTTTAGAGTCGCTGTCCCCAGCAACATCCACTTCAACCATGAGCGACCATCTGCAAAATACCGCCGTGCAAGATTCATTGCCAAGTCCTTCTATGGCATCTGATGACGGAAGCAGCGTCTGCAGCTGCACCACCTTGGCATGCAGCTGGTCTGACCTCAGTGTCACCGATGAATCGCCATGATGGGAGTATGGGCCTTTGATGACATGCACGAGAGTGAAGCTGATGATGAGGCTGAAAGTGTGGATAGGCACAAGGCCATGGAGACACATGGTCACCACTTTCTAGTTGGGTGCCCTGCCCTCTGCTGTCGCACGCTCATCCTCAAATTTTCACCAGAGCAGCACCTACTTCAGGTGCAAGTTCTTCCTTCCATCATTCTCTCCGCATGCCTCTCCTTCCACAGCAGGAACCGTGCGCTTGGCATCCTCCTTTCCCAGGTTATACTTGAAATTCTGTTGCTCAGCAGCTCTGCCCCAAAGCCTGCAATTGAAGTCTGTCCTAGTGCCGACTGTGAAGGAGGAAGCCATCATGCCATTGGGGCTTTTGAGGAGATCTCAGTCTAACCTCCTGCAGTTTTCACCTGATTGCAGCTCCTTGAACACCTGCCAGTCCAGGTGTGCCTTTGCAAACCACTCAGCTGTGCTCCTTGTGGGGGTACTTGATCCACAGTGCAAGTGCAGGTCTTAGGATCTGTTTGGTGATCTTGCATTGCTGGTTCGGTACGGGTCTACATGCTGCTGTGTAGTAGCTTAGCAATACAGGTGGCGGCAAGCATTGTGGGGCATTGGGTACCCCCCTTGCTTGTTTCACCGAGAAGCGCTGTTATTGCAAGGATCTGGGCAGTCTCTACAATGACAGCAAATGGCTGGACCCACCCACAGCACGCACAATCTGTTTGGCCTGTGATTTGCGTCCATGTCCTGCCCTTGACTTGTCGCTGATTTGGACCGACACAAGCAGCCTTGCAGTCCTTTTTGGCAGTTGATACTTGTCTGCGTGCTGGGATGCATATTTTCGAGTATTCATGACGTGTGTGCTACTGATGGTTTGAGATATGTGGGACGCTTAATCAGCCCTGTGTGGCTGGAAAAAGTGTAATCTCTCTCTCTCTCATGCAGTGCGTGTGAGCAGCAAGACAATTCTAATGAAGCCGAGGCGTGGCTCGGTGGGGTGAAGGCAGCCCATTGGGGCGCGGCTGAGAAATGTCTGGATTTGACTGAACATTTCTGCAGAGGCAGAGCGGCTGTACAGAGGTGAAGCCATAGTGCAGCAGTGCAGTGCATTGCACTTTAGTGCGCCAGTGGAAGATTCAATTGGATCCACATTCATATCAGCCACATCACTGGGAAATACTGATATGGGTCCCCCACAGGTTCCCACCAGTACAATTACAGTATCTCCCTTATACAGTCTGCAACAAGATACCGTCACCTGCGATGGTAATGCGCTGCTGGCAGGCCAGAGCCCCCGGATATAGAGGGGTACTCATCCGGGGCAGGGAGTGCATGCATGTATTCGATGAGTGAGTGATAGGTTGCAGATTAATGAAGGCCCTGCAGATGTATCTGCAGACACCCTGCGTGTATGCCCTGTGGCCTCTGGCTTTGGGTTTGCCGACCTGTAATAATAATTAGGAAGAAGCTTTAGTCAGCTCATTCATTGTATCTAGAAGGTGAGCTTACTACTAAGCTTAGTGCAGCAGCTGGATACACACAGGAAATTCGCAGGATACACGCAAAATGTGCTGATACCGTCTCACACAGCCAGTCTGAGAGGGTGTCTGCACATAATTGCACATATCAGTCAGCACTTGTAAAAATGTAAATGTGCAGATACTCTTGGCGATGCAGTAATGTGTGCATGGCGGGCTGCTCCAAGCATTGCCAAACATCCCCGGCTCCCGAAGGGCTTTGTAATCCAGCTCCATGATGTCGCTTGTGATGGGTGCCTTTAGGATGTCCATGCTCATTACCGGCGGATATGTGTCCGGGTGCTAAGCATAGTGCCCACCCAGATCCGCTAAACACTTGCGTGCTTAACCCGCCGGGGGCAAGCAGACCACTAGCTAGGACTGTGCCGCTTAGCTTTTAATAACAAATTCTGAGCGCTAGCGCTCACCGAAATCACACTCAGTGCGGGCAGCTGCCGGCAGGTGCCGCTGAGGCCAACACCTGACAGAGTCTGTATGCGCCAAGCTGCGAACCAGCATGCAATGGTTGCGGCCATGACTGTGGGCAAAAAAACTCTTTAGATGAAGTCGAGCTTGTGCCGGGATGGAGAATATATAGGTATCCATTAGGCCTAGTGGGCTTAAATGATGGAAGTCACGTTCCTGATGGTGCGAAAGGCAGTAGATTTGTGATGTGCACACGTAAATAATTTTCTTAAAAGGTAGCACATGCACTGAGAAGTTCCTCAAAAAATCTTCCTAGTCTAGATTCACTCACACAAGAAGTACTCCTACTCCTTTTCACACCTGGTTTCTCAGCTACAGAGCTGCAGGGACGGAGCATATCCAGACAAAATTTGATCTGATCTGCACAGCCTCTCACAATGCCAATGATAATGTAGCAGTTGCAGTGTTACTCCTGACCATCATCAGCCGCGTCCTCCCAATTCTCAGCCACAAGATGAGAGCCTGCCTCCGCATCCTGCCCCACTGTCGCTGCTCCATTTGCTGACTCCTTGCTTGTCCTGCGAAAATCACATTCCTTTTGCGCTCAATCACTGTTATCCCAGCAGTATCCAAGTGTGACACCTCACAGGCTAAGAGCATGGATACATGCGTGGAATTGTGAGGCTGTTGCTGATGGTGCAGATGGAGAAAAGTTATTCGACAAATTTCCTGCAGCTCTTGAAATTCAACATGCAAGCAAGCAGCAAGATTTGAGTGAGTCAAGCTCTCCTCACCCGTCTTTGAGAATTGAGCCAGGGAGCACTCCTGCAGGTAGCCTTGTCTCCGGCTTTGTCTTAGCAGGCTTTGCGGATGCCGGGCTCTCCTCAAAGGCCATGTCGCTCGCGCGGATTGCAAGAGGGTCAATCTTTGCACTGACCACAAAAGTCCCTGCACGCAACGTCCTCTGACTCTGGTCCTGCTGCTTGCTCAGGCAATCCAGAGAAGCAGGCACTGGTGAATATACTCTTTCTGACACAAATCTGTATATGGTGTAACATCCATCCGCCAGAAATAGGGAGGGTTACAGGCTTGCTGGCATGGCGCCGGCACCAACCGGAATCACGATGCAGGCAGGCATGCAGTGAGGATTGCACACAGCACATGGGGCTCCAAAACAATAATTGCACAACGTGGTGCCGAGGCAACACCTGACGGCCGCGGCGGCTGTGGCCTCTGATGGCTGCTGCAGTGGCCGCTGCTGCTGATGCCCGTATGGGAGCTCTGATGGCCGGCAGTGGGCCTGGAAGCAGAGGCTGCGCAGGTGCTGCCGGCATGTGCCTGCGGCACGGCGGCAGGTGCCGAAGCGGCCGGCGTGCTGGCAGCGCGATTGATCCGGTACTGGCCGCGCACTCCGCCCCCCAGAGCATCCAGCACCTGGCCTCACAACTGCACACTTTAGGGGATGTCTTCTCCACAAGCTGATCTTCTAACCCTTGGCGACTACATCAGCCGTGAGCTTCCAGCACTTTGGCCCACGACTTTGCTTCAGGGGCTATCTTCGCGTGGCTTTTATAAGCTGATCCTCATGGCAACTGCACCAACCGTGGGCATCAGACTCCTCCCCCAACTTTCGTGTGAGGCAAGGAAGGAGCACACAAACATGTGAAAGAGCAAGCATCAATGCGCGCAGGGCCCTCCTCTTCCTAGATGAATGTTGGCGGAAGCTTCTCTTAGGCGGTAGAAATCTGTGAAACATGATGTCAGTGAAGGATATATGTTTGCACCTCCTTGGCGCCCTCCGGCCGGGAGAACCGCGCGGCGGCGCTCCCGTCGGCGTGAGGTCCACTCAGCACAAATTGGCCCTCCCAGCGCTGCAGTATCAGCACACAACACTTATCAGCTGACAATATCCAGACCTCAGCGCTAGTCTCCACGATCCAGAACACCAGCAAGCTTCTATTTCCGTTTTAGACGAGAACAGGGGAGCATGTGGTGACCACAGCAACCCCAGCGGATTCTGTGCACGAAGAAGGGGGCTGATTCCTACCACCAAGCACACTGTCTCCTGACTACAGCATGTGCTTCCATGACAATGAACACACACAGAAGGCCGAAGGCTGAGATGGTCGACCAAGACGCACAGCACCTTTTCCCTAACCCTGTTTTATTTTTGGCTGATTTCCTCCTGCAAATACAGCAAATACCGCAGTGATGACAGCATGACATCAATTGCACGAGGAGCCAATAGCTACAGTGGTCAATAGGATGCACCTGCAGGATGCGATGCAGGTCGGCGGCCGGAGCCACGTCGGTGAAGTGCACGGGAAAGCCCTTCTCCGCGCGCACCGCCCGCTCCAGATCTTCCAGCGGCATGCCAGCCGCCGCCCGCGACAGCGCCTGCCGCGGCACCGCCGCATGCGCCCCCTGTTGTCCGGAGGTCATTCAGAGTTGCAGCCAGTGTGAGGATTATGGTCCTTGCCCTGCTCAATATGTACGATACCACGCTTTCTGAATACACGTCCTCAGTCATCAATCCGCTGTTGTTGGAGGGGACTGCTCCTTTGGGCCTGGGCATGTCTGTCAAGGACTTCCTGACAACCCATGCACGATGGACTCTTCCACACTCCCAGAGCCGCACATGTGTCCCATTAACAGCAGACATTGCTCTTCAGTGCTGCCCAGATATTCACAGCATGCGCATTCTAGTGACAGAGTGCACCTCACCCCAAACCCATGCACGGTGCTAAGTCAAATGCCTTGAACTCCTCACGATCATTGGGCAGTCACTGAGTGCCTCGCATCTCATCGAAACACTGCTGAGCAGAGAGGGCTGCGCACCTTGAACAGCTGCACGCAGCGGTTGGGCTCCGCGCCAAAGCTCTGCGTGGCGAGGCCATACTGCTCGGCCAGCAGGTGGGCTATGTGGCGCGCCTGTTTAGGCGCGGCTGCCAGGCTGGCGCGCTTTTTGGCCCCGTCAGCAACGAAGTCCGCCAATTGGCGCTCCAGGTCCTCCACCGCTGCCCGGTTATGCCAAGCGTACAGCAGCAGCTCCGGCGAATAGTGCGCGTCCCTGCACCGCGCACCAGCAAAAAAATATTGAACAATGCATGTCCCTGAAATAATTAGACAGCTGAAGGTGCAATGTACACGGATCATGCACCGCCGTACTCATCAAGCTCTTCCTGTGCACCAGGACATAAACATAGATTTACTTGGCATGTGCACAAGCCAGAGTCAGCCATCATTTTGGCGATTCAGCCATCATTCTGGCGAGTATCCAGAGGGAATGTCATGCACTGCGATCTACTTCCTGCCGGGTGGTGGACTGTGCATTTGCCACGGGCAGGCTCACGCCATGTAAGAACAAAAGTTTATTATACTGCATGGCTTGCCTCTGGCGGTCCACCCAGGGGACGTGGTGGCCGGGGTCGCCGATGCCGAATGCGTCGGCCAGGCGGCTGCTGCGCTGCACCCGCTCGCACTCCGCGTCGCACCGGATCGGCTTCGGCGCCGTCCCGACCGGCAGCGCAATGTGTGACACGCGCCGCCCGCACGCGCACTTCACCGTCACCTTCTGCAGCGACGGCAGCGCTGGGGGTCTGCACCCAGGACACGGTGTGGTCATGTGCCGTATTCGATGTCTTATTGGTACACAGAAGGCTATGGGCCTTCAGCTGCAAGGCCTGCAGCTCATGTAGAGTCAGTGTGCTGTTACTCAGTTGCCCTTGCACCTGCATAAAGAAGACTCAACTTGTAGGAATGGCACGGCGTCACTCAGATCCCTTTTCAATTGGGAGCGATTCTGTGCTCCAGAAAGGAAGTACCAACCGAAGAAGAGAACCCCAGCCATACCCTTGCTTCCAATTCAGCACCCCAAGGGAGAATCTGCACCCCAACTCAAGCAGATCGAGAAGAGGACTGACCGAGTCTGTGCAGAGCCCCCGGGCGCATGACCATTGGCCTGGCTGGCCGACTGCGCCGCAGCCTGCAGGCTGGGGAACTCCTCACTGCCCTGCTCCTCCTGGGCATGCCGCCGCGCTTCGCTCCCCTGGCAAAATATCAGCGCCAACGAAGGTCAGCAAAATTGAGTTCACCATTTTGGGGCGCACAGCATACAAAGCGAGCAAAGTGCACAAGTCGCCCAAGAACTCTGTGAAGGAGGTTCTACATGCAAGATCCCAAACCGCGTTCTGCGCACGGCATCATTCTGTTGCAGCGGCCGCAAGCAGGGTGGCTTGTCAAGCAGTGTAGCATTGCTAGATGAATAATACAATACTAGAGGATCATTGCTGCAGGGTAATCACAGCCAGCACAACTGGCGCACAAGGTAGTACCTGTCTGCTGCCGCTAGCTGCTGGCCCCATGGCAGGGAACGCGTCCCCAGTCATACCCAGGTCGTCATCGATCATCACCATGCCGCCGCTGGTAGACGGTTCCTCAGCCGGTCGCGGCTGCGGCGCGGATTCCCGGCCCCTCCCGCCCGCGCGCGCGGCACTGCCGGAGGAGCCGCGGCCCCCGCTGCGTGGCCGCTGGCTCCGGCCGACAGACTGCTCTTGCACCCTGTGCCCAAAACGAAGGAACCAATGACTGGGCAGACATCCAAGAATGCTCACAGGCCTTATCAGAGCTTATGCCAGCTGAACTCAGCTTCTCCCAGTTACGCAGACAGTACTGTACTTCAGTAGACACCGAAATGGTGGGGCCTCCAGGCGCTCGACAGCATATCAGGTGATGCCGCTCCAAAGCGCATGACATGATGCATTTGCTTGCAATTTGCTTGTAGCGGAGGTAGTGCTTCCAGAACACAAGGTCTTCACAGGCTCCGCATGAGTACCAAAGCAAGAGACTTGCAGGTGCAGGTGATTTGGGAGAGTCTGGGAACAGCAGCACCTGTCGCGGTCAGGGGATGTGGGCAGCGGCCGCGAAGGAAACGCGTCGAGGCCGAGGGGCATGATGCGTGCGCGAGCGCGGTTGAAGCGCGGCATGGCGCGCGAGTGGCGTTCCCTCCGGTGCTGCGCCAGCTCATCCGGGGTGGCGAAGGCGATGAGGCAGCCCACGCACTCCGCCTCCTCGCACAGGTGGTGGTCACTCCTGCACGGCAGTAAATAAGCATGAGAACCTTGGCAGCAATGTCAGCATGCAGCATATTGGAGATTGCCTGATGAAAAGGTTGCCCAATCATAGAAAAATTGGGAGAGGAAAGGAGGGGCAGGACCACACCGGAGTGGCCGCTCCTACAGCCAAGAAGCATTCTGGAGCAGTTTGCACACTCGGGTGCTCTCTGAAGTAGCACCAAGATACCAGAATCATGGACACTGCAAAGAAGTATGCAACATGCACTTGCGCTCACATAATCCATTGCGCTGTGGCTACAGAACCACGACTGACCGGCAAGAAGCCAACCTCGAATTCTAGAGGGACAAGAATCCTGCCAAAGCATGTATGAACCACTTCCATGGGCTGATAGAGGTGGTACACATGCCTGTTATGACAGAACGCTTCCAGTGCACGCGCTGCGGACATGATGAAGGTTGGAGCCAACCTGAGGTGGCCGATCAGGGCATCGGAAGAGGTGAAGTGCAGGAAGGAGCCGGCGCGCTGGCAGATGTCGCAGGTGAAGTGCTGCTCGCGCATGTGCTCGTACAGTTCGTCCCCGCTGTACATGTGAAGGTTGCAGAAGTCGCAGCGCGGGTGCTCTGCTGCCATGTGCGCCGCCAGGTCATCAGCGCTGTACGCCTCCAGCTCCAGAGGGAAGCGCCGCTTCGCCTGCCGGGCAGATTGCTATTACTACTTTCACTCTTATGGTCAATGTCAATGTTAATGCTATACTTAATATTGCCATCAAACGCCTGTAGGTCAGCTGTACATATCCAATATCAGCGGAAAGCAGTCAGGGCGCAGCTTAGGATTGCGGTCAGGGTGAGGGAGCTCTCAATGCATGCATGGATAATGCGAGCAAAGCAGGTAACACTGTCACGGATGAGGCGCCGGCACAGCTTTTGATCAAGCATGGACCATCGACGGCAACAAACCCAGCCTGGTCATCAACAAGACACTTGACCTGAAGAGTCCCAGCCCATCATCCGAAACAGACACACTCCACCACGCACGTCTGGCACCAGTCACTAGCAGAAGAACGCAATTATGGGCAATATGCATGGATGGCTACACGTCCGCAAAGATTGGCAGATCATGGCTAACTCCCTGCAGCAAAGGAATAGCTTTCGGAAGGTAATGGCGCGCACCGACAGGCAGATGCTGCAGAGACTGCGCCCATGCTCCACCTTGACATGCGCCTGCAGCAGGTTCACCGACCTGAACGGCCGAGCGCCGACCTCGTCACACACCGGGCACGCCACAGCCGTGATGCCCTGGCACACACAGACATGCATTACCACACAGGGGTTCCAGTTCGCTGAAATATGTGTCCCAAAGGATAAAAGAAGGGACATGACAGCCTTTAATCTACACTTTGAGGGGGCAGCGACTAGATGGTCTCCTGCTTGACAGAGCTGAGCCTGCGTGCAAGCTCGTGCAAATCACTATCTGTATTTCTGCCAGAAGAAAAGCCAGGGGGGAGAACACTGTGCAGGGTCTACCTGCACAGTACTGCTGAGCGGGGAACCCCCCGAGGATGACTGATTGTCCACCAGGACCCCCCGCGCCCAGGCAGGCTTCCGCCACATGGTGCCTGACCGGCCCTTGAGCTCGCTGAAGTCTGGCACACCCTCCGGCTTCCATCGTGTCAAAATCACCTGCCAGGAAAATTAAATTCGGAGGCATATCTTCCACAAAATGAGCCACAAATGAGCCACAGTATTGTGTGTTCTAAACCTCTCTCATGCAGCACTGTACATACAGCTGGTACCAGACATCCTAGGCGGTCAGGATAAGGTACGGTCATGCAGTGGAAGAATGAAGATAACTTGTGGCCGTGCAGCATGAGAGCCTGAGGAGGACTGAAGAGCTGACCTGGGAGAGCTCGGTCTTGCAGAATGGGCAGGCTATGTCATCATAATTCAGGCGCATGAGCAGGCTGCAGCGCGCGCAGATGTCCTTGTGGTTGCAGGAGCCCACCGCCACGATCTGTGCAGAGCACATGGCAAGATCATCACGCCTGGACATTATGCACTATTCTGCTATTTCATGGCAGTCACTTTCCACTGACAGCAAAGCCAGAATTGCCACTGGCCGATGAGGCTTATTCATGATTGTTCACACGACTGTGCGATTGCAGCATTTCCTCAGCATTTGGGCGCGCACCGAAAGGGGGCCAGTGCAAATGACGCAGGCCGGGACATCCTCTTCCTGCTGTGCGCCGCTGCTCTCACATTTTCCGCCGCTTTTGACTTCGCCTTCCTGCGGCCTGATGCAGGGCCGCGCGCCGCGCAGCCGCCTGTTGTCCAGGGGCGGCCTCTGCGGCCTTCCGGGCCCCGTCTGCTGCATGTTTTCAGAGTAGATGTGCTCATTCTGATAGTGCCCCATTTGTGAGCGCGGCTGCTGCGAAGTCTGCTGCCTCGATTCCAGGAATCGACGCAAGGGGCTTGAACCGGGCGTGTGGCGGCTGTTGCCGTCAGCTGCTTGTCGATTGCCTGTGCTGCTGCGCGCAGATGGCTGGCTGCCTGACTGCTGTTCCACTTGCGATGGCCGCAGTGCCTCTGGGTTAGAAGATGGCCGCTTCCGCTGGGTGCTCCGGCTGCTCTGCTGTGACTGTGCTGTAGAAGCCCTGAACGGACCATTGCTGTCCTCGTGCTGCTGCGCCCACATCCGCACAGGCTCTGTCAGCACGTGCCCGTTGGGCAGTGTGACTGGACTGCTCCTGCCCTCCAGTGGTGTGAGGGTCATCTGCTGCCAGTTGCCAGCAGCGCCAGGCGGGGGAGGTCCGGGTTGCAATGTGAGGATCCGATACCTCGACCTGCGCGTGACTGTCAGGTCCCTCATTGCGTTCTCCACCTCCTGTGGTGGCCTCCTCCTTGGTGGCACTTGTCCAGTAGCAGGATTGCTGTTTTTCTGCTGATTTGCGGCTTCTGAGGAGCCTGCTAATGAACTGGCACCTCCTGTGTCTGCTGATGCGCCATCTGCAGAGGGCGTACTGGTGTGGCTGTTGTTTGTGGGTGTGCTCTGGGAGCGGATGGCAGCTGAGGCATTTGAGGCGGGCCCTGAGGAGTTACTATTCTGCCCCTGCTGCCTCCGGTGCGGCCTGGGAGATTGCCTGGGCGGCCGCACGTTCTGCCTCCCTGTATTGCTGCCTGAAGGTGGCTCGTTTAAATCGCCGTTCATCATCGCTTTCTGCTGCCAGGTCTGGGCCTGCGTGCAAGCAGTCATTGTGACATATCAGAACGTTGCAGTTGTCTCCTGCACTATGAAGCCACCTTGTTCGCTCAAAGTATACACAAGCCAAGCAACCAGGCTTATCAGCGTGCATACTGCACTGTGAGAAGGTCGAAAAGAAAGGCGTTGGCGATCGATACTCAAAAGCAAAATGATAATGTCTCGGATCCCTGGAGAATATTTTTGTGAAGCAAAGAGAGATGATCAATACGAGCATTTGAAATAGATTCCTTACATTTGGATTTAGGCTGCGAGTCTCGTCAATTCTTGGTCTGGTTTCACTGGATCCTTCTATGCTGGTGGAGGTCATGGTGCCCCAATGCCGATAGCGCACGTCTCGGTGCTGTTTTTCAAGCCCTTTTCTACGTAAGTGCAACAAGGTGGATTCCTTTCCCACCATCCGCTGCTTGAATGAAGCTCACCAGCTTCCACCAGCTCTATCCTTCCCTAGGGTTTCAAGAGGGTTTCGGATTGATCTCTACTCTTTATGGAGAAAGCATTTGAGTTGGACAGTGGTCTTTGGTTGCAATGGTGACGTTGTTAGGTGCACCGACTGTTCTGCTGCCGTCTTCTCACTTGAGGCGGGTCCACAAGCCTTTCAGCACACAAGTGACATGTCACCACACCAGCTACAAGGACAGTCACGCCAAAGCTGCTCAACCGTCGGCAACCTATTCCAGAAGAACTCTTCTGTCTTCAATTGCTCTCTTTTCTGCTCTGCAGCGAGCAGGTTAGTGTTCCTCAGTCGAGTGATCTGTGTTGATCTTGCCACATAATGGATCAGCTTGCGTTCAAATATTGTGGTGCTGCATGTGGTCAATACACTGGAAACAGGATGCAATGGCAGAGCTCGAGTACTTGTCCTATGCACGTGCAAGTGCCACACTTTTTGCAGACCTTGCGTTTTGTCGCTTCAGGAGAGGTGAAGGCTTTTGGAATTGAGTCTGTACAGCTACCTTTCTTGCCAGACTCAACAGGGGCCGCTGAGGCAGCCAAGTCAAAGCTGGAGAAGGCTGCAGCTGAGTTTGAGAAGTCAGACTTCCTGAAGGGACTCAAAGAGCGGTCTGAGCAGAACAAGGAGAAGTATGATCCTGACTTCAATTGCTCCCAGTGGTATGAGTGCTTCGTGTCAAAGTTCCATCCAATCATCAATCATGGTCCAGCCGAGCAAAATACATCTATGAGTCCTGCAATCTTGCAGGAACAAGAAGGAAGTGCGGGACAAGTACTGCTACCGTCAGGCAGAAATGGGAGTTGGTGATGTGAGTTGTCAATCCTTTATCTCTGCGCTGCTGCCAAGAGCACAATCCAATGCACACCGTGTACACCGTACAGTATATTCTATTGAAGCAGGCATTGGGGCCTTGTTGACATATCAATCTGCTTTGACTGGAGTACCGCGATGTGTCAATGGGTCGTTTGGTGCAAGCTACCAAGCATATCGCAAGAAACCAGAATATTGCCATCCACTCACTGAACACAACTTCTCCTTACTGTCATTTCAATGAGATTGATTGGCTTTTGATTTGAACTCCTTTGGTTTGATGCAGTGCGCTGGACTGCGGCTTATCCCTGGGATGACCAAGAGCGGACTGCAGAAAGAAAAGACGCCCGAGAGAAAGTTTTTGGAGTTCCTCACTGGGGCCAAGGATGAGGGGCTGTAAGTAGTAGAGTGGCCAATTTTGTCAGCAGAACACTAACAGTATGACATCAAGCTGCATATGCTTGAAGAACTATAAGCGAGTCTCCTTCATGCAGGATCTGGCACAATCGAGTTGCAGATGGTGCTGACACATGACATGCATGTCCTGTGCACAGCGATGCAGCTGCGATCAAATGCGCTCTCAAATTTTGATATTACGATTGTACAAGCATCTGTAACAGCATCTTATCACTCAAGGTGCACCGTGCATGGAAGTGCTTACATTTTAGATGCACCTCAGGCCGCGGGCGTACACAGCGCCCTATGTTGCTGTTACTGTTCTGCAGCTGCATTCCTGCTGTAAAGAATAGCAACAGGCTCTGAGCTCGGAGCTCGCAAGATTCTGCGGCTGGCCGGCCACTGAGGCGCCTGCAACAATTGAACGGAAGTGTGACGCTGTATGAAACACCTGGAATGATCTATCTTCTTATATTGAGGCAACCTGCACAACACTGCCCTGCCATGCCCCTGATGGTACACATGCATGCCAAATCAGGACTGCAGCTAACGTAAGGCAGACAGCCCAGTTCCTTGTTCACGCTGCTCTGCCTCCAACGCTTGGAAATATAATCCTAATAGGATTAAGCATCTCTTGTAGTTCTGTATCGGAGAGGCAGCAGAGGGGCTGCTTTGCACCAGAATTAGCAGACTTGCCTATTCGGTTTGCAGTGGAGAATATTTCTGAAAATCAGAGATCAAGGTATTCTAGAAATTTTGAAACGTGCATCGATGATAGAGCTATCAGGGAGAAGACATAGTTTCAGAGCACATTTATGCTTCGATCCAATTGTCGACGTGGGCTCGTTGTTCCGTCAGTACTTGCTGATCACGGGAAGACGAGCGTACTTCTAGCTTCACAGATGATGTACTGTTGATCTCACTGGGGATCTCTGCGGCCAATTCTACAGCTCACTGATCAAAGAGCCCTTGTAAAATGTGGGAACTACTTTTGGACCATGGGAAATTCATCGACTCGTTCTGCGATCCACAGTGCGTCTCATTTGCACCCTGGACTTCTCATTATGCTTTATATGTCTTGTGATTATCTGGAATGCATTTTCGAACGTTCTAGCTGGCAACTGGCGGCAGCAATTCCAAGGACCTGGCAGGCTGTTCCTAATACACAATCGATTTGTGCAGGTTCGTGAGGGAGGATTTCAAGGGTGCTCTCGGTGCCTTCACGCCATGCTTCACAGATATAGTCATCCTTGGTGCGCCGCCTTATATGCGGCTGCACCGCCTGCAACAGATCGAGCTCCCAAAACTCCCCATCGCATACCAGTCCCTGACTCCTGGTGTTGCGGACTATGGCACACAATTCGTTCATCTGCATGGCCAGAGAGCCTGTCACAAGCACGATGAAGGTTCGCTCGCTCATGACAATGAATGCATGCGCAGGCACAGCGCACATTTGCGCAGTACTGCTGACAACTGCGCGGCTGCTGTTTGTGAGGCGGCGCTGTCGCTTCCAGCCATACCGGCTGCATGGCTTGGCGCGGGTCATGCAGTTCAGCGCCGTTGTGGCCTCGCTGCTGTGCCTCCTGGTGGAGCTTTTCCAGCTGAATGCGCGGATTGCTGCAGACCCCACCCCTCTCATCCAAGGGAATATCGCGCCCTTTGAGTGGGCAGGTGAAGTCCTGCTATCTTCACTGTGCACGAGAAAGGTGCTTGGGTGAGACGCACAGGTTGCCAGCATTTCCGTAGATAGGCACGTGGTTATATCCTTTTGGACATGCTGTTGTGGCATGAGCTGAGGAGTAATATTGATTGGAGTCCTGAAGTCTAACGGCACACGGCAAGCACCGTGATTTTGTGCATCTGTAAGAAGCACATGTGCTCGTGGGAATGTATGGATTGCTTTGAAGTTCTGCAAATTACTTATCGGCGCCAACCTTGCGATCATTATGCTTATTCTTGTAAAACAATCTCATGTGTTGTGATTGCTTGTGCAGAGTACGGGCTGTCTGCAGTGACGTGGCTGCTGTTCTCTGTCGCATTTATCTGCGAGCTGAACAAATTTGTGCCACACCGCACATGGCTGTTGCGCTTCCCCATCCTCTTCATCTTTGCTGGCGAGATTGCAAAGCTCAGGTGCTGAAACACTTGCATGCCATGTCGCTCTACAACAGCCTTGTGGGCTAGCCAAAATGTGTTGATAATGTATACATCTTTCTCAACGCCGCCTTGTGCCTGCTTCTCCATGCTGCGAGATGAAAGCCTTGAGGTTCTGCACAAACACCGATGCCATGTTTTTGTTCTTTGATCTCTTGTCTGCGTGACATGTGTCACAGCATGTCTTCCGTTTGTTGTAGGAAGAGATGCACTGGTGAAGAGGACAGATGTCCCTGACGCCTGAAGTGGGAACCTTGCGCAGATTCCCTTCATGTTCATTATTAAAACCCTGTCATCTTGTGATTCTGTGCATGCATGCAGATTTGTGGTGCTAATGGCGGAGCAGCATGACTACTTCTTTATTCTGTACATCATCAGCTTTGCAGCAGAGGGGTGGCTGGCTGTGTTGGCTCTGTTCCATTACCCCAGCGAGGATAATATGGAGCCCCTTCCCGATGACCCCAACAACCCTGTCATCTACCAGGCAAGCTTGCTTCTCGTGGTGCCAACAAAGGCCGTCACATTATTTGTGGTAGACTTGTGGTACTTGTCAGAATCGGTGGTATGAATTGTGACAAGACATTGGGGCTGGGGCTGTGATCTCTGCCTCCAACTCCCTCTTGAAACAAAGCCCACCAGAAGACAATACCACAGCAGGACATGGAATCGGTACTTGTTTTGCATTTTAAAGCGATTGGCGCTGGCTGTGCAGGAACTGCCCAGCTCTGCACCCAATGATGAGACCATCTGCCCTGAGGCCACAGCCAATATATTTTCCACCGTCACATTCTCCTGGGTCAGCGCGCTCATGAAGAAGGGTTACAAGTGAGTATGCACCACTGTTCCTCTTTACTGCATAGCCTACAGCCTTGCGCTACACTCAAACAAACCAGAGTTTATTTGGTGAGGGGTACAACCCCACTGCTTTTGGGACCTGAAGCCAGTCACACAATCCAGCTTCAAGTAACAGGGCCCCCTTGTCCAATTGGCAGGAAGGATCACACTTTACTCTCAAATATAATTTGAAAACTCAGATATCGCTGGTCCTGCAGGAAGCCCCTGCAGTTTGAGGACATGTGGAAGCTGCCACCTGGAGATGAAGTCAGCTACCTTGCCTCGCGCTTTGAGCGCGCATGGCAGAAGGAGCTCACTAAGAAGAATCCTTCGCTGGTATGGTTCCCTGGACATGTCCATAAGCTGATTCCTTGCTTATATTGGATCCCGACGCAAACTGAAAACGTTTGCAACTTGTCGGAGTTTTGCAACTGTCGTAGTCAGGACACCCTCTGCTGCATCGTTAATGACCAGCGGTGCTTCAGCCTCTGCTTTCTTTTGGGCTCAGCTCATCCCTGCGTCACCCTGAGTGACGAATAGTCCTGATGACTTACACATCCGACATTTCCCATGGAGCAGCAGAACCTAAGGGGTAGAATCTGTCGTGCAGACGCTGGCGGTGTGGAAGACAACATGGCAGCTGTTCGCGACCGCGTTGCCCTTCAAGCTGGTGAATGACGGCGCCACCTTCATCGGTCCTGTCTTTCTGAATCTGCTGCTGGGAGTGGTATCTTCTGGGCAGTCGTCGGCGCTGGGGTACAGCTACGCGGCACTGATGTTTGTAGGGCTGATCTTCGGCACGCTCTGCGACAATCAGCACTTCCAGCGCGTCATGCGCGCAGGTGCGCGGCCCGCTCCCTGCCCCTACCTGCATGTGCACACTCAAGGCTTTGCCTGCATGCGTGCAAGCAGGCCCCTCAAGCTAGCAGAACCTGAGGGCTGACATTCATAACATCATGCCCGGGTGGGTATGCCCGTGCACACCCTATACATATCGGTGCAATCTGTATGGCTCCTGGTAGATGCACTGATGGAGCGAATGCGTCTCTGAACATTCTGCGGTGTGATAGGATGCTGGCATGTAATTTTATCCCACAGTGCATCCTGCGTTATGCCCACACGCTATTTTGTTAGTCGTACACATTCTGATTGCATTTCATGTCGCCTTTTAAGGCAGAATTTCAAGGCTGCTATGAGGCTCATATCTGTCTGTCTTTAGAAGCCGCTGGCGCTTTACTGCAAAACTCCGCTTGCCGCACTGCATGACAAGACTCTGAAGCGCTTAATGAACACAGGCTACCAGCTTCGCGCACTGCTGGTGCATGAGACGTTCAAGAAGGTGCTCTACATCGCACCGTCCGCGCGCGCCGACTTCTCCTCCGGCCGCGTGTTCAACCTGGTGACTTCAGACGCGGAGACGCTGCAAATGCTGTGCCAAAACATCATGGGTTTGATTTCCTCGCCGCTGCGCATCACTGTCGCCATGGTCATGCTGTACCTGGAGTTGGGCATCTCTTCTGTCGTCGCTCTCGGCGTGCTGCTGCTGCTCATGCCCACTCAGGTGAGGCCCTCAAAACTCAACCCGGGAAAGGGATGCGTGTTCTATCAAGAGTGTTTCTTTGAAACCTGTTCCCGTCCAACAAGTGAAGAAGAAGACGTGCAAAGCGCTCCCAGTAATGTATACCAGAGCGCCATTGCTATCTGTTCAGGGGCTGACTAATGAGTCGTCAACCAAGCCTGCCAGATATTTGTTTTCTGGCATGCAGGCATGCATGCATATAGCCCTTGCCCTGATTCCCCAAAGCAAATTCATTGCTTGATGAGCCTGCGAAATCCTGACTTATGCTGTGCATCCAGAGATCGGAATTAAAGTTGCGTTTTCCGCGAGGTTCCCTGTGTGACCATGCAGTCTACCTTTTCATTCACAAGAACCGTGGTGCCAGAGATCTTGCTGATGTACTGTGCTTTAGGAGGAGATCTTGCTACAGAAGAGTCTTGAAATGAACAGCGGTTTTAATTGTTGCCTGGCAGGCGTACCTGGTGCGCGTGGGGGTGCGGCTGCAGAAGGAGGCGCTGCTGTTCACGGACGAGCGCGGCAAGCTGGAGGGCGAACTCCTCAACGGCATCGACGTCGTCAAGTGCAACTCCTGGGAGGTGCGTGTTCTCATCAGTGCTGCACAACTTGAAGATGCTTACAGCTGGGAGTTCTCTCCCCTGGCGCAAGGGGTTTAGAGGAAGATAACCCGCAGTCATCATGCAATTGAAGACATACTCAAAGCTGCCTTCATGTCATAGATGGCTAAGCAGCATTGCGCCCAACCATTGAAGCAATGGTTGATGTTTTTAGCTTATTCTGTTTCTTACTGGCTGTGTTCAAGAATCTTATCATGCCTTCAGCGGTTGGGTGCAGTGCTGGAGCACTTCCAAACGCTTATGCCACAAGTTCGCAGCAGAAGTATCTTTGCATCTGTCAGCTAAGCAACGTATTTTGAGCTATCTGTCTTTTAGGCCTTGGTCCTTGTCAGGTTAGCGGACTCCATGACTGCATGAGAGTCATCCCCTCAGGACTGAGTGGCGCTTGTGCTGGGTTGCTCGCAGTGGTCGATGTGGGACCGAATCCAGGCAGTGCGCAACCAGGAGCTGGGAACGCTGTGGCGCTCATTCATTGTGCAGGCGCTCTTTGGCTTCACTCTCAACACCATCCCAGTTCTGGTCTCCGTGCTCACCTTCGGCGTCTATGTGCTGCTCGGCAACAAGCTCACCGCCGCCGAGGCCTTCACCTCCCTCGCGCTCTTCACGGTGACCTTCCTGTACCTTCATGTGCCCGGCTATCAGGCGCTTGAGAGCGTGCAACTATCTTGAATCAATGATTGCATGGACAACAGCTTGCTATCTCTTGTGGCAACGCCTCCTCAATATGGGCTGCACATATCAGCGAGAGTCTTCTAAGAACTTTCTTCTGAAAATTTTCTTGAAGTCTGTTGTCAATGCCTGCTGCCCAACATTGCATGCAATTCATCGATTAGCCTTTGTAAGCTTGACCAAATGCCTACATTGACACAGTTTAGGCTCGAAATGTTCTTTAGAGCTAACCGGTTTCATTGGTTTCATCGGCGCTGCTAATGCATGTGCGCGTGCATGCGTGCAGGTGCTGCGCATGCCGCTGTTCCAGCTGCCACAGCTGATTACTCAGCTGGTCAATGCACGCGTGGCCATGACTCGTCTGCAGGAATTCCTTTCCGCCCCTCAGCAGCCACCCACTCGCTTCCTCCCCCCTGCAGAGCCAGGTGCTGTCATACTTGCATTACCGTATTCTGGGAACAGCATCCACCAGATTACCGTATTGTCCTTGGGCATCTGCATGTGTGATGATGGATGAAGCATTGCTGTGTAAGGACAGGTAGTAGGCAACATGCCTATGGTCGGGGATCTTTGGGGGTATCTTCATGGCATGCTCTGCAACACCCTTTTGAATATTGTAAAACGTAAATGTGTTTCAACATTTTTCAAGATCAACCATCTAGACCGGAATGTTTAGGGACCTGATACGGTGTTTGAGTGGGTGAACTCTGTGCATGCGCAGGTGAGGCGGCAGTGAAGGTGGTGGGGGAGTTCACATGGGACAGGGCAGCGCCGGCCTCTCTGGTGGACATTGATCTGTCTGTGCCGAAAGGCGCCCTTGTGGCAGTGGTCGGCCAGACCGGGAGCGGCAAGTCTTCGCTGCTGTCTGCAGCACTCAACCTCATGCAGCAGTTGCACGGGCCTGATGTGCTCGTGCGGGGCAAGGTGCGCCTGACTTTCTCACATGCTCAAGCTATCACCTTTGCAAGGAGTTTGTGCGACCATCCATGTCCAGTCTGGTGCGATACAAGCAGGTGTCAATCTGGATGCATTGTGACAGTTGCTTCAGCAGGCTGCGCCATCAGTTGTAAGGCATCTGTGCACTGTCCCCACTGGTTGAAGTTGGGCCATTTCGGACCACATATCCATTTTTGGTGTGTTCTTCGAAAGCCCTCCTCAGGCTGTGGTAATAGTTTCAACAAGGTCGAGCGGGTTGGTAGAGGCGCTGTCGAGCAAGTTTGGGGGTGACTTCTTTGACAGATGTTTGACGCGGTGCAGGTGGCGTACATTCCCCAGGCGGCCTTCATATACAACGCGACGGTGCGCGAGAACATTTTGTTTGGGCAGCCCTTTGAGGAGGAGCGCTACCAGAGGGCCATCGAGGCCGCAGCCCTTGGGCCAGACCTGCTCCAGCTCTCAGGTACCACCTTCCTCTTGCTTCAGCTCTGCTGTAGACTTCATCTAGGGGGTGTTTGTTGTGATCAAGTAGGCCAGAGTTTTATACATCCTTATATGTCATGTTTTTTATAATTATCATTTTATGCAGTTTTCATTGAATGGAGGGCTGATGTGCTGTGCAGCTGGCGATCTGACCGAGCTGGGAGACAGGGGAGTGAATGTGAGTGGAGGCCAGAAGCAGCGCATCTCTCTTGCCAGGGCCACCTACGCGGATGCTGACGTCATCCTCCTCGATGACCCCCTCTCTGCCCTTGACGCCCAGGTGCAGTCCCTGAAGCCCCAATTACTCGAACGTAGACATTCTCTGATGCATGCTGGTGGCTCACAAAGTGTGCCTGGATTGCTTGCATGTATTTACAACTCTCTTACAACTCTGCTCATCAGAGCTGCGTGACGAAGGACAATTTGCAAAGGAAGAAGGGTTCAATTTTGACGGCGTTATCATATTGAAGCTGGATGGGAAGGTGTAATTGTGAAAACAAGAGGAGACTAGTCATAAGGGCGTTCCAATATCGAGGCTGGATAGAAGGTCCAACGGCGAATGGTTGGGTGCAGGTGGCGAGGGAGGTGTTCAACAAGTGCCTGATGGGCGAGCTGCGCCACAAGACGCGCATCCTGGTGACTAACCAGCTGCAGTTTGTCAGCCCGGCAGACACAGCCATCTTCATGTCCTGCGGGCGCATCGCAGAGATCGGCTCCTATTCCACGCTCATGTCCCGCGGGGACTCCTTCGCGCAGCTGATGTCACAGGCCGAGGTGAGCATGCTCTGAGTGTCTCCAAACAGGCCATATTTTGTTGCGCTTTTGTGCATGCATGCCTTGACGCCTGCTTGAAGCAGCGGCTCCAGCCTGGGTAGTCATAAAAAGGATCATAACCGCTCATGTGATGCTCGCTGTGGCTTCTTAGGGCTCGGCTTTTGCTTCAAGCAGATGCTGTATTGATACGTGAACACCCACCTCACTCCCAAGAGCTGCAACTGCTTTCAGGGGACATGTTTTCCTGTCAGTAGCAAACGGAAGTTTTCCTGCAAGTAACAGGAGTGGCAAGTATGTTAATTACTCTTCTGTCCTGACTTGAGTGAATGCATCGCAGGTGGAGCAGGATGATGAGAAAGTGAAGGAGGCAGCGGATGTGGCCATCAAGGCGTTTGAGGGCGGCACAGTGCCCAATGGCGTGGCGGCTCCGCGCGAGGCGCCGCCGCCGCCTGCCAAAAAGCCGAGCGAGACTGACGGGCACCTGACTGAGAAGGAGACTCGCTCAACAGGTGCTGCCCGTGTACAGCTGCCTGGTCTGCTTGAAAATCATGCGACTGCAGCGATGGTGATGTGCAAAGATTTGGCGCACTTTTGGGGATATCCCGCCTGTTTGTCGTGAGCTGTCTCTGAACTTAGATAGGGCATTCGTGTCCTGTATCATGCCATGGGCAGATGACGACAAGCAAGCAATGAGTGCAGTGGCGTTTTTTACAAACATGCACCTCTTCATCTTCTAATGCTAAAGTCTGCAAAGCAGAAGTCGTCTCAAATGCAATGGTGCCCCTCGTGCCAGGTTGACGCGTGTGTGTCCTGTGCGCAGGCCGGATATCCCTCAAGGTAGTCAACACCTACATCAACGCCATGGGCGGCAAGCTCAGGTTCGGCATTCTGATGTCGTGGTTTCTCATCGTGGAGGCCGCGCGCGTGGCCGCCACTGTATGGCTCTCCTACTGGACTGACACCGTCGACCAGCCGGGTGGCGCACCCCACGGGCCCCTTTGGTACCTCATGATCTACACCATCATCTCAGGCATCCAGGTGGGTACCGCTCTTCGCGTAGTACTCTATGCTGCAAATGCAATGGCAAGCCTCATGCCTCTTGGCAGCTCTAGGGGAGCCACCAGTGGCATGCACCTGTCATGTCTCTTGACACTATATGTGGGCTGAGGGAAATTCTGTGGCAGGGGCAATTTGTGGCAAGGGCATGTGACATGAGCAAGTAATACGACTTTCAAATATCATGAAAGGCCGGTTTGGCCAGGAAAAGCTCGTTTGGCCAGGAAGTGATTATGAGATGGCTTTGGTGCAGGTGCTGTTTGTGCTACTGAGCCAGTTCCTGCTCAAGGGCCTCAGCCTGGCAGCGGCGCGCTTCCTGCACAACTCCATGCTGCGCCAGCTCCTCAGGTGACCAATTGTTTGAAGATGTTTCTGCCACAGTTTAGGTACATGAGACGAGGCTGAGGCAGGGGCAAAATGCTGCAGTGTGTTTGCAGATTTCAAGGTGTCATATCTGCCGCTTCCGTAGTCCCTATGGCTTGCATTACATTGGGCACATCACTTATTTTTAATAACCAGTGAGACTGGCAAGCTCCATTTCGAAGCCAAGAGCTGGGAATGGGGCACAGGCAAGCTGGCTGAACTCTTTTTGGTCCCCTGTTGCTTGGTCATCCCTGTGCTGTCTTCTGTCCATCATGCATGAATTTGCTGGATGCGGCATTCAGGGCAGGCAGCATAGGGATGTTGTCAGAGCACGGGCGACGGAAGGATTTCGGCAGCTCCGTTTACAGTTACAAATTTCATTCAGTGCGGTAATTTCGCTGCTGCAGCATGCATCTAGTGTTTCACTTTTGCTTTTGTGGATACAGGGCTCCGATGGCGTTCTTCCACACGACGCCGCTGGGTCGCATCATCAACCGGCTGACCAAGGACACGGTGGACGCCGACAAGAACCTGGCGGACTTTGCTGCGTTCTTCCTGCGCTCCCTCCTGCAGCTGGCATCCACCATCGCCCTCATCGGCATCGTGACCCCCTTTGCTCTGCCCGCCCTGGTCCCCATCCTGCTTGTCTTCTACTTCCTCTACCAGTACTTCCAGGTGAGCTGCTTTCACCTCCAGTGCGTCTCCCTTGTGCAGCATTCCTATTATCTCCCCTAGGCCTCTGTGTTGACTGCTAGAGATATGACTCCTATCAAGCTTGTCGCTGCTCCGTACTTGATGATATATTATACATGCATAGCTGTACATTAATGGTGTCCAGAAGCACTTGGGTCGAGCTCTCAAGAGCATGTGCTGCTGCACTGCGGCAAGGCTGGGGATCTGCCGGATGCACATGTCATATCGGCTTTATCATGGCTCCGACATCATCATTCAACTCAAAACACCGCGCCACAGCAGCTGTTTTTGAATTGAATATCCCGCGCTAGTTCCAGCCCATCGGTGCTACGCGGTTTGCAGCAACTTTTCAATGGTACCCCAGTGCACCAAGATCAATTCCTTTGCGCACAGGCGTCGGTGCGGGAGGTAAAGCGGCTGGACAGCATATCGCGGTCGCCTGTCTACTCCTCCATCGGCGAGGCGCTGGCCGGCCTGGCCACCATCCGCGCGTTCAGAGCCGAGCAGCGCCTGTGCAGCCGCAACGCCGAGCTCGTGGACAACTCCGTCACCATGTCCCTCGTCAACATGTCCATGAACAGGCGCGCCTGCAGCCTATTAATGCCTGACGCTGTGCATTTCCTAAAAGCAAGGCATTCCTTGTGAGCTTTTTGCATTGTGGTAGTAAGACTGCAGCATGGCATCAGCTGCTCTACAAGATAGATAATTGAACGGCAGGAGAAGAGTGGAAAGGTTCAAGGCATGCAAAGCTCAGCAATGCGCTTGCACTGTCATGCATGCTCTTGAAGTTAACAATTTGACTCCCAAACATGCAGCACTGTGCTAGCATTGCAGGATTACATTGGAATAAACCCGCAGTTAAAGGTGAAATCTCTCATGCAGGTGGTTGAGTGTGCGGCTGGAGACTCTGGGAGCGCTGGCGGCGCTGGCCGCGGCCGTGCTGACTGTGGAGCAGCGGGGAGCCGCGTCCACTTTTGGCCTTGTGCTGTCCTACGCGCTCAGCATCACCATGCTCACTTCCATGACGGTGCGCTGACAGGTCTCTGTTGAAGGGGTCATCCAGGCATTTGTTGTTTTTGTTGTTCCTTGTGCTTGGTTTTGGCGTTGCTGTGGAGGCGGGCTTATCTTTGTGCTTTGTGCTTTGTGCTGGTGTTGCGGCCAAAAGGAACACGAGCAGGATCTTGGAGACCATCTCCCTGCCCCAGCAACCGCATTTGGGAGTCATTAAGCGTGTTGCTGCCAGTTGCACTGCTTGATAGTCAGAGAGAGCTCCGAGCAATCTTGCTTTCTATGGAGAAGGCTGCGAACACCATTGCGCTGCATGTTGTCCTTCTTGTCTGTGAAGCAGGAACGTTTTGCAGCAACATGAATGCGGGAGGGCCGCTGGCAGGCGCAATAATCCTCAGATGGGGCGCGCCTGGGCAATGCTGTGCGGCCCCTTGGATGGTACAGTGTGTATGGATCACACTTCTAGTACAACATGTGGCTGCATGGTGGGAGCAGGTACGGCTTGCGAGCGTGGCGGAGAACAGCTTCAACGCGGTGGAGCGCATCAGCGAGTTCTGCGACCTGCCCCAAGAGGCGCCCGAAGAAATTCGCGGTTCCAAGCCTGACGACTGGCCCGACAAGGGCCGGGTGAGCCCCCTCAATAGTCCTTGCACCTACCCGGCTGCCTGGTTGTCTGCCATGGTTGCTTGTGGGGGCATTCCCAAGCCAGCTTGGAGGATCCTGCATGCATGTGAGGTTTGTTGCAGGCGGGCACTACTCAGCGGCCCTTCTACTCCTGCAGCTTCAGCATGCACGCCTGTCTGTCCAGAAGCATGTGAGGCAATTAAGACACTGGTCATATTGTGATTGTACAGATCACGTGCTCAAAAGTAGCATGTGCGTGCAGGTGGAGTTCAACTGGGTGCAGATGCGCTACCGGGACGGCCTGCCGCTGGTTCTCAAGGGCCTGACCGTGGTACGTCTAGTGCTCCGTGTTATGTGTCAGCTCTATTGAAATCTGGTCAAATACTGAGGAGGTTGACTATGGCTTTCAATGTCACTCTGTGGAGTTTGTGTAGTGACCGCATCGGGGATGCACGGCTGCGCAGGAGATAGCGGCGGGGTCGCGGTGCGGAGTGGTGGGGCGAACGGGAGCGGGCAAGAGCTCGCTGATTAACTGCCTGTTCAGGCTGCAGGAGCTCAGCGGCGGCAGCATCGTCATCGACGGCGTCGACATCGCCAAGATGGGCCTCAAGCAGCTGCGCTCCTCCATGGCCATCATACCCCAGGTGGGCTTTGCAGCGCGTCTGTTTGTGAAAAGAAGTTTTCAGTCAATTTGCATACAAAATTTCCGTATTGTATGTGTGAATGTCATCCACACTGTCCCCTGCAATCTGGAACAAGAGCTTGTGATACTCAAGAAGTGCCTGACAATGTTGCCTGAATTGAAAAGTGCTCAATTGTTTGAAAAAAGCTTGCTTTCTGGCCTGCTGTCATACATTTGGAATTGCAGTCGGACATCCTTGCATATACCCGTTGGCGGTGTCATGATTTGATGTCCAGTGATATCACGAACCTCGTTTCCGCAGCGGGCTGTCTGGCCGCATCACACCATGAAAGGCACCACATCCGCTCAGATTGAGCCAGTGAGGCATTTAGAGATGATATTGAGGAGCGGCTGTCCAACCAGGTGCCGGTGCTGTTTACGGGGACGCTGCGATTCAACCTGACGCCGTTTGGGGAGCACAGCGACGCGGAGTGCTGGGCGGCGCTGCGGCGCGCGCACTTATCAGAGATGGTGGAGGCAACGCCCCTGGGCTTGGACCTGGTGCTGTCCGAGGGGGGCGCCCCCCTGTCGGCAGGCCAGAAGCAGCTCGTCGCCCTCGCCCGCGCCCTCCTGCGCCACTCCAAGGTGCGGCGCATGCATCTGTGCTCCAGCATCCACAGCAGGCCTGAGGACACTGTTGGAAATGTGCATTCTTGTAAGCTCACTTTTCAATGGGTTCTTCCTGCCTGTTGTGGGCACTGGCAAGCCTCTTTAACCTACCCCCTGTCAGCAAGGACCCTTAAATAATGTCCAAGCATCCTCATTACACGTGTGAGCACCTGGGTAGGTAATTGACATGAATGTTTGAAATCCGGCCACAAGATGCCAGATTATTGCAGCGCCCCAAGAGCCACTATGGGCTTAAGGCCACACTAGCTCGAAATGAATGCATTCCAAGTTGGTATGATCAGAACGTCTACGTCCTTATACTTCAGAGTTTGCTGCGAACATTCTCCTAGGAATATCACATGCATTACACCTCCCTGCACTTCAGAATTTTTCTGGGAAGTCTTTCTACAGGGGTTATATAATGTACAATTTATAATTCTAGATATGTTGTTACCTTTTTATTCTGAGCGTCTCAGATGTGCTGCCTGTCTGATGCAGATCCTGGTGATGGACGAGGCGACGGCGAATGTGGACGTGGAGACGGACGCGCTGATCCAGAAGACGGTGCGCGAGGAGTTTGCGACCTGCACCCTCATCGCGATCGCGCATCGGCTGCACACCATCATCGACGCAGACCAGGTCGTCGTCATGGATCGGGGCACCGCCGCCGAGTCCGGCCGCCCCGCCGACCTGCTCGCCAACGAACGCGGAGTCTTCTCCGGTGCGCGCATGAACGGTCTTTTCACCTTGTGTGATGGCTTCTCATACAAGGGGGTCATTCATGTAGAACACAAGGGCAACTGGCACAAATTCATCAAGTCAAGGTCTAATTCCAGGAATGACCAGCATCAGAGGTCTGTTTGATGGATGGTGCTAAGCATCCTGCTCTGGACCGTCATTGCCAGAGAGGCTCTGTCGTGGCAATCAGCGCCAGAGAACAGAGTCCCAAGCAGAATGGTGGGGAGGGGCGCTCCCCTAAGACCACAATATCTCACAGAATACAACTAATTGAAGGGAGCCTGGCTGGTGACATGTTATGTGCGCAATATCCCTCTTGTGGCCCCATCTCATAATTCGCTCAAGCTGCTTGATGTGGCAGCCATTCAGAAGGGCATGCAGACTGCGCTTGCGTGAATCATTATGACAGCAAGCTGCGGCTGAGCATAACCGGTTGGCGCGAAATGCTGAGGCTCCTGATAATCTGCATGAGGAGAACGTTGCTGCGCGCAGGCATGGTGGCGGAGACGGGAGAGGCGACGGCGCGTTTCCTGCGCAGCGTAGCGGAGGGCGAGGTGGACCAGCGAGAGGCACTCAATGAGCAGGCAGCGCTCGGGCTCCAACGCGTGCGCTCAGTCAAGGAGGACCAGGGCGGCCGCCCTGGCAAGGACTCCTGCCGCATCGCCTCCCACGAGCTGGTGCGCACCAGAGGGCCGCTGCCTTGTGTATGTGTTTGCGGCAATGCTAGCATTTCTCCAGCAGACTGGACTCGTGACGGACATTCTGCACATATTCGCTGAGTTTCCTTCTGTCCTGGGTGGTTTGGTCTGCCGAGCATCAGTAGGGCCCTTTTAACGTACAACGTACTGCGAGTCTGATCCTGCACTAGTCTCAAGACGGAAGGGAATCAGAAAATACGTGCAGGGTGTCGGTGTCGGGTTTTGCTAGCTGACAAGTTCCGGCAACCTATGATGACATTCCTGCCTTCGGAATGTGCCTGGATGCACTAGGAGATTCTGCATCCTGCACGGCCGTTAAAATTTGATGACTGAGATGTGCTGCCTGGTGGTTGCTGCAGATTGAGAAGGCGCGCGGCGCGGAGAGTCTGCTGCAGGCGTGCTTGGGGGCGCTGAGCAATGAGGCCAGCTCAGCGGAGGTGAGGGAACGCCTGGGACTGCTGCCAGTGGAGGAGGAGGGCGGCAAGAAGAAGGACGCCAATGCAGTGCACAAGGCCCTGCTGCAGGTGACTCAGCACGACTCACCCTGTGCTGCAACATGGTCTGGGCTTGTGGTCGCCTGTTCATGTTTGTCAAGGGATTCCAAGAAAAAACCAATGCACCGCATCCCATTGAGTTCAGACAAGCTTCAAGCAATGCCTGCTCTGCCTTGGGCTGGTGACCTCCCTTCTTTAATTGAGGAAGGACCGATTGAGGTGTCAGAAATTGCAGCAAATTAAGCAAGAGGTACAGCAGGACAATAGGCGTGACATGTTCAGATCACGGAGATGCTGATACAAAATGGTATGACCAGATGCGGTGGCAGAAGTGCCTGCCCTCCAAAAAAATGATTTAGTGCATGACAACGTGTCTCGTCCTCCTGCAGGCGCTGCAGCTGGTGTCGGATGTGCATGCGCTAGCGGATCAGGTGCGGCTCAAGTGCGGCACCAGGACCCCCGAAGGCGGCATCTCCGGCACAATCACCCCCCGCTACTCGCTCAATTCCCCCTCTGAAGGCCAGGTGACCCCCTCTGCGCATGCCGTGCTGCACCTCATCCAGCTACGTTCTGACATCGCTGCAAGCCTTCAGTTCATTGGCATGCAGCGACTGAGCACATCTGGTTGAACGCACAGTGATTGTCGATGCAATGAAGCATCACAATCATCATTAGCATACGCTTCCCCTGCCATGAAGGAATTGTGCAATTGAACAAGGTGGAATTTCTGGCTGCCAAATCCTACCCTTTAAGGCATGCATGCGAAATATCACTTACAGTATTTGGGATTGTGCAGGGGGGTGGAGGGTTTGATGCGCTGGCAGACTCCCCGGCGGGGCCATCCAGGGGCGTTCCTATCCGCGGCGCTTCAGCTCCTCCGAGCGGCGGCTACCAGCGGTCGCAGTCGCTGGACATTCCCCGCATGGAGCCGGGCAGCGCCACTGCGCGCAGGCTGAACCTGCTCAGGTGAGCTGGCCAAGGCAACATGTCATGACAAATGTTTCGTGTCTTGGGTCATGAACAGGCTCAACACTTGCTACCAGGACAAGGTCTTCTGCAGGAGGTGCGGGGATGCTTTAGCATGCACTGGAAGTGACATCTCTGCAATAACAAAAGACAAAATTGTGCCGATTTGGGTTGCTGAAATCCTACTCTACCATGTCTGTAGGAATCTGAGAGAAAAGGGCGAAGACAAGGCGGGTCGGAATGAGTACAGCAGGCTTGCATCGGAGGACCCATCACTCGCAAATGATCCTAGCTTGCATTGAGCAGGGGATCAACTCAGCATAAGATCATTCTTTGACAGCGCGCCAGTCCATGTGGACTGATCATGGGAATGGATGAAGAAGGCTTGTTGTGCGATGTGAGGAGAAAGACCCTAGAATAGTTCTCTGGCCTTTGGACTATCGCTCATTCCCTCTTGAGGTTTCTTTGATCGCTTGATTGACAACAGTGAAACCTTAGTACTGTGAAACTATAGCTGTTTGGCCTTGGCTGGCGGGGAGCGGTGTGACTGCTGAGCAAAGTGCCCACTGTTGATTCGGTCTTGACTGGATCAGGCGTCATCCCATCGTTGACGTGCCCACCAAGGGATAGGTCACTTGGCAGCCTTTAAAGCTTTACCACGGCCAGCTTGCTTGCAGGCGCACCTTGCTCCTAACAGGAAGAGCGTGCAGTAATTATAGTGATGATGGCTACTTTACTGCAACATAGATATATCATGGCCGACAAAATTTCTTGCATGCTGTCACATACAGGATGATGCCACCGGTGCTTCTGCCAAATTCACATGTACGTCCTGTCTCAATCTTGGCAAGGTGTCCACTACAGTGCATGATACTCAAGTGTCTGTACGTACAGACTCACTGGCAGTATATATTGCAGACTCTGCATGCAGTGCGGGCGTCCCGGGGCCCCTTCAGGCAAAATTGCCCGAGCATGTATCCCTGGGATATAGCCTGACATGTCCCTGCTATGCATGCTGTGATAGGATGCCTCTCTGGTCTATGCATCACACATCTGACCCTACCAAGTGTCAGGCAGGACAATTTTATAAGTATGGCATTGTCAATGAGCAAGAAGCCAAGAGAGGTAGACTTGTCCAATTGGAGGTGTACATCATTTGGAACGGCAGCTCCATGTCAAATGAGGAGGAGCAGTGTCATTGCTGTTCAGCAGAAGTATGATTGCTGAGAATGTTACGCAAAAGACTACGTACAACAGTTCCCACGACCTGTGACAATATGCTGGAGTGCATGTGAGAGTGAATTGTGTGCAAAACACAGTGATGTCACACATGATCATGAGCACTTGTGTTTCAGCTGACGCACAATTTGGTAGTGCTGGCATCTTTCCAAGAGCAGAGTCAGGTACTGAAATGCATGTCATTGTTCCCCTACAACAACAGTTTGAGTGACTCGCAACGGAATGTGCTGTCTTTCACAAGCTTTCCGGTTATTGTCCAGAAGAACGCACTTCAACTGAGTCAATTGAATTTACAGAACAGAAAATCAATGAATCGCGTGTGACAAGGAGGCAGCGCCCTGCCTCCTTGTCACAACAACATAGCATAGGGGCTGCATTTAGAGGTGGTGGAGAAAGGATGAAACGGTCACAACCAGACCTCAGCAGAAGTTGTCAGCCCTGTGTTGTGCTGCAAGCGCTTGGCCTTAAGGCCATACTCTAACCGCATACATGTCGTCACAAGTCTCATTTGAGCTATATAGCATTTGTTTGTATTTCTCGTGCTGCTCGCTTGCATCTCTCTAGCAGCGCTTTTACAGGAATCTGGATAGAGGACCAGATTGAGCATTTAGAAAGCATGCGGTTTCCCCATGTACTCACATTGCATTGCGCATCTTGTTGGTCAGCCGGGAAAAGCCGCTGGTGAAGCCAGACAGGTTGGTGGGGCTGCCGTCGGACTTTGGCAGCGACAGCTCCTTCTTCAGGAACTTGGAGGCCGCTCGGTCAGCACGGTGCGCTAGCACGCTCACAATCATGCCGGCATCGTACGCTGGCCCGTTCAGCGCGCTCGGCCGCCGCGCATGCCCATTCCCCTTCTCCTGTGCCCTCGCCTGTTCACCATTCGCCCTATGCTTACTCCACTCTCCCTCTGTCTAAACACTGACAATCTGCCATAAGCATAGCCCATAACAGGTGCGTGCTATCACAGATGAGAGTGTAGCGCAGTCCTTGTTCTATCCTAGGCTGTTTTGTCATTCCAGCACTCAGGTGGGACTGAAGGCAAATATCTACAACGGAAGACAGGGCCGCATCCATGGATTTGTACTGTCTCCTTCTGGAGGCCTGGCCTGCAAGCCCGCCAAAGCTTACAGGATGGTGTGAACAAGTTGCCATCTTGAGCATTCTCTAAATTCTGTGGCACACCTGCTTGTAGTTGGTGATGAGAATGCCAGTGTCGAGCTGCATCACGACCAGCGCTGCAGTGAGCGGCGCGCAGAGCTCATCGATGCGCTGCCGGGACAGCCCTTCGCCGTCCGCATCAAAGAGCCCCTTCAGCAGCTGCAGATCGTCCTCCAGCATGTCCACGTCATCTATTATAAACCACCTGCCGGCACATGCTACACGCATCCTCACACAATCCCTTTCCCGTGTGTAATATCGACAAGGTCCCCAAACTGCAAGACTGCTTTGAAGAGAGGAAGCCTGTCACCAATGCAGGAACATATTGTCTGGCTAGATGCTGGCACTAAATCGATTGCCATGCAGCTTGATGAGTCAACCGGCTCATTCTAGCATGGGAACCAGAAATGAGGAATTGCACCTGCAGGGACCACCATGCAGCAGGACTCTCAACAGCGCTTCCACAACCGCCCCCAACAGCGCTGCGCTGATGCCTGCAGCCACGCAAAGCACCACGCTTACACTCACTCCCTGCTTCTTAGACAAGCGCTGCTACGACAGGGCAGCAGGGGCTTATACTCGAAAACACTCTTCTGCCCCAGTCACGCATGAGTGAGACATGCCTACTTTCCAAGAATGACGTCTCGAGCGAAGCGAGCCAAACACTACATTTCGAAGGACCCAATGCATGCGCATGCCCTGCTGCAGGCAGACGGGTTCCCCGACAAACGTGCACAGAAGAGGAGGGGCCGGAGCGCACCTTCGTGCAGCTCCTTGGGGGTGGCCTCGCACAGCGCGCCCAGGGCCTCGTCGATCTGCTCCAGCACTGGGCCTAATCTGGCTTGCTGCACGCTGTGCCGGTACACCTCCTCCACCAGCGCCTGCCGAAGGTCCACGTACACCACCTGCATCCGCACGGCAGGGCACGATCCCATCATCCGTGCCAGAAATGTATGAACAAAGTCTGACATTCTGATATAGAACGGGTTGAGCTAACGTCTCCAGCGCCCCTAGGCTGATGCTAGCAACCGGGCCGGAAACACATCATTCATTCGTAATAGTCTGGATCGCTCCGCATGCGTTGGTGGGCGAAGTCGCGTTCTACATGAAGCATTTTCTCAGCAGGTAGCTGCAGAGAGAAATGACCTTGCTTTGTGGAGCACTGCTTTCGGCAACAGTGCTGAAGTTTGCAGCGGTGTGAAGCACTGTGCGTACCTTGGCGGCGATGTAGGCATTGAGACGTTTGGCAGCCATGTGGATGCTCTGCTGGGCCCCGCCAAACAGCCCCTCCAGCCAGGGAGCCTGCCCCGCCGTGCTGCTGGTCTCATCATACCTGCCAACACATGCACAGACGCTGAGCCCAAAACCACAGCACCACTCACATTACAACCCTTGCATACCAGGGTGGAAAGTGAATCCTTTCAACATCTGAACCCCATTGCTAAATAAATTGTCACTGTGCTCCATATGGTTTATATAAGTGGGGCATCAATGTGCGAAAACAGATCACCGTGAGAGGACGGAGGCGGACAGGGCCGGGAGCCTGATCAAGAGGTGGTCCAGGGAGCTGAGGCGGCACGTCAGCGCCGTTGTGGTGAGCTCGGTCGAGTCCGGCTGCTGCTGCGCCCTGGCCGACCCCGGGGCGCGGTGTTCCCTGCCGTTGTGCTTCCCACTGCACCATTATGGCATTCAATGTCAATGTGAATCTGCAGCGACGAGCGCAAAGTGACAGCACGGTATCGAGGACAATTTGATGAGGCAGTATCTCATGGTCTGCTTGGCATCAGAAATAAGCTCAGATCAGCTCTAGAGCTGCTCGCATCTGCTCTGCAAACGATGCATGCCTGCCTCCCAGACATATGGGCAAATGACTGCCAGCACTGTGACACAGTAATGTACATTGCTATGCAGCTGCAGAACACGCAGGGGCGGCAGCACACGAATTTGTGAGCAGGCGATTGAGCAGCCAGATCGTTGCCGCGAAGCAGATCATCTGAGCAGGCTGCCGTTCCTCATGCTCCGGTTGTTTGCCACGTCGACAGTGAAGACTTGTGAATTACTTCAACGTATCATGGCCACATGAGGTGCCATGTCATTCTCTGTGAACCTGCCTGGGCAACTAGTCATTGGCCAAAGGGAAACCTTTACACACAGGCAACCACCCCTTGCACAAGGAGGTGCGCACTTGTCGAGGGGGAGGGTGGCGGGCCGTGTGGAGCCGTTGCTGTTGGCGGACTGGAGCTTGAGTGCCACATCACGCTTGTACCGCGTCAGCGGCGGCAGCGGCGGCTTTAACGCCTCGGAGCTGCCTACCCTCGCCATTAACCCATCCACATACCTGCCGCATGCGAAAGAGTTGGGGCGAAATCATCGAGTTTTATGCGCCCAGGCTCTGAGCGCGGTTCTAAATGGACTAGGAATTAAGGAATGGTGAGGATTCAGGCCCTTTGAAATGTATGTCCAGCACAGACTGTCTTATATGCTAATTATCTTATTGTTACCAGATCAGAGTTTTGCAGTATCTAGTATGTGACCTAAAGCCTTTGCAAACACGTGCTAATATAAACAGCGTGGCCATGTGTCCGATTTACAATGTTGATGACTGCCTACAATATCCATGATGTCATAACAGAGTCACGTCAGCAAAGCGCACGCTCGTTCCATGCATGAGCATGCGCTGCACCGATACCACTGTGTTGTGAGAGCTTAGCAGGAAGAGGAAGGCTGTCAATACGAGCAGGAAGTGTTTCCTGCCTTTGGCCCCTGTCTGCTCCTCTACTAAACTCGTCACAAATTAAGTACACTCATTCGAGACAATAGGGGCTATCTTGAGGTGGTTTGACGGTGTCATGGTAAGTAGGCGCGCACCGCTGCAGGATTGAGTCGATGCCTTCGACGAGGGATCGCGCAACGTCGAGGGGCACGGGCACGCGCATGGCAAACAGCGCATCCACCGAATCCTCCGCCATCTTCAACATCTCCACACAAGACCTGGCAAGACAACCGCACTTCAATCTTGTTGGTCATACTTGCCTAATTTAGGCCCAGAAACCAAGCCAGAAACCTCTCCAGCATCTCCCTGTCGCGGCCATGCGCGCACCTCAGATCAGTCATCCTTGCCTACTTCAGCCGCAGAAGTTTTTGGACACGCATTTCTGCCCGGGTAAGTCGATCAGTAACATTTGACACAGCTCATTCGACAGCCAATGAGACATTGTTGGCAAGTCTTCCAGGCATTATCCGCGCCTAATGCCTGGTCTTTTCTGCCGTATGCGGAGTTCCCGAGTGGTGCATGCATTCCGGAATAATTGGCACTCCATGCAATGGCAGATATCTTGCACATGCGTTGCTTGAACGGCATGCAATGCCTGAATGCACATACCCACAGCTGCCATGAAATAAGAGAGCGGGGTGGGTCAGCGGGGTGAGTAAGCGCGCTGACCTGGAGCAGCCGCGTGGCTGGGTGACGGGGCGCCACTCCTCGGCGGCCATCAGGCGCTGCGTCCAGGACTGCAGCAGGCCCAGCTGCCCAGCCGCCCAGCTGTACAGCACCGGCTGCAGATGCTGCGCAACCCCCCAGGGCTCCAGGGGCTGTAAAGGGTCCGCGTGCAATGCCAGCTGCTCCTCCAGATCCAGCACTGTCCTAATCAGGTCCAGGCTGCGCTCGTCCAGCTTCATGCCTGGCATGCACACATTGATGCCCATGTAATTAAAATATGTAGACAATGTGTTATGCCCCGACTGGTAAGGGGCGGCATTGTGTCCAAGCATCGTGCCCACGGTTGATTGGGTCTTGCGTGGATCTGGCAAGTCCAACAAGGGGTAGGATTGTGGCAGCCTTTGACTGCAGCTTGTCTGCAGGACGCACCTTGCCTCTTGGCAGGAAATTGTGCAGATGTTATAATAAGAATAGCCCATGTAGTACAAGTAATGTGTAGCTGAGCTGATGAGCTGTGCAGCTGAGAAGATGATGGATACCCAAACACAGCTGCAAGACCATTGTCTATGGGCCACGGAATACACAAATGCTGCAATTGACAGACATCGAGCTTGTTCGGGTCAGCACTGTGAAGCTGATGGGTTTTTAAATACAGCTACAACACAATGGTTCAGGGCCATGGGCCTTTCAGGCTGCACACAGCCCCACACGCTTGCCTCACTGCGCACAAGTCATGATTACGTGTCTGTGGGAAAGCCACAGCATCAATGAGGTGAGGTCGGCAAGAAAGTTCCAAAATGCGATGGGAGGAAAGTGAGCCTCTGACCAACATGGCCGGCCGGATGCCTTCTGTAAGCATGCCTGCTTAATGCATCATTCAGGATCTCCTGAGCGCCCAACTTATAATAGCTGGAGCGTCGTCTTCTAATTCAGCTTGAAGACGTGGCCTTGCTATAGGCTTCATCTGTTCTCAACCCTCTCAAATGGGCGAAATGACGCAATCAGATCGCGGGATCTGTCCAAATTTCACCATTCTTGCTCATTTGTTACATTCAGGATAAGCTTAGCGGCACCTGATGCGAGCCAGGCGCGCAACTGCGGGGCGAGGAGCATGTGCAGGTGCCATGCCGCCAGGCTCTGCGCGTTGATGACATCAGCGGAAAGAACAGGAGCATACGTCGACAGCACCTGCCAAGCCAACGCACCCTCTGTCAGCCCATATGAAGTGCAAACATGGCAAGGCAAGGTCTGTGCATTTGTCTTGCTGCAAGCACTCCGTGTTGCAGTTCTGTCCGAGCTTTCCCCACATACTCTCAAGCAAGCTTTGAGCGACCATATGCTGCAAGGTAAGGCTGTGGCATCCTTATGGATCTCATCCATGATGATGAGGATTCAAAACACTGGCGAAGGCGCGGCGCACATCTTCAGAGAGGCCGTTGACGCCACGCGCGGCAGCCGTCAGCTTCTCCTCGGTCGAGGCGGCAGCCGGCGCGCAGCTGCTTGCCATTCGCTGACAGGCCGCCAGCATAGACGCCCCAATGCAGCCCTCCAGCACCTGCCGCAACACACAAAACGATTCCCACTGCGGGCCGGACATATGAAAATACTCCGAGGCAACATCTAAAGCAGTGTGACCCGGCGTGCCAGCGGCTTTTATGCATTGGACAAGAACATAGTTGATTTGCACAGATCTGATGGGTGGCCATACTTCAGGCTAGAGTATTGTTCAGAGCCACGCAAAACCTGCAGCCCTGGGCAAAGAAGATGCTGTAGCCTGACGGTTGCGGGGAAAGGGGCGCACCCGGGCAATGCCCTCGCCGGGCTGAGCCGCAGACAGATGCTGATCACTCTGCATGCCCCTGGGGGAGTATGAAGAAGGGGTCTTATAATCGAGCGCACCCGGGCGACGCCCTCGCCGGGCGCGCGGCAGTGCACGGCTACGCGCATGACGTCGATAAGGCCGCGCATACGGCTAGTGCCCTCGGGGAAGGCGGCCGTGAAGTCGCTGAGCTGGCGGATGACGTGGCGCTCCACTGCATCGATGACCGCGCGCTCGATCGGCTGCTCGTCTGGCGCCGCGTTCTCTCCCTCCGCAGCCGCTGAGCTGGCGCTGGCCGCCAGCTTCGGCAGCAGCTGCTTCGTGCGCTCCAGCTGCACCGCGTCACCTACAACATGGTCACAGGGGAGATCTCAGCTTTGGACATTCCCTAACCGGTGGATTCCGTGCTACTATTTACCAATCTAATATCTGTCGCTCTCCTGCTTATGGCCTTTTCAGATGCAGACCACAACACAGTAAGATCAAAAACATCCCCATGCACTGATTATCTGATGGCTGATCTCCCCCAACGAAAGCACAAGTTTCATCCAGACGCCGTTGTGCTCTAATGGACTGCCTGCGCTATCCTTCGCAGCAGAAGAGCTTCTCTCAAGAGCCATAACAAGGAGAACAGTCCGACTCTAAGCACCGCAGTACATGGCATTCTGCTGCGCGCTCACCGGTGCGGCAGTACTCCCGGAAGTTGAGGAAGGGGGTGAGCGACTCATGCACGGCGTGGCTGATGCCCAGGGGCGGCCACAGGCGCGACGCCAGCGTTCCCTCCAGCTCTGCAGCCTCCTCACTCGGCCCCTCGCTGTAGCCGCGCTGCACCACCGCTAGCAACATCTCCGCCAGCCGCACGCGCACCCCCCACGGGTGCTTCCAGCTCAGCCTGGGGGCACGAACATTTGCGAGCACTCAGTTACATCCTGAAGGAGGGTGCAGAGGGTGTAGGAGAAGGGCATACTGGGCATTGGAAGCATCTGCAGGTGCTGTGAGTGCAGGCTGTGGGACCGCATATACTTAATTACACCTCGAGCCAGGGCGTAATGGGGAGAGTGCGTTGACCATCGAGAACACTTGCAGAACCTGTGAGGGCAGCGACAGGGTACTGTATGGCAACAGCATGCGATTTTGACTGAGGCTATCTGAGACGATGCTGAGGGGCCATGTATGTGACCTTGCTTGCTGCCTTCCTGCCTAGAAGGGTCGTACCTCGACTGGTGTTACATGGGACATTGCGCATGAGTGTCCTCCTTCTCAAGAGGATCAGGGGCCTGATTTGCCTTGTGCATGTCTGAGGCGTGTGCAGGCTATCTGCAGAAGGGGGGAATGCTGTGCTCACCTGGAGTGTGCAATGAGCTGCTTTGTGGCTGCCAGGAACTCCACCCCAGCCTCCTCATACTCCTGCTCATCGTACTCCTCTGCTGTTGGCACCAGCATTCGCCGCAGAGCCCCCTTGTAGTGCGCATGATCGTAGCTCCAATCACCCGTTCCCAACTGTGCAGATCAGAACAACTGAATTCCTGGCGCGCAGCTCATAGCGCAGCCCATGAGGGATCTCCATTCGCAATCTGGCATTCTCCATTTTCTGATATTGACCTGCTCATATTTGCAGTAATAAGGGTTGAAAGAATGCTGCTTACCTCACGCTGCCTGTACTTTTCAGCTGACCATGTAGCAATGCTGCTGAGCATGGTGGCAGTGGTTTGCTGCCACCGGGCAAAGCTCCGGAAGCTGCCAAAATTTTCTGGGCGCACGGCATGCAGCAGCCTGACTTGAAGCTGCAGGCTCGCCACAGAAGACAAGCGCCCGCCCTCAATGGTCGCCAGGAGTGCATTGTCTATGTGCGCTGCCCTCGCCTCGCTTAGCTGTGAGCACTCGCACAGATCAACACATTGCAGTAGCTTGACGCGCTGAGGAGGGAAAGAGACAGCTGAATCTAGACTGTGCCTACCTCTAGCTGTTGCCTCACAAAAATTCGGAGTGAGGAAGTGGCATGAGGGCCGCAGTAGGCAGAGAAGAGTGTGTATGCCAGCTCCTGGAGCTGATCCTCCGTCAGATCTGCAGGATCTCACTTTCCCCTTACGACAAGACGAGTCACAGAGGATTGAATAGCTGGCAGTAGAAGATTAATGCAGTGCTTCCTTTACAGGAGAGCATGGACGATCAAGACATGCAGCGGACTCGGGCATCACCAGGAGCCGAGATAGGCAAGTCAGGAGGCGAGTCTAGAACTTCAAAGTCTCCATTATCATCCATAATGCCCAGTCAACGATGCGAGTACACTCTCTTGATGGGGCAGAACCTCCAGTTTTCACGATAAATACTGCAGGACCTCAAGATAGCCACGCATGAGTGGGACACAGCTCATGTGCACTTATTTTGCATTGCAAAGTCACGTACATCAATGCTGAAATGACTTGTGCAGATAGTCGAGTAAAAGCATAAGTTAAGATGGCTCTCTGAAAACGCTGATTCTTGTCAGGCTGGTGGCACGATAACGTCCCATACATCTAGATCTATTGTGTCCTGATCCTCTGCGTTGCACTGATCATAGCCCTATGCGGAATTTACATTTCCTTTCCTCTCGCTATGTACATTCACCCCATGGGCAGCTTCCACCGCCGAGAGGAACCTGCAGGTGCAGCTGCGCTCTATCCAGCTCCGGTCACGATTGCTTTGAGTCTGTTGGAATCCAAACGCACAACGAAGAAGTGCACGCAAGGTCTGCTTCGACCTGATCGATCCTTGTCGGTATCTTCTCGGGAGTTGGTTTTGGCCTCCGTGACTGGAGCGCTTGTTTGAGACGAAGGGCACAGTCCAAGACTCGAACAATCTGTATTCTTATATGGATCGGCCTTAAATGACTATAAATGACAGGATTTGACACATGGATTTATCTTGCACTGTCAAGCTGACACAGTGTGCTCACAACTGCTGTGACAGCCCCTTCCCAGCGCACATGAAGCAACCGATTGTCTCCCCACATACACAGGCTCAAATCAATACCCCAAAATTCCCAATTTTCATAGTTCAGAGAAAACCAAGCCCCAGGTGGGCCGCTCTTTTCAAGAGCCCAAGAAAAGTCTGACACGCAGCTCTAGCTGCGGCTGTAAAACACAATTCAAGATCAATCAATACATGAAGTCCAATCACCTGGGCATATCTTCCGCCAGTTGACAGGCTGCCTTGCATCAGGGGTACCATAGTAAGTCTGGCAAATTTATTGGGCAACGAACCAATTGGATCAATAGGGGCCGTGGAGGATAGGAAATAAGGCCAAAGGAATCTTGGATCAGGATTTGGCCACAATGGCAGGATAATCCAGGGAGACAAGGAAATATGCTCGACAGTGCAACCACAAAGGCGCTGCCAATCACACTCTGTGTGCCATTGAGACCTGGAGATTTGATCAAATTGATCTCGTCAGGGGACTGCCCATCATCTGGATGTCAAGGCTTCGCAACCAGCTGCATGTCAGCTGGCCATGGAGCTCACTAATCCGGCAAAGGTATCCTGTATATCAATCAATGCTGTGGGGGCGGGCCAAGGGATTGAGTACAATACATATGCCCCTGCACATGCATGGAATTTCCAGTGGGATTTCAGGCATGTGCGACGAATACCACAATGCATCCATGCCAATCATAAATTCCCTCATGCACGCTTTTCAACGACATAAGGGAATGGGATGGTTGCAGGGAATAATCTCCGGGACTAGTCAAATAAGATTACCGGGATGAGGCATGCACGGCACCAGAGGGCTGTGGAAATAAATTACTGTATACATGGCATCTATATAAGGTCAAGAAAAAAAGGGCCATCAACCCAAGCTCGTCTGCTACCAATACACAGGGACATGCAGGACAGGACAGGGACAGGCCGCAAAATACTTCCTGGCTTCAAAGTTTCTCAAATAGGTGGCCACTCGGCAACCAAAACAGTGGGCATCTGAGGCTGTGCCTCTTCATTTTCTTCCAGCCCAGCCCGACTGGAATAAGGGCGGTTCCAAAACGTAGCAGACGGGCGAGGCAAACAATACGCAGGAGCCCGCGCGTCTCTGCGGTGCCCTGGCACCTGAACATTGCCTGCAACCAGATATGGCTAGTGCGACATGCAATAATGAAACGCATGCGGGGGATCCAAATGATCCAATAGGCTAAGGGAATAACAGCAGGTGCGCGAGCAGTGCCAATAGATGGAATGGAATAATTAGCCTCCCAATAGGTACCAGACTCTGCGAAATATTATTGCATGCCTCCATCTCTGCGAGGCAAAACGAGCTCTCCAATGACAGCTTCGGCACAGATACCAAATCCCGCCTTCCGGGAAAATTCAAGACCATGAATACACTTCAGCTGAAGCTACAAAGCAACCGCGTGCCCTGAGTCGCCTGTTGTAATGACCGCTCAACTCAAAAGGAGTACTGTCTCGCCATGACCGAGACCTGGCGCACGACAAAAGAAAAAGGCATCTGCACAAAAGCCTAATACAAAGCCGGAAAAGAGCGGTGTCGCATCATTGCAGAGTGCTGGCTCTCAGCAGGGACAGGGGACCAATCACTGCATGCAAGCAAGGGCCAGTAATTGTCGGCCCTTGGAACCCACCGATACCAACCCACAACATTAGGGCACCGCCCTCAATGCCTCACTTGCCTCAGGTGCGATAATCCTCCATCTGATGGCAGGCATCTCTGCTCACAAAGCAGGCGAGGCTTAAATACCCGCATCAGTCGCCGGAAAAAATTGTGCCCGACCTCATCTGCCGAGGCCTCTGTCAGCGCAGCAGTCCAGATCTGATCCTCCAATTTTCAGCACTGATCTTCAAGTAGTGTAGGTTCCGTACAGAAAACCTCCCCTGTTCCAAGGGCACATTATGCGCTTCCAACATGCCGACAGACTGGTACAAGGGAGGAGGCTTGGTGCAGGAGTGCAGCTCAGGCCTTGGGCTCAGTTGCTGGCGCAGCTTCCTCCTGCCTGGCAGCTTCCTCCTGCTCGGCAGCTTCCAGAGCCTTGGCAGCTTCCAGGGCATCCGTGGCTGGATTTTTCTCGACAGGCGCCGATGGATCCGAGCTCACTGGCAGCTCATCGGTGTGAACCTCCTGCAGTCATCACAAGTACTTTTTTGAATGGAAAATTGCTTCTCTGACCTCATCGGCACTGCAGAGACTCCTTAGCGCGGTGAGATCCCCCGCGTTCTATTGAATGGCAAACGATTGGCAAACAAATGGCAGTGCCAGCAAGTGTTCATGGCCTGCATGACGCTCACATTGTGCAGCACCGCTCAGAATATCTCTCTTCCCCTCCTCAGACAAAATGGTTAGAAAGCACACAGCCCCCCACAAACTATCACTCCATGACAGGCGCGGACACAAGGGCGTGCAATGCCCATGAGCAAAATGAGACATGAATCAAGGCAGTGCACCCACCGTGACATGGGAGGCAGTGCCGCCGTTCACGAAGGGGGAGGTGTCCTGCTCTCTGATGAGAGGTAGGGTCCCTGAGCTGGGCATGGAGTCGGAGTAGCCAGCGGTGTTGCCCTGTCACAAAATACCACCTGTCAGCGACCTGCTGCCGCATTTGGTGAGACTCTGAGTCGGACCAAAATCCGAGCATCATCACCAGATCAATCATTCACGATTGAGGCAGCTCAAGACCGTATATGGCGCTTTGGTCACGACATCAAAAGATGTCTAAATCTATATGTGAGCCATCTGCACAGATACCTCGAAATAAACCCAGTGTGATCTTGTCCTCTTGGCAGCACGGCCAAAACAGCGGCTATCACCCCGAGCAACACCATTGATGATTAGTTCAGAGCCGTCGTCAAAAATCTTACCAAGGGCGTATGCTCCTAACAGGACCATCAGAAGCATAGCTCCCATTGCACGAGTCTGGCAGTGCTGAGCACCACTTATTTTTGAAGGGGGCACTGCACAAATAGAGGCATGAGTGCGCACTTGGTAGAAGTTGAAGCCAGAGGCTGACTTGGAGGAGTTGGTGCTGTGGCCCAGGGTGGAGGATGAGTCATCCGAGTGCGCCGCACGGTCCAGCGGCGACACAAATGACTGCGCCGAGGCCGCACGCTTTGGACGGTTGTTCGGCTGAGGCGGCAGCGCCTGATCAGGCACAGATACCACAGCAAAATTAGCTGCCAGTGTCACTAAACATCCACACCACTTCACCAAGGGATACCTTTAAAATCTACTGCTGAAGCATGAGGAAAGCGTGGCAGAGGTAATGACACTCTCTGTGGCCTTGTGAGCATGCCAGCATAATCCTGCGTCTACTGCTTGAGAAGCAACTAAGGCATGAGCAGAGCATGCCAGAAGTAGGCAGACTCTTCCAAGCTGGGTGAGCATGGCAAGTGTAAGCGGGTACAGTATAGCCAGTGCGGTAAGCTACCTCTAGGCATAGAGCAGAGAGACAAGCGTGCAGAAAGGCAACGCTTGGACGCTTGCCATGGTTGCCCACAGTGGAACAAAGAGAAGGTAAGTGTGGCTGACCTGCAGGACGGCCACAAGCTCCTTGGCGCTCGGGCGCTCCTCCACGTTGGTGCGCATGCAGATGTCCAGCAGATCCGCCACTTCCTGTGTGCACTCCTCGCCCACGCTGCACATTGGGCCAACCCATCTCAGGACCGCTCGACTTGACCTCAAAATTTTCCCATTGGATGCACACACTCCCTCATAAGTAATGTACTCCCTCATAAATCCCTCTCCAGAACGCACTCTTTGGTGCCACAGAGCTCCACTAGAACGTCAAGTGCACCCCTGAGCTGCCTGACGAGGACTGCTAATGACAGGAAGCCATTTGACCGTTAAAAATAAATTACATACCCGCTGCCAGGCACACAGGTGAAGGACAAGGGAGTAAAAGTTGTCAACTGAAGAGTGAAAGGTGGACGGATTCTCACCGCAGCTCGCGCAGCTTGCCGCGGCGGGGGATTTCGCCGGTGACGAGCTCCCAAAGGAGCACGCCGAAGGAGAAGATGTCGGCATGCTCATTGCACTTGCCTCCGGTCAGCAGCTCGGGGGCAGCGTACGCGAATGTGCCCATGCCGTTGAGGTTGCTGATGTGCGTGTTCTGCACCATCTGCGCCAGACCCACATCCGCGATCTTGGCCTTGCCCTCCCTGTGCATTTACATACTCCAAGTCAGTGTCCCCTCCTTCTGCACCGGAAAAGTTTTTGTCCCCTCCTTCCACCCCACGGAAGACAGCTCAGAACCAAACTCTATGTTTGGCATGTTGTGATTGTTGAATGGAGCCAGAGCCGGTCTCACAACGAAGAGTAGAACGCACTCTGGCTGTAAAAAGTAGATCGCCACCTATATGCAAGCTCACAGCACATCCTCGCAAGGAAGAACTTTTGATTGTGGTTGTCAAGTAAGTTGCACAGGAGGTGGTCAAGAGGGTGTTCCTAGGTGCGCGCATACCTTGTGAGGAGCACGTTGCCGGACTTGATATCCAGGTGGGCAATGCGGTTGTTGTGCAGGTAGGACAGGCCACGCGCGACGTCCAACCCGATGTCCAGACCGCTGCACAACAAACACAACTTCAAACCACACCTCAAATTTCCATCACACTTTCTTCCCATGCAGAGCCCCCGCTCCACACATCCCCCCCGCAAACTTAAAGAAAACAGTCATAATTGTTACTACATGCTTTGAGGCAAGAGGCAAGGTGCGTCTGCACACAAGCTGCACTTTAAGGCTGCCACAAACCTAGACAACAATTAGCCCGGCGAAATGAACGCTGTTGACGCTGCAGACAAGATAGCGCACAAATCGACTCACCCCTCGCTCCAGACGAGCTGGCCGGAGCGGATGAGGTCAGAAACACTGCCGCCCTCCATCAGCTCGCACACCAGCATGGTGCTGCCAGGCGCCACGCATGCTCCCTACACATGCACACATGCAAGTTCAAAACCACCGTCAAATCTAACAGAGCACTCCTAATCAGTGTGTCGCAAGCATTGATTCATAGCATGTCATGGACCAGGCGAGCATCTGTAGAGCAGACGTGATATCTCGGGACAAGGAATAGAAGCGTGCAGCTCCAAGCATGTCAAAACCGCCCATCTTGCGGCTCGGTCAGCAGCAGATGTACCTCTTCACACTCAGGCCGATGGCCAATCGGTACAGGAAAACACGACATACAAAGGAGGCAAAAAAGGCTGCACGGAAGTAAGAGCGCACCAGGAACTGGACAACGTTAGTGGAGCGGCACTCCTTAAGGATGGCGATTTCGCGCAGGAAGCGGATATCATTGCGCGCGTCGTGCTGCTTCAGCTGCTTCACTGCCACTTGCTGATAATCGTTCCATTGCGCCTTGTAGACCTGTTGTACAATCCAGGAGGAATATTAAGCGCGCTTGCCACACCCTGCTGATGTGCCTTACCGACGATGGTGAGCTTGATCTCCCACAATGTGTTTCTCAGCGCTCTCCATTGCTATCAAATGTAATGCATTCTTATAAATGTGGACGTAGCATCAGGCATGATGTCGGTGCCTGGTGCAACGACACACAGACACCAGAAAACAGTGCATCCGGTTACTCATCATAAATTCTGGGGTCAAATTCAGCAGCCACTGTAAGCTATGGATCGCTGTCCATTGCATGGGCAGCGCAGGGTTTGTCCCTTAAAGAAGCCAGGTTGACTGGTGCACGAGCGACACTAGAATAAATCCCCCACCTTGCCGAAGCCGCCGGAGCCGATCTCCCAGTCGCTGCCGTCTGGGTGCTTGCAGATGACGATCTCACTCGGCTTGATCTCCCACGAGGATGAGGGCACCACCTCTGGCAGACTCGACGCCGCGCTGAGCTGCCTATTGCATCACCGCGCACAGCTTGACTCAGTGGCATGTCAACCCAGCGCTTCGGCAGAAATGAATGCCAGAAGCAAGGTCAGTGCCAGAAGTCTTGACCCCTTTACAGTAGCTCCCGCGCATGGCACTTCAACAATATAGATCATGCGAACCAGAAGACTGCCAATTATGTTGGCCCCTTCACGTCAGCTCCCTCTGCAACGTGACCCCAGGATCCACTGATAGCAACAGTACTGCCAATTAGTTTGGAAGGCTGACGTCACAGAGGGGTACTTGTGCGCCCCAGTATGCAAAAAAAAGAAAAAGCAGCTCTTATGTCCCTTGGGAACACAGCATGGCCACCCAGACAGATTCCTTGCGAGACTTCACAGTTACCGCTTCTTAGCACCTGGTTTGCTGGGCGCCTAGCAGCATCGCAAACACCACCAACCTTCCAGCTTGGGGCCCCAAACAACAACAGGCAGGCGGCATCCTCATTGACCTTCATGCACAAGTGCTCACCTGGAGGCCTTGCGGCCGGAGATGAGGCCGACGGTCTCTGAGGAGCCGTTGGTGCCATTGGTGCCGTTGGAGTGTGCCGTGCTGCCATTGGCGGGAGGCATGCCGGCCACAATCTTGCCGCCGCTGCCGTGCTCGTCATCCTTGGACCTGCACCAAGAGCCACCACTGCTAAGTTGACCTCCAGAGCACAGCACGCACAGCTGGAAACGAAGAGCAGTAAAACGGCGAGGCATTTGTTTTCGGAGGAGAGCAGTCAGCTAGAGTAGACCCAGTCAAGAACTGAGCTAGAAAGATATAGGAAGTGCCAGGAGCACAGCGCTCTACCACAGATCGGTGCTAAATTGATGTAGGGAGATGGCGTGGCAGAGGGCAAGCAGGAAAGCCTGTGCAGGGTGCTCACCCGTCGCCGTACTGCTTGTCCATGTAGGCCTGCAGCACATCCTGGCCCCAGGGCCTCTCCAGCAGGCCCTCTGCCTTCTTGTCCTCTTCCTTCTGTTCAGCGCATGCATTCACGACTCATGGCTGTGACTGAGAACACGAGAGGCTGACAAGCGAGCTACAGATTAGTCTAAACATGTGCAACACCACATGCGAGCCCAATACTGATAGATGTTAAGATCAACAGGTTACCACAGCTGGTGTGCACGGACCCCAATTGAGCTCGTGATCAAACAGCCATGCACGTCCATTCACGCACAAGGGTCGGGCAAAAAGGTGGGAGTGCTTTTCATATGGCTGAGGCAGCTGTGCAAACCTTCTTTGTACGGCGCCTTTGTAGCAGGATATACAGACCCCAGCAGAGAGGGATGTGCAGCAGAACAAACGCTACTGCACATGGAATGCCTGCACCACAGACAGAGTGAACGTCAGCATTTATATGCATTTATATGCTCAATAGCAGACAAAACCAGTTATACAGGTATATGCAGGAATCTGCACCCTTATGTGGCAGCCAGCACACCATATCGAGATTATTTCACATCTGCCACCGCTGCTTTTGAGCCGGAAGAGGATTCAGGACATACAGATGGCCTTTGGGTGCAAACTCACCGATGGCAAGGGCCAGCTTCCTGTTGACCCCAGCAGAAGCTGAGGACGCGCTCCCAACACCGGGAGGGGGGATGTACGACAGCGACTCTCCTGCAAAGCCAATGAACACCTGCCTTTCAGTACGCAAGCACCATCACCTGCCAAATCACACGTTGAAGCCAGCGCTCCTGTCTCAATATGTGCCTCCCATATAAGAAAATTGTCAAGCAACACAGAGCACATCCTCTGACTCTTCAAAGGGCTGTCCTGCAGCCACGACAAATTGCAGCACCGCCTGTAGCAATATCACTCCCACTTCAATTCAAAAAGGCATGGATGTCACAATGCTAGACAGCAACTGGATTTAAATCCAAGGCGCAGCCTGTGAGCAAGCATTCGCACCGGTGGTGAGACAGGTGTCCCAGGCGGAGTCATTCCGGCCGAGGCCTTCGCGGTGCAGCACAGGGGTGATGCAAGTGTCCTCCACCACGTAACACCAGGGCAGCTCCGAGGGGGTGGTGCGGATGCAGCTGCCGTTAGTCACGCTGTAGGCGACGCCGTCAGCCGCCGTGTAGTTGTACACCGGCTGGCAGTTGCAGTAGTTCACCGTCTTGGCTGCAGCAGGCCGGGAGCACACAAACAACACTCAGTACCTGGTCCACTGTCTTGACTGAGGCAGATAAGAAGCACACGGACAGGGACCTATGGTAAGTTCACAGCATTGGCTGCAGCAGGACGTGAGCACATAAGCAGGCTTCAGTAGCAGTGGGAGGCAACATGCAACCCAAGACTTGAGAGAGACGAGGCGTGATAAATTTAGAAAATCCTGTTCCTGCAATGCGAAAGACTAGAATGTGTCCCATGCGCGACTTATCAGGCGCATGTGCAAAAGCAACCAGAGATAAGTCCTGTTCCCTTTTTGGATCAATGCCTACTGTGGGTGAACAGGCTCATGCTTCGCCTGGCATTCAGAGAGAAAGTCTTGTTAATGACATGAGCAGGGTATGGGCTCACATGTGTCCATGGTGTGGTTGGAGGTGACATTGGCGCAGTTGTCGTAGTACAGGCCGCTCTGGTCTGCGATCGGCTGGTGCGAGCAGGTGTTCTTATCCACATAGCACCAGGGACCCGCCGATTTGATGCCTGGTGTCCCGCACGTGCCGTTGAAGTAAGACGTCTGGTTTGAGCCGGGCGTGGTGTAATTCCAGTTGGCCAGGCACTGGCAGCCGGTGGGCGTCTCAGGGCGAGGCAGCGCCGGTCCCGTGGGGAGAGTGGCAGATGCCTGCCGGATGTCATACTCCGTGCCTGTTTTGACATCAAGGCAGCACACTCAGCATCGCATTTCGACCAGTTATAAGTTTGAAATGTAAATCACTACCTTGTGCAGATAAAGTGACACAACGACGACTCCCTGAAACCCATCATCCTACTCATACATGTGGAGCATCTGACTTGCAATGCAGGCAATCCAACGCCGAGAGAAGCCCACCCATTTATACTCGAATGATTCGAGACGAGCTTGCAGATGTCAGAAAAAGAAAAACAAGGAATCAGACCTCTGCAGATGTCATAGGCCTGGCCATTGGGCTTCTTGGGGGGAGGCTGCGAGCAGCTCTTCTCCACAACCAGGCACCAGGGGGGGATGTTGACGTCGTCCTGGATGCAGCCGCCGTCCGACTTGAACACGGTCCCATTCACAGTGGTGTAGTTGTAGGAGGACATGCAGCTGCAGTAGTTGATGGTTTTCTCTGCAAGTCGGCAGATATTCTGCAGTCAGACACTTTCCATGCAAGCAGGCAGATATTCTGCAGTCAGGCACCCATCATCTCCCCAACCCGACTGAAGCATGCATCAGGCTGGGTATATATAGACTGGTCCCCAATCAAAGCAGCACCAGGAGAGCATCTCTATTGTCAAGAGCAAGAGCAAGCTGTTGCACAGGCATTCTTTAAGCGCAATCATGCTTCTGCTTTCAAGCTGTCGCATGCCGCCATGCTACACAATTCATGCTTGATGACGGTGCAAGGCTAATGCAGTGCATTGCTAAGCAAGCTTCCCTCAGCACACCTGCATCAATGGTAGTGTTCATGCCGGGGTCCATGCAGGCATCCCAGGCAGCCGACACCTGCCCGTTGTTGCTGAGGAAGGGCTTGTGCTGGCAGGTCATAGGGTTGACATAGCACCTGCGGTAGAGCCACAGGATGCTTTATTATTGTGATTTCCACGAAGATATAAGTCCTGGGACGGCTGACATCCCCACATCCCAGCTCTCACGATCTGTCCCCAAGCACGCCAGACTCCTCCAGCATGCTCTTCAATTTTGCCCGCATCCAAAGAACGAGTTTGGCAGTGTTGTCTGCAGGAATCAGTCTGTGCATGCACGGAAGACCAGGTTGCAAATTGTGACCAGATGTTCTTGTTCTTATACAGAACTCACCAGTCTGTGTTCCAGTCACCATCAGGATTGGCACACGTCCCATTGACAGTGAATTTGGTACCCTTGGTTGACGTGTACGTCCATATAGGCAGGCATTCGCAACCTGCAGTTGAGTCAAGTCGGTCAATGGCAAGGTTTCTGGTACGATCAACTAGGTAGTACAAGATCAAGCACCATTTACCAACCTAAACCAACTACCAGATGCGAAATCAGCTAAGCTTGTCAAGAATGTGTCAGTCAGCCGCCCTTCCTTACCTGTATGGGGTCCCTGTGCTGGGACCCATCTCTGATAGGCAGCATCGTGCGCCTGCAACAGATCCCTGCGGTGCACGATGAACACACTACATCAGTGGCATTTGTGGCAACAGAACGCCGCAATTGTACAGCCCATGCCTCCAAGAATGATGCTTGGAACCATCCTCGCTCAATCCCTAGAAAGTGCAGAAATAGAAAAGCAAACAGACCGATCGCGATGGTGCACGGCTGCTTGTGAATCTAAATCAGACGCCCCCAGACATCTCCTGGCGATCAAGGAGCAGCCCACCTGGACAACCGACCGTAGACACCTTGTACGAAGAGTACGCTGAAGAGAACCAGCGCAAGCCTTGCCGCGCCGGTCTGCTCCATCTTAGATCCTCACTTGACTCCCGGCACCCTCACTGTGAAATCTCTCCAGTTAACTCCAACCTGCAGAATACTTATCCTGGGCTGAGGGCAATCAAGAACGCGGCGCTCTTTACCGGCCCCACATCCACCGGCACTGAGGGCCTTCCTCAAGTCTTGAAGCCCTCGAACAAGAACAAACAAGCGCTATTTGTACCTTGGCGAGGTCCAAAGCAAGAACCCAAAGTCACCGCGTGAATTTCAGCGAATAGATTTCTCCGTACTTCGGAGTCTCGCCGTTCGATAATTCCCGACCCCCGGGCTACCGTGTCGTCATCACCAACACGGTCAAAGATTTGGAGGGATCTATGGTGTGACAGGATTATTCTTATTATTAATATTATTACATGGCAGGATGGCCTGTAGTAAACTTTGTGGCCTTTTGGTACGGGAGAAAGCGCGCAACCAGAAGTGAGAAAGCTGTATCTCACCATTGGTTGCTTGAATTTCAGAGAAACTGGCCTATAGCTACTTTTGCGCACTATTGCAATTTGCATGCGGACTGTGCATGCATGCACTGAGCAGGCATGCCACTCAGTGCCAGGCTGGCATGATGTCAGCACCCAGGGGCGCCCCTCAGGCTTGCCTCCGAGACAACAGTTGGTTTTAACAGTGCAGCCATGTGATCACTGTCATGACTGGCGTATGCATGATCATATCACTGCATGCCAGGGTTTGACAGGGATCCTAGAAAAAGCTCAGGCTAGCCCCTAAGTAGAGCAAGGGCCGGCGAGGATGAAGGCCCCGGCCACTGCAGCTGTAGTAGCTAAAATATTGGGGCGGGGCATGCCAGGAATTGCAGGGATGCGCATCCCTGCAATTCCTAAGTTTTCCCACCGGGGAAATGCAGGTATTACTTTGTATACGGTCTCTAAATTGACTGAAATGTCTGGGGTGTCCCTGAGGCACAGCCATGTGGCTTTGGGGCGTTATAGCAATTGCGTTGCCCTGACGCCATTCCGCCCGACTCACTTTTCCTGGGGCTGCCCTAACCTTGCCCCTAGCCCTGAAACAATATGGCCAATCCCTCCAGAAACGCTGGGGGCTGTCAAACCCTGCTGCATGTATGCAGTGATTGGTTCTCGGTGCCGGTGTTTCTCGCCAAATATTTTCACAATTTGATAGTGCTGCAGCGGCACTGATTCGTTCACCATCGCCTCATGGCGCCATGCAGCGCGTGTGGCCTCTCCTCTCGATGAGGATCATTCTTAAGAAGCAAAAATCCACTCCATTTGGTTGCAAGACCCGTTTCAGATCTATTTCAGGTTGAAACAGATATGTGCTAGCTGTGCAGCGGCAAGAACATTCCTGAAGCGCATTTGATTTGCAGTTTCAAGCGTTTCCTGCTTAAACAAACTGCCTAACTGTACGCAAGCACTCAGCGAACCTCAATCAGACAGAAAGGGCATTCCAACAGGTGGCAATTCAGGACAGCAGTTCTCATAACCAGTGGCAACCGGTGGCGTTCAGTGGCATTCAAAATCTCAAGGAGGTCTCATGTTCTGCAAGGTTCACAACGCAGCAAAATTGACAGGAGTTCACACTAGATCATTCAGCAAGGAACACTCTCAGACACGACACAATCGCTATCCACAGCTACCTATCATGTGCAAGCAGATATAAATTTCACGTTCCAACGTTTCATTGTGGTGAAACACATCATGCCTGACTCACGCACCAAAGCAGACCAGACCAGAGCAGGGGTGCTGGCACATCATTGGGTACTTGTGGTATGTCCGCGTTTCCTTCCTCCTCAAAAGGAGCACAGGTGGGATGAGCACAGACTCAGACTGCCGGGCCTCTCAGCAACATGGGTTGCCCAAAGCATGGTGAAGCATGCTTTGCTTTCAGGAGCCAGGCGATGCCAGCTGAGATCAAGGGCGGTGCGCCGCTCTGTCTGTCTGTCTGCAGGGCATGACCTCCTCAAGAGGAGCAAAGGTGGGACAAGCTACATTCCTCACACTGCCGGGCCTTTCAAGAGGGCTGCCAAACAATGGCAAAGTGTGCTTTGCTATGAGCTGGCATGACATGGCTGACAAAGAATGGCGAAGTCTGCTTTGTTATGAGCTGGCAATACATGGCGGAAAAACCTGGCGAAGCATGCTTTGCTGTGAGGTGCCAATTGCGATCAATAAGTGTGCAGCGCAGTGCTGCCCTTTGCAGCTGGCTCTTCGCCCAGGGCTGCAGCAATGTGTGGCATTAGTTTCGGCAGTTCTGGCAGCAGCATCAGTGGAACGCGCATGCCATCGCACGCGCATGCCACCATCTCGCTCAGCGGCCCCGTTGTGGGCAGCCCTACAGGCACCTGCGCACACCACGTGGACCACTTTTGTCACTGCTTGCACTGCTTAATCACCTCATTAATCACTAGGAGCTTTCCATGTTCCCTCACGCAGCGTTTGCAGGCATTGGGCAATGTTGGATATGCTTTGGGGCCAAGGGCACACAATTTTGGTGGCATGGTGTGTTCTTTTTTGTCTGCACGAAGCTGACACACTTGCTGCACTAGGATTCAGCATTTGTGGCCACTACAACAATGCCAAACGCCAGGAAGTCGTACATGCATATGCACAAAGATTTCGGCAAGTGCTGGCCGAGAAAATCATGATATGAGAGATATATTGGTGGGGGTGCATGCATGCCTTGGGGTAGCGGCTGCTGAAGTGGGTGAGGATGACTCGGTAGGCGCCCATTCGCGCAGCCACGCGCAGGGCCTCTTCCGTGGTGCTGTGCCTCTTCTGAGCCGCCTGAGAGTGCAGCGCTGGCTCAAACGTGGCCTCGTGGACCAGCAGCGTGCAGCCGCGGCCCGCGTCCTGCACGGTGCATGTCAATTGATGGCACCATATTTCGGGTTCTGGGTACCTTTGAAAGTAGGAAAGCCAGTTGAAGAGAGCCAGTTCACTTCTTTGTCTGTCACGCCGAGAGTGTTTGGCCGACACTGGCAAAGTCTGGGACTGAGCGACCGCATTCCTTGATGGTTCTCGGAACACTGATTCTAACGTTGAATCACACCTTAATCTTCAGATCCGCATAACACAGTACAAAATTCACTTGAATTTGAAGAGGCTGTTGGAAGCAGCTCTACCTGCAGGCGGCGGCAGGGGCGAGAGTCCCCGCTGTAGACCAGGCTCCAACCGCAGATGTGGCGCATGACTAACCCGTACGCGTCCGCGCAGTGCTCCACCGGGACTGACTGCCAGCTCACCATGCCTACGCCATGTTCTCGTGAGGCCCATAAGTCTGTATAGGTTCCTTCCCCACAGAATAAGCTATGGACAGACGCTGTGTTCACTGCGGAAAGTGCATATCTGGGCCATTCCTTGTAAAAACCATGCCGACTATGCTTGCGCGCTCCGCATCACCACGTCAGCAATCCTTTATTCTTCCATTACGCATGAACAGGATCAGAAAATTTCTCCACTGAGGATGAACTGGACACATTATACAAACGCTGTGGCATTGTGCATGCAATCAAGGAAGACACCCTGCCTGTCATGCTCATCAGCCAATGGCGAGTGGGACCGCCGTCCGCGTCGAAGTTCCTGCAGTGCACGAAGTGGTAGCGCAGCTGCAGCGCCTGAGCCGCCTCTGCCAGCCACCTCTGCGCAGCCGAGGGGCCAATCACCTGCACACGACCACAGACGCTTAATGCTCAAAGCCCCAGTGACAACCGGTGCATTGCCAGCAATGTCAGGGTGTATGTATGACAGGTGACGCTCAGTACACCCTAATCAGCAATGTCCAAGTAGTAGGGGCTCAACCTGGCAGTGAAGAAGGAGTCTGGTGATTTGTGCATAACAAATTTCACAGTATCAAATTCTGACACCCTGATCTCTCCTTGCACACATCACAAGGCTAGTGAGCTTCCCACGGATTGTGAAAGACTTAATCGCAGCATTACTCGCCAGAAGGGGTGGGCTGCTGGCAGAACGTGCGTGCAGGATCCCCGGCAGGCCCAGAATGTGGTCAGCATGCTTGTGGGAGAGCCAGACGGAGCACAAAGCATCCACCTGCACAGCCACACCATGCTCAGGGGAGCTCCAGGCGATTTTGGGTGATTTCGCAATCAAAGGAGCCATGCGACGACTGCAAATGTGGCCCTTCGGCACGCGGAGAGCGCTGCATGCCAAGCATGAAGGCGAACGCAATGGCTGCAGCAAGCGGCCTCTGTGGATCGCCGACCTGTTATCACTTCAGAATCCATATCCACTGGCAATGCAGGATATATTTTCCAGAGCTGGCACCCTATCAGCGCACCCATCACCAAAGGCACGACAACTGTCATCAGCCTGTGGTGCTCAGCACAAGGTCATCGTCTGGCGGGTCAGGTTCATACATCAAGCAATAAAGCCCTATTGCTTCTCACTGCTCATAACCTTATTTATCAATATTGATGACAGGAAAACCCGCGCCTGTTTTACCGCGCCGGCCGGCCCGAAGTGGCGCACGAGCTGGCCGAGCGCGCCTTCACCGGCATCCAGCAGCAGGCCCCGGCCGTCGCTCAGGCGCACGTGCACGGCCGCGCCGCCACGGTACTTGGACGGCTCCGCGCAGCCCGTGCCCAGGAACAGCACCTGCGCCGCATCGCCGCGCGCCGCCATTGCCTGCAGGGTAAAAGACACAAAATATTACTCATGCTGCCATCTGTCTTACTGCGCCTGCATGGTTTTCCCACAAAAGAAGCAAGGTTGCTGGGTGTAAGCTGGCCCAATGTGACGAGTGACGCATGGAAGATCCCAGAAGTGGTCGTGTAAAATCACTGGAATCAATCAACATGCTTCACCGGTTTCAAGACCATAGCTGACAATTTTGGAGTACTGTTTACAATTTGTGGAAGGAGCACTGTGGCTGCAACCAGACGCTTGCAGCTGTGGGAGGGCACACCTTCAGGCACTCAGGGGTGGCGGGGCTGCCGGCCGGGCAGGCAACAATCATTTTGGGGACATTCTTGGCAGCCGCCCTGGCAGCTTCCTGCGCCTGAACAGGCCCCGCTGCCTTGGCAACTGGCTTTGCCTGCTTCTGATCAGGCTGCTTCTTCTCTGCCTGCTTCTTCTCTGCCTCTGGCATCTGTGACTGGTGTCCAATGCTCTGAGCTGCTTCCTCCATGACCTCATCGAGCTCTGCTGCACTGCCCGATGGCCTGCCTTGCACCCTTTCTTGGCCCTTTGACACATCTCCATGCTCTGCCATAGCTTCTCCATTCTCAGCCACCCCTGTATCGCCTGGTTGCTGCATGTCTTTGGCCTCCTGGCTTTCAGCAGGCCCCAAATCCTCCACAAAAGCTGGCCTGTTCAGGCTGCCGCTCTTTGGCAGGCTCTCCTTGGGCGCCACCTCATGTTTATGTGACTGCTCCAGGACTGAGTCAGCCCCTCCATCAACTGCCAGGCTGATATCCATGATGTCCATCGCTTCCCTGACATGCAGCTCATCCTGGCGCTCTGGAGGGGAGCCACTGCCATGCACCTTCTGGCGCAGCGCTGCAGCGGCGCCCCTGTTGGAGGCATTGGCCTTTGCGTCCGCCATCTGCACATCCTGGGACGCTGCGCTCTGCTTGCCGGCCCTGTGCCGCTTAGCCGGCCAGCCGTCGCCGTCCCCGGCCGGGTGGGGGTGGGTCTTCGGCCCGCCCCCGTATGCGCAGAAGATGTCACCGATCCCACCACCGCCAGCAGGGGAAGCCCCAACAGGGCACAGCGGCTGCGCTGGTGGCTGCCACGGCCGCAGCTGTGGCCGGCGCGCGCCGCGCGCGAGCAATTGCGGCGGCCGATGCATCGCGGCCCCCCACATGCGGCCGATGCGGCCGGCGGGAATTGCCGGAGCCGACGGGGGGATGAAGATGATGGGGCCTGGGAGGACCTCCGGTGGCGGTGGTCGGGGGCGAAGGGGGATCAAGCGGTGGCGGTGCGGTGGTGGCTGGGGGGGCCTCCGGTGGACGGGGGGCACCGAGCGGTGGCCGAGGGGGATCGGGCGGTGGCTGGGCGGGGGGTGCGGGGGGATAAGTGGCAACCAGGAGCTGTTTGCGGCAGCAGCGGGCGCCGGCACAAAGATGGCGGCTTCTGGGCGGAAGATGGGAAGTGCAGCAGGTCCGAGGAAGGAGAGGTCAGAGGGCGGCTGTTGTGGGGCGGCGCTGGGCTGAGAGGGCAGGTGGGTGAATGGCTTGGAGAGGGGCGAGCCCTGCAGACGATCAAACAGCTGCTGCAGCGCTGGCCGGCTGGACAGCAGCTCCTTCTGCACCTCCCCTGCCAGTCACATGACACAGCTAAGTCAAGACGTGCAAATGATGCCATTTGATGTCAACATCAATAAGAAGAGCATGCAGAACGGCTGATCAATCGGCATGGAGGGACAGCGCCTTTGGCAACATCAAGGCAGATTGGCATTGGAAACAAGAAGACAAAGCAGGCTCTCCATGCATGCAACATGCTCCAGGTTGCCGACGGTACGAAAAAGAAGAAATGTAATGGGACCTGCCTGCATTGACTGTGCCCTGCACCCTAATCTGCACTAGGTGCTGGCTGCCTGAGCTTGGCACAGTCACATCCACCTCCTCCACTGCATCTTCAGCATTGGCAGCAGCATCCGGCTCCTCTGGCTCGTCAGGTATGAAGATGTCCTCGCCAGAGGGAGCTGTCATGGCGGCAGGGAGAGGGTACACCGCAGGACTGATTACGTTCAGCTTTGCCAGGTTCCTGGCAGATGCGATGTAGCCCAGCTCCGGGCCATCTCCAGATTTGGCGTCGCATGCAAAGATCTGCATGTTCCAGAGTCTGTCACACAAGGCCAAACATTGAAAGACAAACAAGCACCTCCTTGTCTGCTTGGACGATCATATCAGAGTTGTGGATGATCGTCCAATATGATTGTCCAAGCTGTTAAGGAGGTGCTGCAAGCTGCAAATGCAGCTCTTTTTTGTTAGGATTCAAGACACTGTTCAAAGTCGAGCTTGATTTGGCAGGTTACCACGAAGATTCTGCTATTGACCACACCAAGATCGTACATTGCATATACACCAGAAACAGTGAACACATTAATATGTCAGCCTGGCAATGTCAAATCTTGTAACACACACCTGTTGGCCCGGTAGGTGTTTTGCCCAGTCCCCATAAGCACTCGTCCTAACTGCAGCAGCTGTTGAGAGGTGCAGGGTGCTCACAAACCTGCGCATGCAGCCAATATATTTATGGATGTTACAGCACACATTGCCGGGTCTCTAAACCATGGAATTGTCAGTCAATAGAAATCAGAGCCATGGGCATGGGCATGCATGCAAGTTATTAGGCATTGAGGCAGACCTGGAAGCCGACTGCAGCTGCTTCATGGCAGGATGGCTGGAGAGCAGCCGCCGCTGCGCCGGGTCAGGGCAGTCCACTACCAGCAGCGCATGATTGGATGCCTTCAAGTGGCCCAGCAGTGCACAAGCACGCTGGGGCATGCCTGCAAGTGAAAAGACATAATTGACTTCAAGCAGACCTTTGATAAAGCGCAAATGGATGGACATGCTCACTTTGGAGGCGACATGGGGATTCAAACTTGACATTTCTGTAACAGGCAACTCTGAAGTAATCCTGGCTAGACTCCTTGCTAGCAGACCGAGCACACACAAAGGTCTTGCTGGACCACTCTTGGTCAGGCAGGTAAGGAAAATAATTTGCTGAGAGTGGCTTCAGCTGTTGCCTACCAGATGTCCGTTGCTTCCCCTGCTGCACATACACTGGGTTGCCACCCTGTTCCAGGGCACTGAAGGCCCCCTGGGTGCCTGCATCAGTCCCTTTTGTGGCCGGTGGGCGTGGCTGCCGGCTAGCTAGGACTTGTGCTGCCTGCTGCAGCGGCAAGGGGCCCTCAGGTTTACTCTTCTCCAGCTGCTCCAGTAGCTGCTCCTGCTGGCGTGAATTATTTTCCGCCGTCGATGTTGCAGCATTTGCCTGCTGCTGCTGCTTCAACACCTGCGGCATGCACATATTTTCAGGGGGCAACCTCGCAAGCATGCATGACATGACATGACATGACATGACATGACATGACATGACATGACATGACATGACATGACATGACATGACATGACATGACATGACATGACATGACATGACATGACATGACATGACATGACCTGGAGAGCAACACACTTGATGGCCCAAAACAGGAGTTCCAGTCAAGACTTGAATTCAGCAGTAAAGATGGCTGCACATAATATCGAACGAACCCTGTGGCAGGAGTTGTGGTGAAGGAATGCCTTGATGTATCAGTGTACCTGGAAAATGCTTTGCCTGGTAGAATGCAGCATCAGCAGCTGATCCAGCTGTTGGAATGCAGGGTTATCAGCCCCTGCTGCAGGCTGATCCATGGTGGCTGAAGAGGCCTCTGGCCCTCCATCTGCAGCTTCAAGCCTTTCTTGTGGGGCATCAACATCCTCTGAGGATGAGTCACTCGCTGCAGAGCTGCTGTCAGCGCTCACCAGATCCTCATCACTGCTGCTGCTGCACATGCTGCCACTGGGGTCTGCGCTGGTGTGGCATGCATCCTCATTGGATGCAGCCAGAGTCTTCGGTGCATCAAAAGACTTGCTGCCCAGCTGTGTGAGCCACTCTGGAGTCACCCAACCAGTGTGGGATGCATGCAGAGCAATGACTGCAATATGGGCATCCTGCACAAGGATGGTGTTTTCTTGGCAGGTGCTGCATAAAGCTTTTGCACATGTACCTGACTTTCTTGTGGCACTATGCTTGTCCTTGACACACAGGACGCAGAACAACAATACTGGATGTTTGAGGCTTGCCTCATAGATGGGGCTTGGCGCGGAGTGTGCTATCTCTGTGATGAAAAGGCTCGGATGCTTCCACCTCATGAAGTGCCGCAATGCATGCACCTGAGTGACCGTGCCTGCATCATGAAAACATCATTGTCAATCTGCCCTGGCTTGCACGCCATGCCATCAGCATGCAAAGGGCATGTGATGCATCTCTGATGCCGGTGGCCATCTTTGAGATCTTACAGGGCAAGTCAAGAGACCCACCTTGAGGACCGACAACATGCAAGTCTTCGTGGCCATCCCCTCTGAGGCGCATCACCAAAGCAGCCAATCCACCCTGCAGTCAATTGAAAGGGTCAGCGGCCTTACAGCCACACAGGCTAGCACTATCACTTAGGCTCAGCCTTGTCCTGCGAGGAAGCCTTCTTACCAGTGCTTGGGGTTGCACAACGAAGAGCGCCCGTAGCTTTGCAGACGGCCTCGTCTTGTGCTCCAGAACCAGCCTAGCGTAGCCCTCCGGCGCATTGAACAAGTACTGCATGGTGGAGGACGAGAACGTCAGCAGATGGCCCAAAGGCCGTGCAACAGAACTGCTTAATTGCGCGCGTAATAGGCAATCAAAAGCTGGCAAACTTCATTCAAGAGTTTCCGAGGCCTTTGCAGCACCTGTCGACCGTTCTCGCCCAGTGTCAAGAGAGCGGCAGGTTCAATGCCATCGCCTACCGCTGAGCAGAGGTGAAGGGTGCAAAGTGGCGTATTGCTCATGAATGGCGCCTACAGTATTTGATAATCAATCATGAAGGCATTTTGCCTGAATATTCGAAGATGGGCTTCTTGAAAATACTAAGCCATGGTGTTACAAGACTAGTAAAAGCACAACTAGCCAGCTATGGGACAGCTATAGGGCATTGGATCGACCATGACAACCAAATTTGTGTTGAACGCCGAGAAATCTTATGCAATGGAAGTACCAGGCGGTGCTAAAGACGCCTTCATTCCTCTTGCAGGTTCCTCGCATGTGGAAGCCAAAGGGAGCACCGTCGGACAGAGCCATTGGTTTTGAAAGGAAGGAGAGAAGAGACTCTCCATTTTTCCTTCCCTGTCCAAGGACATCTTTGTGATCCGGTGGGGCCTGGGTCCTTCGGGATCCGGCTCCTCGACAATCATGGCAACATATATAATGGCTGGGCAAGGTGCTTCGATAGAGGCGGCCCGTTACAGTTAACGGCATCACCATAAACCACTGATCAACTGGGTCGGGCTTCAGCAGCCAGGCAACATCACAGGTTTCAATGAAAAGGATGTAATTTAACGACATAATCGCCGGGCACAAAGCGACGCTTCAACAGAGGCGGCCCTGACAGCAACAATGTGGGTATACAAAAGTGGAGCAGACAGAGGCCAGGCGATAGCGGCTGGAAAGCATAACAATAAATTGATCTTAATGACGCAGTAGTAAAAATATCTAGGACGGCCAAGCTTTGGTTGGGGCGGAAGAGGCAACAGCCGCCAGCCGCCATTACCAGTAAAAGAAGGATGCGACGGCTATTTGCATCATTGTCTGACGCGAAGAATCGACCGCAATAATAGAAATGGCCATGAGACCTTTTACAGAACAAGCAGATTTTGCAGTGTTGCGTTCTTGTGTGTGCCCTGCCAAACCCAGGCAGGATGTTCTGGGTCCTGGTCCAAACCTAGGACAAAGCGCGTACAAGCTGTATTGGGGCTTTTGAGGAGATCTCAGTCTAACCTCCTGCAGTTTTCACCTGATTGCAGCTCCTTGAACACCTGCCAGTCCAGGTGTGCCTTTGCAAACCACTCAGCTGTGCTCCTTGTGGGGGTACTTGATCCACAGTGCAAGTGCAGGTCTTAGGATCTGTTTGGTGACGTTGCATTGCTGGTTCGGTACGGGTCTACATGCTGCTGTGTAGTAGCTTAGCAATACAGGTGGCGGCAAGCATTGTGGGGCATTGGGTACCCCCCTTGCTTGTTTCACCGAGAAGCGCTGTTATTGCAAGGATCTGGGCAGTCTTTACAATGACAGCAAATGGCTGGACCCACCCGCAGCACGCACAATCTGTTTGGCCTGTGATTTGCGTCCATGTCCTGCCCTTGACTTGTCGCTGATTTGGACCGACATACATCCACAAGCAGCCTTGCAGTCCTTTTTGGCAGTTGATACTTGTCTGCGTGCTGGGATGCATATTTTCGAGTATTCATGACGTGTGTGCTACTGATGGTTTGAGATATGTGGGACGCTTAATCAGCCCTGTGTGGCTGGAAAAAGTGTAATCTCTCTCTCTCTCTCTCTCTCTCCATCCTGAAGATAACTGCTCGCGCCAAACTTTGCTGTCGCTCCTTTAAGATGCAAATCAGATCATATAAGCTGGAATTAGGGCAGTCTAAACACATTCTTGAACAGCATGAATTCTTCGAAGTGGTCCTTCAGCTTCACAACCTTGGTACAGGAGGTACACATCCTTCAAACTTTCACAGTCTGCCAAGCATGGCCGCAAACTTTGCCATGTAATGACTTGTCAGCTGCACATAAGCATGCAGCTGCACCTCCATCTTTCATGAGCAAGAATCCTACAAAGTTCAACTCCCACATCGTGTTTGCGCGGCAGTGCTTTCTGACTACACACTCCCCACCCAAACAGGCCCTGTGCTTGTGCTACGCACTCCCTATCTGACAGGAGTCCACGCTCCATCTCTGAGAGGAGTGCATGGCACGAGACTGCCTACTCCCCAGTCCAGCGGTCATCAGCATCCACCGGGCCAGCCTCCGCCACTCCGCCGTCCCACCTCTCATGCTCACTCGCGGAGCTCTCTTCTTTGTGCACCGCATCCCTGATCTTTGCAGACCCCTTTGCTTCCCTCTCCACCGCCCGGTACTTCCTGCCGCCGCCGTTCTCCGTCCCTGTCTCCTCGCGTTCCCTCTTTCTGGGCTCCTTCCTGCCCCTGGCATCCCTCTCCTCACCCCTGAGTCTGTCCTCACGCTCTCTGTCACCCCTGGCAGCCCTCTCACTGCCGCTCTTCTCCCGCCTGTCTCCCCTGGGCTCCTCGCGCGCTTTGTCCTTCGCTGTAGAGCTCTTGGCGGCGACTGCAGCCGACTTCTTCTTGGCGGGCGGCGGGGCCTCGTCCTCAGAATCAGAGCTGCTGTCGTCCGATGAGTCATCCGAGCTGCTGCTGCTGCTGGAGGCTGAGTCGCTGCTGGCATCGCTGTCAGAGGATGAGTCATCGCTGGAGGACGAGTCATCGCTGTCCGAGTCGCTAGATGAGTCGCTGTCCGAGTCGCTGGATGACGATGAGTCGTCGCCCGAGCCACCCTCTGCACGCAACATAGGCACACAAAGCAACTCAGACTGCCGCAAACTGAAAGCCCCCAGAACCGCCACTGCAGAGGTGGAATGCCATGAAAAAGCACATGCCGCAGGGGAACACCTACCACCGCATGGGACAGTACATAATGAGCCTCCAACCAGAGCCGATTTGTGAGCAGTGCCCCATCTGCCTGGCCTCCTATGCACCTCATGCACAGGTTGCACCAGCGCCCATTACTGAGGCTCTAAACGCCCCAAATGGCACAAAGAACACCTACCCTGAACCTCGTACGCAGCAAACGAAAGGATAAAAGGAAGGATCGCGCGCGCACCGGCGGCGGCTCCAGCGGAGGCGGCCTCGCGCTGGGCGGCGAGAATCTTGGGCAGCTCTGCCAGGTGGCGGCGGAGGCCGTCGGTGAGGCCGCCCAGTCCGATGGAGGTGAAGAAGTTGATGGAGAAGCGCATGTTGCGGGGGGAGTCGCGCGGGAACAGGTTGCCAAACCACTCCGCCAGGCTGGGGTCCTGCAGCCGCTCGTTGAGGCTGCGCAGGCCCATGTTCTCCGACAGGTCCTGCGCAGAGGGGGCAACGAACCCGTCATCTTCTGCTTGCGGAGGACAATTGTTGTATTTGTGACAGGGTGAACACCAAGTGTATCTGGGAGCAATGTGTTGGTGTGACTATTTGGTGCACTGGTAAACATTTGCTGATGGCGATAAGCTTATCACAAATGGTCAACAACGACAAGCAGAGGCTTCTGGTGCTGCCAGATACTCTCAGCAGCATCACAGTTGCACAGCCCTTGTCATCGCACAGACCGTGCATGATGAGCACAATCTTCTGTAGAAGACTGCCTGGGATATGCAGGCTCTGACAATGGGTGTTGCGACAACCTTCCACCAAGGTTTCCACATATCTTCCAAGGACAAGCAGCATACAAACAGCGTTGTGGGCAACCCAAAACATGCCGCTAATGACAAGCAGCATGCCAGTGATAATCTGAGTTTGGCGGTCTTATTAACGCAGCCAAACCGCACCTGGAAGAGGACTTTGATGAAGATACGGGAGGAGGAGGTGGTGTCGTCCTCGGTGAGGCGCACAGAGTCGATGACCTCCCAGGAGATGGCGTCGGTGGCCAGCAGGTGGCCGAAGAAGCGCGCCACGTTGCGCAGCTTGTTGGTTTCCAGCCGGTGGATCAGGGCGTACTGGCGCCGGAAGCAGTCCTCGAAGCAGGCCTGGTACTCGCGCTTCAGCAGGCAGAATCGCTGCGCCAGCAGACCGTAGTACCTGCGGATCAGATTCAAACTTGAAATAAAGAACACCCATAAAGAACACCCATCAAAACTTGGCACTGCTGAAACTCGCATGCGCTGCTGTCGAGACCACAGGAAGCTGCAGGATGAATGCTCCTGTAAGCATTGCAGAGTGGCTCTGCAATCAGTATTGTGCAGCAATGCTGCTGTAACGACACTGACGGCCTGCTGAATATTTCTGTCGTGAACAGCAGCAACGCATGCATAGTTTGATAATTTACACGCAATGACACCTGGAGTCAATCCATGCATGAGAAACTTTAGGGCGTAAAGGGCCATGCAAAGGAGAGGAGGGCATGCGAACGCACTTGGAGTAGCTCTTCTCCTGGCTGCAGCACTCAATGACCATCGTGGCGATCTCCACCTCCTGCCCCGGGCCCAGCTGAATCTTCATCAGCTTGTGGCCTGCCTCCTCAAAGTCCAGCGCGCTCATGATGGTCAGGTAGATCGTTCGCCGCAGGTTAATCAGGTTCGTCTCGGTGTTGTCCTGGATCTTCTGCGTGCCGCCACTGGGGGCGGCCGCGCCGCCGGCGCCCTCCTCGTCGGATGACTCATCCTCTGAGTCGCCGTCTGAGTCACCCTCTGACTCATCCTCCTCGTCCTCCCCCAGGATCTCCTTCTTGATGGCCTGCAGCGTTCAAAAGCCTGTAAGAAGTTTTGAAGACAAAAAAACAGTAGGGGAAGTATTTATAACAAGAGGTGTTTTCTTTGCAAAACGCCTTTTACTTAACGGCCACTTCTTGTTGTTGTGACAAAAAATTGAACATCGAAAACATCTTCAAGTGCAGTCAAAAATGCAGCGAAATTGCCACGACATGCAAGGTAATTTGAAAGGACCCCTGCCAAAGAGTTACATAGCCTCTCATGCGGATCAGTGCCTCACGACCTCTACAGCTCACATGCACTGGAAGGAGATTCATGGAAGCTACCGTTGCCAAGGCATGTGAGCAATGGCGTGTGATGAGGCAACTGACACAAATCAGCATGTTTCGAGCACACATGCACTTGGCAGGGGCCACTCACCTCGTATCTCTTCTCGTTCTCCTGGTACTCAGGGTCGACCTTGAAGATGTCCAGCGAGATCTGGGCATTGTAGCCATCGCTCTCCTCCAGCGACACCTGGCACATAGAAACCATGTCTTTTACACATGCATCAACAGATCCCTGCTAATCCACAAAAGATATGCCAACTGGGTGACAGACAAGGGGGAGGAACCCCTGCAGCAGCACACTGGAAGCTCGTTGTTGCTAGCTTCTAGCCTGTGCAATCAGATGGAGGAAACTGCACATGGGGAACAGGGGATAGTTGTAGCAACGTCCTCCAATGCATTTTAAGGAGGGTGTGGGAGCGGGCACCTGGTGAGTAATCTGGTCCTCAGGCTCCACCAGGTCCAGCTCCTTGGGTACCGACTCGAAGCCCAGCTCGTTCAGCTGCGCGTTCTTCAGCTTGCCACCCCTTGCGATCTGTGTGCAAATCAGTCATAGTCTCAGGCATGCGCAGGATGAGTAGATACTGGCATAGCAACTGGCTGGAAAGCTCCTCAGGGGCGCTGAAGCGCCCAATGATCGAGGCGTGGGTTCATCGCTGGGCACTAGCAGTGCAGTCTTGAGCAGGAGATAGCATCCAGCTATAATGAGCTCCGGTAGGAGAAACTTCAGAGTGCCGCAGCTTGGACAACATGGGACAAAAGGGCCATGAAATGAATGTTAATAAATAAATTTGTGAGGGCAGGCAGGGCAGTGTCTCACCACTTCCAGGAAGTTCTGGATGAGAAGGCAGGTGCGCTTCTCGGCCTGGCCCTCTGCCAGAATCAGATTCAGGCGGCCCCGGATGCTGCAGAACAGCACACAGGACTCTCAGAAAACACCTCATCCTTCTGCAAAACCCTCCGTTTTCTTGCCAAATTTACATGCCAAACAGGCATTAGTTGACAGGCTGGCCTCAAGTCTGTTGCAAAAGGACACATCTTCAAGCGCAGGGCCTCAAGAACAGAATGCTGGCGGCGGCTTTCTCGTTCAATGACTGCACAGTCAGCCAGTAGGGCCATGGGGCGCACATCTCAAAGCCCGGCTTGTTGACATCCTGCAGGTAGGCGCCCACCACCTTGAAGAACTCCAGCGCAATCTCCACACTGTCCTCTGCAGGACAGGCACACAGGCAGCCCATCAGCCACCCTTGCCATCAAGTGTGAGAGCAGTGGCAAATACATGTGCCTTCATCAGTCACTGCAAGTAACACAGGTGGGCAAGTCCCAAGGGCATACAAGCAGTGCGTTTGCAGGCATCTCCGCAGGGCATATCAGAATTGCTGCAATTCTGCTTGAAGGAGCAGGAGCAGGGTGAAAAGCAGCTTGGTGACATCTTGCTTCAGGCTCAAAAGTCAGGTGAAACTTCTTCACTACAACCATCTTTGCAGGACTCACCTGAGGGGTTCTCCAGGAGCAGGATGGCGATCTCAAAGGCGATCATGTCATCAGCGACCTGCTGATTGACCAGGTGGCCGATGAACTTGGACACGGCCAGGCAGATGGGCTTGTCATTGCGCTTGAACGCCCTCTTGAACTGCGCGCAACAACCAAAACCCACTCAGACTTCATATTTCAGGGCACTGCTGTCACAACATGAAGACTCTGTTGAATGGCGCAAACTGCCTCCCAGGAATCCTTCAAGCAGTCATCCCATTAAGGGTATACATGACAACAAAATACCAGCTGAAGCCTTGTATCAGACAATATCATCAGACAAACGCTCACTCAAGAAATCAGCTTAAGGGTGCTCCTCACCTGGAGGATGAGGCGGTGCAGCAGGAGCTGGCCGACCTCAGGGAACTTGGTGTTGATGACGGCGACAAGGGCTGCAAAGACGGGCGTGAAGGTGGGCGAAGCCATCTGCGACTTCATGATGCTGCGGCAGAACAGGCCTTTGCCACGATCCAAATTCTGTGCGCACAGGACACCACACACTCAGCAAATCCGCATGCAGTTCCGTCAGACTTCTGCTGTTGGACAACAAGTAGCATGCCCTCAGCACTCAGCCCTTCAAGCACTTGTGCAGTTTAAATCATGCCTAATAACCAGCTATAATAACCAGCTTTTAAGGCTATCATTTGCACTAGCACAAACTCAAATCTTACAATGCCAGCCGACAGGTCTACCAGCGTCAACTTAACAACAATCTTGAATTTTACTCCACTTAGATTGACATAACTCAACTTAGGCAGGTCCACCCCACATGCTGGCAAGGATGGGAAGCGCCAGAGCAGCTCACCTCGCCGAAGATCTCTGGCAGGACCTCCTTGAGATTGGTGATGTTGACCTTGTTGATGAGCCCGTTAATGGACTTGCGCAGCGCGTCCCAGCGCAGCCGCTGGTACTGCGCGCTCGTCTCGTCCTTGGCCTCACGCAGCATCTGCGCCAGCTTGAAGGGCGGGATGTACACGCCCCCAGCCTTGCCCGCCGGCTTCTCCACGCGCTCCCTCGGCGCCTCCACAGCCGCCTGACACAAGCAACAGCCTTTTGATTCCGGGCTTCGTGATGATTCAAGCTTTGCTCAACATCTGAAGCCTACAAATTGAGGTGAAACCAAAAGCAGAGCACCATAGTCGCCAGCATCTCGTCGCAGTGAAGAACCGCCCACCAGCACACTTGTTAGCGCATATTTCACATCGCAGTTACTGGTGTCTTGAGTCCAAGACGAGGTGGGAATAAAATTAAGTTGCTCTCATGCAGGGACTGCGTGGGCTGACAGCTGCACGCCGCACTAGGGCAAAAATCTGGCGAGCAGAGCCAAGCCGCATGCAGCAGGAGTGGTTTGTATGGATGACGCACCGGGGCTGGTGGCTCTGCAGGCTCATCCGCCGCAGGTCGCTCAGCGCGGCTGTCGCGGTCATCTCTACGGCGGTCGCCGCGGTCGGACTCTCTGCGCGAGTCATCTCCCCGGCCGCCTCGGTTTGGGCCCCTGCGCTCGTCCTCCCTGCCCCGGTCGTCCCGGCGGTCTCGTCCCCTGTGGTCATCCCTGTCACGTCCTCCGTAGCGTTCCCTGTCCCCGCCCCTGTCGCTGCGCATCCTGCAGAAGCACAGTGCACAGTTGTGCGACTGTCAGGCTCAGGAACCTTTTCAGTTGTCTTCACACAAATGAAGGTCGCCATGAAAGCGAAATCTGAGGAAAGGAATGCGCGAGGAGACACAACCTGTGAGCTAGCACGTGAAGTCATGCCCGCCATATTCCCGCGCACCCATAGAGGTCATTAGATAAGGGAAGTTTGAGGGATGCAGAGCATGAGGAGATGCAATCTGTGTGCTAGCAGGTGGAGCCTTGCCTGCCATATTCGCGTTCTCGTCCACTCTCCCTTCTGGAGTCTCTGTCCCTTCCTCTGTCATCTCGCGTATCCCTGTCCCTGCGGCTGTCATCTCGGTCATCCCTGGCCCTCCGAGAGTCTCTATCAGCATCTCTGTCCCCGCGCAGGCTCATGTCCTCCCCTCTGTCACTCCCTCTTCTTTCGTCCCTGGTCTCCTCCTTTCCCTCAAACTTTATTCGTTCCCCGCCCCTGCGCTTGTGGGGCTCCTCAGAACCGCCATTCTGCACAGGGCTATCCCTGCAGCAGAAGCACAATACCTCGAGATCAATATAAATTTACAAGGACAAGACCTCTTCTCTCCGCAGCAAACGTCTGAAGAAAATACCATCAAATCACTTTAATTACGATGAGAAGCAAAGATCCACAAATAGGGACGCGCAAGAGAAGAACCGGAGTAGATTTGTCAGAGCAGGAACAGAAGCTTGTCCACCCAAAGAAATGGTTGGTCCCACAAAAAGCTCAAAATAGACATTCCCATACGTGTTGGAAACGACTTCTACTCATCGAGGCCATAATTTTGCAGGAGAGCATCAAACCTGGTAGCTGCCACTGGAGCCTCCTGCACTTCCTCGTCATCGCTGTCTGTTGGTGTATCGCCACGCGGCGCCATACTTCCGTTCCTACTTCCACACAAAGGTCGAGCACAATTGCAAGGAATGCTCGAGGCGTAGAGGAGAAGAATGCAAGCTGCTGGTTATAGATGACGAGGCGGAGAGGAGCCCGTGGACACGCATCTGAGGGCATGGGAATAAAGCAGCACCTCCAGCAATAGCAGTCGAGCAAAGTTTGCCATGAACCTCTAAAATGGGGGCTTGGGTATTGTTCTAAGCATATGCCCATGCTTATGGGCATGTAATAAAAAGTGAAGCAGCACTTGAGCCAGGTCCAGAAGCAGATTGCCAGGCCTGGAACTCGAGAGGAGCTTCCTTAGTATGATGGATGCATGCATGGGTGCATGGGTGTTGGTCTCACTTCATCTTCAAATTATGTTTCCACTTTACACTTTTAGGTTTAGGATGCAAGCCCTAGCTTCCGTCAAATGTTTAGTTAAACCTTGAGGGATAGACTCTGGAGTCCAGTTTGAGATGTCAGTTGCATTAGAACAACAGGTCTTGCATGCCTCAAACTCAACGTGGTCAGACATTTCCTTTAAAGTCTTGAGCGTCACTGCAACTCCCAAAGGAATCTTGATCAGGGTTGCCAACCAGGTTGCTGTTTCACACATCACAGCGCCTCGACTTAGAAACGTCGGCAGGAAGCAGGGGCACAATCTAGTACTCCTCGCCCTCCTCCTCGCCATCGCCCTCAGCAGACTCAGCGCCGACCTCCTCGTAGTCCTTCTCCAGGGCAGCCAGGTCCTCACGGGCCTCGGAGAACTCACCCTCCTCCATGCCCTCACCCACGTACCAGTGCACAAACGCGCGCTTGGCGTACATCAGGTCAAACTTGTGGTCCAGGCGGGAGAACACCTGCCATGCAGAGCAGCACTCGCTTGTCAGCACTCTGAAGCACACACCCAAGCACAGGGAAAATTCCCAGTGGCGTGGGCTGAAGAGACTGCGCAGCTGATGCTATGGCCAGCCTCAAACTTCCCATCAGTGCCTCACGCAAGATGATCAGCAGAGCATGTGAGGCTCAGAATACGCTCCACACCTCATCACTCAAAGCTGCACTGCAGTCCTCTTAGGATTCACTCGAGAGGAAAGTGTGCAAGCAACAGCGGGGACGGCAGCGCACCTCAGCGATGGCGGTGGAGTTGGAGATCATGCAGACGGCGCGCTGGACCTTAGCGAGGTCGCCGCCGGGCACGACGGTGGGCGGCTGGTAGTTGATGCCGCACTTGAAGCCGGTGGGGCACCAGTCCACAAACTGGATCGTGCGCTTGGTCTTGATGGTGGCCACAGCTGCGTTCACGTCCTTGGGCACCACGTCTCCACGGTACATCAGGCAGCACGCCATGTACTGCGTACCAGACACAGTTGGGATAAGCGCAGATCATTTGCCGAGGCCTTACCATTGTTGTCAGGCAATGTGCAATAACTGCAGCACAGGTTCTCTGTGCCAGAATAGTCCTGTACAGGCAGTGGCACTGAGCTGTAGCTTGCATGCATGACTATCTTCATTGCACAGCACTTCATAGATTTTTGCAAGGCGGGCACTCATTGCAGCGAAGGTCATGCATGCCTGAGCAAAGTTGTCAGATTGCACAAAGAAGCAGAGGAACATCAACGAGGAGAAGGGGCTCACCTTGCCGTGGCGGGGGTCGCACTTGGCCATCATGGAGGCGGGCTCGAAGGCAGAGTTGGTGATTTCGGCCACGGAAAGCTGCTCGTGGTAGGCCTTCTCCGCGGAGATGACCGGGGAGTAGGAGGAGAGCATGAAGTGGATGCGCGGGTAGGGCACCAGGTTGGTCTGGAATTCGGTGACGTCCACGTTAAGGGCACCGTCGAAGCGCAGGGAGGCCGTCAGCGAGGAGATGACCTGGGCGATCAGCCTGGCCATGCATGCATCCCCCCCTGAGCACCTTATTGCAGAGAGCTTAAGGCATGCATTCTGTCACAAATGTCAGCTGCTGTTCCTTCATGCAGTATCAAACAATGCTGAGAATGCAGATATCAATGGAAGTACAGACTGATTTTGGAGGGGAAATGAACAGGGACAGGGCAGCCCTGCATCAACAGGTGGATAATTGCTACAGAATGTCTTCCCATGCGGCTGTAAAAGTAACCAAGGGGGTGGTATGACTGTTTGTGTGGTTTCCAGCACTCATCAAAGCAGCTGGCGTATGGATAGAAGGTTGCTGGGTTGCATGAGGCCGAAGCGCACCTGTTGAGGTTGGTGTAGGTGGGGCGCTCAATGTCTAGGGAGCGGCGGCAGATGTCATAAACGGCCTCATTGTCCAGCATAACGGCGACGTCAGTGTGCTCCAGCAGGGAGTGTGTGGACAGCACAGAGTTATACGGCTCGACGACGGCCGTGGACACCTGAACAGTGCATGCCAGGAAGATGTCAGCAAGACAGGTGGCGCATCATTGTCTTCGCAGCATGGCAACCTGGCAGCGACAGCCCCCAGCATGTATGCAGACCAACGCAATCGGACTTGGCATGATGAGGACAAGTGCAAGATGTCTTACGTGTGAGGCAGAAAGGCAGGCAGACTTTGGTGTCAAAGGGTGAGTTTAAGATGCAAAGCAGCTGCTGGCAGTCAGCACTGTGCAGAGGGTTGACTGACAGACCTGGGGGGAGGGGTACACAGTGAAGCCCAGCTTGGACTTCTTGCCGTAGTCGACGGAGAGGCGCTCCAGCAGCAGGGAGCCCAGGCCAGAACCAGTGCCGCCACCCACAGCGTTGAACACCAGGAAGCCCTGCAGGCCTGCATGCACACATTTGCTGCCATCAGTCGCCCTTGTGCACGCCAGCCGTAGTCAAGGTGCTCTGTGTAATGCTGTGCCGTCCCTCATGGTGCGAGGTCAAAGCATGGCTTAGCATGCATTTCCCCTGTCTCCTTCACCAAGCCCCAGGCTTCATCAGGATGTCTATACTCATTTTGCAGTGATGGGGTACTTGACATGGCAGGAGGTGTCTGCTAGTGCATGCGCAAGCATGACATGGCAGGCAGGCTTAGCGCACCGGTGCAGTTGTCTGCCAGCTTGCGGATGCGGTCCAGGCAGAGGTCAACGATCTCCTTGCCGATGGTGTAGTGGCCACGGGCAAAATTGTTGGCGGCATCCTCCTTGCCGCTGATGAGCTGCTCCGGGTGGAACAGCTGGCGGTAGGTGCCGGTGCGGACCTCGTCGATCACAGTGGGCTGCAGGCAGCAGTCAAACTTGTAAGGATCACGCGGGACAAGATGAACTATGCCATGCTGTGACGTCCTGCTGTAGGTATACAGTGACTGGTACAACGCTAAACTAAAATGACATGTTGCCTGGGCAGACAAAGTAAAGTACAGCTACAGAGTGACATTGTTGCTGATCAGCGCTGCTGTTAGGCTGAACCAAGATCCACACTCACAAGATCTGGCCTGGTTTGTGAGCGGAGTCTCTTTTGAAGATCGATTGGGTACCCACATACAGCAAAAGGAGAGACGCCTCTGCCCCAGTCAAAGCTCATGCGGGAAGGCACAATTCCAGCACGGCCTCACCTCGAGGTCGAGGAACACGCAGCGAGGGACGTGCTTGCCGGCACCAGTCTCCGAGAAGAAGGTGTTGAAGGCGTCATCGCCTCCGCCAATGGTCTTGTCGCTGGGCATCTGGCCATCAGGCTGGATGCCTGAAATAGGCACATCCAAAAGAAGGTCAACGTCCCTTTCGTTGCAGGTCAGGAAGTGCCAGTATCATGAAAAGGTTTCCGTTGAACTCAGAAGCATACAACAAGTGCACTCCTCTCAAAGAGAACCTTCCTTTTTGTTTCATCTTGAAAAGTAGAATATGGGGAAGAGGAACAGCCACCAGCCTCACAAGCTCAGAATTCCAGAGGAACAGCAAAAATCAATATGGGTAAATAGGCTTCACAAGCACTCACCGTGCTCCAGGCAGTACAGCTCCCAGCAGGCGTTTCCCACCTGGATACAGAAATGGTGTTGTTAGCCGAGACCTCAGAAAAGCCGCTGGTTTCTACATTCTTGGCGCTGAGCTGCTGCACAACCTCCAACTTAAGATACTATCTGCAGCATGGGGTGCAAAGCAAAGCCAGGACACCATTGACTGAGCTTGTGCGGCCCCTTCCCGCGCTCCGCACCTGGATTCCGGCCTGGCCGATGTGGATGGAGATGACTTCACGCATGGTTGCAGATCAGGCAACTACTGCTGACGGAAGCTGAGTGGCGGGGAAGGTCGGGGGGAAGGGAGGCAGACAGCGAATTAGGACGCGTCTCCAACCGTTATAGAATTTCTGGGGCAGGCCGGCTTGAAATGGCTTCGGCGAAGGGAACGCCAGTGAACGGTCGCGTGATTATTTCAGCAGGCACCCAATTTGAAGTGTTGGCAGGGTGAAAGAGAGGAGATAAGGATCGTGTGCATGTAGCAAGAGTGCATCAAAACATACACGAGTGGCTCAGTGTCCGGTTGGGTGTGAATCGGGGAGGACAAGGTTCGCTGTAGAAGGAGAAGCATCTCTAGCACCGGGGAGAGTCAGCCTTGAGACAGCTGTCGTCTCTGGCTATCTGGAAGTCGCCTTGAGGTTCGAAGGGGCTCCTGCTCATGGTTTACAGGTACGTGGTTGTCGGATAATGGCTTCCGCGTATCGGATACTTTTCAAAATACCCCAACACCACCTTCTGTTACCTCACCCCCAATGCAAGCAATCCTTGGATTTTACCCATGTTGCACAGATCACCCTTGTCACTCTCGGCTCTCTACGAGAGCCAGTGCGTTGGCAACCGCATAAAAGCACTTTGTCTCTGTCTCGACCTGAGCAGTATGATATTTCTTTGGCATCCTCCTGTAGAGTAGGCGCGTAAAGTGTGACTATTTTCAGAAGGCTTTCTCGTCCGAATGACAGGTGCTCAATTGTGGCGTTGGCGGAGGGTATTTCACAGGAAGTGTAAGCGCCCTGAAGGAATAGGACAGCACCAGCTATACAGACGGGCAGGGCCAGTCAAAGAAGGAGTGGTCGGACATACAGTCTCTGCCTCAAGCTGGTCTTGCAGATAATGGGATCAATGGTGGACTACACATCACTGCTCAATCTGCATGGAAGCGACCCTGACGGGGCTCACCTGGAGTCCCACTTGGATGAGGACCATGGCCATCCTGCTCACCCAGACCAGATTCAGCTCCATCACAGTGCCAACTCGATCCTTGAGGAGGCCAGTCAGCTTGTGCAAGAGCACAACCGCAACAGGATGCATCTGCTCCAGCATGACATGGTGCAGGTAGACACTAGCCCTTTTGAATTCATGGCATCGTAATGGATTTCTGCTTTTGCACTGCCAATTTTCTGCATGGGGATGATCTCTGACTGCTTTTGCTCAATGCAGGACCCCACGCTGCACCCAGAGTATGTGTCTCAAGTGCCCATCCAAAAGACGTGCAGCAAGTGCAAGGAGACCAAAAGCGCCTCGGAGTTTTTCAAAGACAAGAGCAAGCCAGATGGCATGTACTCTCAGGTGCACACTTGTTCAAGGGGCTCTCTCTCTCTGCTGTGAACTTTTGACCAAGCAGGTTCCCTGGTTTGCATTGTCAATTTTTGCTCTGCCTCCAAGGGCTAGTGGGATCTGCCCAGTGGATATGGTGAGGGTTCCAGATTGAAAAGGACCCAATGGAACTGCTTTGTGGCTGTGCAGTGCAAGCTGTGTGCAACTGCTGAGGAGCGCCGGCGAAGGGAGTCCAGGCCGCAGGTGGAGCCAGAATTGATGAAGACCGCCAAGAAGTGCACGCGGTAACTGTATTCTTTGCCTCTTATTCTTATAGAAGAACCCTGCCGGCTAGGGAGGCGCCTTCCTTGCTTCGTACAGCACCATGCCTCAACAAATCCCATCTTTTCAGACTTCTTGTAAAGAATTTTGTAGCCTGCAACCTTAGCGGTTTGCTTGGTGGCTGCTGCAGGTGTGGCATAGACAAGCCTGCCAGCGCCTTCTGCCGCAACAAGCGCTCCTTCGACGGCCTCTACTCGCAGTGCCGCAGCTGCGTCTCTGACAAGGTCGGTGGCTCACCTCGCGCGCAGCTGTGCATGCTTGTTGACGGGACTGAACACTGAGCGCTCTGGATCCCTGGCCTTCAAGAGTTCATGTGCATTAATCTTCCGGTGTCATAAACTGGCAAATGTGGCGGCTCACAGATCCTGTGCACATGAGCTCCATAGGAATGCAATGAATGCACTCGTATTCGCTTGTCATGCAGAAACGATATCGGGCACCCCTTTGATTGGTGGTAAATACTTTCTTACACTCATGGGGCCTGCAGGACAAGGACCGGCGGCAGAAGATGCTGATCGCGAAGCCGGAGCCGGTGCCTAGCAAGATGTGCAGCCGCTGCAACACCCAGAAGACCTGCGAGGACTTCTACCGCGACGCCTCCAAGCCTGACGGCCTCCAGGTGCTGCTCGCTACCATGCATTTGCACGTCTCAGTCTCTGTAACCATCGAAATACGACTTGCCTCTTGACTCCAAATTTCAGGCGCGTTTGTCGGTTCCTCCCTCTGTATCTGAGAAAGTGATGGCGCATGCCAGCCTATGCCTCAGGAATGTCTATGAGCATACACAGGTATGCCAGCTATCGAGCACCAATTCCCCCACCTCTGATCTTATGTACAACCGCTCTTCTTGTGTCACGGCCCAGCCAGCACACATGCATGTGAACAGCAATCGTATATCGATCCTGCAAGGTTCAAGTGGAATGAGCAGATAGGGCCACACATGCCACAAGGAGCTTGTCTGTGTGTGACTCGCACATGCTGAGTGTGATCTCCTACCTATCACCGGCCTGTCATGGACAGACCTAGGTCTGCATCTGGCATGGCAAGCAGCGTCTGTGGCTGCGCCGGCAGTGCTCTGCAAAGGCATGTGTTGATAACCCTCCCGAATGGCGCAGACGTACTGCAAGCCGTGCCTGTGCGCGAAGCACAAGGAGCTGCGCGACCGCAAGCGCATACGCTGCATCCAGGCGCACCTGGGAGCCACCGGGCAGCTGCACCTCGACCCCGCCCACGCCCAAATTGCGGACAGCAACGCCGACCCCTATGCAAGTGAGCACCTGTCATTGCAGTGCCTTCCTTTACATGGGCACCCCGTCACTGCCAGAATGCCACACAAAGGCGATGCATGCCACAAATGCAATGCACCAAAATTATGTCAGATTGCAAGATTTGCACTGTAGTAGTCGGCGTTGTCATCGACAAGGCGCTTTTCGACAGGAGACAGGCTGGCTACACACATCCCACACCCCTGCTTGAAGGGTCATGCATGGTTCCCAGATGGCCCCCGCGCATTTATGTTGTTGTGAGGCGCACAAGCAATGTTGAATGTCATGCATGGTTCTTAGACACCCCTCGGGCATGCAAGGCTGATGCGGGGGTGTGCATGGGCTGCCCAGGGCACCAGTCCTACCCGGTGTACAATGTGGATGGCAGCCTGCAGGGGCACATCACGCTAACAGACAGCAGCCACGCTGACCTGGACGCGGCCGGGCTGCAGGCAGTGTATCCAGACGGCGTCGCGCAGGGCTACCCCATCGAGGTGAAGCCCTCTGCTGTATACTTCTTGATCTGCTATCCTGAAGGTCACAAGTGTGACATCTGCGTCAATAGAGAGCCCGTGGTTTGCTGGCAAAATTACATGAGGTCACTGGGTGCGGTACTCCAGAGAGCAGGGCTCTTTCTTTTGAGTGGAGTGCCTTGTCTGTGCCTAATGAAAAATAGATCCACAAAAAATCCTTAGCTTTGCAGATCTGTGTGTAGGGCAATTCATTGCATGAAATGCAAAGCAGGGATGCTTAAAGCCAGCCCTGGCTTGATCTGTGGGGCCCTCAGTCTCTCCAACTTTTGAAAGACAAGGGTTGGGAAGAAGTGTTCTACTTCTTGACGTTGCTGCATCAGATGCTGACGAGTGTTTTGGCTGCGGTGTGGTGGCAGGAGGGTGTGGAGGAGGGGCATGGTGCGGAGCAGCAGTATGTGGAGTACGATGAGCAGCACGGCTACCACACTGGAGAAGAGGGCTTTGCCGGCCAGGCCGCCTCCGGCAGTGATCAGCACCCCGACGAGCAGCAGTGAGTGCCCCCACCTGTACTCTGCATGCTGCGAGCATTATCGCCAGAGAAAAATTCCCCGTGCAGCTGTGTGCACTGCAAAAAGCCCCCCTTGAAACTGCTTTCCCTTGATGTCTACGAGGAAATGGCTTGCGTGCCACACAGGACTTGAGCAGCACTTCTAGACGCTTGGTTGTCTGACCTTCCCTGCCTGATCAGAGGCTGCTGCTGCTGCTCATCATACGTTCCTGCATCTTCCTTGCAGACATGGACATGTGGCAATCAAAATTTATTGCACGGTTTTCCTGCCAAGAGGCAAGGTGGGTCTGCAGACAAGCTGCACAATTACAGGCTGCCAAAATCCTACCCCTCAATGAACTCGCCAAATTCAAGCAAGACCCAATCAAATCTACAGCGCCCCTTGCCAGCCAGGGCCAGAGCAACAAAGTGATATCAAATGAGTGCCATGTGTTACAGGTACCTGGCGCAGCAGGAAGGGGAGGTTGGGTATCAGGAGGGGGAGTACATCCAGGATGGCGCACAGCAGGAGTATGTCCACGCTGACGTGGACGGATACCACCTGGTGCAACCGCAGGACTATGACCCCAACAATGCAGACCAGGTGAGGGCTCTGCGCATCTTCACATTAGTATAATCATTATCACATGCTGTTCCTGCGAAGAGGCAAGGTGCGTCCTGCAGACAAGCCGCAGTTAAATGCTGTCATGATCCTACCCCTAATGGATTTTCAAATTACATGCATGCAGAGACTGATCAGTCTTTAATAGTTGATGATGCCCTAGGGCTGCCCTTGTCAACCTCTTGCAGCGTCGCTCACATTTTTTTCCCAGCTACCTAGCACGGCACCCTATTGTGTCATGTCATAGTGATACTACTGGTTGTCTCCACCCTTCAGATTGCAGTGCTGATGGGTGAGTGTGTGCAGGTCTATGAGGGGGATGGGCACGCGTATGAGCAGCAGCATGAGGACAATGGTGGGGCACACCACGGTCACGAAGACCTGGTGCTCAACTTTGGCGAAGAGGCGGTACACGGCGGAGGATATGTTGAGGACCACAGACAGCTCAAGCGCTACCGCGTGCGCTGAAAGCTTCGATTGAAGCCTCGACGCCGTAATCATAGAATTTCATGCTACTTTATGCAAGGCCCTGTTTGCACATGTATCCGATGCTTCCGCCCTGTGTGATGTTGAGATCAGCTTATTGCCCCTGGAAACATTATAGTTGAAGTATACTATTTGCTGTGAATCACAACATGCGATTAGTACCTGACATGTTGGCAGACACATGCATTTCAGGGGAACGCTGTTATACCGTATAAGTAATTGCTATGTTCCTCCCACTATATCAATGAAGTGCATAGGAAAGTGACAATGGCTGCTAGATTAAAGAGCAGTTAGTGCCTGAGCCTTCAAATGCTATGAATGCCAAGAAGTCATCCTGATCTTGTGTGAATGATTGCTCTTATTCTTACAGAGACATGATACGTTTAGTTGACATGCGCAGCACATTATTCTCCTGTACTTTCTCTCATTTGAGTGTAGTTTCATGCTCTGTTCCCAATAATTGCCTCATCATTTGCACATACTTTGGAAAATCATCAAAAAAATTGTTATGTCTTTTCTCATTCTTCTTGTGCCTTGGCTCAAGGGCAGATGGATGCCTGGGCGGCACTGAAAGGCAAATTGGAGTCACCTGTGAGATTGTTTGAAGTCTGAGAAGTGAACAGACTCCCAATTTATTCTGTACAGCACCATGATGGTTTGGCTTCTAGGTACCTCACTGGATGGCCTCTGCACTGGGCCTTGCTTTGTTGTCTCACATTGCCCGCAAATTTCCCCCCCCCCCCGACCTAGGCGAACCTCGCTGAGAGCATGGTTTGCTGACTGCCAAAATTTGTCACCGCGCCCTCTTTCCTGCTCTGGCCACCTCAGACTGCAGCTGTTGGGTCATCGACATTTGCCTCAAATTTGATGGCATGGGCAGCTGCATGGAGGGAGCAGCTCTCTGCCCAGCTTCCTGCAGGCGCTGGCTTCTGCGCAGCTGCAGCACATCAGTGCACTGGGACTGACAATGGATGGCATACCTTTCTGCTGACACCATCCTATCTGCCTGGGTCCTGGGCAGCTTGCATCCCTGCTCAAAGGACTGCGAAAGCTCTGCCTCAGAGGCATCGGCATGAGCCTCTGCAAGGGCTGTGGCTGATGGGGGCTCTGCAGAAACCTCCATGGGTGCATGCGCTCTAGTGACCTCTCTCTGCTCTCTTCTGTGACTGCTGCTGGGTCTCTGCTGCCTCGCCTCCGGCTTCGTGCCGATCGCTGCAACTGCCTGCTGGTAGTACCACTGCCCAGGCAGCAGTGGCTTCTGTGCTGTGGCCTGCAAGTGCTGCTGAGTTGTCGGTGCTGCAATTCGCTGCAGGTGCTTCTCTGCAGGCGGCTGCCTGACTGGCCCTGGGCGCTGCACTGTGGGTGGAGTGCGGCTGATTCTGCTGCGAGCTGCCATCCGCTGTTGCGCGTCCGTAAGGACACATGAGCAGATGGCAGCCAGCCTGTGTGAGAGTCCTAGCCCATCTATCAGCGCCAGCACCGGTGCCAGATCGCGCTCTTCCTGCTCAGCAAAGAATATGCCCAACTCTTTTCAATATCTCATCCACTCAGATGTCCGGGCAATGCAGCATGCCTCTGTTAGCGGTAAAACTGGTGCACAGGCTTTAACCTGGTGCTCCTGATACAACTGAAATGTGGCTCGGCCATGCATGCATCCGTGACCATGCACCTCCTGCTCATGACACAGTCAGGCAGTACCTCGATGTGCATCCTCCAGGAAGCTTTCTGCAGCACTATACCCTGCCACCGCAGCATCTCGGTCCTCCACCATTTCATCGAGTAGAGCTTCTGCCGAGGAGCCGTATGCATGTAGTCCAGGTAGCTGCGCAGGATGGTGCTCAAGTGGGAGCGGTACTGGCTGCATGCAGGAGAATACCACTGGTCATTAGTACATGGGTAGCTTGGCACATGGGTATCTTGGCAGATGAGCTGCAGGAGATAGGCATCAATGGATGCTTGATAGCGTACTGCAAGAGCTTTCTGACACAGCACTCTCAAGGCAACAAAAAAACAGCACAGATTGCATTGGCTTCGGGGACTGTTTTGACATGCATGCTTGCTCAGCAGCCTGAGAAGGCAGCTGAGGGGAGGATGCATGCCTGTTGTACTGCTCCAGGATCCAGAACACGGCCATGAGCAGCTCTGGCTGGGTGGCCAGAATGGCAGGCTTCAGGTTGGCCCGCTGGCACAGCACAAAGGCTGCAGCCAGCGTTCCCTCCAGGGGCCTTGCGCAGTTTATGGGCAGCATCTTGGCAGCTGCCATGCTGGACAGCGCTGTGATCACCTCCGGCGCCATGCAACCTGGCACCATTACCGGTACACACACATCAAGATTGGCAATGGTGCTTTGGCAGCTCTGCGCAATGTTGTGCATGACAGGGTGGCACTCAGCATGCTCTGGACCCTTTGCAGGACACACAAGTGTGGGTGAAGTTCTTGAATCTTGCATCTATGTTTTGTGGTTGTGTAGATGCAGGGTTGATGGGAAGCTCATACCTCGCATGAAGGACAGCATCCTGTCGCGCTGGGCTACATCATCCAGCAGGGCCTCCATTGGCAAGGCACTGAGAGATCCCAGCTTCTGAGGTGCAGGCAGCCTCCTCTGCGTTTGATCTGCATTGACATGCCTCACATCCTGAGCCTGCATGCGAGACAGACCTGCCAGCGGTCCTTTGAACCCATGCATTCAGCAATATTGAACAATATTGACAGGCATGTCGACATGATGGGCAGTCAGGATGGGAGCATCCATTAAGGGGACTTGCTCCAAACTCTTACCATGCCATGGCAGAGGTTTGCCTGCAGCGCCAGCAGGGCACAGCTGCTGTCCGTCCTCTCTGCCCGTGTGAGTCTCTTGGATGTGTGAGGGCCTGCTGACACCTCCATGCAGAGCAATCTGCCCCCTCTGTGCAAGCATGAGTGTCTGCTCGCTGCATGCTCTGCTTTCCTGCTGCGCTGCGTTGCTGCAGTCCCTCAATGAGACATCAGCTGAGCGGTCATTCCAAGTTGACATGGCATTGCTCGCATCATGCTTGCTGCTGGAGGACAGTTGGAGACCGTAGAGGTGGTTTGAGCTGAGAGCTGGAGTGCCCAGGATAGGATGAAGTGTGCAGCCAGCTGCTGAACTGTGGTCGCCAGCTGAATGCCAGGTGCTTGCGTTCCGATGCTTGCCTGTGCTGCCTTGCAAAGCTGTTTTGCGCGCTGGAGAGCTGCTTTGGCCAGCTACAAGCTGCTTACTCACACATGTGGCTGTCAGTCTGCGTCTTTTCATGCACGGTTCACTTGTGGGGCTGGTGCTGCTGTTATCCAGGCTTCCGCATTGAATGTCTGTCCTTGTGCCTGCATGCAGATGCCCGCAGCTGTTGCAGCTGCTTGGAAGTGAAGCAATGTCCTGAACATCTCGGAAGGAAAGAGGTCCTGAATCAGTTCTTACGAAGCTACCAAAGCCGTAGCTTTGCGATTATTGGTACATCCTTGACTTTGCCACAAGCCAGATGCCTTCGCACGGAGGAACAAAGTTTTGATCGGCAAGATCGCTCTGCCTTGATCTCTTTTCAGATTTACGAGTACCTTACCCGGACTGCCGGATCTCCACGGAAAGACCTGATCTTCATGCTCTGGATAATTCTTCAAGAGCTCAGCACGGTTTATACGTGCACCGCTTGACGAGTCATGTCCCTCACGCTGAGGTACCCGCTGAGGGATGGCGAAGGACAGAAAATAACTTAGCAAAGACTTCAACATCTACACCATCACGCATCAAAGGAAGAAACTCAATCTGCAGCAAGCCGATTGTACCTCAAATGAGGTGTATCGAGCTCTGCATCGAGCATCGGGCTTCTTGGAACTGAGCTGTCTGGAGGTGATGATGACGTACCACATGCATGGGAAAGTTTGAATAAATGCAATTGGGGCCAAATCCAGACTTCTTTTGGTCACAGAGTGAACGCCTTCAGGTTTTCTTCTCGCTAACATGTCCTTGCTAGGTGATGTATGAAAAGATGCACTGTGCATGTGTTGCAAGAGCCGTCCAAGCTTGGGAAGAGCTTGGCTACATGTCAGGCCTGCCCGGCAGTAGTGCACTCAATGGCTGTACATCATGATGCTGTAATAGCTTCTACGAAATTACAAAGGAGACAGACGTAGTTAAAGCACAAGGAACACTTTTTGCTGTCATCGTATATTATCAAATGTGTCCTGCAAAACATTAAAGCAGCAGCATGGCCCACGTGATACACATGACCAACTGCAAGACTGCTTGCCATCAGGCTGCTGCTCATGACTCAAAGGACCATGAATACATGTTGGCTTGCAATGCATCCCAGCGCACATTGCTGCTGTTAGCAAAATAGCAAGAAACAAGTTTTACCAATTCACTGCATGCTGCTCGTATCTTCAGCGTAGGATTCCAGAGGAAGCTGGCAATGGCCCTTGCCTCTGTGTACACAGGGCCAGAATGACCCTGATGCACATCATCCAACTATGGCTTGTTGCCTGTAACTCTACTTGTTGCACCAGCCTGGCGAGCGCAGTGCCTGGCTGTCATTCTCCTGACAGTATCGCAAGCGCATTGCCCGGCTGTCATGACGGATGACCATCCTCCATGAGAAGAGCCTGTCATGCTTCTGCAGGAATCTCTGGTGCTGACACCTCCACGTCGCTGTCAGGACTGGGCTCTGGCTCCAAGATTGGCTCGTCCAGCACCCTCAGGCAGTCATCAATCTGGTCTGGGGTCAGGAGGCCATATTCATACAGGTTGACCAGGTGCAGGACAAAGACACGCCGGATCGCAGGATTCGTGCTGAGGACTGCATGGTTGATCCTGGAGAAGCTCATGCAGCACTCTGGCACCTGCGGCCAGCACATGCATGCTAAACACCTCTGCCCTCATCTGCTGGTAGTAACTTCGGGCGTGCACCAGGTTTGTGCTCTTTTCTGCCGATTGAAGTGACCCCCCTATATGCGCAGACATGTATGCATGTCACGCTGTAGGCACTGCATTGAGCCAGAGATTACTAGGCAGATAGCAAGATGGCAGATGTTGTGGTGGGAGCACATAAGGACTTGCCTGGGCATCGGCATGCACTGGGTGGTTGCGCATGTGCACATTCCAGTTGAACATGAACACTTTCTCCATCTGGCAGAGATCACTCTTGGGCGCCAGCTTCCTCCGGCACCGACCCTGCAGCCCAAACATGTGGTCATACGTTTCGTTTTCCAGCAGCCAGAACAATGCATGCCAATCCTCAGCGGTTTCCTCCCTCTCGCAAATGGCTCAGATAGGGCTGCGGCCACCACATGCGGTCATTTCTGAGCCCTTTCAGAAGCCAGGACACTGCATGTCAGCCCTTGCTCCCCTCTTAGCTGTCACTGTGATGAGAAGCAGAATCGTTCATGATGGGAATTCTAGCCAGGAACAAAGCGCGACAGTGTTCCTGAGGCTGAGGACCGTCTTCCAGGCCTTGAAGGCCCTCTTTGCTGTGAAGTACTTAACCAGGGACGATCCATGATGCACGCCAGAGGGGATTGCAGCCAGGATCAAAGTGCGAAAATGGTCCTCAGGCGGATCTCACACCTTCCAGGCCTCCAGGTCCTCTTCATCATCGCTGTCAGGGGCTGCCTTGGGGTTGGCCATGATGGCAATCATCTCCTCCTGAGTCATCTGCACGGCCATGCGCGCATGATAGAAGCGGTGGTAGTTCTCGATGGGATCCAAGACCACCGGTGCCGCAGCCGCGCGCCTCCTCCGCCGCACAACTGGCACACCCTCGCCATTCAGATCCTGCGCATGCACATTGGTTGGGGTGTATTGCAGTCTGTACTGAACTGAAACCAGCATCATGCTTCAGTATCAAAACTTCCATTGGGTAGTGTCGCAAGGGGAAAGACCAACTCGATGATTTCAGCGGGCCCTCTGGTGTTCCCTTGATACAGCTGCAATCTGACAAGTTGACATAACATGCAGCCATATTTAGCCCCTTACCTCGATGCACAGCTAATTTAAGAAAGGAGTATTTTCTGCGGGTGAGATATTTGGGGCAGAGCAGCATTGAACCACATGACAGCCTGATTGCAATATTCAGCAAAATGCACTAGCCTGCAACATGCGCCAGGTACAATAATTGAGACAATGGCAATCTGCCATGTGTCACCTGCAGGTCAGCAGCTCCGTCAGGGCTCCTGGCAGAGGCCAGCAATGTCAGGCGTGCCCTCTTTACGGCCGGCGCTGTGGAGAACGGCACAGGGAATGGCGGCCTCTTGCGGCCATCACTGCGGTATTGCTGCACCCTGAGCTTGCGCTGGGAGGGCGGGCAGAAGAAGGAGAACTCCTGCATCACATTTAATCATTTCAGAATATGCAGAGCTGACATCTGTCATTATGGTGGTCTGGAATCTTCACCTGCTCCATAGCAATTTACAGTTGCAGGATGAGAAGATACCTTGCCGCTATGGTTGCAAGCACAAGCTCTGAGCTCACAAAGCTCAGATCTGAGATCCTGCCGACATGCGTGGGAATGTCAGGGCTGCTCATGTGCAGTATGAGTACCTTGTTCACAGGATCCCTCATGTTCTTGGCCTCAGGGTCCTGGAAAGCGCTGCTTGCGTTGTATATGTCCTCCCTTGGCTCCAGGGACACGACTGGTAGCGCATTGCTGTCTTTGGGGTAACCATAGACGAACAGATCATGGCTGGCCTCCAAATGTTGCGTCAGTCCCTGTTGCACATTCACCATATTCCGTCAACAGCCATCAACAGCGCGACTTGAAACAAACCAGCAGTGAGGCTGTGCTGCTCTTCAAAACATGACATTATTTGCACGGGAGTATATTCATTGTGAACATCAGTGTCTTGGGCGTCACGTCATGCACTTCTAAGCATGCTTAACTCACCAGAAAGCTGCGGGTTTGAAGCCGGCAAAAGGGGCAAGAGAAGTTGGTCACAATCTCGACCACGTAGTGCTTAGTCACAGGACTGAGAAACCTCAGGTACACTGTTCCGCATGAAGCCGGCCCCCTCCGTCCCTCAACACCCCGGATTCTTCCCTGCAAATTTGCAAGAGCACATGTCACGCTGTCATCAATGCCCCTACAGGCTTCCCAACACTCAGGCTGGTACCAGAGCTTGTCAAAGATTGCTTGCAGAAAGACTTACCGCAGGTCCTTCCAGCTTGCCAGGCTCTCTGGGTGCCCGCAGGTGGGGTGGCAGGGGCATGTCAGCATCAATCATGCCCAGGCCCACTTGCACTGTCATGGAAGGCTGTCCACCGCGTGTGTGTGTCCTAAATCTGATGGACGATTTCTCCCGAGGAGGATGGCCATTCACAGCAGTCCCCGCACAGTGCACCCTGAGAGTCGCTGGCTGCAATGCCACCTGCAGCATGCATGCTCCCACAATTGCGTTCTGCTTCACGCAGACATTGGCAAAGACACGGAAGAAACACCAGGGCGCTGTCAATAGTGCTATACCTTGTTGCTAGCTGGCTTCACCAGTGAGGAAACCCCCCACAACACCCTTTCCCCAGCCTTCAGCAGTGAGAAGACGCTCTTCTCAGTCAATCTGGGCACTAGCTGAGTGCCATGTAGAATTCCAATCCCCGTTTTGTCCATGCAGTCTCCTGCAGCATATGACATGTGGAGACTGCTCACATGATGCCATTGACGTATCTTTCTTGCACTTGGAATCTAGATCACAACAGGGATGGGCATTCGCATGAGACAAGTCTTGCATCTTTTAAGGCAGTATTGGAAGGAGGGCAATGTCCACTCACGGGCAACAATGAGGATGACACAGAAGTCTGATGCGAGCGATTGCTCGGTTGGCAGCCTCAGTGGAACAGAAACACCGTTCTCTTTCACTGGGACATGCATCAACGCAGCACTGCATGGCACGTATTCCTGCACACAGCAAACTCCTAAACACAAGACCATCAAGAATGTATCCGTGATCTCAGCATGCATGCACCTCACATTCCTGTATTAGATTACTGAAGCAATGTGGAATTCAGATGCATGCCAATGTCACAATTTTTCTATCAGTCATGGCAGTTCTGCACGTCTTGCATCCGTACCCGGCTTCCGTCTACAGGCTGATGGGACAGCACAGCTATCACTGACACCCTCTCAACCGGCAGATTCCCAAAGGGTCCTCCAGTCTCATCCTCGTACACTGGTTCTGTAGGTAGGCTAATGGTGACCAGGACGGACCTGTGCCTGTCAACATGCAACACTGTTTTTGTCAGCCTCTTCCTGATGTTCAGAGAGTTCAGTGATGTTCAGCAGCCCTTACTGGTCCGGCATACAGTAGCAGGCCATTTTATTGGGAACATGTCATGGGGAACCGTGCATGCTAAGATATGCATGTGGATCCCATCGTTTGCTGTGGTTAAGTAGACTGTTACCTCTGGCTTTTGGACCGATTCTCTGCACCAGCTGAGGCCTGGGAGTAGCTGAAAGATCGCCTGAGGATGTACGGCTGTACAGGACACAACACGTCGCATTACTTACTCGCACAGTAACCAGCACATGCGACAATGTAAGGTCAGACAAGCCGTCAGGCAAAGTGATGGACCAATTCTCATACCTTGGATCTAGCACGTTCAGCAAGTGCATTGTAGACATTGGTGGGAATGATATAATGCTTGAATGATTCTACTAAGTCCTTTTCCCCCTGGGTTTGTGGCCGGCTTGGTTCTCTGTCAATCTCCATGGCCTCAGCCCCATCAGGGGCCCCAGCGTCTGCAGGGCTCCGTGCCTGCTTCAGACACTGCCGTATGTCACCCACACTGAGTACTGCAGCTGCTTGTGACTCAGTGAACCATGTAGCACGGTCTGTGAGTGTGGCCTCTGCCGGATATAGTGTGGCCAGTGGTCTACCTCACAACAAAACGCTATAAAAATCAAGAAGATGTGCAATTTTTACCAACCTACTGATGGGCGTTCCAGCGTGTGTGTAGGCAAATGCTCATCATTGCTTTCTGCGATTATGATCGGTGTGTCTAATGTCCTTTTAAACACAGCAGATTTATAGTGTGGCAATACACTCTTGTTTAAGTATTAAAAGTACTTAATGGATGCGGCACAAAATACTCTGATTGGGTGTGCACTGCGTTGGTGATCCCGCCAAGCACTGCTCCCATTCCACCTGAGCCTTAGTGGGTCGATGCACAGTTGCAGTACTGTCATGACAAAGGATCCCCTTTCTATTGATCTACCCTGCAGGTCTACAGCAAACACAGTGATGTCTCTCCTGCTGTAACTGAAGTTTGGCCTGCAGAACCCTGGATATCATCTCCCCTTCCACCCCAACCTAACCCAAGGGGTTGACGTAAATAGATGACGTACGAGTAAGCATCTTCTGTTGGATGTCTACTTCACATTGCACCACTTCGTTCGCCGCTTTTCAGGCTTGATTAAGGGGAGAATGTCAGCTGCTGTGTTCTACGACCACTTGTCGGTGGGCATAAGGCGTGACCAGGAAGTGGTTCACAAGGTACAAATGTGGTGGTGGCCCTCATAATTGTTCACTATTCCAGGGATTAATGTTCGTAAAACTCTCTCCGGTGCCGCATCTGTTTGTGGCTGGTCCGTTCCTCGGGCTTGGGTGAAGATTTGCTGAGGTTGACTACGGGTCCTGCTTTTGCAGCCTCGAAGCGGTGGAAGGATGCGCCGACTACTCCGGAAGTCTCTGTGGTCAAACTTCAGCATGACTCCACAGCATCTTTAGCCGCAGGCTCGGAGACAGAGAGCAAGCGTGTTGTCCTGCTTTGCGGCGATGAGGTGGACTACGAGGCTGCTGCATGCCAAGCAGGCGTACCATACATTGACATACAGGATCTCCGAAAAGGATATGCACAATGCCACCAGCTTGGTAAGGTTTTTCAATGCGTTGCTCTTTTGGAAACCCGGCCCATGCTTCCCCAAGCTCAGGGTGCAAAGTACTCTCGTACTTCTCGGGCTTGGCATTCTATTTATTCACGCCAAATATATTGCCTGATGTATTTTTGCTGGTTGTGCCCATCATTTGCCCAGGTACTTTTGCTCGCAACTGACCTTTTGCCGCTGATCGCTGACCTTCAGAAATTTCGTCAATGTCGGCTTATGTGCTGCAGGTTTCTCCCAGATGCACTTCTGGTGCAGCCTGAGGGCTTTGAAGTTCGTTCCATCATTCGTTGGCTTTGCTACCATTTGAAGAACAGGCCACTGAAGGAGGGTGTGACGTTGCTGAAGATCGACCAAAACTTGTCAGATCTGGTGAGCCTATGTGGGTCTTGAAATGAGCTATTGAACTTGTCTCCTTGCATAGATTGGAGGTACTGCATTATTGGCGCCACGTGTATGTAGCATCTCCACTGCTTGCATGTGAAGCTCTATCATGCTCTTGTGGGTGCAGCTGCCATCACTTTCACATGCTTATGTGCTTAGCCTTCTTTGTCCTGATACAGGTCAAAGCAGCAGGAAGGAATCAAAAGGAGGGAGTGTAGGCCTACATGTCAAAGCAGCAGGAAAAGTTTCAAAGGAGAGGGTGAAGGCCTACAAGGTGAGGAGTAATCCTGGCAGCTGTAAGATGTTCCACTTTATTTGATCTGTCCCAAAATCAAGCTTGAAGATAGTATGGTTAGGGTGCCTCACTAGCTCAAGGTCGAATGGTTATTGCATGTTGCTGTTCTGTTGCTGTTCCACTGTGCTCGTTATATGTTTAATTGCCCAGCCAGGCTGATTTGTGGGATACAACATTTGTTCCGATGCAACATCTGACAATCTGCTTGCTGCAGGTCTTCGTGTCAATCCGGAGATTGAGCCCATCCCAGAGGCGTGCACTCGCAAATCTACAAGAACAAGCAGCAGCGCATGCCGAAATTTCCTTGGGGATCATACAAAGACAGCTAGACCTGCTGGATCAGACTGGGGCGTGGCCGATGGATGGGCTGGGTCCACCACCTGTTCCCCGAGATTATGGTATGTCTGTAGGATACAAGAACTCCTGTGAACATCATCATGATGTCCTGCAGAAGTCAGAGGTTGTGAACCGTTAAGAATCCAGATTTATCAGATCATGGATTACTGGCATGCATGGGTGATTTTGTCAGACAGATGGGATGGTGAGGGCACTGCTGCTGAGTACAAAAACTGTTGGCAAGCACTAAGGTCAGGGACAGCCCCTAGATAAACGTGCACAGTGGGAAGCGCACAACCCTGGATATCATATCCCCTCCCATTCCACGTGTTACAGGGGAATGAATTAACATGTCCGAGTCACTGCCCACATCAGCTCGTCCTTTCCACGTTGACACCAGCGGTTTCCAAAATTGCGGACAGAAGTGCAGGCATAAGAGTGATTTGGGACCACAGAACAGTCTAAGGAAAGCGATGGACGAGGTGTCGCAAGCCACGGGGTGCCCCACGCTGTGCCTGACCGACCTGAGCGCCAAGCAGCTTCGATCTGCTGTTGTGCTCCTGCGCGCTGACTTCAACGTGCCGCTGGACGGTGAAGGACACATAACCGATGACACGCGTCTCAGAGAGTCGCTTCCGTCGATCTCCTTCCTGATCAAGCATGGCGCCAAGGTCCTGTTGGCCAGCCACCTCGTAAGTGGACCCCGTGCCTTGTCACCGTGCTCCAACACGCTCGTCGTTGCCTCCTTCCTACTTGCTGTTTCCAACCTCCTTTAAACAGTATTGACGTTATTGATGTCTGCAGGGTCGTCCCAAGGGGGTAGATGACAAGCTGCGACTGTCCCTAATCGCTCCAAGGCTTGCCGCGCTTCTGCACCAGCAGGTGGGCCTGCTCGATCCCTCGGAACTGCCCCTATTAGCAGAAATTTATTATTTCCTAGGATGCCACAGAAATGAACAATTTCTGGTATTCCCAGAGAAACGACTCAGGTTCCCTGCAGGAACACGCTTGCTGAGTTGGCATGGGCAGTTACATCACTGAAGTTCTAGTAGGAAGTCTGTACATGTTTGATAGAGTGCGTGAATAAAGTGCAGGTGCAGCTGGCTAACGACTGCATTGGCCCTGATGTTGCACAGAAGGTCGCTGCTCTGAAGGAAGGGGAGGTGGGTGGCATTCCTCTCCTTCACAGCAATTCATCAGAATGTCCTCTATTCTTGCGAATTGCATACCATTTTATATAGTGATTGAGATGTGAATATTGATCTGCTTCGCAGGTGCTGCTCCTTGAGAACACCCGCTTCCACAGTGGGGAATGCAAGAATGATCCCTCCTTTGCACAGCAGGTGAGATCACTTGTTCATGGTACATATGCATGTAGTACTATGGATATCTGGAATCACCATGAACAATGCGAGCGATTGTCATGCATGCAGAAAGGTGGCTTGGATGCAGCATGCTTGCCATTCTGTTGCTGATTGTGTTCTATGTCCATCGGTGCAGCTGGCTGCGCCCGCTGACATCTATGTCAATGATGCCTTTGGTTGCGCGCATCGTGCCCATGCATCCACGGCAGGCGTCGCGAATTTTCTGAAGCCTGCAGTGGCTGGAATTCTCATGAAGAAGGTCCGAACAGCATGCTTCAAACGGTCTGCATGCAGTCATATGTGTCCCGAGTGCGAGGCGCTGGGTATTTAACCATGAAAGGAAGCAAGGTTTTTACTTGGTTTTGCCTCACATGCGCAGGAGCTTGACTTCCTGTGCAAGGCAATCAGCGCACCCACCCGCCCGTTTGCAGCCATTGTGGGAGGCTCCAAGGTGTCAAGCAAGATCAGCGTGCTGGAGTCCCTCATGACCAAATGCGACAGGCTCCTGATCGGGTATGCGCTCATTTCTGTATAGGACGCCTTTCCAAGCCATCAACATGCCAGTGCAATACAGCCTGATGCATGCCTGCATGCAAGCGGTCACCATACAAGTGATGCAGCAAGACCTGTGAATGCTGAAGTGCATGACCCAAATATTTGGGCACTAAAATGGATATATGGGGTCCAATGCCTCCTAAGAATTGCATGTCTGGGGCCTGGAAACTCATGCATGCATGTCCCATTTGCTCAGGGGAGGCATGGTGTTCACATTCCTGGCGGCGCGGGGCCTGTCTGTGGGGGCATCCCTGGTGGAGACCGACAAGTTGGAAGTCGCTCGGCAGCTGGAGGAGCACGCGCGCGCGCATGGCGTGCAGCTGCTGCTGCCGACTGACGTCATTGTCGCTGACAGCTTCTCTCCTGACGCGGCCGCGCGCGTCGTGTCCGTTGACGCCATCCCCGACCGCTGGATGGTGCGCTTGTGTCCTGTCCGTTGGAGATCATGTAGACAGTCAGACAATCTAGTTTACATCTTTGATGCATGCATGTCCTGCTCACTGTTTACTGCATGCCTCTCTGTTGCTGCTGCTGCCTTCCATGAAGCAGGAGCCTCATCTCCTCTTATGGGGAAAAGTTGGAATCCAAAGTTCATCCGTTTGCATGCATGTGATCTGCATGTAATGATGACACACATCCAAAGACCGCAACAGCATCCTTTGGCACGGCTGTGCGCTCAACAAATCGAGCTGAAAACAAAGGGACAAGAGAAATTTTCTTGTGCAGGGTCTGGACATTGGCCCGGCCAGCGTGGAGGCGTTCAAGGGTGCGCTGGAGGGCTGCAAGACGGTGCTGTGGAACGGGCCTATGGGTGTCTTCGAATTTGACAAGTTTGCCGCTGGCACGATGGCCATCGCCCACACCCTCGCCGATCTGACGCCCCGGGTGCGCAAAGTTCCCTTTCAATTGGCTTCTTGTGAAGCAGGACAACTACTGCATGTATGGGGTGTTCCATTGTGTCTGCCAAATTTTAGCAGGTGACAGCAAATTTGTCCCCTTCTGCTGCCAGCCTATCTGGGTAGCTATGAGCATGTCCCTGGGTGCCTAATTGCTTGAATTTGAGATTCACATGATGGCCCCCACATGTCAGACGTGCTGGTATTGCATGCAACAGGGCTGCACCACGATTATCGGAGGCGGTGATTCGGTGTGCGCTGTGGAGAAGGCCGGCGCCGCGCACCGCATGTCCCACATCTCCACCGGCGGCGGCGCCTCCCTGGAGCTTATCGAGGGCCGCACCCTGCCGGGCGTCGCCGCGCTCACCCCCTGCCCCGATGTGCCGGTGCGCCACCACATAATATGCCCACGCCCTTCTTCCTGTCACATGGCCTTAGTCTGTTCGAACTGTCCTTTGGCTTGGAGGTCCAGAAGCTTGCGCAATAATGGCGAATCAATCTGTGCGCTTAAAGACCTGATGCAACAACGGGAAAGTGCATGGCAGCAGCTGTGTGGACGTGCATCCGGTCCTGCAATCCTGTGACATCCCCTTCTTACCCTGGCGCTTGCACTGAATTGCCTGAGTGCATTCTCGCTTTTTTTGGAAGGGGCTGGTTTGTCATGTTTGCATTCTCACCTGTTCTAATTGAGAGGAGCTCGTCTTTTGTGAGGACGTTGTCATCTGCTATCATTGCAAGGAAGCTGGCATTGAAGCTATGACGCGTGCATGCAGGCGGCACTCCTGGTGGGCCAGTACATGTACCACGTGTCCTGCAACGCCATGTACAGCTTCTTGGGAGCGCTCCTGCACCGCGACACTTCTGGCAATTCCCTGGAGGCCGCTCTCGCGAACGAGGGCTCCGTCAAGGGGTCCCGTCTGCCGCGTACCTCTTCTCGCCCCCAGCTGGCCGGATTGTAGATCCAGATGGCTTTAGCAGCAGCCCTGTATGTAGATTCGCGGAGGCAGCAAGCACCACCACTTTCTTAGGTGGGCAAACCAATTTTGGATGTAGGCAGTACTGAGATATTACTGTGCCACTGGGTTTTGGAATTGCCCAGCACACTGCAGCATGGGCCAATGCTGATCTCTCCTCTACTGTTCAGTGAAAAAGATTCGGTCAGGTTTTGCAAATAGCATTAGGCTATATGGACAGGTGTTAAGATGTGTGATTTGTGTGTTCCGCGCTGTTTTGTACCTGGCAGCATTTCTTGCAGCCAGTCCATTTTGAACCTCACATGCTTGGCATTGATAGCGGGCACTCGCTCAAGCTTGCAGTGTCTGGCCTTCCTGAGAAAATAAGTATGTGCAATCCTTAGGTGTCGCTGCAATTAAGGGTGCAAGAGAGCAGCATTAATCAGACCAGGGTAGGACAAATTTGTGAGGAATGTAGGTGCAGCTGTATGCAGCAGAGGTTAGTCAGGCATTCATTGCCGAAGACAATTTTGAGGAACGTTCAGGTACCAGAAACCACTAGGGGAGTGGCTCAAGAAGAGTATAGCTATTATTTTGTTCCCAATTTTGGATGCGCTGACAATCGTGTCGCGTAGGAGGGAGCATATCCATATTTGAAGCAATTGTGCGCTGTGATAGAACAGTCCTTTTGCGATAGGTTCAGGTATTTGCTTGTGCTGCTGAGCGGGAATGCATGAAAGCTTCCTTCCCTGTGCAGAATCTGTGCCAGATAGACAGCCAGAGCGGAGCAAATGAGCACAGCGAGATTTCGACTCATTAGCTAAGAACTTCATGGTGATGAAAGGCATTCAAATAGGAAATGAAACAATGTGCCACATGGCATACCACGAGGGGATGTAAGAACCGTGAAAAAGTATTTGGATCTCTCGATATTGCACCTTCAGGGGGTGCCTGTGGTGACCTTTGGCATACTTGGTAATCATTGGTTCTCCTTGGATTACCCCACAACATTCTACAGCGCACGTGCTGAGGAGTCACGACTGTAATATGGAATAGTTGTGGACCCTTGTCGCCGCCATCAATGCTACGCAGGTACACACAATGCACGTGCATTGCAGAAACCGACATTGCCCTGACAACATCATTCTCAATGCTGTGAACCTCAGGATCCATCCTCTCATTGATCATGATTACCTTGAGCTCAACATAGATCCTCTCCTCACCTAGCTCAAGAAAGGCATCATGAATAGCTACTCTTATGAGTGTACCCAGATGTTTCACTAAGATCATTGAGGTGACACCAGGGGATGTTTATATTTTCAATACACTCCTGTTTACACAGCGAGGCACCCCTTCCTCTCTACGTTGGCGCTTGCACCAAATTTCATGCACGCATTCTCTCCTGGGTTATGTAGTGAAGTAACTGGTCCTCACTGAGAAGTCAGCTCGGCAAGTGACCTTGTCAAAGCATCTCCCCCTCACTCCCCCTTCTTGGTGGCTGCATCAACAGCTGTAAGCCGCTCCACCAGAGGAGGGTGGCTGTGGTGGTAAGCGCTGTAGAGGGGGTCCACATTCACAGCGCTGCGGTTCTTGGCATCCAGGATCTTCAGCGCCTGTTTGAGCTCCTCTGCTTTTCCGAGGGACACCGCGAACGCGTCCGCCTGGAACTCAAACCTCCGGCTGAGGATGTTGCTCAGCAGGCCCACCACCTGTGACAATAGCAGGTAGAACTGGCAAGTCACCAATGGTAACTGCTGCAGAGCACATTTTTGAATCCCTCCATATAATAACAGTAGGGACAGGGAGCATTCATGCACATTGAAATTTCAATGCATCTAAACGGCAGAAAAGGGAAAGAACAAAAAAAACCACGGTTGTTGGATCAGATATCAGACACGCCCCTTGTCAATGTTTACGGGGATTTAAGAAATGCCTGAGCACATTGACCCCACCCTGATCCGCTTCAACGAGCTAGAAATGGCAAAAGCTTCCACAGATTTGTAGCCTACCTCGTTGACGGGGGCAGAAATGATGCTGAAGAGGGTGTAAGCGATGAATGCAGGCTGCTGGTTGACAAAGCCAAAGGAGGTGAAGAGCCCTGTGGACTCCTTCACCAGGGAGAAGAGTGCAAATGTGCACAGCATCTGCATCTGGGTCAGGATCAGGTTCTTCAGCGTGTGGCCCAGCTTCCAGTGCCCTGCATGCATGCATCCAACAAACACACCATTACCCTCCGCCTTGGGCTGAACTGCAAGTACACCCTTCACTGGCAGGCACACTTTGTACAGCAGGCTTGCATCAAGTCTTGTCATCCATGTAATACCAGGCTTGATGCATGCCAGCCTCTGCACTCACACCTCCAGCCACCAGTCTGAAAAAGGTCGAAGAAGGCACCAATGGGCAGCAGATGTACCGAGTACTCAGATAAATCTGCATATTATGGGGACATACACTCATATGATGGACAAAGGGCCGCACCCAGTTCATGTGCGAGGACGGCCACGACTTGGTCCTCGCTGCACTGTTCGATGAGGGTGTCGTAGAGGACGATGCGCTTGTTCTTGAAGAAGCCGTACATGTAGGCGTTGCTGTGCGCGCTGCGCGTGGACCCGTCCACCACAAACAGCTTGGTGAGCGGGAATTGCAGTGACCCGGCCAGCTCCTCTATCGCCGTCCTGCAGTGAATATTATTACATGCAAATCAATAGGCAAATTCCAGAGGGGTGATCAAGGTCAAGCACAAGATGTGCAGGGTTTTACACAAGCATCGATAAAGCACAGGTCAGTGCAGGGGTCAGTGCACGATGTGCACATGTCCTGCACGGGTCTACACAAGCAACAATAAATTCAAATCTTACGCGGGCTAGAGCACAGCTTGCACATCACTAGAATACTGTATGTGGGCAACTGTGTATGTCCTCATTCTGCCATGCATCGCTGCCGTCTTGTTGCAATTTGAAATCAAGAGCCAAATATTGACGTGCACGGCCTTGACGGATGGATAAACTCAATGGATTTACTTGAATTGCAGCAGGTGTTTGGTGGCTTGCAGCAGCAGCAGCAGCAGCAGCGCACCTGAGGGTGCCCTTCTCAAGGGGAGAGAACTTGTTGAACAGGGGGGCGATGAAGACCGGGTAGATGGTCATGAAGAAGATCTGGAGGCCGAAGAAGAAGGCCCACAGGTACAGCGGCATGTAGGCGCTCGTGCGCTGCAGGATCCATGTGAAGCCGGCAACAACCGGGGGCCCGAGCACCGAACCCAGCAGGATCTGCGGATGTTGCACATGCGCCATTTCAGTCCAGCGTCTATTTTCAATCATTGACAAGACACCTCAGCGCAGATTAGCATGCTGTGATGTCATGCATGCAAGTGGCGTGTAATCATGCCACAACAGGGATGTTCAGACACTTGCAGAGGTTGCAGGCAGGCCAGACTGTCCTTTTACAATGTCAAGAAGCATGTATCATCAGCAAAGCATTCGAGCAAGGGGCCGAGCAATCAGGTGTGGGCGCACCGATTTGATAAAGTCCAACACAAACAGCCTGAGGGTCTGCTTGTTGAAGCCATGGTGCTGCTCCAGGACAAAGGTGTGGTACAGGCTGAAGGGCAGGCTAATGAGGGTGTCCTTTGCGCTGTCCAGCAGGAAGAACATGATGGTGATGGGGATCTCGCTGCTGCTGAACCAGCCAGTCCGTTTTGCCAAGTGCTGGGTCACAGTCTCCGACTTGCCCCATAGCCACGGCAGGTAGTAGGTGCAGAGCAGGGTCAGCTCAAGCACATGATTGAAAATGCCGCTGAAGAAGCCAAAGTACCTGGCACACGGCAAATGAGTTAGCAAGATAAATAGTGAGGATCGGCACACGATAGTGCATGGCAATCCACAGGCTTCAGAGACTTGGTGGATGTACAGTGGGAGCGCACCACTTGTCTAGTTGATACTCCTGTGTCTTCCTGTACTCAGCTGGCGGGTAGGATTCTCTCAAAGGCGCTGGAGGAGCTGGCTTTGAGATCGCCCCAAACTGCAGGAGCAAAGTCAGATGGTGACTGATTGTGGAGGCCATAAAGAGAAAGTCTCAAAGAAGCAGAGAAAGCAGCAGTTTCATGAGTTACCTGTCTGAAGTCCAGGTAAGTATTAAGGACGTAGACAAAAACGCTAAATATAATCACGACGTCCAAATACGAAATGCCGGACGCCAGAATAGTCCCAGCATCAGTCATGAGCTTTGAGAAGCTGCACCGCTAGGCCGAAAATTCTGGTGTTGAAGATCCTGCGATGATGATAGATCAAATATTTCCTGTTGGATTAGCTAGTACTTTCCGCCGCAATATCTCAATGCGCAATGGCAGGCTTTAGGATGATGGCAATAAGACAAGGCCTGCTTAGCCAAGTTTGAACTGTTTGCTTAGAAAACAACGACAATGCACGTCTCCAAGGAAAAGCAGTTCTCCTAGAAACTTCATTCTAATTGAGGACAACACAAAGCAAGTGATTGTGCCTTGTCATGCTCCAGCGTGGGGTCCACGTGAGCAGATTCCTTGGAAATGTGGACTTTGCCTTTGAAACAGAGCACCAACGACATCTAGGTGCATCTAGGGCGAACAGTTGTCTCAGTGTTGATTTAAATAGGCTTGTAGAACCAGGTTGCCAATGCTTCATCACCGTAAGACCACCAGATCACCAGATCACCGCAGCTAGGAAGTCGGAAGCACCTCAGCGTTCCGGTCATTCGGTCTCTCAGAAGTGTTATCTTTTCTCTTTATTACGATGCGATCACGAATGTCAGGATGAAGATTTCTTTCTTGTTTTTTGCTAGAAGTCGTGAGCTAGCAGGCACAGATACATATGATGTTGAATTGGCAGACGGTACGGGAAAGCTTCCCATATATCTGTTCATTATTTTGCAGAGCATCTCTGAGTGGCTCCACACAAATAGAAGGGTGCTCAGGCGAGAATGTGTTGCATGTGTGAACTTTCAAGATTGTCCTGTGTTAAACCAGGTGCTTCCACCCAAGATGCCCTGCAAGCGGTACTGAAGAAGTTTCCAGGCCTCAGTGAGATAGAAGGTGCGAGCCCAATCACTTGTCATGCCAAGCATCCCTCGCGGCAGTCAGACTTGTATCATTCAGATGTTATCTGGAAGGATGGCTGTCGCTTCATGTAATGCCTCTTGCCTCTCCTGCAGGGAGGTGTGTCCTGGCCCTCAACCAGGAGTATGTAGACAGCGACAGTGTCAAGCCCCTGAAGGACGGAGATGAGGTCGCCCTCATCCCACCAATCAGTGGAGGCTGACTCCCTTCGGGCATCCAGCAGGAGGGCGTATCTGTTGAGGAATCATGTGAGCACCATCCAGTCCCATGATCTCGACGAGCAAGTCCTTCCAAGAAGCGAGCTCTGACATTGGTCAGCAATCCCTTCATTCACTACGGGGCACTGGGCAGGTGGTGCAGACATCAGAGAAGGTGGCAAGTGCAGAAGATCATGTGCAGGTAGCTGGCTTTGAGTTGAGGACGGCATTGGTGCTACACAAGAAGCCTGCATTGCCCAGTACTAAGGCATTGTAACGCTGCACTGGATCGTTGTGGGGAGACCTGGCGGGGCGCGCATGCCGCATGACTGCGGCGGCAATATCATGACAGACCTCAGACTGTGGCAATGGGGAGTATGCAACTGCCTTGTACTGGCGTTATCTAGCCTCTTGGTTGGGCCTTGCTTGGATCTGGCGAGTCCAACAAGGGGTGAATCTTGACAGCCTTTGACTGCAGCTTGTCTACAGGACGTACTTTACATTCTAGCGGATAAAGCATGTGAAAAGATGATTAACAAGTAAGTATTTGTTGGGCAGCCAGACAGTATCATCATCAAGGACCCAATGTTGTCCCAGGGCCATCTAGTCAGCCTGTATCTGACACGGCCAAAGTGGCGCATTGCCACGGCGGTGGCCGCCACTGCCGTGCGGCACCGCCACCGGTACCGAGAATTGGCTCTTGGTACAAATTAATATCTGTGTGCAGCGCTGACAGTGGCGCGGCATGGTGGCGCCATCTGCTCTCATCCCAGCTGTGAGCAGCCTTCACAGCTCGAAAGAATTGACGCATGCCTCCTCGTTCTCTGGTCTCTCACCCAGTGCAATGGAGACATTCTGCATGAAATTCTCTCCAAAGCGTCAATTCCCCTCCGACATGGGGTCGATATAGCGGAAAACGCAGACGGCTTTCAATTGTGCTGCATTCGTGGAGCAGATTTGTAAGCTACTAAATCGAGGTCATTCAATTTGAAATTGTCTGAAATAGCACGATCGTCCGTTGGCCTGACGCTGAGGGTCAGAGTGTGCAGCTGCACAGTTGATCTATTGTGTTGCACAGACATTCTCGCACATCTGACCATTGCAGCGATATAAAAAGGGATACATCTAATTTTTGGCATGATCAGACGAAATGCACGTCTGCGCCGCGAGTATCTCTACAGGAAGAGTCTAGAGGGAAAGGAGAGAGACGAGTACGAAAGAAAGCGGAAGATCAGAACAGCCCTTGAAGGTTTGTCTGTATAAATTGAATCCATTAGACATTCTTTGGGCATCGATTTTATGACAGTGTTGACACATCTTCATCCTGTTCTATTATAACTACAAGACATGGGGCGTGCTCCAGCCTAGCTGATACAAGTTCAAGTTTTGCCTGACGAACTTTCTGTGTACAAAACTCTAATGCCAAAGCTTTTGCCTTCACAGAGGGCAAGCCCATCCCCAACGAGCTGAGGAAAGAGGAGCAGACCCTCAGGCGGCAAGTGGAGCTTGAGGATGACAACACAGCAGTGCCGCGCACTCACATCGACGATGAGTATGCACATGCCGGGGAGCGTGACCCCAAGATCCTCATCACCACCTCCAGAGATCCCAGCAGCCGCCTCACCCAGTTTGCTAAGGAGCTCAAACTGGTCTTCCCCAATGCCCAGCGCATCAATCGTGGAGGCCAGGTAAATCTGCTCCGACCTGGGATTGATCAAGTCTAATCACCAAGTCCTCTTAATTTTGCTAGACTATCTTCAGGCCCAGAGCCTCTTGGCAGAAGGTGGAAGGAATCGCGACCACCGCTGTCTTCCTGGAAGCTCTCTCGGGGGGAAGTTCTTTAAGCCATTGCCTGACTACGATGCACTGCGCCTGCACAGATCATCAGCGAGTTAGTGGAGACCTGCAGGAGCCATGACTTCACAGACATTGTGGTGGTCCATGAGCATCGAGGAGAGCCCAATGGCATGGTTGTGTGCCATCTGCCCTACGGGCCTACAGCTTTCTTCGGCGTGTACAATACAGTAAGTACAATGCCCCATGCAGTGTATTTTCTCAGCAAGTGCACTGTTCGAAATGCTCTCTTCACGTGAGGTCATGTCGCATGCATAAGTGGTCACGGATTTGAGAAAGAATCTATGCATGGATGTCCAGCGGAGGCAGTACAAGTTTCTCTGAAGACTTCATTGCGTGTCAGGCTTAATCGTTTCAGGCACAGTGTGTCAGGAATACTAAGCAGATCACCTCATTGGTGCGCAGGTTTTGCGGCATGACATTGGTGAGAAGAAGAAGGTGGGGACCATCTCAGAGGCCTGCCCGCACCTCATCATCAACAATTTCTCCTCGCGCCTGGGGGAGCGAGTGGGCAACATTCTCAAATACCTCTTCCCCTGCCCGAAGGTGCACCCTGCCCCTTGCTTTTGCTTGCATGCCTTGACGCTATTCCCAACAATGCCGGCACCGCCTCAGTGCTGCAGAGCTGCTCTAGCTGCTTGACCGCCTGTGCTGTTGCTAAGGCTGTCATGCAGTGGAAGCATGCAGAAGAGACTGATCACTGTGCCAGCAGATTTATTCGATTCTGTACTAATGCAGCATGCTCTGGAGCGTAGCTGTGCCGCTCACAAGGATTCACGCTGTGCATGATGACAGCAAGAGGCTGATCACGGTGCCGGCAGGATGAAACGATGATCTTTATGCTTCGTTGGGAGCTGTGAGGCTGACAGGGTTGGCTTTGCGCAGGATGACAGCAAGAGGGTGATCAGCTTGGTGAACCAGGCAGACTACATCTCCTTCAGGCACCACACATACGAGATGCCGCGCGGCGCAAAGTCAGTGGTCCTCACAGAGTGCGGGCCGAGGTTTGAGCTGAAGATATACCAGATCCGGCTGGGTACACTGGACCAGCAGCATGCAGAGAACGAGTGGGTGCTGCGCGCATACACACGCAGCGCCAAAAAGGCCAAGCTCGCAGAAGAGCCAGAGGAGGAGTGACGATGGTTTACATTGGGTTCCTGCATGTTGTGGTAGACCGTGATATATCTGCCGCTGACAATGCTGACCTGAGCATTGAAATTGTAGCTTTCAAGGATCAGATTTTAAGATCCAGTTTGCACCTGCCGGCCCATGGTCTCCAGTGTCGCATTTTCGTCCAGTCTGCCCAGTGGCATTTGTGCCTCAATTCATACATGTGTCGCATGCATGCAGAAGTGCCCCTGACATCTGTCGGGTGACGAGCAATTATACGTATACAAACTGAGATTTCTTGGCATTCCCAATGAACTGCGGCACAGCCGACCCTAGCCACGCCCAGTGCAGCCATTTCACAAGTAGTATAGTAATCACGCCCACCCTCCAAGTACAGCAGGGTGTCACACGTGTACACAGATTCTATGTCACAGAACGGTTCTAAAGACCGATCGCCGGTCGCGGCGCGGCGTCTTCACTGAATAAATACACAGCTGCTGTAAGGGGCAAATGCTCCCTATTTGCACTTCACTTGGATTTTGGCCACCTTCACTGCTCTTGTCTCAGAGGCCTGCACATTCCACTCCACACGAAATCTCCATCATGCATAAATCCTGGGAATTGATGACTAATGACTAACCGATTGAGTGTGGAGATCTCCACACGGCTGTTTCCTTCGGTATTCTCGTATCGATAGAAGCCATGTCTAAGTAATAATTACTTTTAATTTCATCCACACTTGGAAGGTTTATTTCCCTGCTTTGTTTGCGAAAGGTCAAAACTGCCTGCGTTAAGGTTTTAAGCTGCGCAACTTGAGCTATTTGTTGTCCTTCCACCGGTGATACAGCAAAGATTGCACAGATTCTTTCGTTTGCTGCATGCCTGTTGATGAGGTGACATTCCTGCGCTTGGTGCGGGAGGCCACTCACGATGATCTACAAGAAAGGGCGAAGTTGCTTGCCGTCCTTAACCAAGACACTGCGTGGTTAAGCTTGGAGGAGCATGAATTTGTGCCTGTGTTACGGCAAATCCAGCAGGATCTTGAACAAGGCAAGACCAATCTCGCTATCTGAATTGTATTTGTTCCGCCACAAGACTTTTCCTTCAAGGTGCTCGTGTGATCTGCTTGCTTTGCATGCTCCTCTCGTCCTCAATATTCCATGAAAGTTGGAAGGGGACTTGAAGTTAAAGTTTGCATCCCTCCAGAACTCTCCAGCACCGAAATTGCCTTTGAGGGTAAGGACCGACACGGTGCTGCAGGTGAAGTTGAGAGTGGGACAGGAGAAGCTGAGATACGAGATGCTTCCACAATAAGTACCAGGGCATTAGACCTCTTGATTCAAGCTGCAAAGGTCATTGTCCAGTATAATGTTGAGGATCCATCGCCTGAGCAACTGTTCATGGTTTCTGAGCACACAAGGGAGACACCCACTGGGTGGTAAGGTCACTTCTTTTGCCATAAGTGAGCATGCACCAGGTTTTTGCAGTCTGCAACTCAAGAAGGAGATGAGCCCCTCCAATCAATGCAGATGAGCCCCATCAATCAATGCTAATGGGCAGGGACCGTCCTCGCATAGATCTTGAGAGGAGGAAGTATGTTGATGTCCTTCAACGGCGGATACCTGCGGCCTGCAGCAGATTTAAACTGCATGCTCTTGACGCAAGGAACAGGGTAAGTCTTAAAAAGCCAACTTAAGCTAACTTAAAAATACACCAGCTGCATTTAAACTGCAGCTGGTGTCAAGCATGAGGTTCATTACCGATGTTACTACTTGGCCTTGCAGGTGACACAGAATGCCTTTGACGGCATGGACTTTGCTGTGTGTGCCAGCAATGATGTTCTCATTGTCCCGCGGCGATTCTACAATTCGCCGGAAAACGGCGCTTTGGCAGGCCTTCTTGTGAAGGAGCAGCTGAGTTGGCAGGAAGTTCGACAGGCTCAAGCACAGTGGTTGTTATTTGCGAACAATGCCTGCTTCCCTTTCTGTCAGGTAAAAGCCTATCAGCGGGAGATTTCCTCGCATCACTTACATCTTGTTGTTACATTCCTGCCAACAGGTCACGATTTGACGTTGTCATTATGTTCGCTTTGTTCTGTGCAGTTCGCGACTGATTTCAGGAGCGGCGGCATAGCCTGTTACTGCTCAGCAAAGCAGTCCAGCTGTGACGTTATGACCTGCAGGTGTGTGCATGGTGTGAAGGTGTTGCTGAGCATTGTAACCTTGCACAGGCCTGACGCTTTTCCTGCCTTGATGCACCCTGAAAATGACACCCTGACAGGACTGCATGGTGACAGGGTTATCAAGGGCATGGATAGCTTCTGGAAGTTCTACACAACTATGCTGGAGAGCCTACCTTCCCTCTTGGCTGATGATGAGGTTGCTACAGCGGCTGAGCTGGAGCAGCCCAAGCGATACAGATTCAAGTGGGAGGACGGAGGCAGCCGCTCTGAGTTTCTGCGCCAGCTAGTTGCTTATTATAACAATTGGGATGATGTTGCAAACATGAGTGATCTGCAAAATTTTGATGAGTTAGCTGGGTCGGCTGGGCATGCCTGAGCATGGCTGCAGTTTATCCCAGCGATGGAACGATTCGTGTGAAGCGTGTTAATTTCAGCTGCTTACAACATGCGGCAACTTAGCAGTTGCAGTGTGCAAATGACCAGGATTGCGAGCATCATGATTTACATACACGTCTGGGGCTTGTTAGGATCTGAAATCCGCGCATTTTGGCATCCTTCTAATCCTTCCGTATGATGCATGTATCATGTGGTCTGTGGCATGGTCTGCTTTATCATATGATACCTGCAAATTATTCGTCAATATCAACTTCCAGAAATCTTCATTAAAGTACTGAAGAAGCTGCTCAACCAGAGAGGCTAAAAATTCTTGTCATGGTTGCCACCTTTGAAGCCTTCATGTGGAAGGCGCAAAATCCTTCTGCCATTAGCTAGGCGCATACACCCAAACGCCCCCATGGCATCTTCCACCATCCCAGTGCAGCCCAGTCAATCCTGAGAACACCGCATGCGTGGCTCTCTGCAGCTGCAATGGGCCGCAAAGACATCCGGCAACAAGCCTGGAAGAGATCAGTGTATGCATGCAAAGCCAATGTGTTTCTGAACATCTACAGCCTTTCATTCACATCTGCCAATGAAAGATTCTAATTCCCAATACCCTCCCTGCTCCCTGCAAATTTTACGGACTCACAAATCCGTAGTTCTCCAAACTTGATCTCCGTATACCTGGAGGCGCCTGCATGATTGTCATGACCGAGCGCACTGAGTCCATCCATTACAAAGCTGAGGTCCCAAGAACACTCGAGATGATCCAATTGTGACGAGCATATAGGTCTATAGTTTTGATTGGCAATCATCGAAGAAATTTGGAGCCGCTACACAGCGGCTGTCTGATCTCCCGAGGACGTTGAAAGGCAGGTGGCGATTAACTGATGTGCTTGGGGTTTTCATGCTGTTGCCATTTCCACAGTGGTATGTGAAATGGTTGGCTTCAGTTGTGCAGGATGCCTATCTCCAAAAGCAAAGCTGAGCAACTTATACGCTCAGCAACGGAGAACGACATCCAAGAGAGGACACGATTGCTTGCCGTATTAAATCAGCATCAAGGGAGTTTTTTTTGCCAAGAACTTGAACTCGTGGAGGTGCTGCGTAGCTTTCACACTTACCAAATCCTTACTGGTGGGCCTCGTTTTTTTGCTTCCTCAACACTGCTCATTGTGCAGTGATGATCGATGAGCGAGTGACAAAGCTTAATCGGCCCTATAAGATGATTTATAAGCAGGGCAGCTTCTGCCTGGTTTTGACGCCTGCCTGATCATGAGGACCTAAGTCCTTTCTGTCTGATGCAGCCCCAAAGGAGCAAGGCACAGTCTCCGGTGTGACACGCCACGCCTCCAACATCAATGTCTTTGACCTACAGCTCCTCAAGAAAGCCAGTAGAGTGATTCTGTTGTCAACGTCGTCTGATCCCACCATCGATGAACTCCTGAATAGGCCAGAACCGGCACCAGGCACACTTGATACTTGGTAAGTTTTGGGGTCATATTTTTGGGGGCAACCTCATGTCCCATGACCCTTTCTCTGTCCCATGACCTAGTCAGTTGTCTTCACAAAGTCTCAGTTGTGCTCTATGATTGCAGGGATATCAACCTGACTGAACCAGCGCAGCGTCCGATGTATTTTGAAGAAATCAAGAAGCACATCCCCCAAAAATGCGGGGATGCGCAATTGGAGTCACATGACGTAAAAGACAAGGCATGTCCATCGCAGTGCACTCTGACTATATAGCATATATGCTGCTTGAACAATCAACTTGGTGCCTTTTCCAATTTCCTGCTCTTGACAATGCAATATGTTGCCATCTTGGCACCATCAGTAGATGTGTTTGTGCTACAGATGGTCTCGCAGCAGTTTGCTGGGATGAAGTTTCGGGTCAGCGCTAAAAATGACGAGATGATTGCCCCGCGTTTGTACCATAACACCCCTTTGTTGGGCGCTGTTGTGGGCGTGGAGCTCAAGAAGAGGCTGGGATGGCAGGGAATACGGCAGGGCGAGGCTGAGTGGCTTCTCTTCGCGCATGACATCCACTACCCGTTCTGCCAGGTACTGCAGGCCTTCCTAAATGTACCAACCAGATATCAAAGCTCATCATCTGTTTACAGCCTTGACATGCACGTCCTGGTGTGCAGTTCGTGACCGACCTGAATGTGGGTGGCGTGGCGTACTATTGCACGGGCAAGCAGGAGGGTACATATGTCCTGACGTGCAGGTAACTGCACTGTTGTCCATAGCCGACATCTCATGAGCTGATCAGCTAGATAGAACTTGCACAAGGATGTAGTCAGGAATTCCTGCTTGTTGGTTCATTGAGCAGATGTTGTCCTTGGGTTCATTGACTTCTGCAAAACAGGTCCCAATATTTCCACTAAAGGGGTATGACTGGCCACAGGGTACTCAAAGGGATGGATGCATTCTGGACATTTTTCACAAACCTCCTGACGGACCTCCCCGCTAATTTTGCGACAGAGCAGCTGCTGACTGCTGAAATGTTTGACAGCCCGAAGCGGATCCGATTTGTTGTGGAGTGAAAATTGATGCAACTGCATGCGCTGAGCAGCATGTGGGTGCTTGTCTTACGCAAGGACATGGCAATTATCATAACAATGTCAACAGTGTGCGTGCCAGATTGTTCCATTGAGAAAGCTTGTTGACTGGAGAAGTCTGAAATGAGCCTAAGTGAAGCCCTTGCATGTGTCCTAAAATGTGGAAACAGTCTTTTGAAACATCATGTGTGCGTCCCACAGCAGATCGCATTTCATCAGCTGCACCTTTTCAAAAGGCACCTCATATATATATATATTTACATATCTTATATATATCTCTCATGTCAGTGCATCCTACGAAATGCACGTGAGGCCCAATTGATGCAAAAACAATCTCAGGCTTCCACAAATAGCGTGCCTTTCAAGCCACAATACATCAAGCAAAATCTACAGGCTTCCGTTTGTTGTTAAGTCACTGAGTGCTCATGGACTCAGAATGCCTTTCATCCACTCCTGCCAAATGTCAAGATGACCTAATGCCCTTCAGAAGGCATTGTGGGTAGGGGAGCATGGCTGGCTTGCGCCGGCCCCGCCGCTGCATTCTGCCAGCAAATGTAGCCGGCTGCCACCGCAGAACCCAAGCCTAGGAGCAGCAGCAGGGGTACGCTCCCCAAGCAGCCGTTGGGCCTCAGGTTGACAAGTGTCTGCAAGCACAGAAGATTACTCGATAGCTTCCCTTGCCTCCCCAGGCCGTGCTCATCATTTTCCCAACAATATTGCAAAGCTGACAAGGAGACACAAACATGCAGAGAGTCTCCACGCAATCTGGAACGTTGCTGAGAAGGGTAATCAGCTGGCTTACCAACAGGGCTGCGCCTAAATGGGCAATGGGCACAGCAGCCCAGCGTTCCCTCTTTCCCTCCCTCAGCCCATCAAAAGCTATCACCATTGAGAAGGTGTGCAAGAGGTTGAACGCCAAGGTTAACAGTGCGCCAGCCAGGAAGTACGACATCTGTGGGCACTCATCCAGGTAGAACGTCCCCTTCCCCAGGAATAGTGGTAGCCAACTGTGCAGAACAGCACATTTCCCTGTATCAGCCTCAATGAATTGTTGTTGAAGCTTGCATTCAATGATCAAGCTGTACCCATTGCATTCATGTGCGGGATGAGGGACCTGTGTGCATCAAGCGTGTCCTTGTACCAGTATAACTTATACAAGGTGACCAAGCACAGTGACAAGATGGCTCTGCAGGGCAGCATGCCAGAGGCAAGACCTGTAGTAGAAGAACAGGGAGTGTGTGGCGCCGTGAGCCCATCCCTGAGCCAACGCCAGCAGCTGCTCATCCTCCCTTGTGATCCTCCCTGCCCCCTCCATCTTCTCAGCCACTTGGCCAAGTGCCACCACCAGCTTCCTGCACATATCAGGAGACCAACCTTGATAATGATAAACTCTTTTCATGTGTTCTTGTCAAGCATGCATTAAGGCTGAGTGAACTCGGATGAATGCCGTTGGGTTGCATCTTTCCTCACGGTGACAATAATGACGTGTCAGTGGGGGAAACAGGTTTCCGCATGATGCGCGCATGTGAGGTGCAGGGAAAGGCCTGGCGGTCCCACCTGTGCAGCTGCCAGCAGCCGAGCCTCATGGCCTCCTGGACAGCCACACCAACCAGCAGTGCAGCTGCCAGCGCCCCAGTGTGGTTTTCCAAGGGCACAAATCCTGCAACACCAAATCTGCTCTGAGCGACCAGCGAAAACCGTTTTGCAAGTCAAACATGGTGCACAGCAATTAGGATTAAGCTTGCAGATGATTACAATGCCGTCAGTTGTGTGAACAAGGGAAAGGACCAACCTCGGAAGAGCATTGATGTGAGAAGAAGCCCCACCAGCCATCCAAATGCGCTACGAGAAAGTTTTCAGAAGGTCATCACAATAGCTAGGGCATTAACGACTTCTGCTGTTGGCAGCCAGGAACAAACAAACGAGGGAGTCCCTACCAGGCCAGAATGAGAAGCACCAGGAAAGCCTTGCGCCTCAGAAAAGTCCAGAAGATGGCAAGGCCTGGGCCGCCAGCTATTAGGGCGCAGCCCAGAAACCCAGCGAAACCCATGCCGGAAAGCTGAACTCTTTTCAGGTCCTCAGTCAGCAGAGCTACATCGTCTCGGGTTGGGACCTTGCTTGTGTGAGAGACAGGCACGAAAATACACAGCCCAATGTGCCGCTTATGATACTTTATTGCCGATCTATGATTTCTAGGAACAGCTGCTTCCGTGTCAGAGTGAACACTTGATCTCCAGACTGTTGAGAGACAGAGACCACAAGATCCTTCTGATGCTGATCTCAAATGAAGCAGAACAAATACGATATATGATAGCGAGTGAAATAAGCATTAACAGGTACTTCAGTCTCCCCAATACTACACTAACGCTTGATCAGCTATGTGGCAGATTGGAACTAATTTTTTGCAGAACTTCGAAGTCGAGATGACCCTGATGATTTCCTTCCATCTGCTAATATTAATTGCGATTTATGTATTTTTGGACAGAATGTCTGCGCAGAGAAAGACGTTGGATCTGCCAACATGCAATGACTCAGCTCACCTCACTTTTCCAAGGCTGCTATTTTTAGCTGGTGCTGTTCGGGCTTCGGCACGGCGAGCCCGAGGATTTCCATCCAATAAGTTCATTCATACGGGGTATTAAGTGATTCCTTTTATTCCCAAGGATCATGCCACCATCTCGAGCTTACGATGCGCTGTACGGTGAGACTTGGCTTTCCGGTCCAGCCGGACAGAAAATGAAAGCATTAACATCTTAAGTCACATATTGACGGTTCTATCTTCAAATTTTACAATTTCAAAATGTACATAGTCAGTGCCCTTGGGATGAGGACGCTATGCAGGGTGTCACTGATAGTTGGTGTGTTGTCCAGACCCCCTCTACATGGCTTCAGATCGCAGAGATAAACAAATCTCCACCGCAGTTGGCAACTCAAGGACGTATGAACGGTTGCCTCGATTCTCCAATTTCTTCTCAGAGCTGCCAAATCATCCGAGCCACTCGCTCAGGTGCCAGCACCCTCGACTGCCCTCCATCAAAAGCAAAGGAAACACTCCAGAATTTTCTCAAGATGTCAATAACTGACGAAGGTTCTGTATTACTTATGTGTGTTTCGTGGCTTGCAGGCTCAGGGATGCTCACACTTTGCCAGATGCTGTCCTGGGGCAGATTGCAAATAGCCCGCCCAGGTCAGCTAGCTCTCTCCACGATTTGGCACACACTTGGCTCCGCTTTCTAGCATGCTCATCGACAAGGTCCCTGCAAAGGCGCACATCACTGCTGCTGCCTTCTTGTGAATCCACACAATTGTGAGGGGTGCCATATTTTTTAGGGCAAGCACGTCTCCAAAGCGCCTTCTGAGGGTGAAATCAGAAAGCAGCTGCATGCCAGGACGGGACACATTGATGAATGGCGGAAGCCCTATGTCGCAAGCAAACTCTACGCACAAGCCCTCACCAAAGATGTACAGTCCTACCAGGAGGAGCAAAGGACTCAGATCTCCTCCTAGGGCCGTTCCGGTGAGCAGAAGAAGTTGTCTCCTGCTTCACGATCATATCCTGATAGGGTGCTAGGGCCTCTGCTCTTTCTGCACTCGTAAAGATCGCAAATCTTTTATACAGTCGAAATGCTGATCTTCAGTTGTTTCAGTGTACAGCGTGGCACAAAGGCATTGCAGATCTTTTGGAAAGTAATGTGCTGTGCAAATGTGCCCAGGCACAACAGCAGAGCAATGGGCTGGACTCCAATGGATTCAGGGTGAATGAGAAACTCCACAGTGACCGGTCGAAGACCAAACAAGACTTTGAATCGACGCTGCCCCCTCTGTCCGACTCCAAGAACCTTTTGCTGCGGTGAGCACTGCATCCAGCCACTTTCTGCTTTGGATATGAATTGTCTTGAGCATGCAAATGTGTACTCAGGCTTCAGCAACCTTTCATGGGGATTAGCAAAGCTTCCATTGTGCTTCCATATTCTTGTAAATAGTTGCAACAAAACCCTATTTTTGTCTTCAGATCTCTGCGCTCTACCATGTCTGCATGACCTGAATTATTCAGTCTGAACACCATAATGAGGCATCAATGCTTTCTTGCATGTCGCACGCCATTCAATATTGTGGTCACGGACTCTGAGCTCAGAACCGGTCACACAGGAAGGATATGCTGGAAGCATGGGAGAAGGCAGAATGGTCACAACGCGAAGCCCAGATTCAGGCACTCCAAGAGGAGCAGCTGCAAGCCTTCCAAGCTGAGATGGTCGCTCAAGATGGCAGGGTGCGCCAAATACTGTGCATGCGTGCTCAACAAAAGAATCCTGGCATCTCGGTCATCAGCCACTTAGAGTTTCTCTCACGCACTGTTCTTTAATGGTGTCATACTCCTGCACGTCCAGGAACGAGCTCCACTATTGGGCCTCTGTGCTGAGAATGCAGGAGTATGACAATGTCAAAAAGCAAGTCAAGACCGGGACAAGAGATCAACAACTTTATGACTGATGTTGGATCTTGCAGGCAGAGCAAAGGATTTCGCAGCGTTTGCTGAGCCGCCAGAGGAGCAGTGGCTCAGGGGCCCGCAATGGGCGCGCTCAATGGAGCGCTCAGGCCCTGTCCAAGGTACAGCAGCCACCTCACTCTTGCCGCACGTCTCCCTTGCTGAGAAGCTTGGTGCATCTGCAGACAAGTTGCAGTCAAGTTTGTTTCAATAATAGCACGCTTTCACGAGCCTGCCAAGGCCAGGTGCATTTCAGGAGCAATTCTTTATAAATCTTTCGAAATTCCCAGACTTGCAGTCACCTTACCTGAAGCAAGCGATCTCTGAGTGTAAGAAGATAGAAGAGGCTGTCGATACAAATATTGAGGAAAGGCATGCTGCGATTGCAGGGGCAGAGTGGGGGGAGCAGTGGGTCCAAGGGGCAAACATTGACCCCATTGGAGGACTTTGTCCAGAGCAACATGCCCCTGCAGGGTCGCAGCCTCTTCAAGAGGCCCTCACTGGACCTAAAGAGCATGGTGAGCCCTCCTGAAGATTATTCCCTCCTCTTGAATGACATGATGCCATTTTGGCATGTAGCTGCACTCTGCAGTTTCGACCATCATATTGGAGCCAGTCTCTGCATTAGTAATCCAAAGCCCAAAGTGCTTGCACAATCAGAGTCTGACTATCAGACCGGCTCCTTGTCTTCAAATCCTTATCCTCATCAAGCTCCTGATTCTGGAAATGCATGCGAGGTGGCAATAGGTGACAATTGTCACGCATTAAGTACCTTTACATGTACAGGAGCCGGCTGCGCAGCTGAACAAGACGCAAACCGCCGCTGAGGGCCTGCTTCACGGCAGTAGCGCACGGCGCGGTGGCTCGCCGGATAACATCGCGGCGTACCGGCCCCGGGAAAGCCGCACGACTGTGCGCAAGGACATGGCCTACGCGCAGCACCTCGAAACTGTTCACAGGTCTGCTGCAGAGATCACCTGAATGGCAACATGTTACACGGGATATGTGAGTTGTCCGCACGTCTTAGGCTAAGACTCTTAGCTGCCGTGCATATGAGAGCAAAGGGGATGCACCAATACAAGCATGAACTTTCCGCTAAGACGCAGAAAATTCTGGCGTCCTCAATGCCAAGCAACAATGGCCGTCTGAGGTTCCTCAGGCTTGTTGAGTGCACAGACAATTGGGGCATTACCCTCTTGGAGTAGATCCAATCCCAGAGATATTTTGAAGCAGCGAGCAACACAGCTACATGCACATGACTTTTAAGTCGCACGCTGATGTGTCTGTGCATGCATGCAGGGCACTCATGGAGGAGAAGGCTGCTGCCGCCAGGCAGGAGGCCGGCATCAGGGATCACCCCCTGACAGACGTGGCCACTCCTGCCGACTCCCAGCCGCCGTCCTGTGCTGAGCTGCCGGCTGCAACCGTGGATTTTGGTTCTGCCCAAGTGCTGGTGCTTGACAGCCGGGGCAGCACTGCAGAAGGCTGGCTGACTGCGCCAGAGAGCGCCCGTGACCCAATCATGGACGCCTCAGAGCTGGCAGGCGACACTCATGCTGATGGACTTGGGGAGATCCAAATCCCTCAGATGCCTGGCATGGCAGAAGACCAGCCACAGGGCCGAGGTACCCCTGACTTAAGTCTTAGCACAAGGGAGGCTCCAGCAGAGGAGGAATTTGCAGTGGAGGAGGCTATGCTAGAGGAGGCTGCAGAGGCAGCGGATGAAATTGGTGGGATCCAAGGGATCAGCGAGGACATCAGCAGCATCCTGGAGGATTTGGTCGAGCATGCAGAAGGCTCAGAGGAGCTGCAAGGCACTGCTGGCGAAGCGCATGATGAGACTGCCCCTGAGGCCGAGGTTCCCGGTGCAGGGCAGTGGGACTCGGCTCTCGAGGCAGCGCAGCCGGCTGCCGCCAGGGAAGGGTCAGCCTACGCTGCGGGCCAAAGCGAGCTGCTGCTTTCTCAAGAGGAGGAGAATATCAAGTTTGGAAGTGGTGATGCGGCTGTGATGGGGCCTTCTGTGGAAGAGGCCGAAGCAGATCTGTTGGCTCCCAACGGCGCTGACGGCGAGGGAGCTAGCCTGGCAATCGCGGCTACAGATGTGGATGCGCTTGTTTTGGCCCCCAGCGAGGGTGAAGATGCCAGGCCCGCCACAGCAGTCAGCGCCACAGTGGAGAGCATCGGTGAGGAGGCAGCCAGGAACGAGCCAGGAGAGCAGGAGGGTGACAAAGGGGACAATGCTGACAAGGATTCCAGGATTAAGGAGGTATTGATGGAAATCGAGGGAGATGCGCCCACACTGGACATGCTGATCAGTCTGCGCCACAGCAAGAGCATCCTGGCTGCAGCTGGCATGGAAGGGCTACTGCTGACAGATATTACTGATGTCAGTCCAGTCAGGCCGGGCACAGCCGTCAGTCAGACTGTCGACGAGCTTGTGGTTGCAGTCGAAGCAGACTTCATAGCGACAACAATATTTGCAGCGCCAGAGACAGACATTCAAAACACAGTGGATCAGATCAGCCCGGCTGCCGCTGTTCGGGAAGAGGACTTGGCTATTCAATCTCCCAGAGCCGACACTTCTGCGGACATTGCAGCAGTTGAGGGCAGTCAAGAGATCCAGGCATCCGCTGCCCTGCATGACGACTCTGCCACCCTCTTGCATGCGCCTGAGACTCCCATTAAGGAAAGGGATGATATCATCAGCAGCAAGGAGGGGCACTTTGCCCACCACTGGGAAGAGTCTGATGTCCGAATGGGGAGGGCTGGATCAGAGGGGGAAGCAAGCCTGCTGATGCAGACGGATGCCGGCCCCAAGCTTTCTGCCATCGGCAGTGAGGCAAGCGCGAATGCTGACGAGGCAGAAGAAGCCGCAATTGCAAAGCTTGACAATATGCTCTTCGGAGCTGCATGGAATGGTGCATCTGAGGAGGAGCAGAGCATTAATGCATGTGTGGCAGAGTGCGTTGACGGGCTCGTCAATTATGCCGCCGCACATTACTGAAGACATGTTGCGTTCGGAAGTCTTGAACAATCAGATTGGATATGCTCACCACTGTGTGCAGACGACACCTTTTCCCATGTCTGATTGTTTTTCATTATCCATGTGTCCAAGAATATGAAACAATATTGTAACAATAATTAATTCCAGAAACATTCCATGCGGTCACATCATGTCTTCCAAGAAGTGCAAGAGCTGCAGACTGACTCTCAAAGTCATTTATTGGCGGATGAGCATGCATCACTATGATATGAATGTAGGTCTTCGAATTGAGGAACCAGGTTACAAAACGAACCAGGCCATGAAATTGGTTACTTCTCTAATTCTGCAAAGTTGGATATTCACGGACCTCCATTGTCAATTTAGTGGACCATTGCACTTTGGAGCCTGCAACTTGGCAGCGCAGATGATCTGCTGGACAAGGTCACTGGGCACGATCTGCATGATCCTGCGAAGTGCACATTTGCCAGGGCGCTCTGCAAAACCAGGGTGAAAGCACTGGAGCACAGCTGTCCTCCTGACCTCCATGAGCCTCATTGTTTCCCTTCCAACCGCCGAGTGCCAGACTGGCGGCAGCTCACTGCCACCACAACAGTGCATGTACAGCAGGCACCTCGCCTTCTCCCTCCTGCCATGGGCTTCACTGCTCTGCAGCCACCTGTCAAACTTGGGGCACATCTGGCGCAGGTCATTCCTCCAGACATCACCATGCACATGAACATACTTCAGCATTTCATACAGGCCTGTCCGGAAGGCAGCCTGGCATTTCTTGCCCTCTGGGCTCCAGTTGCATCCCATGACGACGTGCACATATGCAAGGCATAGCAGGTTGCCACCTTGCACTGCTGCCACCGTGAGTCCAAACAGACCGCTGGAATTGCCGGGGCAATTGTTCTCATAAGCATAGATCATACAAGCCAAGTGCCCTTGGATGCATGCTGCGAGGAGACAATGCGCGTCCCACGGACACCCATGCTCGTGTGCATAGATGAGGCAGTTCAGAGCGCCGCTGTGAGCTGCCCATCTGCATGTGGCTGCATCCCAGGGGCACCCATTCTCATGGGCATATGCCAGGCAGTCCATGGACTTCCCATCTGCAGCCCGCGCGCAGGTAGCCTCATCCCAAGGGCACCCGTTTTCATGCGCATATCTCACACAGGCAAGGCTGCCGGCCCCCGCCGCTGCTGCGGGCACTTCATCCGTCCAAGGACAGCCGTGCTTGTGGGCGTATGCCAAGCAGTCTAGCCTGGCGTAGTGAGCCGCCCGCCTGCAGGTGTGCGTCGTCATGATAGCACCATGCTTGTGGGCGTACGCTAGGCAGTCCACGGTCCCTGCTTTCTCTGCTGCCTTGCGGACCCTTCTGTCCAGAGGACAGCCTGCAGCATGAGCAAAGCTGAGGGAGGCGATGTTGTCAGCCTCCACAGCGCTCCTGCATGTGCGCGCATCCCAGGGCAGGCCGATGACGTCATGCGCGTACATCAGCGCCTCGGCGGAAGCTTCCCGCGCAGCTTCCTCGCAGCTGCTCGGCTGCCCCCGCCACATCCCACCCTTCCTGAAGTCCTCTATCACGCCGGCTGAGGCGCCGTGCCAGTGGCGCATGCACTGCTCGTGGCCGGCGTTCAGAGCAGCAGTGAAGCTCTCGCAGCCTGATGCGCAGTTTGGCGCACCCTCAGACTGAGCTGCAAAGCACAATGGACTTGCTCAGATCTGTGTACAGGTCATTCAAACAAGTGCGCCAAGCAAATATTGAATGAGGCTTATATGGGGATGGGTAATGCACGGCACAACATGGGTTGGCCAGCACGTCAGTGATCAGCATCTGGATGTTCTATGCTTTCTCTGCTCACCTTTCAGGGGCAGCCGCCGCAGATAACAGATGTTTGCGTCCCAGCTGCTGCGCTGGAGGGCCAGGAAGTCATCCCTGCCAATGTGGACTTGCCAGTTGAAACCAGTCCGCTGCTCCCAGGACTCCACACAGTCCATCACCTGCATTTCTGTCTCTATCTGGCATGCGCCCACCACCAGAAGGCAACGCTGCCTTTGGTACTCCCATTTGCCCACACCTTCCTGTGCTCTCTGGCTGCTGCCTCCTACACTGGTGTTCTGCCCAGTCGCTGACATGGACCAGCCAATCCTCGCTGCAAACTCCTCTGTCACTCTCGTGATGCTAGGACAATTGGCTGCAATGGGAAAAGCACTGGTGTTCAGAGCATGTTAATGATGCGATCCTCGTGCGATGCGATCAGTCCTTAAGACTTACAGCTATCTGTCTCGTGTGGCAGCTATGATTGAGGCGCACCTGGGCTGATGAGAGCTTTGCATGGACGCGAGAAATTGTCGTCTTCCCTGACCAGGGTGGCCAGCACCAGCAGCTCCTCTCCATTCTGATAGCAAGGTTTCATTCTGACTTCTTCAAGACCCATGTTCTCCTGATTCAGAAGTCCTGATGCTTGTGATCCTGTATTGGAAAACTTATCACGCAGTCAAGTTGAAGGATGAAATCCTTCTAGGTGTGCATTTAATTTTGAAGACCAAGGTGGATGCAATCCAAACACCCAGAAACTCACAGATCTGTGAATCCAATCTGCAGAGCCCCATTGTCTTGCTTCGACGGGTCTTTCGGAAAATTGAATAGATGCCCACTTGCGTGAAACAAGTCCGATGGCGTATAGCAGGCAGGCCTGTTCACACAAGTCAGGTGATCTGCGTTCTAGAGGTGGTCCTAGCTTGTTGGCTTCTTCGTACTAGCCTTCAGAAAGAGCCTACCCTATCCCAAATAAAATGTTGTTCTACACAAAATTGATTACAATCTATGTTTCTGTTGATGATCAAGTTCAAGGAGTAGGTTAAGCCGAGCATTCTGGAGATACGCGTAATGACCCCGTAGGTTTTGACAACTGGAAGGGAATTGTAGCTCTCTGCTTTCTGCGATCGGGATGCTTGTCCTCTTCGAGGGAGTTTGAGGCGAGTCGTACTTTCACACCCCAGCGTACTGGCATCTGAGCAGTCTGCTTTGCAATCAGTAAAGGAAGAATATCAATTCGCTGCATAGAAGGGTATGCGACCATTGCTCTACATTGGAAGTCCCAAAATGGCACATTTCTGCCAAATTGCAAGCTACAGTTGCCTCTAAAGGTGATCCGACACATTAACCAGATTTCAAGCATCATTCTGCTCAATATCCCTGGCCAATTCCGTTCGAGATAGTGGACTGCGCCAAGAACAAGTTCTTGCCGAGTTTGTTCTCATGCAATCACGTTCATGAGAGTCACAACAATCTCCATGTTTCTTTGATCAATCCAAGTATAACAAAAGTTTTATAGCGGGCATCGAGGTCACCTCCTTATGTATCTGAAGTGGTACAAAAGGCAAGACACATAGTTAGCTGCGGTTTTTGTGCCAGCCACGAATTCAATAACAGGAGCAAAAGCTGTTGAAAGAGGAATCTTGTGTTCGTAGAGAGGCAACGAGACGACGGTGCCCTTATTTCTGCATGCTGACGCGTGGGACACCAAAGTGATGGTCAGCACTAACCTGCAGCGAGTAACTTAAGGCGAGCAGTTGCGAGAACTTTAGACCTTTCCAGGCAATGCTTGAAGCTTACTTAGCATCCAGTAGTCTCTTTGCGTCCGGGAAATGGATCAGCGGTCCCAGCAGAAACAGGCGCACCCGCCCTTTCCATTGCGCTATCAGAGCACAGCAGAGCGGCCTGACCGAGCCAGCAGCCGTCACCAGGGTTCGAGTTGAGCGGCAGACCCACCTGCCAGCCAGCAGGGAGGAAGCCTGGGCCGCGCTCAAGCAGCTTGTACCGGCAGAGAAATGGCAGGAGATGTCTGCCGTCTTTGTTGGTCTAGAGAACATTTACAGGTGATCAGTCTTCCCCTTTGAGTGCAAGGACAGGCAGGATGTCTCCCCTTCAAAGCTTTCTTGGCAACGAGGCTCCCACGAAACGTGTATTTCAGCGTCAATTGCTCGTGCAAGGAAATATGTGTGCTGCAGCCCTCTTTCGCACTGGGGACCTCAGCAGATTGCATTTACCCATGTGTTGTCATGTTTATTTAGAAGGAAACGAACTTTCCAGATAGACAAATGCCTCATATAAAGAAATTTCTCTTGCATGTGCAGGGCTGAGATGCAGGTGGTTGGAGAGCAGGCGCTGCAAAGCCTGCGCATTGCCAACGATGCTCTCGAGCCATTGGCGCCCGAGCCTTCCAAGCAGCCCAATCGCAAGTCTAGGAGGAGGACAAAGCGCGGGGAGTCGTCCCCACCCATGCCTTCCATCCCATTGGACACAGCTAAAGCTGCTCAGGCTTCCTATGAGGACGAGGGAGCCCCTGACAGCAGCGGCAGGAATACCTCTTCAGACGGCATTGCAGCCTCTGAAGACATGAAAATAGCGGAGGAGCGCTACGCAGCCATCGCAGAGAGCAGCAGCAGTCGCGATGCAGGTCCCATGCATGAGTCCCAGAACGGATATAGTCCAGCTCAGGCAAAGCAGAGCGCTGAAAGACATGCCGGGTCTGTGGGTGCCAGCAGCTCAAAACATGCCGGGAGCGGCAGGAGCAAGCATGCGCGCAGTGCCGCTGAGTCATCGCCCGCAAAGATTGCACTGAAGGTGATGCACGATGTGGCAGCTGCCGTGCAGCCGGAAGGAAGCAGCGCAGCAGGCAGCAGCAAGAACGGAAAGGCGGATCTGAATGGCACAGGCCAGGGACTGGATATCAATCCTGAACCCTCCTCCGTGCCACTGCGTGTTGCGGTGGATCACACCAGCAAGAACGATGACACCGCCAGTGAGTCGGGTACGAATATTCATGCATCCTGTCAGCCATTGGAATGTGACTTAGGGGCAGGTCCTGCATGCAGACATTGTGTGTGCAGGAGCAGCCACGGTGAACACAGGCCTTCCTTGCAGAGAAAGCTGCATACCGATAGTTGCCTCTTCTTACACAACGGCCCAGCAAATGCCTCCCATGTTTCGCACTACTTTAGGAAAGTGAACTGAAGCAGCTGTGCTGTCGTCTCACGTGACAGCCTGCCTAAGCATGTCCAGCAAAGGTGACGGGGAGTGAAATTACCGTCAATGCCATCGGATGTTGTCAACCAACCCACAGCAGTTTGTCTCCGATAAGTCTCAGGCATTGGGCAGTTAGAGGTAACAGGTGTGTGACGGCGTGCAATTGACCTAGCTCGGTCTCGTAGAAGATTCAGCATTCAGACGCAGGGTTGAAACACGAAGGAGTGCATGGTAAAGAGGTGAAGTCGCAATGCTGTGTCTTGGTGTCGTACTTGTGAAGTGAAGCGCTTGTGTGGTGCAGAGGTGAAGCCGGAGGTGCTGAGCAGCGAGGAGGGCGTCCAAGTGGAGAGCGCCAGCCGCATGGACTATGACCGCAGCAAGTGGATGCGAGCTAGCGCTGAGGAGCTGGTGGACCCGGAGAAGGCCGACGCAGAATTCATGCGCTGCCTGCTGCAGCTGCTCAGGAAGGTGAGCGGCAGCTGCCAAGCCGCATCACGGCTAACTTGCCCCTCCTGCTCATGAAGTGCTAGAGCAGTCTCAATGCTGCTTCAGCCCGCCACTTATAGGGTGGCGGCTGAAGAAGTGCTAAGAATTATGGCAATTGAAGCTCAGCACACAAACTACCTTTGGGAATGTACATCCTGAGTGGTGAGGTCTGTGGTGTGCTGCAAGACCTGGATCGTACAGCACCTCACTAATCAGAACAGAACAGCCTTGATCCCGGATTCAGCCGACAGGTTGCCAAATCACCTTTCTTCATTCGCAATCAGATTTCATGGATCAGTGACCTACCTGCTTCCCACCAAAAGCGTGCAGCTCCAAGTGCTGAGCCCGTTGCATCTGCGCAGGCGCACTTTGCGCAGCTGAACGATCGTGACGAGGCAATGTCGCGCAGCCTGAACAGTGACTACCTGGACCAGCTGCTCATCCGCGCCGACACCAGCCGCCTCGATGGCCGCCTCGTCGCGCACGCCGCCATAGACCGGCCCCTCCCCGAAGAGGAGCACGCCCTTCTCGTATTCAAGCGCGGGTGGGAATCAGGCTTAGACGCTGTTTTGTCAACGCTTTTGCATGGGGTGTGGTGTCTGCTTGTTTGTCTGGTGCCCCCAGGGCGACAGAAGCCATTATGACCTGCGTCCAAAAGTACAGCTTGTACTCGCAGGTCAGGGCATAGGTCATGGTGACTGAAGCTGCAGGAATGTGTCACAATTGTCGCTCCTGTCTTGATGACTCTGTGTGCGATGCCATGCATGTGCCAGCTTTGGGACTGCGCACGGGTGACCCATGCGTTGCTGTCATTGGGCTGACGTAGACGGCACGGGTTGCATGTGCGCAGGTATGGGCAGGGCACGCGCAGGGGGCGCATGCTGGTGGCCAAGCTGGACTATCTGCAGCTCTTAGTCATCAAGGGGTCCCTCTCCTATCTTGGCAAGCAGACCTCCCGAGCCTGGCGCGCCGTCAAGAAGAGCCTGACCACCGGCGCGACAGAGGATGTCATGAGCATCGGGTGAGGCTGTGTACCCTTCTACCCTGCGATCTGCTTCAATCTAAGAACATAACGTAAGGTTTATGTGTTGAACAGGCATCTCAAGCCCACCTGGCTGTGACGTACCTAGAGGATGCCCCAGAGATTCATCGCACCAGCCCTATACAAGTCCCGTGCATTCACATAGCTCGTCCAAAAGAGTGGAATCATCATTGCCCTCAGCCCTACGAATGTACACAGCCCGTCCAACTCCCCACTCCTCATTGTCTGCCGAGGGCTTTAGCTGTGTCTCACATTTATTATTGAGTATCCAGTACATGTTCCAACAGTGGCAGACAAGCCCAACCGCTGGCTACTCGTGCGCAACTGTGCTCGCTGTATTGCTGTGACAGGGAGGAGGAAATGGAGGAGACAACGTGGGAGCGGGTGCAGAATGGGTGGGCCGCAGCCGGCAGGAAGCTGTCGGACTGGGGCATTGTCTCCCCACGTCTCATGCTCGCCGGCGGCGGCCTCTTCCTCACCCTCTCCAACTGGGGTCTCCTGCCCTCGGTGCGTGCCCCTTTGACTTTCATGTTGTCATCCCTCTGATTCCTGACATGCATGCCTTGCTCATTTAGCAGCATTGTATGAACTTGCCAAGGCAGTAGCCAACAATACCATGCAGCTGCACCGGGCTCTTGTGTGCCTCTCAAGAGGCGGACTTCCCAGCTATAACTGTTATTATCCTTTGCTGCCTGGCTCACACCTTCACCCTTCTTGAGCAGAGGGCTTGCTCAGCGCTGTACTGCTGGAATCCTGCGAGCTACAGAATCACAGATGCGTGGCTGCAAATCAGGTGGACGTGCTGCCAATAGAGCGGTTCAACGCTGTGTGGCGGCCGAGCGAGCCAGAGCGGCTGCAGCCGGTGTATGTGCAGCGGGTGACCATCCGGGAGGCCCTGCGGGGGGACCTCTGGGCCAACCTCTTCGGCACCGTCCAGCTGGTGGAGCCCACCTTCGGGGTGCGCACTCATGCTCTCTGACAAAAAGTATGGTGAAGATAAGTGTCGTGATTGCCATGTATGCCATGTCCATGGCAAACGGTGGGACACCTTGGAAGGGCTTCGGCTGCCAAGATAACCAGCAGGGCACAGCTGCTGCAAATTTGAAAAAACAGCATGTATGCCCTGTTGCTCTTGCTCTTCAGATGGTTGTCAATGAATATTCCCGCTTCACCTGCGTGTGAGTGTGACCTTCACATGCAAAGATGGGTTGCAGAATCCACAAGTGTTCTACATGGGGTGTCCCGCCAAATAAAGCCAAAAAATCGGATGGTGAGTCCAGAATTCAAGTCAATCACACTGTGCACAGGAGCTGCTGGTGCTGTACCGGCGCAAGACGGAGCGCAACCGCATAGCCGAGCTCAAGGAGCGCATCCTAGGCGGCAACGGCGCGCCGCGGCTGCTGCGGCGCGAGCCGGTGACGCTCAAGGTTCTGCGTGACATCCCCGTCCCTTCCTGGAAGCTGGTCTTCCCTGACAAGCTGCTCCAGTTCCGGCCTCTCGACGGCCTGCGCGCTGACTTGCTCACTGTCGCTGGTGCGACGCGTTCCCTCTTGGTGATGTAGATTTAGGGGTGATGGTAGGGCATGCACGCCGACCTGCTCACCGTCGCCGGTGCGCGGCGTCAACACCCACCAGGACCAGTGCTTGGAGCATTCAGAAACGCTATGCTTTGTGCGTGCTGATATGTTGGCAATTGCTAATTACAATAAGATCTGCCATGTGTCAGCTGTCTAACTCGAGTTGTGCATTGCTGCAGGTCTGCTGGCATTTGTTGCGCAGGCCAAGTACGACTCCTTCATCCTGGAGGTCATTACTACGGTGTCGGCTGTGACACTGGTCGTGCGCGTCATCCTGGGCTACAACAGAATGGCACAGAGGTAAGAGTGTCTTCTCTTGGGTTTCTTTGTCTGGATATCTCTCATGGCTGGGAAAATTACTCTTCGTCATCGCGGCGAAAAGCAAATTTACTCCCCTGGAATCTGTGATCCTGAGCGTGAACTGAAGCTGTGACGATCCTTCTTCATCCGCTCTTGGGCAGTAAGGATTCGCCTCCATGCTAGACTGACTTGTTTTGGCATGAGCAGCTGGGTATGTAAGCCTGCCATTCCCTTGTGGAAATGCTGTTGTCCTGACGCCAACTGCTCTGTCATCAGGGTGTGACGAGGGTGCATACTCTGGTGCATGCAATATGCGCTGACTTGGCCTGCCATTTTTTGAGTGTGCGAGTGTCTGACAGGTATGAGAAGATGGAGAACAAGCTGCTGGCGGAGAGCACAGTGGCAGGGCAGGGTGCGACCGTGCAGTACCTGGCAGCATGCGCAGCGCTGCAGCAGTGGGAGCAGTCTGCTCTGGCGTTCCTGCTGCTCAGTGACTCACCCGAGCCCCTGTCCGCCGACCAGCTCAGCGCCGCTGTCGAGAGCCTCCTCGAAGACAACTTCAGCGTGAGTCACTTGGGCTTTCAACTGACGTGGTGCCGCCTGCAGCACAGTGCCAAGACTCCCTGCCTTAATCATAAAATGACTTCAAGTTGCATAGCAAGGGGAACGACAAGAGTACCACTGTCCTTGTCAACATTCATGGCAGCTTCCAGCACATTAATTCAAAAAGTCTGCAGCAGGACTAGGCCCCAGTTCGACACTGCCAATTTGACATGAAGCAGCATTGGACATGTGAAAGTTGCACATGCAAACACATGCATATTCCCTAGATGCGACGCATCCGCAGGCAGGCTGAGAAGACCGTGATATCTGGAGTCCAATGCATAACGAAATTGAAGGGCCCAGCGAGTGTTGCTTTTGTGCTGCCTTGCAGGTGCGGGTTCGTTTTGATGCGGCTGAAGCGCTGAGTGAGTTGCAGCGCTTGCAGCTGCTGGATGTGACTCAGGAGGGAAGTGATGGGTCAGGGGCTGGAGCATACACAGCTGTGGCCCCCGCAAGGGCATTAGAGCAGCTGAAGACGCAGTGGGACATGTTTCTGGAGGGCTGCTTGACGAGGAGGCTAGAGGATGCTATGTGATCTTAGTGCGAAGTAGCGCAGGGCATTTGCTGTCATACGCTTTGGAAATCCAAAATTGTTGCATAGAGGGCCCCGGGGTGCTGTGAAGGAGTACTGACTAAGGTCAGTAAGTTTCATGGAGATTCAGAGTATACTGGGGGTGCACAGATCTCATTCAACATTATAACTGATCCTTTTCTAAATAAGAGAGAAGCACTGTATACAGAAGCTGAGAAGCTGAGAATTACTGTAGCTGTCTAAGGTGTGTATTTCTTTGTGAGTAGGATTGATATCGATAGACAGGATTCTTTACTTATATATCTATGGGCAGAGACGCCTTAGCTTCCGGACCTTTACCAAATTGGTTGGTTTATTCATCTTTAAAGCATTCCAGGATAAATAGCAGCATGCTGTCTTGTAACCCATATTCCAGGATCATATCCCACTCAACACATATAAATATATATACTGGTTGGCCAGCTGACTGCCAGCAGGAAAAACACTCCGTAGCTTCTGATTTGAAAGACGCCGAATGCAGATGGCATCTTGGTAATACACAGAGATCTTGAGAAAACCTTACTGCTCTACACTTGTCCATCAACAGGATTCTGTAAATGTACATCCCAGCAACACACAGATGTCAGTCAACAAAACTGGCCTCTCCTGGAGACCTCTCGACCAACTTGAGTTGCAGCAGACATGACACTTGTAAGCACACACAAATAAATGTACAATTTCTAATACGGAACCATTGTCTCGGTCACTTCTTCTTGACACAGTGCCTGCTGCAAGCTTCTTCCTCGGCGGTGGCTCTTCTGAGGTAGTGCAATGCATCATGGTATCCCTGGTTGGGTAGCTGAGCCTTCTTGGTACAAAATTGCTTATTGCTTATCCTCAAGAGAAGAAGCCTCCCTGTCCCTTGCGAGCTGCAGCACCAGCACTCAGTCATCAGAGCCACGCTTTTGCACCAGCAAGCAAACATCTCTTGAGCATTGCATCCTGAGAGAACCAGACCACCCCAGCTCACTGCAGCATCATCACTGCTCGCTTGCCCTAACAGTAACCTGCCAAGAGTGGGGTGGACCGCACCTTTGTTGATTTCCCACACGCCGATGTCAGAGGGGCTGAAGGCAAGCTCAGGGTGAGAAATGGGCTCCAGGTGGGGTGTCTTGATGGGCCTCAGCCCTGCAGGGTTGGGCGCGATTGGAGTAGCAGGAGTGGCACCGGTGCCAAATAGCTTTGACAGGGTGGGGAATCCTGACGCGTTGGGCCCGGCTGTGCCATTTGGCGCGTCTGTGGGACCTGCCAGCATACAAATGGTCATACAGGACCTGTACTCAAGCTACTATGCAAACCCTGGATACAAAATGACCTGGGGAGGTCGCCAAAGGGACAAGGCGCTGCAAACAAAGCCTCAATACTACTTGATGGAGCATGAGATCATCAAAGGAAACTTGCGCTTGTATTCCGAGCTCACTACACAGCCATGCCTCAAACAGTACTGGAGCACTTTGACCAATCACGCCATCGGAGCCGCCTTCGACCCGTTTGGGGATCTAAGAGATTCATTGATGGATCCGTGAATGAATGTGCGCTTAATACTGGACTGGAATGAGAATTGCTGACCTGGCTTCAACTGGCTTGCTGAGGGGAAGCCGGGCTCGTCAGTCAAGAAGGTGGGGTCTGAAAATCTGGCGTCGAGGCTCTTCTGACGATCTCGAGAGTTCAAACCTGCTGGTTGTGAGGACATGCGCTGCCACCAGCTTTTGCTATTACCACTCTCTGCCATGCCCTGTTCGTCTGTCACGGAGGACACCGATGAATGGAGAGGCGTGGTTTTCCAGCTCGATGCGACAAATGTGCCCGATTACTAGGGAAAATGTGTTGTCTGCGTGCTTCGCTTGAAGATTTCTCAAATGAGCATGATCGACGTTCCTCGAATGGCCATCGTGCGCTCCCGTAATTACGTAAATAGTATAAACACCGTATCGAAGAAAATTACGGGTTCGTTTTTTCTTGCCGAAGACCCCCTCCTCGGTTTTGGGCATTTCACACGTTGCAGGGAGCGATCGTGCTCGTCTATCTGACACATCCGACAATAATGTTGTAGAATGTAGCGATGCAATTTCCTGGCTGGTCCCCTTGACACGGATGGGAGTTTCAGAGCGTCCGAACAGGATCTGTACATGTGGCAACATCGCCTAGAACGTGTCGATCCGATGTGTACAGCACACTTGATGGATTTTAGTTGCATCATCTTATAAAGCCTCATTAGTACGTAAGGATCGACTCAGGAGGTCAAAGGGACGGCGCTTCGAGCAGTACAAGAAAACGCTCTGTTGAGGTGTATGCATAGGTGCACCTCGCAAAATGAATCAATCACGAGGTGGCAGAAAGCAATTTAGGCATCGCCTAAAGGATGCACTGCTGCTGATGGGCTCGGTCTTCCTCATCGCCTTGGCATTCGTGGCTTGGCAGGTATGTTACTATGTACACTTCAGGATGGCTGTCCTCCCTCTCTGGCGAAAGGAGACTTCACAGGACGCATACATTTTACAGGACGCATAAATGTGACCATGTTTAATTACACGTTGCTTGGACAGCTTTTAGGAACATTCATAGATTTTCAATTAGCTATCTAGGCAGCACTGGCCTTCACGCAGCTCCCTGTCCCCCACTCATGGAAACCCATCCTCGCAATCGAACAATTTCTGTAACCCCTTACATGATCTAAACGATCCTCTTCACGGCAAGCAATTAGAATATTACTCATGCTGCGCAGGGGGGCATGTCATTCAGGGGCGTTGGCAGGGGGGTCCGAGGGCCGACCGCCGCGCGCATGCCGCTGGCGTTCGGCCGCTACAAGACCCTTTACGAGGGCCCCGACAGTGATTCATATTCGAATTCGAAGCCCGCGCCGGCCGGGCCCCTTGTGGCGCCAAAGCAGGCGCTGGAGGGCGCCTCTAGATGGAGCAGCGCACTTCTGAGGGTCATGCCTCCATTCAGCAGTTGGATGCCCCCGGAGGCTGTCCAGAAGGTGCTGGCGCCAAGTGGAGCGCAGCAGAGCGCGCAGCGGTACTCCTTCCCGGATGCGCTCCCAAAGGTGCGCAGGCTGCCGGCAGGTGGTCACAGCAGTTGACACAACTGCAAGGATGTTGGGACCCTGCATTGCCATGCTGCGCGGGGATGAAGGTTTATTTGGCAATGTCTCTGTAGCATTGCACTGCAGTGCTTGCATACCTACAAGTGAAAGACACAGTTGGAGGCATTAGGAAAGTTAAGAGCGTCTCTCCCTGTGCTTATTATTGAAATGTCAAGATTTGATCAATACTAAGAGTCTATAAGGTCAGAGGACTGGATCTCACTTTAAATCCTGATGCTAGATCCTGGCGTGACAGGTGGCGTTGCTGTTTCTGACGCGGCAGTGGCTGCCATACGAGCCTGTCTGGCGCGCGTTCCTGTCATCGGTCCCCCCGCTGGGCAAGGGGCTGCACCAGGGCTGGCAGCACCTGTTCAGCCTGCACGTGCACCTGCCACCCAACCACTTCTTCAACACAGACAGCATTTTCACAGGGACAGAGGTGGAGGAGCGAGTGGCTGTGGAGTGGGGGCAGTGGTCTGTGGTGAGCCTCCTCTTTTCTGTGTATAGGAGGCCTAAAAATAAGGTGCCTAAGCAACAACATATCGTTGATGAGTTTGCCTCTTTGTGTGGACCAGAGCGCAACACAATATCCCACAGATTAGCTGCCCGCCTGCATAGTATGCTCACAAAGGGCTTGCTCCCTGCATGGGATCTCTGTGTGAGCCTGGAACTACATGGGCGACTTCAGGTGTGCGGAGAATAGAGTACAAGCAGTGCTGGTCTGTTGTCTGCTTTTGGCCGTCCCTCAGCCGTGTCCTTGTCATCATTAGCATGTGCAAGACAGCGCTTATGGTCGAAGCATGATTGCACCCCATCCTCTAGAATCTCCCGAATCTTCCTTCCTATCCAAAACACATAACTTTTTTTTGCGGCCTTGTTAAATTGCACTCCTGTGCTCGCAGGTGGAGGCAGAGTTGGTTCTGCTACGCGCAGCTCTTCTAGATCCGCGCAACCAGCGCTTTGTGCTTCTGTCAGAGACGTGCGTGCCTCTGTACCCGGCGGCCGTTGTGTGGGCGCAGCTTATCGGCGAACCTCGCTCCCGCCTTGACGCATGCGCCAACACGGCAGACCCCAACGACGCCGCCAGCCGCATGGACTACCGGTCTGTCCCCTTGCTTACCCAAAACCATACTTGAATTAATATCATTACAGCATGCTGTTCCAGCCCACAAGGTCAGGTGCATCCACATTTACATGGGCATCACCTGCTTTGAAGTCGAAGGGTCACAATTACATGAGGTGAGGGGAAAGTGGCAGTTACAGAACCTGGCAAGAAGATGATGCTATTCAGCATCCTGGTTGCATTGTGTGCGTGAGAGCTGGTGTTAATCAACGACGTGGAGCGCTTGATCAATATGGGGAGGATGCGGGGGTGAGATTTGGGTACGGGTTGCATGCAGGTGGTCGGACAAGATGGAGGGCCCACGATTGAAGAAGGAGCACTGGCGCAAGAGCGCGCAGTGGTTTGCACTGACTGCGGAGCATGCCCAGCTTGTGACGACAGAGAACAACGCTGCCAAGGCTTTCAGAGAGTGAGTCTATCTGAATATTGCTACTTTTCACTGCATATTCCTGTGAGAGGTGGTCAGGAACAATCTCAAGATGGCATTTTTGTACTATCTACACTTAGTGCTCTTGACATCACTTTGCCGTGGCTAGTCAAGAAGCGCAGCATGACAAGCAGCATTTTTGGAATCAGCCTGCATAGTTTGAGTTGCAGGATCAACACACAGTGGATCGGCCCAGGCTGAGGAGAGAGTCAATGCACAGGCTTTGAGCAATGCGGACAACGCTGGAAAGGGACGCACATGGCTGCCATGTCATAGGGAGGTGTGAAAGATTCGTGTCTTGGGCGCAGGCATTGCTGGGTGGACTCTGCAAACATAAATGCTGGGTGGGCGCCCAAGAGCTTCTGTGTGGCAGACGAGCACTACATGCCCACGCTGCTCGCCTCGCTCGGGCGACAGAACGAGACTGACTGCACGGTGATTGCTCTCACTCGTGCTTGAAGCGTGCACAGCTCTAGGCACAATGACTGTCCCAACATTACAAAAACCGTGGGTTGTTTGTGTCCTTTCCAGAGGCAGGCAAAGATGCGTCCATTTATATTGTGTGCCTGCCATGTGCTTGCTTTGAATGGGCAATGCACACTAGCTGCTATGTGTTTCCCCTGACAAGATCCTACAGAATGTCCCCATGGTATTTTCTTTATTTTTTCTTTTGCTGGTGGCAGGGGCTGCTGACCTCTGTGTGGTGGGACGGCCCCTACTTCCACCCCAGGGAGTTCAGTGCTGATGATGTCAATGCTGGCCTTGTGGATGACCTGCGTGTGGCAAAGCCCGACAATAAGGACCCAAAGTGCAATGCGCCGGCCGCGCTCAGCTCTGCAAAGAAGCTGTTCCCCGCAGTCGAAGGGTGGGTTCCTGGCCTGCAGTCATGTGGAGGATTCCTGCTTGAAAACAGCTTTGGCACACTGTGCTGATATGATTGTCAGAAGGCATGCTCACATAATTGTTTTTAGAACTTAATTGACATTTTGTTGTAAGGGCATCTGTGGTTTCCGGTGAGTCGACTGGAAGTTCTCTATCGTCCTGGGCTCACTTGTGCTCCATGGGTGTCATGCAGGGAGCTGCCAAAGGATATGGGTCGGAGGCTGAAGGAGAGAGGTGATGCTGAGCTGGCAAGGGAGCGATGGATAGCGCAGCTGCGCTCAGCACCCAACCTGGAAGAAGCAGGAGAAGTATTAGCTGGTGGGCGAAGGCTGCAGCAGGACGGGAGGCCCCACAAGGGGCAGGAAGCCGAAGAAATAGCTGGGGGTCCAGAGTTTTTGGCGAGCAACCCCGGTGCTTGGGTGGATTTAGGGGCGCCGGCGGGGGTTCCGGTAGGGTCAGGGACTTTGGAGGAGGGTTCCAGCGGGGAGTTGAGCGAAGAGGAGGCGGCGCGGTTGGAAGAGCTGCTGGCGCTGGCGGACGCCGTGCGGGGGGACGGCGGTGGCGGCAGTGGTGGGAGCGGAGGGAGTGGAGTGGGATTTGTGGGGGACCAGGAGGAGGCGGCGGCGGCTGTTGCAGAGGCGCTGAAGCCCAAATTATTGAATGACACGGCGGCGTGGTCGGCTGACTCGCCCAATGAGCTCGTGCGGGTAAGGCTGTTATTGAAAAAATGCCACTGCATCTATGCAGACGCACTTCCTGTGATGCACAAGTTCTGGTGCACACTTCTAACGGCACTCCCCGGATTGAGAATATTAATTTAATAGCGTGTGCAGGACCTGCAGGTTCATGACAGCATTTTGGTGCACGTGCGCTTGCATTCGGGTGCATCTGAGAGGGAGCCAAAGTACAAATTTGCATGCATATCTGAGGTGGCATCTTGTATTTTCCTTGCAGGCTCTGCTGGCTCGCTATAGCCCATTGGGAAGCAGCGGCTGCCCTCTGTTTGCGCGCAAGTTCGGAGAGCCTGCACTGTGGAACATTGCGCAAGTGGCTGCCGAGTATCTTGCGCCTGCGGAGGTCACTGCCTAGAACGGAAGATCTGACAAGCGTTGTGAATTGAACGAATGTCTGTAGTTGTGTCACTGAATCCTTCACATATGTGACGATAAGAAAGTGCAGAGAGGACAAATCGTGATAATGCTGAACTGAGCCTGCCTGGTGCTGTCGTACAACTTTTCTGACAAAATTTGAACTGACGTGGAATTGAGCGACTTGCAGAATTTTGTAGAACTGGAGGCCTTGTTGTTACGACATCCTGGGATCTCACGGCAGAGACATGCATCTGACTGCTTTTTGTCGTGTAAAGTCAGTGCATGCAAAGCAGACATGCTCGATATCCTGAAATACCCTGGCAGCAGCTGCCAGTGACTCCCTCCGTTGTCAAAGTTTTCTTTGACTGATCAATGTCATGTTTCGGCTGAACAACTCAACCACAACTTGCCTGCAACACATGCAGATGTACAAGTGTGCCAACCTCCTGTGTAATGTCCTTGACTTCCTTCCTTTATACCTAATGCTCGCTCTGAATGTCTGCACTCCTCTACTTCTAACTAAGCGAAGCGCCGAACGGCTTGGCATGTACAAGTGTGATCTTCATCGTATCCTCCTTGCTGGCAACAACCACAGACTCATCGGCCACATGCAAGTCAGGTATGTCTATTGTCATTGCTGATGTCAACATCACATGTAGGGATAATATCGACGTTGTGGGTCCTACAGACCTAATCTTTCTTGATGCCCCTTCCTGCTTGTCATGTGTCCCTCCTCTCCTGCTCTGCTGTTACTCACCCTGCGGCATTGTGTGTATATGTTCTGCAGCACTGATGACTTCGTGTCCTATCTGATGCTGCCGTTGAGGCCACTTGGGAAGAAGGCACCCGGCTTGGTGGCATCGCCGCCGTACGCAATGGCAAGCACCTCCTGGGGAGTGCGCGCGAAGATCTTCGCGTCGATGTCTGCGGGCACGATGTTTGCCTGGAAGAAATTGAGGACGTTGGGCCCGTAGATTGAGGCGGTGGCTGATGGGATTGTGATGCCCTCGTCCTTGCCCCCGCCCACCTTGGCTCGCAGGTCTGACAGCGCCTGCAGAAAACATTTTGCCACGTGAAGGATCAAACGCAGCTGTGCTCGGTTATGATGATCTGTACAATGAGAGCCAATTCGCTGCTCACAACGTCGGCTTCGCAGGAACCCCGAAACCAGGGGACAGATGGACAGCAGTGCGCTGTGCATGCCAGCCGAGTGAGGCTGGAACACGCCATGCTACACAAGAGATACCCGTACAGGCTTTTCCTTCAAACCTCCTTGGTCCTGAGTTCTATACTGTAGAATAATGACTCACAGAGGGGCTGCACTGCTGCTTTACAATTCCAGAGGTGGCAACAGGGATGCTGCAGATATGCATGCATGCCCTCTCACACACCTGCACAAAGCTGACGATCTGGATGCCGTAGGGCTGCACGATGAGGTCACCGTTGTTAAAGAGCCACTGCCGCAGCAGACCGCCGTGGTATGCCTCCACTCCCAGGATGCCGGCGGCTGCGCCCGTCGCGACCGGCCCCGTCAGCACCGGGATGGCCCCGGCAAACGCCGTCGCGCCGACGTCCTCAAATAGGAATGCACCTGCATGCCAGCATTGTATCACAACCTTGCAGAAGACGACAGACTTCGATCCTAGGATTGCATGAAAGAACAGCCATCCAGCCATGCCAGAGGGTGAAAAGGTGTGCATTCGAGGAGCCTGGCACTAGCCAGTTTCATAGTGAGCAAAAATGGCTATAATGAGGCCATTGCTACTGCAATCCTACACATCCCAGGAATCACCAGGAACACAATTGCAATCCTGTGGAGCCTCTGCATTGCTCTTCCAGGTGTTGCTGAGATTTGTGGAGGGGAGTGCTCACTCAGCAGGAAGTTGACATCGTTGGTGTAGGGGGAGAAGACGTTGTCCCCGGCCCTGCTACCCAGCGCAGCCTTGATGACGGCGTTGAAGGAACCACCGATGTCAATTTGGGGGCAGGGCACTGCCGCAGCGCCTGCTGCCTTCCTCAGAAACGCCAGCTGCATGCATGCTGGTAATATCTGCTTGCTTTTGAAAGTTTAGAAAAGAAACGTTCAGGACCATTCACGGAGCCTCACTTGCTGCAGCTGATTGTTTCTATTTGGGCTACAAGCTCTGGGCAAGTCAAAGAAATACACTGATGTCTCATATGCATGCAGCTCTGGTAGGGAGGTATGATTTTAAAGGAAGGTTTAGGAGTGCTTACATGAGCAACCTCATCCCTGGCGAACTCAGCTGCGATTGTCTGCACAGCAGGGCTAAGTCTCGCCTTCTGCCCTCCCGTGGCAAGGGGCCCTCCAGCGAGCAGGGATGTGTTTGGGTACTGACCAAACGCTGCATAGCTGTAGAATTGGCCCTGTGAACCAAGCAGGTAGCTGAAGGTATTGAGAACGTCGAAGTCATCAGGGACGTCACTTGTCGTGCAGGGAGGTCCTCGTCCTTTCATGATGTCATCGTAGGCCTCACGACGTGCTCGATGGACGATCTCACCTCCAGGCATTCAAGATTGATGGCGAAATTGAAGACGTCCGTATTGTCTGCCTTTCCAAGAGTCGCAGCGAGAGCCAAAGTGCCGAACAGCGTCAACGGCCAACTTGGCGATGCCATGAGGCTGAAATGTGGGAAGTCACGGTTGTCCAAGTCGTGATAAATGATCTCCCTCAGTTGGGAACAGGGTACAGCCTGAGAATTATAGACGCACTACATGATTGCGCATCAACTTCCACCCCAGCTTCAAGAATCCATGATGTGATGCGTGCATGCATGCATGGCTGACACATCTCAAATCAACTTCACCTAGATATTACATCACTCTCGCAAGCACATCACGTTGTCTTGATTACAATACTCAGGCAAGAATCAGCTACGTGGTAATACTGATTACTGCTGGTTTCAGTTCCAGTTCTGGAACTTCAAAAGATGACAAAGCCTTGCCCTGAAGTCAGAAAAAGGGGAAGGGCAACTGCCCTCAGAATGTTGCACTAAAAGAGTGCTTGCTGTACCAGGTTGAACCGCAACATCGCCTGTCCGCCAGGATACACAGCGAATAGCCACCTACCACGCGGATGCAGTCTTATGTCCGTCTCTCAAAGTACTGACGGATTGCTGACAACAGATGCTCTGACAGTGCACACAACAAGCATCCCTCAATTGCGCCTCTGTCTCCGGCTGCTCTTGCAAATCTCCTCAACTCTCCCAAAGGTAGCTGCCCTCCTCAATCATGCTCAGCTCATCAGTCCAGGGCTTCTGCTTCAGTACTAGCCCACAGAACGCTCATCCATGGGAATCCAAATGCAGCGCAACCACAGCTGCCGCGTTGCAATAATTATTCGCGGTCCCAAAAGTGCCCATTTCACCACTTTGCGCGGCGGAGCACAGTGAGAGCAAAGAGCAGCAGAATGAGCACGTATGCGATGCACTGCTGCCACACTGCTGGCAGGTGCGAACGTGCCTGGTAGCCAAGGCCAAAATAGGCCAGAGCTTTCCTGCAAAGCATGAGCAAGCCCCCCTTCAGTGGCCCCATCTTCTTGTTTTCAGGACAGCAAATTCTTTTCAGGGGAAAAAAACCTCTCAACTTCAGGACAGGGAACCCTTGTCAATGACATGCGCATCTGAAGAGCAATCGGTGCCATGCAAAACTCTGATTGGGAGCACTCTCCACTGGCTCTGTTTAGTCTGCCAGCGACACAGGCGTGAAGGTGAGTCAGCAACGACGCACCAGAGGACCTGAGTGCGGCTGAGCTGCACCGGCTTCCGGCGGGGAGGAAGCTGCTCCAGACCCTTCTCGCAGATGGTCTGGATCTCGGCTGCGCGCCTGAGCGTCAGCTTGGCATTCTTGTCGCTGGAGACCAGCTCTGACGACCTGCACAATGCAGAAGCCTATTCAAGCTTCTGAATGGCACTCAGCTGCATTCGTGGGTACCAAACAGTACTGACAGGGCCAATTCTCCATCAGAAAACTGTCAGACCCATCCAGAAACTTCTGTCTATGTCTTCACCCACAGTCAAGGGTACACAGTTCCGATGCTTTGAGCACCAGACAGAGCAATTGCACTTTGGTCGGCAGAAATTGTCAGAGAAGGAGTCGTGCTTACTGCGCAGCGAGAGAGCCAGCGAAGTGGTCGAATGCCTCATAGAGGTCCGCCATGCTGCCCAGCTGCTGCACATACTTGGCTGTTTCTCCCCGGCGCATCTTCACCACACCTGCACACCAGATGTCAGGTGAATCAAGTCACCTGTAGCACATCAATTTACCCTTAAGGGCAGATCTGGATCCCACCAGTCGCATGCATCATTTTTGCTCTCTTCAGAAACCTTCACCTTCTCGTACCCCTGTTCAAAGTGCGCCCATACCAGCTCAACAACAACTTTCCTGGAACAGCTATAATATGTTTGACACCTGAGCAGGGAAGCAGATGGTTCATGCAAGTCTATGGCAGGCAGACCCCAGAGGCCTAACGGGGTGGAGCAAGAAGGCCGGAATGAAATCCTTGCCTGTGAAGACGCGGTGGTTGTTATAGCACAGCGCGAGCGTCCCAATGGCCATGACCTGTGGGATCGCGCAGAAACGGAACACATCCTGGTCGCGCAGTTTGGCCATGTAGGCCAGCGAGTGCGGTGCGTGACACAGCGCATCTGTCACGAGCTCGTTCAAACAGCCCAGCGCGGCTGCGGAGTTCTCCGGCGCCTTGAACGAGTCGAGCTTCCTGGTGTAGCGGCCCCACACCTCCTTTGGCCAGAACATCCTGCAATGCAAAGGAGAGATGGCTAACTTTCTGTAGGGCGTCCATGACTACAGAACATACCTCGCGTGGGTCCTGGGTCAGGAAAGTTCAGTACTAGAAGGAAAACAGCACACAAATGCCACATGTACAGCTGCAGACTTTAAACCCTGGCAGGACAGAGAGCTGGGACACACCTGGGCGCAGGCTCCTCATTGATGTCTTCTAGGTAATCCCTGATGATGTTGGTCTTCTGTAGGAAGAGCCCCATGTGGTTGGCCAGAAATTCCATATCTGCAAACTCCTCGCTCTCCAGCTGGCTTGAGGCAAAGAGCTGTGAAGCATTCACATCCGTCAAAATTCTGGTCGTTCTATCACCGAAGCAAGTAATAGCTGCCGCTGTGAAGCCACGTTGTACGCAGCGTGATCATCAAGAAGGAATTGCATGACTTGGGCTTCATGATGGAGACAAGTACTGTATCCATGGTTGCTCTGCACAGTGGTAATCCTCTAGATTTACTGATTGCGAGACCAGGAGCCAAGATCATGCGTGCACCTGTGACAGGCCGATGCCCACAAGACCAGCCACATAATGGCAGTACAGGTCATAGTCCTTCACACTGATGACCTCCTTCTCAATGAACTCCGCCATGCCCTCCCCCATGCGCCGTGTGATGTCAGCAATCACCTGCGCAGAACAGCAACACCATCTTATGCATGCAAATACGATGCATGTGCAGGATCCACCGCTGTTACATCAGCTCTGAAAATGTACCAAAGTCCAGCGGGAAACTGGGTTGGGATAATAGAAGTGGGAGCACAAACCTTCTGGTACATGGGTTTTAACCGCAGGAATGCATCTGTAACCAGAGAATACTGCTGCATGAGGTCGACGTACGGCCCATAGCCACAGCTCATCTTCCATGATCTGCACAAACACCATCTGACTCTCTTGCTGTGTGTGTTGAACTGGGTGAGACGTGCCCCAGGTTGACTTGTGAAAGGAGGAATGGAGGGAAGACACACCTGTCGTATATCTTTTCGTGGAACACTCGCAGCAGAGGTACTTTTGTGGCCACAGGCACGGCCATATCATCCTCCACTGTGTCCAGTGCTCTCAGCACCAGATAGAAGAGGCACACTGCATCGCGCAGCTCTGTTGGGAGGCGCTGAATCACCACAGCGAAACTGCACACACGATAAATTCACGATGAGGTGAAGTGGAATATGCTGTGGTGATCAACCCCATCGTCCAGCATATCAATACAGAGGTGTTGGAGTTGCACTCATCATGAAGAGAGGTACCTTCTTGATACTCTGTTGAGCATGTCGTAACAAAAGGCGAGACTTTTATCTTTTGGAAGCACTTTTGCACGCTTGGCTGCGAAGGCCATCTGCACTAAAGGTATCAGTTCATCTGGGTGCTCCAAAACCTCCCTCAATTTTCCCATTGTGCTTACCCCTTCGTTTGAACGTGTCCCAAGATATTGAAATCAGTGCGGACTGGGAGACATATGAAATCTTGGCAGAGCGATCAGGACCTGGACAATCCAAACCAGCTTTTTACAGGGAACCCTCCTCGAGGTAGTAGAAGGGAACAGAGCCAGAGAAACAGGAATTCGACCTGTACGCAGCATGCAGCAGAGACTCTCTCCTCTCTTTCCGGCAGAAGTTCCGGCATTGTGGGAAGGGATCGCCGTCTCATAAATTCATTCGAAGGACATGCACAGAGCAGCTGGCAGGGCAGGCCCCAATTTTTGTCTGTGAGAAGGACTTTTTCGAGGTGATTGCCGTGAGGCGCAAAAAGCCGTCATAATAATTCGGCTTGAGACATTACTATGGATCTCTCATGAATGGGAGACTGCAACTATTGAACCAGACAAGGTCACGAAGCAGCGTCAGAAAATTCACCTTCCATACGAAAACCATTGACAAACTGTGGGTTAGGAGGATTTGGTGCCTTCTGAGGGCTCATGGCCATATCTGACGATGACACCGTTAGACTCGACGTCTCTGAAGCAACAGAGGTGCGATTATGTTGAAGTGCTTTCTGAGTAATAACGCCCGTGCTGGATCTAGTGTTGGGTGCAACCTACAGCTGTCGCTACCAAATCTGTATTAGAGTTAAATGAAATGCAATCGTCCATGGGAGGTCGCGCTTTATAAGCAGCAACTCTAATGTGAGCTCGGCCAGATCGCCAACGTAGGAACAGGAAGCGACAAGGACATGTTGATCCTTGGCAGCCTCTCTTTCCAGCTGAAAGCTTGTCAATGGCAGCAACGTTTTACAATGCTGCACCACTGCTACTATAACAAGTTAGAGCTGTCTGCTTCTCCTCGCCTGCAGATTTTGGTTTACAGTGTTCCTGTGCTCCAGGTCTTGCAGCGGTTGCAACAGAAGAGAGCGACTCTTGAGAAGGAATTAGCAAAGCTACCCAGCGCACCAACCAGCAGCAAAGATGTCTTTCATCTCTGTCGAGGTTTTGAGAGGGCCTTCACCCATACTGTGGAGGTGTGATACTGTCGAGTCAACTACTTCGTGCCTTTAATGTGGTCCTTGATTGAGGCACCCAGGAAAGAGATAGTGATAAACATGCACCCCAGCATCCTTGATGCAATCTCATCAACCTCCTCATCCCTATTCGGGGACGACCACTGGTTATGGCAGAGTGCCGGGTGCCTGACTGCTCTTTTTGTGTGCGCAGACCACAGACTATGCAGGATTCATCAGGCGGGCCTTCATGGACGAGGGACTCATGGGGGTGGTGGCAAAACTGCCTTTGGAGAGGAATTTCAAGCTAGAGCATGTGAAGGAGGTATGTAAATTCCTATGTTTCCTTGTTGCATATCATGCTCTTCCTCTGAAGCTTCCCACTTGATGTCGTGAGAGGCTTACATTTGCTTTCCAATAACAGAATTCTCTGCATTGCAGGTGGTCAGAGAAGCGGATGGTTACCAGTCGCATCTGGTGTCCCCTGAGTTTGGCCTGCGGAGACTGGTGGATGAGACCATTGGACTTGTGCTGGAGCCTGTCAACATGTGTGTGCGGCGGGTCCACCAGGTCCTCATAGATGCTGCCAGGTAACGATGCAGCTTCTCAACCTTTCCTACAGACATGCCATTCAGAGCATGGTATGCCCATGCACTGAGCATATTTGTGCACCGTGTTTTAACATTAATTTCTTGTATCTGTTGGATGCAAAAGACAGCGGCAGGTGCCTTTATTGGGTTCTCTTACTCTGGATCTCAAAGAGCAATGCTGCGGTTGCAGGGAGGCAGCCAGGAAAGCCAGCCTGATGACAAACACCACAGTGCTGGACGATACCAGGGAGCCGCTCAGGCTGCCAGCGTTTGAGAAGGCGGTGCTCTTTGCCGTGACTCAGGCGCTGGAGAATTGGCGAGACGAGGCCATGGAAGGTGCTGCCAGCTGTGCCCACCCGTTTATTTCAAAACTTGCCAGCAATGGCATGCCAGAATGTCCACTCTAGGTTCGCATGCAGCTGCATACGAGCAGGCTACCAGGCATGTCTGGTGTGGGGTGTGTGTTCATGAGACACTTTTTTTTTTCATGCGCAGTGGCGAAGACCATTGTAAACATGGAGCAGACGTACGTGACAGCGGCCTTCTTCCGCCACCGCACGGCAGAGCGCTACAAGGCCATGATGCAAGCGCAGCAGACTGCGCGGCTCCTCGGGGAAGGTGCGCCACATGTGCAGAAAATTTTCCTATCACTAAAGAATGCTTCTAGCATCACGTTGGCCTTCATATGTAAACTGGGCACATGATGTCTCCCCAGGACAGAAGGGTCATGTGCTTGAGTCTGCGACGGTTGCAGATCGTGTGTGTTTGACTTGTCGCTTGTTTCTGCTGCTAGTTAACCCGATTGCACAAGGTGGTCTGCGTGGCTGCAGAGAGGCAGCCTGTAGAGTGTATTGCTGAGCAGCTTTGGTGCTTGTGTGCTTGCAGGCAAGGCGGTGGCGGCAGACTCAGACTCGGACGACGATGACGACTCGCGGGACTCAATGGACGGTGACAGCCCGCACAGGCCGCGCGAGCTCACTGCTTCCTCCACACCCATCGGGGGCCCACTCTCCGGCGGCCTCACCATCCCTGCCACCATGAATGACCCAGGTTCTGCCACCAGTTCTTGCGGACACTGTGACTTAAACAGGGGATACTCAACAGAATGTACTTAGTTTGCATCGAATTAGTATCTGTGGTGCCTGACGCGCTATCATAAGGAATCGTTATCATGCCAGGTGGACAGTTGTCCAGCCATGTTAATTGCAGTCTCTCATGTCATCTTCATGCACATCTTGCTTGGCCCGCTCTTGCTGGTTTTTATCTGGGTGATGTGATTGTGGCTTACTGGCGTGGCATGACTGCAGCGGGGTTACAGCTGAGGTGACAGTTGTTACTGTGTGGGCATACAGGTGACCTGCTGACTGGGTACCTGGAGAAGCGCATTGGCGAGAACAGCGGGCGGCAGAGCCTGCCGGAGGCATGGCGCTGGCAGAAGCGCTACTTTGTGCTGACGGAGCCCAAGGGCATGCTGTACTACTTCAAGAGCGCCGACGACCCGCCCAACTACAAGGGCCTTATCAATATGCGCGAGTGCAAGGTGCCCACCAACCCCTCATTTGCTGTCCTCCATACCTCAGCCATGCAGGATGATCTGTCCAGCTGAACAAGCTGTCTTAAGTTGTGCAGTATCGTTGCATTGCTTTGCTGAAGGCAAGGTCGCCATCCAACCCCATCACGGTACTCCATAGCTTAGTCATGCAGGATCATCGAAACCTGGCTGGCTTTTGGCGTGTGCAACATTGTTGCATTTCTTGGCTGACATTTCAGAGCTCAGGAGCGTCCATATTCAATATCTTCACCAGTATGTTAGCGGATTAATCAATTTTCTTTTATATGCAACAGGCGGAGGACGTGGATGTGGATGGCCTGCCCAAGAGCGCCTCGCGCTCCAAGTACGACCTGGACGGCGGCGGCGGCCAAGTCTCCCTGCTCATCCGAGTCTCCCACAAGGTCAGCTGTTGCCCGTCCCCTGTCTTTATCTATGATCATATGTTTCAGACTAATATACTGGGGGCTCAAGCCCATATCCTGGGTGCTTGCCTGCAACATGAGCCGCTTTTGTGTCATACGCAGACAAACAATTACTCTTGTACAGATCTGAGAGATTTGTCCCTGTGTGACCGCACCTGGCGCCACGAGCAGTTTCATTTGCGCAATGGTCTCGCAGTGCAGACTCAATCTTGTGCAAAAGCCCATGTGCCCGAACCTGTTGAATGCAGTACCCAAATGCTGTGTGCTGCATGACTTCCTGCTCATTCATTCGCCATTGCCTGACTTTGTTCTGTGTCCTCGGCGCAGGACCCGTCCAAGCCGTGCGTGAAGAACCACCACTCGCTGGTGCTGCGCGCAGACAGCGCTAGCGAGAAGTTCATGTGGCTGGCGCGCCTCAAGAATGCCAGTGATGGCGGGGGCGCCGGGGGGCGCGCCCCCCTGCGGGGGTACACCTCCGAGCAGCTGCGCGCCGACTCGGTCACCAGCTCCACCGCCCCAACTCCGCGCGACGGCGTCCGCCGAGGCGGGGTGAGGCCGGTCCTTCTGTCACTTAGTAGCAGTGTTTGCTTTTGCTCAAAAGTTTGGGGAGTGTCATGGCTGAGCTGGAATTTCTTATGAGTGGTGGAGAGCTGCAAAAGAGTAAGGTTTCAATTGAAATGATGTTGACCAAGTTGTGAGAGGGCTTTGGCCATCAACGACAAACTTGGGGGATTCATTGTGTCAATCAGGGTGTTGTAGTCTCGCAGAGTCCATGCAATCATTCTCAAACAATCTCCCTTGGACAACTAGCTGTTCCAGCCTGGTGTTTCCCATGAATTTTGGGCAACGACATGCATGCAATGATAGCTCTTGCAGTACAAGCCTATCTGGCCTGTACTTCAGACAGCACCTGCCCTTACGGGTGAGGCAATGTATGAAAAGTTGTTGCTTATGTGAAGTCCTGAGCCTGTTTTGGTGTTGTGTGCACAGACTCCCAAGGTGGGCGATGTGCCTCTGGGAGGCATCGGTTCATCCGCGCTGTTCACAGAGGACAGCGGTCTGGGCCCCGAGCCTGTGCTGCCGAGCCGCTACGGCAATGGCGTGGACAACAGGGTGCTCTCTTCAGCCTCCTGCATGCTCTTCTTGCAATGTGTTGAGGCTCCTAGCAGACACAGTGTGTGTACTGTGAAGCTCGCTGCCCTCAGTTCTTGAGCCTCCTGCATGCTCCTTTTGTAATGTAATACTCTCTAGCAGACACAGTGTGAATACGGTGAAGCTCTCTTGGACTCGGGGATTCAGTTCTTCATCCCCCTGCATGCTCTTTCTGCGATGTACTGAGGCTCTAGCAGACACAGGGTGCATACTGTGAAGCTCTCTTGGACTCGGGCAGCATGATTCACAACATTGCAAAATTTCCATCAAGACACCAGGATACTGGTGCAAACGGGATGCAGGTGGGTGGAAGTGGGCTGTGCTTAGTACGGGAGAGTGCTTTGAGGAGAGAATGGAATGGAAGGCTCACAGGAGCTGGTGTTGCCTGCAGGTGTTTGATGACTACCTGCAGCAGCTTGCGGAGGACACGGCGGCCTATGTGCGCACCGTGTGTCAGACCATCGTCCTCACTGTGCCGAAGGCCATCATCCACTGCCAGGTGCGCCAAGCTGCTCTCACAACACCTCTTGGACAACCAGAACTACTTTCTTTGACCTGTATGATGCCAACGCTGCAATCCAATCTCTGGGCGTTTGATTCAATTTGAGCTTGAACCCATTGCGGATCAGAAAGAGGGGCATGCAACACATGTCATTTAGCCTTGGACATGTGTCGCACACACAGCTTTCTGTCACAATAGTAGATTCAAATGCTCCAGTAGGGCATTTCATGCGTAATCTCGGGGAGCCCAGAGTTGAGCGCGGGTGCATGGCTGCAGGTGAAGCGGGCGCAGGCGCACCTGCTGGAGCACCTGTACGGGGCTATGACTGGGCTGGGCGGCGCAGAGGCCGAATACCTGCTGGAGGAGGACCCCGAGTCTGTCATGGGCCGCGAGAAGCTCAAAAAGGTGCGCCTGATACGCTCGTACCCTGCCTACATGCCCGCATGCATGCACAGATTTGGTGGGGTCTATATATTCTACCTCCTGCTGTCCGCACTTCAGTCTGTGGGGACTGTAATGCTTTGAGCTCAGTTTGGACATGTTTTAATCTAGATCCTCTATCATCCGGTCCTTGCCTGACGCCGTTCTGATCCCTGCCTGTCCACGCAAGGCATCAGCCCTGTGGCAAGCTGACGCTTTTCAGAAGGATTTCAGGGGCTGTCCTGAATAGCATGTGTGCTTCTGCACAGTCCGTGGGCGACGTGGCGGACGCGATAGGGCTGCTGAAGCACCTGCAGGAGATGCACTACGAGGATGAGGAGAAGGCTGCGCAGCCCATGGAGGTTCCCGCTGACATTGTCGCCCTGGCCGAGTACCGCCGCCGCCGCACAACCAGCGACCGCTCTGCAGGTAAGGCGCTCCTCCGAGGAGGTTTCCTACATCTTTTTCTGATAAAACGTCATCCAACGCTGCTGCTGTTGTCGTAGAATGTCTGTCCCTGTTGAAGAGGTCCTAGCTGGGCATGTTTGTATGACATTTCCTGGAGTGTTCACACCTTTTTAGGAGGTGGTTGGCCGGGACTTCTTGGTATGACAGGCTCGAGTAAAGCAGAAGAAATGCAAGCACATGGGCATGCATACACCTCCTTCCTTTTCTATTGTCATAAAAAAAATCACCTGATGCGGGAAGACTTCCAGACACTGAGCAAGTATATTTGTGTGCGCAGCGTCGCTGTCAAACGGCAGCTCGCCGGAGGGCGCCGGCGCCGGCCGTCGCTCGGCGTACCCGGACGCCACCGCCGGCGCCGGGAGGTCCGCGGCGGCCGGCACGGGGGGTCCCCCGGGTCCCCCCGCCCGCACGCTGTCATCCTCGCGGCGGCAGGCCACGCCACCGCCGCCGCGCGTGTCAATCCCCACGGGCCCCCCTGGCCCCGCATCGTCCCCCAGCCCCATGCCCCGCCGCCGTCCGCCCCCGGCCCCCCCCGGCGAGACCCCCCGATAGCGCGCCAACTATTACAAGGGAGGGACGCTGATGGGTGGATCCGACACACGAGAGCCTGCCAGCCCTGATGAGGGGTCGCCCATGTGACACACCTACTGGCGGATCCACCTCCTGATAGCTGGTCAGCCTCACTTAGGGGGTGCCCATGCGGCACTGATGGGTGCATGCAGCGCAGCAAATTGCTGTGTGTGTGTTGGTTCCCATGGCACCTCTGTATGGATGACGCATTGTGTATGGTGTCTCTCTGTGGTGAGCCTGCTGTGCTCCCAGAGTGGCGGCATTCCGAGCTCTGGCTCGGAGCTCTGGTGGGCATCGGCCTGGGTTTAGCTAGGCTGCAGGAAGCGTGGTGCTGTTGCAGGCTGATGTGAGGGCTGTGCTATGCCGTGACGGACCTGCATCAATTCTGCTGCTTGAACACTGCTCTCGCCAAATGGCAGGCAGTGCAAGGTTTCCTTATAGTCGCAGCAGCATGTATCCTTATTTCGCCACTTACTGTCCAGTATTGAGTCGGAAAGAGGAAGTCCTTTTGAATCACTCAGCATCATTGCAGCTACTGTCGAGGAGGATGTCAGACTAAGAGCTCGTCTTGCTGTCCCAGAGCAAGTGCATGGATGAGCCTGCTTGAGTGTGGCTGGAATGGGCAGTCCACCCCATGCACCAGCTCGTGGAAACCGCTGCCCAGGCCGTTGGCCGTGTCATAGGACACTAATCCTTACCGTCAAAGACCTAGGCTCCTATTTACGGGTTGTTCTCCTTTGACTTCATTTCAACCTCTCGAGGTCGTTTGTGTATCGGTTCATGTGCATCATCTGCAGACCTGGGCCCGGGCATCTATGAATTAGGACAAATTGTGACGAGTCAACAGATGAGGCTCAGTACATGCTGTAAACTTGGCGAGTGGTGCCTGCAAATGTAAAAGAATATGTCACTTTGTAGATAGATGTCCATGGACAGGAACAGCTGCCGCTCATCGTCCTCTCCCGCCACACTTCAAACCTAAAACGTTCAAAGTTGGAGCTGCAGATGAGACTAAGGACACTTCATGGTGTGAGGAGCCATCAATCTGACAATTGACTCCAAATGCATAGGAATGATCTATGCATTCCACAACCAATATACTCTGAGGCTCCCAACCTTGCCTTGCCGTGACAGTGATCAGATAGGAGGTGTTGGTGCATGACAAGACATTTGCATCTTGGGCAGGTCAAGGTGCAAGCCTCATGTCTCGCAGATCACCCCAAGTATAGTGCAGGCTCAACATAATGTGACTATAACCAGAGCGTTTTAGGTGGTGTTGAACACCAACTTGCAAATTTTTACAGCACAACAGGTGTCTGTAGCCACGGAGTGGACCATCCAAAAAACACGAGGTCACTGTCAGGGCAAGGCAAGGGCATTCCTGCCAGCAAGTGCCTCGACAATGCCCACGCGCTCGAAGTTGGCATCTGCTATGCTCAGCACATCCTGGTGGCGCAGAGGCACCGGCTGCATGTCTGTGAGTGTGGTGGGATCCCCTTCCGCATGGATGATTGTGACTGGGTACCTCTCCCTCGCCTGGTCAACCACATGAGCTAATCAGAACCCAAGAACATGGCTATTGCTCGCAAGACAGCTCAGCGACAACTGCTTCACCTAAAAGCAAATGCTAGGAAGCATCGCCCACGGATACTGAGACCTGCGGCCTTGTGAAGGCCTTGCGATCGCAAGCACCAATCAGCAAGAGTAGAAACATCTGCAAAGTGTGCAGAGTCTGCACTGCGGACCCCCCCATATTGAGGCCTCAATCGCGTAGATACTGAATCAGCACATTTGTGCCGCAGTTGGATTGGCGGCAGATTTTCATTCAGGCCAGAACTCGACTTTAAGCAGGGAAAAATCCTGAAACATGGAAAGCCAACCTTACCAGTTCGTTGCAGAAGCCGACGGTGATGCGGCCGCTCGGGTGCACCACAAGCTGCGAGTGAAACTTGATGCAGCCACAGGGGACGCAGAATCCGCCGTCGCCCGTCCGAGCGCCAAATGTGAACACCGTCTTTCCCACCAGATCCTTCGACTGTGCTTTACCCTGCCACAGCACCCCACCCTGCATCAGTCAGAGACTGCAGGGGCTGCTGAGGCTGCTGGAGAAATTGCAGCATGCCTGACAATGTGGATGCATCTGCAGGGCGGCTGACTCCTAATGACAGCATGGTGGCTGCCCCAACATGGCTGAAGCGCCATGGTCCCCACCCCCTCATAGACACCTGTGGCCTTGACATGCACGACATGGCCGGGACATCGGCGCATGCACCTTGCAGTGGTGCTCGAACTTAACGCCCAGGATTCCGGGAAGCACATCCACAGCCTATGAATAGCAGATCAGACCTCCAGGGGAACGATGCGGCCGATGCAGCCCAGGGCTTCTTCCGCCGCAGCATCCTTCATCATCTTGGCCTCGTGTGCAGCCCTCTCCAGCGGCCCCGTTGCGCTCTGCCGGCCTGCAGCGGTGGCCTGTGTCGCAGTCCGCGGCTGCAGCTGCATTCGGCGTTGCGGCTGCGGCGGCGTCTGTGGCAAGTTGCCGCCATTGCTGCTGGTGCCCTCGTTGCGGCTCTGGCTGGCGCCCATGCTGCGGACGGCGCTGCCTCCCTCCTCGCTGTGAGGAATCATCAAAATCAGGACTCTCTCGGCAGCCTGAGGAGACTCTAATGCAGCCGCCAAGATGGGAGAAGGCGGTGCGGCATCAGTAAGAATTCAATTCCTCAGGCAGCTGTGCTGCTGATCATAGCGGAAATATGGCAGCAACTTCTGGGGTGTTTGCAGGAGGGCAGCACATACGAAGAGCCACAAGCCAGCCACAAAATGTATTCAAGGCCTTGTCAAATTTTCTTTATCAAAAGCTGCTGCTCCTGTTCAGAGATTAATACACTGTGCAGCATTCACCGCAAGTCTAGTTGGTTCCACTGCCTGTCAGAGGCGGCAGCGGCTCTGTTGAAGGGCCGGAGTTCACGCTGCTTGGGGGGCGTGCGAACAGGTGTCACTGTGCGCGCAGCTACTGTGCCGCAGCAGGCATCAGGCACCTGGATGCAGTTCTCGCACAGCACGTTCTTGGGGTTCAGCTTCTGCACGCCAGCAGGCACGCACCTGCAAAGCAGCACCAAAAGATCAGCGACCTCACCGAGCTCTTTAAAGTTTTTTCATCCCTCTGCAGGAGGCTTTGGCAGACCCCAAGCCCTCCAAGCCCCCCAACAAAGGACGCTTGAGAGAATGCTGCCCTTCGAAATCTTCTGTAGGAAGTTTTGCACTATTCCTGACCTAAACAAGAATGATACGGTCGATTGTTCACTTGAGCTCTGGGCAGCACCTGTGAGCCTCAGTGACGCCATGTGTACCTGCCACAGAAGTCACCCAGCGACCCTGACCGAGCAAGAAGTGTGTCTTCTCAATTTTAGATTGGATTTCACTCATGCATTGGTGCTCAGTGGTGGGAGGCGCACGTGGCATGGTAAGCAGTAGGGCAGCGCCAGCATTGCAGCGTGTGCCGTCCGGCCCCAGAATTGCCACACACATGGCAGAAATGCGCCGGGCAGGTGAAGACCCGCTGCCCGTCCTCTCCTCCTGCTGCCACCCCAGGATCCTCCCTGCAATATCTCACACAGCTTTTTAGCCCCACGCGATTTGCCAAAAAGTAAGGAGGATCCTCTCCCTCCTGACCTGTCCTCAAGCCAAGCAGGACTTTAACAGAGATCCTACTACAAAAATCAGGCAAGCAACCTGTGAGTCTTGCCCCTATGCGCTGCCAATTGGCCATGATATGCCCCTACGAGTGTTCTCCTGCTTGTCTAATGCAACAAATGGCCTGACAACAGCATATTTGGGGAAGGATATCCTGGCATAGTCAAGCTGTCTGATAGCAGGGCAGGTGCTGTCGAGGGTATTTACAGACAGGACAGCAATGAGACATGACCAGAGTCTCTATATATTATTGTTCTCATCATCAGTCCTTAAGGACCATGTACGTCAACAATAATAAAATGAGTCTCTATATTTTGCACCTGTGAATCTTCAGGAGGCCCGAGTCACGCAGGCCATTCAGGCAGGCGTTGTGGAAGTACCAGCCGCAGCTGCCCATCTTGCAGGGCAGGATACTCTGCCCCACCACACCACTCTCTTTGCATATCGCACAGGTCCCGATGCCCAAGCGGCAATCCGGACAAAACCTGCCCGTTCACAACACCTCACAAGTGAACCTTCCTCCATGCCATGTGATTGTCTATTTGACGCTGGCAACCAGATGTCATAACAGATGGTGGTCTCTTTCAAATAAAGAGACGAGAGTTGCAAGACACGACAAGCAAGTGCGATCGCCAAGCAGGGAGAAGATGGACTCTCCTTGGAAACGCACGAATGTGGAGAATCACATTGCAAATTTCGCATTTGCCATGCAGGATCTAACATGTTGACAGCCTTACGTCAACACGCCACAACAGCTACAAGTGTACTTGATTGAGAATCATGCCTTGATTGAGAATCATGCCAAGAAAGTGATGTGGAAAAAGGAAGGCAGGCTGACCAGGGGGTCTCAGGGGGGTTTTCTGGGTTGGGGCGTTCGCTGGGAGCCAGGCAGTTCTGATGGAAGCTGCGCAGGCACATGCCGTCACACTCCAGCAGCTCCCCGCCGTCCCCACAGCAGCCGCAGAAAAACGCGTTCCAGTCCGTCTGCAGGGCATGCACATGCTTGTCATGGCCCTGTCCTTACAACTACGGCAGACTTGCGACAATGCACCAGACTCTGGTCGCAACCCCTCTGTAATGCACGCCTGTGGGGTGCTTAGTACTTGGGGCTCACAGTTTCAGTAAACCCCGCAAAGAATTGAAACTTCAATGCATGCGGTCACATGTCTCGCTCCGCCACTGCCGCACGGTCAGCCACTCTGCTGCGGTCTGTCATCCTGTCCTCCAGCTCTACTTGACAACGACAAAGACCTGCAAGGGTGGTCCCACCTTCAGGCGGCCTTGGGACGGTCGGTGCATGGTGAGGGGGAGGCCGCTGTCAGTCTCAACAGGAACATCATATCCTTCCTCCTCAGCGTTTCCACCGGCCAGCTCCTGCAGCGAGGCGCGCTTGCGCCGCGGCCGGCGTGGTGCATCGCGCAAGTGCGCATACATGAGCTGCTCTGCCTGGATCTCGCCTGGCAGCACCTGCCGCCAGGGCTGCCTCTGCCGCTTGCTGCGCCGTCGGCCCTCTTTCTCATCCGGCTCATCTGGACATCAGGTAGATGGAAGGAACATAGTCAAGGAGGATCTGGGGTATTGTCAGAAGGCTGTCTTCATTGAAGGTGCACGTTGCAATCTAGCTGACATGCTGCTTCTGCCCAACGCTCGACTCAGACCGGTCTATGCATTTTCTCCAAGATGCTACATGATCTTGGATGCTTTGCATGGCTGAGATGGTGAGCTCATGCGGCCACAAGTTCCAGTGCATCTCTGCATGTGATGCACATGGACTTGGCTGTGCAGAGGGTCAAGCGGTGTACCTTCACAGGCACTGAAGCTCCATTTGCCGGGATGCAATGCAGATTCCTCATGAGACTCAGCTGCCACATCATCAATGTCCAATGGTGGCACCCTGCAGGGGCAAGGTTTTGGTACATCATGTCCAGATGCAAAAGGGGCTGCTGCATTGACACAGATAGAGCATGTGATTATGGACTTCAACAGCAATGCATGCTGTTGCAGTGAAAGGAGATTCAAGCTGCAGAGCACACCAGACAGCTTCCTCTTGTTGAATTCTGCCCATCGCCTCCAGGCAGCCGCTGCGCATAATCATCGAAAATCAGAACAGCTGACAGTAATTATAGGACGTGGCCAAAGACATGCCGGTCTGAGAACAGTCACCGCGATCCTCTACGGTCTCCTTTGTTTGAGAATGGACATTGATGCAAACATTGAGCCGATATAATAATGGAGCACTAGGAAGCATCTGATTTATAGGTCGAGACATTAAGCACACACAGCATTTCTTCAGATCAGCCAGCCCATTACCGTATGATTTCTACAACGTTGACACAGGACTTTCAGCCAGATATGTGATAGAATTATATGCAGCAAAATAATTCAGAAGTTGGATCACTCGAAGCTTGCCTGGAGCTGGACGCCAGGGACTCCTTGGCACACTTCAGATGCCACTTCGAGCTCCCTGAAGACACTATCTACCTCGATGGCAACTCCCTGGGCGCTCTTCCAAAGGCCACTTCTCAACGTTTGTCGGAGGTAGCTGGCCCGACTTCATTTCAAAACCCTATACCTGAAGGTCAGCTTTTCTTGGACTGATCCATGCTGGAAATCTCAATCAGGATTCACGCTCTGACAGGTCGTACAGTTGGAGTGGGGCAGGGACCTCATCAGCAGCTGGAACAAGCACGGCTGGTGGGATGCGCAGAAGAGGCTGGGGGACAAGGTAGGCCGCATTATTGGGGCTGAGCTTGGCACAGTGCTGGTCGCTGACTCCACCTCTGTAAACCTCTTCAAGGTCGTGGCTGCCGCTCTGGACCTGCACCCTGGCAAGATCATTGTCTCAGGTATTTCCTGCACCCCTCCGTATTCCTACACCCAATAAAAGAGCGTCCCTTCCACTGCAAACTGGCTTTTGCAAAGTCACCTGTGCTCTTGCACGTCTCTGAAAAGCAGTCACTACTGCATGCTCCTTGCGCTTAGTGTATGAGCAATTTGAGCCGCCAATCGATGCACTTTGCTGCTGATGGTGGCTGCAGAGCAGGCAAACTTCCCCACAGACCTATACATGCTGGAGGGGCTGATCAGGCACATGGGCCGGGGCCATCAACTGCGGCTGGTTAATTCCCCAGAGGACATCCTCGCAGCAATCGACAGCGATGTTGCGGTTGCGGTGCTGACTCATGTGAGCTACCGCACCGGCCGCATGCTCGACATGGCAGCCATCACAGCCCACGCGCATGCAAGGTACAACTCCCGCTAAAGAGCCGTCACTCTTTGGATGAGATTGTGGGTCTTTCTGTCAAGCATCACTCTGAAGACAACCTGCATAAGTGAGGGAGTAGAGGAAGGGCAGGAAGAAGGGCTACATTGCAGGCTTCACCGACACCAGCAAAGTCACAAAGATCTTCTGGTGCAGATTGGAGAAGCATGCAAGGAGATTTGTCTAGATTGGATGCGGGACGACAAGGACATCATCTGAAGTGAGCCTAAGCAGGATTGTGCAAAAGTCAAGGAGCTCTTTGTAGAATGGGTGCGGCATGAGACAGGGAAGACATGGATATCTCAGGAGGGTGCACCTATGCAGGGGCGCTCTGGTGGTGTGGGATTTGGCGCACAGCGCGGGCGCCGTGCAGCTCGATTTGAGCGGCGCTGACGTGGACTTTGCTGTCGGCTGCGGCTACAAGTTCCTCAATGGCGGCCCCGGCGCGCCCGGCTTCCTGTACGTGGCCGAACGCCTGCAGGTGCGACCAAGCCAGAGCAAGGGATTGTGTGACATGTACGGAAACCCAGCCCTTAGTTGCAGAGGGACCAACAATGATGAACAGGCAGGCAACGTTCCTGCAAAGGGTTCAGGAAACGCGGCATGCGAGAAAGACATAAGGTGCACGAGCAAAGGTTTTGGGCATTTTTGAAGGCAGCAGCTTTGAAATCATGACGCAATGCTATTGTGTGTGGCGCAGGATAAAGTACAGCAGCCTCTGAGTGGCTGGTTTGGCCATGCAAGGCCGTTTGCATTCGAGCCCTCCTTCGAGGCGGCCCCTGGCATCCAGCGGTTCCAATGCGGCACTCCGCCCATCCTCAGCCTGACTGCCCTCGAGGTGAGGAGACACTCTAAAACTTCTCTCCATCTCACGCAATTTCCAACCACAGCCAAGAGTTCTACCCGATATGCGTTCACTGCTCGATGTTACTGGGCCCTTCCCCGTGAGAGCTGCACGCGGGGCCTCCTTGGCACTCACACTCCAATGAATTTCTGGTAGTGCAGCATGCGATTGTCATTGCTAACTTCGAATTTAAAATCGGGTGCCAAAACAGGTGGGGTTGGATCTGATCCTGCAAGCGCCACAGGAGGCTGTCAGGGACAAGTCAGTTGCGCTGGGATGTCTCTTCAAGCGTCTGATGGAGCAGGAGTGTTTTGAGTGGGGCTTCCGTCTGGCTTCACCCCCAGATGCATCGCAGCGAGGCAGCCAGATCTGCTTCGCGCACCCGGAGGGCTATGCAATCATGCAGGTGGTGCGGATGAGCCCCTTTTATCTTCCCCGGCCCTTGTATGCATGCAACTAGGGAGGCCACCTCTGTGCATGCATGTCTGCTAACCATGCACGACACTGTGATCAGAAGATGAGGAGATGATGCTGTTTTTCCAAGAAAATGTGAACGCCAGAAGATGTGAGGATTCTAAAAGTGCTGTTGTGTGGTGTGGCAGGCCCTCATTGAAAAGGGAGTGGTGGGAGATTTCCGCTCGCCGGACATTCTGCGCTTTGGCTTTGCGCCGCTGTATGTTTGCTACGTGGACGTTTGGGAAGCTGTGCAGAAGCTGAAGCTGGTCATGCAGGAACGCCTCTGGGACCAGCCCCGACATCGCCAGCGCGCTGCTGTGACCTGATCATGCCGTGCTGTGCAAGAGATTTTAATTGTGAACTTATTAAATTTGTTCTGAAGTTCCCCAGCCCTTCCAGGCTGAGGATTCATCCTTTTGTCTATTTCTTGTAGAAGCATTCCAGGAAATATACAACGCAAAGACTCTTGCAATTGCAATTTTATGAATAGCATGGAGGCCTGAAGAGCATTCTGTAGAAGGATACGAGTATTGATGAGCTCAATGCATGAGCTTGAAAACGGTGCGGATTTCCTATAGCTATAGGAACCTATATACCTACAGGTGTCAAGAGTAGAATTACATCATCCTGCCGCTTGTCTGAACAGTACGCCCTATGGTGGCGACATTCATTCACTTGAAGAACACTACTAGCACAAGACTTGTAAGCAAATCCTTAATCCGGCAGTCAAACGCTAATCATACATGCACATGAAAATAAATCCAGCCGCTACACCCGCATCGATGATATCAGGGGTGGCTAACATCAGCAAGACCGCCATATGGATGCATTAGGCAAATTTCTTACCAATTGATGTCAAACAACGTTAACGTTTGGCGCTGCCTCTCACATGGACTGGCCTGCAGATCTATGACTGGGCAGCACTGCTATATCCAAATCACGCAATGCATCTGCAAGCATCCAAGCATAAAAAACAGCCCGATATAATGTCTTGATGCGGCGCCCTAGCAATGCAGGAGCAGCAGGCCTGTCACAGCCCCCCGCGCATGCATGCAGCAGGACCCCCCCGCTCATGACCCCCAGCTCAGTTGTTGTAGGAGGAGGTGGTGATGGAGTCGGCGGAGTTGCGGGGGTCCCACACGGTGTGGAACCAGCCGGGCTTATCAATGCGCTCGTACGTGTGCGAGCCGAAGAAGTCGCGCTGCGCCTGTAGTTGGGACAGCAGTCAAATGTCAGCTAACTGAGTGACTGTCTTGTACTGATGCACACACAGCACAAGAAGAAAATCCTGAAGTCTTACTGGGGCTCAGGGCCCACAAAGCTTGGCTTCCTTACGGCAATTTTCTGCTTCCATCACAACAGTGGCGCCAGCAAATCTGTCAGAATGTTGACAGCTTGCATGCAACTGCTGCACGCTGTTGCAAAATTGGCATTCTTGCTCGTGCAGCAAGAGAGCATCCTGGTTAAATTTAATGGAAGAGCGACGGCGGGATAACAATCTCCAGATGCTGAGCAGCAAAGAGTCTCGAAAAGAGTGCAGGGGCAGGGACAGCAGTGGGGAGGGAGCGCGCCTGCACGAGGTTGGCGGGAACAGTTTCGCGGCGGTAGGTGTCAAAGTAGCCCAGCGACGCGCTGAAGCCTGGCACTGCCACGCCGTTGGAAATGGCCTGCACAGGATGAGAAACAGAACTCTAGTGACAAGAGCTATATATATACAGTACAAATGATGAACTCCTGCCCTACTGAGGTCAGATACCAAGTCGCTCCAGACGCTGCCAGGCTAATACATTGATGGGCACCCCTGCTCACCCATCCCTCTAGCACTACCCGCCACATGCGCAAAAGCGCATCCTGCACAACCCTTTTTCCTCACCCGCACGCATACACTGGCCCCCACACAATATTACAGCCAACCCTTCTTGTCATGGGCCACGAAGTCTCATATTTTACATGACAGGTCCATGAGAGCTAGGAATACCCGTGCAGCAAGATGGACGGACCTTGGTGACGACGGAGCGCCAGGCCTGCTCGCTGGAGACGAGCTTTTTGGCAAAGTCAGGGTCGACCAGCAGGTTCTCCAGCGCGGGGTTCCGCTTGTACGCCTCGTAGATGTCCGTCAGGAACACCGCGCGGATGATGCACCCGCCCTGTGCACCAGCCGAGTTGATTCAGATGGGGTCCCAGATGTATCCTGTCACACACTTTCAAGGGGGCAGGAGCCTCAAACGCCTGAATTTTTCTGGGTTATTCAGAGAGATACATGGGGCATGCTCTGGCAGCACAAGCACTGCATGCATGCACATAGTGTCGTCTTGCACAGAAATACGCATGGCAGACGCTGTGCCAGCACAAGCCTCGTAGGCCTGCGCATTGCATGCCTGTGGAGATACCGGCAGCATATGATAAAAGCATGGCCGCTTAGTCATGCCGGCAGTGCTTTGAGCGCTCTGCAGCAGCCTTCAGTGCTTTTCGCGCTCTGCCGTTGTCCAATTTTTCCAGCACTTCAAAAAAAGCTTATGGAGAAAAGAAGGCAGGGGCCTGGGATCACCTTCCAGATGCGGGAGAGGGCGCCCATGTCGACGTCCCATCCCTTCTCGGCGCTCTTGGCCTTGATGATGTTGAGGCCCTGCGCGTAGGAGCAGATCTTGGACGCATACAGCGCCTGCTTCACCTCCTTCACCAGCGCCGCCTTGTCGATGCCCTGCGCGCCAATTTGCCATTTGTGATCAGAGCAAGAAGTGGCGGATGAGATGCATGCTTACACTACAAGGATCTGTGCCCTCAAGAGGAATTCACAAGAGAGATTGATCATAAACTCACTCAGGACGAGCGGCAACAGGAAAATAAATGCACGGCTACTGTGCAGCTTACTGATTTTGTGATCCCACCTCCATGAACCCCCTTGAGGACACAGAACTGTTTGCAATGTACTTTTGAATGATAGAGATACCAACAGTGTCAGTGGCCTCACACAAGGACACCCAGTGCGAGGCAAGAATCAGCCACACATCAAGAGGGCCAGCCTGATGGAGCAGGCCTGTGGCTGCCGTCTGGCTGTTAGATAAACTGAAGACAACACTGTCCTCCATAGGTGCAACCTGACATATTGTGCTGCAAGTGGGAACCCCTGCTGGTTGATGCGCTGGTTGATGTGCTGGTCGATGTGCAACATTTGGAGACCGAGCGCTGCAGGCGCACCTCTATCTTGGTGGGCTGCTTGAGACCGAGGTCTGAGAAGGTCTTGGCGGCTGCCACGCGCTCGTCCTTGAGGCCCGACAGGAACCGCCCGTCCAGCGCAGCCTCGATCGTGGGCGCCGGCACGCTCAGCTCTGCCGCCTGCTGCACCGTCCACTTGCCTGCGCGCCATGACTCCCTTACCTCACATTCATGCATGAACAGGGAATGCCTTTTTAGGTCTTACATCCGTCCGTGTGCTGACCAGCTCCCGGGCTGCTTAGGATGGGGCGCTCGGGACACATATCACGGTGGCATCTCAGCGGCAATCACAGACATATGCGTAGATCTAGAACAGGCTTGCAGTCACAGCTGCAGAAGTTATTAGGGCTTCGATGCAAGAAAAGATTGGCAGCTCATTAATGGCTGCTGCATGATTGTGATGTTGGGAGGTCTGGGGGCGCGCACCGGTGCCCTTCATGCCGGTCTTGTCGAGGATCTTGTCGGCGAGCGGCGCTCCGTCCTCGTCCTTCTTGGCCAGGATGAGCGCTGTGATCTCGATCAGGAAGCTGTCCAGCTCGCTCTGCAGCAAATCACAGCAAACAGTCAGCATTTGGATATCTGAGCATTCGACACCGCCCTAAAAGCATGTTCCCACACACAGCTCTGTGAAATGCGACGCGCCTTCCCTTTGAGGAAATCTCAGCCATGCGCTGTGAGCTTGGTTTGCAGCGTGATGATGGGAAACTAGCATCATAGCAATGCACACCGCTGTGAGCAGATGCAGCGGTTACTCAGTGCGCAGTGGTACTAGTAGAGGGGCGCCAGCATGTTTGTCCCCTCACCTTGTTCCACTCGTTGAAGGCCTCCACGAGCTCGTCGTTGGTGAGGCCGCCGACGGTCTTGAGCACATCATAGGCCTCGCTGATGAGCTGCATGTCGCCATACTCGATGCCGTTGTGCACCATCTTGACAAAATTGCCCGCGCCGCCTGGACACACCCTCACATGCTCAAACATTGGAGCCCCAATACCTTCTCAATTGAAGCGACATGTCATATATGGGCACCGTATAAATCAGCATCTTCGCCAATGAGGAGCAGAGCCAAGCTCTTAAGGATGCACTTGATCCTGCCTGATGCACATGCCGGGAACCTGCCCCGTGCTGCAAACCTCCTTCTGAAGCCAGAAGCCAGTATAAGAGGAGAGTAGCAACCTTGTACTACACGGGATTTGCCAAGCGTTGTGCTCACTCCTTTTTATGTCAGGACATCAAGATGGCACTTCAAACTATACCGCTGTATGCAGCTGCTGATAAGGCAGGATTGATATACATGAGAGGCATGGAGGGGAAGCTAGAAAGGGTGAGAAGGCGTGCCTGGTCCAACGTATGTCACGCAGGGGCCATCGTCCACCTGAGCGGCCACCTTGGTAACGATCTTCTCGATGGCATCATAGCCCTCCTTGGTGCCACCGGGCATCAAAGAGGGACCTGCACCAAAAACCCGTAATCCTTCTTTCAGGATCCTTGTCCTCAAAATGCCGGCAAGGAGAATGGTTTCATGTCAGCCCGATGACATCTTGCTAGCACCTTGGTATTTGACTGTACATGCAGCTGTGCTTTGCACTGATCGCCCCTTCAAGACACAAGAGCAGCATGCAGAGCAAGCAGATCTCTTGTGCAAATCACATCCTGCAATGTCCTGTCAATGGGCCGAGTTTGTGGGGCTGCGCACCGTTACGGGCACCCTCCTCTCCGCCAGACACACCCATGCCCAGGTAACCCAGTCCCTTCTCTGCAACCTTCGCCGCGCGCGCCTCTGTGTTCTCATACCTGAACAAAGCAGCACGACAGTCAATTAATGGCCTTAATCCTGATGCACAGCCCGTTGCCGTCCAGTACAGTCTGGCAAAAGGCTAGAATCCTTCTTCCTCAGCCAAGGCTGCTTTAGGGGATCATGTCTTACCACTCGTTGCCACCATCAATGATGATGTCACCAGGTTCCAAGAGGGGAATCAAGGATTCGATGGTGGCGTCCACGGGGGCGCCAGCCTTCACCAGAATCATCACCCGCCTGCATCATTGAAAGTCAAATTCTTTGCAGCTTTCTGTGCCTCAAACAAACACCTCAGGAGCAGCACTAGCATTAGTATTTCGTTTGCATCTTGTAAAGCAAGCAGATCAGCCTTTCCAAGAATCTGGAAATACGTAATGTTTCACGTTGATCACCTAGGCTTCTTTAGAGAAGCAACAAACTCCTTCAGATCCGGGAATCCCTTCAGATTTGCTTCCAAGCCTGCGTCACGCAGATTGCACATCAGACCAGGTGCCTCAGACCTTAAAATGGGTCAAGACTTTCTGCTTGCAAATATCTTCGTTGAAGCATGAATCCCGAGCTCACCTTCCTTCTTGGCACGAGTGACGCAAGCTTCGGTCTTTTCGTATGACCTATTGTACACCGAGATAGGGAAGCCCTTCTCAGCGACGTTTAGGGCGAAGTTCTGCACGGCAACAGGCCATTGATCAAGACGCACAGTAGGGTCCTTTCATCACCAGCAGGACAGGGTCATACTCATGCCATGCAACAAAATATGCCAGTACCTGTCCCATAACAGCGAGACCAATAAGTCCGAGCTCCGACATCGCTGTGACTTCTCCTGACCTGCACAGAGGGACATGTTCCTCGGTCAGCCGAATTGAAACCCACTTCAAGGTAGGGCTCAGCAAAATTTTTGTTGACAGCTGCTTACGTCTCCTGGACTGTGGCTTCGGGGGCGGCTACGGCCGAGATGCTCAATCTGCACTTGGAGGGGCGCCCAAAAAGCTTGCTGCTTGCACTCAGCCTCTGCCCTAGAACTGATGAAGACCCACGAAAGGATGGGGAGAGGGCAAGAGTGCGTGGCAGGGGTGAGCTTGTGTGGGGAAGTGTGCAAGATCTGCTGATGTCAATTGTCGGAAGCATGACAGGCACTTTGCATGAAGACTCAAGCGGCGCTTCCCCTTACTCTATGCGTCCAATGCCACTTGGGCACGGGTGCAGACCCACGTGAAGGGTTCTGCGAAAAGGAGCTTCTAGGGTTTGAAAAGGCCAAAATTTTGGGTCCCTGTATTGCAATTCAGGGAGGATGGGTTGCCATCAGAGCATCAGGCTCTGTCTCCAGCTGGGGACATACACTGCATTACTGATCAGGCACAATTGCTAGCATGCTGCAGGCTTCATCTACTTTCAATTGAGGCCGGGCTCCAAGGCTGTCCCAGATTCGCATGCAGAAATGCCAATCCTTCCTTGGAAAACATCAAAAAGTGCTCAAAGAATCTCTGCCCGGAGCTGGATCCAGCTGAAAGCGATAGGACAATCAACAGGCCTAAGCCTGGCATGATCTTTCATCTCAGCCTGAGATATGCTGCCCTTCGGCAGAATACTTCTGCTTGCCGGTCTTCTAATGCTCTGCTCCCTTTAGTTCCTAGCCTACTAATTCACACAGCTCTAGCTAAAAATCATGCACGTCTCCTTCTTCTGCAGCAAAGGTGCCCATCAAGAAACAACTGCCTGGGCGCACAGCCGACCACACAAGTAACATAATACTACAGGTTGAGGACTTGGCAGTCCTACATGAGACCCATATCATACAATGGTGTGCTGCATCAGCTAAGGGGCATCTTCATCCAGTACCCCTCGTGCAACGTCCTCCTCATTGAAAATCTGCATAGACAGCAGCTGCCAATGAGAATCGCAGAATCGCAATAACACGGACACACTCGATATCTTCTAGAGGTGGATGTCCTGCCTTACAATTTCATAACTACAGTAGTACATTGACACGATGATTTGGGATATTGGGACAACACAGACCTTCTTTGCCTGTTTGATCTCCACATTCATGCGCAGCAGCTCTTGCGCGCGCGCAAACTTTTGAGGATCCTGCGCAGCACTTGCACGCTGACCAGCAAAGTCACAAGCTCACAAGCGCGCATGGGTTGCACCCACAGAGCTGTATCATGCTGCTGCTTTCCTGGAACAGCAAACGCATGTTTGCACTATAATGTTAAGGATGATATGATTGAGCAAGGCAGGGAGCAATTGCTTGCCTTGCGGACCAGGTAGAGGATGTCTTCAGGCTGCATCTTGCCGTCACGTCCAGTGGCGTGATCCATAGCTGCATGCGCCATAGTCGTGACATAGTCCACCACAATGTCCTGTTCACATGCCAAAAATTGTACACAAAGCACTGCAAGGGTGCTGCTGGCCACTTCAGCTGAACAGGCACTTTGACAGCAATATAAAGGGCTGCAGAGCTTGAAGTGAAGCATGGTAGGAGCTGACCTCCACCAGATCAATAGAAGCTGAGAAGGGATTCTCAGCGTCTCCATATCCATACATCATCAGATTGACTGCAAAATTCACAGGATGGTTAATTATCTGTAGTTGATCTATGTTGATATCTTATCCTGCAATACGTTGTCCAGTCAGGCAGAGGCAACGCACGATCTTTATTGAAGAGGCCTCGCTTCTGCAAGTTGGGCTCCAAGTCATTCCCTGCAAATCAGATCCATTTGTTTGAGATTTTCTTAAATTGTTGATTTCTTCAATTAATTTGCTAAACAGCATGTCCACCGAGGGAGAACCTGGGACATCCTTTTTCTTCTTTCCAGCAACTTTCTTCACGCCAGCCTTTTTCTTCTGAGTAGCTTTATCTGATGGCATGAGGATAGCTGTCAGGACAGACTAGTTGACGATCATGCGCTCATCTACACCAACATCATGTATGGGATGCGCGAATGACTTAAGATTTCATCGATTGATCACAAGCTGAATGTTGAAATGAAAGGCGTAAGAGCACCTAAACTTTAGATGTTTGTTTCTCACGACGATTTTGAGCTTCGTCTTCTTCGCACCTTTTGTGGCTTGCTCAATCATGAGTCATCAAGGGGTCCACTCAGCAGTGGATCTATCCACTCGCTGAGTGCACTGCAGGCAACAGGTGTGAGACGTTGTCCTGATGGGTGTGCTCATAGTGTGACCACATGCACTTTGTCCAATTGAAGGCATCTTGCCAGGAGATTTTCAACTGCACCAACATGAGCTAGCGAGGAGCTGCCCAGCGGCCGGCGCAGCCGCGGCCGCTACCCACTGCGCCGGCGCTGCTCAATAAGTACTGTCTGGGTAGTACTCAGCGGATGTCGATAGGCGTATGCAGAAAGGTTTGGGTACTGACAATGAGGAACCCTTGCAAGCTTGTCACTGGCATTTTCCATCTGTCAAGTAGATTAGTGGGGTGCAGAATATGGCCACAGGTCAGCACTGCTGGCTTGATTTTTACACTCCTATTAGAAGCAACTGACTGGCGCAATAATCAAAACCCAGGTCAACGGCCATGTAAGGTCCAAGCGACAGTTCAAGGTCAAGGTGCTGTTGATCATGATGGCATCGTGCATGGATCCAAATCTTCTGCAAACCGCAATTGCTTCCCCCAGAAGCACAGTCAATGTGCATCTTGACAGTCATTCAATAGCACTGCATTCACACAAAACAAATCAAGAGCCTTCAAACCCAGAGGCCGCCTCAGGCTGAGTACAGCGTACAAAAAAATGTCAAATGTGCGAACGTTGTGCGCGCGGATTTTCGTCTGAAGACACTGCACTATGCCTTCTGCCTTTTTTGCAAGGTGAAACCAATTGGGGCTTGTCAAGAGGAGATACTCAACTGGAGATTCACCCTCAGGGTGCATGGCCCTTAGATCTGTCCTGCCATGTCCACCTCTGCAACGTCCACAAAGCAGTGCCTGGGCAGCCCAGTTGCCATCAGCCTCGAGCACGCCATATCATTGATCACTTGTCCTGTGTACATGAACACGCTCCATGGATTGTCTGCCTCAGAGTCCTGCTGAGGCATGTGGTCGCGGTGCGCACCATGTGTGCGCACATGGCGGACACGGGTGTCTGCAAGCTTCACCTTCATGCACCTTCCAGCTTAATCTTTCCTCCATCTTCCAGCTTGATCCTCTTTGCCTGGTTGCCTGGACTTTCCTCCTTGAGATACTCTGGCTTTTTGTCTGCTTCTTCCTCCTTGAAATAATCTGCATCTGATGTTTCCTCCTTATCATACTCGGACGTGATGTCCGCACTTTCCTCCTTGTAATACTGCGCCTCTGGATCTTCCTCCCTGGGATGCTCTGCCTCAAAAGCCGCTCTCAAACGCTGCTGCTCGAGCAGCCGCTCAGCATACTCCGCATCAGTCATCAGGCGCTCCTGCTTGCGACCCAGTATAAAACGTCTGAACGACATCTTGCAAATGTACATGGCGTTGCACCGTAAGTGCAAACCAAAGGCCCACCTTGTCGGGCACAGAAAGAGCGCATGCCATGCGAGGCACATGTCTGGCATCAGTGTTGACCGGGGGCGGAGATTGATGCTTGATGTGAGTTGAGTCAAATAGCAAGACAGCGCCAGGCCGTGTGCCAAGCTCGATGCCCCAGTCTGACAGCTGAAACTTGGTGGGAGGTGCCAGCGTCCCTTCACCTATATACACACATTGTCTCTCATAAACTCCGCTCATTGGGCACCACATGCACCCCGTCCAAAAGATGCATGCATGTGCAGATCCTGACTTGTGACTTGCAGCTCACCCCCACGCAACCACGTGATAAGGCAGAGGCCAGTCATGTCCTTGGTGTTGCATCGCGGCTCACAGCTGTAATTCCTCAGGAGCGCCATAGATGTGAAAGGCACTCGCGCATCATTTAAGGCTATATCCGCGTACTTTCTCGCGTCCACCCATGGAAGCTTGGTTCGGAAGTCCCGTGCAACGGCCTTGCACACATCCTCCGCAAAGGACTCTGCTTTCTTGCAAATAGCCACATCGTTCCTGTGCTTTGATAACACCACTCAATTCCTCTTCCTCAATTTGCACTGCCACACACGGTTCAGGGACCCACAATGACGTCACATGGCTGCCCTGCAGTTGGTTACAGCCAGCACAACCATACCTGTACACCTTGATCCCTTCTGGCTGGCCGTGCTCATCATCAGGGTCCTGCACACAAATTCTGGTCATGCAATGTCTTCCTTGCTTATTTCCAAGCATTATATACGTTCAAAAGTCGTGCAATTGCCCACCTGATCCGAGTGAGACTGCACAACAAAAGGGCCACGCTCATATAGATCACTGGCGATGAGACCAAGCTCCTTGGCAGAATCCGGGGTCATTCCGTATGCCATGAAGTCCAGACACCTTTTCTTGAAACTTTCATCCTCGAAGACCACCAAATTGTCATTGAACGTCAGTTTCTCAACGTTTGCCAGCCCTCCAGCAAACTCGATCCTGTACTTGATTCTTGGAATGGTCGTCACATTCAAAATGTCAGCATGGCGTAAGTTTATCTGCAGCTTGTTACACAAGGACCTCACTTTACTAGGAGTCAAAAGGAGCACTCCAAGCTTTGGCTCAACGTTTCTTTTTGCCCTGCTGCACCCCTTCCTGAAAGTCAGGTTCGATTTGTTCGGCATGATCTCCGCCCCTAGAAATGCCTGGGCCCATCACCCCAAGTTAGAAAATTCCTTGGGCCCAGAACCTCCTATGCTCCTCTGTTTGCTCCCTTCATGTCTTCAGTCTCTCTTAACCAAATGCGATTCCAACTCAGCCAGTCGACTCATGAGCTGATCAGCTTGGCATTAGTGGTGCCACTTGGCAATGGGCCTTAGAGTTGGATGGCTTGGGCTGTTTGATGTACTCGATTGATGTACTCGATTACAGCAGCAGCCGCAGCCAGAGGTCTTTCACATTGCATGCATGGATTACCGAGGCAGCCGTTTCTATTTCTGGCAGCGTGATGCAGCATCAAGCTCTACCCCGACAGAATCAGCAACTTGCTGTGTTGAACTACTGGTGCCACGCTGGCCGCAACATTGTCACAACAGAGTGTCTGCTCGTGAAATACAGCTACATCATGCTTGCTTGAGGCCCATGATCACAGGAACCAGACTCAGTGACTTAAATCGGATGCCAATTTGCTACACTGTAGACTGGCAGTGTCTCATGTTCTTGAAGCACACAGTCGATTATAGAACTGCAAGCCAATTGCAACAAGCAAATCAAGAGCAGGTAATGTCAGCCGCTCCAATGTCTTGCATGCATGATTCAAGTTATTCGCACGCATCTTTCAGGAGGGACTCCTGCAATCTGCCCTAATATGCCAGTTCTCTGCACATTGACCAGGCCTGAGATTTAAAGCCTCGACTCTCATGCAGTGGATGCATGACATCCGCGTGAGATCCACAGCGCAAGTGCAAGCAATATTATCACGGTGTATATGTCCAGACCGGTCTCCTGTATATCTTCTTGATTGCCTGTGTCACAGAGCCATCCCACCGTGTCTTCTGCTCAATTTTCTCCACAAGGTCTGGCCTCACCCTCCTGGGTGCAACTGCTGCACTGTTCCCATCCCCATTCTGCTCAGATCCACTTCTTTCCCTGCTTTCCCCCGGCTGTGCACTGCTGGACGAAGCTTCAGACCCACGAGCAGCAAATGTCGCCTGCATGCAGATCTCCATGGTTTGAGGTCCAACTTCCAACAGGCAATTTGCCGTGTGGCATGCCCAGTGCCAACGTTTATTGCATTCACTCAAGTCAGGGCCATTGTGCTTGTTTATGGAGAGTGTAATCTTGTTGCACCCATACTGCGGACACACCGGTTCAGAAGGGACGCCAATGCCATGCGGCTGCCTCTGCATGGCTAGAGTAGCTTTGATCTGCTGCTTCAACTCCGAGCCCACATCTGACGCCAGCTTCTCATCTGTTGTGCCCAGCAGGTACGCATCCAAGCCACCATACTTATCAATCGTCCTGTTCAACGTAAAGGTGGCGTGAGCGCATGCTACGATTCATGTCATGGGTGCACCCTGTACCTCTTGAAGTTTATGACTACTATTGCTCTACATGCAGAGAATGCTGACCTCATTGCTGCAGTTGTAACATTCAGGCGGACCATCCTGTCCAATGCTTCGCTGTAGAGTGCCTTGCGCTGGACATTGGGCTTCCAGATTCGGCGGGTCCTGCATTTCTAATGCTCTGGGGATGAGAGACGGTCATTTGTGACAGCCACAGAGTGTCTGATACATTTTGATCCAGTTAAACAAGCACAGTTGTCATGTGGGGGCAGTCAGATGGTGCTAAAGAGAGCTCTGGCTTGGGCAATGAAGCTGATCTCTGCCCATCATGACATCAACATTACCTATTTCCTCCATCCTCGCTGACGTTGTTCCCTGACAGCACTGTCTTTCCAGCAAAGAGTCCACGACGTGAGCGCTTCATGAGAGTTCGAGCAGCCTGCACTGCTGCCCCTGCCATCCTGATTTGTGATTTTCAATTTTCTTGTACTCAGATTAATATCGTCAATGCTGTGTCAAGCTACAGATATGCGGGCTAGGTAACAATGCCTAACACAGTGCCAACAGTGTACCAAACAATCAGAGATACAGCCGTCCCAGTGCATACGCTGTCATCTCAAAACGTACATTGCTTTGATTTCTTTTCTGTCAATTCTGCTACCTTCTTGGAGGCAGGCGCTGTGCGAATCGGTCAAATGGAGGCAACGCCTGTGAACGACGGTCTAAGCCACAAAACACAAAAGATTTAACAAATTCGCAAGCGCATTTGCTGCGTCCGTATATCGATTGCCCTGCATGCCAGCATCACTGCTAGGCTTCGCTCAGGCGAGGCCCTTCACTTTGCATCGCCAGGCCTCACGATCAAGGCTAGCGTCGGGTGCGGTGTGCAGAGCCAGTGCTCGTGCTGGAAATGACCGGCGCGTGGCAGTGGGGACAAGTGGTCTAGCCACTGTTCTCGCCTCAATTCCGAAAGCTTGGGCAGAGGGTCTCGAGATCCCCAGCGATCTCACGTACCCAAGCCTAAATGTCCCGGAGCTTCCAAATCTACCCTCTGATGCTTCTGGTATCGGTCAGTTCATCAGCGATTATCCACTACTGCTGCCAGCAGCAGTAGGCCTCGTTCTTGTACCGCTCCTGATCTCGCAGATCAATGGTGGGGGAGGCAAGGTGCAAGGAGTCGGTGGTTTGCGCGCGCTGGAGGTGCTAGCGAGTGAGGATCCTGTTATCTTCGTGGACATCAGGAGCAAAGAAGCAATTAAAGAGTCTGGAGAACCCGATCTTCGACCTGTAAAGAAGAGCATCACTCGGTTGCCTTTCACTAAGGTGGGCAGAAAACTTAAAAGTGTCAGCCCAGATCACTTTGATCAGATTCAAACCTTTGGACCAATTGAGGCGCCCGACCTGCTCACCACGAGGACTATAATATAAAGTTCTGTTCTCAGCAGTGTATATCGAGGTTGCAACGCTGGTGCTCCTGATGAAGTTGTGTTTGCTCGTGCGCAGACTGTCAAGGGAGAGACCATCTTTGACGAGTCATTTGCAGAGAAGTTCGGCAAGCTGAAGGCCGTTACAGAAGACACAACTGTCATACTGCTGGACTCGTAAGCACGTCCTCACTGGCTGACTTCAGTGTAGATCTTATCCAGCATCAGATCGTGCAAATCATGCAGTCCTGCGTTCGCTTGACACATTACTGTCACTTGCTGGCGCAGCGATGGAAGCGAGGCACCTCAGGTAGCCAAGGGCCTTGCAGGCATTGTTGGCAAGGTCTTGTATATCCAGGGGGGCTCAGACGGTCCGAGAGGCTGGAAGGCAAGCACCCTTTCACTGTCGAGGAAGTTGATGGCCGTGCAGACTCTGAAGTGTTCTTTGTGCAGCATGTCATCCATTAGCTGGCGATAAGTATTCCAAAATAGTGCTGGCATGTCCCACTGTCACTCTGTCCGGGATGGCAAGGGAAATTTGGTATGCTGCGACTGCCGGGGATGCTGTGGTGCTGTGCTAATAGCGATGGTGGGTGTGATGTGATGCAGGCAGCAGATCTGCCATGGAAGGAACCTGGAAAGCTCTCCTTTGATCTCAGTGGCTTGAAGAACTTCGGCAACAACCTTGACTCGTTTGCAGAGGACTTCAAGGTGCGCGTCTCCCTCATGCTGCATTTCCAGAGCAGAAAATCTTCTTGTTCTCACGCCTTGTCTTCTTGTGTATCATCTGATCACCCTTGACGAAATTTCGTAATTTTTAGTACATGATCCTAAACAAAGTCATACCCCTTCAACATGGGCATTCAAATGGAAATCCCCTCGAGATACATAACTGAGGCTCTCTATTCTATTGCTCGTCACAGAGTGCTCCAACAGCATCCAAGGCACTGCTGGGAGTAGGTGCCCTGGTGGGAGGCGCGCTGCTGTTCTTCCAGGAGATCGACACTGCCCTGGAGGTGGCTGGTCTCTTTGCGGCCGGCCAGTTTGCTGTGCGCAGGCTGCTCTTCGCCGAGGACAGGAAGCAGACAGCCAATGAGATCAAGTGCGCTCTTTTCTTAGCCCCATACATTGCACTTTTGTGCCCCAGAGGGTCTGTGCTGTGCTGTGGCCCCATTCTGCAGTTTTTCTAGATTGTGTACTTTGTTGCACTGCTCCTTGCACCAGTCGTTCTATCAGGCTCTGTCAATCTACCTCCATATTCAAGCTCAGCATGCACTTTACATCAATTCGAGCCTCTGCCCTTGCCATTAGTAGCTGTTGTGGAGTCTCACCGTCCACTCGGCGTGCACATGAGTCTTGTTATTCATCCGTGCTGAAGTCACTACTTTACAAATTACCCTACATGACTTAGCCTGACTGACATGTTTTAGTCTGGACCCTGACGCCTCGAATGCAATGCACTGCAATTCAGTGCAGCTGGCAGGCTCTTTTTCTCTATTATCATAAGTATCCTGGGGTCCTGACTGGCATTCTAAGTGACATGCTTGTGACAGGGAGTTGGTGGATGACAAGATTGCAGTGAAGGAGGTGCCGAAGGATCTGAAGAAGCTGGCAACAAAGGTGCTGGAGACTGAGCAGGTTGCCGAGAGCAAGGTGGCCTCCAAGGCAAAGGCTGCAGTTGACAGCGTCAAGAAGGACGTCAAGAAGGCAGCGGACAAGGTGAACGCTGATGTCAGCAAGGCTGCTGACAAGCTGGACGCTGATGTCAGCAAGGCTGCTCAGAGCGTGAGCAAGGAGAGCGAGGAGACCATCGATGCTGCCAAGGACACCATTGACCTGGTACGCATTCTGTGCTGCTGCTCTTGTACAGGACCATCTGTGCCAATTGAAAGGAAGAGCCAGTGTTCTACATGCTACTTTGTGTGTGAGCAAAATACCATGCACTTTGGCTGTACGGTGTATGCGATTTTTGGTGGGCTTTTCGTTTTTCCCCTGAGGCTGCGAATGTTAATTGTCCTCATTCTGTTGTTGAGGAGATTGTATGCTGCCCAGAATGGAGCTGGGGCCCCAACGGCCACCGACCCCAGCAAGAAGGAGGCCCAGGAATGGATCTCCAACTGGAGAAGCAAGAATGGCGAGTAAAACTGCTTTCCGCAGTTCTCGAGAGGAGCCCACATAAACTTTGTGTCTACTGGCAAGCACAGGACGGCTACATGGCTAGGGCAACTGTTCTGGTGGTGCATTCATCAATCATCGAGAAAGATTGGTGCAGATTCTGTTGCACGAGAGGTGTTGGCATCAGTAGCTGTAGAGGATTGATCTGGGTGCGATTGGGTAATCCAATCCACCTGAGTTGCTGTTAACTCATGTGCTCGTTGTGGATTTAGATCTAGATGTCAAGAGCGCTATTGAGTGTACAGATGTGTGTTGTGATGTGTGTTTGTGCGTTTGTTCTGGCATGTCAAAGCATCTGATCGGAAAATCCTGACATAAAGGATTTGCTGACACTGCATGAACACATTTGTGACTGAGAAGAGAGGTGTTGCCAAAAAAATTGCTGGACGGAGGCATGCAATGTAATGTTTCTCTGAGCTTTTTTATTGAATCTCTTGTGATGCGTTGCTTAGGGTCCTGGTTGCAGAAGCCTGATGCTTTCAGTCGTTTTGCCTGAGCGACGCATGAATAAGGCATGCACTATGATTGTAAATGCTCGCTTTGCCTTGATATCCATCTCTTTCTCTGAGTCATCAAGAATGCTGAGCATCAACAGCGAGAGTGCGCTTCAAACTCCAGCAAACATATAAAAGCTGAGTTGGTTCTTTCTAGACCGATCGTCTACTGCGACACTCACAATGAATACACATGCGGAAGGGCCACCCATCACTCTCCTTGCACATGCATATCCTTCAGGGCAGCTCCTATGACGGCGCTCCCATCAACATCCCTAAGAACATCTCTCGTTCCCAAGTCTTGCAGACCCTCTGGAACATGTCCTCCATTAGCCTCAGAGAGGTCCTTATCTTTGCTGCTTGTTTCATGCTTCTTCTTCCCCACACTCTCATCATGGTGCCCTTCTGCTGCTTCTTCTTCAGCAGCGCTGTGCTGATCGCTTGACCCTGCAACCTCGCCATGTTCCCCTGAAGTTCCCGCCCTGCTCCACACCATTTCCCCTCCATTGAGTCCAATGCATTATAAGGAGCCTAGATGAAATGTCTGGAATACTTTCACCGAAAGGGGGGAGCTGCAAAATAGACAGATCTCAAACGAATTCTAAGTTATCAGGTGCGCACCGGCCTGGCTCTTGAGAGCTTGTGGCCTCCACTTCGTTTTCTTCGTCGGCTGACTCGCTGTCAGAGTCTGAATCTGTCGGCGGCAAGTCCATTGCAGCCATGTAGTCATCCGTATTACCTGGGGAGCATTGCAGCAAGATTCAAGCCTGACTATCCTTCGCTGGGTCATGCCATGCACACTTCTAGCAGGGTGTTGGAAGTGGAACCGCAAACAATCAAGATTAGCTGGCTGCGTACTGTCAAAGTGCATCACAGGGCTCTTGACGATGCTGCATGCGGGCAGGGATGTAGGCGGGGGTATTATATACTTAAAAATTCACATACATAGAAAAGTACTAATAAACACGCTACAGAATCTATAAGCCAGAGTGTGGACTCACTGGTGGGCACTGCCCGAGGAGCGGCATCCAGAGCGCTGAGGTAGGCAGTCTGCACAGCGATGACCTCAGCGCTGCCGGGGCAGGAGGCATAGCGGTCCAGCAGCTCCTCATTCGCCGAAAAGAAGCCGTGGCCCCTGCAGATGCACATGCACACCCACATCAGTGCGGCTCTAAATGTATGCCTTTTGTGTGGCAAGATGGCTCACCAAGCACCGAATGCACGCTGCTCACAAAGTGGCACAAAGTGGAAACAGAAACTGAGATTGCCCCGAGAGCAAATGACTTGTTCAACGAGGTGCAACAGCTAGAATGGTGCTACGCAACATCCTTGCAACGGGCACACTGAGCTGTAGGATGACGCACCACCAGCAAGCATGGCAGCTCCTGTGAGAACTAATTACTAATTCAGCGATGCAGCATCATTGCACTGGCACCCTCAGCTGTGATGTGATATCAGCAAGCATGCCTACTCACCACTTGAAGCGAGACAGGACAGCTGCAGCGGCGGAGGGCCATCCGCAAATGAACAGCGCAGCCGCAAAGGCCTCTGCGCAGGAGAGCTTGCAGGGCTTGCCGTAATTCACCGGGTTGGTCGCCAGAAGCCAGGGCAACAGCCGCGGTGCCGCCCCCTTGATACGCCCTGCCCATAACAGCACATACCCATCAGACAACTTCAGACACCTAACCACAATCATATGCCCTGCTCATAACACTCACAACCATCAGGCATCTTTGCGCACCCAGTCTCAACGCACATCAAAGTGCAAGACATAGTCTTACAGTGTGCATAAATGTTTGCATCTGCTGCAGCGTGTCAAGGCTATTGCAAGAGTGATGCATGAATTATGCTGCCACCTCACACCCGGTTCACTGCCAATAATGCACCAGGTGCTGCCCGCACCATGCTTCCCCATGCCTGCCACGTTGATCGAGGCATAAGATCACCTCTGGATCGTCTTCAGCTTGCAATTAAAAAAAATCAGATCCTGTGATTTTGTGGGGGCTAGACCCACCCACCGAAGGGCACATCGTCGAGGCGGTTCCAGGAGCAGTCTACAACGGCGAGACCTTTGGCTGCGATAAGCGCCTTGTCCTGCGCGGAAACAGCCGCGCGTCCCATCGGGCTCAGGATGATGCCGGGGAAGGGAACGCCCAGGCGCAGCTCCTCCACCACTCCCTGCGCACCGCTGATGTCACTAACTCACATCACTAACATGCTTACCAACTATACTTTGCGCCCGTCCTGTCATCTGCTAGAATAGAATACTACTCACGCCCGCTTCTCTGGAGAACAGAAAATGACTTTTTGACTAGGCTGATTGGCTGGGATAGGTGCGAGTGTTTGACCGTCCTGCAGCAATTAGGTGAGAGAAGAACTCCTGTCAAAAATTGCAAGGCATCCAAAAAATACCATCCCATCAGTCAGGCAGCAGCACGCAATGCTTGACATTATGTGGGAGGCAGTGTCATATGGTGCCAGCTGCGAGCAATGAACGGTGGCAGGAGAGTCCTGGCTCTGAGTTACCTGTCGCACCAGCCGCGTCCCCGTGCAGCGGCGCTTGTCGCACTGCCCCAAGTCCCACATCGCCAGCCGGAAGGGGATCTGCGCGCAGTTGATTCAACAAAATTAGAACTCACTAATTCCAAACGCAAGCAATTCAATGTATTTGGTATCTCACAATTATTATTTACAAATCTGAATTTGAAAATATTGTCTACTCATGCATCATGTGGTGTGTAGATGTCTGCTCTGCGTTGACGCACAGCGGATAGTGGCTCTCTATCAAGATGATGCCTGCTGAAGGGAATGTCCCCAATGAGGCTCAAGCGCAACAGCTGCTCGCATGGCAGGAAAAGGTGCACTTGGAAAGTGCAATCGGGAGATCGACATGGAAGATGGGGATGGACCTGTTGCTGGTCGTGTTCCTCCTCATCAGAATCCCCTTCTTCATGCTCCTGGACGTAGTTACCTTCAGCCCAGGCGTTCTTCATGCTGCCGCGTGGAATTTGCTGGTGGCTTCTACTGTCGCGTGCAGCGTCACGACCCCTTCCATGGGATCTTGGCATTTTGAATCGACCTGCTGTGTGCATAGAACGCTGCTGTCAATCTCAATGATAGGCCTGTTACATTTCCAAGGTCACTCGGTGAGAGTGGTGGCACTGGCTAATCGCAAAGGCAGACTTGGGCAGATGATCTGGATCTGCAATTCCTGCAAGTAGAAAAAACTAGCTGCTATATGTTTGAGATCGTACCGCAGCAATTGACAAAAGGCGTTGTGAAAGCTTCCTGTTTGTACTAGGCTTGCTGCATACAGTCTTCTCCAGGCAATGCACAAATGGCAGTGCTTGAATTTTACTCTATGCAACGAGTTATTTTCTCTGAATAGATTGGACACGATGCCTGGGTGCGCTCGCAGTTCTAGTCCATCTTACTCACAACATGAGAAGCTCACCTTTGTACACACAAATCACACACTTGAAGACGCTCCTCAGCTTTGTGTTATGATTTTATATGTCGCTTTTAGGACCCTTTACCAGCATCTGTCGAGTGAGTTTGAATGGGAAGCACCCTGAGAGGAAGCAAGAGCGTTCATTCGGCACCCACGTCACTGCTTACTCACCACAATCCTGAGGCCACTCGATCGGAGCACGATATTACTCTTCAGAAAGATTGTCCTATACAAAGCAGAGGTAAGTCTTTCTAGTTATAGCAGAGATACCATCTTGAAAGCATTGCAAGCCTGATACCCGGTGCACTCTACAGAGTCACATCGGTGGACGAGCTAACTTGTGCTGCTACTGAAGGGGGTGATTGCTTGGCACTAGGACCACTTAAATGACCATGGCGCTTCAGATGCAAGGAAACGCGCAATTTTGCTCTGTGCCCACTGGCAAGGTGATTTATGGGTGTTTGATGCCTGTGTAGAGCCAGCTGTTGAGGGGCTGTAACATGCATCTAAACATTTTGTTGTGCTGCAGAGTGTGGCTCGACCATTCTCACCGGCTGTGCACAGCAGAAGACCGAAGCTAACAACATGCCAGGCAACACACGGTAGAGCATATTCCTGTGCTGCTACACCCCGCACTCTATGCGTTCTGCTGCTCAGATATTGAAATATCCAACAAAAGAATGCTTCTTTGACCCTTGATGCGTTGTGTTTGGATGTCTGGCAGGCTCTGAGACAGCCCCTCCTACAGCCACCCGCCGGAGTGCCCTGCTGTCAGCTGCTATGGCCACGGGCGCCCTCCTACCTAGCAACCTCCTCATGCCTGAAGCAGCCCTTGCAGCCGGTAAGCTTTTAATTACCGCTCAAATTGAACACCTGATGTCACAGGTCAATCCAGTCGAGCAAGCTGTGTATCTTATGAACTGACATGCAATGTGTGTGCACAGTCAAGGAGTTCACTCCTGTGAAGGACAGCCAGGACGGCTACAGCTTTGTGTATCCCTTTGGCTGGCAAGAGGTGGCAGTCAAGGGGCAGGACGTTGTCTACAAGGATGTCATAGAGCCCCTGGAGAGCGTCAGCGTCAGCATCACTCAGACCGACAAGGCCAATGTCTCTGAGTTTGGTTCACCCGCCGAGGCATGCCCCTATATTGATGCATCCCTCTTCCTTTTTGCAGTGCAGGACGCAGGTTGTGGCACATTTGTTGCAGTGCTGCAGATGCAAGTGGCTGTATATGCTTGTGACTGAGAAGGTTACTGAACAGTTAAGATGGCTTTGGCAGGTAGCGGTCACGCTTGCGGAGAAGGTGTTGACACCCCCAAAGCAGGATGTGAAGGTGCTGGATGTCAATCAGGCAAGCCACCATGTCACAAGTGTTCTGGTTTTCTCCTTGACTCTTGCGTTGGTTTTCGTGCAAAAGGTGCTGAAAGATAAAGTAGTCGAGCGTTGCCCAAATTGGTCGCTTGCAAACAGAGACTTGAGTGTGTTATTGCTGTGTGCAGAAAGAGAAGGACGGTCGCATGTACTACACATTTGAGTTTGCCTCAAAGGCACCCAACTACATTCGCCATGCTCTGGCCGTGGTGACTGTTGCAAATGGTGAGTCCATGTCTGCCCTCCATCTAATGCTATGTGGGCAGAAGCTTGAGATCATCTGCCCAGAACATTGATGTAATCCTTCATTGCATGCCAATTGAGGCTGTTCAAGACAGGCAGCTTTCGAGGTGTACGAAGCTGAACTGTGTCTTCAATGTGGCAGGCAAGTTCTACACTTTGACAACCGGCTCAAATGAGAAGCGCTGGGGAAAGATGAAGCCGCGGCTTGAGCAGGTCATTGGCTCATTCGAGGTTGTGGAGCGATTTGGATGATGCTGATTCCCTTGTTGTGCTGCAACGCAACCCTGCTGAGTTTGTATTGGGAGATATCCCACAGTGCAGCAGGAAATCCCCCTGGCACTGGCCTGTTAAAATGCGTCCGATTGATACCTGTGCAATGTGAAACGTCTGCCACTATCCTGTCAGGAGAACCGAATGATATTGACTGCGTTGTGACAATTTTGTGGAGAGGTTCTGGCTGTGCTCCGGAAGGCAATGTCAGACAGACTGCGGTCACTGACAGTGAATTAACTGTACAGCTGAAGCATGCAAGGGGTGCAAGCATGCATCATTGGAAAGGTCTGCTGATGCATTGATGCTGGAAGGTAAACAATGCAAAAGCCCTGTTGCCATTGCCAATGAACTTTACAATGTGCGCTGCATGACTTCAAAGAGGTCCAGTGGCGACTCCTGGAATTCCTTTCAATCCTTTAAAACAGAGCTGCTCTCCTTTCTGGCACAGCACTATCACTGGTCATTTATACGATTTGATCAGAGAGGGGCCAGCCTTGTCACCAATCCATTTGTCGTGAAATTGCAACCTTAATTCTGCATGATGCCTACGGGAATATCGTAACGGTATTCAACGATGATTAAACATCTGATAATGCACCCTGCTTTCATCTCAACTACCTACAGCCTCATGCATTTGCTTGATACTGCGTTCAGACCAGGGATCCAGCCATTTTCAGGCAGACAAGTTCCTTGCTTCAGTTCTTTGCGTTTGTTTGTCAGGAATTCCAGGAAACACAGCCTTCAGCACAGGGTAGTTCTTCGAATTTTCAATTTTCTGCTGGGCAATGCCTGTTCCATGCCTTGATTTTTCGTCTGTGTGAGTATACCCATTATCTCGCTGCCTTCTCCAGGGAGGCAGAGCTGCTGTAGAACTGGATCTCTTCCAGCACCTTACTCCTGACAGCCGCCTCAACCAGCTCTTGCTCCTCAAAATCAAAGTCAAAGGTGTCTGCATCAGCACACCAACCCTCAGTGCTCCCAGCCAACGCTTGGTAAACCAAAGATGGCGGATAGCTAGCTTCTCATGCGAACATTACACTTGTCATTTCACTGCTTGTCGTTGTGGCAACTAGTGAAATATACTTACAATTTCCCAACTCAATGCATGCGCAAAATCATCCCGTGCTAGAAACCTCTGGCGAACACACAACAGTGCAGGGTGCTCTGTTGTAAAAATATGGTAATAACAAAGCCCATGCAAGGGGCTAAAACGAGGAGGGGTTCACCAGGGGCGGAGAGCTCCGAGGCCGGGTCATGCATCTGGGCGAGGTAGGGGTGCGCGAGGGCCTGCTCCACAGTGATGCGCCGCTCCGGGTTGAACTGCAGCATCTTCTCCATCAGATCAATCGCCAGGTGGCTCGCGTCCGGGAACATCACCCTGAATGGGCACCTCTGCGCGCAGGCACACACCAGCGCTCAGGGTGAGTAATATACTTTCACTAGTAAGACTCTTCCTACGCAAAGAGGCAATCGTATGGAGATCTTGTGAGGTGAAGTCGAAGTCTTCAGCCCTGCTGCAGTAGTTTACTTCCCAAAAAGGTATGGCAGCAGTTGCTCCAATGATGCACACGATCTTGGGATAGATCCATCAAGCCTACTGGGACACAGACGGCTCTGTTGCCATCAATTTTGAAAAGTTTGCCCGGTGCCAATCGCCCGATTGCCGCTGCACTGCACAGGCTGGCATGACTGCATATTTTGCTTTTTACTGAAAGATCGGCAAGCCCAAAGCCAGAGGCCATAGGGCATGCACGCATGGCATGCCTCATTCACATATCATGTTCACCCGCATACAAGCTGTTGCTGATGGTGCAGGGATCTGCAGAAGCTGCAGCGTGCATCTGACTGTGGTGTGGCCACACCTGGGCATACGGGAGCGCCTTGATGTAGGCACGGGCCTTGCTGCTGCTGATAAAGACGAGGTCGGAGTCGCAGGGGGAACCCAGCATCTTGATGATGAGCTTGAGCTGGTCGATGTAGTCCTTGCCCGGGAACAGCGGCTTCCGGTACAGCAGCTCCGCCAGGATGCACCCCACCGACCTGCACCATCGCTGACCTCAGCGCTGACACGGCAGTGGAGTCTTCCAAGGAAAGTAAGGAAGGCTGTGCCTTTGCGAGGGAGGCACGCTATTGAAGATTGGGATATGGCTGCCCATGAGGCTGCTGATCATAACCTACACATCTTGCGGAGGAGTCTCCAAGGAGCCACTGCAGCAATGCAAACTGGCAGGGCATGTGTCCTCACTGAGGAGGGGCACAGGGGAGACCTGGGATCCAAGGATGAGCATGTGCAAAGGCGTGGAGGACTGGCATGCATAGGTTTGGTATGGAAGAGGCTCCGCACCACACATCGATGGCGGCAGTGTACTGGAAGCAGGACAGCAGCAGCTCTGGTGCGCGGTACCATCGCGTGACCACATATTCTGTCATGTAGTTGGACTCAAAGCTGCACACCGATAGCTTTCGTTCAATGCTGAGGCATGACACGCATGGAACATGTTGCACAGATGCACAATCAACATAATATGGCGGTTTGGAGCTCGTGAAGCAGCCTTCGGCAGGGTCCATATATCAAGATGGGAAGAGATAGATGGCTGTTTGACCTCACTGCTGGCTGACAAAACAAGCTACCACTCCTGCAAGCGTAGGCTTGCTATTTTAAACACGCAGTTGTGCTCAAGATGGTGCTGACGAAGTGAACATACCTGTCTTGCCTCGCCAAGGTCCTTGCCAAGCCAAAGTCGCATATCCTCAGGTCGCAGGACGCATTCAGCAGAAGATTGCTGGGCTTCAGGTCTCTATGAAGCACATTGGCTGTGTGCACGTACTTCAGGCCGCGCAAGATCTGTGTTGGGGCAAATATTGGTAAGTAAACTGACTCTGATGCAGTGCATTTCCCAGTCAGACAAGCACTTCATTTGAGCACAATGCATTCCAAGCAAATCCAGGCCCCACCTGGTAGATGAAGAATTGGAAGTGGTCATCTGTGAGTTGCTGCGGTGAGCGAATGATGTGGTGCAGGTCTGTGTCCATGAGCTCATAGACTATGTAGACATCGTTGAATCTCTCCTTGTCTACTGGCTGCAGAATGTCTCGCACGGCGATCACGTTCTCATGTTTGAGGTGCCTCAAGAGCTTAATCTCCCGCAGTGTGCGCCGGGCATCTGTCAAGTTCTCGAAGGCGTTCTGTATCTTCTTAATTGCCACCTTCTCTCCTGTGACCACATTCTTTGCCGAGCACACCACGCCGTACGCTCCTTTGCCTATTGCCTTTATTGGGACATAGCGCTCATCTAGCTCAAACAATGTGCCCCATATGCTGTATGCCTGCTTGCCGGGTATACTGCATTCTTTCTTCACGGGCAAGTTGTCCGTCTTACTCGACATATTTGGCTTTTTGGGGCCCCTGCCCCTGCTGGGCTGGCACTAACAGCGACTGTACACTCCCTATCTCAAGTCATGGTGTTGGTCTAAATCCATACGTGCCGAATTTGCGAGCAATTGTGGAGACCGTTGCACACATGACTGCTCAGTAGCGCAGGGGGGGCCAGGGTAATGTACAAAACCCCATTACCCTTGATGTAGGAAGGGAAACGTCATAACAGTGTAACTCCCCATGCAAGACAGGTGAAGGCATCATTTTCTGCATGTCCTGCCCTTGACTTGTCGCTGATTTGGACCGAGATACATCCACAAGTGGCCTTGCAGTCCTTTATGGCAGTTGATACTTGTCTGCGTGCTGGGATGCATATTCTCTAGTATTAATGAATTTCATGATGTGCGTGCTACTGATGGTCTGAGATATGTGGGACGCTTAATCAGCCCTGTGTGGCTGTAAAAAGTGTAATCTCTCTCGCACAGAGGAGGGCATTGCTTCCAGAGCCTTGCTCAAATCAATTACATCCGAGGGATCTGGATGTTGCACTGATTTAACTGTTCTGGACAGCGCTCATACAACAAAACAGCTGCATCACAAGACAGCACTTCCTCAAGACTGACCGCCCTGATGTGCTCATCTGAGGCATGCACCCAGGAAGCTTGAGCCTTAATATTGCAGGTACCAGCTCTGCAGACACTGCTCCCAATTCCAAGCTCCAGTGATGCGATTTCACCACTTATGGATCTGTTCAAGATGTTCCTGGAAGGTTCACCTGTCCGGACATGCATGCAGCCACCAGGCTCTGTTGGGAACCTGCGAAACACTGTGTAGTGCCCAGAGTCTGCTCCCCCATGGTGCACCACCACAGATACAAGCTGATACCTCAGTGAGTCACTTTCTGGCTTCCCTCCCGGGTTTGGAGCTGCTGTAGTGTACTCATTCCTTTGGCTGTCCACAGCAACTCCTTTCTTGCGCTGTGTACTCGCAACTGGGTGCTGCCGCAGACCAATATTTTCTGACGAAGTGCCTCCCACGTCTGCGTTCCTGCTGGGTGGGGCTTCAGCTGAGGTGGGCGGTTGCTGCGTCGGTGACTGGCCGCCTCGGCTCGGCTGCCAGCCGGACAGCAGCCCCAGGGGATGCGATACGAGCGGCCGCGCCGCCGGCAGCAGCGGCTCTGCAGCTGCGGCGGTGTACGGCGCCAGATTGAGCACCTCTGGGAAGCTGACGCGGCCTGAGAGCTTGGCCAGCCGCCCCCTGCGCGTCCAGTACACCCGCCGGAGCTGCAGGCACAGCGCCTGCAGCACGCAAGGAGCCCGTTACTGCACCATAGCCAAAAAATACCCAGCAAATGCCAAAAACAGCCATAACAACGGTCCAGCTGCAGTCACCATCATTGTCATGCAAGGAAGCTACGGGACAGCTATACATTGGTGTTGCGGTGGAGGCATGCAACTGCATGAGGCATGCTTTGTACAAAGACGCCATGAGAGGCAGGCATGCGCATCTGCCAGGCTGGCTTTTGTCCAGACACGCAGGAGCTAGCAGCAGAGGGCGCACCTGGGGTGATCTGGCAATGGTAGCGCGCGTCAGCAACGGCCCTCGCCGCTCCTCCCAGTCCAGGCCGGCCTCGCGCGCCAGCTGCGCATAGTCACACTCCGGCGCCGCGCAGCTCCCGCGCAGCAGCCCCTGCAGCCGCGCCAGCTTCTCCGCAGCTGCCTGCCCGCCGCTGTTACCTTGTCCTCGCTGGCCGCTGACGGATGCTGCCTCACTTGAGGCAATCCTGGGACTTTCGACCCCACCATCGTCCTCCATATTTGCATCCTGTTCTGAGTCTTTTGGGGTTGAGCTGACAGCGGTTGGTGCAATGCCAGATCTGCTGCGGCTCACTGCAACACAGCTAATAGGCGCTTGCTGCAGGGTGGTTCTTAGGGAGCAGTGGGTGCAGACAGCGTCTTGAGTGAGGTCCCGTGCAAAATAGGCGGCCAGGGTGTCGTGCAGGGTCGTGCCTGGCTTCAAGAAGGGCCCCCAACGCCCCTGCAGAAGTGTACAAGTACCATTCAGTTGGGCTTTTACTGACAGCCAAAATCCATACACCGTGCTTCTGAATTTCATGAATTCTATGCCTGCAGCAGTTATCGGCAATTGGCTTCAGTAAAAACACCGTCTATTTACGGGCAGGCCATGCACAAGCCACCATCTACAAGCATGTACCGTATGCAAACAAAGGAAAGGGACAATACTGGAGCACGAGTCCAGAGGAGGTGCACACCTCTGCGGTCGGCAGCGTGAGCGGCAGGGCCAGCATGGCGGACACATGCGAGGTACATGGCTGCATGCAGCGGGCACATGCCGCCTCATGCTGCAGAGCCAGCTCCAGTGGCAGCCTACTCAGAGCCATCCATGCCTGCAGCATGGGGTCGCCTGCTCTGGCAGGTTTTGCGCTGCTCTGTGGACTGGCTGCACACGGCGCTGCCTGGCTAGCTTCTTGGGCTGTGCCAATGCTGGGTGCTTCAATGCTGGATCCCCAACAAGTGGATACCAGAGCCACCGTCACTGTTGAGCTGTCCGGTGCTACTTTCAAGCGTAGAGAAACAAGCTGGTGGCTGACTGCAGCTGCAGGCGCCTGCTTCGCTAATGCCATGTGTCCTGCACTGCTGGAGCTTGCACTGCAGACTGCACTTGTTGAGGAATCGAGGGCTGTGCGCGATCCTGCATCGACCCTGTCTTTGGTAGCTGCCGCGCTCTCAGCAGTGCAGTCTTCGCGAGAATCGCGGCTTTTTCTATTGTCAGTGCTGTGTGTATAGTTGGCTGCTGAAAGCTGGGTCAGGGGCACTACGCTCACTGTGCTTTCCTCTAATGCTGTGCGGATGGCATTCCAGGCAGAGAGGCTGGTGAGCTCTGGGGCCCTGCTATGCTTGAAGTTCTCCTGCATCTGGCTGACTATTGCCCCCAAGAGCACTTCCAGCGCTTCCACAGCATCGTTCTGCTCCCCATCGGTGAGAACATCTGCTCTCACGTGCTGCCTGCATGCAATGCATGTTCAACGAGAAATCCATAACGTCGCTTTGCTCCGTCATGTGAGGTCAGCATTTTCATTTTAGGTCATCAATGTCACCTCAGGGCATGCAAAAGACGGCATGGAAAGGCAAGCCTGTGGAATGCAGCATGCTAATTAAAAGGCAAGAAGAGAAGGAGTGCCCGGACATGAGCTCACCGCAGAGCGGACATTAAAGGGCCAGGGGACATGCAGAGACAAGACTGCCCATGCTGGCAAGGCGCCAGGTCCTCCAGACACTCCAGCAGAGCCACTGCTAGATCTGGTGCATCTGTACCAGCCGCACAGACTGCCTGTCTGAGGTAGCTTGTCAGTCCTCCCACAGAGGCCAGTGCCTGCACCATTACACACATGCTAGAGACATGGATCTCACAGACGTACGAAATTTCGTAATGGGAGGCTACTTAGTATCTGGCGAGAGTGGGCAAACCTGCAGGATGCAGTTCAGAAAACATGTGTTGCCCAAGTTGAGCAACCCTGGAACCGTAAGGCTGCCTGCAGATGTCCCAGCAGATGTGTCTCCCATGTGATATCTCAATAGGCTACTGTGTTCTGCTGTATTTCAAAGTGCATTATTAGTCTGCGCAACGGTGAACCTGCGTCAAAACAAGGACACTGTAAAGCATAAACTTTCCAATTTCCCAGAAGCGAAAGACACTTTCTTTATATTCTTAAGTAATATAGTATGTTATCGTGAGAACTGGTCAAGGTGGCGATGGGCGATCGAAAGCCTGCCTCGAAAGCAATCCAGATCACATGATCCCGTATAAAATGACCTACGAAACTTTCGAGCTGAAGAGATTACGCGCTCATCTCAGCGTCATCTGTGCATAGACCACATTTTCTGGTGAACAATGTATCGTGTGCAATGTAACGTCCGTAGCAACATGAGCAACTTGGGCATGGAATTTATCTTCATAGACCCTGTGTCAAGGGGTTTGAGCCTAGAGTTTCTGCTTGCTGCTGGCTTGTGAATATGGGTTCGGAGAGAACACTGAGCTAGCTGGCCATCCAGTCTATCTGATGACTTGTAAGAGGCATACGTTGGTCATACACATGATTGATCACATCTGAACACCTTGACCAGGATATCCTTGATGTGCTCAATGTGCCACAGTGGTGCGGATATCAACATGCCAAAATGCATCGTACCCTTCCAGGGGTGGTACAGGTCTGAATGAAGTTCCAGAGGCTGGACAAACCCCTGTGAACTGGTAGTGATCCCCGTCCGCCCCATCAGACGGCCGCCATGAATATGTACATGTTTAAAGAATTCAACGTTTATTTCATGAGCCATGACATGTATTCGGCAGTGCCTGTCAGACACAGCTCTATGTTGAACTACACTGTCGAGCACAACTAGTCCGTTTGCTGTTCCAAAATTTGCCCACACTCTAGTCAGACCACTCAGCCTCCATGGACTTGTCAATATACCCTCCTGACATTTCTCTCCTGCCACCTCGATCTGCACCTTTGCCAGCTTCATCCTCACTTCTCCGGGCATGCTTGGCCTGGCCATTTGGGTGCACCGTTCCGTTGGGCGTTTTTCGCTTGGCGTTGGCTGCGCCTGCTCTGCCATTCTGTGCTGGCCTCGCATCAGAAGCCTCCTGCACAGCATTTCCGGGCACCAAGTCCAGTCAGCGCCTTCTGCTGATCGTCGATCTGGGATGCTGGCAAGAAGCGCACTTGTGGCAGTCATGACTTATCCAGGATGTATGACCAGAATCCCAGTCTCAAGATAACCCACAAACCGTATCTTGCTTAGTGATTTCTGGATGAATCATGTGCACAGGTTTATCTATGCACATAGCTTCATCTAGGATTCACTAGCGAGATAGACAACATGCATGCAGTCCCATCCTTGGCCTACTGCTGGAAGCAGAAGAACCAATAGCACTCTAAACTATTCAATGAAGATGTGACGATCTTACCTGAACAGGCTGGACCAGTTTTGAGGTGCGCCATTCAGAGAAGTGGAAGTTGCCTTCGGTCAGGCAGCTCAGCCAGGCAGCGTTGGTCCCATTCTTGGCATCGTACGAGGCAATATGCGGATAGATGCGCTCCCGCTGTCACAGGCCGATCAAACTCCATCAGATCTTTCAGCATTGTGACATTTTAGTAGCCTGTGTATCTGATTCTGATCAGCTTCCATCCTGCCAGGCTTGCCAGGCTATCTCAAATAATATGATGCAGACCCTCTAACGGACCTCTAACACAGAGCCTGTAGGTATCAGTGGACATCACTGTCCAGATATGCATGGCAGTTTGATGATCCAGTTTGGCAAAATGCATCGGAGCACTCCCAATCGGATCATCAAGTTTGGCACAATGCATGAGAGCACTCCCACAGCTTTGCCTGTCTCCAGGTTTCTGCCTCCCTCCGGGAATTCATATTGATAAAGATCTCACACAGTGAGGCAGCCCGAAGTCCCTCTGGCACTCGCTTTGAATATCATGTATTCCTTCTCTTCTGGTTAGTGTGTGTGCAGCAGTTTCCTGTGTGTGCAGCCTACCTTGAAGGCGTCGACTTGGTCCTGGAACGCTGCAAGACGGACGCATGCCTCGCGGTCATTCCCCCAGCGGTCGTTGTACGACTCGAACACGCACTCGTCCAGAAACAGGCCCAGCTCTGGGGCCATGGGCGTCACGACAACCCTGGCAGGGTCCAGAGCAAGGGTGATTGCGTCGGGCGTCGCGACGCCGCGCATGACCGCAACGGCTGTGCCCACCAGCTTGCGGATCTGGTGCAGCATGAAGGACTGGCCCACCACCACCATTCGCACCCACTGCTGCCCCTGCAATGCGTTTTCCACGTTATCATGAGCTTCGTGTCCTTGCTAAATGCATTGGGAAGACACAGTGGGTTTGGAGGCAAATTTTGACAGGCATTGACATGCTGCATGGCGTGAGACCATCTCTCCTTGCACTAGCTTTGCCATCGTTCTAATCATGGCCAGAAGAACTATAGCACTCCCAAACACATTGCAACTAGAAAAAATGTTCAATTCAGGCAGCCAGACGCGACAATGTTGTGTCCTGTTGGAGGATCACAAACATGAGACACAAGAAAAACAGTAGCCAGTGTTAGAGTAGCAGCAAAAGTTGATGAGCAACAGCTGGAAGGTCCACCTCCAAATTCATGGTGCCGGCGCACTTGAAGCTGAGGATGTAGCGCTTGGCGGCCGGGTCGGAGGCCGGCACGCGGACAGTGTAGTTGTGGAAACTGTGCGTGCCCTCGAATGCCCCCAGCACCTCGTTCAGCCGCGCCTGCTGCTCCGCGCTGAACCTGCACTGCCGGCTCCCGGCCGCCTCCGCCGCCGCAGCCGCCGCCGCACCGTCGATCGTGCTGCGCCGCACAAACAACCGCTCCTCCTGCCCCGCTGTGCCGCCCTCAGCACGCGACTCACTACCAGGGACTCCCTCATTCTGGGCTGTGTCGGCACTTTGGCCGCCAGCCAGTTCAGAGCTTTTTCCCTGCTGCTCTGCACTGCCTGCTGGCCCCCCATTGCAGTCAGGTATTTGCGCCGGCTCCAAAGCTGAGCCTGCATCCAAGCTCTGGCCAGCTGCTGCCTCCAGCGCTGCACTCATGTCTCCACAGCTGTCCCCGCTGGCCGCTCCTTCCTGCACGGCATTTGCGCCGGGGCCTGCAGCAGAAGAATCCTGGGCAGGCTCTGAGGCGGGTTCAGTAGCTGCGGTGGCTCCAGAGCCCAGGACAAGGGGCCCGCCCGCCGCGCCGATGGGGGTGGGGGTCTGCGCGGCCTGGAAGGCCGTGTCAAACATGAAGGCCGGCAGGATGTACTCGTAGCGGCGGCGGTCGCAGTGCTTACGCGCGTCAAAGCTGTTGGTCACTCGCGTGAAGCCCAGCACCCGGATCTGCCGATGACACTGATGGAGTCAGTCCACATGACCCTTATGCCCATGCATAAGGCATGGGACAGCAGAAGGCCACGCTTACCTTCAAAAGCATATTTAGAAGAGCAAATCAAAAGGGCCTGAAGCATGCAACGGCCAAAAACTATGGAGGTATACATCATCAAGGGAAGACAGATGGAGCACCTGTTCTGGCAGATGGGAATTGATGCGCTCTACAGTGTCCGGGAAGGCAATCATCATCTTCAGTGAGACCACATTGCCAGCAGCGCTCACCCCCTTGTCTGTGCGAGCAGCACGGTTCCATTGCACCTGTGTAGATCATATTTACTGTGGTTGCAAAAGTTCACTCAGTATCCACCAACCTCTTGGGGCGGAACAAGATGGATACGAGTGCAAGAAGGCAGGGACAACACGGAATATTGGGATTGACAGGTCACCTTGGAGAAGTCTCCAGCGTTTTCGTCGGAGATTGCACCGGCCTTATTCATAGCACTGCCAAGCTCCCCTTCTATTGTCTTGCAGCCTGGGTTGTGTTGCATGCCCTGCACATGCATTCCCCATTTCTGCTCTGATCATGCTAAGAATCAGATTAATCAAAGGATTTGAGAAAGTAACTTATCGTACCGAGTATCCGGCTCCCACAAATGCAACGAACACTGCTACTTTGCGTTTCTTGCCGCCTGCCCTCTGAGACTGAGTCAGTTTACTAGCCTCCTGTTCCAGTACTTCGGCGGGTGTACTTTCCGGAACTTCTGATCCGCCATCGCCCATTGTTTGTGAATGTCTTGAAGTAACAAGTAATTGCTCGGCAATCTACAAGGGATCCTGAACGATGGTGTGCAAAGCAGATCGGTCGCACAAATTTTCACACAGTCATCGCTGCCTCGAATTTTGATTGCCGTGAGCCATATGATTCAGCAGTATTATAGAGATTGCAAGAAAAGCACATCTACAACCTCAATGCCTTCTCCAATGCTTAGAAGCAAGTTTTAGAACTGCTATCACGGTCTGCAACGGCGTCCTAGGTTCGTCCAGCTACGCAACAGCGGGCAGCTGCAACGAGCTCTCCCATTGCTGCCGTTTCGGAGTGAATTTCTCTAGATTGTTTGCAACGGGCGTGATATTTGAGCAATTTCCGCGCTTCTAACCCAAGAGCCCATCGTTGTGGTGACGGCTCACAAGATAACATCCGTCTGTAAATACTTCATCTTCCGCTTATCTCGACGCCAAAGAAACCCAGCAATATGGTGAAGGAATCAAATCCCGTGGACAGCCTCCTGCACGGTAAGCACAGCAGAAGGAAGCATCTGGCTGGCCCCTCGCGCCACATCCGACAAGTAGCTGACACACAATTGATGCCAAAGGTGGGCTTATAAAAGCCTGTGTGCATCGTGATAAAAGACTTTCCTGACTTCCTTGTAGGTGTTCAGTCTGCCTGGGCGCAAGTGCAGCCATACGCCGGACCTGCTGTGGCGCAAGTGCAGAACATCCTGCAGCCTGTCTGGGCAGCCCTGGAGCCACATGTGGGCGACAACATCGAGCAGGTCAACCAGCAGCTGCATGGGCATCCTCCCCTGACTGTCATTGGGATCACCATCGGGATCACCTTCCTCCTGCTGAGGCTGCTGGGCGCTGCAAAGAGGGTCACCGGTCTTCTGCTGGCGGGCACTGCACTGGCCTACTTCTGGCCATACGCCATGGAGCAGCTGAAGAAAATGAAGTAGGTAGAACTGAGATTGGATGGCCGCAGTCACACAGTTTCTGTGCTTCACACCTGACAAGCCAAGGCATGTTCTATTGACAAGTGGGGGGCTGGACATTGGAATGGATGCAGACATGCCCACAGGATAACATATGTGACGCACTCTGCATGGAGGCCCTGGGCTAAGACAGGCAAATACTGGGACAAAAGAGCATTTGTTACAGAGGGAACGAGTGCCTGAACAGATTTCCAAGTTTGATGATAATGTTGGATTGTGCATGTGGTGTACATTAGGGAGCCTTGGAGGAGAGCCTTTCCATTACTAGCTGCGCAAAGATAGTGCAGAATGGCACTGGTTCCTGTGTGAATAGCTACTGGGCATGAAATGTAACACACGCAGACGGCAAAAGCTCCGCACCGCTCAATAAGCCGACGAGCCTGGCAGATTCAATCAAGTCAGACAAGGATGCATATTCTGTGCAGATTATGGGCATGCCCACATCAATGCAATTACAGGCCTGCACAAACGTTCTCAGATGTCTCTGTCACTTGATAACTCCTTGTCCAGCGTACCATCATACAACTTGCCATGCATGCCAGAGAAATCCGCTCTAGCATCCGCTCAAACTTGTCGCAAGACAGGTAGGCTGCCGATGCTGGCAACCCTTCACTGGACCACTTATCCAGGAGGCAACAAAGTAGCGTAAATACAATGAGGCAGTCCTTTCACCTTTCACTGGCGCTCAAATTGCCTTTCTTGTCTTGATCACCATACTCCAGCAGCAGGCACTAGTGTCAGGTAATGTTGCGCCAGTCAGGGCCGTGTGATGGGGTCAGCCGAGGTGGGTGTGAGTTCGCCCCAGGCGCCCACAACCGCAGCCGCTGCCCAGGTGCCCAGCATGAGTGGCATGATGGGTCCTGCGCTGAATTCAGTCCACCAGGGCGACAGGATGGCCACATTGATGAGCCCTGTCAGCACCAGGCCCATGTTGAGGGTGATGTAGGGCGGCTTGTCCAGGTGCATCCTGTCCGCTGCTTCCTGCGCAGCAGGAGATCTGCTCGTCACGGCCACTTTCCTACGAGCTGCGACAATGCACAGATGCATGCCATCTAAAGCATGCTGCCTTGCTATCGTTCCTCCAGGCTGTGCTTCCGCTGCAGCCTGGCAAGGTGGTGAGGCACACAGTGGAGTAACTTTTCAATACATTCCCCCTCTCCGATTCTCAGACAACAAATATACTTGTTGCAGAACCAAGTGAGCAAAGTCCTTCAACAAATCTTCCTGTGCTCACAGCCTCACGAGGGGAGATCTGACTGTGCAGGCTCCAGACCACTCCGCGCGGGCAAGTCAGCTTTTCCGTGGATTGCTAGATCTAAAAGTGTTGTAACGTGCAAGCAGTGTTCACTGCAGACCAGATCTGGCGCGCACCTTGAGGGAGATTGTCCAGGTGGGCAGCATGAGCATCGAGGCGCCAAACATGCGCCAGAGGGTGATGCAGTCTTCGCCGCGCGCGTACAGAAATACATTGGTCAGGCTCTCCTCCGGAGTCAGCATGCATGCCAGACCAGCGCCGTAGAAGGCCGGGGTCAGCAGCGCGTAGGCAACCGCCTTGCCATTCTTCACTCGCCCCAGCATGTCCATATCCCTCACCGCCCCCTGCATGCAGGGCAATACTTTGATTCAATGCCATGTCAAGCTAGACAAGTGTCAAAGTCTGGGCTCGATTGTTCACAGGGCTCCAAAGAGCTGATCAGCTCTCCTTTCTTGGCCATGTGTGAAGGGCAGTGCCCCGGGTTTCTTCCGAGCAGCTGGGCACTCTGCTTTCTGTGAGGCAGGCCGCTATAATATAGCGGCTATCTGTGAGGCAGGCCGCTAATATAGCGGCTATCATATTCCTGCAAAACAATTCCAGTACTGAACATAGCACCAGTGATGATGCATGCGGTTGGCAGAGGGGCTAGGGATGATATACCTTGAGGATGCTCCAGAGGCCCAAGCCGTGGCCGGAGGTAATGGCATAGTAGTAGGCGGGAACAGCGATGGTGATGCCCAGCAGGGTTGCCATTCCGATGGATGCTGTGATCTCCAGCAAGTCAATGTGCAGCACCTGCATCCTCACCCCCCTTAGAGAACTGCGATTGCCTTATTGTTAGCATCATATCTGCACGTCTTGTGAACCCATCCTAATCCTCATGAGGATTAGGCGCGTTGCAGCAGCGATGCTATGACAGCCTGGCAGGTTAGTTGGCTTCTGCATTTGGGTCAAGTGTGTTCCAGTAACAGACACAGCAATTGATGCACCCAGAAATGAAACCAGGTCAGTTGTTGGGCGCATCCAGTAGCAAAGCCAGTCACCAGAGTGCAGACCTGTTGCTGAAACTGATACGCATTGCACAGAAATTCTGGCAGAGAAAGACACAACAAAGACAGATCACCTCTGCTGCCAGGGCCGCAGTTGCAAAGGTGACCACTCCCATATTGAGCCGCCGGTACACACTCTTGTGCAGCTCCCTCCTCTCTGCACCCGCCTGCGTGTGCATGCATCCACGCTTTGGCAGCCACATATCCCATAGTCTCAGCTGTCTCAGCTGCTTGTGGGAAGCATTAACAACAACAAGTTGTTTAGACGTTTCTGGAGGTGTGTAGGGGATAGCATGGGCGCGCCTTCAGGGCGAGCATTGAGACCGAAGCTGCCACGTAGCCTGTGCCCAAAATCCGGATGAGCTCAATCTGCAGCGGATCTATGGGCAGCGCTGCCTGGGCAAACAGAACCAATGCCACCTGCGCAGGGACAACACCCTTCAGCTTCAGGACGGCTCACGGTAGTGAGTTTGATCATGCTGCCACACCGTGGCAGCATTGCAGAGCAATAGCAATGGATATCAAGGCAGGTTCAATGGAGTGCTGGTGTGCACAAGTGCTTGCCTCTTCAGGGAAGATGAAGTGGGGAGCAGCAATTGAGGCATGCATCCCTGCCAAAGCCCAGTATGCATGGGCAGCCTCCTGGGGTGTCTCTGAGGCGCTAGGAGCTGCAAACACCAGTCCATGGGAATTCTTAGACATCTTTTCATGGTCCTGCTTCAGAAAATAGGAGCATTTTTGTCTACTGAGGTAGGAGTTGTCTTGATCGCACCTGAGGGGTCAGGCGAGGCTTCTTCAGGATCTCTGAGGGGCACACCAGACTCGTTGGTGCCCCTTCCAACAACAGGATCTGTAGAGAAAAATGCATGGCTGCCTGCGAAACTGCTGTGCCTGAAGAGCTGATCCTCAGCCTGTATGCCATTCTCTCATGCGATAAGTATTAGCTATCGCTTTTGACTTGGTTAGAAAACGCTTTGTCACCAAGTCGTCATCAAAGGACAATGCATGCAGAGCTTCCCCGTTGGAAGCAAGCTCTTATTGCTGTTCCAACCTGTCGATGCAGATACTGCACCTTGATTTGGCTGATAGATCGTAGACTAGAGCATCGTGGTTGTGCGATCGTAGAGGCTCGGCTTTCCTCCGTTCCGATCGTACGTTCTGCTCCCTCGACGAGAAATTTGCGGCTTCCAACTGCTGAGGCGAAAAGACAATCAGAAATACTACTAGCAGCGATGCGCAGCCTTGTAATTTGGCGTAGCATATTGCCCGTAAGGGGGCTGCGCACTCAACTGTCCAAGGATACGACTGTATGTTCAGATCTGATACGGTGACAGGGCAGAAGGCAACTGCCTATCCATCGATATCGATTGATTCGGACCCCCGTGCACGGTTATCTTCAATCAGATCACATCGTTTCGGAGACGACGCAGAATAGATTTCGACCAAAAGACAGTCATCAGTGAGAAGTCACCTTGTGGGAACTCCTGATCAAGCAATGTGGGGGTCTCACCCAAAAGCATTCAAGGTGACCAGCAGAAAAACTGCAGAAGTGAACCGTTACAGGAACAGACATGCAGGAAACACAGACGTCCTTTCTCATGCAATGACAGGTATGCAAAACAGAGTGCAGTCTGAGCGACAAATACGCCTAGCATCTGCCAATCAAGTTGGGGTATTGTACTGCTCCCCTGGGCACTGAGCAAACACGATATCCTGCAAATAACCACCAGATACCACAAAACGTGCCACGGACACCTCTTCACCCGTAAGGGGAAGCATGCAGCAGCCAATTGAAGACACATGTACGACCAAGGAAGAAGCAACACAGCTACATGCATGCACACATGACAACCATGCTGTCTTGATAGACAGCCCTTGAGCATCCGGCCACTCATGTCCTTGATGTGCCAAACCAGAGTTTGAAACACCAATACCTCTAGTGCACTGAAGCACCCCCCATCCCTCACGAGAAACTGACCAAAGTGTAGACTTGCCGAGCCTAGCTGAACACCACAGGCCTGATCAAAGATACAATAAAGAACTTGGAACTGCTGAAAGCTAGGCCTAGGGCCCGATTGGCTTGCCGGCATGGAAGCCTCTCTCTCGGAACTGGAGCATAACAATCGTTCTCTGCAATCTTCCTCTTGAGGGTCAAAGGCAGCCGCGAAAGCAGCTGCGCAGCAATACAGTGGAGTCACCAGCAATATCCTTCATCAGCTTGCTCAGGCTTCATCAGCATTGATCGGGCAAAGAAATCATTGTCACAAAGGCCGCAAATGATCCGCATATTGCAGGCCGAACCACATCCTTTCGTCCACCCATTGCCTTCTTGGGCGTTGCAATGCAGCCTCAGCTTTTGAGCTTCGCACGGTGCAGCCACCACGTGGTGCACATTACTCTCAACCAGACCTACATGAAATTGGTGCAATCCTCACTGCCCCTCTGTCATCCCCACACACTTTTTATTCCCGCACCCTCCGTCAAAGGTAGAGCATAAGAGCTCAAGACCACACTTCTCTTTCTTTCCACATTCCCCTTGGCAAATCTCAAGAACAAATCGAAAGGATGCCTTCAGCAGGCTCTCAATTTGCATGTGCCTTTCTGCCTTACTAGGCAACCCTCTTTTTGAAAGCCATTGCTCAGCCATCCAGATGTGCTGGACTGTCTTGGTCTTGGTGCAGATTGCCAGCAGCCCTGTCCAGGGCTTGAACCCCATGCTAAGCATCGAGCACTCGCTCGCTTTGTGCACCTAAACAACCTTCATCGCAATCAAAGTGTGCCACACAACCTCAGCATCATCTTGAATGAACAGCGCCCAAACCCTCGTCCTAGGACCAACTTCAAACACCTTCAATCCCCGGCAATTCAATTTGACACACCCTTGTACTGACCTTGCGCATCAACCCCCCTTTTTCAAATCTCTGGCAACCTGCAACCTTCACGAGAATATAAATTGCCTCCCAAACACATTACTATTACGTGCCAGATCCCGCGCGGTCCTGCTTGTGATTACCTCTGCTAACCATCTTCGTCCACCTATGTTGCCATCCAAGGACACAACCTGTACATGCGTGGGATCGCCTTGCTGCCAGGTAGCTTCCAGGCAGCTGCCAGGCAGCTGCCAGGCAGCAGCTCGGTGTACGCCCATTCTGCCCCAACAAGTACAGCTATATCTGACACCAGCTTTTCCAGATCCACTGCAGCTGTCACATATCTTGATGCCGCCTCCCATGGCAAAAGTTCCCAGGCACTGCGCCTTCTCATCAATTCGACTGGCTTCCAGAGAGATGTTCTCGCGTCCCAGATCCTGCAATTGTCACATGTGCGGCTCAGTGGCGCAGATTACTCGTCGCCTGGGTGGCGCCGGCCGCAGGCTGTCCAGCGGCGTTGCCTCCCGGCGCGGCTGAGCTGGCGGGGTGTGACTCAGCGCCGATGGAGGCCGCCACCTCAGCGGCATCCGGCAGCACAAAATGGTGGCCGGAGTGGCTGGTCATGATCTGGGCAGATGGGCCCGAGGGGTTGGACACCAGCTCGCCCCCGGACCAGGCCTCTGCCTGCCGCAGCAGCGCTGGGCTGATCATGCTTGGGTGCCAGTGCAGTTCGCTGCCCTTCTGCGCGTCAAAGCCCAGATCTTCCTTAACATCTTGCTCGACATAGTACATGTCCTATCCCGGCAGACTGTGCAGCACGTCATGCGGGTGCACCTGTCCCATCACATTACGCATCATCTAAGAGGTTACTCAGGCCGCCAATCTTTCTTAAGAGTAGGGATGGATCACCTGGGTGGGCGCACCAGGAGTGAACAGCTGGCCATTGTGCTCAGAGTCGGTGCCGGCCATCAGCCCGGTGCACAGCGGCGGCGGCGTGTGCGGCAGCGCAATGGCCGGCATGCCGTTGTCACGCAGCACCTCCTGCTTCTCTGGGCCCTGCTGGTACGCCTCCATGACCCTGGCCTCACCTGCAAAGTTACATACATGAGTACTTTGATTGAGTATCATTCATAACAAAATTACACGCTTTCCAGCCCTCAGGGCTAGATGCGCTGCGGCGACCTCTCAACCTCTCCAACCTTCCCTTTGCCTTGGCACTTTCTCCACCAATGGCATGTCAGTCCAACCGAGTTTATGGTGCCCTATGCTTGGGCTGCACATCTCAAGAGGTGCAGCACGGTGCAGGCCACTTGTCCATGCATGCATCATGCGCTGCCTGACAAGGCTGTTTCAAACATGGCCCCCACCTCGGAATGCATGCATGCATGCCGAGTCTTGAGCCGCACTCGCTCATGCAGTGGCTCCCTTCACAGTCCCTTTTCTCAAAGGAAATTGAGCAGTGCCTTTCCTTTTTCTGCAGTGCTTTTTCTTCGTCCGAAGCGCAACCGGTTTCTGCCGTGGCTTTCCTTGGTGAGCAATGCTGCCAGTGAACATGCATGGCAGCGGAATGGCAAATAATGCTCACCTCGCTGCTGGGGTGAATGGTCCACAATGTCCTTGCTGTAGAGCAGGGTGCTGGCAGCCAGGTAGGGGGAGCGGCTGTGGATCAGCTGCTGCTGCTGCAAGTATGAGGTGGGCTGGGGAGGGTAGTACTGGCCATGCTCCACCGGATGGTACACCCCTGCAGAACAGGACACTTGCCACGTCAGATATATTACGCCCCTTGTGTCACGTGACAGCGCAAAAAAAATGTTTGCTGATCATGGTGCAGCCGCGCATGCAGTGTCATGAAGGACTTGCTCCGAGGCAGTAGCAGGAGCCCTTACAGGAAGGAAGCAGTGGTGCTTCAGCCCACTATCTTGCAACTGATCAGAACATACCCTTTGATGTGATTGCATCAAAGAATGGAAGGTGGAAGGGTGCATGCAGCACCTGTGAAGCCGTTGGAGGAGGTGGGCTCGTAGGAGGTCACACTGCGCAGCAGCTGGGCAGAAGGACTCAGCGCCCCTGAGCTGGCCGGCACCAGCTGCACCGGGGACATGGTCTGCGCAGCACAGCGGAGGATGACTGCTATTTTACTGATCCGGACTTCAAATTGCCTCAAATCATATTGGCATCATGCACGGGAATTGGTACATCCTCCATGAGTAAGAACATGTCAGCAGCACGATGCCAAAATGACTTGTAAAGCACATGGGTCAGCTACCCTCTAGTGTTCCTCAGTCATGACTTTCTCCCTTTTGCATACATATGCAAATACTTTCTGATGCTGCATCAGTGAAGCAGACCCAGATTATAACTGCTACCAGAGATCTCGGGGTGGGAGGGTGGACATGCACACACCCTTGGGGGTGCGTAGTGGGTCCTGTGCTGGGGCTGGTGGTGCTGCAGCATGGGCATGGAAGGAGCCCAGATGGGCTCCATGCCGCCTCCTCCTCCATGCTGGCCCCATTCCTCCATTTTCATCTCGCCCACGCCATGCCTGTGCCCCGAGTGACCCATCTGCGCAGCCGTCACATAAGTGTCAGGCAGGTGGAGTGCTCTACTTCTCCTTCTTAATCAGATGAACTATAGATGGGGCACCCTACTGCAGAATGCGGAGCAGGGATGTGTGAAAGACAATCATGGCCCGTACAACGGGGCATTATTGTCATTTCAAGATATCAAAACGCATACAGCTGCAGGTCTTTGAAGTAAGCAGCCATGCACGCGATCCTCGCAAAATGGCAGCCTGTCAGTATTGAGTGGTCTTTGTGCAGCATTTGAAGTGGCTCCATATATACATGCAGCCGCCCTTGTTTAGCTACTTGCTCCAGCTGACTGTCAACAGTCCTCACCTAAAACAAAGATGGAAACAGAAGCAGCTGCTGGGCACCTATAGGGACAGGCTGGCCGTGTTCAAGGCAATCACTCAATTAACTGCAAGCCGCTGTCAGACATGGGTTTCGATGAAAGAGCACAGAAGCAGCTGCTGGGCACCTGAGGGGAGAGGTTGGAAACAGAGTGGCCGCTGTTGCTTTCCCCTGCAGTGCGCTCATAGGCGGCAGCGCCCTCATCTATCCCGCCATAGACCCCCACGTACATATACTTCCTTTTCGGATACTGCCCCATGCGGCCATCCCACTTGCCGCTCTGCACACACATTGATCTGTTAGCAGACCAAGTTAGTTCTTTTTCACGTGTTGAAACGAATATCATTCCTCAGCTCGCAGCTCACAGCCCATCCACTTGCCGCTCCTAACCCACACAAGTTATCAGAGTGCACATGCAAAACGACAGCTTGCAGCCCATCCCATTTTCTGTCCTGCAGCACAGAAGCTCTCGACAGAGTGCATGCCAAGCTACAGAACATCCCACTTTCTTCTGCATCACAGAAGCTTGAGGCAGAATGGCACACCAAGGCGACAGCTGACAGCCCATCCCAATTGCAACAAGAGCTCTTAGCAGAGTACACAGCTAGATGACAGCTGTCAGCCCATCCCCCTTGCTTCTGCAAAGCGAGAACTTATGGCAGGCTGCTCATCAGGACGACATGCAACAGCTTGCAGTCAATCATTACACTGTTGCTACACAGTACTCACTTCGGACGACAGCAGAGCCTCTATCTCTGGCGCCAGCAATGCCTTGATACCTCAATTGTACTTCTCTGGATCTATACGGGGTCCTGGAAAAGGTCATTGCAGAGAAAGAGACCCCAGGGATTCCAGGTCGGGAATGCTGCAGCTGTATGCTCGAGTGGGTGATGAGACAAAGTTTTGGATTGTCAGTGCTGCTCTCAAGTACGAGTAGTGAGATATGTCGCTCACCCGCTGTTTGACTACGCCTCTGTACTTTGATGTGCCCTTCGCGAAGCCCTTGCTCTGCCTCCGAAGCAGCAGCACCACTTCGTCCTGTGATCAGGCAGAGAGTGATCTTTCACAAAAGCTGACAGATATGATTTGCTCGATCAGATGCTGCTGATGACAAAAGGCACGAGTATGCAGCTCACAGCAGCCTCAGCGGCTTCATTCCACATGTCCATGACAGGCAGGCACTCCCGCTGACAGAACACCGAATCATCACAGGCTGCATTCCATGAAAGCTTAGTTGTGCCTGGCCAGCACAGGCTGATGCATAGAGAAAAGCAGAGCAACATATGATGTGAGCTCGGTCGAGGCTGCCCACCTTTGTCAGGCTGGGCAGCATGGGCAGCAGCTCATCGTACTCCTCCTGTGCAAAGTTGAGCGGCGAGTTGGGGCCCCGGCACTTGAGCGCCATCACATCGTGTGCCTTGCCTGCCACACCAACGCATCATGTCACGAGCGCTCATCCAGAGACTGTACAATCTGTGCTATGCTGGTGCACTGCTACAGCTGCACATCCCACGTGGCTGCAGTACATGGTAGTTAGGCAGCAGCAGCTCCCACATCGTCTATGATCAAGAGGCACGGCCAGTTTAGTAGCATTGCCGCACCAGTGCTCTTGCGAAAGACGTTTCAGATGGTCTGTAAACACCTATATGGGCAGAGTCCTCTTGCAAACAATGCAGCAGCTGGTCAGTGGGTGCGAGGTTTGAAGTCAGACAGGGAAAGCTGCACAAAGCCTGAGCAGGTATAATCACCTGCGTGCTCCTCCACATCAAAGCCTCCCAGGTACACCTGCTTCTTGTCGTCCCAGATGTGCGCCTCCCACCTCTTCGTGCGCCTGTGCGGCGCCAGACACTGCTGATCACTCATTTCTTGCTATAGACCTGGGGCGCCTTCCAGCTTCACACCCCAGCAGGCAGGCCTTCTGCTTGCTTAATCGCTGGGCAGACTAGAGAAAAGAAACTTATTTGATAAGGCTGAAGCGACATCCTTTGCAGCGGTACCCATCAGCGATCAAATCCAAATCCTGAGATGGGGTGGTCAAAGTTCACTCAGAAAGAAATATCTGATCCAAAGTAGGGCTTGCAGCAGCACCTGAACAGATCCATAACTTGTTTACCGACGTCAATGAAAGTGAGATATGAAAAGATTCAGACCTGTGACGAGTGACACCCCTGTACTTCGAGCTGGTGCCTCGAGGTCCCCTGCGTGAAGGCGCCTTCGGGCTGCCCTGCTGTTCTGCCATGAACTCCTCCTGCTCTGCTTCAGGAACAAGCGCATCGTTGGCACGATCATCCTCCTCCTCGTCGTTTTCCCTGTTCAGGTTGTCGACCAGAGCCCGCGAGAACTCATTCATCAGCTCTCCCGTGGGCGGCTGACCCGTTTCGCTGTCCGTCTCCTGACCCACAATCTCCTGCATGGCTGGCTGTCTCACGTCCTCGATCTTGGGCATCTGGATGAGCATGCTGGCAGCCTGCAGGCTGGATTGGGACGCGAGCCCGAGTCCACCTGGGACCCTGACCTGGTCTGCCGGCTTCTCTGCCTCGGAGTAGGGCAGGTGCGAGTCGGACCAGGACTTGGTGAGCGGAGGCGAGCGCTCTGCCGCCCTGTGCTGCTGGTGCATGCTCAGCAGGGCGTCAGGAGACAGCCGGGAGCCGCTGCTGGAGATGCTGTTCTCTGACCCGAAGTACAGGGGAGAGCCGTCGCTGGCCGTCCTGTACAGGAAGTGCTGGCTGCCGTAGCCGTCCTGAGGTGGGCACGCCGAAGCGACCCTCCTGAGGGAATGCGGATCTGAGGCCGGATTCATGCTCGTCCCGACTTCCTCAAGCTTCACGCCCAGCTTGCGACTGCGCAGTTGCATGGCGGTGCCTTTATTCAGTCAGGGGGCCCTGACACTATGATCACAAGCAGTGGCCTTGGCAGATGTCAACCTTTTGCATTAGCAGATCGCAACGAAAGATACTGCACCACATGCACACGGCCTCCTGGCATCAGGGTTTGGCTTCCCATGTGCCAATTTGTAATTGGCTCTAATTTTGGGTGCAAAAGTTTATCCGTTCAAATTCGAATCACCTGGCCTCTTCGAAACGAGTGCGCAGATGGGTGTTACGTCAAAGATAAGACCCCACGCTTGAACATATGATCCCAAGCCTGGCACCAGAGCAGCAGAAGCTCACCTTTTGTGTACGGCATGGTTGCATACTGGCGCAGGAGGACGTCTTCAGCGGTGCTTCGGCTGAATTTTTGTCGGTCAACTGCTCTGAAGTGAAGGCGAACTCGCTGGCCTATTGGACGCAGGGATTTGAATGCTTGCATTGCCTGTCCAACGGCACGGGACCTCAGCCAACAGACTTCGTCCTCATGCATAGCGTCACGTGCATCTCTTGGACTGCCCAACTGCAATTCTGCCTTCAACTCTTGTCCGACAAGTTCGACTTCCTGGGCCATGTTAAGGAAGCCCACAGCATCCTATATTTGTTCAAGGTCTGCAAGATCAGATCTGCTTGCGTTATGGCCAATCAGCTGCAGAGGGGGCCGAGAACTCTTAAAACATGTGGCAGACTGGCTGTGCATGCATGATCTTGACCAGCATGGGTATGCAAAGGGAAACTCCTTTGCAGCGGTGACAAGCTCAAGCGATGGAGTGATCTCATCAAGTCTCATTGCGTCATGCTAGTAGCAGGCCGAATGTTCCATTTGACCCTGCTTACAATGTTTGTCTCTGCTGTGAACAGCCGCCAGGCCTTCCCTGTAGGTGGGAAGCGCCAGCTCGAGGCCCAGCTCCCTCTTGATGAGCTCATTGCGCACCCCCTTCTCCTCCAGCTGTGGCCTGCATGCACCGTCAAGCTGTCACTTTGCTGCGCAAGAACCCGCAACATTCATACTGCTGTGGCCTGCATGCACTGCGAATCTTTCACTGTACAGAACAACAATCCGTAGAATCCATAACATTGTAGCAGGTAAATACACCACAATATTCAAGACTACTCAGCCGCCCACAATTGCAACAGACAGCTGCTTGCCCAGGCCTGTGTGCAGTGACTTTCTATTGCGAAAAGTAGGCTGCAGCTTACCCAAGCGCCTATGCATCGGCGGAAGCTTCCGGTATTGACAGCGGCGGGATGACCTGTGAGCAGCTGCTCTGCGTAGGTCATGACTTCTGCTCTACTGGCAGGGTCATCGTTCACAATGATCTACACCGCCCCTGCAATGATCAGCAAATTGTTTGAACCTGTGCACTATTGTGGTGTTATTCCCCTGCATCCAATATCATCCAGTCAAGACATCCATACATTGGCGCCAGAGCATTCTCAGGATCTTGGGCAGGCTTGAGAAGGACAGTAGACCAGCGGTCTTTCTGACTTTGATGTCAAGTGTCTTCAGTCTGGGAGATGCAGGCGCACCTGGGCGAGGGCGTTCTATGCTGGCCATCAGCACCTGGCAAATCTCATACACATGGGATCGCAAAGTGAAGTACTGCTGTGCGCGGCGCCTCTGATTTCTGCTTGCCTGACCTGGCTGCATCCAAGACTGTACAGGGAGTACCAAGAATGACGGTGTTATCACCCGCTTTGACAGAACATACAACAATTAAATACAAAAGCAGTCTTGCACATTTATATTTGACTGTGGCGCAGTGTAAGTCAACCATTTCTATTCCTACTTTCAAATTAGTGCTGTTCAGTTCCACTGGCTATCTCATTAGCAAGTCAATTCCTCTGACCAAGCGATGTGCGCAGGATGGTGGGGTGCCATGAAGGAATACGTTCTGGGTGAACATCCAGGGCTGGACAGCACACCCGGTGATATTGCTGCCAAGAACAATTAGTCTGGCGCATGGAGCTTCACACAGCAGACAAATGGTCTTGTATCAATGCGACTCCCTGGCAATTCTGCTAGGTCCCCAATTGGGCTGTAAATCATGTATGGTCATATTGTTGCTAAATGAGGTTGGTTTATGCTCACAGATAAGTAGTGTGCACATTACTGTGCACACTGCTGTGGTAGACAGCCAGGTTAATGGCTGAACTTAATGCACAGTAGATCAGCATGGTACACTTGATCTTACTTGCTTAATAAGAATGTGGCAGGTCGCATGTGCACCAAAGTGGCGGCCGCAATCTTTCCGAAATGTGCCTGATGCGGAGTACTTAACAATGAAGACCTAAAAACTGTGCGGGGACTGTTTGTCCCTGCTGTGGATGTCGGCCAGGCCTTCCCTGTAAGTGGGAAATGATAGTCTGAAACCCAGCTCCTTTTTGATGAGGTCATTGCTCACCCGCTTCTCCTCCAGCTGTGGCCTGCATGCACAGTCACCTTGTCAGTTTGCACGCAAGAAGCTGTGGCATCATACTGCAGTGGCCTGCATGCCCTTCTCAACTTGCGGAAGAGCAAAGTGCAGCCGATGCAGCAAGGAATTACATCGGAATGCCCAGTGCTCAAGTGTCCTAGAATGTGCAACACAGCTGGCAGTCCGGGTCTGTGTGCAGTGAATCTACTGCAGACGTTGGGCTGCAGCATACCCGAGGGCTGATGCATCTGCGGCGCTTGAGGAAGAAGCTTCAGGTGTCGAGAGCACAGCCGCAGGGGCAGGGCGGCCAGTGAGAAGCTGCTCCGCGTAGGCCATGACTTCTGCCCTGCTGGCAGGATCATCATCCACGATATTGTACACCGCCCCTGTAAATATTCACAGGTCACTTGACCTTCAAACTGTGCATTCCTCCGGTACAACTACTCACCCTAAACCCATCGCTAATTGTGCACGACAGCATCCAAGAAAATCGCGGAGAGCGCTCTCGGTGCCTGGGCAGACATGAGAAGAATAAAAGATATGATTTCAAATCTGTAATCAAATGTGTTCAGTCTGGGAATGCAAGCACACCTGGGCGGGGGCATTCCATGCTGGCCATCAGTGCCTGGCAGATATCGTACACGTGAGATCGTGCAGTGAAGCACTTCTGTGCGCGGCGCCTCTGATTTCTGCTTGCCTGACCTGGCTGCAGCATCCAAGACAGAATCAAGGAGAGTATAAAGAATGACGACCCCTTCGACAGAGCATACAATAATCAAAGTCAAAAGCGATCTTGGACATTTTAACTTGACCCGTGGCTCAGTGTTTTGAGCACACCTGCTGTGCCACTGCATCCAGTGCGCTCCTTCCAGGGCCATAGATACCTGCGTATCAGATCAGCATGTTTTCCTTCTGTAGGCACTGAGAAGCAACATCTGCAAGGGACGCCTGGTGGAGCCCGGCTGGATACGCACCTCCTAAACGAAAGATGTGCACCGGGACTTTATGCTCCTCCCACATCTGCCTCCAAGCAGCCTCCGCCAGAATCCGCGCATACCCCTTTCCCTGAGTAGCCCTCAGCTCCGACCTGCAATCACAGCGTGCAGAGAGCTTTGCAGTCAGTGTGCAATGGGCCGCGTGTTCACCTACAAAACAAGGCAAAGGGCGGCAGCTGTTGCAGTGTGCAGTAGGGGGAAGCCTGTGCTGGGGCTCTCACGTTTCATCGACCCAGTCGCCCTGCCAGTCCCCATAGACCCCTGTGCTGCTGAGGTATCCCACCCACTGCGCGAGGCCTGTGACACTGGCGCAGCTCTGCAGCTCTGATCCCACCATGGCCAAGACCTGCACGCGATAGTATGGAGTAATGCAGTTACTCAAATGCTGCTTAGGTGGCCAGTGAGCCTATTGGAATTGGTGAAGTAACTGGAGGATCAAGATCTGGAAAGAGTGTGCTGACCGGGTCTGCTGTGCCATCTGCTGGTGGGATTGATGATAGGATGTGGGTTGAGCAGTGAAGAGTATCGATGGCCTGCGGACTGAAGGGGCAGGAAAAGAAATTTAGGCATCTTGATCTGCATTGTGACTTCTGAGGTGCCAAGGAGAGGAAAGGCAAACGGACCTAAGGGATGCTCCCGCATTGGGATCAAAAGGAAACGCTTGTATGCCTTCATATTGTAATAATCTGCGACTGCCTTCCAAAGTTCGGCATGTCCCTGCAACATCCCTTCAAAAAGGGATGATGGCAGTAAGAAACTTCGCACAAAGGCAGTTTGGAACAGGAAAAGAATTTGCATCAACCTTCAAACAAGCTGATATCATCCAGATATGCGTCAGTGTGAGGCTTTACCATCCTTTTCCAAGTGATAGCTTTGCAAGCCCCTTGCCCGTGTAGCCCAAGCCAAAGACGAAAAGCTTGGGACTGGCAACTTTGATATCCTGTGGCTCTGATTGGCACTTGCAAATCAATGTCAAACGGCGTCTTCCAGGATCGTCAAAATGCGGTAGTAAAGCCCTCCGTTGACTCAGAAACGCACAGATGCCCATGTTGACTCACTCCCATTGTTTTCTTTCCTACAAATCACCGAGGCCTTCAATAAAATAATAGATTTATGATTGAAGTAGCTTTCTGGGAAGCTAAGGGATGGGATGTGGGAGCAAAGCGACAGCAGATTCAAGGTCGTCAATAGATGCCAAGAGGAAGGAAGCTTCCATCATGAGAGAAGGTGATGAAGTCAACCTCAGCGTCTTCGACCTCAACCTCGTTCCTTCCACCTTCAATTCCTTCTGGACACAACGAGTGAATCTTCAAGCCTCTTCTCATCTTACTTGCCTGGTGGTTGCTGAATATGCGCTGCGGCACTCAAAGATAGCAGGATCGACGATGTAGCTTGTAGGTGGGTGCTGGTAGATGCTAGAATCGTCGAGATGAGGCCTTTCCATCGCGACATCAATCACAGATAACGACGGCGGATCGAATGACCTGTGCCTGCCGTGATGTCTGCCGATGGCCATTCATGTAACACACACCATTACCCACCCATACTATCTCCCGCACCCAAGCAGACAAACCAGCGAAATGTACACACCCCCAGTGGCCATTCATGGACACCTTCTCTAGTTCATGCATGTGTCTCTGTAATGAACCTCATCGTACAACACATTGTATTTTTGCCAGATGGTTGATAGAAGCTAAACAATTACATAGAAGCTGCTATTCGAGGAAGCAGTCGACCAGTGCTTTGACTGTGCACTGAAGCATTGAGCAAAATACATGCAATGGCATGTGCATCCAAAATTTAAGAGTTCCAGGGAAGCACAGTCCTTGCGGATGTCCTTCAGCTGTGCCAGAAGACAGGGGTGCAGGCCTGCATGCACCTGCTTGCCACTTCCAGTCAGGCAAGTAAGCAGCATCTGCCTGACGCAGCACCGCACTGCTATCCAGAGAGGAGCACATCCTGGTATGCAACTAGGAACTCGCCAATAATGTTGCGATCCGGGGAGACAGATGCCAGCCCATACACTGGGGCCATGCCGTCCTTCACATGCTCCCCGCCACTCTGCAAGTCCTCCACGCACTCCCTCAAATCCTGCACAGCCCATGATGGAGCTAAAAACATATGAAAAGAAACAGGACGCACGTTGAGCTTTTGAAAGTCTCCATTGTCAGAGACACACACTTTTGAAATCCTGACAAGGCTTTCTAATTGGTGCCGTGCCAGTTTCTCTCAGCTCTGACAAACCTCTGATGCCTCTTGTTCCTGGAATAATTTGATATTGCAGATAGCTAGAGGTGCCGCCCTAGTGATAGCACAGATGCAGTTGGACTGGCTGGGTGCTGTGCAGAAACAGAGCAGGCTGCTCAGTTCAAACAGCTTAATGAGCATGCATGGCAACCTCCCCAAACAGCAGCAGAAGTGCAGCTGCAATTCCTGGAATATCATTGCCGGCGGTTGGGTTTGCCGTGTACAAAATAGAGGAGGAGGCACACCTTGAGCAGGGGCTCGACGATGCTGGCGTGCTGCGCAGTGAAGCACATGTGGAGAGCGGGAGGCAGCTGCAGCGCATTCAGGTGCCAGCCGCGGGCTGACAGCGCATCGTTGACCGCGTAGATGTTGAGCTTGCGCGCGTTTGTGGCCTTGAATGCCACCACTGTCATGGCCGGATCCCCTGCAAGCTCCAGCCCCTCTATGGCCTTGACCCCCTCTGCAAAGTGCCTCGCCGCCTGTAAAACAACATTAGAAGGGATATCAGCGTTTCCTTTTTATAAGCAACTAGCTTCACTGGCCCATGACATCGGCCAGTGAAGCTAGTTGCTTATAAAAAGGGCCCAGAAAATACTTTGCCTGAGTGAAGAATGTGAGCTGTGGACATCTTGAAAAAGTTTCAGTCAGGGCGCTGCACAATTAAAATAGCACTGTCAGGCGGAATCGGTCAGACAGCACTAGGCAGAAAGCAACCTTCATCATCTGGTCAGTGAGCTTGACATAGCCCTGCAGCCCCTGGTGCATCATGCTTGCCCACGCTGTGCTGATCAGGGCGCCTGACCTGCTGCCTGCAAAGCCTGCAGTGCAAACAAAGCCTCAGCCTTGCCAGGCGCGCAATTCCACAAAGTGCCCATACAGGTTTCCGGGAGCATGTGAGGGATGAACAATTTTAGTCCTCACTGGCCTTCTTCTGCTGCTTACCAGCCCAAGCATTCTTTTGCTCCTCACACTTGTCACACTCACCCTGTCAATGCTGACCTGCTCAAGCAGTCAATTGCGAATAATTGCTCCACACAATGTCACAACTTGCCTAGTCGATGCCTGGAAACTGCATGAACCCCACAGCCTCTATTTTGTCTTGTGCCTCTGCAGCAGGGCTTATTTATTGGGGGGTCAGGAAGGCTAACCTGGGGAGATGTAGAGGCCGCCGCTCCACTCAGTCACACGAGTGTACTGGTGTCGCCGGATGTCTTTGCTGCGGTACAGCACCACGCTCGTCCCCTTGTGGGCCATGCCGAACTTGTGCGTGTCCACGCTCATGCTGGTCACGCCCGGCACGGAAAAGTCGAACGGCGGCACTGGGTAGCCGGCCGCGCGCGCGAAGGGAAGAACAAAGCCACCTAGGCACGCATCCACATGGCAGCACACGCCGCGCTTCCTCGCCAGCTGTTGGCAGTTAGAAACCACGATCAGCCATAAGCTTCACAGTGGCGAGCACCGTCACCCTGCTAAGCTGTCACCTTGCAGCAGCAGGCAGCTTGACCGCACGACAAGGGTGAGAAGTGACTTTGCAGTCGGTGCTGGCTGGTGCAAGTCAACGCCTGAGTACATGCAATGAGCAGGCGTTGGGGCTGAGGGAAGAGGGCCTGGCAACCTGGCAAAATACATACTGCGGACCCGAAGGGCGGTGTATGCCCAACCTTGCTGGGCTGAGACGTTTTCCAAGAGAAAGGCATGTAAGTGAAAGACACATGACATGGCACAGGGCGCACCGCAGCGATGCCGGACACGTCGTCGATGACGCCGTGGGGGAAGCAGGGTGAGGAAGCCACCACCAGCACTGTGTTACGAGTCATCGCGCGCGCCACTGCAGCAGCCGATACCCTGTAGTCATTCCCCACCGGCACCTGCCCACATGCGCAGCTTAACATGAAAAGCCCATGTCAGCCTGTCAAGTACTGGCAACCCAGTGAAAGACAAAGCACTAAAGACTGCGAGGCAGGTGCAGATCATGCATGCAGGATTGGGAGCAAGGCAGAGAGGGGCTGTGCAGCAATCCTTTGTGGGAATTATTTGCATGATCCCATGCATGCTGGTGTTCTTGCGCCAGTCCTATGCAGAGCGGCAAAGCAGAGCTATCACTGCAAGCAACAGGATAGCGGATAACCATTCTGCATCCTGCCAAGACAGCTTTTTCCTAGGAAGAGGAAATTCAGGAGTGCGATCCTCACTCGAGTGTCATGCCTGCAGGACAGAAAAGTACCTTGACCAGCTTGACGTTGAAGTACTCGGCAGCCTTGAAGAAGGCGGCGTGCGCGGACTGGCCCACAATCATCTCCGGCCGGCGGATGCCCTTCCGTGCACGCATGTAATCGCGCGAAGCCTTCACTGCCGTCAGAATGGACTCTGTTCCGCCGCTGGTCATCGCACCGCACACGTCGGGGTCCCCAGAAGGGCCGCCTGCATGTAAGGCAGCCCCGTTGTGGGTCAACTCTTCTAGATAATATACACTCCCTTAGGCTGGTGTGAGGACCAGGATATTCATGACAGGTTGTCTCTATATATCCTGGTGATGCTCTTCTTTGGGGATTATCTATGGGATTTTGCGGAGACTTGACATCGCTTGCAGCAGGGTGAACACCAACACAGCCATCCGCTGAGCTGCATTCAAACTCCCTCGAATATGATGCAAACTTGCCTTTCTTGTCTGCAGCATTACTATAATGTGAAGCCACTGCAGCTTGAGGCATGTGAACTCATCTGATCAGACATGCATGCGGGGGGCAAGGGCAGCTTTTGTGCAGGGCAATGAAACAGGTAAAAAGAGCACACACGCACCGCCCAGCATGGCGGCAGTCATGGCGACAACCTCCAGCTCCATCTGGCGCACAGAGGGGAACACGTCCGCGTGCATGGGGTTGGTGTGCGAGAACGAGGCATACACGTCGTTCAGCATGCGGCAGTGCTCCTCCCCCATCAAGTACAGCGTTCCAGACACCCTGCTGTACCCCTCCTCAAATGCCACGTCCCTCTTGCCCTGCGGCCATGATCATCGCATGAAGTTTTCGTTCTTGAATGAGAACCGCCAGGCGTGTGCCTCTGCCACAAGCACGCCGGCTCTTCAGCTGTGAGAACTTTTGGGAGATGCATGGCAGAGGCATGCATGTTGCAGATCACCTTGCATGCCATATAGTGGGTCGTTGAACATGCACACGGCCCTTGCTACTTTCTAGTGAAGGGGTGATTGGGAAGGAATTTGGCACGTTCAGGTTCGGCTCTCCTACAAACGCACAATGAAGACGGGTGTACCATCTGGTTGTGAAGAGCAGAGAGGGGGTGAAATCGAGGCGCACCCTGCTCTGCAGGCGTGCCTTGACCTCATCAGCAGCCATGCCATTCTTGGGTAGCTCCAGGTACTGCTCCTGGCTCACTCCATTGCCCTTATTGATGGACGCCCTGATCTTGACCTGCTCAGTGAGTCCACGCAGATATTGAGTATTCATGCAGTAATTGAGTTCATGCAAGAGTTGGAGTTGGCGCAAGGGTGACAAAGGTCCCAGAGCACTATATTGCCAATGAGCTGGCTTCTTTTGGCCCACTGTCCAGGACTGCGCTTCATGGTTGTAAGCCAATCGGTGCGAACATAAGATACTGGATACAGCTGGCATCACACCAGCATCTTTGCATTCTCGCGTTGGACGATGCCCCTGATGCCTGGCAGGCTCTTGATGACCTCAAACAAGCTTTGAAGGACACCTGTTCAGATAAGTTCAACACCTCAGTGGCAAATTCTGTCCCGAGGCACAGTTGTAAGTTGGCAATGCTGGTAGTGAACCCATGTTGCATTCACTTGCGCATTTCTTACCAGCTTCTTTCAGTTCGGCTATGGCTGTCAGCACGAGCTGGGACAGCCATGCTAGCAGCAGCACTGTGACGGTCGTAACTGCAGCGATCTGCCAAGGCAAGAGCCCACCCAAGTGTGCATCGATCCAGGTCGTCCCAGACTCGATATGCGGTGAAACAAGCCTGATGAGTGGATCTAAAGACTGCTGTATGGCTCCCCATGCTGCTTCTGCTTGCGGCCTGAGTCGTGAGAGGGCATCGATCGTGGCATGCTGCAAATCGCTTCCACCTGCACACCGGATCTGAAGATGAAAAAACATTTCTTCGGCAACGGCGCTACATACAAAACGTTTTTGGACGAGTCAAGTGCCCTCATTGCAAATGCTTTGGACCAGGTTACGTTAGGTGCTTGGCAAGAAGCAGTGCAGCTTATGGAGCCATACCGTGCTTCATGGTGTCACCAGACGGTCAGAATGAGTACAACATTTTTTTGGGATGGCAGTACTAGCCACGTAGCCCTGCTATCTCTCGGCTAGGTCTGTCTGCAAGTCACGAGGCAAAAGTAGCGTCAAGCCTGTAAAATTTTAATTGCTAAAACTACACCAACCTTCCATTTCTGAACATAACCTTCTTCTTTCCTCTGAGTATGTGCATAATAAGCTTCGAATCATTCAAGTTTGCGTCATCACAAGAAACCAGTTTTCGAGGTGCCGCAGGAACGCCTTCTGAAAAGGCTGGCAGCTGGTGGGCTGCGCGCGACAGCGGGGCGCCCGGGGGATCTGAGAAAGTGCATGTCCGAGTAAAAATTGCGATCTCATTCAAAAGCAATTAATATTGGCATAAATTTTTTAAAATAATGTCCTGCAGACACCGTAGATGTTGCACGGTATAAATTCAGTGACGATATCTCAGGTTGGATCTGAAATTGTTCAATGCAGTCTGGGGCATTGAACAGGGCGATCCTGCTGCACCCGAGCTTGAAGGAGTCGGTGAGTAGTGCAAGAGTTTCAGTGACATTCTAAATGCGATATCCATTGCTGAAGCAAGGAGGGATGCTTCAATGGCGAACTGTTCCTGTGGCATTCAGAGGTATTCTGTTGTGCGTCCAGGTCACCACCATATCATTCAGCACCAGTGAGGAGCTTCTATGGTCAGGTGACATCTACCTTGCTGCCTCTCGGAATATCCATGGCTCACAACACTTCCTCATCTCTCCTACTTACAGGCTGATCTGGGGAGGTCCAGTCTCCCTATTTCAAGCTGTGATCAGACACATTCTTCATCTTAGCGCATAGTTCGGTCAGTGATGCCTTAAGTGAATTTGAAAATCACGATTGCTTCAAGAACCATGGAGATGGGTTCCCGCTGATCTGGACTTGCGTCTGACCTCAACAAGGAAGATAGCGGGGATGCAGATGTACCATATGTAATGCAGTGTATTTAAACTCTCTGCAGGCACAGCAACAGGGGGCCTCTTTGGGCTGCAGTGCCCAGACCTGTCAACCTACAGCACTGTCCGGGCACACAAGGTGCCCGTTTTGGGCAGCGCCCCTCTGGGTGATGGTATCGCCTCAGTTTCTCAGGAGTGGGTCCGCTGGCACAGCTCCGGCGGCGCTCCCCGTGCCACCGTCACCATTGCTCAGGTATTTTCCCCTCCTTCCCTTTCCAATGCAGAAGTCCCTGGCGCTACAGATCCCACAGGATACCATGCACTAGTCTCTTCTATGTGTTCGTAGGTACTCTGGGCTGTAAGTGCGAGCCTTTAGGCACTGGGAAGACTGCTCTTTCTGAGAAGCCTGCCAATAAGCCCTGAATTAGCCGTTGGTTTGTCTCAATAAAACCATGTGCGCTTTGCGGTGCAGGCTGGAGTGGAGGCTTTCACGGCGATCTGCGCGGAGCCGCACAGCCGGGGGCAGGCCATGGTGGGCTACAGCTGCGCGGCAGCTGCCGGCGCCGACTCCCCGACCGAGCACGGCGTCGCCCTGCTCGACCTCTTCACCGGCAAAGTGGTCTCAAAGGTGTGAACGGACTGTATCCCCCTTCAATAGGGCTGACCAATCACTGGACCTGATCTTGAAACTTTCCCAGATATATGATTTCTTTTTAGAAAAGTAGTCAGTCTACGGTGCTGAAGAGCGGCGGTGGTGCTAACGAATGTTCTTTGAACAAGTTTGAGGACAGGCTTCATGCTCAAGAGGTCCTGTGCTTCTGCACCACTCTTGTTGCGGGTGGCTAGCTTCTTATGCCGAAATTTTGGGTATTGATGGCCGGCTCACTCTCACTGTGGGCGTTTACGGACCAACACTTCTGGGACGGTATACGCAGGCCACCGTAACGGAGCCAGTGTACGTGATGCGGCCGGCGGCGCGGGGGTTAGTCGCGCTGGGGTCGCCAGGTGGCAACGTGTCATTGGCCGACCCGCGTGCCGGCTTCAAAGCGCAGCACAGCGTGGCCGCGCACGCCGCCGGGCTGGCCGACATGGATGCGCGCGCCGACGCGCTGGCAACATGCGGCTACGGCACGCGGCAGGGCCAGATAGTGCCCGAGAACTACGTGAAGGTGGGGTCCGTAGAAGCACAGAAGCTTGGTTCTGTGGAGTCTCAATACTGAGCATGGTCACTGTGCGGCAATCAACGGCTTTCCATTTCCAGGGCCTTGAACATGTTTGTACCTTTTCCTAAATATTGGCATGGCCTGGTCATTGCATGAAATGCATGGGTGAAGCTCATGCCCTGGGTAAGCAAAGACATGTGCTGGATATTGGAGATGAAAACAGGTCAGCAGTGACCATACTCAATTGATGAAGCGTGAGATTGTGCGTCCAGTATGGAGGACAGGTTGAATGACACTCCACCACAACAGTGCCAATAAATATTCAGCACTTCTGTAGCAACCAGCAAATGTTGGCGCCCCATTCACTCACCATTGCTGATCACCAACAGCAATGGTGGCGCAGTCAGTCGAGCCAGAGAAGACAAAGATGTGGGGCTGATGCCAAACACAGGTGTATGACCTGCGCTCGGCCATGCGCATGAGCGGTACAGTGGCGTTCCCTGCCGGCCCCTCGCTTCTGCGCTTCCACCCCAAGTTCTCCTCCACAATCCTCGTCGCCTCCTCCAGCGGCACATTCACCCTCGCTGACACCAGCGGCGCTGCATTCTCCCGCTACGAACGGGTGCGGGAGCACCTCTCTCGCTCCAGTCACCAAGCTTGACTGGGATCAGGCCAGGCTTATTCTTGAAGGTTTGCTTGCCAGGTATTTTGCCTTAATCTATTTCTTGGCTGCCCGAGTGGTGACGGTGGCCACACAGAGTGCCAAGGCATGACGGCAAAGTCATTTCGTGGGCAAGCGTGCCATCCACGCCTGCAACCAGGGACTCACTATTTTTCGTGGCATGCATGCAATACTTTTCACTGGGGACAGGCTACTGGTCATGTAGGCATCCTTTCTTTGGAACGTCAAAAGGCACTGATTCTTGACTGCTTTTTTGCGCAGCTGGAGGCGGAGGGCGATGCATTAACAGCGTGCGATGTGTCGGCGTCGGGCGAGGAGATAGCGTTCGGCAGCGCGGTCGGCTACGTGTATCTGTGGGTCATGGGCGGGGAGGCCCCCTGCGTGAACCCCTACTCTCAGCCGCTGGAGGTCCCCCCGCGGCAGGCCCCACCTTCGGCGGTGCAGCTGGCCGAGGACGACTCGTTCGCGCTCGCCGCCGTGTACCCGCCCGGGCAGGTTAGTCGCCCTGTGTCACCCTGACTTGTGGAATGTAGTCAGCCTTCTTTAAAGCTGTGAATGTGTGGTATACACACTGTGCTGCCCTGGCCCAGGCCTGTTCATGTGAAAATCACATCTGCAGGATCGGAAGTTTGAGGCTGCATTTTATGGTCGGATACCATGATTGCCGCATACAAGAGACCCAGAATGTTCTGTTTCTGAAATAAATGAGTAAGAAATATTTGTGCACATGCAGGGGCGGTTGCTGTCGGACATGTCAGCGAGCGAGCTGGCGCGCAGCACCAAGCCGCCCCGGGTGGTCCACCCTCTCGTTGCGGCAGGCCTCAAGCAGGTATGCATGCAACTCTTTCTCGGATATGTAGTGCTCTAAGAAACATCTGATTGGCTGAAGGGCACACTCCAGCTTGCACATCCTCGCGCGCTGATATGGGGTTGATGCCTGTGTCAGATCAGTGAGGATTGCATACCGGATGTGCCACAGTCTTCCACCCCTGTTCCTCAATCATGCTGCACATGCAAACACCACTTCCCAGTACACAGTGTGGTGAAGTGCTGGTGACTTGCAGGTCGACTTTGTGGGCCATGCTCAGAACCCCCACTTCAAACGTGGCCTGCCCAAGGGGGATGCCGCGCGCGCAGCTGCACCCCTGCGCAACCTCCGCCTTGAATCCAAGGCTGAGAAGTACGACCTGTGAGATTCCACCACTGTGCCACTTGTTGTTGAAAGTGTCGCATGGCTGTATAAAGGCATGTGATCATTGTATCCAATAATTGACCTGCCTGACTCTGTCACTCTCATGGCTTTCTTGGTCATCAAGTTCCAATTGTCAGTGCCTGAGGTAGCTGCTTCACAAGGTAAAGGGGGCATGTGGCAATGATTTCGTTGTAGACCCTCAGCAATCCTTGGAGTGGCGATGAGAGCCCTGAGTGCTGATGCTCTCAACAACATGACTGCCATAGATGGACTGCAACTTGTGGAACAGCTTCTCATCACTTGAAAGTCCCTTGCTGCCGTTTCACATGTAGCGTCCAGTCGATTTGTATTTTGTGCCATGCGCAAAAGTGAATTTACAGTGTGTTGTGCATCCACAGGGGTGATGGCCAGGCAGAGCGGGCACGCAAGCGGGCAGCTGCCGGGCAGTCTGGGCTGCCCGAAGGGTACCGCCATGTCACTCTGCGCCAGGTGCCTCCCTACCTCATCCTTCACCATTTTAATTTCATGTCGGACGCCACTGCTGGAATTCAAGCTTGTCCACACAACAGTATTTCTACTCTTCACGTTCTCCAGTCGTTGAGGATAAGCTACGTCAAGTAACACCTGGAACATTGCTTTTCCGTCTTCACACAACAGTCAAGTAGATGATAGACTGCTTCACATATCCTCTAGTTTGCTTTGATTGGGATCGTGGTCAGGAACTGCAGAGCGGGGCCAGTGCGATCTGCAACACTAGCAAGACTGAGGTTGCTTGATTTGGCTGGTTTAGGTGCACAGCAGCCGCTTTGACGAGTTTGACTTTGCGCTGCACAATCCCACGCGATTCGCCGGCCTGGAGAACGAGATCGCCAACTGCTACGCCAACTCACTGGTCCAGGTGTGCCGCCTTAGTCAAAGACACATTCGCCGCAATTGTTAGGATTATGATAAGCTGGTGGAAATATGAGTTAAGCGTTTTCTTGTTTTCATGGGTAAGATGGACACGTGAAGTACACACAGATGTCACGTATTTAGATCTTTTTGTAAATCAAGAAGCACATTTGATGTCCCGGCACAATCGCTAATCATTTACTCCAACTTGTTCTTGTCTCTGACGTGTTTCAGACTGCTGTTGGCCAAGAGCCACCCCAATATTCTACCAGGGTCATGCAAGCAGTTTCTGACGTCTGCTTGTGCTTTCCAAGATTCTGCACTTCATGCCCAA